TATTATTAACCCTAACCCTAATATTATTTCTAAAAATTAATAATTATTATTATTAGTATTATTTTTAATAAATAAAATTAATTTTTATTATTAGGGTTAGGGTATTTATAAAAATTAAAGTTTAATATTATTAATCTAAAATTTAATTATATAATATTTTATAAAGCTAATTTTAGTATATTATTTCTAAATAATAAATAATATATCTTTTTTTTAAATTTCTTTTATTTTATTTTAAGAGGGTAGACCTCTTGAAATAAAATTTTTAAATCCTAAGTAGAATTCTTAGGATATAATCTTCTTTAGCTTCTTTAAGGTTCTAGGGTGGTAGGTCTAGAGAGTGGCTCTCTGCCCTAGCTATATAGCTATCTTCTACAGGATCCAAGTTGTCTGGTAATAACTGGTCTGAGTTATCTCTATATATAGTATCCTTAGAGCCCTGGGCCTAAGGAGGAAATACTACTGATAGTCAGGGTACTAGAGAAGGTGTTAGCTAATACTAGAAGAAATATACAATATTAGTAATAGGAGCTACTAGAGACTAGGTAGCTAGTAACTAGTAGAATAGACTAGGTGCAAGATCTTGTGGTTTATAGAGAGCCCTATACTCTTGTACTATAACTACTTCTCGTTAGCTTTAAATATAAGTACTATCCTGGGGAAGTGTAAGGCCTTGCATACATAGGCCTAGTTATAGTAGTGTTTAGGGAGGGTCAGGTAACCCCCCCGTGTGTGTGACTCTCTTATCCTATTGTAGTTACTTAAGTATAGCGTGACAGTGTTATTTACAGTAGCGGTGTGAGTAGGTAGTAGCTAGCTTATAGTGGTGTATTATAGCAGCCTCCTCCACTGTAGAAGATTCAGCCCAAGTATACTTGGATGTTATTAAAGGATAGCCACAGTAGTCTAATAAGGGGTCCTAGAAGTTTTTGAAATCCTCTCAAGTCAAATTAGAAAAGATAGAAAGGCCTTAATCTATAGATTAGGCGAAAGTAGAGCCCAATAATTCCCTGCTACAGTGGCCTAAAGTACAATAGTTAACCTAGTCTACGGTAGTGCAAGAAGGATTTTAGGGGTGGACCTAGGTACTGTCACGCTCTAGGCACGCTAACCCCAGCACTGTCACGCTCTGGGCACGCTAACCTCAGTACTGTCACGCTCTTAGTAGAATCCTCATTGTCGCCCAAAATTGGCCAACTTTGATGCTGCCTCCAGCGACGACCACATTAGCTAGACCTTCAAAAAGGGTGTTGTTAGAAAGCCCGAGTCGGGCTCCGCCCTTTCGGGCTGGTCTCATGTCACTAACACACTGTTTAACCTCTAACATTAACCTTAAGAATATCTATTGAAGCCTTCCGACGCGACTAATATGAGATTACTTCAGCCATATATGCCCGCACGAACGGCATGGCCAGTTTTGGTACGGGCCTCTTCGGGCTCTGGGCAGCCCTCTCTGGTTGGATGCGATCTCGGAATGATGCCGAGCCCCGTTCCGAGCAACTCCAAATTCTTGCCGATCAATACCCTCGAATGCTTCTCACCCCGTGAGGAATTCCTGGGGAGGCCTTGTTCAGAGCCAGGGTTTATCCCAATCCCTAAAAATCAACAAGCAGGGAAGCCGAGCAATTCCGAGATACTTGAACCGATGCCATATCGCTCATCTTATTTCTTGCTGGGTTACACACTGTAGCAGACCGACCGCTAGCAACTTCATCTTCGTGCTCAGAGGAGACTTTCAACATGGCAGGCGATTCGGGTGGCATGAGCTTCTCGCACCTCAAAAACAACACCAAGAGCAAGTGGTGGCGCGATCCTTGTCTTCGTATTAACGTCGTCCAGTGCGTTGGCCTCTATTTCTGTGTTTTCTATCTTGGATACGATGCTGCCCTGCTTAACGGGCTTCAGGCTATGCCTCAGTGGAACGCTTACTTCGACGATCCCTCGGGTAACTTCTTGGGCCTCATCTCGGCATCAATCTTTCTGCCAGCAATTGTCACCCCGTTCATTAGCTCGTGGATCAATGGCAAATGGGGTCGCAAAGCTGCACTTGCCGTAGGATCGATCGTGCTCATCATCGGTGCGTGCATCAACGCCTTCGCTACAAACATCGGGATGTTCATCGCAGGCCGCGTACTCGTTGGCGCAGCTGGGCCATTCGGCAAGACCACCGCAATTGCACTGCTCCAAGAAATCGCACATCCACGCCTGAGACCGATCCTTGCCACGTCATTCTACAGTAACTACTACATAGGTGCAGCAATAGCGTCATGGTTCTGTTACGGCGGTTTGAACTGGGGGGACACGGCCTGGGCCTGGCGTGCGCCCTGCCTGTTCCAAGTCTTCGCGCCCTTGGTCGTCCTATTTCACCTCTGGATTGTGCCTGAAAGTCCACGTTGGCAGATCCACCACGGCAAAATTGACGCAGCCATGTCCACTCTCAGTAAGTGGCATGCAAATGGGGACCGTGATGATGAGCTCGTTCAGCATGAATATCGCGAGATCTGCTTTGCCCTACAACTCGAGGAGGAGAACAAACGCACTCGCTACGCCGACTTTGTCAAAACTCCTGGTAACCGCCGCCGCTTGCTCGTCTTGGTGACCATGGCTACCGGCACCAACTGGATCGGCAATGGTATCATTAGCTACTATCTTGCTCCTGCTCTGCGACTCGTGGGGATTACCGATCCGCACCAGATCTCCGGCATCAACGGCGGACTTGCCGTCTGGAACCTGTTCCTCGCGTATGCAGGCTCGCTGAACGCAGAGCGTGTCGGCCGACGCAAACTCTGGCTCACCTCTACTATCGGCATGCTCGGATCATACATCGTTATGACGGGCTTGTCCGGGAGTTTCGCCGAGAACGGCGGCCGCGGGGTCGGTATCGCGGTCGTACCTGTTATGTTCATCTACTATGGCTTCTACGACATCGGCTGGACGCCCCTTCCGTTCTCTTACGGTGCCGAGATTCTGCCATATCACATGCGTTTAAAAGGGCTGAGTATCCTGCTTAGCGTGCAGAGCGTAGCGCAGGCTTTCGTAAGGCAATCTTCTTGACTGTCTGGAAAGGTCTTGGTATGCTGACGGTAGCGAACAGAACCAATGGGTCAACCCCGTCGCCCTAGCGGACATTGCGTGGAAGTACTATATCATCTACGTGGTGCTCATCGCTATGTATCTGGTCCTTATTTGGTTCTTCTTCCCAGAGACAAGGTACAATGCCTGCCGCACTCCTTAGCCACCCTAATCCCTCCCCCCTCCTTATCCAAGTTCCCTCGTCTCCCATTCTTTCCCAGTCTCGATACATATTTGACTCCCAGATTCACATTCTCTTACCCGCGTGCTAACAGCTCATCTGAACTCATCACCTCACTTCTTCATCTGGTTGAAGTCTAACGACACTTTATGCCTTGCCAGAATATCTACTGACTGCCTTTCTTACATTGCAAACATCTCACGATTGAAGAGGTCAGCGTAATCTTCGACACGGGCCGATTAGGTACCGCGCAAGCCGCCACTCAACATTTGCAGCGGCCAGTCGAGGAGAATGATAAAGCAGGGGGTCGTGCGGTGGAGGTAGAAGACGTTGGAGGTGCGAAACCTTGAAAGAGAAGTGTGGTGGACACTCGCGGTATTGCCTCATCAACCGGCTGTTCGTTTCTTAGGCTTAGTTATTCTTAAACGCAGCAGAATGCAGTACATGGTTGTATCACACGCGAGTCCTTGGTGTATGAAAGCAAGTCCGAGCTTGACCAGGGTTGGCAGGCCAATCACAGCAGCAAAATGAGGTTTCCTGCTTAGGTTTAGCGCCCTCCTCATACCAACCACGACTTCTCATGGACTATGATCACTACAGCCCTCCAGTTCTCCCTACCTCGTCGGCAATCGTTCCTTTCTTGGTTGGGCTGTAGGTGGTCATAGCCGCGGTCGTAACAGATAGACAGCGTTTTGCGAATATTCATTAAAAGCCCAATAGATAACTCCACCAACACCGTTGGATTATGTGGGCAGTTAGAACTCAAATACCAGATACAGATTGTCAAACCTCGTCATAAGTGACAATCTTGCCTCGCAACCACTCTTCCAGGCCCGGCTGACCAGTAAACTTCCCCGATCCGCTCTTCTTCGCACCACCGTGCGGTAAGTTCGACTCATCGTGTATTGTCATAGAATTGATGTGGACCGCACCACACTCGTAACCTTTAGCCACACGAAACCCAGCAGCCATGTTCTCAGTAAATATTGACCCTGACAGGCCATAGTCCGTGTCGTTGGCGATTTGCAAAGCCTCTTCCTCAGTTCCAAACGTGTACAGTGCGACACTAGGCCCAAAACTCTCATTCTCATATAGCTTTGATCCTTTCTTCACATCAGTAAGGATAATTGGTTTCATAGTGGTCGAAGCCAGGTCTGGGGTGATAGACTCTTGAGGATCCCCATATATAACTTTGGCACCGTGTTCAAGGGCAGATTTGACCAAGGACTTAGTTTTATTCGCTCCTGCACACGTCACAAAGACCTGTGGCCGGCTCTCGTCTCCAAATTGAGCTGTGGTGGATTCCTTGAATGCCTCAATAAAGGAATCAGCGATAGATGTGTGAACGATGATTCGCTCTGTCGCCATGCAGACTTGACCGGCGTGGAGAAACGCGCCAACTGCACACGCATCTGCTGCTTTTCTGATATTTGCGTCTTTGAGGATGATCGCACTCGCCTTTCCACCAAGTTCAGTGATGATAGGCTTCAGGTGCCGTCCAGCAGTTGCGGATATAATGGCTCCGACCGCTGTACTGCCAGTAAAATTGATTTTCTTCACCAGCGGGTGTGCGATGAGTGTGTTGGTGACCTCTGCTGCGTCTTGGGGACGGTGGAAAACCAAGTTTAGGCAACCATCAGGAAGACCCGCGTCGCGGAAGATATCGACAATTGCATAGTAACAACGCGGGGAGAGCTCTGAACCTTTTAAGATACAAGTGTTTCCTGCCGCCAGAGCGTACGAGAAAGCACGACATCCGAGAGGAAACGGAGCGTTCCTATTTCTGTTAGCCATGGAAGCTTGATGTAGATTAGTGAAGAGTGGTACGCACCATGGAGCAATTCCAAGAATCACGCCATACGGCTCTTTCAGATAAAGTGCCTCTCTTCCTTCGAAAGTTGAGAACGCAACACTCCCGCCTGTGGCAGAACATTTCCCGGCCACCTCTTTGAGATTATCAACAGTTAGGTTCAGGATCCACTCGACAAAGTTCGGATCTGCTCCTGTCTCCTGTGCTTGATATTTTGCTAGGTCTGACTTGCGTTGTGCAAATAGTTCAGCTGCCTTGAGAAAGATGTCGCGGCGAGCTGGTGGTTTGACTTTCGCCCAAACCGGAAGAGCAGCCTGCGCAGTTTCAACTGCAGAGACAGCTTCTGTAATAGAAGCTCCGCTTGCATTCCAGATTGTCTCATTAGTGACAGGATTGCATACTGAAAATGTTTCAGAGCCCATGATATCCTTACCACCAATAATCATCGGAATATCTTTGGGGCAGCTTCCGCCAGACACCCCGTTTTTGACTGGGTTGCCATTAACGTGATCAGTCATATTGAACTAGAAAAGAGCTCAGTTGCGATAGGTTCTTGACATAAAGGCGCCGCAAGGAGTCCTGGTGAAGTGGTCTCGGGTTCTGACTCACGCATCCGGAGCAAGGACACCTCTGTGGAGGGAGTTTTGTATTATATCCTTCTACTGATGTTGGCAAAGGAAGTCATGTAAGCGATGTGATAGGTCACACAAGGATCTAAGAAGCCTTAGGTATGCCCGAAGGATCGATGAAAGCATAATAAGAGGTAATGCGGAAACGGTATAATTCCTATCCCCGGAATGCTGCCAATACTCCGATAGGGCGGTACCTAGGCTGGCATTGGTTACATTCGGCATTAGCATATTTCCGCAACAGGCAAGCTTTGCTACCACGAAAAATCCCACCTCCCCCCGTTATATCCATACTCCTCAAGGTGCGAAATATCCCCACCCGACATAATAGTCCGATATCTCTCCTGGACCGAGTTGTTGCGCCCGGCTTGACGTATCCCTCGAATCAAGAAAGGTCAGCCATCATACTACGGAGCCGACGAATTGATAACCCTTCAAGACGAACGTAAAACGCAAGCTAAGGAGGATCCCAGTCCACGGTCTTCGCGTTTATATTGATATTTTTGCGGGGAAGTATCCCTGCTCGAACACAGATAGACTTCTTAGCCATGTTAGCCATCTGTTACCTCCGAACTTGGCTTTTGGTGGGACCCTAGGGTGGCATCAAGCCATCATAGAGCTGCCACTCTGTGTCTGCTCCAGTATGGCGCGGGGACGAACCTGACGTGGGACAGATTCAATCATGGTTCGCTGAACAACGAAATAGGTCCCCATTGCTGGATTCATTTTTACTGCTAACACATGAACAACTTGGAGTGTCGAAGCCATTACGCAACCTTTAGTCAATTCTGCAAGCCTCAACAATGTCCGAGGTTAGAGCACTGGTTGCTGCTGCTGTGGATAGCCCACTAGAGCTGCGCGAAATCCAGCTTGACGAACCTCGTCCGGACGAGACTGTCGTGGAGATTCACGCAGTGGGAATATGCCACGCCGACATAGCATGCTTAGATGGCAAGCTACCGGCATCCTTTCCCAGTGTCTTTGGTCATGAAGGTATGTAGAGTCCAGACTCGAGAATAGAAAGCATTGCTTACCTAGCCTACAAGGAGCTGGGGTGGTAAAGCAGGTTGGCAGTGAGGTCAGGGGCATTGAACCTAACGATACCGTTCTGATAAGCTACAATTCTTGTGGCGATTGCATCCAATGCCGAGAGGACTTTTCAGCATATTGTGTACACACGGCCCAGCTGAATTTTAGAGGTGTTCGGTTGGATGGGAGTTGCACTCTACGTTCCCAGGACGGTTCTTTATTGCACGGCAACTTCTTCGGGCAAAGTTCGTTCTCCAACCTCGCCCTTGTGAATAGTCGGAGTCTTGTCAAAGTCCCAAGCTCAATTCCAATGCATTTGTACGCGCCTCTCGGTTGTGGTGTTCAAACTGGAGCAGGAGCTATCTGGAATTCGCTACGGGTTCAACCAGGGTCGACTGTAGCGGTTTTCGGAACGGGCTCAGTGGGCATGGCCGCAATCATGGCTGCCCGTATCTATCAAGCGAAGGCCATCATCGGTATTGACATTCACAAGCAACGGTTAGAAGTTGCCAGGAATTTAGGAGCAACACACACGCTAGATGCTTCCGGCGACGCACTTACCGATGCTTCCGGCGACGCACTTACCGACCAATTCAGAGCACTATGCGGTGATCAAGGCCTCATGTTTGCTGTTGATACAACAGGTATCCCAGCTGTTATCGAGACGATGATTGCTTCTCTAGGAATTCGAGGCCGAGCAGTTACAATTGGAGCTCCGAAGTTAGGAAGCACAGTCAAAGTAGATGTCCTCTCGCATCTGGTAATGGGTCGGGTATACATGGGAAGCAGCCAAGGGGATTCCAATCCAACAGAGGTATGTTGTCCCCTGTCTCTAATGTGCGCCTCTCGAGCTCACTACATCGTTAGATGATTCCACGTTTGATCGAACATCACCTCGCAGGAAGGCTCCCCATCGAACAATTTGTGACTACTTATAACGCGGAGAATTTCAAAGAAGCAATTGAAGATATGCGATCAGGTAAGGTAATTAAGCCTGTGCTTTTGTGGCGGAAAACAGGATGATTATTTCCCCTCGCTGCAGCGCTGTCCAGCAGATCTGACTGTGTTGTTCTTCCAAGAACGAAGTTCGTGTGTACTACTTAGAGATGTGCTGAGCATTCTATGCATGATGAACATTCTATAGAAGAAGTCACTGTGCCAGTGCCAGGTTTCTTTAAACCAAAAGATCACAGGTGGTTCATACGATTACAATCGATTAATATTTCCTTAAGGTCCGAGTATCTCGTGGCCACGTCGTGTTGCCTCTGCTCAACATCGTCAGAGACTCGGCTACATATGACGAGGCTCCAAATCTGGCACCTCGTCGCATACATGGTGCCGAGATAGTTTTTGACAATGATACTTGACTCTGGTGCGGCTTTCACCCGAGCCTCGAACCGGTAGCAACGCTTTGTAACAGGCGCTATATTTTGGGGGATCCAACGCTCGTAAGTCTTTGGATTTTATTGCGTTGACTAGAGATGGCATTCGTGAGGGGGTATCTATACAATTTCCAGCTGGCTTAGCAGGGTGGACCATCTACAATGTTAATGAGTTATTAACGAGCCGTTGGGACAAGTTGTTTAGAATCGTTTCTATTTCCTTCGAGACTGGATGGGATCGTATGCGGACGCTGCACGCTACAAACGCCGGCATTGTATTGTTGAAGATTGAATAGTTCTCTGGTAGGGTACGCTTTATTAGCAGGTCCTAGTGCCATAAAAATCATTACTCTTCATCAGAGTTCAGATTCTCAATTCTGTGCCTTAGCCTGTTCCATCACCTTTTCCAAATCCTTGTCTGCTCGTTGCCATTCTTCTGTGACGACACTTTGCCTGCCATCCCTCACTTCGAAGTGAGCCTTGAACTTTGATGGCCGGGAGTTGAACCCCTGCGTGAACGCAAACTCATCAACTTCGCATCTCACCTTCTTTCCGTCTCTCATTTCGTACTTGTAACCAATGTTGAACGTCCATAATATCCTCGCAATGTTGATGAAGAGGCTGTTCTTGGCTATGTGCTGTCCAGTGCACACTCTGCGGCCAAAACCAAACGCTGCCAGGGGTAGTTCTGGATTTTCGAGCCATCTTTCTGGATAAAACTCGAGCGGATTCCTGTACACGTCCTCATCAAGGTGAATAGACCAATGATTGCCTATCACAGTGGCGCCCTTGGGTATGTGGAAGCCCATGTATTCGTCGTCTTGAATAACGGCATGAGGAATTCCGCCGGCGGACACTGGACGCCATCGAAGTGTTTCCTTAATGATTGCGTCAATATATGGAAGGCTTTCCTTGTCATCGAATGTTGGCAAGCGGTCCGCACCCAGAACGAGGTCCAGCTCCCTTTGTGCCTTCGTCATGACTGCCGGGTACAGAACCATTGCGAGCGTAAAGACCTCAAGCGCCATTGTCGTTGTATCACTGCCGGCTTCGTATACAATCCCGACGTCATAGGCGAGCTCCTTCTGTGACATCTCCTGGCTCTCCTTCATTTTTTCGGCTTGCTTTGACCAGTTCCATGTGCGATTCTTTTGAGCTTTGAGCAGGTTTTCGACGTATAAGCTAGCCTCGAATTTGTGAAGCCGGTCTCCTGAGCGCTTCCATGGCGCTAAAACATTCGGCAAGTAGTTGAGCACGGGAAGGGCATCGACCAGCCAAGTTCCAACTCGTGCAGCATAGAGAAAATTCTCCATAACCTTGTCGATAGCTTGGACTTCAGGCTCATCACCCCAGGTTAAGCGACGGCCGTATGCCAATGCAAAAATCAAACTCGACGAATAGCGGTGATAGCGCTCTGAAAATTCCTGGTTGGGTTCAAGCAGCTCGTGAAGAAGCTGCTTGCTCTCAAGATCCTGTAGCGGACGATAATTCTGGGAAACTCGAATGTTGAGATAAGAGGCTTGAAGGCGCTGGTGAAGGCGCCATCGCTGTCCATAGGGCATCAGCAGAGTTCTGAAGCCTTTACTAACACATTCGCCCCCCATCACAACACGAGGACGGGAGCTATAGATGTTACTTCGCTTATCAAGAAGGTCGTGAGCTGCTTTATAGGTTCCGAGCATGATGATAGTGTTTAGACCATATTGCAGACTGATAATTGGTCCGTACTGCTTGGTCCATTGTTGATACGTTCGCCATGGATAATCCTTGGGTGCTTGGTGAAGGTTGCCAATGAGAGGTAAACGAGGTGGGCCTGGGGGTAACTTCGGTTTCGTAGCTCTTATGCGAGACAATAGCAACCAAGCCATAAGGGCACCGATGATTGCTAAAGAGAAATTCATCTTAGGAAGAGTGAGCTTCGATATCTTGCATCCACAAGTAATTATTGCCGTCTAGTGTGGAGGTTAGAGGAGGCTCATCATCAGTGCGTGCAAGATAGACCTTGGGTAGTTGTGTATTTTCACGTATCGAATCATCGAATGGTGAAGGATATGGGCGTGGTGGTGCCGTACCTGCTGCGCCTAGACCAAAACTGGACGATAGGGTGTGGATTGCCTTCTCTGCGAGGCAAACAAACTTGACGGTTGCAATATGGAAGCGAATCGGACGTAGGCTATCCGCTTTAGATAACGACTGAAGGATGTAGATATGTACTGATCACGATCTTTTGGGGGGCCCGAGCTGTGATGTTGCGGGACCTTTCCCCGGACGACGCTTTCCCCGCGTGCTGGAAGACGGGGAAGAAGGTTAACAGTGCGGGACGACTTTCCCATTGGCAAATGTCTCCCATTTACGGTAATTCCGGATTTAAAATCGGAATTAGACTCGTATTGCCGCCCGCGCGTACTGTCTGCAAACAAAGGTCGTAGGTGGCTCTTGATTCTTTGTCCGTGTTCAGTAAGCTTCTCATACGATGCCGTTGTAATAGAGATACTTACCGAAATACGAGACTCTTGGTATCGATGTTGTAATCCGCATGATGCTAGGCCTTTTTTGGAACGGCCAGTGTATTGTATGATCGAGGCCTAGACTGATACCCAGCCTCCATCTGAGATGGGGTGTTGTCAGTCTCGTGAAGGTATAGAAGCTCCATCTTTTTCAATCTATAGAGGCGACTGATGTGTCGCTTGTAGGCCCAATTTTCAGACTTCACAGGTTTTGGGGGAACTGTTCAAATACTTGGATTCCTCGACGTGTAATCTGTTAGTCCTAAATGTGCACCCCTTTGATTTAAACTGTGTCCCCTCCTTGTTGGAGTCAGCACGTGTGAGATGATATACCTCTCTGTAGACCCATAGTGTTTCTTGTCACATTTACGCTGGGAAATTCTGGGAGGTGGTCATGCACGACATCGGACGCGCGTGTGTAGACACTATGTGTTCGATCATTCGGCACTCGGGCTTGTTGCAGTAGATCGAGGAACCCTGCATAAGATGAGCAGTCACCCCAGAGGAAGCCATAGTGGATGACTATTAGAATTCCATAATATGAATCTTTATCATGAATATCACGTTGAACTTAAAATACTACTGTCGTAAAGCCTGATAATGTTGAAGAAGACGGATTGATTGACATGGATACTCGCGCCAGCAGTGTCAGACCATTACTCAAACCGTGGCACCGAGTTCAATATGTATACCTAAAAGAGGGATGATCATCTCCAAGATTCGCCAGCTCCTCCTGTGGGAGCTCATACAGGTAGTCTCTTTCGCCTCTCTCCCGCTTCTTGTTCTCGAAAAAGCATACGGCCAGAAATGCGGTACAGCTAGCGATGCCCAAACATATGAATGACAGACCTGTCGAGTATCCTGTGAGATAGAACGGTGCCTCACCTCTGAGATAGATGTTGCTCCCAATGATGCCTCCACAGTTGCCCAGCCCAATCTGGAAACCGGCAGCAACTGCACGCTTGTAATGTCCTCCCATATTGTTGTTGACCCACGTGATTGTGATAGGAAGTGCGATATAAGCTCCTGTAGCTGTGAAGAATATAGCCGTGTATCGCACCCCGAGACTCGTATGAGACACGAGCAAGATAATATACCCGACCGTTGAAACTGCGAGACCAGCAATCGCGAACCCATAGCGGTGATGCGCATGGTCCGAAAAGACGGCCACAATAATGGTCAAGCATCCCGCAGTTATGTAGATTGGGATCGTCATCACCTGAGTTCTGAGTGCACTCCAGCCGAAACCGTGTAGAATGGTGGGTGTGAAGAGTGAGATCGAATATCCAGTAACAGTAACGCTAAGGAACATCAAGAAGCTATCAATCGCCAGAGTTAGTAAAGTTCTCCTATGCTGCCATAACAGGATAAGAGCGCTAGGTAACACGTACCCTAGGTATAGCTTTGGATCAAGGAAGACCCGTCTAGTCGCTTTTCGGTCGTATGTGTCCATCTGTGCAGGTCCCGAGTCTTCCAAAAGTCGCCGACGGAGCAGGACAGTTTCTCCAGGTTGCAGGAATTTGGCGTTCTCTGGCCAGTCGGGAATGATGAAGTAGGATACCAAAGCAAGGAGCACTGTGGCCACTCCTTCAAGGATGAACAACCACCTCCAAGCGCTGTAGCCACGCACATTATCCATGTGGCCGATTCCGTAAGCAAGCAACTGGAAAATGTTGTCAATTACGTTCAGTAGCCTTGTAACGAGTTTGGTGGTACCTACACCGCTGAATGCGCCAGCGAAGACGCTGGAGGAAAAGAAAACATTGATGCGAAGTTGCAGTTCGTACCTCTTGTAGTACATCGAGATTAAATAGATGGCACCTGCCGACAAGTCAGCTTTTGCTGGAGTATGACGATAGCAGGCAGAGAATAGCTTACCCGGGAAATAGCCCGCTTCAAATACTCCAACAAAGATTCGACATACGACAAGGCCGGCAAAGTTCTGTGTCAATCCTTGACAGATAGTGGTAATCCCTAGAGTTCAAGTAAGTCTACTGCTCTCTGACAGTGAAAAGTCCAGCAAGTTACCGAATCCCAATATCAATCCACTTAGCCAGATTGAAGGTCGGACCTTTTTCATGATGAGATTGCAGGGAACCTCCAGGAGGATGTAGGGAATGAAGAACATGAACAGAGCAATGTTGAAGTCGTTTCCCCTCATACCGAGATCATCCTCCAATCCCAGCAAACGAGCGTTGCCAATGTTAATGCGATCCAGGAACGCAGCCATCAAAAGGAAAAATAGAACCGGGATAAGTTGCCAGTCTATCTTCCTGACAAGCTGTCTCTCTGCCTTTGGATCGATAGGATCCTGCTCTTCACGCACCGTGCTCGAGGATGCTTCGATCTCGGTCGCCGTTGGCTTCTCGAGAGTCTCTGCCATTGGGAGTTGCGGACGATGTCAAGTTCTTGACGAAAATAGTACCTCTGTTGAAATGTATCAGGTAGAGTTGAAGAGCCGTACTCTGAGGCTACACGGTGACTGGGTCTGGTCTCTTATATGCGATACCACTGTGTGTCTCATCAGAGTACAGGCAGAGCTTGTTGATCTCTACAGGCCGTACTCAGGGCAATGCTTGCGGGGTATGCTAGTACAATATCTCCACAATCCAGAGGCCATTGCTGCAGTCCCACAGCTGTCCCGCAGTCGTCAGTTCTCAATTACGCTAACCCGCAGTCCTTGATGCTGTAATCACGCTACCGCACAGCCCAAGATGTTGTCCACTGTTTTACCAGCGCCAAGGCTTGCGTCGGGCTTGGCGCGCTAACTGTAATAAAAATACTACGTTGGTCAGATACAGTTAGCATAATCACCTAGTCAACCGAGACGTATACTTTTTGAACCCTGGGCTTCTTGTTCCCCTTGTGGTCGAATTGCTCCGGACAAATTCCGGGTGGAAATCGCATGGACTTTCATCCTGTCAAGAAACTTTCTGCATTAGCCCGTGGATCCTCTGAGCTCATGCCATCGCCCGACAATCTTGGTGGATTTGTACGAGTTCGCTCTGAGCGGAGAACCCTCGCACATTGTATCGTACAAGATGAACTAGCGAAGGCATGCGATGGAGTTAAAAGCACCTCGGTGGCCTCTTCTCCTCTAGTGCAACTACCACTACTGTGGACGTGCTTTCGACACGACTCTTGAGTACGCAAAATGACGGTCTCAGCAGTCAGCCAATACGGTCCTATTACAACAAGTGGCCCGGGCATATCGTATTTGCGGCCAGAGCTTCGAGACCTAAAGATCATTGGGGTAGAAGAACATGTGTCATTCCCAGCGCTGTCGCATAAAATCCCCAGCGAGGGCGGAGCAAAGCATGCCAAGGAACAGTTTGGACTGCTGGTGGGGCATGATGCCATGTCCTATGCGGCTGGACGTGTGGCCGATCTTGGAAAACAAAGACTGGCCGACATGGACGAAAGCACCGTTGCGATGCAAGTTCTCAGTCTAGCTGGACCAGTCAACAGCATGTATCTGGATACAGAGCAAGCAATAGCATTCGCGCGCGAAATCAATGACGGGTTGAAGAAGGGCGTCGACGCGAATCCAAAACGGTTCGTCGCACTTGCTGAATTACCGGCACATGTGCCCGACGCCGCGATCCAAGAGCTGCGCCGTTGCGTCAAGGATTTAGGCTTCGTTGGGGCAATGGTGTCCGGATCTATAAGTGGCACAGGCAAGTTCTTGGACGCGCCTGAGTTTGACACGCTGCTGTCTGAGTTCGAGAAGCTCGACGTACCTTTATATCTTCACCCGGGGATTGCGCCGAAGCCGATAACAGACACATATTACGACTTCCCAGACAACCCAAAACTCTCCGCGACTTTGGGGGGCATGGGCTGGGGGTGGCACAACGAAGTGGCAATTCACGTGCTTCGGCTAGCGGTCTCGGGTGCTTTGGACAGACACCCTCGGCTAAAGGTTGTGGTAGGGCACCAGGGAGAGATGCTACCGATGATGATCCAAAGGTTTGACGCTATGTTCGACAATCAGCTCTTCGGCCTGAGGAGAAGTGTTGGTGAGATGCTCCGCAACCAAGTCTGGATTGCCATTTCGGGGCTATTTTCTTTACCGCCGACACAAATTGCGATTCAGACCTGGGGCGTGGATAGAGTACTTTTTGCGAACGACTACCCATTTATCGATGCACAGCGAGTGCCGGCATTTATCACAGCTCTGGGGGATATCCTCGCGCCTTCCGACATGCGAAAGATCTGTCAAACTAATGCGGAGGATCTCTTCAAGATCAAAGCATGAGAAAATCATGTTTGATGTCAAGATCATGAGTTCGGGGGTCATTTCACCAGAGACCGTGCTTACATCTACCACGATGCGTTTGCGAATATCGGGCGACAATGGTGGATGGTACCTTTTTTAGCCCTACTCTTATATAAGTCAGGTCAATGACCTACGCGCTTTGTGGCCCCTGCGGGATTTCGAGGTAGTTAGTTTACCGGTGGCTGTAGTGGGTAAATCTTAACTTAAACGCTGCTCTCACTGAACAGCGTGGCCAACTTTTAGCTCTCTTTGTCGGACCGTTACAGGGTCGAAAGACATGTCGATGTCTTTCTGTGCCATCAATTTGTTTTCACTGTGGGGGCATTCGACCCATTTGACTAGCATCGAGTTTGGTTTCGGAATCGCCGCTTATCCACCAATTGCTGAGCTGTCCATTGAGTGGATTCTGGGTCAACTGCGGAGAGCTATAAATGGAACATGTTCCTATTTTACTAGCGAATCCCTCCTCTTTGGTTTGAGGTGCAGCAGTACTCTCAATTCCGCCTCGAGAGTGGGAAGTCTTCTTGCCAATGCCAGATTCGTGTGATACTGTAAAGTTGTCGCCATGATCCTGACCGCCAACCTTAGCAGCACAGATGACCGTTATACTGATATATGACTAAGGATATTTAAGCCTCACTAAGCCCTTGGCGTATCCTAGGTAACGTGCCTCATAGGCGTGTAAGTAGAGGGCCTAACATAGCTCACGTGTCCTGTAATATAGTCAAACCTTCTCTACAAGATGATCGGCTCTTCTTCAGAGAGCATATCTGAACTTCGGGTTCTCTTTGTCTGTCAAATCCACGAATTCTCGTCCTGGTTGTTGTGTATCCTCTTCAGTAGCTAAGGTGGCAGCGGCATTATCCCGCTTTTTGTTCTCCCTCTTGTTGATTAAGAGGAGTGCAACACAGCAGGAGAGGGCCACCATGTACTGTGCTATAATATTGTACTTGGCGTTCGTGTAGTAAGGGCCGTCCCTAAAAGTCTGCGGTCCGATAAGGAAGCCGACACAATAGGCAGAGAGGGTCATTGCGTTGACCGTGGTCTTCTTCGTGTAGCCCGCGACATTGGTGCTGATAAGACTCAGAATCAGGATGAAGGCGGTCGCTGAGTTTCCGTAGAGAATGTAGTATCCCACGAGTTGTCCGATTCGGTGCGCAGTTGGTCCGTCACGTGCAAGACCGGTCATGAGTGATATGCTGAAAATGCTGAACAACATCCCAATTGTAGCCCAAAGCATCCGGTTGCGGTACTTTTGCGCCAGCCAAGAAACACCAATATTGACAACAATCTGTACCACACCAGCAGGCATAGTGATCAGAAGTGTTGATCGTGGATTGAATCCGTAGCCCTGTATCAGAAGGGTAAAGAAAACAGTAATACCACCCGATGGAATCATACATGTGATACAGAAGAGACAATAAAGCCAAGACTGTGTCAATGTCAGTTCGTTTTCTAGGATGCGAATTGTTGAAAACGTACCCTGATGTCCAGGAAGGCCTCACGGAACTGGTTCCATTTGAAAACCTTGTTTCCAATGCTTTGTTGATTCGCTCGTAAGCGTTCCATTGCAATATGGCGATCCTCTTCGTTCAGCCATTTAGCATCCAGTGGTGAGTCGGGAACGAAGTACAACATCGCAGCTCCGAAAAAGACCGTGATAATTCCGCTAATGATAAAGACAACCTTCCAAGGCGCGAAAGTGATACTGTTGTTCCGATAGAAGCCCTCGGCGACTGCATATGTGAAAGCACCTCCCAGAATAGGCACAAACCCGTTTGCACAAAACCAGAATGCGGTGCGCGTTGCCTGCTCGTCAGACCGATACCAGCGAGCCGTCATGAGAACAAACCCAGCGGTAATAGACCCTTCGAAAGCCCCGAGGAAGAAGCGGACAACCATGAGACCAGCAAAATTTGTACATGCAGCATGGCACGTGAGAATGATACCCCAGCCGACAACGGTGCAAGCAATGTACCTCGATAAAGGGTACTTCTGCATCATACGGTTGTGTAGATAAACAAACGCCAGATAACCGAGGTATAGAATCGAGCCAGTCCTGCGGAGAACGACGTCAGCAACCACTTGTGCACGCTACGAAAGAGGACTATACAAACCAGGAATATTGCGCCGGTGTAAGGTTCAGATCTTCACGTATCCCCATGATTGCTGCGTATGACAGGGATAATTTGTCGAATTGCTGTACAAAGTAAAGCGTGAACATCCAAGGGATGATATGCCAGTCGATTTTGCGGCATACGCGACGGTCTGCCGCAGGATCAATGCCCATCGGCTCGTCGGTAGTGTAGCTGCCAACAATATCCCCATCTTCTGAAGCATCTGAATTGCCATTCTCAAGGCCTTTGGCGGTCTGTAACACGCCACGATTTTTGACCTGATCATCACCGGCGAGGTCGTGCTTCATGGGTAGTGGCTGAAGGGATAAGCTATCCTTAGGCTTTTCGTTGGTAGATTTTGCTACGGTGGAAGAGATTTCGGTCATAGTGGGCGAACGCGGGCTCAATTCCCGGACAAAGTATGGCTTACATGTCTTTTGGTCAAATAACGCCTAATATAGGCAACATATGGAGTAGAATTCCCAGGCACCCTATCTCGCGGAGCTATCTCCCGCAATCACGACGAGATGTCAAAGACTCCGAGAGATCTGAGAACTATCGCGGCTTACACCGATACAGCACGGCATTACCTTGGCGGAGGTGTGATAGATAGCCCCCCGGTCTTGGCGGAGATCCCGCCCACTTTCCGATTGGCTTGGAGTACTGTAGATGCCCCCCAGTGTTTCCCGGGTCGTCGGCCTCAGCCTTTACCTGGTAACAATGTTTATACTGTGTAGAGGTTTCAGTCCTATTAAGAGGAACTTTAGTCGGCACAGCTTCCTATGTACTACTATCAGGACATCGATTAGCATTCTTGAAAAATTGCCACAGCTGTCGCTTTTTCATCAAGGCGAGGATTATTACGCTGTATAAGGGGTTCCGTGAGTTGCGTACCACGATATTGTAGTTGCGAAGTCGAGCCTCTCCACCAGAGGTGATCTTGGCAAATCCTGGGCAAGCTCTCCAAGCATACAAAACAGGCGTGAAACGGGCGATTGAAAGGGATCTGGACCAGTGCCCTATGGCGAGAATGCCCGCGAGCTGGAGCTCATGGGCGAGCGGAGAAGTTGTGGAGGTGATAAGAGCGGCAGCTACTATCGTTCGTTGGCAGTCGCGTGGAGAGAGCAGATGCAGGTTTCGAGTTCAGCTCGTAGGGGGGGTGAGGGGGGGGTTGGGCGAATAGACACGATTCCACTAGGGGCAGACCCTCGGCAGATTCTCGGCCATCGTATACATCGCGATAAGGGACGGAGAGGATGAATGGAGAGGACGAATGGCAGGATGATGAAGTACAGTTGAGGTCGGGCGGGCGATGCTGACAATGTGGAAGCATCCCGGACTTGACAGCAACAATGCTGTCGCTGCATTATCTTGTGTAGTGCCAAGCAGCCTCGCAAGTGCGTGCTTAGCAGTCTCACCCTTGATCCTGGGCGATTGAGGTCTGAGGTTCCATATTGCTGGGAACAGGGCTGTGTGATATTGCAGTCGCTCCAACGGAACAGATGACTTCGGTGCAGTCTTGCTTACTGTAATGATTAGCGAGTTCGCCAGCCATGTTCTTGACCAGGTGACCGATGGCAATCTTGACTTTTTGACATGCTGGCACAAACTGAGCTGCTTGCTGACTGGCTACGCCAGAGAAGCATCTGACTAAAGTACGGTTCTTGCTCTATGCTTCTCGTTCCTGTAAGGTTGAATGAGCCTGCGAGAAGGTATTGCCTTGAATATGCGATGATCCCATATGGAATCTCGAATTCGTCGCGATCAGTGTACAGGGCAATTAAACAAGCCCTTTCGTGCTTTGGCTTGGTATCTATGCCTGATGATTCTTGTTTTTCCTCGGGCAGCCATGATCAAAGCATCGATTGTGAAAGTCAAGACCTCTTTAATGCCGCTGTCCAGATCACAATCGTGGTGATAGAGCCATAGCCGGCTCGGCAAGGTTAAACTGGGCTTGGCCCAAGGCTATAACAATGCTTGGGCCCACGCGAGCTTCTGGAGAGTTGGGGGAAGCCCGTCGCAAGAACCCGTCGCACCACGCTTTGCGCCCGGTGTAATCCGACGTAAAGACTCACAGCAATTATCGCAGATATCTCCAGTGAAACCAGTACAGGTTCATCTTGCTTGTCAGAACCAGTCTTTGCACCCCCTTGACAACCCATTTGAACCTTGACTTAGGTTCAGATGAGCTAAGACTGACAGGCGATCAGCTTCAAAGATCGGTGACATGTACTTGGAGTGCCATTCGCACCTTTAATAAAATCGGGGTGTTCTTGGTGAAATTCTCAAGCCTGTGGAGAGTCCCAGCTCCTTTATCTTACGTGAAGAGGCAAACGCGATTCGGTTTCTCGAAGATGAGGGCTTTCTACAGCCCGCAAATAGGCTTTGGGGCCGCCGCTACGGCACCTTCTCTCATTGATGCAGATGGGAGTCCGTCAATACCCAGAGACAGGCGGACACAGCACGACGACCTCTGTCAGATACCGTCTGTGCTAATGAGTTTATCTTTGGCCCCTTGATCATCTACGCGATCCCAGAGACATGGCGTAATTCAGATTGTTGATGCATCAGGATGTGCCGAAGTCCCATCTTTCCGTCCCAGTACCATCGAACTGCTGGTCGCCAGCCCCACGCATCAAGACATCGAAGAATGCCGTGTCAAAGCCTTGAAATACCCACTCATCCATAGTGGCCGCAGCGTTTGGAAACATCTGATCCTGCTGCATAAACAAAGTCCCTGAGGAAATCTCAGGGGTTTGCACAACAGGATCTCGACTCGAAGCCTTGGGAACCTTCTGATTTACTGCTTGAGGAGCGATACCTCCCGACGAGCCATCGTTCTGGCCACCGACGTGAAGGGATCCGATGCCACCTACAGTGAGCCCATCTCCCAAAGCTTGGCCGTGTCCTGACATACACGGGTGAATAGAGGTGATTCCCTCCCGAGCAATTCTGATGGTACCGACATATGGCACCTTAATGATCAACACGCTGTTCCGGTCTTGGGAGCTTGCATTCGTACAGATCACTTTATGTGCGGCTGATTTCTGCCACTGCGCAGCATCTGCTTCCACTGCAAGCAAGTACTTGAGTAAAGAGGCGCATTTCGCAGCAAGTACATCGTCGCACACTTCGCACATGGAACTCATGCGATCAAGAGCTCGCTCCACGATGGCTCTATCACCAGGTCGCTGATGTACGAACATGTTCACCGTCTCTGTGTGTGAATGACTCACGATATGTGCCAGAATGAGTGTCATACCGGCAATCAATGCCATGAAATCGCCCATGCGGCAGCAGGGATGGACCGGATCGAACGTACGGAGCGCGATTTGTCGATTCAAAGCCTCGCGGCTAGCATTGACGCATGCAATACGCGAGTAGATGCGCTGTGGCGCATCATTTGAGTACAGCATGTACGGTAAATGAAGCTGATTCACTAGAGTCTGGTAATACAGGTGACCCCAGCATCGTTGAATCTCCACAAATGCTTCCTCCGAGTCGATCGTGAGGCCTGTGAACGAGGATGGTCGCCAAATTTCGGGCGGAATCTGCTCACCCTTCGTGATAAGTTCTCGGTCAATCTCTCGTGTCATTTCCAGTGCCTCTTGAGGTGTAGATACCTCATTCCTTTCGATGATCTTGGCTGCTGTATCACTTACGAAAGCCGGAAGATGGCAGCCTCCAGCTGGAATTGAAGTCGCCTGAGCTGACGCTGTCGCAAGCGTAGCACTCGTAGGGAGGCCCATCAGCAAAGATAACAGACGTTCCATGGAAATGATACATGACCACATAAGCTTTGGATCGAGATCCTTCTGGTCGTGGATGACTTTAAAGCGAACTTCACCAGGTCGATGCAAACCCAGTAGTTGTGCTGCCATAACAGCACGACGCATCGTTATCCATGCCCGTCGGATATTGCCGCCATCTATATGATAGCAGGTCTCCAGCATAAGGGTCTCGAGACCCTCGATTGAACCAAGAAGTAGGTCGTTCGTTGTGACCATCTTGATCGCTGACTCTGCAAGCCTTTCCATGATAATGTGGTGATGCTCTGTAATTCCTAGTATTTCTTCTTTCGAGGAAAGACGTTGCAAAGCCGCGGCTAGCAGCAGCATCTGCCTGGCGAGTAGGACAGGATGGCTTTCGTGGGACAGAAGGCCTGCTAGCGAGATCTGTTCTTGAGTTCCTTCCTCTTGATTAGAACCATAGGATCTATAGCTGGACTGATATAACGGCATGGGGATCCCGCTGACTCGCTGGAGCAGGATTTCGAGCTCTTTTCGAGGAGGAAGAGCACGAGCTAGGTCTTGAGTGATCTTGGGGTACTTGTTTGTCTCCGCCAAGGACGTGTGCCCATCTGCAACGTCTGGCGTTGGTTCTGGTGTAATGAAAGGGTACGTTGCCGGGTCGTTCCGTCTGGCATTGTGGTCAGGCGCAGCATGGTCCTGGTTATCAGCTTGATCAGTACAAGGTCGCAGAAAGTGTGTCATTCCCAACCTGGTATGTCATTGTTGGGATCGAGGACGATGTGTACCTCGTCGATGATTCGTAGCCAGTATGCCTGTTGGGGAGATTTCGCGAACCAATGCCGCCCACCCTCTCAACAGGTCTGCCGTTGAAATGTTCTGATCGGTCGCCAACTTCGCCATTTTTCGCCGTAGCTTCTGCTCTGTCAAAGACCTCTTGACTCACACATCTCGTGCCCCGGCGATGGCACGTAACACAAATAAGATCGCTCGTTTGCGAGAAGACACATTTGACCTTTCTTCGCTTACATTCCCAGCAGCTGTGTGTACCTTTTCGAACTTTCCTGTGGTTCGGTGTGGAAGCGTCGAAATGAGCTTGCATTTTCACGCGGTCGGAGATTGCGGCTTGGTAGCAGTACAAGCTTCTACCTCTAGCGCTCGAACATTGCAGAAGAGGGGAAGTCCGAGAGGTCCATCGTCTGACTCTGGATTGCAAGCTGAGAACGGAGCAAGAAGAGGTCCGAGACCCGCCAAAGTTCGGCCGAACTAGAGTGGAGCAGCCGACAAGTTATGCCATTTATGGCATGGGTTCGGTCGAATGAGCCAAGCCCCTCCACTCTTCCTCGACACGTCTCCTACACCCGTGGCTCAGGGCTCAGCGACCAGACGGTACATGGCCTCTAGACTAAGAGTGCCAGCTTCAATATGATCTGTCCCTATGCGATCTGAAGCGGGTCAGTATGACCTCGCATTTGCGGACTAATCATGTTAAGGGCTGTTCCAGGTAGTGGCAAGCCGAATAGAACGTTGAACCACTGGCCAATAGAACTACAAACCGAAACACGAGACGGCCAGTACTTCCAAGGAGCAACAAGCTCTCGGGCGAACGTAGAACAGGAACAAGCCTCCGAGTCGCTCCTTGACGTTAGCCTCGCGACTTATCCGAGCTCCATCCATCGGATCATAGCTGCTTAGAAATATGACTCCGCTCGGCCATGGGTTATTTCCCTTCCGGTGTGGCCTCTCTGTTCCATTATAAGGCCATCGGCCTCGCGGCGGACCTCATTGAATGACAACTTGCTATTCGGCGACATCTGTATTCGACAATGACGGCAGAACCGATGGATCCCGAGCTGCAGCCGATGTCAAACAAAGCCTCGAAGTTGTCCAGCGTACCGATAGAAACTCCGCAAGCAATCAACTACGAAAAGGAGGTTGAATCCGTCGATTCAAAGACTCCTGATATCCAAGATTATCCGCACGGCGTGCGCCTGGCCGCTATTGCAGTCTCACTCATGCTCGGCATGTTCCTGGTCGCACTCGACAACGTGAGTTCTGTCTCCTGTATCAAAGCAAAACACTAAAAACAACCTCTACAGACCATTCTTAGCACGGCCATACCCAAAATTACGGATGAGTTCCGCGATCTCAACAAGGTGGCTTGGTATGGATCAGCGTATTTCATGACATTCGGCGGTAGTTAGTGAACAACGATGATTCTATTGATTTGGATGCTAACTATTCGCGAAGAGTGTTCTGTCTCCACTGATGACAGCAGGGCTGGAGTCCTACAGCACTTTGACAATAGAACTGATCAATCCAGGGTTTCAATCCACATGGGGAAAATTCTACAAGTACTTCCCTATCAAGCTCTGGTTTCTCGTCGCCATATTTGTTTTCGAGGTGGGCAGTCTCATCTGTGGAGTAGCACAGGGTCCCACTACACTTATCGTCGGACGTGCAATCGCAGGATTCGGTGGCGCTGGCGTAACCGTCGGTGCATACACAATTCTGGCATTTGCTGCAGCTCCCGAAATGCGTCCGCGGCTGCTGGGCTTGACGGGAGCCACGTATGGCATCGCAGCGGTACTTGGACCCCTAATTGGAGGCGCGTTCACCGACAAAGTCACGTGGCGCTGGGTATGCTCACACCATGAGGTCGATGCTTTTACTGACCCGAGTCCAGTGTTTCTACATCAATCTTCCGATCGGTGGTGTTGCTGCCGCAATCGTCCTCTTCTACTTCCAGGTTCCATCACATGCAAAACCGGCTCAAGCCACATGGCAAGAGAAGCTCTTGCAGATGGATCTCATTGGCGCGGCTCTTATGATCGGTCTAATTGTTTCTTACCTTCTCGCGCTACAGTATGGTGGCCAAACGCATCCTTGGAGCAGTAGCGTTGTTATCGGATTGCTCGTCGGTTTTGTTGCCATGCTTGTAGCGTTCATCGCTTGGGAGATCTTCCAGAAAGAACGCGCTATGGTCGTTGGCAGATTGGTAAGTTGCACTAGGGTCTATTTTTCATTGCATGGGAGGGCTGATTACAAGCTGGCAACAGTTCGCTAAGCGCTATGTATGCATTGGCTCCCTCTTCATGTTCTTCTTCGGCGGTGCATACTTGGTCATACTATATTACATCCCGATATACTTCCAGAGTATTTCCAACAGCAGCCCGATCGGATCTGGTGTCAAAATGCTTGCCCTCATCATTCCTCTTACGATCGCAGCTATCGTGCAAGGCTTTGCACTGTCCAGAGTCGGCATCGTACCTCTATTCTGGATTGGTGGTGGTGCATTGGGAACGATCGGAACTGGTTTATTCTACACCATGGACACTGAGACGTCAACCGGCAAGTGGATTGGTTATCAGATCATTGTTGGCTTTACCTGCGGCTTCGTGTTTCAGGTTGCTCTCGCCAACGCACAAGTTCACGCCACCACCGAAGACATGTCACAGGTCATGGCCATCATCAATCGTAAGTCTACGCTCACTTCAGGTCCGAATGTCAACCATTCTAACGTCATTGACAGTCTGCTTGACCCTCGGCGGTTGTTTCTTCGTCTCTGCAGCACAATCCGCGTTCAACAATCAATTGATCAAGGCTCTCGGTACAACACTACCCGAGATCGACCCTGCCATAATTCTTGGAACTGGCGCGACTCAAATTCGAGAAGCTTTCACGGCCGCACAAGTTCCCTTTGTGATCGATGCGTATGTGACTGGGCTCAGGGCTGTCTTTGCGATTACGATCGCTGCCTTCGGCGTTTCCACGTTGATTGGCCCTTTCGGTAGCTGGAAGAAACTCCACGGCGAAGACCTGATGAAAGCGGCCGCTGGAGGTGCCTGAGAATCCTGCATAGATATCATGGAACCTGTGTCCGCACCTGTAGTGAGGCAATGTCTGGCACCAGCGCCAGAAATTGGGATTCCATGCTATTATCATGAGAGGTACTGGTTCTCGAGTGAAGTTCTAGAATAGACCATCTCAAAGATCGCTGATATTGGGAAGACCGGGCTTCAACTTACGGCGTTCTTATATTTACCACATATGACAAGATTCAGTTTCCCTTGCTTCCGATCTAACCTGATCTGCCCGTGTGATAAACGTGGAAAATCAGAGGCTTGCACTGGAAATGAAATTGCTCTCCGAGTTACATTGCTTGAGATAGCTGGCAGATGGCCAGACCCTATATTAAGTACAGTTACAGGCCCTTGAGAGATAAGAGCGTGTCGCATTAAGCCAACCGCGCTGTGCTGTTAGAGGCATCTGTACAGATATCGCAAAACAATTCGAAGCCCTGGACTAATTAGCTTAGGATCTTGAAACTTCGGGTTGCTCACCAAGTCCTTGCCAGGCGAGTTAGTGCAGTCTTCTGAAAGAGGGAACTTTCGCTCGATTGCCCAAAGCGCTGAGTCTGGGGAGTGGTCAAATAGAATTGGGGCTTTCGGAGCCTCCTTTCGATAAAGGGAGATAATGTCTGGGAGATCAGGGTTAGTCTCATGGCTCTGATAGCAACGTGCACCCTTACCTTCAAGGCGAATAGTCAGCTCTTCTAGTCTGGAGCCACGAACGCCGTAGCCAACTCCTGTGCCATCCCATCGTACACCACGGACTTGTTCCTCAAGGACATCCAGGCCTTGCTCGGGGCCCATGAGCACAACTACGCAAGTCAATTTGTTGCTTATATCAGTATCTGATGCTTGTTGTCGTGCTTACCTCTGAGATTGTAACCGGCTTTCACGATTTCTGCCGCATCGCCGCGAAGGGCTGCATCAACTTTTGCGGGATCAAATCCCTGAGACGTAACAAGAGGATGATAGGGAGGGAGTCCGCTATATGTGATTCATCAGCGCGAGAGTTTCCGAAAGACCGAGTCTAGACGTACGTGAAGACGATGTCTACTTCGCCACAGCCAGTTGGCACTTTGGATTGCTTTGGTCCCGGTAGTCCTGATGGGCCTGGCGGACCTGGTGGCCCTGGATAGGCATGGGCGACAGCGAAGAAGCCAAGAGTAAGGAGTGATCCGAACGAGAGCATGATCGTGGAACGAATGGATGGCTGAGTTAATGAGTCTTTAGAGTTGCAGATGAAGAATATTACGTGCGGACCTGGCGGTACTTATGGCAGTCAGTTGATTGCAGCCGGATTCAACCGGAAATTACAAAGCCAATTCTCGTTTCCTAATTCATCCCACCAAGGGCCATATTGTATAGGAACATGGGCAAACGGCGGTTGTTGTACCGATTCTCGAAGGTGGTGGCATGCCGAAACAGTGTAGAGGTGGAGCACGGAAGAGCGCACACCGATCCCTCGCGCATTATGCTTCTCAATCGAATCAAGAGGGCCGTGCGCGTCCCTGGCAGCTGATCTCCAGGCGAGCAAGCCACGTGGGCGGCGGGCGGCGGAACCTGCGCTCCTCTTGGCACGCGCGCGCAGAATGCTTCCTGAAGCGTATTCATCGAGTTCAGGGCCAACTGCCAAGACAACTCTGCGCAGCACGTGACTATGGCCTAACGACTTCGCAGTCCATACAGTCGTACGTCATGGAAGCGGCGCCCATATCAACAAGGCTGTAGCTTCTCACGGGTTACGTGTGCTCAGCTTTCCTTTCTGCAAACTTTCGATCGGCCCCTTAATGGACGAGAAAGCCTAGCTCGCATGCGTGAGTATCGCCATATCGTGGTTGTAAAGCTTGTGACAATTGTAGAGCCCTTGTCCGAGGGCTTTTTAAAGAAACACAGTTCTGCACAACTTCTTCGATGGTAGTGACTGTCGGGGAAATGATACAGCTTGCCTTTGCGCGCTATTCCAGTGATAAATCAATCTCCCGCTCGGCCCCGAACTTGATTCTCCAGTGCGCGAGATCTGTCGTTAGCTCGCAAATTTTATTGATGAGCTGATCGGTCTGGACATCAAACTGGGAATGGGCAGTCGAAGTCCTGCAATCGGCTGGAGGTGAGGCGAAGTGGTGCATATAGCCCGAGGCCCACAGGTCTCAATAAACCAACCTCCACTTTGGCCAGAGGCAGCTTGTCAACGACCACTGAGAGCCCACCGAGAATAGCCATTCGGGTGTTGGGCCGGAAGGTTACTTCACCCGTCATCTCCAGGTCCTGCGCACATCGTTGAAAACAGTTTGCTGGCTCTAATCTGTCGGCTGGTGCTTGGCCGCGAAAAGCTGGGTCTAAATGTGGCCCCATAAGTAGCAGCTGTACGGGTCGATTCAACGAGACAGATGGCGTCGCGATCGGAGCCAACGTAAGCGAGTGTTCAGGTCTTGCTTCTGATAAGTTAGACTCGTAAGTAGCAGGCTTCGAGCAAAGCCTCCCATGCTCGTTTGCCGCCTCTTTAGTACATTGCTGCTCTCGTGTGGGACCCGGCAGATCAAGATCTGTGATATCTGGCGAGTGCAAACCAGCCCTCTGATGCCGCTTTCTCCCAGGATATCGATGCAGGAGCAGACCCATCCGAGCCGCGTCTGAGCTGCTGGCCTACGATGATATCCAAGTAGGGCCTAGAACCTAGGATAGGTGAGGAAGTGCCCATTTGCAACTTCTGACCAAGACTGGTTCAAGTAGCGGATATCATGGCAGCGGTGCTCACCTGATAAGCTTCCGGAGGTGGAGCTGGTGTCTGAAGCGCAGCAAAGTTGGGTAGCATATCTATTGGTGATGATGACGTTCCAGCCAGGACAACCACATGATCTGTCGCAAATAGTTGGCCAGGGAACTCGTGAAGGAAGGCGCTTGAATGGCACCCAGGCACAGACTGGGACAAGCAGAATCAGGGCAACTTTGGAGACCTTCATCAAGAGGCTCGCCGGCAATCATCTAGATCTGCTTTCGACACTCCGACCGGAGCAGGTTACTCGAGCGATAATGCAGAAGACCTCTAAAGGTTTGGGTTTCGGAGATGCTCCACTCCGGTGGCGCCAAGCATCATTCCAGGACAGGAGTAGCCGAATGTAGAGCCGAAGGTCAGGAAAAATTGAGGCCTCGCTGCGTGGTAGTTCTGAGCTCACGGCCCAAACGCTCTTACCCTAGGTCAATTCGTCTTTGATAACGCCAAAACATAGGGGAATGCAGCCTCGCCAGATACAGCACGGTTGACAAAGTCCTCCAATGACAGAGTTCCAGCGGCGACCGAAACTGCTGCGCCTACTCGCGGCGATAAGGCCTACAGTGAAAGAGCGCGTAAACTCTGTGGAGTAAAAAAGTCTCTGTTGAAGCGTAGAGACGTGTCTCGAGACGTGTATATCAATGATGCTCAGACCACAGCACTCTTCACAGCGCGGTTGACACACCCAAAAACAGAACAAGATCCCGACAGCCAATCGGAGAATTTGCAGCTGCCGGTCTGGACCGGCTAAACCGAAAGAGGAGAGCCAATCCCCAGCTGCTTGAAGCCTTCGCACTTGTTCTGGCCATCTTGTGCTGTGGAAGGGCGCCGATAAGCGGCGTTTGGGCACGCGATATCATCAGACCGACGGCAGTGACAGTTGTTCATGATATATCAAGAGCCCAGCGAGCGTCCTGACTGATCAGTGCCGTTGCTTGAACCTCGTCAACAAACATATCCAGCATGACTAATCCTCGCCACTCCTACCTCATTGTTGGCGCCGGCGTCTTTGGCGTTTCCACAGCCTATCACCTCATCAAGAGATACCCTGACGCTTCTGTAACGATCATTGATCGCGATGCGTACGATGCTGACAGCCGTGTCGCTGCTTCGTGGGACTGGAACAAGGTAGTGCGGGCCGACTACGACGATATTGTCTACTGCCAACTGGCTCTCGAAGCGCAGGACATCTTCAACTCGGATCCGCTATGGAAGCCATATTTCCACCAGACTGGCATCTACTGGATCTGCCGGAGTGACTATGCCCAGGATGTTATCGACAACTACAAGAAGCTTGGCAGAAAGGCAGATCTGTCTGCAGTTCCCATCGAGGAAGCTCGCAAGCTTTATGACGGACTGTTCGACGATGCCGATTACGCTGGCGTCAAGGAAGTGCTGGTCAACAAGACGAGTGGATGGGCGGCTGCTGGCGACTGCTTGCGAGCTGTGACAAAGCACGCCATAGAACTAGGAGTGAAGTACGTCGTCGCGGACGTGGAGACACTTGTCTTCGAGCAAGGTCGCTGCATCGGAGTGAAGGCGACAACCGGAGAGCTTGTTGGAGCATCCCATGTAATCCTCAGCTCGGGAGCCTACACACCAAAACTGCTGGAGTTGAGCGCAAAGAGCAGCGGTATTCCAGAACTTTCGGCCGACGGCCGAATTGTCGCTGGCGGTATTACGACGGGCATGACGAAGCTAGACGACAAGACTTACGATACATACGCGAAGATGCCAGTTGGCGTACAGGGATATACTGCCAAACAAGGTCCCTTCATTGGAAGCCTTCCGCCAACTCCTGACAGAGAGCTTAAATGGTGGGGGCAGACAATCTTCAGAAATGTCAGAGAGATTCTCCCTGGACGATGGCTCTCTGCTCCTCCCGCTGAGCCAGACTACGCGCAGTGGCAGGTGTCCGAGAAGCTGAAGGAAGATATCACATACGCCAACAGCGTTTTCTATGGCAAGAAGAGCGCAGACTGGAAAATGGAGAAGCACCGGATTTGCTGGTATGTCCAACTTGCTTGACAACTCAACAAAGCTGACATTCATAGGGATGCATTCACGACCAGCGCAGACTTCATCATCTCCCCACACTCGGCCGCAAAGGGCCTGTTCGTGGCTACATGCGGCAATTTCCATGGCTATAAATTCTTCCCCGTGCTAGGAAAATACATTGTGCAAATGTTGGAAGGCACGTTGGATGCCAATCTCGCACAGAAATGGGCATGGGATCGAGTGCGGCCTGACTCTGCACTCAACCCAGATTATCCCCGAGCAGAGATGAGGGACCTGTTGGACCGCACGCGGGTAGCGAAGCTGTAATGACATAATGCATGTATGCACCAGCGGCGTTTCAGTTTACTTATTGGTTTCGAAGTTGACGAGGATTGTCCAAGCCACCGAAAATTGATCCTTCGTGCAGACATTCTCTTGGGCGTTTGTGAGATCAAGTCCAGCATGGCTACTTCCGAGCATGCTGATTAGGAAAATCACCATCAGCGAGACCTCAATGCTAAATAAACCACATGTCGATAAATTGTGGAAGACTGTTCCCTTGGTGGTTCGGCGAAAGTCGTGAGGGTACTGCTGTTCACAAGGCAAACCTCTCTCTTGGTGTCAATACGCACTGGAAGTCATGCTGGTATGCAAACCAGAATGATTTGATACGCCATGGACGTTCCATATCACAGACTTGGACATCAAAGTGGTGGAAGAGTTGTGCGATAAACTTGTGCACCTCGACCTGGCACAAATTAATAAACCTTCACAGCTTCTTGAGGGTGTACAAACCAGCGCGATGTTCCGTCCGACACACATGCGAGGTCCATGTCCGCCAAATGTTAAGTCGAAACTTGAAAGATATCTGCTTCTCTCTTCACTCTCCAACCATCTCTCTGGCTTGAACTCGCCTGCATCTTCGCCCCAGATTGCAGTGTCGTGGTTCTGTGCAAGTGGAGATATTCCAACTTCGTAGCCCGCTGGAATATGCTTGCCGTCAATGTACAAGCCACCATCAGGTGCGTACCGGGGAAGCTGAAAGACAATAGATGGGAACAGTCTCATGGCTTCTTTGCAGACTGCAACTAGATATGGTAGAGACTGAGTTTCACGGTAACTTATACCACCTGAGAGGTTGTTGGCGACGTAGAAGTCGTCGATCTCCTTCTGTAGTCTTGCATATACTTCGGCATGTTTGCAAATGGCAAGGACGCAGGTTCGCATGGCCGTTGAGACGGTGTCTGCACCAGCTCCACTGCGAAATGTCAGCTTCAAGTTGGAACCATCAATGTGGCGGACGTACACAAGCTGCAAAGCCTCCACAAGGACCTCCTCAAATTCGGCGTGTGACCCATCTGCTTTCTTCATTCGTGAAAAATGCGATAGCATATCGTCTCTTACCCACTCATCACTGTCAGCGGAAGCCATGCGAGCCTTGATGCGCTTTGTTCCCCAGCTGTCAAACTTAGCCAAGGGTATGGGGGCTCCCACCAGCTTCAAGAGCATTGCTGTGACTCCATTCGTAAAGACTCGCATCTGTCCCCAATAGTGCTCCCCAAATCCCACAACAAAGTAGCCCATGCAAGCTTGCAGGTTGGCTCCCTCAAAGATGGTCTTTCGCAAATCCATCACATCCGTCTCGCCTTTCACGTGTCCGAATGCCTCTCCGAAGCCCAGTTGGCCTACAACATCATATGCGAATGCATTGATCCATTCTGCGAGATCAATCTGTTTACCGGCATACTTCTTGAACTTCTGAAGAACCTCGTCAAGCGACTCTTGCATGTATGGCTCGTACTTCAGTATTGATGACATCGCATAAGCTGCGGATGCACGCTTGCGCAAGAAGGCGTGGTGTTGTTTGTCGCGTTCCGCAAAGGATGCGCTCGCGAATGGAGGGTCCCATGTTGAGTACCAGCGTGCCTTGACCGATGTTGTCCCGGGACCATACAGCCGCTTCGCAGTAGTGCCGTCGACGACTGCAACCTCGTTTGGACCAATCCGCACAACTCGTCCGTACTTGCGATGAAGTTCCAAGATATCCTCGTGCCAAGTACCCCGCCAGTATCGTGCGTTCCTCCACGAGCCAGAGAAGCGCGCAGACGGCGGGCCTGGGATTCGCGCGAGTGGATGAAAGTATGCCCGGTATAAGACGAACGAAAAAATTGCCAGAGCTAGGATGAGGCATGCAGCTCCCCAAGGCTGGGTACTGACAGGAGCGACGTATTCCATGAGCTACGGTCCGTTAGTTTTGTTGGCAATACTGCATACGCGGGGTTATAAGGATCATAGATCACGACACGGCTGCGCAGAGGAAGCGAGCTGACTTATCAGAAGCATGTACAGAGTCGTTGGAGGCCTTAGACAGCTGCTACTGGCGCCGAGACCAGATCAGCCGAAGCCACCTGGACAAGACCGCGAGCTGGGCTTGCACAATTCGGGCCATGTAAGCTTACTTCTGCTAGCCTCAGTCCATCTGTATAGCCCATTGGACATGTGTTGCTCTGTCACACATGTTGATGCAGTCCTCTCCGGGCAGTCCGCTCCGGCCCGAACTGTTGCGGGAACACTTAGACGTTGCAAAGCAAATGACACGCGCGAAAACAGGTAAGTGGTAATGGCAAGGGTTCTGTTCAAATTATCTCCGTCCGGCCAAGTTCTGCCTGCTTTCACCGCGGCACATAGCATCAAGTCGCTAGACAAATGTTTTAGGACGTGTTGATGCTACCGAAAGAGCCTGATTAGCTGCGGCACGAAGACTGCCGATAGGTCAAACTCACTTGATCTGAATAGTCTTGGTCTGAAGGTACTCGTTCAGCCCCTCTAGGCCACCCTCCCGGCCATAGCCCTGTGAATGATCGTTAGCGGGCTAAAATCCATGCCAAGAGGGCGCAGATGCGGCCGCTACGGCCAATAAACAGGATGGAACAACGAATAGGAGATATGCAGAGGAAAGTGGCCCTCAGTCTTGTTCTGGGCGTACGTACTGATTGTTTGACTCCACCAAAAGGTGTATCAGGCGCTGGGAAGTACCAGTCGTTGACTGCGATAGTCCCAGCTTCCATATCTCTTGTAACACGGAGGGCGCGGCTGATAGACTTGGTGTAAATGCAGGCTAAAATGTTAGCAGAGAGCATGCGGACCGGGGCAGAAGCCACACCTGATAAGCCAAAGACGGTGTCGTTGGCCATCTGAACAGCCTCTTCCTCCGTTTTGAAGGTCTGAACTGTCACCACAGGTCCGAAGACTTCCTCTTGAACAATTCTCGAGCCGTTTGGCGTATTCTTGAAAATCGTGGGTTCGACGAACAGGCCGTTGGTTCCTCGCTGGATACCTCCAGTGACAAGTTGTCCATCCTTCTTACCAATCTCCAGATATTCCATCACTCTTTTGAATTGGGCTTTGTCTGCCAGTGGTCCAACCTGTGTATCTGCAAGGGACGGGTCACCGATCATATTGCCCTTGCTGGCAGTCTCAAATGTGCCCTTCAACAGTTCGATGAAGTTGTCGGCGATAGATTCTTGAACGAAAATTCTGCTAGCCATGGCGCAGATTTGTCCAGTGTTGGCAACGATCCCCTCCATCGACTTGGATACGGCAAGCTCCAGATCCGCATCGTCGAAGATCAAAGACGGTGACTTCCCGCCCAATTCTAGCGACACGCGCTTCAAATTGCTCTTGGCTGCAGCCTCCTGGATCTTTCGGCCAGTAGCTGTACTGCCGGTAAATGCAATCTGCCGGATCTCCATATGCGCAGCCAGCAGCTGACCAGTCTTACCTGCACCATTGACGATGTTGATGACACCAGGTGGGAAGCATTGTTGGATCAGAGGCCCGAGGGCAAGAGTGCCAAGAGGTGCTTTCTCTGAAGGCTTGTAGATAACAGTGTTACCGGCCGCAAGCGCGGGAGCAGCCTTCCAGGCGAACAGGACAGCAGAGACATTCCAAGCTCCAATACCAGCACAGACGCCTATCGGCTCGCGTTGAATGATCTTGTACTTGCCTGCAGATGACGGGTAAGCAGCCTCGCCATGAATCTTGTCAGCTAAGCCGGCGTAGTAGGTGAAGAGATCTGCGCCGACGTTATAGCCCATTGTCTGTGTAGCCACGGCGGATCCCATTGCCTTGGTCTCGAGTGCGGCAATCTCGCCTGCTTTCTCGCGGATAAGGTCCGCAAACTTGAGCATGGCCTTGGCACGGTCAGTGGGATCCTTTCGACCCCAGTCACCTTTGAACGCCTTGTGTGCAGCTTTTACGGCCGCATCGACATCCTCTGGCCCTGCTGCATGAATCTTGTCCGACACGAGAGAGTCATCGTGAGGGTTGTGAACCGAAAGCAGTTCGCCCGACTTTGCGTCTACGAACTAGGAGCGGCGTTAGCAGCTAATCATGTCATCATCAAAGAGAATTCGGCTTGCCTCGTTGTTGATGAAGAGCCGTGTCTCGAAAGAAGCCATTGTGTATATTATCGGTGGGTTCTGTGTGGTCAGAGAGATTCTTTTGGTTCCAGTGTCCGAGTAAGCAAGAGGGTAAAGGCTCACGGTCACTCCGGTCAATTTACAACGGCGTAGACGTCACTGCATGATTGATCAGGGACCCCGCAGCTCGAGACTGAGGCAGCATGCCACTCTCGGAAGGCCTGAAACTCAGCTCGATGGCATGCGATGACAAAGCCAAGACAACGAAGCAGCAGAACGGCTTGATTATCTCCCGGAAGCTGAAGCGGACACCCTGCTGTACAAATGACTGGTTGCCAAGGGTCTATACTCCCATGCCTCTACTCCCATTGCTGTCGCATTGAGTATGCTCCATGGGCATGAGCATAGTTCACAATCTTCCTCAGAGCAGATCTCGAAAGGGGCGGGCCCCGATCGGCAACGACTGCGGGGAAGGGCCTGGAGTCAAATATTGCCGAGGACGGCGGGAAGTCAATTTGAACCGTCCGCATCCCCTGAGTCAAGCTGATCGACATCATGACCATTTGTCAGTCGATCTCTAACTAGATACGATTCGCATTATTGGTAGGACATGGCGAGCTAATATTGACCTCGGTATACCATGCATGTTCTGCGGAGAACTATGCGGAGGCCACTGCGTGGACGATCAAACCAATACGAGCGGGCTTACTTACGACAAATTAAGCGAAGACACACTCCCCCTAAGGCTGGCATTCGCAAGGGAGTTTCGGGGCTACCAGATTTCCCTGGAATTGCACACCTCGGAAGTTCTTGTCCCTCGGAGTTCCTTCCACGCCGAAAGTCCATCTCGAAACCACCAAATGCCGTCGATGTCAGTCTACCCGAAAATCTTACCGCTGCGTCTCTGATCAGATTTCCCACTTCAACCTTGACCGAGACCACCGCTAGCAATCAGGTCTACTGTAATCACAGGGACCGATGCCGATGGTGCTGTTCCACCATACCAGTAGCTGGGCTATAGAAGACTAGTGCCCTACGTCAGGCTCAGTACGTCCTACGAGTCTAGAGTTAGCTTCTAGCGCCATAGTAATTATCTCCAATCCCGTGAGACTTGAAGTAGTCACAGGTACCCATGGAAGAAAACTCCTTTCTCTAATACACTAATGAAAGACGTGCTATGCTGGCTTCCAAGCTCTGCTTACTCGCCCAGGAATTCGTCAAGTGCCAACAACCATGCTCAAAACACTCCGTGGTCGGTCGTTGTATCGGCTGATGAAGATTGTGAGCGGTCTGTCCTTCTGTATGTACGGCTACGATGCTGGCGTACTGGGAGGCATGCTACTTCACCCGCCCTTCCAGGAGGCTATGGGTAACCCTAAGAGTGTTTGGATCTATCCCATGATTATTGCATCGTACGTTTGCTATCTGAACAGAGACTGTTCTTGCTAAATCTCTGACAGGTACGATCTTGCCGCATTTGCCACATCTATTGTCATTGCGTCCTTCACCATGAAGATTGGCCGACGTGGCACGGCAGTCATGGGAAATGCTGTCGCTGTTCTAGGCGCCGTCGTCCAGGCTTCTGCATACGGCGTCCCTCAGATGATCGTCGGACGATTACTGACCGGTTTCGCTATTGGCTCTATATCCTGCTCTATCCCGACGTACCTGAACGAATGCGGCAGCAAGATACACGATCGTGGGCCTGCCAATGCCCTTAACGCCATGTTCCTCATCGGTGGCGTGCCTCTTGCCTACTGGGTTGACTACGGCTTTGTTCACTGGTATACACAAGCCAGTTGGCGCATTCCGGTTGTCCTGCAGTGCTGTTTCGCCATTCCAGCTGGTCTGATCTTGTTTTTCTGCCAGATACTCCGCGCTGGTACTACGCACGTGGAAGGATTGCAGAAGGCGATGCAGCGCTGTCACGTCTTTACGACCAAGACCTCGACGCTGACTCTGTTCAAGCTACCAAAAGAAGCATCATGACGGCCATCGAAATCGAGACCGAGGCCAATGAAACCATTCGTTGGTATCAGTTTCTCGGTATGGGTTTCGTTGATCACACCCGTCTCAGGATCATCCGGCGCCTGGTTATGTGTTTCTGGTTACCTATGCTCGGCGAGTGGATGGGTATTAGCCTGCTCGCCTACTTTACACCCGTCATACTTCAGAACATCGGGTTGTCATCGAATCTTATCTCTGTCCTGTCCGGTGTGGTAACTACGACATTCTTCTTGGGAACCATTCCCCTATACTGGACCGTTGAGAGGTTTGGCCGCAGAGGCACCATGCTATACTCAGCTATTGCCTCTACCATCCTATACATCATCTTCATTGGCATGGTCGGCAAAGGTGGTGATACTGAGAGCTGGGTTGCCATAGGTCTTCTATTTTTCATCTGCCCAATCATGACATACGGGTGGCAGGCGAATAAGTTCCTGTACAGCAGCGAGATCTCGCCCCTGGAGTATCGACATATCGGAGGAGCCTTTTTTGCCAGTGGCGAGTGGCTAATGGTCTTCATCACCGTCTTTGCTTGTCCCATTGGCTTTCAGACCGTTGGCTGGACCTTCTGGTTCCTGATCTTAGCTGGGAACATCTGCGCGGTTGTATTTGTGTACTTTCTGTGTCCTGAGACAGCAGGAAGAACGCTTGAACAGAGTAAGCTCATTTCAATCTGCCACAACAAATATTGAACTGACACAAGTAGTTGATTATCTCTTCATCGACTCTGGACTCCCAGGTCTACGCCGCAACAGTCTTGCGGATATTGAGGAGGCTGAACGCAAGATGTCTGCATCCCATGTGGAGACTGCAAGATCGATCGCCGAGACGAAAGGATAGCCCCAATCATATCAAATAACGATGTGCCCAGGGAGACGACACCGGAATATGGTGGGGAAAGATTCATTTGTAATTAAGTTTCGAGCCCTGTCTTTCTCCCCCTCCATGTAGTCGAGTAACCTGGATCGAAAATAAGGCGGGGTACGCGAAGTATATGCTTGTTCCTGGTCAGTACACAATGACGCAGGAGCTGTGCCAGTGTGTGACGGTGTTCTGCAACACGTCGTAGCCTGTTCTTCTATCGTGTCTGTACTGTTGTGAGTACTACTTGAACAACGTACATTCTTTGCTTTTCACCGCTCATGAAAGGACACGCTTGCGAACGATGGCGTCTCTTCCCAGAGTATTCTCGATGCAGGTCGCTGGTGGGAAGAAAGCAGAAATTCCGTCAGTTGGCTTTGGCACCTGGGCATCCGACGGCAGCAGCCCGACTACACCTGCAGACCCAAGATGGATCATCGAAGGGCTGGCGTTTGCACTAGACGTTGGATATCGTCACCTCGATGGTGCTTGGTTCTATGGGGTCGACAATGAGATTGGCGAAGGGATCAGGCAGTCCACAGTTCCTCGCAACGAACTCTTCGTGACCAGTAAAATCTGGCCCAACTTCTATCATCCAGATGCTGTGGAGCTTTGCTGTGACAAGATCCTAGAGGGAATGAAGATCGACTACCTCGACTGTTTGCTTCTTCACTGGCCACAAGCATTTGAGCCCACCTCGCTCGAGTACCTACAGCAGGCATCTGCCGGCAACGCAGCGTCGATGGAAAAGAAGGGCATGAAACTTACAAAAGATGGCGGTGTTATCATTGACTGGCGACACACCTCAGAACCCATTGCAAAAGCGGGTGGACATCCAGACGGCAGCATTGTGTCAACTTGGAATGCAATGAAAGAGCTAGTGAAGAAAGGCAAAGTTCGCTCGATTGGCGTTTCGAACTTCGGGATAAAGGATTTGGAAGCATTACTACCACATGCGCAAGACGTTCCAATATCCGTCAATCAGGTGGAAGCACATCCTTGGTTCCCCAATAATGATGTTGTCAACTTTGGGAAGCAACACGGTATCCTGACGAGCTGTTTCTCGCCATTTGCTGGACAGAAAGCAGATGGAGCTACTCTTATACACGATCCGACCGTCAAGACTGTGGCAAAGAAGAATGACATGGGCGTCGGACAATTACTGCAGAGTTGGGCCGTACAGAGAGGAACAATACCCCTTGGAAAGAGTGGGAACAAGGGTAAACTTCGACATTTACATCTGCATAGTCGCTAGACTGACTGGACTATAGATCGTATAAAGGCCAATTGCTCGGTGCGAAAGCTGTCAGACGAGGACATGAAAGCACTGGACGACCTCGAGATACCGGATGGTGCAGGCCGTACAATCGACTTTACCGAAGAATGGGGCATCAAGTTATGGCAAAACTAAGTGACAAACGGCTGGAGTTTTGCTGTCAAGCTTATAAATGTTTCAGTCGTGGCTGCTCACATACTTGCTTCAGATCACCTGGCAATGGCGTACTGGGTAACCAACATGATCGTCTGCTCTCGCGGGGCATGTGTATTGCAACAGACATAATACAGGGTGACATGACTATTTGAGTGTAAGACTAAGGCAGCTCAAGTGAGGTGCATTCGAACCACAGCTACAACAACAGCAACTTTACCCGACGCTGTGCAGCGAGTACCTGTTCCGCTAAATTAGAGGACGATTATCCTCTACTCCTTGTTGAAATCTATCACGACGCGCCCTGCAATCTCACCTCTCCTCAGTTGCTGCACGCTATCCGCCCACTGTGACCTCCCTCGCACCTCACTGACACCCTTCAACAACCCTCGGGCTGCATAGTCTAAACAAGAAGCGGTATCCTGCATCGTACCCACAAGTGAGCCAATGACCTTCAAGTTGTTGAAGACCCAAGTGCTCGGTTCGCTTCCGAGGTTCACTTCTCCAGCTGGTGGAAGCGCAATAACCATTATCACTGCGCCCTTGCGGGTGGCCGTATATTTCATCGCATCTGCTAGGCTTAGTATCTGACTTCCGCCAAAGTAATAGTCTCACCTTTATATGCCTGATATGCTGTGACCAGAACACCATGTGCGCCGACACCTCCAGCGATCTTGACGACCTCGGCAGGAACATCTTTTGTTTCTCTAAAATCGACGAACGCTTCGGCGCCCATGCTCAAGCAGAGCTTTTTCTTCGCTTCGCCGCCGTCGATCGCGATTGGCCGCATGCCCATGGCTCTGTGATGATTAAGATCGCGCACTCAACAACGGCAGTGTAGACTACCTACCTTGCAAGTTGAACGCCTTGAATGCCGACGCCACCGCCTCCACCAGGAAAGACAACCCAGTCGCCGGGCTTCAGGCCAGACTCGATAAGAGCACGGTGCATGGTTGAAGCAGAGCACATGATGGGCCCAGCGACCTCGTCAGGAACTTCGTCGGGTATACGCGACGTGTATATTGCTGGCGAGACAACGTATTGCTGGTAGGTTCCAGGGACTGCGATACCAGTATACAGTGCGTTGCCGCAGTAGTTCTCGCGACCGTTCCAGCATGCCTCGCAGTTGTGACAGACATCGAGTAAGGGTTTGATGCCGACACGGTCGCCAACCTTCCAAGCCGCGCTGCATTTTGCTCCGACCTTGACCACAACACCGGCACCTTCGTGGCCAGCGCAGCGAACGCCAAAATCAGACATTTTGGGCATCGCCCAGTCGTTCATCATATAGTGGATGTCTGACATGCAGAGCCCGGTACAATTGAGCCTGACAAGGAGCTCGTCATCCTCTGCAAGCGCATTAGACATGTCCCCCTGATTAGGACATACTGACTCGGCTCGGGCACATCGAGCTTTGTGACTTCGACACGAAAGTCGGGACCTTCGTTAACGACGACACCAGCCCAACCTTGCTTGGGAATATCGACAGAAGACATGATGAGGACGTACAGTATGGGAACGTGACAGATGAATGAGAGGGCGTGAAGACTTGGTCAGTAAATGCTGGACGACGCTGCTATTGAGACCTCGGGCGAAGGAAAGCAGTCATCTTTACCCGCGGGGCACAACATGGCCCGATGGCGGGGTACTGTGGTCAGGGTTACGCCGGTGTATTCACAGAGAGCATGTCTTTGATGTCATGCACGACTCGAAATCGAAGTCAACTCAGTCGGAGGATCAATGCGCCCGGTCGAGGCTGGTCGGGAGAGGTCCGGTGGGTCGATAACCGAAATACCATGCTTTGTGTGCGGGGAAATGGGGCTCCAGCTTCAGAAACGGCAGGCATTGATTGGGATGGGACAGGCGCGGAACGTTATTCCATTGATGATCACCTCGGGTCGTGTTTTACCAATGTCGATTGGACCTGACCGAGTTCGGAGCATGTCATACTATCCTCGTGGAAATAGAGACCAGGACCAGGGCCGTGACAGGCAGTGTGGAAGGACGGCCTAAGAGTCAAATGATTAGAGACAAGATAGCAGGCTATTCTACCTCGACCCAGGTGGGTTGTGGACGACAGGCTGAAGTCAGCAACAGATGAATGTCCCTCCTTAAATTGTGAACGGTAATGTGTACGCTACAGCGACATGCCTGAAGTTCAAAGCAATACCCCGAACGCCACAGCCTTGGCGCGTCCGAGGTCCGTAAGGCTCTTGACGCGTAGCGGTCGCGTCGCGTTCCGCAGTCCATGAAATGGTTGCTGCGCTGCCAAAACCAGGCCATCATTACTCGCGAATCACCCCAGGGGTTTCTTTACGCAGACCTAATACTCGGATGGCGCCAATACATGCCTTTCCCGTTGGTGTTGTCGAAGGCAGCGTGTACAACCGAAATCGTTCCTCGCGACCCACCGTCCTCATGTCGCTGTTGTTTATGTGCATTATATGCCTCGAATCCAACGGACCACGATTCATCGCCTAGTCGATGTCGTCAGCGGAGGCGCACATCACTGTGCACTTCATGAGCTCAGAATAAGGAGAGGGTCAATCCGGACAATCATCGAAGCTATCAAGATTCATCGCGCTGTGCACAGAGGGGCGAAAGCCGCGCTTCCGGTTGTACATATCGAATACCAGAAGTGCGGTCCTAATTTCGAGACGCGTGATAAGAAGCTCCGCCAGACCGTCATAGTGGACTGAATTCACTGTGCAATTGTAGAAGGGCGTGTACACGAAACTGCCCCAAGACTCCTCAGGGTCCGATGTCCTGACGTTGGTTACACCGTGGCACACAGAAAGCTTCTCGCAGCTTGATGGAGCACGAAGTAGAGAGTCTACTCCAGCAGCCTGTTGGCCGCTTCAATCAAGTAGAAGTCGCCGTAGCTTAACCCGATGTCAAACAGCTTGGGATCTGCTTTAGGGTTGTTGTTACTCGTTCCATGGAGTAGAATGGCTTCAAAGCCTTCGGACTCAGCGGTGCTTGCTGCTGTAGAGAGATAGGTATCGGCACCTAACGGAGGCATGTCGGAAAACGTGATCTCGCCCGCGAGAGCAAGTTTAATGCTTGCGGTCAATAAGTTGACAGCAGCAACCTTGTAATTGCGCGCGATACCGGCATAACAGGAAGCGAAAACTTGTTCCTGTAGAAGGAGCATTCCACTGGCAGCAATGGTGGCAGCACTGCTATCTCTCGGCGTAAGGTCTGGAACATAATCGGCGTCGAAGTCCCAAAATGGCAAGCCGTCAGCTGGGAGGTGCTCGATGAACCAGTCCGCCATCTCCATCGATGCGTGCAGGTACGGCAATTGGCCCGTCAGCGAGTAGAGCTCGGCGAACCCATACAAACCCCAAGCTTGTCCACGAGCCCATGTGCTGTCATCGGCCAGTCCTTGAGCAGTACGACAGAGATATACGTCTCCGCTAGTCGAACTGTAGTCGCAGACATGATATGAAGATCCATCTTGACGTACGTGGTTGGCTATGGTCCTGTCAGCATGCGATTTGGCGATGTCGAGTAACGTCTGATTATGCGTATAGTTAGATGCCGATCGTACCAGAAGAGCTAAATTCATCATGTTATCAATGATTACCAACACGGAGTCTTCGTGGCTGCACCAGGCCGAGGATGACGCGTTATTGCAATCCCATGACCTGATGATACCAGCGTTAGGCTCGAATCGATTAGCCAGGTTATTGGACATGTTCTGCAACACCGAAAGCCAATTATCGCCATTGATTTGCATGGCACTTTCAAAGGGCTTCGCGAGGAAGCCAAGGTCGTGGGTAGAAGTCAGGTTGCTGTTACTCTGGAGAGGACTCGTCCAGGCCTGAGCCATAACTACCCATTGATCTGTAGATGGCGCTCCTTCAAAAGGCTGGTGGCACAGACTCTTCTGGCGCCGATGTAGTTGCCACAAGGCATCCGGGAAGAAGCCAGACGTCCAGCCTGATGCCTCTGTATTAACATAGACACCAGGAGTGACTTCCGATGGCGACGTGTTGTTGTATGCCCCTTGCGTGTAGTGCGGCCAGGCGTCCACGGATCCTTCTTTCAGGTTCCCTGTCAGGGCTGTCCGCCATAGCCGTGCATAGATATTCTCGCCATATGCGGCGGATAGCTCATTGGTGGGTTGTGCATTGAGATGGGATGCTAGTAGTGACAGCAGAGTAATCTTACTGACAAGCATCGCTGCCCAGTGTTCGACTGTCCCGGAGATTCAAGAAACAAAGTCTTGTGTCGCTGAACATGAAACTCATCCTGAAGCACCCCGACCTGAGGAAGAACTCGCATGGTCTTCAGGCGACGTGTGGGGTCAAGGAATGTAACCCTCCCCGCAAGGATCACCATAACGCTTTGATGAAGCATGCATGATGCCGGTCTAGTATGCCTCCGCAGTCTCCAGGCAAAGTAATTCGAGATCGATGGTGAAGCTTTGTGCTTCGGAGAATCATCCTGCGAACCCCCGCGCGGGGGCGCAAGTCTGAGTAAGTACCTGGTTTACCCACGGATTTCTAGCATCAGTCCTTGCGAGGCTAACAAGTACGAAGAGGAGCGCACTTACATCTTTACAACCTCATGGAATGATCTTGCGGCTACGAGATGGAGATCATCAGCGTTCTTGGCTGTCAGACACTATTCGGGCAACTGCTGACTTTCTAGGAACGAGACATCGGTGCACCCATGGCATTCAGCCCAGAGGTCTGGTACTCCATAATCTACTTGGCGGAAGGCCTGTTTACCATCAGCAGCTCAAGTCTGAGCCGACTAATGCCGACGAGAATACCTGGATGGGCAGTGAAGCTGCCGGCAAGCATCATGCGTTGTGCAGCAGCGGAAAGTGCGTACCGTGCCGCAAAGTCCACCGTACCGTCTGCGTTATCATCAGCACGACGACCGGATCGCCCAGATGGCTCTGAGACAGGTATCATCTGACCGCAACTTCTAGCCTCCTTGTCAGCTTCTCAATTTACCAACTCCATGTACGTGAGATCATCGCAATGGGATCTCGGTAGTCGCGCGATTGGGGCACGGACGCGCAGCCCGCATCGCCTGCCGCCTCGACCCTTTCCAATCCAACCACTGCGAGCTTGCCATTCACATTTGAGATGCTCAGATGGGACTGGGCATCTTGGAATCACTGCATGGAAGTTGAACCGTTCGATTGTTTCTGATACTACAGGATCGTCCTTCAGCGTCATCCCTGATGCACCATGCCGGGCCAGGCCTGTGTCGCACAACAGTGAAAGATCAATTGTTCACACGAACAGGCACAGTTGAGGTTGTAGCTAAATCGTGCTTTCCATCCGATATATAACCAAGCTTCTTACCTCGAGGCTACTCGAGGGCACCATTGGATCAGAAAAGTGAGTGGTCCCGCCGCCTTAGTGGGACAACTTCACTCCGCCGATAAGCATCTTCAAATTTTACCTTGTTGGAAACTATGAATGGCCTCGCAGTCATCGACCGCTCCGAATACTGACCCCGATCTACATTGTCATATGCCAGGATGCTCTGCTGTGGTACGATGCTCACCAGTGCCCAGCATCATGCTGGCTTCCAAGGACGCATATTTCACCTACACATATCAGCCTTATCCTTGGCCGGTGAGGCGACAAGGTCCGCTGTGGAGAACTGACATCCACTGATTGGTGTTGTTGGGATCATGCGCTTGTCCAATGCTGAAGCCCCAAGCTTGTGGTCAGGACTGGCTTAGGATAGGTCTTGCATGCCCGCAGTCGCTACGTCGGACTTCTCTGGAAATGGCCAATGAGACGCACCATGACCCTCGTTTGTATGAACTGTTCGTTCAGACTTCAAGTATGGGTTGCCTATTCCCGTTACAACCTGGAGAAAAGCTCGCTTCGTATAGAGGTGCCCTATTGGATCACTTGGCTGCTCAGACTCATTCCTCGTCCTCCTTACTCAGACTTCGGATGGGCCCTGCTGCTGGGATTGTGATTATTCATTACGAAGCCATAATACTGACCCGCGTCAGATCCAACAGTACCGCAGGCTTCGGTCGATGCCAGCTGGTTACGAACATCCTGCCTGATGGGTACAAACTCGGTGAAATGGCAGAGACAATGTATAGGAATGCCTATATAAGCATGAGCCCGCTGCCTGGGCTGCCCGGCTCCGGTCTTGGGATTCGCAACGTCCGTTCCTCAAGATGTATTTTCCCGTTGTGCTTGCTTATACCCTTTGGGGTCTTGCTATCGCCACGCCTTTGCAGGTTACCAAACGGCAGGCCTTCTTGGAAGAATATGACTTCATCATCGCAGGAGGCATGTCGTCCGCTTCTGTGCTGACTCCCTAGCTAACAGTACGGAAGGAGGCACAGCCGGTATGGTCCTTGCCAACCGCCTTTCGCAGGTGCCTGAGTTCAGAGTTCTTGTCCTTGAGGCTGGACCTGAGCCTACGGTCGTCATCAACTACGAGTCTCCTGGCGGCAATCAGGCACTCGGGGGCACAGCCATAGACTGGAACTTTTACACTACGCCTCAAGAGCACTTGACTGACCGAGTTCTCTTCTATCGCCGTAAGCCTCACTATCGCCAACAATGCCAGCTAACTTCGCAATCATAGGAGGCAAGGCTCTAGGTGGCAGCTCAACCACTAACGGGTTGTTCTACGGACGAGGTAGCGCCAGCGTCTACGACAACTGGGTCAAGCTCGGTAACCCTGGCTGGGGATGGGAAGATCTCTACCCACTCGCGATTAAAGTAAGCTTGGTCTGGTCTATGTCAACGAAGCTGACCGTCAGTCAACGCATTTCAATCCACCAATCGACAACCCAGAATGGGATCATAGCTACACCACATGGGATCCTTGCGCCTACGGTGAAGGCCCACTCCAGATCGGCTACCAAGGCTACGTCGCCCCTTCTTGCATTGGCTTTATCGAGGCGTGCGAGGTCATCAACATCCCGATCGTCGAAGATCTCAACAGCGGCAACAATACAGGAGTGAAACAAGGAACCGGTAATTTAGACGGGAATTTGAGACGCAGCTCGGCTTTCGACAGCTATTACCAACAAGCCAAGGACCGGCCCAACCTGGACGTACTCCACGACACCTGGGTCGAGAGGATTCACTTCGAGAAGACCGATAATGGCTCTTCTAGAGCTACTGGTGTCCAATTCACAGACCAATTGACTGGAGAGTTCCACGTCGTTCACGCCGCAAAAGAGGTGATCTTATCGATGGGCGCGTTTGCTTCGCCACAGATGTTGATGTTGTCGGTAAGTACCCCTCATTTGCGCCTAACACCTACTGATGGCTGGTAGGGCATCGGACCGCAGGCTGAGCTAGAGCGATTCAACATGGACCCCGTCTATGTGAACGAAAACGTTGGACAAAAGTGAGTTCAACTGAGATCTTTGCTGGCTGTCGCTCATCATCCACAGCCTCAATGACCATCACGTGTTCAGCATCTATGCAAAAGCAGAAGAATTCTCAAGCTCGAGCAGCATGTACGAAAACTCGTCTACTCTGGAAGCAGCAAGGGAAGAGTTTTACAGGTCACTGTCCGGCCGCTGGACGTCGCCCTCGGGAATTACAAACGCTTTCCAAAAGATGACAGAGGAAGAGCTCCGTCGCATTGGCGCCGATGCGATTATCGAAGCTGGTCTCCTCAATCAATCGCACATGGAGTTTCTCTACGAGAATCAGTTTTATCCAGGCGGGCCAACTTTCTTTCCTGACACCGCTCAGGTAGCTGCAGACACAGGCTCTTACTATTGGCCTCAAGCCAACGAGTCCTACTTCTCGCTTACGGCCCAGACACTCGTGGCTCTCAGCCGCGGCAACATCACTCTCAAGTCTACCTCCGCTTATGATGACCCGAACATCAACCCCAACTACTATGCCGATGCCACTGACCGCAGCATCGCAATTAAAGCTTTCAAAGACCTCCGCAGGCTGCTTGCGCACCCTGCGCTCTCCGTCTTCACTATCGGCCCTAACAACGGCGAGGTGTGTCCCGGACACGACCATGTCCCCGATGACGCTGATGACGACACGATTTTCGAATACATCAAAGCAAACACAATTCCCAACTGGCATGCCAGTGGTACGTGCCAGATGCTGCCGGAAGAAAACGGCGGTGTGGTGAACTCGCGGCTGCAAGTGTATGGAGTTGAGGCGCTACGGGTGATTGACGTGAGCATTATCCCTGTGTTGCCGGATGTTAATGTTGCGGGCCCAGTCTACATGATAGCTGAGAAGGGAGCGGATATCATCAAGGAGGACTGGGGCGTTGCTGGAAAGGGCGATGACTAGGAATAGTTTTACCCGTCGGCATCAAGCTTGGGTTCCCTCTTCTGAGGCGTCTCTACCACATGGGGGCCATGGTGTCAAGGGGGCCAGCACCAGGACATCTTAGTTGCAAATGTTTCTTCTGTACTGCATTTATGTACTTACTGTCTAATGATCACCACCCTTCTTCGCCCACTAATGTGAGCTTATCTTGTGCTCTGCTTTCTCTATGAAGGCTCTTTGACCATCATCCATATCGGCACCCCAACGCCCTCGCAGCCGCCGTGCCAGGTAACTCCGAGCTCCGTAAATCCAAAAGCCGCGTACACGTCTCTGGCCCGCTGATTACCTGCCTCCAACCAGATAGGCATTCTCTGCTCCCCAGCCCAATAAATTCCCGCTTCCAGTACTGCACGCACTGCACCTCTCACAGCCCCCCGCTCCGGATCGCGTGCCATCAAAGTCAAATGCCAGTAATCCCTCCCGCGCATCGTCCTCCTTCGCCAATCCGCTGACTGCCGTGCAAACCCTTGCATAATGGGTCGCTCGGCGAGATCTGGGAACGAAAGATCGTCATCGCTAGCCTCCATCTTCGCCGTGCACGTTGGCGGCTCCCAGCAGGCGACGGCAGCGAAATCGCCAGCTTCTACGAGAATGGCGCCTTTGGAGAGCTTCTGGTTGCATCGCGTACAGTTAGAGGTGAAGAGATGCGAAAGGGTAATAGAGCTGGCGGGAATGTTGTAGCTCTCTTCGTTGGTGATTAGGGTGAAGGGATCGGTGAGTCCGGCGGCAGAGTTCACCTTGGCGAACCGCTGGATAGGTGCAAGGGTTGGGCTCGTATGTATTGTGATCGGAATGGCCGTGGGTGGAAGGGCCGTGGGTGGAAGGGCCGTGGGTGGAAGGGCCAAGGAATGTGTGGCATCTGACGGTGTTGACAACCGTGTTAGTGATGCCGGACTCGTTGAACGCGGAGTCTGAATCGCGGTGGTTGCAATGACGCTCTGCTTTGCATCATCGAGTGATGGAGAAGGTATGTCGGGGATAATATTTGTTTCCATAGCCCTAGCTTCTTACGCGGCCCTGCACCACTCTAGGCGGTGGTGACGTTCGAAGAGGATTCCGAGTCCAGGAACAGTAGAAGATAGCAAAGACACGATGCTAGATCAGAGCTCGTCGTTCGTCAGTTGAACATATAGCTAAATGACTCACATTCGGGTGCATGACATATGAAGGGCGTAACGAGAGAGTCCACCGGGCCTCGCTCTAGCTTCGCGTCTAAGGATGTACCCCAATGACTATATAGCTCCTCGTGCAAGTCAGCTACGCGGATGGTAGAGGCTCGTGCAAGTATCTTGTCAACTGCCCACCGAATCTGGCCAGTCGTGCCGACGGCGATATCGCGATGCTTCTATAGATCCAGGGCTTTCTCACTACAGGCGGATAGCAGGATCACGGGCGCACGATCCATTCGAGGACATAATACCGCCAACTTGATTCGATAGAAACTTGAGTCGGTAGCAGAGTGTGCGAAGCGGTATTGCAGGGGAAGAATGATAGCCTGCTGAGCTGCGAGAAGTGAGAGAAACTGCGGGGTAACCGATGATAGCTGCGGAGCACTCCGGTCAGCGCAAGTTTCAATGTTTTCTTTGACCACGCGACTTCACCTCTTGTCGTCTCACCCTTCCCACCAGAACAATGTCATCGTCGATTCAGCGGTCATCGTCATCCATTGGAACAGGTCGAGGCGTTCAAACCTCGGCATGATCCCGTTATGATACACGGCGTTTTCGCGCCAGATGGAAAGCATCCCACACGAACTCGCTGCGAGCTCGACTCAGCCTTTGTTTACTCTCTTCTGAGCACGCGAGTGATAGCGCGAAGCCCGAGACGTTCTGCGGACTGTCCATGCGTCACATGATTCGATTCCAACCGGCGACCAGTGCTGCAAGAGCTGTGTGAGGCGAAAATAAAGAGTCCAGTCCCCGACTCGCATGGCACGATTCATAATGCCCTCGATGGTCACGCTGCCCTCGCACCAAGGCCGCTGAGGTGACAAAAACATGAAGACAATGTTGCCGATAACCAGGTTCGAACTGGTGTCTCTCCCTCACTTGGGCGCTTGTAGGTCCAGGTAGTTGCGAGCAAGTACGGGAGGAAACCTACAAGGCGACAGGTGCGCAGTGGGAAGGGAGCATGCTAACCTCTGCACTATATCGGCTTTGTCTGAATGGTGTTTGTTGTCGAGATCTCAGCATATGCGATATATGTACAGGTTTGTCGGCATTGAGTGAATTGCGCATCTAAGCCTATTTGGCCGTTCGACTCACATCGCTTATATGTGGAAAGCGAAATTGATCTAACTGCCTGTCGTTCCACAGAGCGTCTTTGAGCCGCGAAACTTGTCTAGCTTACATCTTTCATGGCCAACCGCGATAAGATTATGCCTTTCGGCTTGTTCGTTCACGAGTTGCACCACTGATTCGGGCGCCATGAAACAATGCCAGGCGGATGGGGCTTGTTTGGCTAGGCAATGGGAGCGGGCACGGTCACCGATGCATAGATAGATTTTGTTAAGCTGGGAAATAATTTGCGAATCAGCGCAGCAACGAACTTATCTTTGGCTAGAATGCCTCAACGTTCGGCTTCGCAGCTATATAGTCTGATCCACTCAAAATGCATCCGTAGATAGTCCATACTCCTGTCACGTAGCTACGTTGTTCTGGTCCTCCATTACTCGTACCAGATAGCCATGGGGATCCCAAGGTTCTCTGAGGTACCAGGAGCACTGGTGTTAAAGGTCAGACTCGCAAGCGGCGCACCAATCATGCCCGTAGTCACGTCACGTTTCAGAACGGCGATATTGGACGTCACACCATGAGACACAACAACCTTATCCCCGGCCTTGTTGAGCTTAAAGTGGCGAGGAGAGATACCACCTGCTGCAACACGCTGAATGAAGGTCAGGCTTCCATCGGCATTGATTTTATAGGTCGACAGCGAGTCTGATTCCATGGTGAAGGAGTCGAGGCGATTCGAGACAATGACGAAGTTGTTGTCGGGCGAGATGTGAATCTCGCCTGCCTTGGCTGTTCCATTGAGCTCTTTGGTGACGTTGCCACCGAAGGTATCGATGACTCGAGTGGGAGGAGAGAGGTGGAGCAAATCCGGGTTCGAGGTGTAGGTTATGTTGTAGGTGGAGATGGTGTTCGCATTTTCGGCCAGAACAAACAGGTACACAGGAGCTGTACTGCTCGCATCCTCTCCACCGACCGTGGTGTAGAAGACGGCATGCCGTGGAGCCGACCCAGCCGGCGCCTCCATCTCGGCCCCTTTTGTAACTGTGCCGTTGGACGTGATGCTGAAGACACGGATCTTGTCAGCTCCATAGTCAGTAACGACAAGATTCTTGCCAGTGGGATCGAGGATGACTCCGTGACCTCGAGGCACTGCTTGATTATTGGCAGGGCCCGGGGTCTGCAGAGCGTCAAAGGTGATGTTCGTCACGCCGCTGTGAAGGGACCCATTAGCCGCGACATCGTGGATGGTAAGGCCACCACGAATGCCGGAATCTTTCGGACCTCCGAACTGCGCGACGGCAAGCTTCCGGCCCCCGTCAAAGAACTTGCTCTGGACAGGCGAAGCAGAGGTGTTGCGCTGCTGGTAGGCAATGAGACGTCCACTCTCTTCAACATCAAAGGTGCTGACAGTGCCATTGGGAGTGTTCCAGCCCTCGTTCAGACACCAGAGGCGCTGGTTGGCGTAGTCAAGGGAGAGCCAGTTCGGGTTCGGTCCGCAACCATCGGTCTTGTTGATTTCAGACAGAGAGTGTTTACACTCCTTATGATCGAGTCTGACGGTGCGAACGAAGCCGTCGTAGCCGGCAACGAACAAACTTGTGCTGTCCTGGCCGAACGCTCCGGCATAGAGAGTACATGAAGCAGCCAAGCTAAGAACTGCAGTCGTAGAGAGCTTCATTATGTTTGAATTGGATCTTGGTCCGAGTAGAGAATGGGGTTTGTAATGAGTCTGCAACCAAGGTGGTGGAGTAACGAGTGGTAGATAGAGGATAAAATCATCCCTAGGATGCTGTAGCGAATTAAAAAGTGAGCAACATGAGAAAACAAAGAGGCGTAAATCACTGAAACAGCTCAGTGGTGCAGTGAAAGAATTCGGCACGCTGAGCGAGACTGAACAAAGAGAGGATATAGAAAATGACTGGCCTGTACAAACAAAGACTCCTTGAATTCCTCCAGTGGTGATTGGCAGCATGAAATGGGTACCTCGTTGATCTGATTTGGTAGGAGATCCCAAGATCGACAGGTTGGGGGCTAGCGCGGCTTTGTTCGACGGTGTTCCCTGTCTAACCATGTGTTTGAACTCCAGGTGCCATGTCCAGTACCTGGGCACTCGCGGGCCGGGCGCAAGAAGCATACCTCTAATGCACAGCGGGCCTGGTGCTTGAGGCCACCCAAGGGAACGGGATCAGCAACGGAGGCGGTCATCTCGGCGTGATACGAATAGAGCTCTGCTTCTCTTTGCTTCACATCGAGCACGCATGTGTCTCCCTAGTCCGGGGATATTTCTGCGCCGACGTAACGTGACTTTGCTGGAGAACGAGAACAGACTTGTGAACGGGACTCCGTAAACACTACCAGGGAGCAGTGCCGGCGACCTCAGGTCCTCGGATCGCGCCACCCAAGAATACACGCGAAGCACCCGTAAGCCTGACACCAGTACTCAGTCGAGATGCGGATTCGATGATTATGCGTCTCGATTGCCAACTCGGCTGAGGCGAGGGTGAAACAAGACAGGTGAAGTGGCAGGAGAGTTGACAGTCTTGGCGTCCACGGAAAGCGTTCGACACGAAACCTGCATTGCGCTCTTCATGGCTGCTATCTGACATTCTTCCTCCCTACGGAGCATCTGCAGCAGCTTCTTGCTTTGGCCAAGCACGATGATAGCTTGCAGTTGGAGTTGCTCCAATTGCTATGGCTGTGTCAACGACGATCACTTCCCCGTCATGCACTGGCTTGTCGCTCAGCATATTAATTCACGTGCGAGTGTCAAGTCCAATGTCCTTCCAGTTCGCCCCTGCACGCGGCAAACCCTTCCTCTTCTCTCTCCTTAGGTCTTATCGAGTCTTGACGGCGAGCTTGAGCAATACTCTAAAACCATAACCTACCCTTCCCCTATACCTGTACCTGCTCGGACCTCCCAACTCCTACCTCAGTGCGATAACCGATTGCAGCACATACTCCACATCTCCAACTTCTTGATGTCAACTTGTGAGAGGGAGGCACGACCACGATTTGCATCATTTCCCTCCACATCAGACTGGATGTGGTGAGGCGCGTGGCAGTGCAGCATACCAAGCCCATGGCTTGATTGGTCCCGCCCACGCTTAGCGGTGAAGCAGCTCCCGCCAAGTCACACATCCCCGCCGAACCGGCTACAAGTGATTGGTTTTGCACAAGGACCCATTCGAGGCGGCTAAATCGCTCATAGAACTCCGGTACTCTGCACCAGTCGCGGCTCTTGATATCAAGGGAAACCCTAGAATGGAGGGTTCGCTTCTCATACCTCACAACGCCTCGGCGGTCCGCTGCTGCTGGCCCTTTGTCTGTTGAGAGATTTGTAACCCCCCCGGGATATGAACAACCCTGGTGGTCTCCTTGCTCCCGAACAGTCTTCCAGCAAAAATGAGAAGAGACCTCAGCGTCGTACGCCGTGGGCCTGCGACGAATGCCGTCTCCGGAAGCGTAAGTGCGATGGGGTCGAGCCGTGCTCGCCATGTCAGAGATCCGGGCTAGGTACGTCGCCGAATGGTCTACAGCACTGGCGCACGCTTCGCTGACGATAGAGCAGAATGTAGTTATCACTTCCGCCGCCCGGCACCACCACAAACTCAGCGGATCCAGATGCTTGAGGTGCATCTGCGATATGTCCGCTCGTTCTTGCAGGATGCTGCTCGGAAAGTTCCGCCCGAACTTGGCATTGACTTTGAAGATGTGCTGCGGAAGATCAGTTCCGCGGCTCCTGATGTGCCTTCGCCGGGCCATGATGGCGACGTCGTGAGCAGATCTGCGTTCAAGGACCTGTTGGAACCCGACAATGCTTACAACAACATCGTGTCGCCGCTCGATCCCCAGGGGCCATCGCAGTTCTCCTTCATGCTGCAACTCGTCCAGGCAATATCTGGAAGCGGGAATCTGTCCGACAGCGAGTCATCCGTCCTAGAAAGTCTCTTCAGCGGACCTTTGCCTGATATTGACGACATGGACCGCGTCTCACTCCCACCACGACAACTTTCGATGTCGCTGATCGATGCCCTCTTTGCTGGCCAGCATACCATGCCGATCTTCCTGCACGAGCGTTACTTTCGTGACATGGTTGACCTGGTGTACAAGGTACAGTCGTCACATGACGCTATCGATCGTTTTCTTCCTCTGCTGCATTTCACGCTGGCGTTGGGGTACCTGTACGCGAAGCCTGAACATCAAGCTGCAGGCTGTGAGAATGCACATCGAGAGGCTTTCCGACATTATCAGGCTGGGCAAGAGCTGCTTCAGCCCCTCGACATGAGCAGCCTCAATGGACTGCAAACGGTACTCTGCGGCATCGCCTTTTTGATATCAACCTGCCGTCTCACAGTGGCGCATCCCCTCATCGGCGTTGCCTGCTCTTTGGCCCTCCGCCTCGGACTGCACACAAAGAGCGATGGGCTGTCGTCGGAAGAACAGCAGCTCCGCTTGCGGGTGTTTGCTGCGGTGCTCCACGCCGACCTCTATGCGAGTCTTGTCATGGGGCTACCAACATTCCTGCATCCCCAGAAATCTAGCTTGGCTCTTCTCGACGAGCTTGCCTTGGCGGCATACCACCAACGCGACTGGTACACTGCTTCGACAACGGCGCAGGTACAGCTTCTGGTGTTAGCCAAGGCCATCGGAGACTCCATGATGTCGGCCGAGGGATCGGAAACAGGTGGTTCCAGCAACGCTTACGTGGGGATCAAAGATGCAGCTGCGCGCTTGCGAAGCTGGAGAGATGGGGTCCGACCTCTGCTGTATCAGCTCGAGACGAGTGAGCCGGCTACAGTGTAAGTGTCGTTTCCAATCCCTGCGTGGCGATGCTGATCGGGGCAGCTTCAAATATGAGCTTGAAATGCTTTACAATTTCAGCTGCCTCGTCCTCTGGCGCCCATCATTGCTCGACCTATGCAATAAGGTCAATATGGGTAAAGCTTTCGATCTCGCCAGCTCAGAGGTGACTTTTGCTGGTGCTTGTATCAGATCAGCCTCGGCGACAACTTCGAGATCCAGAGAGCTGGCACAGAACGGAAGCTTGAGCCCCGTTTCCTGGCCCGCAATCTACACCATCTTCTTGTCTTGCGTGTTTCTGACGGCTCTGTTGCCTCTCGATGACCTTGCAAGCGGACTTGATGACATGTACCGACCATTGACAGAGGGCTTGAAGTTGCTTGTCGAGTGCAGGTGCGGAGACGCAATCGCATCTTCTTCTTTTCAGGTCTTGAAAGTAGGTAAACCAGTGGCCAAACATCCAACGCTTACTGATCAACTTCAATAGATGATGATCAGCAGACTACCGGATGCTCAATCCATCGACGTGGACGGTATTGAAGCCTCGGCTTCGGGGTCATGCGGCGACCATCAGCAAGACATCGATATGGGAGAGCATGCACCCGGCAGACAGGACGATATTCTTTCACTTTTGAATGCCAGAAGCCAGGAAACGGTCTCGATCGGGACAAAAAGTCGTTCTCCTCCTAGCATGCAGTAGCGTCTGGGACACAGGAAGGCCGTTGCCCGGTCCCATCAAATCACACGGTGGTGGTGGAACAATTGTTTATTCATTCATTGCTTCATGCCGACTGTTTCGGCAGTCAATCTGTTGGGGGTTTGTCAATTGGGGGAACGTTGCCATGGCACGATTTCCATGCACCGCGACCACGGTTGCCATTCCGATCCGCTCGTTGCAATTGCTCAAGGTATTCAGCCTTCTTCGCCTTCCGGCCCTGCAAGTGCGTGGTGTCCACCTTCCGATATGCAAGTTCTTCGATCATTTCCTGAACAGTCATATGGAGATACTGAGGAGAAGGAGGTGCTCGTCGCTTCTTAGGCTTCTCAACAGGACCCGTAGGGGCTGGCGGCAGCGGCCGCTGGACGAGCCCGTAGCCAGGCATCGGCATTGGAAGGCCGGGGTGAGACCATTGCGGCGGAGCTTGATTCATCGCGCCCGGCCACTGATCCGAGGACTGGTACATTGGGACGTACGTTGGCACCATGATCAGTTGCTGGTTCAATGATCCTCGACGAAAATCTGCAAACGCCTCGGGTTGAGGTATTTGAATTGGCGCATATGGGTCCTGCATGAACCCAGAAGACAGCCGACGGTCAGCTGCTGGGTTGGACATTGGCTGCGGTAGCCTGAACCCTGGTGTCCGTGGATCAGCCATGTTGGCGATTTGACTCATACGGGACCTGAACTCATCGGCGGGCGGTGTTGTAAGGTACGTTTTCCCGTAGGGGGTCGTCGGGAGCTCGCCGGGTCTCTGGTCGCGGTCGCGAAATGGGCCCTGTTCTTCGCCCATACCGGCTGTGATCATAGCCGGCGTCTTCTCGGTTTCTGCAGGGTTGGGTGGCAGGTAGTCATTCCTCGAGGTGTAAGCCGTTCAAATAGTTGCCGAAACCACGTTATCTGGCGTCTCATATCACGCTGACAGTCTCAGGGGCTGTGGAATTTCGCGCAAAATAAAGCTGCTACACTCGTTCACGTCCACTGTCTGCCTTGCGGAGGCGGAGGTTATACGAAAGGAAAGTCACATCTGGCCTCTGCGGAGGCATGGGATAGGCATCTCCCGCTGGACTTGGCAGGCGGTAATGCGGCAACGTCGCAGGAAGAGGGGTTGGGCGGAAGGCCGTGGCACGTTATTGGCATTGCTCATTATTCTCACACGTGCCAAAGCGGTCAGAGGGGATGCTCCAACGACAGGCCCGGCCTACGGCACCCAAGAGGCTTGGGAGGGCTTGGGACTTCTCGGCGCCTGAATCGTTCCGCTGGGGAGAGTTTTCGGGATGGCTGATGAATAATTGGATGCTTACTCCGTACCGCGGCGGTGTTAAGGGCTATGTCTCCACTTGCAGCCTAGCTTGACAATGCACAAGAAATGGCCTGATCTCTTCGTCTGCCGAAGGAGTCAGTGGCCACGCGGCCTCAGGAAGGGTGAGTCTCTGTGATCACACGCCTCCCGTACCCGATAACAACGCATCTCCAAGTCGATAGCCTGGTTTTCTAAAGTACATTGCCATGCTGCCAATGCGGAAAGGGTTCTGTCGAGCCCTTGTCCCGGGCTTGGCATTCGACGTATCCATTTCCGAGCAAGGGTAATGATATACAGCTGTGGCGGATTCCAACTCTGACTCTCCGGTGCTCATGACCTTTCGAGGCAGGAACTCGTTCTTGCAGGGTGATCTGGTGACTTCTGTCTGCACCGAGGCATCCGTGTATCGAGAAGCAGTGACTGGGCTCGGAGACACATCTGCGGCCGCCCCAGACGGTGTTGCTGGAGATGCCGACGGCACTGTTGGTAGCATTCTCCCAGCAGCTGTATTGAGAGACCATCTTCTCGCAGATGGCGCGGACACCAGACTTCGTGTCCTCCTAGAGACCGGCCGTCCCACGTTGCTAGCAGCATAGGTCTGACGCCGAACTAGGGTAGGTGGATCAGCTTGCGAATGTGTAAAATTACTGTCTTTGATCATCATCGTCTCAGGTGCGCTCCTACGATGAGTCGTATCGCGTGCCGATCGGAAGTCTGTTATTTTGTCGTTCTTGTCGAAAGCGCAGAATTCATCGTTATGGAGGAGAGTGACCTGCAGTGTCTCGAAGTCTCGAGTCTGGCCGCCGACCGGAAATAGCCAATCCTGAAGTGTCTTTGGTAAGTTATGTCCATCTTGTAGGCAATTGTCAGTATATCAACTGTTACCAAAGCGAAGTAGCCTCAGCTGACCTTGGTGGAAATCTCCTGCCTTGTCCTTCCAACAGATGTAGTAGCGATCAAAGGCACCGAAAGCATATACGAGGATGCGAGAAACTTTGTCGAGGTCCAAACCTGCTGGCTTATTTGCATGGTTCATGACATTGCCCTCGTTGAGCGGCACATTGTTGAACTGGTATGGTGAACTGCTGCAGGCTTTTGTTGAACCGGAATCATGGCCCCTGCAACGAACAATATATTTTCTACTGCCATACCTCCTGCAGAGTTGTTGGTGTTTGGCATTTCAAAAACATAGACATTGAGTGTCGCAGCGCTGCACCCTGATCATACGACGACTCTGTGGAGCACAAACGCACAGATGAAAGTCGTAAAGAAACATCACCTGATGGTTTTCAGAACCGAGTTATTTGGCGAAGAGATTGACCCATAACCGAGGCCTTGAAGTCGTTCACGTCTCAGCCTTTGGTCACTGCTCGTTGCGAGGAATCCCAGTCGAGAGCAGATGCAACCGACCTCTCCGGCGAAGTCTTAAACAACGAGTTGTCTAGCATTTTCTAGGTTTCTCAATAGCCCGCGCTAAGACCATATCTTTATTGTTGTGAGGTATACGTCTGCAACTGTACAGTGCTGGGTAACGGCGACACTCTGTAGACAACGGATCGCATCCCAAGATTCAACCCTGTTATCGCATTTTCACAATGCTCTTCATGCTGCTCGAATGACCAAGAGACTTCCAGGGCCGAGCCTGTCCGCCAATGGTGGTTGCTAAATTGAATCCGCGATGTCCCGCTGGACCGTTTTGTGCCGATCACCCCACTGCGTTACGGGCTGCCGGTATTCTCGAGAGACGAGGCGCTACCGGTATGTTTCCGCTGGACTAACCACTAGCTCGGTGCCTCTCCACGTTTACGACGCTTCTCTACGCGCCAGAGTTCCACCTCTAGCACTCGCGTCCCCTTGGGTACCTTGTCCTTCAGGCCATTGTCGTCCCTATCAAAGTACAGTGACCAGGTGGAATCGTCCTGCCGAACGGCAACAAAGCCTTCCCAGCCTTCGAGTGTCATCCTCCGGTCCTGTCGAGTACAGTCAAAGGGCCCGGTGATATGTGGCTGAGCGTTGACCCGGACACCATACTTGACTTCATAGGTGTGTTTGTCGACATAAATCCAGTTCATAACGGGAGGGTCATCGCTTATTGATGTGACATGACCTTCGTAATTAGAGTCGGGATAGGGTAGAAAGTAGCCGGTGCAAAGGTGCTTCGGGTCTTCCTCATCTTCGCTTGTAGCAGTGTCGATAACGAGCTTGCTATCTCTCAACACGATCGGTCTTTGGTTGAGTGTCGTCGCCCAACCGGTCCGCTTCACGCACGTCGCAATCAGGTTGCAACGTCGAGCTCGGTGTGCTTCCCTGCGATCCTTCTGCTGTCCTTGTCGAACAGCTTCCTGAGTCGCCAGCAGTGATGGGCAGGTGGTGAGCGCAACCAGCATAGACAAAGCCATGCTTGCAACAGTGTTGAAGCCCTAGATGGCGTGATGGTCGTTCTGGCACAGTTTTGATAGACAAGACTCGCTTCTAGCTCTCTTGTGCAGAGTAGTACTCCTCACCACAGGATCAAACGGTACTTCTCTCCAGCCCCGGTTTCACACATCAGGTGATTAGATGTGCTAGTATCGCGGTAGGATACGAAATTTATACAGCGATGGATCTGCAGTTGAGTCAGGGTTGTTTGAGGCCGGCTGCTGTATTGGCACTGTGTTTCAGATTGCGTTCCAGACCCTTTCGGTGTTTGCTTCCGCTTCGCCAAGCTTAGCCCCGTCTGTACGCAATGAAGATGCGGAAGGGTATAAAGGTGTAATGGACGTGCAGTCAACAGAACAACATCATCAACCACTCGACTTATCAGCCTCCATCAGCCTAAACGACAGCCAATAACACCACCTACAACCCATCTGTATATTCAAGAGCAAAATGGCCACCACTCTGAGTAACACCAACATCCGCACCAACGACGCCGGCTACTCCAGCGGCAGCGATGATGGTCAGGCAGCAGGGGGTCGCAAGAGCTTGGCCGCCTACCAGCAGAACGGCCAGCAGCCCTCTCAGCCTTTCGCTAAGCCTCCCAGCTCAGACAACCTTGGTCAGGCAGCAGGTATGAAAGCTCTCGGTCTCCATATCCCGACCGTGTACTTATGCGTGTTACAGGCAGCCTTCTCAAGGGCGCAACAGACGATGACGGCAAGCTCAAGAATGCCGGGCTGATGGTTGGCATCAAGCTCGATCTAGAGGCCGAGGTGCACTTGACCGCGAGAGTGCGCGGTGACATCGTTATCGGTCTGTACTAGGAGCAGCTGGACTGGATCTGATGCAGGAAGGTGGCAGTCGAAGCCAGTCGAGTGGCCCCGCTTGGCGTCGAGAGGTCCAAAAGACATTGTTTTTGGACTAGCGTCAAGCTAAACTGATTCGGCAAAGTGAGGCCCGGGGCATAAGAGACGTTGATGAGGCAAACAGGCGTGACTCGCCCTGACTCACTCTGAAGTGGTCTCAAAGGGCACTGACGAACACCATGTATTACTGGGCTGGTCCCGCAACGAAGTCATGTGCATACTCGACACCACCTGAGAAGCCTCCGCAATGGATTTATCGTAGAGAGACGCTTTCTACGTTTCGCTGAGATGGTCCCCCGATCGCTGCGTACAAGTGCCGGCGTATGCTTCGACTGTCGGAAACATCGCTCGCTGCCAATGACATACACACCAGGCGATCCATCGGCTCTAGTGATGTCCAACTTGTGGACAGCACATGGCCAGTATCAGCACCAGGGCCCATGTTCCGCGCATGAACGATGGAGAAGGTTGGGAAGAGCTGCAGAAACATCACGAAAGTCCTGATCATGAAAGTGAGAATGGCAGGTTTGCCGCTGAGAACCAGCATTTAGAGACGTGCAGGACCAAGCCGAAGGAGATCCCATCAGGGGCCAGCCAGACCACTGGATGTGAAAGGTGCGATGTTGTGTGAATGCGGTTGCCCGAGAGGGGGAGAGAACATTGGCGCAATGCGCAGATGGTAGTCTGGCCTGGTACCCGCTAGTTGAGATTGAGGTCATCGCCAACCAATACGTAGCGATTCGATCGAAAGTGCGGGCAGCAGATAGACACTCAAATCTGCGTGAAGACTGTCGGCCAACTCTGTAGTCTGTCAAACCTGACTGTCAACCAACTTTGGCGCCTGCAGAAATGGGTGAAAGGTGCTAAAGAGCGAGGCTGTGGTCTGTTGCCCGAGGGCAACGCACTCGACCCTCTATGGACTTCTATCAACTGCGGTCCATCTGCGCTTACCGGGGCTTCTGTCCCGCTGATTGGAGCTTTGACCGCCCCACATTCTATGGCTTGCACTTCGCACTGGGAGATTTCTGCTGCCATCTTCAATGCCCCAGAGGTGAACCGGTGGCTCTACTTCCACGGCATCTTCCTTCGATTCTGTACGTGCTCCTTCGGCTCGCCACAAACCATCTGGAACCGGTGGTTCTTGATCGGCTTCGGAAGACCTGTGACTGAAACTCCGCAGCATAGTCTGAGGCCGCCAAGGGTCACCAAGACTGAAGCCTTCAGGAGAGTCGGCTCCAACAATGCGGCGACTAGCCAAAGCCGGCGACTGGCCCAGGCGAGGCGAGTTCAGCCCAAGTGGATTGGAGCCACCTCTCAGATGCTCCGTGGATGCAATGATCTTCATCTGGAACGCCTGCGCGATGCCCGTATCGAGTGATCCTCGTCGAGAGGTCGGTGTCTTGGTCTCCGCAACAATAGATGTAGGCCGCCGGACCGCCATAGTCAAGGACGAAGTTCCAATGTCATGCAGCGCAGGAGCTCCCGTCATGATCCGGATCAATGCATTACAGCATGCTTGATGGGTTACCAATATCAGGACTACTTCTTCGTCCGACTCATCGCCATAGTGGTCGATCATGTTCTGAAGACCATTGCCGACGCGACGATGCATGAGACCCCACTCCTCATCCCACGTACTGCCATCGGCCCATTCTTCGGTGCTGTCCCAGTCAAAATCGATGTTCAGGCAAGCGTCTCGAGCATGTGCCACAAAGCCGGCAGGGATAGCATCTGTGGGTGCGAGTGCATATGTTGGGACCGGGGGGCTATAGCCATTGCTGGCAGTTCTGAGTCTATTTGGGCGTCCACTGCTGGGAACGTCTGAGAAGTGGCGCGCTCTTTTGGACAGTTGCTGTCGTAGGCCGGTTTTCTCGTGGATGGGAAGAGCGTTTGCCTCCTGTACCTTATCACTCCAGTCGATTGCTTCGAGCTCCTGAAGTGGAGCCCCTGCGATATCTGCGCCTTTGATGTCTTCTGCTGGTCTTCGAAGATAATCCTTGGCAGTTGCTAACAGCTGGGAGGACGGAGCGGGAGGTATTGTTTTCTCGAAGTAGCCAGCTGAGCGCCACTCTTCAAGAAAACAGTCGAGCTTAAGCGTGGGTTTCTCGGGACGGGGTGAGTGCTCCTCGCCTTCGATGTCTTCTTCTCTGATCTCATTTTCAAGCCGCGAGCCATGCCGTACGGTCGGCACCGACAGTCGACCAGGCCGAGGGTCTGGTTCGCGCAGGCCAGCACTAAGCGCGATCGAAGTCTGAACACATCGGAGGTAGGGCGATGAGTGTATAATGACTTTCCGTCGTTTAGGAGGCGAAGTCGAACCATCTTCGTCTAGCTTCTTGGTGATGTCAAGAAACTGCAACTCATTCGCTATCCTTGAACCGAGCATTTGACATTGTAGCCAGCCGCCATATGAAAGGGGCGTGTCGTAGGGCTTCTCGGCGGTATCTCTCCAACTCTTGTCGGAAACATCGAGGCGAGCGCCGTGCCTGACCGTGTCAGAGCTCGTTTGATACAGACTGAATTATCTTACCTCACAATGGCCACAACCGCCGGCTGCTTGGCCATGGTAAACGTTACCGGTCCATGATCGTACTGCTGGAGTCAGACGCGTGCTCACGTCGGAGATGGATCATGCGAGCTTTCAAAGCCTCATCGCAGATCTACAATGGCGATGATCCAGAGAAAAGGCTGCAAGTTTTATCTGTCTTCCACCTGGCATCGACATGCGCCATACAAGTTCTCGATGTTTTCCCACCCCGCCCCGGAGTTAGCGGCGGATTCGGAAGATCAGCTACAAACGGAAATCTGACCGCGGGCAGAGCTACGGTGAGCCCTTTACGCCATGAGCCTCATTTTCTTACCGTTGAGATGTTTCCCACGGACCGGAATGCCGCATCATGAGCTCGCCAGAATCGGCCATACTTGCACACCACAAGAGATGACGTGGGGCCAAATATCATGAAACATGTCCTCCTTGCATCGTACTTGAGTAGCAACCTACACTGTGGCACACGAGCCGTCCGGCCAGCCAATGAAAGAATTGGTTAGTACCATGCACGTTAGCGGTACCGGAAGGCGTAACTTTTTCGGGGGGCTTGACGGCATAACGACTGATCGACTGATCAACAGCCCTCATCTCTGCTCGAAGTTTGCTTCTGCCGTCAATAAACCTGGTAAGGATAACGGCCGTTTTGGCACTGACAAAAGTAAGCAGCTCAATGCCTTGCCTCCATCTCACACTCCCCAGGCACATACAGCCTCAGCTTCCCTAGAGACTGATGGTTTGGCGACCTTTACCGACGAGCTCGGGTTTTATTCAGCACACAGCTCTCGCCTAACTTTCACGTTCATCAAGATCGAGCAAGTATCCTGGCGAGCGCTCAGAGGGATCGACTTAGTTCAGCCACTAGCTCCAGGACAGCCTGTTTCAAGATGCCGCGTCTAGCATGAAACTGGCATGGCGTAAGAAGCCGGCATCTCAATCTCCTGCAACGACTCCTCTGCCATGCATCTCACCGAGCTCGACTTTGCCCTTTCTGAAACCCCTTCGAGCCTCCTCCCCACGAAAACTGCCCTCGCTCTCGTTTCGAGAGGCTTGACATCTCCACCCCGGTCCCAGTTCAAGATCCGCACCGCTGCATGTGGCCAAAGTTCTCGCTACTATCTCGCTTAAAGTGGTCATCAGCGTTGCCAATTTTACTTTGCCCTAAGCACCAAATAGTCACGTCGAGCATTAATCTCTCTAACGGCGATTGAAAAACGCCTTGGTCGGAGGTGTGGCATATGCGAAAGAAATCATGGCCAACTTTTGTCCGGTTTAACACCTGGTCTAGCTGGGATGATATTCTGCAGCCATCCAGCTCCACTTCTCAGCATCTTCCCGCCTGGCCCTCGACAGCCATCGACCTGCAAGTCCATATACTTCCTGTCTCTTTACTTTTCCCGTTCCTTGGACGTTTGATGCACTCAAGTCTCTTGTAACACTTGTCGTTTTCTTCTTGTCTTTCTTTCATTACATTCCAAATACCTTCATTCACGACTCCTCCCGGTGAGACGAACCACGGGCCACATTCGACCAGGGCGCCCTTGATAACCTGCGACACTTTCGGCACCTCGGCAGCTCGTTCTCCGCACAGCCGTTGACCGCAACTCGATCTTATAATGTTCACGAGCCTCGCGTGAAAACCACACTCTACAGCCTCATGTCGACCCTTCTCGACAAGACTTCGCTACCACTATGGCTCTGGATTGTCATCATCGCGGTCGGCTCACTATGCCTGATCGGCGGTGTCGGGGTAATAGTGGTGTGCATGCTAAGGCGGCGACGAAGCATTGGTAGTAGCGTGGCAGATTTGCCCACCAGGAGGGTCACTGTTCGGCGAGGGCGAGTGGTGCCAGCATCCCACTATTTGTCCTTGACCGGCTCCAAGTTTGGCTTGAATGCTTTCGAAGATGACGCACGGACCACCCGGAGCAAGAGTCCCTTTGAGTGGTGGAATACAATCAAGGAAAAGCGAGCGCACCCACACGACGACGATAGCTACCTGGAGGCCAGTCCGGAGGGAAAGTCACACTCTGATGGCATCTACACCCGCAACGAATATGCTAGGTCACAAACCAGCCTGAATCAGGAGAAGGATGCCATTGCAGACGTTCAAGAAGTTGAGCCTGCGGAACCATCACCAACACTGAGCCGATCCGCTCGACACACATCGTTCTCCAGACCCTTCCATCCTGAGCAGCAAGAAGACCCCTCGTCTCCAGCATGGTCACACAAGCCCCACGGTCGTAATCTCTCAATGATCAAGGAAGCTTCGCCACACAATTCGATGATATCGTCCAGGTCGCTAGAGCGGCGCTCTTCACGACTGTCCATGTATAATCCGGGAGAACCCACTCGGCAGGAGCGGAGGTCGAACAATCAGCACTCGGGGGGCAAGATGCGGAATATCGCCTCGCAGCATCAAAATCCAAGCCCAACCAATAACTTTGGACGTCAGAGTCCTCCTGGTACCTGGAGACCCAGCCCACCCCAATCCCAGCGACCCAGTCCGCCGAATTCCCGACGGCCCAGTGATCAATCGCAGTACCTTCAATCCAGTAGCCAGAGCCGCCGTTCAAGCAATCATTCCCAGACGCAAGTCCCTGTTGATCAGAGCCGCCAATTATCCAACCAGTCCCGCGAGTCTCTCCGTCGGCAGAACCGGCCCACGCCGATTCCTATCGACTCAGCCGGTTCTCTCCCACAAACCCAGCATCAGCAACAATATCAGTCTCGCTCCGATGAAGTTCCACGTCCAGTCGCTTATCGCGGTTCTCGCCACAGCCTTGGCGAGCAGGAACCCGCTCGTAGCGATAGCAATGGTAGTGGCGCGCTTTCTAAGCGTAGCTCTCTCGTTTCTCGCCATGACAGTATGACCGACCACACGGAGCTCAGTCGTAAACCGTCGAGGCCCAAGTCTCTGGTGAATAACCAACATGACCAGGGACCGGAGTACTGGGCTGGCAGAGCCGAAATGATGCCGCAACACGATAGCGGAATGCCGCAAAAACCGACAACTCCCACCACGCCTACAGCACCGACAAGCTCTGTTGCACGGACTCCCAGCCGGAAGGGCAACGTGCTAAGAAAAAAGAGCCTTAAGAGGCAGCAAGTTGTGAGCTACGTGGGAACTTGAGGCCGACATGAGGTGCGCTGCGCGCGCTATCGACGACCTATCCGAGACTGCCATTATCATTCACCTTAAGCCTATTTCGATTTGCATACTTTCCGCCTGCTTGCCATTCACACGCTGAAGCGCGACGTTACATATGACGACTGTGACGACACACTCCCATTGCAGAATATTTCTCCCTACAACGCATTGTTAAGCCAATTACCATCCATTTTTAATTTCTACTATACACACAACAATATGCGGGAACAGCTTCCTGCCAGGGGAGGATTTTGGGAGGGTCCAGAATCGACTCGATTTTGGCAACCCCCAGCGACGAGTTGCGTTCAACGAGCCTACAGGAGATTTGGGGAGTTGTTGAGGCGGTGGCTCCAGACTGAGATGAGAACTCAGGAGATAGCAACGAGATAGTTTTTACAAAGCCTGAGTCGAAACATTTACCCGGATCCAGACCCATCATTTCGCGTATTGCTGTGTTCGTCCCTCATCAGCAATGCGTGCTGTCCCAACCGATCGATACAGTCGCCGGCAAACAGCCACCAATGGCCCTCAGGCCGATTCCGATTACCCTCCCCCAGCATGACCCCTGCTCTCCAGCTCGAACTTGCCGGGAGAGAAAATGTCCAGCGCTCGAGCCATCTCACCGCACTAATTGTCACAATTCCTTCAATGCATTGCTCGCCTGACAAACGTAAATAAGCTGCCCATCTCCAACTTCTGAAACGCGGCCCCTCGTGTCCGGGGCCCATCCCCCGTCAGCATGAGTGTCGCAGAATGCGACTCTTGGCTATCGCCCCCTCGGGCCCTTCCACACTGAACCGAACCGTTCCCGCTCCACCCCGCGACTGCCGCCGATGTCACCGTTGGGTGGAGGGGCAAGTTAGATGCTACTGTTGCAGCCCCTTTGCAGCCTGCTGCCGTGGCAAGGTGCTGCTGCCCCTCGACCCCAAGAGAGAGGTCCGTGCACAATCGACTGCCGAGACGTCGTTTGGTTTGTTGGTGGGCGGGGTTCAACTTGAGTGTGCAGGGACGTGGGTAGATAGGTGGAACGGGTTCGCAGCCCGATGACAGAGTCTCATCGGGGAGGGCGTGAAACAGATGATGTTTACCTTTTGATCTTGGTTGCGGTTCTTCGTGTCGCTGATGCTGGTACTGGTGCTGGTGCTTGAAGCACAGGCCACACTCGCTGGCGGTTGCCTGCTTGAGGGGTTGACGAGCGGCGAGAGCGGTGAGGAATGGAATACCTGGTTAAGGATGGATGGAGCACCTGTTTCCGGCAGATACGAGTGTGGCTCTGCAAGTTTTTCTCCAGTCGGTCGACTTCTACATGATTCGTGTGCTCTACTGGGGAACACATGAATATTTGCTGTAGCGGCGAAATTGACGGCGACCCTATGGAGGTTTTACTGTAGCGATGCATCCCGAAACAACGTACAATCGCCTGCACGTTTTTTTGACTTGATTGTCTTTATTCCATACAGCATTGTTGAAAACAGGTTTTGTCGGGTGACACAGAACCTTTGCTGTGCCAAGTAATTCACTGCCTGAATATAAATATCACTTCTCGATAAGAGGCGCCAGCCACATACGATTGCACCCGAATTGAACACACTTGAGCAGAGTGTAGGTCGCTAGGATACTCCGAGGACTGTTGGCAGCTATGACTTGTCTGCTTGTGACTTTAGATATATTCAGCATGGAAGATGTAGCAAACTGGGAACATATAATGTGATCCTACGACTCCGCGCTATGATATAAACCGGGCTCGTGTAGGGGCCGTATTGAACAGCAGTCCGTTAAACTGCATCAATCCGTTGGACAACCATGGCGGTCGCAGCGCCCCCTCCGTTGCAGATGGCGGCGACACCATATTCTCCAGGCTTAAGTTGGTGCAAGAGGGTAGTGAGAATACGCGAGCCAGAGCTGCCAAGTGCGTGTCCGAGTGAGATGGCACCACCAAGAGGGTTTACCACCGCGTTTTCGAGGCCAAGAATCTATTCATTGATTAGTACGCGTCAAGAAAGGGCCGTGGAGAGAAGCGTTACCTGTTCGTTGGCCTTGATGACTGCTGCAAAAGCTTCATTGAATTCCCAGACTGCAACATCGTCCTTCGTAATGCCAGCGCGCTCCAAAGCAATGGGCACAGCCTTAGCAGGTGCCACCGGAAAATCAACAGGGTCGATGGCAGCATCGGCACTGCTTACGATCCGGGCAAGGACGCGGCTGTCTTTGCCGTACTGTTGAGCGATTTCTTTATTTCCCAGCACCAGAGCGCTGGCACCATCGTTGAAAGTGGACGAGTTGGCGGCAGTCACGGTACCGGTACCGTCTCGGACAAAAGCAGGCTTAAGACCCGCGACCTTGTCCTTCTTCAGATTGTCGTAGCCCTCGTCTCTGGTGATGGTGACGTCGCCCTTCTTTCCTTTGACAGTCACGGGTGCGACTTCATCGGCGAACTTGTTGTCCGCCCATGCAGCCTGTGCACGCTCAAACGAGCGGATCGCATACTCGTCCTGCGCCTCGCGCGAGACCTTGAACTTTTTGGCCGTGTTCTCGGCACAATTACCCATGTGGAACTGATTGTAAACGTCCCAAAGACCATCCTTGATTAAGCCATCTTCCATCTTGACATGGCCAAAGGGTGGGTTCTGCGCGGCTCGTGGCAGGTAATAAGGCACACGAGACATTGACTCCATTCCGCCAGCAATCTGTGCCTCAGCAAGTCCGAGTTGGATGTTCTGTGCAGCAATTGCAACAGCCTTTAGGCCAGAAGCACAGACTTTGTTGATGGTCACGGCTTCGACAGAGGGCGGCAGGCCGGCGAAGATAGAAGCTTGTCTCGCGGGTGCCTGGCCCACGTTGGCTGCGAGGACATTGCCCATGTATACATCTGTGATCTTGGAAACGGGAACCTTGGATTTCTCCAGGGCAGACTTGATGGCAACTGCACCGAGTTCGGGAGCAGACATGCTCATGAAGGAGCCATTAAACTTGGCCGTAGGTGTGCGGGACGCTGACAGAATGTAGGCCTCTTGGACTTCTCTTCGGGCCGAGGACGTGGTACTGAAGTGGCCCCGAAGCTGGGACAAGCGGGCTGTAGAGGATGCGTTGGCAGTTCGAGCGGCGGCTCGCGCAGAGCCGGCAAGGGCAGGCATGGTCGGCGGAGAAATCTGGGCGAGGATGGTGACAGTTGGGGCAACCCTTGTCGAAGGAATTGAAATCAGCTGGACTGCAGGCACAGTATAATGCAAAGAGAATTAAAGTGAGAAGGAGGTTATTGTAAATAAGGGCATGAGGACGGGTATTTGCGGTTTACTAGTATGCATGTGAGAGGCTTGCGGGACCTGCCCCGAAAAGCTCCCCGCATCCTCGGCTCGTCGGAGGCCGCGTAGGGAACGGGAGATCTCAGAGCGGAAAAGAGTAGCCTTGCCAGTACCGCCGCCACAGCCTCGCCGCCACGCCCAGTCTGCGCCTTCCGCCCCTCTTGTACGTCGACTAGGGTGACAAAGACAGCACACGACCATCGTCTCAACCCTGCCCTCGACCTGTGCACACGTTCCCGATCGATCTCTTCTCTCTGTTGTCGTGACCACTTCCAAGTCTCAAATCAATCGCCGCTTGGATTCCAGAACACAATCTAGTACCTTCCTCCATTCATCGAGTCACCATGTCTACTTCTGCCCGGCGCCGTCTCATGCGAGACTTCAAGGTAGGCGGACAACAACACTGTACAGCAAGACATCACTGACAATCGACAAGCGAATGCAGACTGATCCTCCTGCCGGAGTTTCTGCATCACCGGTCGCCGATAACGTGATGACCTGGTATGCCTTTCAGATCAACCACACGATTAATCTAACAGCGTTTTAGGAATGCAGTCATCATCGGCCCTGCCGACACACCATTCGAAGATGGAACTTTCCGCCTCGTTATGCAATTTGAAGAAGCCTACCCGAACAAGCCGCCTGGTGTCAAGTTCGTTAGCCAGATGTTCCATCCCAATGTGTACGGCACCGGCGAGCTATGTCTGGATATTCTACAGAACCGATGGTCGCCCACATATGATGTCGCCGCCATTCTCACCAGCATTCAGTCCCTCCTCAACGATCCAAACACTTCATCGCCAGCCAATGTCGAAGCCTCGAATCTGTACAAGGACAACCGCAAAGAGTACACCAAGCGAGTGAGAGAGACGGTGGAGAAGAGCTGGGAGGACTGAGTCGTCACCAGTGGCGTGCTGTTACATGCATAGCAAGCGGGCGGCGCGGGGAGTTCTAGATGTTTTGGATATATCCGGCCGAATAATCCTTCCGGTAGGGCCACACCGTTGCAGTACTACGACCATATCTTATGATAACTCCACGTATCGAAGCAAGACTTGGATTGCACGAACAATTCCCTCGAAGGCCTTCTCGAAACTATACCTCTTTCCAACCTACAAATGAGGACGCTGCTGCCCAGTGAGCTGATCAGTGATGAATTATGCACGGGGCCCTCTGAGCTCGAACATCACCAGGCCAGCTTTGGTGGCGGTCTATCTCGCGGCGGTCCGGGGCTTGTCTGAAGCTCTGCATAATGGCCAAGCGCGTCATTTGTAGGCTCGCCTCAGGACCGCTGGGTGGAGTAGTATCAGTCTTGACTCGGTATCGAGCCAGTCCCTGATTCTCGGCTGCTGATAGTGCGTTGCCTTTGGAGAGCTTGTCAAACTGCTCGACACACGGGGTTGCAGCCCCGACGTATCTCAGATACCACCAGCCAGCCAGACTTCTCTCGCAAATGAACCTACCTCGTGTCGCGAGACTTGTGTCGCCACTGCTTGTGCGGTGTCATGTGGTATTGTTGGATCACGACAATGAAAGCGGCCTGGGAGCAAGGTAGCAAGTACTTTTGAGGCCCTCGTACCCAGCAACCCAATATCAGCGTATTCGTGTTTCTTGCATGAGCCTTATGGCTTTTCTTGACTTCCCGCCAAGTGGTCCCCCTCCCCAGGCACTCATATTAGTTATACCTTGCGTCCGTAAAATGGCCCTGCTTTGTCAGTCCTCAGGTGCAAAACACGGTTGCCTGTTGATACAGGGGTTTGAGAATGTCGGCCGCTGAAGTGGACCGGTCGGGGCAAGCAGCTGACGCTGAAGCTGACCTGCTTTGTGGGCAAGCCGCCTCTTAGGGCAGACTCCACTGAAAAATAAGCAAGCTAGCAGAGACAGCACCTGCTCGCTCTGGAACAGGGTACGCATGCGATCAGCATGTGGTAAGCAAAAGGCGTTCGAGCACTCGTCGCACAGCTATACGTTGGAAGACCTGTGGTAGACCCCCCCTGCCTGTCCATGGGGACTGACTCTCGGCTCCAACAATTTATTCTATGCTAGTTCTTCGTGGCGGGCGCCAAAATTGCCTGATACGTCCACGGCGCGCTCTGATAGGCAGTGGGTACGGTCCGAGAGAAGTGGCTGTTGTCCCTGAGGCAAAGTGATCCAGCCGGCATACGAGGGTAATGTAACATGTGAGCTGCCGCGCCCTGCCGACCAGGGGAGGGGAGGCCATTGCGGGACAGGCTGTTGGGTATAAGATCAGTTTGAGGCCAGACACTTCTTGGACGCCGGACGTCGCTGGCTTGCAGGTTTTCTTGCGTGTGGTAAGCAAAAGGTCGTCACTCTACTCGCTAGAGGGAAGCATAACTTTTCCAAGCTTGAGGGTTCACGGACCGATAACGCCTGAGTCAGGCGAGACATCGGCAGCATTCATTTCACTGCCTGAGGTGAATCTCCAATACCCCAATTTCACCTTCCATCTTACCTCTTACTCTACCAACCAGTACCGCTACATCTACCAATACTCCTTGTCAACCCGTACACGACCGCCTCTGAGTGCGACTCGGCATCTTTGAAGGGTCATCCAGCAGACCTAGCAATATACCCCCCGCAGTACCACCATGGGATCCATCGGCCCGCAGCCCACCGCGCCCTCTATGCGGGCCAAGGTGACCTCCGCGGACATCGACGCTATCAGGTCCCTCCTCGCCGGCACAGATGCGGAGGTTCTGACTCCCGACGCCGCCGGCTACCCCGACACCATCAAACGCTGGTCCATGGCGGCCAGCAAGCCTGCGGGCGTGTCCATCCTGCCCACCACGGCGGTCCAGGTCGCTAGTGTGGTCAAGTACGCGGCCGAAAAGGGCCTGGACGTCGCGGTCAAAGGCGGCGGGCATAGTACTGCCGGCGTCAGCAGCACGGACGGCGGCCTGCTCTTCGATCTGGGAAAGATGCGCGGCGTCACGTTCGATGAGGCCAGCAGCACTCTGCGCGTGCAGGGCGGCGCTAATTGGGGCGACGTCGATGCCGTGGCCTTCCAGCACGGCGTGGGCACCGTCGGCGGCACCGTCGCGGACACAGGTGTTGGCGGCCTGACGCTTGGTGGCGGCTACGGCTGGCTGTCGGGCCTATATGGCCTCACGATCGATGTGCTGCTTGAGGCGGAAGTCGTGTTGGCGTCCGGCGAGGTGGTGCGTGCCAGCGAGACGCAGAATCCGGAGCTCTTCTGGGCGTTGCGTGGCGCGGGGCAGAACTTTGGCGTGGCGACCGAGTTTGTGCTGCGTGCTTTTGAAGTTGGGAAGCAGGTGTGGGCCGGCATGGTGGTGTTTGCGCCCACGCCTGAGAATGTCAAGGGTGTGACCCGTGTGATGAATGAACTGTATACAATCAAGGATGGGAAGACAAAAGTGGCGGCTAGGGGTGCTGGCGGCTTGGGGTTTGCGCGGCCACCGGACGCTGGCGGACAGGTCATGCTGCTAACGCCCATCATCTACTTTGGCACCGAGGCTGAGGGTAGAGAGGTCTACAAGAACCTGTTTGCGCTTGGACCGGTGGTGGACGGCATGGCGATGGTGGATTACCCAACAATCAACACGCTGTTGGCGCCGCCATATGGTCTGCGTGCCAGCATGAAGGGAGCGGCATTTGAGTTGCCACTCCGCGAGGAGTTTGTGGGCAAGACTTTGGAGGAATACAGCAAGTTCACAGAAGGCGAGGAGGCCAAGGACTTGGGCATCAGCCTGCTGCTGTTCGAGATGTTTGACCCCAGCAAGGTGAGTGCGCTGGATGCAGGTAGCTTTGCCAACCGCGGTACGCATCTGAACGGCATGATCTGCCCGATCTGGAGCCAGGAGGAGAACGACCAAAAGTGCCGGCTGTGGGCGCGGCACATGAACGAGCTGTTCAAGCGAGAACTGGAGGAGCATGGTGACAGGGAGACGGGAGATACCAAGGAGGTGGCAAGCGTGGTGGGAAGAAAGAAGGCGACGCAGTTTTATGGCAATTACGACCATTACGACGAGAGGAGCAAGGATATCTTTGGTGACAATTATGCCGAGCTGCAGAAGTTGAAGGCCAAGTATGATCCGGGCAATGTGTTCAATAAGCTGTTTGCTATTACTCCGGCTTGAGGACGACTTACGATAGATGCGTAAATTTCTAGTCATACAATGTCCACTTTAGGACCCCTGAGTCTGGTGCTTAATCGCAGCCAGTACGCTCTTTTCCCCATCGGCCAACGTGTCCAGCTGTGGTACTCGCTTCTCCTGTTCTGCGCGGTCCATGGCCTCAGGATCGTCTACATTGACGCCGGCGACCTCGAGTTCAATCTGCCGAATCGGACCTTTGAACCACCGCCGAGCCCACAGGAACCAGCTTAGAATGCACCAAGCACCGATAACGCCCACGCAGACGGGCGTGTAGTTTAGCGTCTGGCTGTTGACCGGATTCAGTTGCGGCAAGCAGAAGACGATGGTGATGAACATGATCCACAGCACTGCGATGATGGCCACCGGCTTGCTGGCCCATTTTAGGTTGAATGGCCCGTGTACGAAGCCTTCCGGGTTGATCAGACCGATAAGGATGGGAATTCCGTACGAAATATACAGCCCGATCGTGGCAATGCTGGTGGCCGCGGCGAATGCCACAGTGCTCCCCAAGCTCGGTGTAGCTAGGAGGAAGGCGAGTGTTGCCGCTAGCCAAACTGTTCGGATCGGACTCTTCCACCGCTTATCAACATGATTGAAGAATCGGGGAATGCCACCGTCTCTGGCAAAACTGAACATCATGCGCGAGTTGCTGGTCATGCTGAATAAGCCACAATGCCAGACGCAGACGATGACCAGCGTCATGAGCACGATGGCCCCGTTCTCGCCAAAGACGTCTACCAGAATCTGCAGGATCGGTTGCCCGTACTCGGAATCGATGGTCTGGTCGAAGTCCTGGATACTGAATAGATAGGCGAGAATCAAGAACCATCCAAATACGGCAGAGCATCCGATGCTCATCAGCACGCCGATTGGGGCACTCATGCTGGCATTCTGTGTCTCTTCCGCCAGATGCGCGCTTGCGTCGAAGCCGGTGATGGTGTACTGGCTCATCAAGATGCCGATGCAGGCCACATACGCATCGCTGGCTCTCACGGACCAGCCCGGGTCGCCAGTGCCGTCGTAGAACTTGGCGAAGACGAAACTGGCAGACTGATGCTTGGGAGCTTTGGCTAGAATGGCAACCGCATAGGCGAAGACGCCGAGACTGTGCAGAATGATGCTTGCGTTGTTCAGGTAACGCAGGATGTGGACGCCGAAGGTGTTGGTCGCGCCGTGGCTGAAGAGCAAGGCGGCATAGATGCCGAGGGTCTTGCCTGGGGATGGCTCGTAACCGCGCACACTGGCGAGGGTGCTGATGAGGCCTGCACAACCGAATGTGATGCCGGTTGTGACGGCGACTTGACCGAGGAGGTTGAACCATCCGGTGACCCAGCTTGCGAACGCGGCGTGCTTCTTGCGTGCCAGAATTGCAGCCCAGAAGTAGGGACCGCCGGCATTGGGAATGGCGGAAACGATCTCGGCCATTCCCAGGCCCACGAACATGGTGAAGAAGCACACGATGATCCATCCGTCCGCTTGCACGGCAGGCCCGCCGGTCGTGAGGCCGTATTGGAAGAGCGTTGTTATGCCGGTGATGACCGAGATGATGGAGAAGGACACGCCAAAGTTGTGCAGCATGGACCAGTCGCGTTTCAATTCTTGGGCGTAGCCGAGCTCGCGCAGGCGGTTTTCATCATGGGACATTGTCCGGGAGCGCATCGTTGGTTCGGCCGCTGCCATGGTGGCAAAGGACGACGACCACAGTCAGGCGGTGACAAGACTGCGAACGAAAGAGAAGTTGGTTGGGAATAAAGGTGGTCAAGCAATGCTGTGGGCGGGCTTATCAGTGCTTGACGCTGCTCCGCAACACCGGCGACCAAACTAGCTATGCGAAAATCAGCAATAGAGATAGACAAGAGCAAACAAGACCCGTCAAGAGCGGAATACTGGAGCCCTTATGAAGCTTGGGCTGACGGGGCAGATAAGAGCATCAGCTTCTACAGCGCTGCGCATGATAGGATGAACGAAGCAGCTATCGCAGCCACTAAAGAGCGTTGTGCAGCTTTGGGTCTCGATTCTTGCGCTGTGGCTTGCTCGCGTGGTGAATGCATGAAGCTATGTCCGGAAGAGGGAGTCTGAGGCGAAGGACGTCTAACGTTGTAGAGGCCAGGAAGCGGGGTTTGGGATCGGTAAATGGCTGTGATCTGGACGGAGAAATGGTTACCATCGGCGAATGAGCTTGCGGCAGGGAAATATTGCGCTTTGCGTGATCTTCTGTAGACAACGATGTGCTGGAATGCTCAAGTCACCTTGTCAATGAACTTGACCATAGCGTCCCGCACTGTCTCGTATGCCTCCTCGGGCAGATAATGGCCTCTCTCCTCACCCACCGCAATGCCTTGATAATCGACACCTTCCGCAATCCAGTCCTTCCACACGGCCGCACAGTCCATCGTCGAGCCTAGTTTCGACTTGCTGAACATGACAAGCGTGGGAATGTTGATCTTTCGCCCTGCCTTTTGATCTGCTTGTTGCTCTGTGACGTCCTCTTGAGCACCGGCTCGGTAATCCTCGCAGCTGTACCTGATGGTCTCCTCCTTGTCGAAAAGTTCCGCATACACGTCGAGGGCGCCATCGGCCACCACTCGCGCCTTTCCGATATCTGATGGCCCCGCGATGCGCTCATTGGCGTTCTTCGCCCATTTCCCGCCGCCGAATGCAGTGATCATTTGCGTGGCAATCTCCACATTTGCCAGCATCGGCCAGTGGAAGTATCCACTTACCGTTCGGGGATTGGAAAAGGCCTGCCATTGGACGAGCGTGGGCACGATGTCCAGCATGACCACGCCAAGAATCTGCAGAGGGTAGTTGGCGGCATCGACGGCGAGGCGATGGCAGATACGAGCGCCGCGGTCGTGCCCACCCAAGATGACTTTACGATTCTTGCCGAAGACTGCGCCGAGGGTGTTGAGGAGGGTTGTGCCGATAGCACGTTTATCGTTGGCCGACTGGCTAGTCGAGATGCCATAGCCCGGAAGTTCAGGCACGAAGAGCGAGACCTTCTCCTGGAGGAGAGGGACAAGGTAGCGCCACCTGTCTTGATTAAGTAGCGGGAAGTCAATGGGTGGAATAGAGCGTACTCGTAGGCGGATTGAGGGTAGCCGTGAATGAGGGTCAGGACGGGTGTGTCTGGACCTAGATCGGAGGTGTAGCTGTGCACTTCGGAACCAGACTCGGTCTTGGTGACATTGTGTTTCAGGTTGTGGGAGGAAAACAGCTGCTGCGTCTTTGCTGCGGCCATCATGGAGTAGATGTTCGATTCAAGATGGCAGTTTGCCTCTCGAGTACTTGTACCCTGAGCGGAATTAGTCAGGATAAAGCAGCGTGCACGATAATTGGGTTGCGGATGCCAACCTCGGCACTTGTACCGCGTACAGATGCAAAGCTGTTTCGTCAATCAAAGGGATCTAGAATACTCCGTACGTGAGTCTTGATGAACTGCAATTCTGTACCCCGCCAGATGCCTGACGTCAGCTGTCATTGGTAGAGAGACTGTTCAAATGCTGACTTGATCATCGCCCATCCGGCGGCGGAATCATCATTTTGACTGTGGTATCTTTCTTGCAGACAGTCTTCAGATGTACCGGATATTTTCTCATCCGGTCAAGGTATTCAGGTGTCCTGTTTACGATACTAATTCGGAAGCGTGTAGAGACATTGACATGTTCGATAATCGGCGATTGTGTGGTGGTGTTGTTTGAGGACGAACTTTGGTCTCTCTCTGAGCAGTCTATCACGTCTTCGACGACGTCGTGCAGTGATGGCTATTCGACGGCGTCCTTGTCATGCGGTGCATTAGGACACACAGATTGTTGAGGGCCGTCGTGGCATCTTCGCTCTGTGACAGATGACACGACATCTTCTGACCCTCTCCACCGCTGAGATAGGGCACTGGATCGGCAACCAGGGATGCGAAGAGGAGCAGCAGTACCTGGCGAGGATGATTGCTCGTAATTCCCCCCAGCAGAGATTCGATCTTGGCGCATTGTGAAGTCACGTGTTTTTGATTTTCCTGTTTCCGGGCGACGGCCAGTTGAATTTGGTGCCTGTGCCCGCCCGCAGTCTACCCGCCGACTGCCCGCCGCCTGCACCCGCGCCGGCATCGTGCCCAGACAAGGGTTTTAGACTGCCCGTCGTCCCCGTCGTCCCCCCAATCAAACGCCCTCAGGCGCGTCTCGTACGTCCCACTTCACACCATTCACCCTCGTCGCTGCATCTGCACGTGCAGTTGCGATCTCAATATACCCTCCTAACTGTCAAGTACTCTCCCCAGTCTTTCGATTGTACCATTGAACACGAGCCATCAAACCCATCGCCAATCCTCTCGGTGCCCAGCGTCGACTGTCAACAAAGACCATCTGCTCTCGACCCCTACCGCGCGCCCGGCGCAATCTTGGGGCCTTGGGGTCCAGTCGATGAGTCTCAGCTGGCCTGAGTGAGGCTGCAGACACCATGGCGTAAGTAGCCTCCCGCCATGTGGCACACAAACATTGACCGCCTTTAGGTCGGCTGCTGGCAACTCCTCGCAGGGCAACAACATCAAAGGTACCCAGTTGTCCTTCACCCTCCATTACACCCCAGATCACTGACTCTCCCCAGTTGTTGCCCGGTTCCGACCACAGAACAAGGTCGAGAATGCCAATGGCGGCGAGCCCATCGTCCGCTTCGAAGGCGACGACACCGTCTCCCTCAACTCCACCGAGACCACCGCACCTTTTACCTATGACCGAGTCTTTGGCATGTCCTCGCAGCAAGGCGATATTTTTGACTTCTCTATCCGGAACACCGTCGAGGATGTTATGAATGGCTACAATGGTACTGTGTTCGCCTACGGCCAGACGGGTGCTGGCAAATCGTACACCATGATGGGCGAGATGGACGACCCGGTCAAGAAGGGTATCATCCCTAGAATCGTCGAACAGATCTTTGACGCCATCATGGTCCACGGCTCTGCCTCGATCGAGTACACGGTTGGAATCTCATACCTCGAAATTTATATGGAACGAATACGAGACCTGCTGAACCCCATCAACGACAATCTTCCCATTCACGAAGGCCCCAAAGGCCCCTACGTTAAAGGCCTGCGCGAGATATATGTCGGCGAGGTCGCCGAAGTCTATACCGCTATGCATTTGGGTCAACGAGCACGAGTTACTGCGTCCACAAATATGAACCTGGAGTCATCCCGCTCCCATTCCATTTTCGTTGTTACTATCAACCAGAAAGATGTCAACACTGGCTCGCAAAAGAGTGGTATGCTGTACCTCGTCGATTTGGCCGGCTCAGAAAAGGTTGGCAAGACCGGCGCCACAGGACAAACGCTAGAAGAAGCCAAGAAAATCAACAAGAGTCTGAGTGCACTCGGAATGGTCATCAATGCTCTGACCGATGGCAAATCTAGTCACGTTCCCTATCGAGACTCCAAGCTCACTCGCATTCTGCAAGAATCGTTGGGTGGTAACTCGAGGACCACATTGATCATCAACTGCTCACCCTCCAGCTACAATGATGCCGAAACAGTCAGCACCCTACGCTTCGGCATGCGCGCGAAGAGCATCAAGAACAAGGCCAAGATCAACGCCGAATTGAGCCCGCAGGAACTGAAGCGACAACTCAAGATCGCGCAGAACCAGGCCGTGACTTTCGAAAAGTACATCACGTCGCTGGACGCCGAAGTTCAGCTCTGGCGGAAAGGCGAGAGTGTCCCACAGGACAAATGGGTTGCTCCGCTCTCAGGAGCAAAGACTGAGGTCAAGCCAAGGACGGAAACCCCTTCACGGCAAGATCAATTGCGCGCCGAAACTCCTAGTCGACCTGATTCCAGAACAGGCGAACGGTCTAGCACTCCTAGCATTATTCTCGAAAAAGATGAGCGCGAAGAGTTTTTGCGCCGCGAAAACGAGCTCCAAGACCAGCTGACTGAAAAGGAATCTCAAGCGGCTAGCCTCGAGCGCAGTCTTCAGGAAGCCCGAGAGGAGCTCAAGTCATACAAGGAGGGTGCCCTGCGGACAACCAAAGAGAATGAAACCATGCAGGATAAGCTCAACAAGACCCAGATGGAGCTGCAAAAGCTGTCGTTCCAGAGCAAGGAGGATGCTATCACAATGGACAGTTTCAAGGAAGCCAATTCCGAGCTCGAGACCGAGCTTGTGTCCGTGAAACAGCAGCTTCTAGATCTCAAGATGAGCGCCAAAGAAACAACCGCCGCCCTCGACGAAAAGGACCGCAAGAAACAGGAGCGCATGGCGAAGATGCTTGCTGGCTTTGACCTCGGATCTGTGGACGATAGAACCACCGACCTGTTGCAGACACTCGAACAGCTCCGGACTCCCACTGAAAATGGCGAGTCCATCTCTGCCGAGGCTCTGGACACCCTTCGTGGCAAGATTCTCGAATCCCAATCGACGCAATTTGCCGCAGAGGATGATGGTCGGCTTGAACTCGAAGAGCGCCTGGCAGCTCTGCAAGATGAGCATGAGGCACTCCTGAGTCGCAATCTCAACCCTGACGATGTCGAGGAGATCAAGCAGAAGCTCGAGGGTCTGTATCAGGACCGCCGTGATACACAGTCAGACATCATCCACGACCTCCGGGACGAACTCACCCACAAAACCGAGGAAATTCACCGACTTCGGCAGTCAGTTGCGGATCTTCAAAACCGTACTGGCGCCAACGGTGCCAACGGTGTTACCAACAAAACCCTTCAGCAACAGATTGCTGACTTTGACCTGATGAAGAAGAATCTCATGCGTGATCTGCAAAACCGCTGCGAGCGCGTGGTCGAGCTCGAGATCTCGCTTGACGAGACTCGGGAGCAGTACAACAATGTGCTCCGAAGCAGTAACAACAGACAGCAACAGAAGAAGATGGCTTTCCTCGAGCGCAACCTCGAGCAGTTGACAGTCGTGCAGAGACAGCTGGTCGAGCAAAATACCAGCCTCAAGAAAGAAGTGGCCATTGCGGAGAGGAAGCTAATTGCCCGCAACGATCGTATCTTGAGCTTGGAGGGTCTACTGGCCGAGAGCCAAGAGAAGCTGACTGCGGCTAATCACAGGCATGTTTCCCTTCAATCGTGGTCGCCATTCGGCTATGCTAATTCAAGACAGGTTCGAGCAGCAACTGCAGGCGGTCAAAGAGCGACTCGAGGCTGCCAAAGTCTCGAGCCGCGGACCCATGAACGGTGTAGGTATGGCTCCGGGACCTGGCGCCAGCTGGATGGCAAGCGCCGGTGCCAGAATCGCGAAGCCACTCCGAGGCGGCGGCGCCGCTACCAGTCCCAACGAGATCAACGGTGGCCCTTCGATTCCCGTTCTGAATAGCCTGGCGAGCAATGAAGGAAGTGGAGGGAAGAGGTCAAGTTGGTTCTTCAACAAGGGCTGAGACATGCCATCGACGAATGATAGAACGATGTCATGATGTACAATATACGTCCGACATGAGCAGCATGATTGAGGAATGTCCAAGGAGAGGGAGCAGGCACGGGAGCAAGGTTGGCTTGAGAACCTGCCACAACACGCTGGATACGACCCTATTTCACTTCGACTTTCGCCCTAGACTACACGGACGGTGCTTTGCGCGTTTGTTTCGGCTTCTAGAGCGAAGATACCCTTCTCTGAATCGCAATGGCACGAGCATTCGAAGGCGTCTGGCAATATCCCACATGTCCAACCCAGACTATTTGTTTGTCAATGATTTTCATGAGCAACCAAATCAACATCTTGTCACTTGACACCCTGCATTTTCTTTGAGCATCGACTTGATGCCCCTTGTGAATCTCATGGGAAGAACTAAGGACATGTACGTCGTCACCCATGAGTGAGGCGCGTCCCCTGTATTGCAATGACAGTAATAGAAATCAGAAGCTATATTATCGGTGAAACAACTCGTGGCTGTTGAACCTGTAACCACGTTACCGCCACCACCACAGTTGTTGCCATCCAAAGCTAGCCGGTGTCCTGTGTCCCGTTAGCAGTCATGGATCGCTATCACTCCGTGTAAGGCAATATACGGGGTCTCTTTTCCGTAGAGAGCACGCGCTGACATCCCTGGACCCGTTATTCCAGCCACCCTCCCTCCAACTGAGTCAGCTATGCCCTACACCCGCAGTAGCCTCCACCGCCATCTCATGCGCATCAGCCGTCCCCACTCGAGTGTATTGAGCTGTTAAGTGCTGCAGCCACGCTTGCGGAAAGGCGAAGAGGGGCTCGCTACGGAAAGGGAGGGCTGAAGTGGCTTCTGATAAGTTGAAGCTGTTAGTCGGTGGTAGAAGGATTGAAGTCTTAGACTGCCATTCATTTGGAGGAATGATGCTCCCTGACGGACATATTGTGCATGTTGCCTCCACCTGAAACCGCCGGCGTGGTCGGCTATCGAACCATTCATCGTCTGAGCTCACCAGACCACCGATCGCGTTGATCCATATTCCCACGCTTCTTCAGGGACAGAGGCACGCCGCCTGGCTGATCAGGATCGAGGCCGACAAGGCAGTTGACCGTCTCAGCTCCCTCGCCCGCATCATTGATCTGCGTCCCGTTCGGCGCCCTCCACTGCCCCGTGACCTTGACGTAGGCGTCGAGCGCACCCACCATCCTCTCGCCGAGCTCCAGCGCCTGCTGCGCACGGGTGTGCGAGTGGTGCGTCAGCAGGCGCTGCGCGGCCTCGCGTTGTCCGTTCTCAATAAGCAATTGCGCGCTCTCCTCTACCCAGTCGATGTCGCTGCGGGACTGGTTCTCGAAGCCCTCCAGCATGTCGGTGATGACGGGGAGGAGGGTGGCCGGGTTGGAGCAGGTGTAGTAGAGCAGGCGCTTGAAGAGCCGGCCGGCGAACTCGCTCGCTTCCTGCAGCTGGTAGTCCGGGTTGAGGAACGTGCTGGCTGCGTCCTTGGTGAGGTAGCGGTGCTCGCTGTACTCCGGGGGCACGCTCTGGACGCCGAGCCACCAGGGGTTGAAGGGCGCGGTGACGCTGCCGGTCGGCGCGATCCAGATGCGGATCAGGTCGGACTCGGGAAAATCGTGCAGGCTTAGGACTTGCCCATAGCCGGACTCGTCGTCGGCGATGCGTGGGTCGCGGACACGCTCCATGAGAGCCTCTTCGGTGACGGGGACCATGGCCAAGGTTGCGTTCTCGAGGGCTGCCTGCGACATGTACTTGAAGCCGCCGTCGCGCGCCGTGTAGTTTTCGCCCTGGGGGCCGTAGACCTTGAAGATGTTGAAAGGTTCCGTCCCGTTGGGGCTCCACCAACCCTGGTCCACGGCAAAAGACACGATGTTTGGGCTTCCCATGTAGTCTGTTGAGTTCTCGAAGTCGACAGGGAATTCCTCAATGTATCCCGGGTACGAGACACGCACTTCGTCTGGTCCCAGACGCTCCGCAGCCCATAGCTTCTCGCCCCCTGCGAACTCCCAAACGACCCAACCCTCGTCCTTGTCCGCGATCAGATGGCTGTTACCGCCATAGGTGGCGTAGCCGTACTCGGCAATGAGCTGGCCAATGACCTCGACGCCTTCACGGGCCGTACTCGCACGCTCCAGAACCAGCCGGGCCAAATCGCTGTACTGGATCCCTGTTTGGGGGTCGGGAGTCATGTAGTAAAGCTCGTCTCGATTGGTAGCCCAGATGTCGCGCACACCCACGCCATTCTCGTTCACGCCACCGTTGGTCAGCGGTGCGGGAAAGCCTTCATAATCAGAGTATTCCATGGACATATAGCGGAAGGTGTGCGGGACCTGGGTGATATTGATGAGGTTACCGGGAAGGGTGGCATCCGGAGTGACACCAACGGTGAGCGTGCTGTTGGGCGGATAGTCGGCGGCAGGAAAGATCTGCAGCCAGTGGGAAGAGACCTCCTCGCCAGTACCACCGAGGAGAGTGGCATTGGTGGGGGAGAGGTGCTTGCCGACGTAAAAGCCATAGCTGGCGCTAGTTGAGGAGGGGAAGAGCAGTAGAGCCGCAGCGGGCAGGAGAAGGTGTAGTAAGGGTTGGACCATGGCGACGAGAACGTGCTACAAGGAGAAGAAAGGGAAAGGCAAGTCTGTCGCCCTACCTCTTGTTGCTAGCAATGGAGCTATGGAGCTATGGCCGATCAGTAGGGTTTTCAGGACTTTTACTGAGCTTTACTGAGCTCGACGGATGGAGTTGTCCGCTCCTGTTGTGCCGGGATACCGTGACGCCCTTCTACCATTGGTGTACCTCCATACTTGTACCAATGCGGCAGTTATGTAACTCGCAATCGACCAAAGAATAGAGAAAACAGCGGTTCCCGTCAGCTCACCTGCACTCAAGCTCTGTGTTGCCGAATTGGTAGTTGAGTGGGTGACCATCAACGAATACTTGGTGTTGATTGTTTTTGCTTTTTGGGAGCTTCTGGCTGGTGTGGATGGCACAAGATCGAGGTTGCCATATCAGCCAAGACGTATATCACTACAGCGACGATGAACACAATCCAGGCATAAACGAGAAAGAGCGAGACGGAGAGAGAGTGAGATATGAAGCAAGGGCGAGGCCAACTTCGAGTAGGAGGACATGAGCTTCTCCTCCGGGGTTTATCGGACACCGTAATCAGGTCGTCAACCGTTCTGCTATACACAGTAACTTAGCACATATGTCCATGGCCGCAGGCGATGGAGATCATTTGACTGAAACCTGGTGTCACCATCCGAAGCAGATAGCAAGCTTGTTCCGAATGGCTGCATCCCGGTCAACGTTGCATGAACGTCGCTCGAGAGTGGCTGATAGCTCGGGAGGATGCAGATCCTTGCTCTTGCGCATGTCAATGCACCGCCGTGAAGCAACGATGTGACTAACATGGGAGCTCGGATGAACGATGCGGATTTGAGCTTGGCCCCAGCTGCAGAAGCACATATGTACTCCTCGATCTTCTTGCACTCGCAGGCTGGACATCATGTGCCACAAGCTGTCCAGACCAGGCGACCTGAATATCGCCCAGAATGCTTGGCCCCAGTCCACAGCATGTGAGCACTTTAGACGGCGGAGTTGGTCGGCAGCAATCAATACGGGACGTGATGAGGTATCTCGTTCGGGCTGAACGTTAGAAAACGGACGAGAACAGTCGAGTTTTGGCAAAAGGATTCATTGATCAAGCTCTGAGCACTCTGTCGTCGACGAGTGCAGCTTTCAGTGCAGTCGACGGGACGTCATCCAGAGCAGGCTTACTCAATAGACGTCCGACTTGAAAGTCTTCGCCTGAGCCCAGAAGTCCTGCATCTTAGCCCTCGTCAACACATCTCTGGCTTGTCCATCAGTCTCACAAATCCTGGCGCCGAGCCACTTCCTAAACGCCCTCTGCTTCTCCTCACCCGAGAAGATAAGCTCGCATCGATTCTCTGTGAGGTCTCTCAACTCGCCCGTTTCCTCGTCTCGGGGATCCAGCCACTTCGCCTGGGCCTCCCTGTTTCCCTCCTGTACTGCTTTGGGCTCCTCGTTCTCTGTCCAGTGGATGCGGTTTTGCATGAGCTTATCATAGTTTCGGATTGAATGAATGCCTCCCTCGACAACAATGAGATTGAGTCGCGGGTGCATGATGCACACCCCGGTGAGCTTGTTCTGCTCCGCATTCTTGCTGACCTGGAAGCGATGTTTGCCGTTCGCGAGGCTGCCCACCTTGTACACTCGCAAATGAATGCCTAGGGACTCGTCGGCTTCTTGCTGACGCGCCAGCTTCTCTGCTTTCTCCTCTTTCGTCAGGGCACGGGCGGAATTTGCTTCTTCGTGCTTCTGTGCGCGGTCGGCAATCTCACGGTTGACGCGAGCCTCTACCGCCGTGGGATCCTTGACAGCCTCATCACCAAGAACTCGCATCATGTTGTTCTTCTTCACTTTCGGAGGTGGTGGGGGCTCCAACCCGAGGCGGATCTTGGCTTGTTGCTCCTTCAGATCGGCCATTCGTCTCTGCCGGCGTAGCTTCGCTTGTTCGGTCTTGGTAAGATACATGGCTTTCGGAGCGGGCATGTTCTTCTCTTGTGGGGGTTCGAGCAGAACGGGATGCTGGATGTAGGCAGTAATGATGGAGTCGGGAGTGTCGATCTTTAGACCTGATGGATCGGAGATGGCGGCATAAGAGTCGCCATTGACTAGACCTTCGTCCCACCATTCAATCTCGGGAGGTGCGGGGACGAGAAAGGCGCGTTCTGTGTCGAGATCTTCGTCGATACCAGCAAGGCGAGCACGGGCAGCAATGCGGTTCTTCATCTCCTCCAATTGCGCTTGTCGGCGGAGCGCCACAGCCTGCTGAATATATTTGCCCTTCTGGTTGAATATCAGCTGTCGAGACTGGCGGTTTCGCGTGCCGGTGTTTCGAGGGCCCAGGCTGGTATCAAAATAAGGGTTGGCTTTCAACTCCTCTAGGTTTGGCCCTGACAGGTCAAGCTGCTCTTTCTTGGGAATGGATCCCTGAGTTCTTTTGTTGCCCATGGCAGTTGCAAATTTAGGCTGTGCGCGTCCTGTCGTGGCCTTGGGCTCATCGTCGCGCAGTAGAGGGTGCAGGCCCACATCCAGCCCAAAACGACCTTGCGGCATTTCTTCATATTGACCTTTCTGAGACACCGGGGCCGCTCGCTGTTGGGACGGCGCAGATGCGGTTGATGACTTGCTCGTCGCAGCTGCTACTCTTGCTTTCAAGGCGGCGAGGCGATCTGCAGCTGACGTCGCAGGAGGAGCCGTGGACGCAGTCGAGGCTGCAGGCGTTGCAGGCTTGTTTGTGCCCATTCGCGCTCTGAGGGCTTCTGCCTTGGCGCGAGCCTGCGCGAGCATCTGGTTGACATCTGGCTTCGAGCCACCAGGTGTACCTGGTGTTGAGGGACGTGGGGACCCATTGTTTGATCGCGCTCTTTTCTGGCCCGATGGGTCATCGTCTTCCGAGAGAGGCCTCTTTAGCGAATTGTTCGACACGTCCGCCATGGTGGGCGGGAGATATACTCACTTGCAACTCCTCGCAAGCAGACCAACCAGAGGGAGAATTCGCACGGATGATGCGATGCCAGCGATCGGCCAGAGTCGCGGTGCACCAGCTCGAGTCGGAGCCTACAAATTGCGACTACGTGCCAAGGTCTCGGAAACCTGTTCCGCCGGCTACTTCCTCTCCCTCTTCCGCTTGCTCGACTGTTCAGCCCAACTTCCATCGCAGAGCCTCATTGTGTCGCACATGATGTTTCATCTGGAGACAGCGGCCATCGCCCAGAGTCTGTGGTCTCTTACTTCGATGGTAACGAAGTATGGGCGGCGGCGCAACTGTACTATCAACTTCCTTGTTGTGGCTGTTCTCGAGCCGCGCCAATAGCAAGCTAACCGAGCAGGTTGTGCATTCGCCGTACCCCGCGGGTTACGCGAATGGCCACAGCCACCGTCCAGTGCCCAGGGCTGCCATTTGACGGCCTCGATGCACCGCGCAGGCATTCACATGGATCTGATGCAATGATGCAACGTTCTGGCTGGGCTGCTGATAGTGCGCGCCACGGCGCGTAGAGCTGAGATGGCTCATGAGCTTCCACATCACTCTCGCAACCCCTCCTTCGGTGGAACTTCCTGCTCTGTAGATCTTACCCTCCCGCAGTCAGCCCACTCTCCCTGCACTACCTCTGAACAGGACAACTCTCCAACATGGCAGCCAATGGTTCCGTCGATAAAGCTCTTGCGGAGGCTAAGGCCCTCGTCGCTGCTCTCGAATCTCACGACGGTACCCCTGCAAGTCACCTCGCTCTGCTGAAGCGCACCGATAACATTCGCTGGGCACTTGAGGAGCCCTCCGACATCATCACTCGATGGCTGGACAATACCGGCGCCTTGTCCGCTGCTTACATTTTGACTCGCATTGGCGCATTCAAGGAAATCTCTACTGATGGGACTGGCGTTCCCGCCAGCGCCATCGCCAAGAACTGCAACGTCGATGTGTCTGTTGTCACACGGACTATACGTCTTCTCATCACCCAGGGAATATTCACGGAGACTGGCGTTAACGAGTACACCCATAACTCGCTGTCCCTCGCCTTTGCCTCAGACTTTCTCAGGGGCTTCATTTCTATGCTGGGTGACATGGTCAAAACATGGTCTGCGTTTCCTGAGTATGTCAAGGCACACAAGCCCGACGACATCTATGATCTCAAAAAGAGCCCCTTCGCATTTGCTGCGGGCCATGAGGGCAAGACGTACTACGAGGTGATCGATCTTGACCCCGAGGAGCGCCATCTCTGGAATATTGTACTCTCAATGCTAGAGAAGAGCTACCCGATCCTTGGCATGTTTCCGTTCAAGGAGATGGAGCAGGAGGTCACAAGCCATCCAGATCGACCCTTTATAGTCGACGTTGGAGGTGGTCGTGGCCAGGTGCTTCACGCAGTGCAGAAAGAGTGTGGGGGTTCCTTTGGCGCAGAGCTCATTCTTCAGGATCTCCCAGTAGTCATCGACTCGTTGAAACCCGAGGAGACTACAGGGATCCGGCCCATGGCGTATGATATCTTCACGCCACAACCAATCAAGAGTAAGTTATCAGCCAGTGCTGGACTCTGGTCTGCCATCAATTCCAGCTTAGGATGTTGAACAATCACTGACCGTCCAGATGCCCACATCTATTTCATGCGCCGCCTCCTCCATGACTTTTACAACCCAGTCGTTGTCGAGATCCTCAAGAACACCATTCCGGCCATGGGTCCTTCTTCGCGCCTCATCGTCTGTGATATGATTATTCCAGAACGGACGCAAGCTGGTGTAGACACAGCACTGTATACGATGGACTTCTCTCTCCTGACTGTCAGCGGTCAAGAAAGGACCCTGGACGAATTCAAGGCCATTTTCGATGAGGTTGGCCTAGAGTTGATCAAAGTCTATCCTTCTGGTATCGGGCAGACCGCCATGCTGGAGACGCGGCTCAAGAGTCGGTAGGGTGCATCGTGCCATCAGGAGCTTCACAAGGCTTCTGTTTGGCTTTGATGCCAATGGCGTTTTCAGAAGTTGGTGATGCTACTTCGAGTACCGACAATGCCCTGCTTCGTAGGTGTGAGTGGGTGTGGCTTGGTTCTGTGTGGCTTTTGCAACTATGCAGCAGACCTTTCAGTTAGAGGTGTACAGCGATGAAGGCCCTCTTTTGCCCCGTACCCATGTACCGTGCTATAAGACTAGGTGACGATGCGCCTCAAGTTGAGCAGAGAGGGCTCAGCGCCAAGCCAGAAACGTGGGACGCTTGGATGACGTCGCCCCTCTGCGCCGCAGATGCTCAAGTTGGCCTCCAACAAACAGGCCACCGCGTTTCCTCTCTCCTTCAATCCTTCAATCCTTCATGCCAATTACTCAGTACAACAAGATCACCGCAGGCTTACCAGTGTCCATCGTCCTCAAAGCCGATCAACGCACGGGAAGGGAAGTGCAAGGCACGGTTGCGCAACTGCTTACCCGTCACAATCACCCCCGCGGCATCAAAGTCAAGCTTACCGACGGAAGAGTGGGTAGAGTCCAGAAGATACTCCGCACCATGAGTTCAAACAATCCATGGGCCGACTCTACGTCGCAGGGAAACCCATACCAGAGCCCAGATGACCAGCAGCGGGGTCTCAATCAGACTTACTTTGCGCAAGACACTTCAAATCAGCATCAGCAGACACCGTACGGTCAGCACCCGCAGCAGGGAGGCTATCCGCAGAGTGCACACCAACAGGGCTATACGGCTCCTCAAGGTCCACCACCTTCGCAAAGCATACAACGATCCGACACCGAACAGCTTCTCGCCCAGCAGCAAGACGCCGGCGCGCAGGTCGAGACCATGCAGCAATACGAGTCGCAGGCGCGGCAGACGGACGATGACAAGAACCAGGCAGAGCTGCAAAAGCAGTTCCCCAACATCGACTCGAGCCTAATCGCTGCCATCTACAATGAGAGAAAGCCTGACATGGCCGAGGTGCGGGAGTTACTGCAAGAGCTGAATGCTTCCTAAGCTTTGAAAATACCATCCCATTCCGACAGCGTATGCTCCCATACCTTTTTCCGAGTCCCGTCCTGCCTCATGCCCTCGAGCAACTTCTGCGTGTCGCCTGGTTCGCCCTGCTCATTCACTGAATACATGCCACTTCCCGTCTTCCCGTCCGTCCCCTCGGCCATATCCACGCCCTCCAGGGCCACCCCATCCTTCCGATTCCCTGCAAAACGCCTGCTTGTTAGCAGAAACACATGTCGTTCGCCAACCTCGTGCCCACTCAGAGCTTTCCACGTCCCCACCAGCCTTCCCATCGCCCGCATAGCAACGCCCATCAACCCGGGCATGGTATCCCCCAGATCCGTATTCACAAACCCAGGAAAATTATGCACAAACCCCACATCCGGCGCCTCCTGCGCCAGGCACTCCAGCCCCAAAGTCAACAAGCTAGCCGCATGGCCCCTCGCCTTCATGATCCCCGACGGCCCCTTGAGCCTCAAACAATCAATATCCTCCTGATCCAACGGCCCCTCCTTCGTCCCCGTAAACACATTCACCACGCGCCTCAGCCCCTCCGCCCTCTGCAACAACGGCAACAACTGCCTCGCGAACCTGACGCGCGAGTAGTACGCCAGACTGCCCATGACGCCCAACCCCTCGTCCGTCCTGGCATACAGGTCGAAACTGCCCTGACTCATGAAGACGACGTTGACGCTGCGCTCGCGCGCCGCGATCTCGGCGCACACGCGGTCCACCTCGCGCATCAGGCCGACGTCGGCGGGCATGAAGACAAAGGTCCCCGAAGGGCAGAGGGCGCGGCATTCGGCGACCACGGCGGCGCCCGCGGCCGGGGAGCGCGCGATCAGGTAGACGGTGGGTGCGAGGGCGGCGGTGTGTCGCGCGAAGGCGCGCAGGGTGTGTGCGCCGATGCCTTTGGTGCCGCCGACGAAGATGGCGGTCAGGGGGCCGGGGAGCGTGCTGCTGATGAGCGCGTTGGAGGATTCGACGAGGGGGAGGGACACCATCGTGAGGGTGTGGGAGGATTGTGGAATTCGTGGCGGCGGACAGGGAGATGCGGGTGCTGGTCTTTACGGATTCGCGGTGCTCTCTATGGTTGACGGTAGAGTGGTTCGATGACCGACCCGGTGTTGGTGGTCTTTATAGTCTTGAGCTGCAAGCCAACTACACATCTGCCCTCCAAACAAGGCGCACGCCATCGTCGTATATACGCACCGTAGAGAGCCCGTGCCGTGCCTGTGCCTCGTATCTCTCCGGCCCCAGGCACAATGCGAGCAGTCGTACAGGTGACCAGCGTTATCTAACCTTCTGTCGTATTTCCTATCCCTCTGCTCGTGATAATAAGCATCCGATCGATTCGCGAGCGAGCAGGTGGAGCCGCTGCAGCCTCGGCGTAGTTCTCGCCTTGTGATTCGTGGAGATGTGACGCCCTAGCCTCAAATGATTCCCCCGTGGTGGAAGCGGAAGAGTCAGGGACTGTGGTTACGCCGACCGGGCGGAAACATAAGTGCATACAATGAAGGCGTTGTCGCGTTCCGAGATAGCTGTACCAGGCTTCAGTACATCATGATTGACGTAGCCAACATCGTGCCGGGAAGGACGGGTATTCTGTATGCCGTCTTTGCGCAAGAAGCGATGGCTATAAGGCGTTAGTCGCCTGCCGAATGCGGTCGTGCTAGCAGCTTGCATGGGTTGAACAAACGCAAATGAACCGCCCAATGTTGACTTCGGCAGAACGCCGGTCGGATATGCACCATTTCCAAGTACATGGGTATTTGAATCGCCGGCGTTCAAGATACGAGATCGTATGCATGCTCGTACTTAGTAACTAGCATGACCCGTGACTGCTGACCAAGACGAGTGCGCCGATAGATCAGCTAGAGGACTTGAATTACAAGCATACCTGTTGGGCCATCGTGAAGTAGATCCATGCGGTCCTTGTGATTTTAGCGCTTGCACTGACTAGAAGGTCTAGCTTCACTCCCCGCCACCGGTCGCGGATGATTTTAAGACGTGACTCTGTCCGCAGCCATCCAGGACGACTCAGACGGGGCCGGCCCGAGTAGAAGGACATCAGGCAGTAAAAGCCTTGGCGCCAGCTGAGTTGCGGACGTGGTTTGGTTCAATAGTGATGATGGGGTCAGACTGCTGGTGCCACTGATGAATTCCTCAATGAATGAAGAGCGATCTTTCCTTGTCAAGTTAGAGTTGGAACGAAAGCCATGGGCGACGTCGAGGGGGGGACAACAACAGCCAAGTCCAGGCTTCAGGCGCCCTGCGATACCGACACGCTCAAAGTCGGGCTTCCAGGAGGATTTGAAGCGAGATTAGAGTGTGTCCTTCTGCGAGACGTTCGCACTGGCCGAACTAATACGGAGAACTCAGCTTGTACCTCGCCTATCTATTGATAGCAGAGCTCCGGGCGAGGCGTTACTCCTGATGCAATGTAGCGTACTTCAACCACCAAAAAAAGGTTGACATTGCGAGACCAATGAAGTTCACTCGGTGCCGAAACCACAGATAGCGACTGACCTTCTGGCAGAGCTGGCCAGCGCTTTCGGGTTTCAAGGGCTTACAGGTCTATGCTGAGGCTTTGTCAGAACGACCGGGCAGGTCAGGTGCTACTGCATGCGCAAATTCGAAGAGCCAGCTCGTCGAAAGCTGTGATAGTAGTTATTGGTCCCACTCTCACTCAAATGATAAACACGCTGCAAAAAATCCACGAACCACCCAGCGTGCGTTCGCTTACTTTTCCGCCTCGCCTAGCGTCGTAAGATCCTCCTTGAACCGGCTTGAACTGCTCGCCACACGCCGCACCTCCTTCGGCGTCTCACTCATCTCCGCTGCTGTCGATTTCCGCTCCTCCAACGCACTGGCCGCCACGGGACTCATAACCTCCTCCTTCTCCCCCTCCAATATCCGCCGAGCTTCCCGCCGGTCTCCCTCGACACGCTTTTCGTCCTTGAGCATCGCCTTCTCGTTCTCGCTCACGGCGCTGACCAGACTGCTGCCGTGGCGCCCATAGCCCGGCCTGCCCGACGTGGCACTGACTATGCCACCCGCTTGTGCGTGGCGGTCCACGTCTGCCAGACTCGGGGAGATGGGACCAGCGGCGTTCGCGGACATGCGTAAGTTTGAGCCATGCCTCGAGGGTGGTGAGGTGGGCAGCTCAGACGAGATGCTGCTTTCGTTTCGGTCCAGCGTCGGCCGAATGTCGTGGCCGGGAGGAGGCCCGCTGATGCTGGGGCGTGATGACTGGTCGACGCTGGTCCGGCTGACTGCGCCGCGATCAGAGCCGGATTGCGTGCTACCAGGGTGCGAAATGGCAGAATTGCTACCTGCAACACCGGCAGCCAGGCTGGCGAGGGGCCCACTGGCCGAATTCTCGTCAATGCTGCCGAAAGGTCGGTGCTCGGCTTTCCAAACGAACGGTTGGCTGGGGACCTGCGCTGATTGGCGCGGAGAGACGACGGAGTCGTCGAGCATTTCATGGATTGGTTCGCTGCCCGCCTCAACCGAGGTATGGCGTGTGCGATTGGTTGTGTTGTCGACGGCCGTGGATGATCGGGGCGAGAAGCCATCGTCGGTCGACATTTCGTGGAAAGCGCGCTCGTCGCCGTACAACTCAGCCGGGCCATCGAGTGTTGTTGGTGGGCGCGCATTGGCGGCGGGAACAATATGGTCATCGTTCGACGTCGCGTCCGTCTCCGAGCCTTCCTTCAGGCCAGCCTGGCGCTGCGGAGGTTCGTTGAAGTTTGTCCGTCGTAGCCAGCGAGACACCGCGCTTGCACCGAGCGTCGTTTCCGTGTAGGCAGTGGTAGAGTTGCGAGACTTTCTTGCCGCCCGTCGCGACGGTCGGCAGAACCAGAAAATAAGAAAACCAATGACGAGGACCGCAATACCGCCAACGACACCTCCCGCAATGGCTCCTGCATTAGTTCCTCCGCCTGTCGATGAGCGTTCAACGTTGGTCGTATCGGTCCCGTTGCCGGAGTTTGTGTCATTGCTACCACCTGCAGTGTATGGGTACCATGTATTTCGAACCGTGGTATACGTGGTGTCAAATAGAGCCCTCACGGCCGAGTCGGCTCCAGCAGCCCCATCAATGGCGTCAATGATGATCTGTGGGCGTCTATAGTCTTCGTAGGTGTCCCAGGAGTACTTGCGCGTCCACTCAAGCGTGTTCAGGTTGAAGACATCAATGACACTGCCGTCCTGTATGCAAAACGTGGTAGAGTTAAGGTTCTGGCCGCCCAGAACTAGCATCTGGTTTGGAAAGGGTGTCGCGCAGGAATGTCCACTGCGGCCGTGCGAGAAGGCTCCAGTCGACACCCTTGTCCAGCGAAATGCTGGCACGGAGAGGACCCAGACAGCATCGTCGGCATAGATTGCTCTGCTTCCTGGCAGGCCGTTGTCTCCACCGTAGATGTAGATGTCGTATGTTGAGGTATCGTCAGGCAGGGCCGCAACCACGGCGCAAAACTCTGCTCGAAAGTCCGGAGCGTCGCCAGTGGTGTTTTGAAGGTACCATTCGTCGCCATCGATATCATAGACTGGAATTTGGGTCATGAAGGACGGGCTTATCTCTTCGCTCTCTTCAATTTGATCATCTTCAAGACCATAGTTTCCGAATTTCTGGTGATGAAGCACTCCACCGATAGCTAACAGCACACCTTGCTGCGCAACAGGGATCCAAACAAGCTCAGGGTTGACTCTAGGCCGTACGTCGCTAGGCAAAGTTGTGTTCTGCCACGATGCACTCCCGGGGGACGTGAAATCTGCAGTGATGAGCACATTTGATAGGTCTGTAACCGCCCTGACATCGTCCGTGCTGGCCATCTGGGCAAGCGGGCCCCACGATGCAGCTCGCATGCCGCTGAAGTACCAGCCTTTGTTCTCGGAAGGGGCACTCGCCCATCCTCCAGAAGTCACGTAGTTCGAAACATCGTTGTCGAGATCAACACCAGTCCGCGGACCAGGGCTGAAGATCGTCTGTCCCTCTGAGGGAAATAGGCGGTAATTCAAAATCGTTGATGACGACGAGTCACTCCGAGGAAGACCTCTACGACCGCGTTAGTAGCCACACGATGCGATAGATTTGACTGACCCGTAGGTGTATAGTTCGTAATCACTCGTGAACATAGCACCCTCGCTGAAGTCAGGCGCATCGTACGGACCTCCAGCAGTAAGCGGGAGCTCTGTCAAGAGTTCTCGCAAATCCACGGGCTCCAGTCCCTCAAATGTGTTGGAGAAGTTGAGCGCATAGAGCACACCAGAAGGATACGTCTGTGTTGGGTTTGAGGAAGCCCAGCTACCGTCCTGCCATCCATTCTCTAATATCGTGCCGCCATCGATATACAGCGCATCCCTCACACTCCCATATCGTGGTCTGTACCAGGCACAGATCCTCTGGTCGTTCTGCGCCAGTGTCAGGACTGACAATCCGAGTAGCAACAGGGCTCTCATGGCTCACAGTGCTGTTTCCAGATGCGTCGCAGGAGCAAGTAATCCCAGAAATGTATGAGGAGTCGAGCGTTCAGCGAGATACGGATCAGCAGAGCCAAACCCCTCTTCCCCACCAGACGGAAGCAGGCACTGGACAGGGAAAATCATACGGCGTTGCCATGCCATTAGCACCGATTCCAGACGCCAATTATAGGCAGATTGATGTACCCGGTCAGAACTAGCAGCTGTAGTGGCTTCCACAGCCCGTGGGGCGCTGTCCACAAACGGATGCATAGGTGATCTTCGTTGCGCGAGCTAGGTGCCCGAAAAGCAGTTGGCGGGACCGTAAGGCCAGCTTGATCAAGACACAGTGCCAAGCAGATGAGGGACTCAGCCCTGTCAGTGCAGGGTACAGAGAGGTGTAATGCTGCGATGCTGCGATACAACAGCGGTTTTGATTGGAAGATCGTACATCTTGCGGGCCATGCCGACGACTTATGTGAAATCCTCGCAACATATCCAGGACAGGCATAAGAAGAAGCAAGTTAGCGGCACGTGAATACAATCCCATAGGCACCGGTCAGTCAACCGAATTCACGTATGCCTGTCATCCGGAGAAGTCCGGGGAGCATTCGGCAGAGCGACAGCCAAGATCGCAGGGCCACAGGCGGCTCGTACCTTGCTCTCTAGCTCAATTTGACTAGTAAGTGCCTGGCTCACGTAGGGACGAACAAGGTGTCCTGCGTTAGTACCAGCTTTCGCGTATTAGTCCCAAGTCTCAAGTTCGCTTCCAAGGAATGTGCGAAGCAGTTTTTCCGAGCCCGACGGTGACGCCGAGGTTCACAGTACATTATGACAGGTAGTCATGGGAGCGAGCTGGCGAACCGAGCACACGAACAAGGTGATGGCAGCAAGGCTGGAAAGGTTGATGTACGGATACGGGCCAAGATTTGGGGTCCAGGCACATGCTGGCTTCACGTGTCTCGGATCGACGGTGTAGCCTTTGGGTCGTTGATGCAGCCACAGTCAGTACTTCTCGCAATGAAGGGTTGTGGCGTGCATGAGCAAATCAGGCTGAAAGTAATCACGCCAGTCGTATGATGGCGGAAGGGTGGTTTTCGCGGCATGACAAGCGACGAGATTGTTGTCAGATTGCCAAGCCCATGCTAGGCAGAGAAAGGTCTAGTGTGGTCTACTTGCAGGAGACGTCCACCGACCGGTACGGGGCCACTGTGTACTGAACCACAGTACACCGCACACCTTGTCACCTTCAGCCGGTCTTTCGTCTCGCCTTCTTCTTGCCAACTGCAGTATGGCTCCACGTTCGAGCTTCGGCGCTCGAGCCGCAACTGCCTACATGCTGCGCTGGCCTTAGGGAATCCTCCCGTCTGTTCTGAATACTGTCCCAGCCCCACCAGTTAGCTCGCCCGGGTCACTTCCTAAAAACGGCGTGCTCCCGCGCTGCAGCGGCACCGGAATGACCAAGATCCAGATATTCTAGCTACCTCGTGTCTAAAATATGTCTTCCAGTCCTCTGAGGCTAGGGCTGGGATTAGGACAGCATCCTCCCGGTCCCACATGGCTTGCCGCTGCTATCCTGGGACGCCGGTCAATGGTATGCCGGAGCTTGACTCAAATTCTGCCTAGGGGTGCACCTCGGATTGTTGCCCTGTACGATCGAGACGAGCAGTCCTCTCAGACTCAGCTGTCCAGGGCAAGCAGATTACCGTGAGCTACCCTAACACTTTATATCATGCAACTACCCAACCTTTCCCCCACCTTTCCCCAACTGTCCATGCCTTTTCGAAGGCTTTATAGCCCTGCAGTCTTTCACAGCTCTATCCGCTCGCTCAAAAACTGTCGTTATATATCTGCTCCGTGCTACCATGCAGAGGAGAGCTTTATGCTACGGGTTACTTGCCCTCCTGCTTCCCCTGACCTTCGCACAGGACGACTCATGCCCCGCTGCAGGTACTGTTACAATTGAGAAGACTGTTCAAGGCGATGCCGCAACTGTGACAGTGGAGAAGTCCGTACAGGACGCCGCAGCGACTGTCACAGTAGAAAGAACTGTACAAGGCGAGGAAGGAACCGTGACGGTAGAGAAGACCGTGCAAGGCGACGGAGAAACGGTTACTGTGACCGTCACAGCCGCTGGAAGTGAGAAAACGGTCCAGGGCGAAGGCTCTACTGTAACTGTAACGGGAGCTGCGAGCGAGAAGACGGTGACAGTTACTGTGGCTGGTAGTGATGGCCAGGGGACCATCTACGTGACCCAAACTATCGATTCCGGCAACGATGGTAACGACGAGCCAGGGACAGTGACTGTCACGCACACCCAAACGGTCACCTCTGGAGACGTGGCTTCTAATGCCGACAATACCCAGTATATCACCGTCACTGCAGCCGACGACAGTGGAAAGGGCACTGCGGGCGAGACCAGGACCGAGACCGAGACCGTCACGCTTCAGCCTGAGGATGACGGTTTTATGGCAATTCAGACATGTCCAGAAACTACAGGTTACCCCGTCGATTGTCCCGACTGTTCAGACCACACGACAACCATCACGTCCACGACGACGTGCTGGGAAACCACCACAATCAAGGAAACAGCGCCACCCACCACCATAACGAAACCGCCTGTAACCACCACGGTGACAGACACTGTATGTATTCCAGCGTTCCCTGAGCCCTCTCTGCACCAAGATCTCGAACCTTCTCCGCATCTTGATCTCCTGTTGCTGACTTTCCAAACAGGTTACCGAAGTCGACACTGTCACCTGCTACGTGACTATAATCAAGGAAATTTATATCAGCGTGACGGTAAGGCCGCCACCTCATTGCTTGATAGACACAGAACTCACCATCATAGGACACGAGTACAGTTATCAGTACAGCGATATCGACTACCACCGATGTGACAACTAGTGTTGAAACAACTGTAGCAACCACTGTCGAAACGTCAATTTTGACGTCTCTCATCACCGATACATCCACCGTCACCAGCACAACGACGTTTGAGACGACGATCACGACCACCATCCAGGGCGAGAAGACGACTGTTATCAGTACCATCACGGAAGAAGTCACGGACGTAGTCACATCAGTTCATACAACGACTCTTCCGACGACCGTACCAACGACTATCCCTACAACTGTTGTTTCAACGGTGCAAACAACCATTGAAGTACCCACAACCATTATTTCAACAATTGAGATACCCACTACGATCGATGGTGAACCTACAACAGTGATTTCTGAAGTCACGGTAGCCACTACAGTTCTCTCAACGATTCCTACCACCGTGCCCACGACCGTTATCTCTACTACTCAAATTACTGTCGATCGCCCCACAACGATCACATCAACCATCGAGGTCCCGACAACAATCGAAGGACAGCCAACAACAGTGACTAGCCGAATCACGGAAGTTAGTACCGTTGTGGACACTGTGACCGAGTTCAGCGTTATCGAGGTTCCGACTACGGTCGTTTCAACTCTCGAGATACCAACTACCATCTCAGGCCAACCTACCACAATCATCAGTGAGATCACGCAGGTCAGCACAGTGCTCGAGACTGTTGTATCTGGTACAACACTTTTCCAGACCCAGACAGCCACACAGACAGCTACACAGACATTGACGCAAGTTCAGGTTACGACAATCGCTCCCAGCCTGAGTGGTACGCTTGTAACTGTGACAAACACGCTGGTGGATATCATAGTGAGCGTCAGCGGCTCGGTCTCTACTGTAACCCAGCCTGGCTCAACTGAGGTGATCGTCTCGATCTTGCCGGCTAGCACAACCACTCTTACCGAGCTCGTCGTTTGCGAGTCACGTACGATCAACCCTACATTTACTCCAGCCCAGCCAGTTCCCAGCGACTGGACCTGGGGCTGTCCTCCCGGAAAGTTATGCAAGCCCAAGCAAATTGGGTGTAATTTCGAGCGGAGTCTCCCAGCCGATACATACTTCTGCGCGCCAGAGGAGTGTGTCGTGCCGCCTCATGTACCAGATGTCGAAAACCCTGCCGGGCCATGGAACAACTACACGTGTGGCGTTCTGTACGATCCGATCGAGCCCTATTTCAATTTCGACCCTGAGCTCTTTGGCCTCAACTTTGGCATATTCAACGCGTCCGGTGGTCAGCAGCCCACGCCGTGCCCAGCCAACGAAACTTCATACACCCCGACGAAGCCTACAAGCCAGCCTCATCACTACGGTGCCAAGATTCTGGAGTTCCTTAATCCGGCGCACGTCTTTCCTACAGCCACGAATAAGAAACGGGATGCTTATCCTGAGATCACCGCGCCCGCTCTCTTAGATAAACGCCAGGATTCGCAGAATCTAGTTCCAGCAATCTGCTATGATCCCTGCAACCTATGCGGCTACGCTGCTCAGGAGACTGGCAAAGTATACGACAGACTTTGCCCGCCCCAAAGCAACTTCCCTCGATACCTGGACTCTTGCAGGACCTGCATTGAGAACAACAAGGAAGATGAGCCCATCGGCGTTCCTCCTCTTCTCAACAGTCTCACTCAGTGGATGAACTATTGCGACGATGGACCAACGTCGACATCTGCATCCTCTTCAGCCGCCACGGGGGCCGCTCTGGTGACCAGCACAACGGCTGCCAGTCGCAGCACCTCGAACGCGGACTCTAGCGACTCATCCACTGCTGCTACGCAGCCAGGCTCGGTTTCTGACTCCGCAGCCAGTTCGACATCGGGATCTAGTACCAATGTTGCTGGTGCTTCGGCTTCGACATCAACTTCCGGTAGCAGCAGGGAGAGCAGTGGTAGCAGTGACAGTACGATATCGAGAACGGCCAGCGCTTCAGCCTCCGGTTCGGCTTCCGGATCAACTTCTGGCAGTGGTACCACCGTCTCCGGTACGTCTACCGTCGGTGAGGAAGCGTCTACAACTGCCGGAGAGTCAGGTGGATCGTCTTCGACATCTGGCAGCCCAGTCGCTTCAGACTTCGAGAGTGGCGCCTCGATGACGCAGTCGCCAATCGTGAAAGCCCTACTCGCGCTGTTTTCTGCGATGACAGTTCTGGTTCTGTAATTGATGCATTGGTTCGTATGAAAACATGAGTGAATGATAGATCTGGACTTTAGCAGGCATGGATTGGGCGTCATACACGTACGTTGGATATCAGCATCTGGCGCGTAGCAAAAGCGATGAGTAATTTCTGACAGCTGGCACATAATTCACAGATATAGTTGTTGGTCAATACCGCGTCACGTCTCCGTTCAGGGTTTCGATTGTTACTCAAATCTGCACAGCACGTTACAGGTCCCTGAACGTAGCCTCTGTCTCTATTGGTGACCCAGGAACATGCAAGGCTCAAGAGCCAGGACTGAACAAGGTGGATGGATGGTACCTGTAAGGTGCATACAGACCATGAGAGGCGCTCTTACGTGCGCTGGTTCTATAGGGTAGGCAAAATGTAGCCTTATAGTCCGCGCCAAGACCAGGATGCAGCCTTGTCGAGATGGAGAAAAAAGTTGCGGACTCGATTTTCGCTCCCCGCAGCTTCAGACCATATTTCTTCCGCCTGGCATTGCTGTCAATTGCGCGGGCTGGGACAGCTCTGACAAGCCATGGCGTACACCATGCCTCTGGCGTCGAGCACCGGCAGTGTTGGGTTCGCCCGCCTGTCCCACGACGAGATTCGCAAGATCTCCGTCAAGCGCATCCATACGACGCCGGCCTTGGACTCGATGCACCAGCCTGTGCCTGGAGGCCTCTATGACCCAGCACTTGGTGCCATTCAGGCGCTTGACTTCAACTGCTCGACCTGCAAACTCAATGCATACAACTGCACTGGCCATCCTGGTCATATCGAGCTGCCTTTGACCTGCTATCACCCCCAATACATCGACACCACCCTGAGACTTCTCCGAGCGAAATGCGCCTACTGTCACCGTTTCCGACTCCCACGAATGTTGATACACAAGACGCTCTGCGAGCTCCAACTCCTCCAGCGAGGCTTGGTAGAGGACTACAACTGGCTGCAAAACATTCAGATAGGCGGCGACAGTCGCAATGTTCCGGAGGCAGATGACTTGGATGGTCTCATGGCTCGCAGGGCCAAGTTCACCAGTAAGGCGCTCAAGAGAGCACAAAAGAGAGAGCATGACGACCCTCTCGCCTTCATCCGCAATCCGGTGGCAGCGGCGACCCGGAAGCGGATTATTGCGGACTTTATTTCGCGCGCCTCGAACGCTAAAGCCTGCACGTCCTGCGAAGGTATCACTCCATCATACCGGAAAGACCGCGCTCTCAAGATCTTTCGAAAACCACTGAACACCAAGCATCGGGAAGTCATGCGCATCAAGGGTATGAAGGCTCCCAACCCATTGATCTTCTTGCAGAAACAGGAGGAACAGCGGCAAAACATCAAGAGGAAACTACCCAATGGGTTGAATGAAGTTAATGGTGCCGATAGCGATGTCGATATGGAGGATGCTGGCACCGTCACACATGGCGCAGAGGACGAGATAGCCATGCAACATGCCCTGCAGACCTCCGCCAACTCGAAAGCTGCTGACAACGACGAAGAGGACGACAAAACGACGTCCATGACCTCGACCGAGGTGCACGCCGCTCTCGTGCTGCTTTTTGAGCGAGAACAAGACATATTGAGCCTACTGTTCTCCAGTCATGGAGCCGCCACCGTCAGCCCCGATATTTTCTTCATCCATGCCATTCTAGTATCACCAAACCGCTATAGACCGCTCGCACGACAAGATGGGGGACTATTGGAGGCGCAGACCAACAACGGTCTCAGTAAGATCATTCGAGCCTCGAATGCGCTACGAGAAATGTTCAAGGCAGGCAGCAAAGACAGCGCCTCACTTTCACGGTGGATCAATACCGCCATCACGCTGCAAGAAAGTGTAAACCTGTTCATCGATTCTCCTCCCAACCCTGCACTACGGCCTGACCCTGGCGTCAAGCAGACTTTGGAAAAGAAGGAGGGCTTATTCCGGATGAACATGATGGGCAAGCGGGTAAACTTCGCTGCTCGGAGTGTTATCTCGCCAGATCCCAACATCGAAACCAATGAGATTGGCGTGCCGCTGGTGTTCGCCAAGAAACTCACCTACCCGGAGCCTGTCACTGCTCATAACTTTGAAGAGATGAGTAAAGCCGTGACCAATGGATGGGACACATATCCAGGAGCTGCTGCTGTCGAGAACGAGAAAGGGATGGTTATGAGTCTGAAATTCAAAACACTCGAACAGCGCCAGGCTATTGCGAAACAACTCCTCACCACCACGGTGTCAGGAGCGAAGGGCGACCAAACGAAGAAAGTGTACCGCCATCTACGTTCTGGAGACATTGTCATCATGAATCGGCAACCGACCCTGCACAAGCCTTCAATGATGGGCCACAAAGCAAAGGTGTTGACGAACCAGAAGACTATTCGAATGCACTACGCCAACTGCAATACCTACAACGCCGATTTCGACGGAGACGAGATGAACATGCACTTCCCGCAAAACGAGTTGGCCCGTGCTGAGGCGTACCAGATTGCAGACACCGATCATCAGTATCTATCGGCCACTGCTGGTAAGCCACTCCGAGGTCTTATCCAGGACCATATCTCGATGGGCGTTCAATTCACCAGCCGAGACACCTTCTTTGATCGAGACCAATATCAACAGCTTCTGTACAACTGTCTGAGACCTGAGGATAACCACACCGTGTTTGAGCGAATTGAGATGGTCCCGCCAGCGATCGTCAAGCCCAAGATGCTGTGGACCGGAAAACAGGTTATCACTACAGTCCTCAAGAATATCACGGCTACCAAATACATGGGGATCAATTTGGTCAGCAAATCTTCCACCTCAGCAGACTCGTGGAACGAGGTCACCATTAGTGACCCCGAGCGATTCGATGTTACCAATGACCAAACCTCGTTTCGTGATACCGAGCAGATTGTCATTTTCAAAGATGGCGAGCATATCAGTGGCATCTTAGACAAGGGTCAGCTTGGTCCAGCCGCTGGTGGCTTGATACACTCGATCTACGAGCTGTATGGTCAAATCGCCGCAGGTAAACTTCTCAGCATCATCGGACGGCTGTTCACACGGTATTTGAACGAGCGTGCCTGGTCCTGCGGCATGGATGACCTCTATTTGACGAAAGAGGGTGATAGCAAGCGCCGGGCCGAGCTGAGCCGGTCGAAACGCCTAGGCCACGAAGTGTCGGCAGAGTACGTCAGTCTGAAGCCAGACCACGTCACCCAATCATCCACAGCTCTTCTCCAACGTTTAGAAGGCGTTATACGAAGCGATGACCAGTTGAACGGCCTCGATCAGGTCTACAAGTCGAAAGTGAAAACCATTACCGATGCTGTGAGCAAAGAGTGCCTGCCGCGTGGTCTCCGGAAGCCTTTCCCCAAGAATCAAATGCAGGCCATGACAATCTCCGGCGCCAAAGGTTCGAGCGTCAACGCTAACCTCATCTCTTGCAATCTCGGTCAGCAAGTCTTGGAGGGTCGGCGTGTACCAATCATGGTCAGTGGGAAAAGCCTACCATCTTTCCAAGCGTTCGAAACCGATCCTGGTGCAGGCGGATACGTCAGTGGGCGTTTCTTGACTGGTATCAAGCCCCAGGAGTATTACTTCCATGCCATGTCAGGCCGTGAAGGACTGATTGATACCGCTGTCAAGACTGCCAAATCGGGCTATCTCCAACGCTGTATCATCAAGGGCCTCGAAGGTGCCAAAAGCGAATACGACAATTCAGTCCGCGAATCCTCAAATGGCTCTGTCATCCAATTCTTGTATGGCGAGGACGGCCTCGAAGTCACGAAGCAGAAGCATCTCAAGGATTTCTCTTTCTTGGCGAGCAATTTTGACACGGTCGCTGCGTCGATGGATCTTGAAAACGCCGAGGCGCAGATGTCATCGAGGAATGTAGTTGATCAGCACAAGGAGATCCTCAAGTACAAGAAAGCCGCCGAAAAGAACAACGCTGGAAGGCGGTCCACGAAGCATTACCAAGTTCCGGACCCCATCACAGCATCACATTCGCCTGGTAATAGCTACGGCAGCACGTCCGAAGCGTTCTTTGCTGATGTTGCACGCTATGTGAAAGAGAACCCGGAGAGGCTTATCCGAGACAAGAAGATCTGTCCTGATGGGCCAGTCCGGGGGCAAGGGTTCCGCAACATCATGAACTTGAAGTATCTGAGGTCTGTTGTCGAGCCAGGCGAGGCTGTGGGTGTCGTCGCTGCACAGTCTGTGGGCGAACCCTCGACCCAAATGACGCTCAATACGTTTCATTTGGCCGGTCACTCGGCGAAAAACGTCACTCTTGGTATTCCTCGTTTACGAGAGATTATTATGACTGCCACACCCAATATTATGACTCCGACTATGACGCTGAAGTTGATCGAGGAGATGACGCCAGACGATGCCACGAAATGGGCCAAGCACTTGAGCAGGTTGCCACTGGCACACTTGGTTCGAGACCTCGACGTGACCGAGCGAAGTGACGGTGGTGCGGGCTACGAGCACGAAAAGATCTATGACATCCGCATTCATTTGTTCGATGTTGAGCAATACGAGCAGGAATACGCCATCACGTCGAATGAGGTCGAGCATGCTCTTGAGACGATATTCCTTCGTCGGCTCGACAAGATCATCAAGGAAGCACTGAAGAAGAAGGCCAAAGAAGGGAGCAGTGCAGAGTCGACCGCAGCTGTTCCTGTCATAGGCGAGTCAGTTGGGCGGGTTGAAGAGGTGCGTGGCGGCGATCGACCTGTCGGCGATCGCGAAGGTGGTGAGGATGACATCGATGAAGATGCTGATCCGGAGTCGGCCAAGGATAGTGCTCAACAACATCGTCGTGAGGATGACTATGACGAGCCTGACGAAGACGAGGAAGCTATTGCTGACGCCTCTGACGGCGAAGACGATGATGAGCGATTGGAGGGCGACACGACCAAAGCCCCCGGACCTCAGGCGCCCGATGTTGATGCCATTTCTGATGCTGAATCCATCGACTCCGAGACCGAGAGTCGACGTGAACGCCTGAAGAGCGACTTTCCTCATCTCAAGCGCTTTGCTTTCAGCCGCAAGCCTGGCAAGCCCACACGCATCGTCCTCTCCTACGACTCTCGCACATCCAAGCTACTGCTGCTCCCCTTGATCGAGAAAGCCGCACACCAATCCCTGGTCCGTTCAAAGCATGGTATTGGCATGGCTGCCATGTTCATGGAAGATGTGAAGGACTCGGCCGGCAAGCTGCTGAGGCGCAAAGATGCCACGACTGGCGAGGAAGAGACGGTGCAGGAGCCGGTTGTCACCACCGAAGGCGTCAATCTATCTGCCATGTGGGACCAGCAGCACATCATCAACCCTCACGTGTTGTACACCAACTCGGTGCACGACATGCTACGGTTTTACGGCGTCGAGGCCGCGCGAACGGTCATCATCAAGGAAGTTGCTGGTGTGTTTGCAGGCCACGGCATCAGTGTGGACAACCGGCATATCAACCTCATTGCAGACGCAATGACACAAAGTGGCACTTATCTGCCGTTTAGCCGACATGGCATTGTAAAGGAGAGCGGCAGTGTGTTGGCTAAGATGAGCTTCGAGACTGTCATGACCTTCCTCAAGGAGGCAGTGCTGATGGGTGAACACGATCCATTGTTGGGACCGAGTGCACGGATCGTGGCGGGCAAGAGAGGCACCATTGGAACGGGCGGGTTTGATCTTGTTGCCCCCGTGGCATAAAGCAAAAAGTGATCTCGCTGCGTAATAGGAAGATACCCAAATGAAGATACGATGTGTATTGCTTTTACATTAATTCACCCGTGCTAGTGATGCCCAAATTCCATGTCTTGTGTCTCGGAGTAGCAGTGATGGCAGTGTCCCGTACGACGGGCAAGACAGAGAAGCAGGCAGCAAAAGTCCTTGACGCTTCTAAGAGAACGAGGGTCCTATTAGTATTGATCTTCGCTGGAGCTTCCATTTCTCGACAAGGCAGCTTTGGGCCTCCTCCATTAAGCCATCAGCTAGTCATTAGCGACTCACCTGACCCAGTGACAGTTCTGCTGTGTAAGGGTCTGCAAAAGTATTCCGCGCCCCAAGCCCAAACTATTTCGGGGGGACCCGGCACTGCGCTTTCTAAGGCGGGCAGGCAGTCAAGTACGCAGAAGCACCCACAAGCCACAACAACACAGAACATCACGGTTGTGACTCGCACCAAGCCTCTATAGACTGTGCTACTGTCTGAAGTGTCATCTAGAACTGTAGCTGCGTCTTCAGCGTTGCGCTGGTTTGGCTGGTGAGTATGTACGCTTATACCGACTCACCCGGAATATCCCGGAAGCAAAACGCGGCAGTCACGGGTCGCTGAGCTGTGAAAGAATAGAAACGTCTGCAGACGACGACGGGTGAGTCACGCACGTTTAACGTGCCTGAGTTGAGAAAGTGCCCCATCGCATCAGCCAGTGGATGTGGTCGACTGATCGGATGCTTCCAAAGGCCCGAGCCGCCATTGGTCAATACCAACACCAGCCAATCAACTTCACCCGTGACTCATGTGTTTGCCCGATACTAAATCACTGCCTTGACTTTCTACCTGGATAGGGTATATCAGCGTCGGAGACTGCCACTTTTATGATTATACGCCTTCACAAACCCGCAGGAACATTCTTCTCTCGTTGATCTTCAACGCTCCAGCTCGCGTGCTATCAGAACCCTCCCAGATCCATTCACCACCACCCAATATGTCAACCCCCGCAGAACCCACAGGCACAATCGGCATCCGCCTCGACGACACCACCTCAGACACCCTCACGCTCCCCTCAGGCCGCAAACTCGGGTACGCGCAGTATGGCGCCCCCAACGGCACGCCCATCCTGTACATGCACGGCTTCCCCAGCTCGCGCCTCGAAGGCGCCATGTTCGAGCCCATAGCCCACAAACTCGGCGCCCGCATCATCGCCATCGACCGCCCAGGCTTCGGCCTCAGCTCGCCTCCCCCCCCGGACCAACCGCCGCGCACGCTCCTGAGCGCCGCGCAGGACGTGCACGCCCTGACGCAACACCTGGGCCTGCGCCGCTACGGCGTCCTCGGCATCTCCGGCGGCGGACCCTACGCGCTCGCGTGTGCGAAAGCGCTGCCCGCGGAGGAGCTGCGCGCCGTGTGCATCGTGTGCGGCATCGGCAGCCCGGACATGGGGTACCGGGGCATGCAATTCCCAAACTACCTGGGCTGGACGTACGGACAGCGCTGGCTGCCCGGGCTGGTGCGCTGGTGGTTCGGGCGGCAGCCGGACGCGCGGCTAGACCTCAGTGACGAGGAGAGGCTGCGGCTCATGCGGCGCGGGTTCGAGAAGGAGAAGGCGGGCATGCATCCGAAAGACGTGGCGTTTTTTGGCGACGAGAATTGGATGAAGATGCGGTTGCGGTTGACGCGGGAGACGTATGCGCAGGGGTTGATGGGCATGTCGGATGATTATCGCGTGTTGAACTCAGATTTCGGGTTCAGGATTGAAGACATCAGGAAGGATTTGCCGGTCCAGGTGTGGCATGGGGATAAGGATGTGTTTGCTCCCACGAGGCATGGGAGGGAGGTTGCGAAGAGGCTGGGCGACAATGCGACGCTGCATATTACGGATGATACGCATGCGAGTATCTCGAAGGATCGCCAGGAGGGGTGGATGGGGGATTTGGTCAAGGCTATCAGAGGCTAGGATGGATCAACGTTGTGGGCGAGTCGCTCTTGGAGTCAGCGTTCTCGCTCGATCGGATGGCGAACGGCCCGGTAGTTGCAGGAGCATTGGTTGGTTTCTGGGGCCCGGGGGCCAACTCGAGTCCTGGAGACTCTGTATTATATCTGTATAATGTCTGTACAAGAGAAATTCTTCATTCATCAACCGGGTCATACGGCTTCACGTCTATCCCACATTTCTCCCCTGGCTCGGGCAGCGTCCCGTTCACCCAATACGCCTGCGTCTTCTGCATCAAACACTCCGATGCCACCCCCAGAGTCCCATGGCCATACGCCTCCACCTCCAGCACCACACTGTCCACGAATGAAGCGCTGGTGTTGTACGCGCTCCTAATCGGCGTGTAGCCATCCCACGTATTGCCGAGCAGCAACATGGGATGCTGGGTCGTGATGTTCTCCCACGGGCCTGTGTAGCGCTCTTTAGCTTCGAATCTCCAGCTGGCACCACCCAGGATGAGGAAGTCTGAGATATCTCCCAAGATGCGGCTCTGTTGGCGCAGGCGCGCGAGGATGGGCTCCATCTGTGAGAGGGACTCTGCACGGAGCACGCGGTCGCTACCCCTGATGCCTATTGTGGCAATGGTCGTTGCCCAAGCGATGATGGGATTGAGAGGGCTGATACAATCGAGACCGATGGCCGCGAGGAGGGTGTACAGCTCGTCGCTCTCGGTCTCATTGGCGAGCAGGAGCGCCGTGATGGTTGCAGTCGCAGGCCACGAAGCAGGGCCATAGATTGAACTGGAGTACATCTGCTTCAGATTGTGATAGTCTAGCGCAACAGTGGCGTTCGAGCTTGTGATGATAATGGGAGCTTCGAGGGTGGAATCGATAAGGTCATAGACGGCGGCTTCCAATGTGGCGCTATCATTGTAGACGGCCGCGAGCGGACAGCGATCCGGGCCCGCATCGATGCAGGTTGACCAAATGCCGGAGAACACCTCATCGGTCTGTAGCCACTCCTCGTAATCCCTAGGCAGCGGTCAGAAACAAGAGCGCTGGAGCCAATGGAGTCAGAAACGTACGCCCAATCATTGTAGTACTCGTGCAAGTTAGTGACCGCGTCAAGAACGATGCGATCTATCCGACTGGGGAACATGGCGGCCACAGTGGCGCCCAAAACCGTCCCATACGAGAACCCTGCATTATATGTTAGCAGACCCTTGAAAGACTGCAGGGGGGATGCAACCTACCCCAGAATCGGAGCATCCCGTCGTCATCCAGTTCATCCACGACGCTCATAAGATCTCTGGCCACAAACGCAGTACCTATGAACTCCCCAATGTCGCTTTGATTGCGAAGGCAACGATCTGCCAGCACCTTGCTCTGAGCCCAGTTTTGCGACGGCGCAGTGTCTGGATTAAGCGTGAATCCTTTCGCGATAGCAAGCAGCTCGAGAGGGTCACCGCCAGTACAGTTCATGGGGTTGTTGATACCTGTACCTCGTGGATCAAAGGCAACGAGATCGTAAACGTTCCCAGTTGCCCTGGTCCAGGTCAGCAGCAGTGTCAAGTGGATGGCGATGTGACTTACGCCATGAGTTTCTTCTCACTGCTAGCAAGTATTTGCCGGGCCTCGGCGCCAGGTCCTCCGAAGTTGAACAGAACACTGCCTTTGGATGGTTGCTCTGTCGCGGGGATGCGGAGAATTGGGAGATCAATGGTCGTTGACGAGGAGTTGGTATAGTCCAGCGGCACCGGAAGTGTGCTACATTCACACGTGTCGCACGGGATCTCCTGGGGCAAGTCTGCACAAGGACTCCATTGGATGCTGCGACTCTGTATTGGCTTTGCCTGGTTCAAGCCGACCAGTACGAGGATATTGAGCAGAGTCGCAACTTTCATCTTTCGGACGTTGACAATATGTAAAGCCATTCACACCTGTGTTGACCGGGTTCTGAACCATCAAGTTGTCATCTTGGCTTTTTATATCTATACACGCACCTAGCAGCCTCCTGTGAATGCCTTGCGAGGCTCACGAGGAAATCAGCTCAGGCAAACGATCCAGCGGCATGTATAGCCCGAAGGGGTAAGTAAGGTGGCCAAGCCCCAGGCCAGGCAATGGCACCTTGGCAAGGCACCGACACTGCCCGAAGCGGTTCATCAAGGCTACTATCGATGGCTGAGAGGTATCGCAGGATCCATATGTCTCTCAATGGTTGGGAAAGCGTGCTGCCGAAGCCTTTACGTTACCAAACTTACGGTCAAGCTGGTACCCAGGAAGGGTTACGGGCTTAGTGCCGATGTGCAGATCATGTCGGATGACTTGAAATTGGATCCGAATTCGCAGCATCACGGCTTTACATGGACCTGGGACCAGAGCGTGTTTGTGATTAGCGTTGGGGCCAATATTAGCATCCTGTCCGCTCATGCTATTGAACAAGCTATTCGTAGAGTGCTTGTTGGGCAGTACAAAGTATGAGGAGTGCACGATCAACACCACAGCTGGTTCTTGTGTCCTTGATGGTGACTGGTTGTTGACCAGACGAGAAGTTCGTATTCGGGTATGGACATGTTGGCGGGATTTGATCCGGCGTCCACTCATGTAGACGAAACGCCAACGCCTAGGGATCTGCCCCAGACTGAACAACGATGCGGTCTTGGCATTTCTAGAAGCAAGCGGCGAGACATTGGAGTAGAGTCCGAAAAAGAAAGACATCCAACTCTGGGAAGTTTCTGTCTCAGACGTAGCCACTGCTCTTCGCAAAATTCATGCCTGCGGCGAAGTAGAAGAGCTTTCCAGCGACCATGTACTTGTCGTCCTGGCTCCATTTGAGTAGCCGGTCGTAGAGTTCGTTCAAAGGCACAACAACTCTCTCAATCAACTCTCCGTCGTCCAGCCTCTGTTCAGGCATGGGTTCATCGGCCTTCAGCTTCACCTCCATCATGACCAGTTGCAGCGTAGCATTTGTCAAGCCGGGGTCACTTGATACGGCCGGAGATGTCTCAAGTATCCTGCCCTCGTATCCCGTCTCCTCCTTCATCTCTCTCACCGCTGCTTGCTCAGCTGTCTCACCTTCATCGATCAGCCCTGCTGGCCATTCGACAGTGTATTTGCCAAGCGGTGGTCGATATTGTATGACGAGCATAGTACTCGGAGGCTTAGAAGGGTGCACGAGGATGTTGCCTATCGCTACGGCGTCGACGCCGGAGGACGAAGTGGTTTTGCGGACTGCGACTTCCCACGAACGAGGCGTCCCAGTTTGGTCGATGAAATCGATCTTCTTCAAGGCCACCCATCGGGCATCCGAGGTTTGCAGATCGCTCCATGAGCGAATCTCGGGCTCCTGTGTCTTCTTTGACGCCATGCTAGCGAAGGTGAAGTCTCGGTCTGCTTCAGAAGAATCCGCCCTCGGGTCCTGGTGGTTGCTGAAACGATTGTGCTGGTCCAGGGAACGCATGAAAGTTTTGTGGGCGCGGACTCAATGGACATCAACTGTGACGTCAGGGTTGCCTTTTGCCAAGACCTACCCACTGCCTTGTCCGAACCTCGCGTTGCCTTCTGAACGTCGGAGCACCCTGTGTATGTATCCAGATCAAGGCCAAACTCTAAGACAATTACTGAGGTCAATAGTTCGGCAACTCACACTTAGGTTCAGAGAAGTTCACTGAAGTGAAAAGAAGATGGGCACAACGAAGATAGGTTAGAGCGGCGGACTGCCAACAGACAACGTCTATAGTCAAGGTAAAGAAGCTCTGGATCACCGAGCTCTAGCCAAACGCTTCGCCAGCACTGTTTCGGCAGCTCACAGTTCCCGCGCATAGACACGCAGCCCATGCACCGCACGAAGCCATATCGGAGAAAGCCGCGAGCTCGTCATTGCCGATCGCTCTGTTTGACTCATAACAGCGATCAAAAGCCTTTGCAAAGGTATATTATGTTGGAGGGGTCTGGATACAACGGCGAAAAAATAAGGCACGCGCTACCAAATTAGGAGTTGCGAGTACACAGCATGGATCAGAAGCAGTTCTTAGCCCTCGTCGACGCTGACCGGGACTCCCATATCTCGTTCCTGCAGACCTTCATACGCGCCCCTTCCCCAAACCCCCCAGGCGACACCACTGATGCCACTAATGTCATTCTGGAGTACCTCAAAGACCGGGGAATACCATCTGAAACCATTGCTCCGCAGCCGCAGATGCCAAATGTCGTCAGCACTTTCTCCGGCGCCTCATCCGGTGAGACTGTTGTCATGAACGGCCACATTGATGTCTTCCCCGTTGCTGATGACACAAGCGACTGGATTCACCCACCATGGTCGGGCCACAATGACGGCAAGTATATCCACGGCCGTGGCGGCGTGGACATGAAGGCTGGAACGGCTGCGAGCGTGATCGCGTACAGCTATCTCTATAGCTTCCGGCAGCACCTGAAGGGGAGCGTCACACTGGCTTGCGTCTCGGACGAAGAGACGGGTGGGAAATGGGGGAGCCGGTATCTATTAGAGCATGATCCGAGGTGTCGGGGAGATGTCATGATCAATGCTGAGCCCGGCGGGCTGCAGAGCATACGCTTTGGAGAGAAGGGAACTCTGAGATTGACTTTCACGGTGCAGACGAAAGGAGCGCATGGGGCTTATGTGCATCTGAGTGAGGGAGCGAACAATATTGTAGCACGTCTGATCACTGCACTCCACTCAATCGAAGAGATTGACGCCAACATCGACGCAGAACTGCGGAAGCACATGCAGCGCGAAGACGTCCGTGACGTGTTGGACGAGGTCATGGGCAAAGGAGCGGCAGACATTGTCATGAAACCGACGGTCAACATCGGCACCGTCCACGGCGGCCTAAAGGTCAACATGATACCTGACAAGTCCATCATGGAGGCTGACATCCGGTTGCCCATCGGCTTGACGCACGCAGATGTCCTCGATCATATTCGCAACCATATCCTGCCGAAATTTCCAGAGGCCACCATGTCCGTCCAAGAAGCAGCTTCCAACCCACCAAACAATTGTCCCGCGAGTCATCGCATGATCGATTCCATCGTCAGGGCCGCCGAAACAGCCACGGGTCGAAAGCCGCTGGCCATCCCGAGTCTGGGTGCCACAGATACCAAGTTCTGGCGCTACCGAGGCATACCGGCGTATGTATTCGGAGTGAGCCCTGAGACCATGGCGGCGACGAACGAGCGGGTAAGCATTGATGAGTTCTTGGCAGTCGTCAAGACACATGCTGCTGCGGTCTGGGAGTACCTAGGTGGACACTGAGAAACGAGCGTGTAAGATCTCCAGGCTGCTGCCAATGAGACATACGCCTTGCATATTCTGGCAACTTCTCCCGGTTGACGCAGGAACGCTTCTGTAGTGAGGTTGTGTACCTTATCAACGAAAATAGAACGCTCAGAAAAAGGCTCATTCCATATCGGCGGCAGAATGCACGAGACGCTCTTCGACGTTGGGGGGCTGTGGACGGCGCCAAGCGAGCGCGCGAATATTCCCTGTTGCATACCCTTGGATGCCAGAAGTTCTTCCCATGCAGCTCACAAATGTTTCGATGAGCATCCGAGCCTAAACTCCCGTCTTAGAGCCCGATGTAGCTGCGTGCGTTCTTTGGTTTGGGTGGGTGAGCTGTCCTGAGCCTGAACGTAAGCAAGTGCAATGAGCGTAGGATCACTCGCCTGAAGACGATACTGTCGAGACTTAGTTCTACGTTTAGCATTGACGACGCAACAGGAAGTCTAGAGAACGAAAAACTTGAGGTGTTGGAGCCCTGAGGTCCGCAGACGTCTACGCGCCAAGCGCGCCGCGGAAGTTTACGACGACTGCATCGACGTGCTCCTGGTCCGCAGCTTCCCTAATCTTTTCAGCTAACTCCTATTTTGAAGCTCGCTTACATCAACTGTGTCTCAATCGAGTTACACGGATTGCAGCCTCGCCTGATCGAGGAGCGTACATGGGATGCCTGATGTTCTAATAAAGGTAAGCGATTTGGGGTATCGCGGTGATTTGGGCAGTCAGAGCTATCAGGCTGAGACTTAGCACACTCTCCAGGCTAATCTTTTGGCTCTGTCGGTAGTGATCCTTGGCTGCTGAAGGATGAATTCCGTTAACCGGGCCAATGGCATTGTGCGATCGACCCTATCTTGCCATCACGGATTGTCTCATACCCCGGGCGACTTAGGGGGCTATAACCCTACTTTCACTCACATCACTAGCCCGAAGTGGTTGCTCAACGGATAGCCACATGGGGCCGTCGATGCGCCGTGCCGTCCCTGGACCCTCAGAAGCCGGATCACGGCCTATGCCGCTACTGCTGTGTAAGTCGGCGGCCAGCCTTACTGCTCGCGACCCTCGATCAATATGTTATTAATATGGCCCAACGAACTTGACTGACACCGATGCTGCTGGCCCGGTGGTCGCTGCCTACACCCTTGAAATGTGTTCTCCGTACGGTGTGAACTGCTCGACGAGTGAGGGCGTGACAGGGTGGTGGAACTGCACATACTATGACAACTGTGGTAGTGTTGCAAACAACGACATTTCAGGCATCGGAGTGAGCTAAACAACGTGTCGACGGCTTCTGCTGCTGACTCAATCACAGGTCCTGATTGCCTTCTTTACCACATCTACGTTGACGTTTATCGTAGCCTGGGCAACCTATATACTGGACGCTGGCTTGGTAACACCTTCTCCGACGACATCACCGGATGGGCTTCGAAAATTTCATCCTCGTGTGCTGGATGACCATCTACTTTCCTGGCTGCATCTGAAGGTCTTGAGGCGCAAGAATCTACCCAAGCTATCGTCACGCTGGCAAAACATCCTCCAGCGATGCATCCTCGCCTTCAGCGACGCTCACCTGATCACCGGCCTGGCTATTCTGGTTGCGGCGTTCAGTCAGGCGCGCACCATTACCGTTTACCATTTCAGCGGCGCTGTGTCTTTGGCCTGGCTATCCTCTACTGTTCATCTGGTCACTCTTGCAATCTGTCGACCCTACTTCCAAGCTCGGGCTGGACTACTCTACTGGCGCTTAGCTGCCATGACCATCCTATGGGGAATGCTGCTGGCAGCTTTGATTCTGACGGCATCACCGCAGGCGCCCTCGGCGTGGTCCGAGAACGACAATTGGGATGACCCTTTCTTCTACGACACCCCCGTCGTTTGCACCTGGTCATGTGGAGCTATGGCACCATGGATTCTCGATGTCATAATCGCCGTCACACTGATTGTGGGCGGTTTCGTGATCCGAGCCTTGAAGCTGGTAAAGCCAGTCGCAGACTTCTGCTCGGTGTGGCTAGTCGAAAAACCTGGCTACTGGACGGAAGATGTGTTTGTGCGCTGCGCGTTGAGGTCTACCGCCTCAGGTAGTGTGTGGTGGCCCCTGTGGACGTTCATCACCTGGCTGGTTGTCTGCCTGTACCTCCATGCTCGTGCCTTCTACGACATCTTCGATTCCCTGCTGTCGGAGCTGACGTGGCTGACGCTGTCATTGATCTGGGGTGCTAATAAAGCTTTTACCTGGCGGTCAGGATCCCCTCTCAACGAATTTGAAGACACTTGGGGGTTTGGACAGATTCTGCCCATGTTTTTACTAATTGCCCCACTGGCAGCAATTCCCGAGATGTACTACGGTAGGCTTCCCGAGACCCTTGGCTTGTATATGCTCACTTTGCCACAGCAGGAGATGGGCAGGACCTGACCACAGCCAACAAACGTCAACGTGCCGCTGTTAGCGGGCCACTCATTGGGATGAATCCCATGTCCCGCCAACCTAGGATGAGATCCAACGACAACACTTCGTACGGCATGATGTGGAAACCTAACACCGCATACGCAGCATCGGAATTGCCCATTCTCTTACGACACCGCGACGCAGCGTACAAGTCCAAAGCCTTCCGGTTCCTCATCTTTGCTTACATGGTTTTGGGCCCCATCTGGCTTATCATGATCATGTACTATCAGCGTGCTGTTGGGGCGAAGAATCCGGCAAACACGGTATTGAAAGGGTTCAAGGACAGTGTGTTACCGATAACACTACTCTTGCCCACTGCAGCATTCTTGGTCCTGTTCGCACCTTTCTCGCCTGTCATTCGCGGCGCTCTAAAAGGAGACAGTTACCAGTCCATTGATGGGACAACTACGGAGCCGGCATTGTGGCTAGGACTGAGAACCAGGCTGCGAGACTTCAGGGTGATGGGACGGCAGCGGTAGTGTTTGGGAGTGGATTGAAGCAGGATACCAGCAGTCGGGAACACGGGACCGAGCCATTCAGGATGAGACATGTAGTATAGATACCGGTCACAGGCTAGACATACGCGTTCTATAGAAAGGTATATGATTCTTGAACAACGACCTTTATGCCATCGGACTCGGAATCGGCGCGAAGTACTTCCGGACTTGGCGCGCTTACCCCGACTTCCCCCTGCTGCGGCCCTCTCCGTATACCACTTGCACACGGTCGACTGATTGTACGTCACTTCAGTTCCGCCGCAAAGATGGTGCTGTCGTTCATCTTGATCCAGAATCGGCAAGGTAAAACCCGTCTGGCCAAATGGTACGCGCCCTATACCGATGAGGAGAAGGTCAAGCTCAAAGGCGAGGTGTGTTCCCTCCCAACTCTCCGATCAAGCATCCATTGACCTGCGGAAGGTTCACCGCCTGATCGCACCGCGCGACCAGAAATATCAGTCCAACTTCGTCGAATTCCGATCCTCTCCGTCGCACTCGTCCTCAGCTTCGCCCCTTGTACGCCAAAACCTCTCCTCCACCAAGATCGTGTACCGACGCTACGCGGGGCTGTTCTTCTGCGTGTGCGTCGACGCCAATGATAATGAGCTGGCATATCTCGAGGCTATACACTTCTTCGTGGAGGTGCTGGATCAGTTCTTCGGAAATGTCTGCGAGTTAGATCTCGTCTTCAACTTCTACAAGGTCTACGCTATTCTGGATGAGGTGTTTCTGGCTGGGGAGATTGAAGAGACGAGCAAGCAGGTGGTACTGACCAGGCTGGAGCACTTGGACAAGCTTGAGTGAGACGTGTGCTCACGTACTGTCGTTGAACATCGACATACGAAGACTGGCCAGTTCAAGCGCAACCGCTTGACCAACTCAAGCCCTCAGCCCTGAGGCTCACGGGATCACCAAGCTTGAGTGTGCGGTTACGTCTCGGCGGGACGAGGGCTGGCCCGTGGCCGTTGCTAGTCAACCGAGCGCAACCCAACCCATAAGTTATAGGCGGCGATGCGTGCGGCTGAACATCACGTTCGGCCAAACTTGCGCGGAGCACGCCATGATCTACGATTGTGGATATCTGAAGCAACCAGCCGCCACCAACGATGTCGCCCAACAAGAGCAAATCTCTGGTGTTGGTACTATTGGGCCACAAGACTTGGATTCACTTTCACGCCAACCCAGACCCGATTCAGGCACCGGCAGAACTCTGTGGATTTCTTAAGCCTGTGTTCAGAATGGTCTTTGACACTTGTGAGGAAGGAAACGAGGTCTTGCTCGGACACCGACAGATTATGCGACCCTACTCACCACATGGTAACGACCTCTGGAATGCGCACACCACAAGGCATTGGAGTTGCCATCTCTTCTTAGCAGCCATTACCGTTGGTATACGAGGATGCAAGCAAGACATCTCCGGATTGACGCTGGCGAAACAAGATATGGTGTTAGCAGATCAGGACACTCCGGGCTTATGTTCGAGCAGACGTGGGACATCATGCCGATGTGACCCCTGATGGTCGTATTGGGCGTGCTGTACAATTGAACGCGACTGTACGTCGTTTTGAGTGATGGAAGATCACAGACCACGGGGTACAGAGCTGTCCGCGTGAGAACTGCGTTGGCCATCGATATCTGAAGAGCCCAGAACTTGAAATACGTACATATGCAATGCCATAGCAATTGAACGGTAGAATCTGCGACCGGTCTTGTCTGCCTCATACAGGTCGAATCAAGCCTCTTAATTGATGTACTTGATTGTGGTTGCCTCGTTTTGACGCCCAAGAAACTCAAATATAAATGCACGCCTTGGCAGCCACCCTCCTCCACACCTCTTCGTCATCTTTTTGTCACCAATAACCACTTCATCGCTCTGCGCTCGCCTCATTCCCTGGTATCATACGCCAATATGTCCGCCCCTTCCATACCAAACCTCAACAGCCTCCGCCGGGGCGGGCCACGCCTCCGCGGCAGCCGTGGGCGAGGCACACCTGGCGGCCCCACCACAGACACACCCTCCTCCCACAACACCGGCACCCGAATCGCCAACCCGCCCGCCCACGCCGCAATCCAGGACCGCATCATCCTCTCTACTGACAACGATGCAGCGACATCACGCCTCTCCGCCGTTGCCACCGGCTACCTGGACGACCCATTTGCTGCCCTGCTACACGCCGACTTACGTTCCGGCACCGCCTCATCTACGAATGCCAATACGGCGGCGAATCCACCGCGTCGCCTCCCGCTGATGAATCGCGGCACGTACGCCCGGACTGTGGGAGTGGATCGAGTGGTAGACACGTTCCTGGCGCAGCATAAGGGTGGGCGGTGCCAAATTGTGAGCCTGGGCGCGGGGAGCGATACGCGCTTCTTTCGGCTGAGGCGGCGGCTGCATCAACAGCAACGGCAGCGGGAGAGTCATGGTGGCAGCGCTGATGATGGAGGATTGCTGGGTGAAGGAATGCTCTACCACGAATTCGACCTGGCGCAAAACACCAAATCCAAAGTCGCGCGACTACGGCGGAAAGAGTTCCAGGAAGCGGCGCGCCAGGAGTGCGGCATGGATTGGAACCCCGCCGTATCCACGCGCAACAGCGACAACGACACCGCCGATACGGACGATGCTACATCCCTGAACGCAGACGAACACGGCTACACGCTCTCCCCCCTCGACCTACGCTCACTTCCCCCACCCCCTCCACCACCATCCACCACACACTCCAACACCACTACCACGACACCACCCCTCCCCATCACTCTAGCCCAAATCAATCGCACGCTCCCCACCCTCCTCATCTCCGAATGCTGCCTCTGCTACCTCCCCCCTTCGGCCGCGGACGTTGTCCTCTCCTTCTTCAGCGCCCTCTTTGTTCCCGATGTCCCACTCGCGATCGTCATCTACGAGCCTATTCGACCCCACGACGCGTTCGGGCGCACCATGGTCGCCAACCTCGCGGGCCGGGGCATCTCGCTGCCGACGCTGGAACGGTATGGTGAGTTGGAGGCGCAGAGGGAGCGGTTGGCGAGGTTTGGGTTTGGTGATGGTACAGAAGAGGGGGGAGAAGAGGGAGGCGGAGGCGAAGGGAAAGGGGCGGGTGCGAGGGCGGTGGATCTCGAGTATGTGTGGCGGGCGTGGGTGGCGGCGGAGGAGAAGGAGCGCGTGGAGGCATTGGAGTGGATGGATGAGGTGGAGGAGTTTGTGCTGCTGGGCAGGCATTATGCTGTGGCGTTTGGGTGGAGAGCTTATGCGAATGACGGAGAGCATGGGAAGGCGGAAGGGGAGGGTGAGGGAGACGCGGCGTGGAGGAACTTGCCTGTGCCGCCCACGAAGCATTAGAAAAGGGCTTCCGTAGGGAGAGGATGAGATTTGATTCACGTCGCGCACAGCCGGTATGGGATGGGCGGGAAATTGCGTTCAGGCTTCCAGCTATAGAGAAACGCTGAGGGTCAGAGAATATACGCTTCCGACTTGAGCCGCATGTGTGCATATACATGCCATGTTACACCACATCGTCAGGACTCTATGTCTGGTCATGGTCGCTCTCATTCTACGCTAGAACATCAACTCAGATCCGTATGAGGCAACACGAGGCGCGAGGCACGAGGAGCGGGCCAAACGGAACATACGCCAACGCTGTGCTCCCCTCCCCTTCCCTTCCAACCTCTTCTGCTGGACATTTGTGGCCATTTCACAGCCACACCAATAACCTCCTACTGTCCTTCCTTTCATTTTTCTGTTTCTACGGCATATCACCGCTTCAAAGCCGAAAATCGTTTCGCCAGGTCATCCACAGTCGGCACGCTCCCTCCCGGCCCACCAGCACCAGCACCAGCACTCGCCTTCTTGACCGGCGCAGCAGGCCTGCCACTCGCAGCTCCACCAGGCTTGGCCTCACCTCCACCCGGCAACCTCACCTTCGGACTGGGATTGTCACTCCTCGCGCCCGGTGGCGCCACGCTGATGGGACTCTTGGCACCGCCCGGCGTGACATCTGTTGGCGGCGTGGCGCGCTGCAGGCCTTTGATGTCGACTCTGCCCGGCCCCTTACCGGCCGGGGTGCTAGGTGGCCGTTGCTGCTGTGCTGCGCCGTCCGCGAGGATAGGCTGCTCTTTAGCGCCGCCATCGTCGATATCGTCATCGTCGTCCATCTCATCATCGACCTCTCCGCGCGTCTCCTCAAGAGCGTCATCTCGCCGCGGCCAATCCACGCCGTATGCCCTCGCAATCTCCTCCAGGTAAGCCTGTACGAGGGCCTCGCGCGGGACCTCGAGTTTCAGCTTCTCGCTGACGCGCCGCGGCACCATCTCGCCGCCCTCGTTATCGTTGACTTTCACGGCCCACTCTTTGCCGAAGCGCTCGACCAGTAGGGCGCGCACGATCGCCAGCTCTTTCACTTCCCGCGGCAGCCGTGGCGCCGCGTACACCAGACTAGCCGCCGCCTCCTCCAGACCCGTCGCTCCGCCCCCCTCACCTCCCGCAGCAGCATCCTCGTCTGCCGACTTGCCGCCCACCAGCCCCTCCTTGATCATCTTATCCCGGTGATCCAGCATGCCTGCTCTCGCCAGCAGCAGCTCGGCGTACAACTCCAGGATCTCCATTAGCTCGACGGTGATGTCGGTGTGGATGATGTTCTCGACGCGGATGCGGGCGGACTGCTCTCGATTGGCGGCTAGGAGGTCAGCCATCTCGCGGCGCGACGCTACAGAGAGGGCCGTGTCTTTCTTCTGTGCATTGCGTAATCGTGGGATTAGGAGGCGGAGCTGGGAGCGGAGCTTGACCTATTTGCAGGAGAGGGAGGTTTGTTAGAGAATTGGACGTGTTCGGAGATGGGTGTATGAAGAGACGGAGAAGGGAGAACGTTGACACGCGGGAGTACGTACTGTTTGTGGTGATAAGGCCGGCATGGTGACGGTCCGGTCTTGTATGTAGATTGGCTCGTGGAGAGAGGAAGTTGAGATGCTGAGGGCCGATTGCTCGGTCGAATACAGCCTCCACCCCTTTGTGATCTGCTATCTTCGTCTAGAGTCCGAGACCAGCACCTCGCTCCTTCATCGACAATCGTAGATGCTCCTGTGCGGCGCAAGGGTCGCCGGCTGTCTGCGAGGCTTGCAGTACTTTGCTCAGTTGAAGCGGGGGGCAGTGCGCCGGGGTATGCTGTTCGAGGGCTCGCGGTTGTGGGTTGCTGACAAGATGGTTGAGCCAAACGTGACACAAAAGCGCTGCTCTGTCTTCGGTAGGATGTTGTTGTTGTTGCGCGCTGTAGTGCAAACGAGCCGCAGTGTTCACTGTGTTTGGTGGTGGAGGGGCGTCTCCGACTGGGTGCAGATCAGGGCGTACGTCAACGCATTGCTACGGTACGCCACAGCGCCATATGGCTGCTCAGCCTCGCCGCCTCAAAACAGTTCCAGCTCCTCGAAGTGCAGAGGGGATCCACGTGCCATGGCTTCAAGATCAGCAACCCACCCTGATCCCTGTTTGAGATCTCCTCGAGACCACGTGGAAGGCCATTATGGGTCTCGCCGATCGCGAAGAAGATCTCCCCTCTAGACCGGCTTCCGTGGAAACGGTGCAGCCATACTATCCCCAAGATGTGAGCCATGAGGGAGATGTTGTCACTCGACATTACGTTAGCTACCTGCACTATGTAATTCGTCGTCAATCGATATGTCGAGACCTTGGCCTCACTGTAAGAGGCGGTAAGAGCGTCTATTGTCGCCCAAACTCCTCCAGGCACACAACATCCCCAGGAATCTTTCAAAGATAAAAACAGATACCCAAATCGCTCATTCGTAGTCTTCACATCTTTCACGTCTTCGTCCACCGACGTGACATCGTTATTGAGGGCATTGTGGTTTCTTTGCGCTTGTGTCTGTTGTCGCACACCGGGTCTCCAATCCAGTTGTCCCATCTTCTGGTCCGTCAGTACACACTGCGACTGTACAAGTACGCTGAGCCGCGTTCGTACTAGGCGCACGAGTCATCTCCCCTGTCCAGAAGGTATGTTCGAAGATAAGTAAATATGTACGGGTATCGCAGAATGTAATGTATCAACATTCGTCATCGGAATCCGAGTCCAGCCGATTAAATGAGAAAATAGGGAGTGCCAGATCCAGTTGGCGGGAGGTCCACCTTGTTGTTTTGTGTGATGGCTCGAGGCGCATCATAGCATTGCTACAGCAGCGAGCAGAGCGACCGCGAAGCCGGCAATCGAGAATGATTGCTGCGTGGCGCCGGAGCTCGATAGAGTCGGAGCCGCCGATGGGCCAGCGGCAGTAGCTTCGGCTGGCCTCTCGGTGGTTGGCGTGGCCGACGCCGAGTCTGATGAATCAGTCGCAAACAGGTCCTTGTTGGGCATCTTGGAGGGGTTAGGTCCATACGAGGTCGAAGAGACGGAGTAGTTGCCAGAGGCCGAGCTCCAGGAGGAGCTCCATTCAGTTGTAGAAGCAGTGTTAGAGGCACTAGTCGTGCTGCTCATGGCGTCCTCCCACGTCGAAGCTGAAGGCTTGCCAGGGAAGAACTGTCCGGGGTTGCTACCGCCTGAACCGCCATAGACGACAAAGTTGGCGGTTGAACCCTTGGGCACAGTGACCACACAGAAGCTACCACCACCAGCGCCACTGGACTTGCTGCCCTTCATCTGGTTCACCCAGTTGTCCTTGGGGCTGATCTCGCACGGCAAGCCGTTGCATTTGCCGTCGGGGCACTCGATCCGGACGCCCCAGTTAGGCATCTGGTTGCGGAAGGGAGTGGTAGGCTCGAGGTAGATTGGGTTCCAGCCAAGCTTGATAAAGGTCTCACCGTTATCGACGACGTTGGTACCGGCAACATAGGGACTCCAATTACCGACATCCTTCTGATTGGTGCCCCAAACGCAGGCTTCGCCCGCACCAACGCCAGGGCCGTTGATGTAGTAGTGGGCAGCGGTCTTGCACCAGTAGTCGGTGCCCGGATTGGCAAGGGTGGCAGTGTCGTAGACTTCGGTCGGAATCAACATGGCTTCGTTGCCAGGCAAAACGGTCTGGCAGAAAGAGACCACGCCACCCGCCTCATTCTGGACGCCGATGTTGGATTGCGTGCTCTGGCAATATGGCTTGTCGGGGAACGGCTTCGAGATCTGGCCACTGTTGTCGCAATACAGACCACCATTCTACGGGGGTTAGCTGAATAATGTTATGTAACGAGTTGCCTTACCATCGATTGAGGATATGTATATGAAGTCGCCTCGGGGTCCCACTGTGCCATGACTTGACCTGGCGGGCAAGCATACGGGCAGTAGTTGCCCGGCTTGCAGGGCTGGTCCGGGCTCATGGCCCATCCGGCATTCATCGAGCCAGGTGTTACCGGCACCAGACCGGCGTCGTAAGGGAACGCGCATTGTCCATCGCGCTTCTCAACGATCGGCGCAGCAGTCTCTGGGGAAGGCGATCTGATCTCCACACCCACTCCGGCGGTCTCGGGTGTCGATCGCGCAAGACGATCATGATGCCGACGGTGGAGCGCTTGAACGTGCTCGTGCACAGCGTGCTTGGCGCTGGCGCTGGCGAAGGAAGCAAGAAGCAGAACGGCGCTGGCGCTCGACAGGAGGATACTATTTGATCTCATCTTGGCGATATGTATTCTGTTGTCGTGATATGTGCATATGAAGTCGAAAGGCAGGCGACGAACGTCGAGCGGCGTCTAGCGTAGCGATCGCAATTCGGGAATGAATGACTTGGGGTGAGTTTCGCGAGCTGGTAAGGAACGTGGGTGCTGGCGAACAAGCGCACAGCGAAAGGGACAACAACAGCAACCGTGAGAAGGGAACGAAACCACGCGACAGCGAGGTGAGGGCCGATTAAAGCGTATGCCCGGGGAGGGGTTGGCAACACCAGGGTCAGGAGTCACGAAACCATGGACATCGCAAACCAAGCCGTCGCGCTGGAGATTGCCCGGCGACGGACCATGACGCCGGCGCGAGGCTAGACAAGGCTGAGCGGGCCAAGTTTCGACAGTGTTTGGTAGCAGGGGTCTTAGTCGACGATTTGGCTTTGACAGGTAATTTCCGACGCACGCTAATGGTGTGAAAACCTCAAGAAAAGTCGGTAGAGGCTGTAGACAAGCATCATGATAGGCGCGTGTATCCGGCTGACTGTGACTTGCGTCAAATGAAAGCGGGAAACAGCAATTTCATGTTGATCAACCTTTTACAGCCCTGAAAATCATCTCGTGAGGCTCGATCCGGTGGAATAGTATACCTAGATAATGTTTGCGTGGTGTCAGCTGCGAGATATACTTTGTACCTTGCTGTTGTGTCGCGGTCTACATGGTGCGATCTTGTCTCAAGGCACGCGGTGTTCAAGGCGAGCGCGTCGAGGCTTTACCGACGGTGGTTTGAGAGTGCATCATAATACTCGGTAAGCGAGGTTAATGTCGAGTCGACGCGCTTCCATGGCATGGCAACCCGCTAGCGTGCTACCGACTGCCGGGGTCGCTGCTGGTTGGTACCGAGCACCGATTTCTGAAATTGAGTGAGGTAGCACTGGGTGAAGATGAAGGACTTGAGATAATAATGGAACGTGATGGTGGGAGGTGTTGACAGTTGGTTTCGAGTTGAAGCGAGATCTTCTACGGCGGGTTATTCACGCCACATGATGCACCGGCTTCGGATCACGTGATGGCCTCAGTCGCTGTGCTGGATTTCAGTCTGAGCATGCTGCCTGCCAATATCATAGATCATCCTCCTGATCCAGTTCGCTGTATCCGTCGTCACCTTCCAGCGGCTGCAGCTCGGCTTTTTTCTGACGCAGCAGGTATCTCCTCGTCCACCATGGCAAATATTCCGTGACCTGATATCGAATGAACTTTCTTGTGCTGATCGAGAACACGTCGTCCAGCTCTTCCAAGGTTTTCAGCCGGGTCTCCGGGACGCAGAGGAAGACCAAGATCAGGGCTACCACGTTGAGACCAGCATACAGAGTAAACGCGCCCTGCGAGCCTAAGGTCGACAGGAGCTGTGGGAAGGTCAATGACAGCGCCGACGCCCAAATGTTGGTGAAAGCGACGGCCGAACTCATGCCAATTTCTCGGTGCGAAAGTGGGAATACCTCAGCGGCGTATGCAGCGGGGACTGGACCCATACCAGGCGAGTACTCGGCGCAGAAGAGGTAGATCATCGTAGCCAGCAGTCCAAAGTGCGCAGGGCTTTCCTGTGGGATACTGTAGGCCAGTCCGGCCGCAAGCATCGTGACAGCCATGAAAGGAAGGGTAAGGAGAAGCAACGACCGGCGACCCAGTGTGTCCATCGTCCACACAGCAGGAAATGCACCAACAAAATTGACAAACCCAAAAACCGTTGACGCCATCAGGGCGCCGAAGGTTGAGAAGTCGGCATCGGCGAAGATTGTGGACGAGTAAAAGCTAATGATGTTGATCCCGCAAAGCTGCTGACAGACCATGACCGTGTATGCTCCGAGTGTTGCACGGCGGATGCGTGGGATGGTGAACAGCTCGGCTATTTGCTTCAAATACGAAGTGTGGGCCTCTTCCTTGTTAGAGCGCTGAAGATGCGAGAGATAGAGCTCTTTGGCGGCCTGGAGCTCTGTGTTTCGCAGCTTAACAAGTGACTGGTACGCCAGGTCGTAGCGGCCACCATGTTTGATCCTCCAGGCCGGAGATTCGGGACATACGTAGATAAGAGCCAGAAGCGGGATGGTGGAGAGCACAGGTCCGGCTAATTGGAGCCGCCAGGTGTTTGGGCCGAAATCGTATACTGCAACGTTGGCAACAAAGCCAGTAAAGATTCCAAAGGCGCAAAACATCTGCCAGGACACTGCTAGCCCACCGCGAATGGCAGCAGGGATACATTCTGCAGCAAAGACGTTGAGTGTGCTGCTAATGACTCCCAGTGCACAGCCCAAGAGTAACCGGAAGAAGAGTAGTTGTTGCCAGTTCTGTGTCAGCGCGCCTCCAATGTTGGTAATGAAAGAGACCAAAGTGGCACCGAATACGGCTCCGCGGCGACCGAGGCGTTGATTGAGTGGTGCCACAAGCCAAGCACCAAGCAGACCGTTGCTGAGATAGATTCCAGAGTTGAGCAAGCCAAGGATCATGTTGTTGCGCGGCGTATCGGCATCGATGCCAAATGCATTGGGAAAGTACAGATTTGCGCCGTTCATGCTCGTCTGCGCCCATCCTTGGCCCATTGCTCCCAACGCCGTGACCACGACGGTGAGATACATCAGGAAGGGCTGCCTCCATTTCCGGGTCGTTTCGTCCCGGAGGGCCTTAAGCTCAGGCGCCGTGATGCCCGGGATCTGATGAATCGCAACGTCAGTCTGTATCAGCAAGGCCGCTTTCTGCAGAACGTCGAGCTTGTGACTGAGGCCGAAGGTCTTTGCAAACGCCACTACCTCCCCCGAAGCGAGGTCTGTGGGAAGATCAGGGAACTGCTCGATCGCTTCGTCATCGGCCTCCTCATGATGGCTCGCAGCTCCGGCGAGAGGCTCAAGAGCTTCGCTATCTGCGTCATCTTTCCGCATTGCGATGCATTACTAGCCAGAGGCTAAGTGATATAGGCGGGTCAAGAAAAGGAAAGGTGTCGCGTGGTACGGATGACTCGAATGTGGCGGTGTCACAAGTCGAACACGGGAGAAGTGGGGCGGGGAAGGAGCGAATCAGATTTATGCTTGCCATGACTGTAAGGACTCTCTACACTCGCATCTTTCTATACTCTATGGGATTATGCATAACTGAAACTGTTCCTGCAGAGCGGACATGTTGAACTGTTGGAGCTCTTGAACCAGCGGAACAAGCAAGAACCGTGGAACATGTTTTTGCATGTCCCGCACTTCTTGTTCGGCGTCTGCATGTCGGTGCCGATGATGCTGTAGCAGATGGAGCATTCACCCTGCCCTTTTAGTGCTCCCTGGACGTTGCGTCGGAATGCAACAAGTCCTTCTATGATGCTTCCCGTGCTGAAGATGATGATTTGGATAGTACGGAGCCACGATTGCCAGTTCTTCTCCGAGACTGCAACTCGAGTCTTACTCACCACTGTGGGTGACTCCAGCGGGTAAGCTGCTGGAAGTATGACGGAAATAGCGATTGGAGGTGATTCGGGATCGATTTCCATCGAGGCGACAAGATCGAAGCTGCGTGTGCTGGTCTTGACCTCGACAGGCGTGTCGTCCTTATCTTGACTCTTGGCCCAGTCCGACACCGTTTCGAACGATGCCGCAACAATCGATGCTGATATGTGTTTTTGCGTCCACGCTTCCAAGGGCGATTTGATGCGGTTCTTTTGTTCGATATACCATGCTTTGACCAAGCTTGGCGTGAGTAGGAGACAACAATAGTAAAGATGTGTGTTGAGCCACAGCATTTCTTTCTCCTCCGACTCGCTTGTACCCAGTTCGAAATTCTCGAAGTCGTGCTTGGAGGCATCAACTGGCCGATTGCTTGTTATTCGGACAGTCTCGCAGATCGAGGTCAAGAGAGCTTGTAGACAATTTGACTGCTTCAGGTCGGCCACATACATTTCCTTCAACATGTATGAAGCATTTTCGAAATGGTCAAAGATAAGCTTCCAACATAAAAGATACCTCTTCCACGTTATTGGCATGTCGTATCCGTCACCAATCAGGTCGAGCAGCTCAGTCGGGAGATGCAGGACCTGCTTCTCGAGGACGAGCTCCACTGAGAGCTGTTCTTGTCGTTGTGGAATCGCCTGATGAAGGATCTGATACGCTGTATCGAGCACAGCATTTGATGACGTCGACATGAGAGGTATGATGGAACTTGTGTCCTTCACCTGCACATTGCGGAGTAGTCTTCCAAGAAGAGAAGCACAGGTGTGCCGTGGTTGGTTCGTGCCCTCGCTAGGTTGAGCGAAGAGCTGCAAGCAATGCAGGAGAGCGTCCTCCGTCTTTGGCTTGGTGGCCGTCCATGCGTCCTGAAGATCTTCATTGACGTCTTCGGCGCTTACAAGCAAGCTCAACTTCTGGTACAACCTGAGCGTCGAATTGAGCGTCGGTAGGTCACCTTCCGGGTCGTTCAATTCGATCCATGTATCAACAAGGGTGTTGAGTATGTCCTGCCAGTGTTCACCATAGATGTCCTGAACCGCAGGAAGAACAGACGTGAGCAATTTGAAGATCTCCGACTCGATGACTAGATCGAGTGTGCCTGAAGACAGAAGTTGAACAAGATTCTGCATGAGGAATACCAGTCTTTGAGACTGAACTCCTTCGAGCGCATCCGAGAATCCGTTGAGAATGATATTGAGGAGCACCAACGGCTTCATCGTGGCCACTGTGAGCTGTTCAGTTTTGAGGTCCGTGAGATCACTGACCAACTCATTCAATACTCTCCGCCCGACATTGGATGATACGAGGTACTCCCGGGCGCTGTATACGATGCATGCCGACTGAACGACATCGGGTGAACGATGCAGCCTTTTGATCTGGGTTTCATACTGAGCAGCAAGCATATTGCCGCCGTCCCGCTCGGCTACACGAGCTGCAACATCAGCGAAGGCTAGGCCGGTCAGGTACGAACGAGTGGTCAAGTCCTGCAGATCGCTCAGTCTGACCAGCCAATCGCTCACGAACGAGGAGTCCGAATCAACCAACCAACTCTGAATGATCGCGTTACCTTGTGATAAGACATCTGCCGCCTCGTCAATGACTTCGGGGGTGGTATTTATCCAGATGTCATTGGCTGATTCCAAGGTCAATTTCTCGTTGACTAGCTGAAGTGCGATGGGAAAGTACTGATAGAGCGCGGTAGGTGATGCCTCTCCGACAGACTCAACAAATGACGGGGTGGATGCTAGCTTCGTGATATAGACTGCCAATCTGAACGCCATCGAGAAGTCTTCAGCGTCACGGATGGAATCGTCAGGTACAGCCTTCCCATCCTCGAGCATATATATCAGTCCCTGTAACGGGCTGCTGATAGCAAGCGAGGCAGGCCTCTTGCCTTTCATATGCCCAACGAGAGCTGACTCCCACTGTTCAATGGTTGGCAGAAGACTGCTGGCGACAGCTATTTTGTCGGTGGCACTCTGATACTCACCGCATGCTAACTCGGCCAATGACAATATTGATATTTGCGGCTGAGCGCCAGACAGCTGATCCAGAATCAGATTGAGCGTGGTCGATGAGCCTGACACTGGCCCGTACTGAGTGCCCTTAAGTTTAGAGAGCAGACCATTGGCAGCCTCGATAACTTCAGGGTTTGCGGAGTCCGCGAGAAACAGTAGACGGGCTAGAATCTCACCTGAACGTTCATCAGAAATGAGGGTCACCTTCGCTTCCTTGTTGGCAGTGACTTCGTCTAGGAGCTTGATGATTTCGAGTCGAGTGACCGTTGTTGACTCGGCAGACAGATCTCCCAGCACGCGCTGAACGTACTGACCAATGACCGGAGTAGCTCGAAGACTCGGGTTGGCGAGGAATGCAGTTATAACAGAAGCCTTCGTAGTGGTGAGTAGAAGAGAAGCCAGTTCTGGGCTGAGGTCGACATCTTCGGGCATCGCATTGCTCAGGAGCGCTATCAGCGCTTTCTCGCCATACTCACTACTCGGTGCGGATGCTGCCAGCGAGGAGAGAAGTAAGCCTGCAGGTCTGCCGCAGACACGCCAAAGAGCAACAAGGCGGTCGGCCGATGGTGAATGGAGAAGCTGCTTCACATCATTGTCCAAGAACTCCTGAACACTTGTATCGGTTTTCTTAAAATTTTCTTGCGAAACCACTCCAAGAAGCACAGCAGCTGCGCCGTAAGGTTTACCATTGCGGTTTCTGAGCAAATCTATTGCAACACCGATGAGGTTCTGGTCCGCAGATCTGAAAGATGAGCTCAAAGCTTCAGAAATTGGTGCGGTCGAGATTTGTCCAGAGGCGCTTTGAAGCCTGACGAGCCGAGTCGCATGGGCGACGATGTTGTCCTGGGATGCTTTGAAGTCCTTGGAGGCTTCCGGTAAGGAGAGACGCATCTTCTCAGCTAGATTCGCGGAAAGGTCCAGCCACAGCCTTGCCACCTCATCTTGATGATCTCCTTCTCGCAATCTAGTCAAAATGTCGGCAGCTAGGCGTGGCCCTGAAACAGCTGGAAACCCGGTAGCCTCCCGGCTTGGATCAACGTAGCGTGTAACTAGATTCAGGATGTGATCGCGCATGAATTTGGTTTGGTCATCTCTGGTGCCGAGAAGCCCTTGCATCCAGAAGACCAAGTCGATATAGCATGACCATGCTGCGGTCAGATTCGGTCGAGGCTCATCCTGATTAGTGACACCGTCATAAACTGCTTCAGCAAGGGCGTCTGCAGCCTCAAGACCAAAACTCGTGTCGTCCTTGGTTATTGCGGTGGGCGGAATCATTCGGACCAAGGTAGTGATATTGCGCCAGACGGCGTCAGTGCCTCTCTGAGAGCCCTTTCTTAAGTATTGACACAATCGTTTCGAAGCGGTGGCTTTACCAGTGTAATCAGATGTCCATATTTCAGGCCTAGTAGTGGTGAGTGCCACAATGGCTTCCGAGAACTGGCTGGAGGATCCAAGCTGGTCGGCAGTGAGGCCCTTGGCCAGGAACCTTGAGCTCATGACCTGCCAGTCCAACTCACTTTTGAACTCTCCCGTGCACAAAATTGCCAAAGTGCACACGCTGCGTCTCAGGTAGGGGTCTTGGTGGCTCACAAAGTCCCAGAGACTCTTGTTCGTCACAAGTGCACTTACCTTTAGATGAAAGTCTGAAGAACCTGCATGCGCTCTGATCAGGTATCCAATCATGGTCATTGCGGAACCAGCGACACGGGCATACTTGGATTCGGCATCGTCTTTGCTCGTCGACCGCTCATCGCTCAAGGATTGTACTGTTTGAGCAAGGATTGCATCCTCGGCGTACTCGAGCAGTGAGTCCTTGTACACCTTCCATAGAGCCTGTCGTTTCTCCGCGGCGGGAAAGGCCAGGATTAAAGCATCAGCAGCAGCTCTAGCTACAGCCCTGTCACTGTCATATTGTCCGCATAGCCACGGTCCAACGGCCTTAGGAAGGCGCGGGGCAATCCTCTTTCCGGCGGCAGTAGTCAGAGAGCCTTGGAGATTGTGTGCCAGCTGCCGGACTCGTCGAGAGTTGTCTATCGATGTTCTTGGGTATAGTGCAACCTGCAGCGATGTCAGCGACACACATGACATTGTAGGCAATTTCACATACCCAGGCAGTGATTACGGCATCTTCCACGTTTGCACCCACAGACTTGACATGTTCTTGGAATTCTTCTAGAGCCTTTGATTTTGTGGTGCTATCTTTCTTCCCGAGATTCCGTAACGACACGACAACGTTGGGATCGGATACGCCGGTCAGGTCTGGCTGCTCTGCAATGTACGAAAGTGAAGAAGCAGAAGAGGTGCTGCCAAAGCCAAAGGACGAAGTTCCGAAGGCGGCATTGGCGGCACGAGCACTGGACGCCTGCGACTTGAACTTCTTGCTCATCTTCGGCTCAATCACTGACGTCCGAGAGCAGGCGGTCTTCGAAGGGGAGAGCAGAAGGGGAGTGAAGAGTCATATACTACTGCAGTTCAGGCTGCGCACTGCGGCGCAACATCGATAAAAAATGTTTGTAAAGACTGACGTCATCTCCAAAACGCGACTTTGCGAGCGCGTCAAATCATTTGTGCTGCAGATCATCCATCATCGACACCTTTGCTGCCTGGATATGGGAGCCTGCCAAACGATGACCTGAATGACCCGCAACGACTTTACGAGCCTCACGAACCTGAACTGCTTGTCTTGAGCATGCGAGATCTCGCTCTGCAACGAACATCGCACTCCCCGACAAGATGAAGTTCTTCATTGACGATCTGCCAGTGCTGTTTCCGTACGGGCGAATCTATCCTGAGCAATATGCATACATGTGCGATCTCAAGAGGACGCTGGACGCCGGCGGCCACTGCGTCTTAGAAATGCCCTCGGGAACTGGCAAGACCATATCCTTGCTCTCACTAATTGTAGCCTATCAGCAATTCTACCCGGAGCACAGGAAGCTCATCTATTGCTCCCGTACCATGTCCGAGATTGAAAAGGCATTGGCTGAGCTGAAGCGTCTGATGAAATACCGAACCGAGCAGCTGGGTCACGAGGAAGAGTTCCGCGGTCTCGGTCTGACAAGTCGAAAGAACCTCTGTCTACATCCCTCGGTCAAACGAGAAAAAAGTGGCGCTGTCGTCGATGCGCGGTGTCGAAGTCTGACAGCAGGCTTCGTGAGGGAGAAGAAAGAGAGGGGTGACGATGTTGAAGTCTGCGTCTATCATGATAACCTCGATCTACTCGAGCCTCATAATCTGCTCCCACCAGGCGTCTTCACTCTAGATGGACTAATTCAATACGGAGAACAGCACAAGCAGTGTCCCTACTTCTCAGCTCGACGCATGATGTCCTTTTGCAACGTCATCATTTATTCTTATCATTATCTCCTCGACCCCAAGATCGCCGAGCGAGTATCCAAAGAATTGTCCAAGGATTGTATCGTGGTTTTCGACGAAGCTCACAATATTGACAATGTCTGCATCGAATCACTGTCTATAGACCTGACCGAAGACTCGTTGCGGAAAGCCACGAGAGGAGCCAACAACCTCGAGCGAAAGATTGAGGAAATGAAGGATTCGGACGAGCAGAAGCTCCAGGACGAGTACTCGAAGCTGGTTGAGGGTCTACGCGAGGCGGATGAAGCACGAGCTGAAGATGCATTTATGGCAAACCCCACCTTACCGGACGATCTGCTCAAAGAAGCAGTACCGGGCAACATTCGTCGAGCAGAGCATTTTGTGGCTTTCCTCAAGCGGTTCATCGAATACCTGAAGACGCGAATGAAGGTGCTCTATGTTATCCAAGAAACCCCGCCCTCCTTCCTCGCTCATCTCAAGGAGCTGACATTCATCGAGCGAAAGCCCCTTCGCTTCTGCGCCGAGCGTCTGACATCGCTCGTACGCACTCTCGAGCTCACCAACATCGAAGACTACCAGCCTCTTCAAGAAGTAGCGACCTTTGCCACCCTCGCTGCCACCTATGAGACCGGCTTTCTTCTGATCCTCGAGCCATTTGAGACCGAGCAAGCCCAGGTCCCCAATCCTATTCTCCACTTTACTTGTCTCGATGCCTCCATTGCCATTAAACCTGTGCTGGAGCGCTTCTCGTCCGTCATCATTACCTCTGGTACCATCTCTCCCCTCGAAATGTACCCCAAGATGCTCAATTTCAGCACCGTCCTCCAAGAATCATACCCCATGTCACTGGCTCGCCGCTCGTTCCTCCCGTTAATCATTAGCAAAGGTTCCGACCAGCAAAAGATAACATCATCCTTCGGACACCGATCCGATCCTGGCGTGGTCCGGAATTATGGCGCACTACTATATGAATTCGCCAAGATCACACCCGACGGCCTCGTGGTCTTCTTCCCCTCCTACCTTTACATGGAAATGATCATCTCCATGTGGCAGGGAATGGGCGTTCTCGACCAGATCTGGCAGTACAAGCTTATCCTCGTAGAGACGCCGGACGCACAAGAGACCTCCCTCGCGCTGGAAACCTACCGCACCGCTTGCGAGAATGGTAAGGGCGCAATCCTGCTTTGTGTCGCTCGTGGCAAAGTCTCGGAGGGTATAGATTTCGATCACCACTATGGGCGCTCGGTGCTGTGCTTGGGCGCGCCATACCAGTATACTGAGAGTCGTATCCTGAAAGCGCGCTTAGAGTTTCTGAACGACGCCTACCGCATCCCACCAAACGACTTTCTATCTTTCGATGCTATGCGACACGCTGCACAATGCCTAGGCCGAGTTCTTCGTGGCAAAGACGATTACGGAGTGATGGTTCTTGCCGATAATCGCTTCATCAAACGACGCAATCAATTGCCAAGGTGGATCTCTGATGAGATCCTCGACAACCACACGAACTTGAGCACAGATGCAGCGGTGGGAATGGCGCGCAAATTTTTGCGAGGTATCGCACAGCCACTCGAAAGTGTGAAGAAACCGACTGGAACTGGGGTGGAGGGCCTAAAGGGTAAAGATAGCTGGAGCCTCGAAGAGCTGGAGATTTGGCAGCGCGAGCAGGATCGTAACAGAGGCCAGGGCGATGTGGGTAGGGAGGGTGTTGGGGAGTGGGACTACATGGCTGTGGACCATAAGGATAGCGAGTTAAATGGTAATGGCGTCCACACGAATGGTCATGACGCTGGCCGCGGCAGGAACTACGAGACTGGAGCAGGGACAGATGAATTTGGTGAAGAGGTGGCCGACGAAGACTTGATGATTGCAGAAGCAGCGATCTAAACCCGACCGAGGCCCAACAAGGATGAATTCGTCATGTGCGAGATGACAGGAAGCACCATGTGCAACGGCAATGCGATGAGCACCAATTGGAGCACATCGAACTGCGAACTTCGTTCATTGGTTATAGACACCACGCGCTCGCTTGGTGCGGAAGAGGATTCTGGTTCGAGCCATGCCATGTCTCTCACCATGATGGAGCTTCGGCCGGATTCGAAACTGCACTCGCCTGCTGCCATGTCGGCCACAGACCAGCAAAAACGCCGACCATGTCCACCAAACCTGGCCTTTAGTGAATGCGTTAGACGTTGTCTCCGCCGTTCGATGCCTGTTACTGTGCATGCGCAAAGCACTGGCTACACAACATCCCCCAAACACCACCCTCGAAACAAGCAGCCAAGCCGTGCAAGCCGTCCGCCGTACCTGCGCCTCCGCACACACATATACCCCCCAGCTTCTGCAGCCACCTGCCTCGATCCCCTTCGGCAGCATGGCCAGCGGCTACCCTCACATCTGACTGCTCATTGTGGCGGGCAAGAGCTTGCTGGTACCTACTGAGGTCGGGCACTACGCGAGTCAGCCACTGCAGCATGCAAAAGCCGATTTTGAACGAGGAGCAGCCCAGCTCATCGCGCATCAGATTTAGATGGATGTCGACCGGCACGGGGGCGTCTGGTGGATTCTCCCGACGAAGTCCAGGGCTTCTGGAAAACTGCACGGGCTCACATCTAGGCTTATTAGGTGCCAGACCTTCCGCGCATCCTCTGAAGCTGTCTGAACAGGTAACTCCATAGGACTGGCCGGCGCAAAAGGCAGCCTGCTAGCTTCCCTCCTGCGAGCCCATATAGTCATATGCAACCTCCTGCTGCTTTCTGCAAGGCTCCTAAATTGTACATTACTCCCCCCCGTCTAAGAGCTGTTTTCCTGCAAGCACTAGCAACAACGTCTCTACTCCATGTCGACCGATCGATCTGTTCCCGCTAAAAGACTACACCCAGGTCCGCGTTACGTCGCCTGATCAATGCTCTGTCGTGGTAGTGGACCTCGTCCTGGTGAAGACAGTGGACGTGGCGCCCGGCTCGCCCGTCTCTGTCTCGGTCGTGGTCGACGTCACGTGGCGCGTTCTGGTGGTGTCGTGGTAGGAAGTCAGCGTACTGGTTGTCCACCGCACTTCTGCGGCGCGCCGCCGTGGGGCCGTCGTCGGTGATGTAGTAGTGGGAGAAGGCGTAGACTCTCTGAGGAGTGTAGATGGCCGGGAGGGCGCTGTCGCGTGTGTGAACCAACTGTGCGCATTCTGCGCAGAACGGGTTGGGTCCTTTGTTTCGGTCATCGTGGCATCCGTATCTCCCGATACGAGCGGCGTTGCAGATCGCTTTGATGGGTGGACAGTCACCGTACCTGTGACCCAGGACTCTCGATTAATGACCAGCACCTCTGTCGAGACTGTGGAAGTTGGATGCGTTGTCTTTGTCAGGGTCACCCAGTGGGTGGAGGTGGATGTCCGTGTCTGCGGGAGCTTGATGACAATGACCTGCGTCTGCATCGTCACTGACTCGCTCAGCGTGGATGTCGAGGTTGAGGCCGAGGTAGACGAGGCTGTGGAGGTCTTGGTCTGTGTGATAGTAGCTGTTGAGGGTTTGGGGATCGATGGAGGCGACAATGTTGTGAGAGACTGGTCGGTGTCAGTGCGTGTGGTCTTGGTCGTGATGGTTCGGTCTGATGGCGGAGGCGTGGTTGTCTCATCGACAGTCTCGCTGTGGTGCTCAGTTTGAATCGATACAAGTAGCGAGGTCGAAGTTGCGACTGAGGATTCCGTCATCGTTGTGATCGACAAAATAGCCGGAACTGTTGTGGTCATCGCTTCTGGACTTGCCGCGTGTAAATCAGAAGTCTTCGCATGCTGCTCAGCTGGTTGCTTCGCTATCTTGAGCACAAGCGCCGTAATGGCAGCCAGCAGCAGTACGACGAGGGTCGCAAGTATGAGCCAGGGCCACAATTTCTGATTCTGTCTAGGTGGGCGGGCGGGGAGGCCCACGTCAGAAGGAGGGATGAGCCGTGGCTTAAGGTCACGAGAGTCGGGTCTACCGTCAAGAGGGAGAGTCTTCAATGGTGTATGGTAGTACGCCATTTCGTCTTCGTGCGAGAGTATCATTGATTGGTGGCTGTATGGGATACACGGACAAAGAAAATGAGTGCTGACTTTCAATATGTTACTAAGATGATTACCGCGTTTGACGGTCCTCTCCTTTGTCAGAGCTGGCATTGTTTGCAGCGGCTGACTCTGAGACGCGCGAGGTGCGAAAGTGAGCATCCGTCACTGCGACTCAACGACGATTGGAGACCGAAGCAAATGGTCTTGTATCAGAGCAGACTGGACTAGGGCAGGTTTCCATCGCAATATTAGTGTTCTCCATGGTACAGCTGTACTGGCGCAGACAGATTCGACATGGTTGCAATGCGGACTTCGTCTCCCCATCTCTATAGCTCGTCAGACACAGTTACTATGTAGAATGCGACCTTTTCCTCAAATCTAGCATGGTGCAACCCCGCCATCTACACCAATACACAAAGAAGCGCTCGCACAGCTAGTTGACCCTCTTTGAGAGCTGTCACATCAACCAATACAGCAGTCCACCGTTCCGCGTTCGAATCCAGGCAAAGTGATGGCATTCTCTTGTCTTCGACAAGTCTGCTGTTCTGGGGCTAGGCTGTCGGTTCATCCGCCTGGCTGTCTTTTTGGTCCGGTAAGCAGCGCTGGAAGTACTCAACTGCTTTCTGCTCGTGCGAGAAAGCTATGGTTGGAACTCTGGAGTTTGCCCCATCGTCGAACAACACATTAAAGAGCCAAGAATCCGACAAGAATACTTCACCCCTTCAGACAGCTTGAGAACTGCAAGACCTCGGTATCTACTTTTCATCGTCTGTCCATCTCTCTGACGACATGCTTCGGAGAAGAGGCAAGATGATACGGAATGGCTGGCGGCTTTAGAGACGCATGAGTGCATATTCGATTGCTATCTTGGGGGACACCCATCCCTCCAGTTGCAGTGTTCTGACAAAGTCAGCTGCTCAAACCGAGAACGTCGTCGATTGTGCCTGACCACCCGATCTACCCTTCCCTGATCCCACACCGAGCCTGTTCAAACACCATTTTCTTCCCCTCGCAAGAATGTTTGACTGTGCATAAGGGCCCCACTCGGAGGATCTAGAATTCCTGCACCACAGGTCCCAGAAAGCCTCTCAAGCTGCTGATTTCGTCAGTCGAGAGCTTGTTCTTGACCGTCGTATACACCTTAACAGTTCCAACGACTCGAGCAGCATCCACCTGACCAGCCTCAACTTGGCGCTTGAGCTTCTCTGTCCAACTCCTGTAACCTGGAGCCATGACTGCGGCAAAGCCGTCTTCGACACCCACCGGAGCGAACTTCGTCTGAACCGTAAAGAGTGTGGGCCCTGCCTCGATGCCGCAAAGAGCCGCGAGGCCGAGAACAGTCGCGTTGATGGACTGTAAATCACTCGCGTTCGGAATGAGCCGCTCGACAGAAGCTTCTGGGTGCTCGAAAACTGATTTGGCCAGCGGGCCGCCGTGGTAGACGTGCAGCTCAATGCGGATGGGCACTGCTTCGAGATCTGTGGGAGTCGGAACTCGATAGATGGCAGCGTGATCGTTCAGTCGCTTCTGCAGGTCCTGAATCGATTGGTCGCAGGTTTGAATATCTTGGTTGCGCTCTTCGATCGTTTTATCACGCTCTTTGATGACTTTCAACGCTTGGCGATGTCTCATTCGACTCTGGTTGAGCTCTCTGGTGATCTTGTGAGATTCGTAGCGGATCCGAGCACCATCATGCGTAGCGTCGGCGCTTCGGCGGATGTACTGCATCAACAGGTCTCTGACGCCATTGACCTCGCGGCCAAGCCCAATACACTCTGCGTGGAGCTCTTCGCGCTCTCTGAGGGCATTGTCGTATTTTTCGTCGATCTGGTCACGCTCCAGAGTAATTTGCTGTAGCTGCTGAGTGAGTTGACCGACCTGGGCGCTCAGCCGATCACGCTGCTCGGTGAGCTGGTGATGCTCGTTGTGGAGCCAATCACGCTGCATGGTGAGTCGACGACGATCTTCAATGAGCTCGTCAAGCTGCTTGGTGAGCTCTTCGATCAGCTGATCACGTTGCTCCGCGATCTGATTGCGTCGATGAGTGATTCGCCTATGTTGTAACTCAAGTTGATTTTGCTCGTCGGCCAGGCGAGAATCCTCTTCTCGAAGTTGCTGCCCCTTGTTTCGGGGCTGGTGCACCGTTACAGAAACATCGACGTGATGGGGAGCGTCTTCGCGGAGAGCAGATGGTGAATCGTGTGCAGCAGGGTGCGGAATAGCAGACTGGCGCAATTCAGCCAAGAAACCACCGAATGTCGGCAGGAGAATTGGAGGACGCCGGTCTCGCTGGGAGGCTTGAGATGGATGATCGCCTTGCGCGAGGCTAGCACTTGGTCAGTAATAGTACTCCAGTCAGAAAGTTCTTCAGACTCACCTGGCGAAATTGCGTTGTCCTTGGCCAAACATCTTGACGTGACTAGCTTCAAGTGGTGATGTTGGCGAGAGATGTGTAACCGCGGTGAACATTTTCAACACCGCGCCGCATTACCAGCTAGACGCCAAGATACTAGCGTGGTTTCTATCAGGCAACAAGGCAAACCTTCTTCTTCCACATTAGCCACCACTTCACTTCAAGCTAGTAGTGACACACTCATGCCCTGCGTCACAAGATTCCATGTTAATCTCGGCTTCACTGCAGATTGCACTTGCTTTCACAGCCTCTTAAAGAGTTCATCTTCACTCGAGGGTCCTACCACCGCTTGCTTCAGAAACCATTCGTTGGGCTCTGAGCTATACTTCGACAGGAACACAAACGTACTTGGCCGGCGGATGATTCCAAAGATATCAGTCCAGTGATCAGCTCTTCTTGTATACCCTCCGACCACCGAACCATGTCTCCCTAACTTGCGCCTCCAATAGCCTCTCGTGATTCCACTCCATACCCAGCACAACAAAGTCCGCGCACTTGCCTACCTCCAGTGTCCCCACCCTCTTCTCCGCAAAACAGCTCTTCGCTGCTCCCTCCGCCGCACCCGCCATTGCGACCGCCAAAGGCAGCGCGAAGTTCTGGTTTACTGCGTTGAGATCGCCCGCCTCCGGCTCCCTGGCTGACTTGCGCGTCGTCGCAACATACATGTTCTGCAACGGATGCGTCGGTGCTGTCGGTGCATCTGTACCAATGGCAATCGTTGCGCCACCATCGTGGAACTCCTTGTATGCAAAGGCGCGTCCGCAACGCTCAGTGCCGAGAATGGTAGGCCAGGCACGCAAGACACAAGGATCAGCGTGAACAGGCTGGATCGAAGCAGTAATGCCGAGCTTGCCAAGGCGCGCGGCGTCACCTGGAGATGTGAGCTCCAGGTGCTCGATGCGGTGGCGACGGCCGGGCGAGCCGCAAGCTTCAAGTGTGTCGACAGCGAGGGTTACGGCTCGATCGCCAATAGCGTGCAGAGCACACTGGAGGCCAGCCTCATCGGCCTTGCGAACCACAGCGCGGAGATGCTCAGCGGTCCAGAACGTGTCCGGATGGGCTGCATTAGAGGTGTAAGGTTTAGAGAGTGCCGCAGTGCAGGCATCGACGATGCCGTCGAGGATGAGCTTGATACCAGCAATGCGGCAGTCGGGAGAGCTGGTGAGGTTGTACTGCTTGTGTAGCTCTACAGCGCGGTCGACTTGTGCCAGGGAGTCGTCAAGATTCTCGGAGGGCGCGACGAGCCAGTGGGCGGCCATGCGGATGGGTGCTTTTTCTTCGTGGAGCTTCATCATGAGTGACCAGATCTCGTCGTCGGTAGCCAGCTCGACCAAGCCCGTATAGCCAGTACTTGAGTATGACTTGATGGCAGCGTGCACTTGATCTAGCTTCTCTTCGTATGGCGTGATCTTGTTCATGTGAGGCCAAACTATGTTGATTGCAGCTGCTTCTGACATTAGACCAGTAGGTTGGCCATCGGCATCCCGGTGGATAGTACCACCCTTCGGGTCTGGCGTGTCTCCAACGTTGAGTTCATCCATCGCGGCAGTGTTACACCACGTAGAGTGGAGATCTTTGCTGTTTATGTAGATGGGCCGCGAATCAATACCGTCTAGCATAGCCGCAGTAGGCTCGCCAGGGGTCATATGCTGCATATAGCCTCTACCGAAAAGCCTTGGGACATTCGGCCGCTCTGCAGCGCCAGCTTTCAGCGCTGCACGGATGTCCTCTAAAGTCTTGCAATGCTCCAAGCCAATCTTTCGGATTGATGCACCGTGCAGGAGCAGATGCATGTGTCCATCGACGAACCCTGGGCCAAGGATCCGGCCCTGAAGATCATGGATCTCGGCATCTGCCTCAAGCTTCTTTACTTGGTCATTGTATGGGCCGAGATATGAGATGATGCCTTTTTGCACCACCAAGACACTGTCGTCAATCAACTCCTGTGTTGCAGTGACGATGCGCGCATTTCTGAAGATTATTGACATGACGCAAAATGAGAGAGATCTCAACGGCTAACAGGTCCGTCACAGGGCTCAGGGATGGCGAATGAAGACGAGGAGAGGCTGAGGCAGCGAGAAGTCGGATCTGATAATGCGAGGTTATGCGGGGCACCTTGCCGCCCTGCCACGGACATCAGCGCCCGGTAGTATTTCGAGGTCCGATCTCGGCTGCGCCATAACACGCCATGGGGCTGACTCCGTACCGATATCCCATCTCAGAATGCAGTATATGTCGAGTTCCCACAGGTTCTATGTCGTCTGATCAGCCTGGCTGCGAGACTAGATCAAGCCAAAGCTCAAATGGCCGTAGCGGTGACTGCCAAGGCTACAAGGCTTCAACCCCTTAAACATGGGTGCGGTCAATGGCTTGCGTGAGGTCTATGTCGTATGTAGACAAAAGCCAAACATGTATAACATAGTGTTGAGGTTTGTCAAAAGCTTCTTCGACCTTCCAGCCATGGGAACAAATAGAGAAGAAAACAAGGCAATCAGGCAAATGCACACCTTGGCGCCAAGCATAATTCCTACAACTACATATCATCATTAGGTTTCATTTCCTTCCGTGCGATCAACATCACTAGCATGGCCACGTCTACAGAAGCGTAGGAGTATGTGAGGCTCGAACTGTCCAATACAAGAGTACTTATTGACTCCAGTTTAGGAGGAACGACGGTGACTCTGTGAATACCATCAATCTTGTAGATGGCGATGAGCCCTGAGAGGTCCGCATGTCATCTCTTGTGAAACATAGTGGGTTTTTCGGAAGCATGTTCTCTCACATCTTCCCTGTAAGTTCAACACATAACGCTTCTACAACCGCCGACGCTGAGGGTAAACCAGGAGACCAACGACAACGAAGTCACGCTCCACGATGACGACTACTCTGCCTTGGAATATCTCATCCTCTGAATGCAGACGGATGAAGCCAGCAACAATTGTGACGTGACGATCGAAAACGCTGTGCTCCAATATTCTCACTTCGTCCTGGTCTATGCTCTCATGACAAGTATGACTGTCAAGGGTTTAGGAAAGGAATGTTCGAAAAGCTCATGGAATGGGTCTACGACATCACCGCGCTTGAGCTCTGGCACTAGACAGAATTCTTATTCATACGCAAGCATTACGATCCTATATGCAATGCCAGCGGCGGCGTGTACCCAGTTGAGCTGTGTCCGGCTTTCGCAGCAGTGTGGCGGTACCTTCCTGCGAAGGATATGCAAAGCTCTACGCTCGATGCCCTGATCGACAAAAATCCGACTATGGCTAAGGGGGTTGCCGAATACTACCGATCCGATCTCATGCGCAAAGGTAAGCTTGCAAAGGAGCTTCTAGATTCGAAGAAGAGCCGGACCTGATAGAAGGTTCGAACCATAATCTGTGCGGAGAAGTGTGCACAAATCGGCGAAATCCACGGCAGAAAGGGCTTCCATGGTGTTGTTTCGGCCAGAGTCTGTCTTGAGCAAGATCAGCTGTCTGGTCGAATGTTCATGACACGAGATCCCCAAACAATTCCATGGTCGAGGACCGAGCGATCGTAGCATGCCCCTTCAAGGCCGGCATGTGGAGAACAGACATACAGCGGGTAGCGCGTATCTGAGACTGAAATCATAAGCAGCCCTGAAACAATGAGTCAACCACGAGTCTGCTCGATGACCCACCTCCCCATTGTGCCTAACGCCTGTAGACAACCTGTTGTGTCGCCTTGAACTAGCCGATAACGTCATTCATTCTGGTCCTCATCATGGACTTCCCAGTCCACACAATCGTCCCACATAATCCTATCCGTTACCTTCCCGTGTTTGAGAAAGTACTCCAGCATGTCTCCAACATACCCGAAACCATTGCCACGTGCAAGTCGGATCGCTCGTTCCAGTTGTGGGCGGTCTTTGCCCTCCATCGCCGCGCCGTGCTGCAATAGGAGCGAGACCGTGTCTAGTCGGCCGTTCTCGGCCGCACCCTCAAGTGCAGTTCTGGCATCAGCTTGCGAAGGCTGTGCGTCGATTCTGGCGCCGTGTGAGAGCAACAACTCGATCGCTGGCATGTTGCCTTTGATTGAGGCGAGCTGCAGGGCAGTGCCGCCCCTCCGTCGTGCGCCAGCAGCATTCACGTCAGCACCCCAATTGATAAGTAGGCGCACGATATCTATGTTTCCAAGCTCTGCTGCCCGTTGTAGCGGCGTGCGTTTGATGTTGAAGCGAGCTTCGCAGTTCACCTTGGCACCATGCTCTAAAAATAGTTCAACGATGTCATAGATACCAGTGTCTATTGCAGCCAAAAACGCTGTACGAATCGGTGCAGGCAGGAAAGGATCGAAAATATTTTGCTCGGTCCGCCTCTCGCGAATAACAGTTTCAGGATTGACATGTTGATTGAGAAGCCTGCGAAGGAAGAATTGCTCGTTTCTTTGCGCCTGTAAGATCGCATGTCCTAAAGGATTAGCAACCTCTTCCGAGAAGAAGAGTATGCCATCTAGCGGATTTTTGGAGGACGGTTCTAGTCGTTCGTACTCAGGGATCTGGAGAGCACATGTTGCAAGTATGCACGTGAATGTTTCTTTGCTGCCGCTTTTGATGGCATCATTCAAAGCGATAATTCCAAGTCTCGATCGTAGAGAAGGGGCGGTCTTGCCAAGCTCGGCAAGCAACACCTTGCATAGTTCCGAGCCAGTGGCTGCCGCCCCGGCGAAAGCCCACGGGTCATAGGGATTGGCGCCTTGGTCAAGGAGGAACAAAGCCATGGCCATGTCTTGGTTTTTCGCGGCAGCGGCGAGTGGTGTAGCTCCTGTCAGGCGCACTACCGGGTCGTTGAGATCTGCTCCGGCTTGCAACAACATCAAGACCATTGCTTTGTTGCGTCTGTCGACTGCCATAGAAAGTGGGTGTCCGGAAGATAGCGTACAGGCGTTTGGATCAGCTCCAGCCTCTATAAGATCTTGTAAAATAGATACGTCTCCCCATTCAAGGGCCAGTGTGATCGCGGGCTTCAATTCCGAGCCATTGGCCTCTGCCCTGGCTTTATCATCGCTGTAGTTGGGAATCGCATCAAAGTTCAGGAGTAGTCGTACAATCCGGTGGTTCCTTGCTTGTAGAGCAAACATAAGCGGTGGCCCTTCATAGTCGCAAAGATTCCCGCGGCCATACTTGCCCCGGATGAAACATTCGTTGGTTGGAGCCCCTGTACGCAACAGTAGTTCCACTAGACTTGGTTGCTGATTCTTCACGGCTTGCTTTAATGCGAATCCAAGTTTTTCTGGCTGTATGGGGATTTCTCTTCCCAGGAAGGAGATGGCGGCTTCCTGATTTGCGGCATCTATCGCAGCTTCGAGCGCTGCAAGATAGTCAATTGGGTCGGACAGACCATCTAGAGCACCATGGTCGACCAAAAGCTTCAGAATATCTTTCCCGTCCCGTCCTAGTCGAATGGCTGCCGCAAGCGGTGTTGATGTCCCCCCATGGCGTGTTACATTGCTGAAATGACCGACCTTTGCACCTCTTTCCAGGAGGTAACGCACAAGATTCTTGTCTCCCGACTCCACCGAGCATTCAAGGGAGCTCTCGGTAGGCCGGCCACCCGCCTCCGATAACTTCTGGACCAGCGGCCAGTATCCTTTTTTCACGCAGCAGTCGAATATTGACGGGAGCTGGGGGTCGAATCTGGGCGGGAATGCGGAGTTCAAATCGAATCCCCTCGCAACAAGGAGATGCAGTGTTTCTGCTGCCAGGTCGTAGTCCTGATAGAGTATGATTTTCTGGAAGCTTCCTCTCGTGCTCATCATCTCATACAGTTGTGACGTACAGTGTCGAATAAGCCACAGTACCGCGCTGCGCGCTTGGATGTACGGGCAGAAGTCTTGATGGCTTTCCCATTCCAAAGTCGATCCTCTTTCTACGAGCATGCCCAAGATCACTCCGTTCAAAGTCGCTGTCTTATCCTCCCTGAAATTCCGTTCCCACATAAGCACCATCCATGTTGCAGCATCAATGCCCCAGCAATCAGTAGACTTGGCAAAGGTGGTCCCCGCCCCATGATGGAGTAGTATTGCGACAATTTTTTCATGCTGCAAGAGTATAGCTCGCTGAAGGGGTGTATACCTCGCCCCTCCTATGAAGCAAAGCGTATCGTTTGCGTCTAGCTTGAAAGTCTTTTGTTCGAGTAGAGCACTGATGATCCGATTGCTTCCTATCTCGATTGCAACACTAAAGAGGTTGCGGGCAAGCGCCTGAGTCGTGTAGTAGTCGGCGTTGTTGTTTATCATGACGTGGAGTAGGTTATTAGCTTCTGCCTGGATATATTGGCACATATCCTCTCTGTTGATGTCAGAGCAGCCAGCAAAGTTGTTCGCGATCGAAAACAGGACATATCGATCGAGGGATGACTTGTATAGGGGATTTTTGGTGTCAAGATTTGCTGACACGGCCACGTTTCCAAAGCTCCACGAGGATGGGACAATTGCGCTAAGCTGGTCTGTATGTGAACTACGAAGCGGAAAGGCAGGTAAGTTAGGCTCCTCTTGGGGGAGGTCTAGAGTCAGATCCACCAAAGTGCTAGTCCAGAAGGCTTGGTTGCCGATATTGCAAAACCGTTTGGCAGTAGGGGAGGCTGCCCACGTGTTCAAGTCGCCGAGAAGGCGGTTTTCGAGACCAATGAATGGTAAGTACCATTCTCGTCCGTGGCATTTCGACGATCTAGCAAGGACAATGGCTACTCCTTCTGGCAGCGCGTAGCTCGCATGCACTTTTTGAAAAGGTCAGCCAGTTTCGGGTTCGGTAGCAATCAGACATGATACCTTGCTGGCGGGAGCATTTCTCCGCACATCTGTAGCGTTTGAGTTCTCGTAGTACTCTTTCTTCGGGGATTCGGTCTCCATGGAAAAAGAGCTGCGATGCAATGCCTTGCTCTCGGTCCCTGCGGAGCACAGGGCATACCTTTCTCCAGACCTCTGACGGGATGTTTTTCCGGCGGGGTGGATTAGAATTATTCTTGCGATGGAGCAAATTTCTGTGCCAGGATCAGCTTGGTATACTTCTCGAGACACTTCACAGGTTCTTGTACAATGCTTCAACCGCGCCGATTTCGTCCATCTGTATCTGGATCTGAGCCCTAGGCAGTCACGTCCTGCGGTGCAGGTTGTACGTGTCTTGCTGCGTCTTGGACCTGAGCCTATATGTGAAGTCTCGTCAAAGCTACTGTGGTATGTTGTAAGTAGAACAGGCTCTAAGAATGACCATTGAATATCACTCAGAGACGAAAGGAAGAGAAAATCGCTATCGGGTCTACAACCTGTCATACCGCTTAGTAGTCATCCCGCCCTCAGGCTACGACGCCCGGCTTCTGCTACTATCACAGCAAGAGCCTCCTTTGTCGCCCTGCCACGTGAGATATTTTCATTGGCTCAGAGCAAATCACGGAGCGTCTCTAGAGCTTGGCATATTTCTGCACTGGTCTGCTAATTCGTCGCCGTCATTTTATCTGTAGCCAATAATGGTCAAGATTGGCCGTACTGTTCCAGTACTCTAACCTTTCTGTATAGAAGTCCTACTTGTACAAAGAACGTCGCATCTCGGGCGTGCCGGGCGTGCAATAGTGCTCCTACGCGCAGGCATAGCTCTTACACCTCCTCGTTGCTCTGGATGATAGTGCAGCCGCGCTCAACCGCGAACCAATGGACCTGGAATGTCAAACCTGGTGACATCGAGGCTGGCGGAGCTCTAGTCTCGTCAACAACTACAATCATGTCAGCATAGGAGTTGAGCCGTTGATTTACTGGTTCCTGACCGGCAGCACGTCGCTTCACTCTGCGTCTCCAGCAAGTCCAGATCATCACCGCCGTACAAGGAGCGGCAACGAGCACGCCAATAACGGTAACAATGACTTCTGCCGAGATCGCCATTCAAGCCGATGTAGCGTCCAAGATATAGTTATCTTCACTTCAAGGTACAAAATCTGTGGTCGATACAGGTGTGAGTCGTACTATATATCTCGCAGTAGCTGAATTCGCTGGTGCTTCGAAGGCAAGACATCGTTTCTATAGTTCTCACCATTCACTACGCTAGTCACGGCACCGTCTGGGAACGGTCACAGCTGAACACGATTGCAGAGCAGTGTCTGTGTCCACCGTTGACCGGGTATCAACTTTGGCTCTAAGCCTGTGAGCAGAAAGGTAGCGACGCGCAGCCCGGTAGACAACTTTTGCTCCTCTCCTGTAGCAGTGGCATATAGAGGTTCCACAGCCACAATAACTTAAGCTAAGCAGTGAGCATATTCCACAAGCATCAGATAGCAAAACCCTCAGAGTGCGCAAGGCACTTGGCTGATTCTGCTCCAACCTATGACAGTGCCGAAGTATGTGCTAAAGCAGAAGTTTGATTGCCCTTCTCGTTGCCGCTATATTCTGCTCCAACCAATCAAGGTGCGTCGGAACATCAGTCCACTCGGCGCCCTGCATTACCCGCAAACACTGCAAGGAACACCCTCCAACGCATCTGCGACAGCCTGATAAGCCGGTTTCCTGGTGAAGTCCTCCCAATATAGATCGGCAGCGCCCTCGCCCGGGAATGTTGAGGGAATCCAGCTGTAGTAGTCGTAAAAGTCCCACACAGTAACGCCCACACAATTTCCACTGTCCACGCAGGCCTTGACGGTATCGTAGTACTCCTGAGCCTGTATCGCTTGCCCGGAACTATTGGTGTGAGCAGTTGAAGCATCTTCGAGGCGAATGTCGAGCTCCGTGACTGCGACCTCGAGGCCGAATGAGGCGTACTGTTGATGAATATCGATCTGCGCGGTATAGTTGGGCGTCTGACCAACAGTAAAGTGTGACTCAAGACCTATACCGTCTATGCGGATCCCGCGCGCCTTGAACTCAGGGAGCACTGTGTTGAGAAGGGCTGCCGACTTGTTATTGGCATTCTCAATGCCATAGTCGTTATAGTAGAGCTTGATATCTTTGCCAGTGGCGTCCGCGGCGTTTGCAGCGAATTGGTAGGCTAGGTAGAAATAGTCCTCTCCGATCGTATCATACCAGATGCTGGAGGCCCATGTGCCGTTCTGATTCAGGGCCTCGTTAACAACGTCCCAGGCATAACAAACATCTGCCCAGTGGGTCACCAGATTGGTAATGTGATTCTCCATGACAGAGATGAGCTCGTCACAGGTCCATGTTCCGTTCACAACCCAGTCCGGTAGCTGGCTGAGCCAGATGAGATTATGGCAACGGAGCACCTTGCCATGATCTTGGGCTATATGGACAGCCACCTCACCACCGGTATAGTTGAAGACGTTCTGCTCAGGCTCGGTGGCGAAGTACTTCATGTAATTTGCCGGAGTCACTTGTCCGAAGATGCGCGTGTCATTAAGAATTAGCTGGTAAACATAGTTCGTGTCTTCACCGCTTCCTGGCTGGTCAGTGGCGGACCCGAAGTACTGCAGGCCAGCACTATGGGCCAGATCATTGAGATATGGCGCCGCTGTAGGGCCGTAGGAGTCGGAGCAGGTCGAGCTGGCAGGTGATGTGGAGACATTGCTGTGCCAGTCGCCCCACTGGGGCGTTGGGCTACCAGTAGCGACCGCTAGGAGGCCACCGAGCAGGAGAGCCTGGCTTCCAAGAACCATGATGCCTGAATGTCGTTAGGAAGCGAGTGCTTGTCTGTGAAGCCAAGTTCTCGTGGCTGGCCAAGAGCCCGGGGACCTGCTTTCTCATATAGCTTGCAGCCCATTTAGGCAGAACACCTTGGTCCGAGACCTTAAGCCGTTCGTGGCCATTGACCACGTCATGATGAATGGCAGAGCGGTGAGGCGAGTGGTTCCTATGCCATCAAGCGACAAGAAATGGTCCGTTCATGCACAGAAGTCTCAAGCACATCACCCAAACGCGTTAGACGGTTGGCCGGGACATTACTAGTCTTGGCTCAATTGTGCGCAACTGCAAGTGACGGAGGCTTCATGGGGTACGGAAGTCTATCGAGAGGATTTCCGACGATTCGAAAAGCAGCGTTAGGATAGGCTAGTATGAACGCATACTTAGAGCTCCGGGTAGAGCCAGCCTAGTCGTGGCAATGGCGGCGGGTAAATACGCGCAAGTGTTGGGTTTCGGCATTGGCGCAAGCCACTCTATACTTTGAGCTCCTATATCAGCCGATATTGGAAGCGACTCACAGCTAACACTCGCGGTGATCGCTGTACGGACGGAAGCACCTGAGGCCCCCAAGAGGAAGCTCGATGATGCTCATTTAGGCTGATACACTGGAGCTCCGAGCTCGTCAATTTATGGTTTCAAAAGACGCGGAGAAGGTGGGGCTCTGCGAAGCCCGGCATCAACGCGAGCTCGGCTCTTTCTTGACCTCACGGCACCTCTTACACCACTGCTACATCCCTGGCTCGGGAACGATCCGACATCGATATGCATCCCGCTTGTGCCCCCGTGCACTGACTCAGTGTGCGAACACTCTAAACTAATCAGAAAGCGGGGGTACATCCGAGGTGATCCAACCTAGAAACTCCCGGTGGCGTGCCTACAGACCTCGTGCCTTGCCACACCAATCATGGCTCAGCCCGTAGCGGAGCATGAGCACTGTACGGGGGCCCAGCGCAGATATATAGTCCTAATGGCTTCGTTCTGCAGCCTCTCCTCCAGCGCTGAGTCTACTGAGAATGTGGCTGTCGATTCTCGCCACTGTACTGTGGGCTCTGCTATGGCCCACAGCAGCCACCATACGATTCCAACAAGAAAGTGGAGCTTACTTACTGGCTGATTCTGCGATAGGTCCAACTATTGCTGTAAGCAGCAACGACTCGAGATCTGTTCTGCGAGCTGCCGAAGATTTCGCCACCGACTTCGGCAAGATCACGGGTGTCAACGGAACCGTTCAAAGCCTTTCTGGCGACGTCAATCTTGACAGCGCCGGTCCGGTCATCATAGCAGGCACTGTTGGTCTATCTGAAGTGATTGGGTCCCTGGTGAACGATGGCCGCATCGATGTGTCTTCCATCGAAGGTCAGTGGGAGGCATACTCCACACAGCTGGTCTCAAACCCATTCCCTGGAATCGACCAAGCATTCGTCATTGCCGGATCTGACCGTCGAGGCACCATTTATGGCATGTACGACATCTCCAGCCAGATGGGTGTATCGCCCTGGCACTGGTGGGCAGACGTACCCGCAACTGCTCGAGATACAGTCTTTGTCTCCAACGGCTCTCGCATCCGGGGACCACCAGCGGTCAAGTATCGTGGTATCTTCATTAATGACGAGCAACCAGCCTTGACCAATTGGCTGAACGAACGTACCAGGCAGACTGTGTATGGGACTGATGATTACAACCACGTCTTCTACTCATCTGTCTATGAGCTTCTGCTGCGACTCAAAGCCAACTACATGTGGGCAACTACCTGGAGTAAGTCTTGTTGAAAAGATTTGTGCATGTACACTGACAAAGAAGACTCGATGTTCTATGTCGACGATCCCCAGAATGCCGATACGGCTGACCTCTACGGCATAGTCATGGGGACGAGTCACACGGAGCCCATGACACGCCAAACGGTTGAGCAGCGCGACATCCTGAACGGTACGTGGGCTTGGGCCACCAATGAAGCCAATGTCACCGACTTCATGGGCGAAGGGGTGGAGCGCACCAGGAACTATGAGACCCTCTACACAATGGGCATGAGAGGTCTGGGTGACGTCGAATCTCCAACTCTGAATGGCAGCCAGCTGGAAGATATCGTGCACGTCCAGCAAAACCTCATTCGTGAGGTCTACGGTCTGGACAATGTCTCAAGTATACCGCAGATGTGGTGCATGTATAAAGAAGTGGGTGGCTACTTCGCCGAGGGAATGGAGGTTCCAGATGATGTCACGATACTTTGGGCTGATGACAATTGGGCGAACAACCAGAGGCTTCCACTGGGGAATGAGACTGGCAGGGCGGCAGGAGCCGGGATTTACTACCATGCCGACTACGTCGGCGCGCCTCGAGATTACAAGTGGATTGACACGAATTCACTACCCAAATACTGGAGCGAATTGACTCAAGCATATGAACGTCATGCCCGACAGATCTGGATATTGAATGCGGGTGATCTGAAGCCGATGGAAATACCCATCACGTTCTTTTTGGACATGGCCTACGCTGCTCCGGAAATGTCAATGCCTGATACAGTGCGAACTTGGCTACAGCAATGGTCTGCAGCGCAGTTCGGTGAAGATATCGCGCATCAAACAGCAGTGATATTGACGAACTACTCAATGTACGCTTCACGGCGTAAATATGAGCTGGTGGAGACAAACACCTACAGTGACATCAATTACGACGAAGCAAATGCTGTCTTAGGCCAATGGTTGGAATTAGCACAGGCGGCACAAGACGCACACGCTACGCTTCCGGAAGACTTGCAGCCAGCTTACTTCCAGCTTGTTCTGCACAAGTGCTTGGCTGGGCTCATATACCATCAGGTCACTCTGACCGCCTCGAAGAATCACCTTTATGGGTTGCAGCGACGCTCCAGTACGAATGCGATGGCGATGCGCACGCTAGACTACTTTAGCGACGATGCCATGCTGACCCAGCGGTATCATACTATGCTTGACGGCAAATGGAACCATATGATGGACCAGACTCACTTCGGATACGACTACTGGCAGCAACCAATGCGAGACCTTGCGCCTCCATTATCGTTTGTACAGCAGTCCCAGGTGAGCTTAGCAGGGAATCTCGGGGTGAGTTGCGAAGGTACCAACGGCACTGTGCCAGGGGACGATAACTACCACGACCTCTCGTCCAACTCGTTGAGCCTCCCACCCATGGACCCATATGGACCTACTGGATGGATCGACGTCTTCTCACGCGGCAACGTCGAGACCAATTTCAACGTCGTCTCTGATAAGCACGTGAACGTGACACCATCCTCAGGAGTGCTTTCGGGCCCCGACGGCAACAATACAGACATCCGTCTCTCGGTCAGTATCGACTGGTCCTTGGCCCCAAATGGATCATCAGTAACAACAATCAACGTCACAACCACGACTCCAAGCGGCAACTACTACGACAACGAGACCTACCCCTACGGCAACTACCAGAAAGCTACCGTCCAGCTCCCAGTGAACAACACGGCCGCCCCCACCTCTTTTCACGGCCACGTCGAATCCGACGCCCACATCTCCATCGAAGCCGAACACTTCACCAACGCCACCTCCACGCCTTCGGTCTCATACATCACCATCCCCTCATATGGCCGCACCCTCAGCGGCGTCTGCATCACGCCCTGGACCGCCGCGTCCCAATCCCCCACCTTGGACGCCCCACAGCTAATCTACCCCTTCTACACCTTCACGCCCGCCTCGATGGCCAACCTGACCCTCTACCTCGGCCCCGGGATGAACACCGACCCCACACGTCCCCTACGCTACGCCGTCGCCATCGACGACGAGGACCCCAAAACCATCCAGCCAAACCCGCTGCTGGGCCTGTGGCCGCTTCCGCCCATGTGGGAGGGCATGGTAGCCGATTTCGCCATGACGAACACGACGACGCACAATCTCACGCGGGTCGGCGAGCATGCGCTCCGCGTCTGGCTGCTCGAGCCGGGCGTCGTGCTGCAGAAGGTCGTGCTGGACCTGGGCGGCGTGAGGGACAGCTATCTGGGTCCACCGGAGAGCGTGGTTGTTTGAGCGGTCGTGGGAGGAGCTGTGCGAAATGGCCGAGACGGTTAGTAGGGTGGCTGATCGAGGGAGTATAGTTGTGTATCAGCTTCAAGGGGCATCCTGCATCCTGCGAAGCCACGGCAAGAAAGCTGAAGGGCCAGTCCTGCCATGCCGACGTCGATAATTCAGCACGAAGGCGAAGCAACGTAACATGGAAGTACCTGGATCGCTCGGGCTTACATATTCGGACTTGCGGCTGGAAGAAGAGTACGAGATTCTTCTCTCTATACGAATTCCGTGGCATTCAGCAGCCTTGGGCAGCGCCATGAGAGATCACATACGATAAGCTACATGGAGAGATCAACATGTGGATCAGCGGGCCTTCACGTTCGTGTTCACGAATCATGGTGGTTACATATATCATCGAGTCGTAAGACCATTAAGCCCGTATGGCGTCGGCTATACAATCAGATCACTCCCACATAGATCAGCAACATTCAAGAACCCGCTCACTACTTGATCTTCTCACATGCCGCCACCTCCGCTCGGTCCATTACCTTCGGTGCCACCTGCGCCACCGCCGTTGTTACCAAAGAAGAATCCCTCGAAGAGATCTAGCTGCTGCCCATCGCTCCAGTCGTGGCTGTAGTCAAACCCCATGACGCCGGGCCCGAACCCAAGGTCGAGTGGATAGAGGGGCGATTCTTGATCGCCTGTGGATGTGAAATCGTAGCTGTTGCTCATATAGTCCATGCTCTCGGGCAGGGATGAGGCAGTGGAATAGTCCATCATATCAGCGTTGGCGTTCTGGTTGTACTGTGCACCTTGGCCGACGTAGCTTGAGGTAGAAGAATGCGAAGGCGATTGCTGTGGCAGGGCCTGCTGAGTGTTGAAGACCGGAGATGTAGTGACGTTGGTAGGAGCATGACTGTTGATATACGAAGACGAGATCTGATTTGAAGGCATGAAGGAGGAGGCTTGGTAAGACTGTGGTGCTTGCGGGCGTGCAAACGCCGGCTGACGCTGTTGTTTGAGAGGAACAGCAGATGATGGTCGTGGACCGATGTCGAGATCCTCGGGAAACAGCTGTTGCAGGTCCATATCGAACTGTGGCGGTGGTCTTTTCGCCATCTGCGGTTTGGGCGCGATCGGGGCAAACTCCTTACCGGAGGCTCTCGTCAAAGCCTCCATCGGGGAAGGCTCAGTAAAGCTAGGCTCACGCTTGACCTGTGGTCTGGGAGTGCTGTCCTTAGAGAAGCCGAAGCCCGGTGTCGAAAGGCACATCTGAACTGTGGCTTTACTCATGCGCTCGAAAGCATCGCGACAAGCTTCAGCTGGCGGACATTTCTCCATCAGATCGCCCAACACTGATGTTGCTGCAAGAACTGTAAAGTCAAACGAATCGATTGTCAGCCGGCTGCGTACCGCTGGCGAATGCCATACAGCATACAAAAATGATATGCCTGCCATGAAAAGGTGGTGGGTGGCTAGGTAGGTGTAGTTGACAACCCGCTGGCGGTGCAGTTGGCGATATAATTTGAGCGTATTCTGACCGGCTTCGGCGCACTTTAGGAAGACATGATCTTCATCCTCTTTCTCCTCCACAATGGTACTTCCCGGGCTACCAACCTCCTCTGTTGGGCTCAATTCGTTGGCGAAGGCAGCAGGCACAGCTAGAGACTGTCTGTAAAGCATAATAACCGCCTGCCAGTAGTTGAGTTCGAGAAACTTGCGATCAAAGCTGACTCCCGTTGCTGACTGCGATGGTGCCGATTCTTTCCATTCGTACAGGCGTTGGTCGATATGCTGACGCCAGGAGCGAAAAGACGTATGTTTCGCCAAATAAGGGGACAGTATAGTCGGGTCAACTCCTTCATGGCTGTTATCATTCCGCCTGATACGCACTTGTTGAGATTGTTGATACTGAAGAACCTGCAGGATCTCGGACTGCAATAATCGGAGCTTGAAGTAATGCTGCGAAACGCGCTTATAGGACGGCTGTTCGTTTGGTTCTGAGAGAAGCAGACCCCCTGATCGAGTGATATATTTGTCCTCTAGGAGAGAGGGGAAAGCTGTTGTGACGACCTGATCGGTAATGCCGAAAGGACGCCCAACACAGGTACTGACGAGGCGGTCAAAGTTGTACGTGCACCACCACAGGCGGCGGCGGAAATCGCGAGTCCACTCTCGTCTGCCCTTCTCGCGCGAGTCGATGGACTTTTGTGCATTTGACTTCTTTTCTGTCTTGGGCTTAGCATCGTCAATCTCCGTCCCGTCCTCATAGTGCAAGCCTAGATCAACCGCCAGCCTCATGGCCACTCCAACGATATACCATAGACCAGGCGCAACAGGTCGCATTAGAGCAAAGGCAGCCAGAAGAAGGACTGCCTGTAGCTCCTCCAGGTCACCACCGGTGCGGTCGGCTCCGTCACCCGAGGAAGAGCTCAAAAATGCGCCGAGATGCACAATTGCGGAAGCATGATACTCCTCTGGCTGGGCCTGCTGGTTTGCCAGACGCGGCCTTTTAGGAGCAGATTCCGTGTGGTGCAACGACTCAGGCGAGGGGTCGGATGAGCCCCAGATAATGCCGGCTCCAATAGCAAAGACGATATTCATCAGATACATCTCGCGGGGCGTCCGCTTGGACGGCTCCACGGAGTAAGCATGGTCTACCAAATCCATGAACTCCCCTCGGTGGAGGATTGGAATCTGAGGGTTGGCATACTCAAGGTACAGATTGACTAATTTCTCGCCAAGATGGCGCTCTGGGAAAGGCGCCTCACGAAAGGTCGGTTTAGTCTGCAAACCGAAATAGGTGTCGCGCATAGAGCTTCCGCCAGCAGACGCGTTGAGGCTGGGCTTGTTGCTCTTTGGGCCTCGCTCGGAGCCGTTGGACGAGACCGAGGACTTGACCGCGGAAAGGACCACCCGGGCGAAGGAAATGCCCGAGGTGGTCCCTAAGAACCTCGAGTCTGACGCGCCCTGGACTGAGACCATACCGATGTTCGAGACCAGCTTATCGATCTTGTCCTTTTCCTCCTGTCCTTTAAGATTGCCATTGCGGCGTTCGACAATTGTACTCTTGACATCCGGCTGTGGTGGAGTGTGCGGCGCGTCGCCTAATAGCTTGGAATCAGCATCGTATAGCTCGGCAGGGTCGAAGGCTATGTTGTTCTTCTTGAGCAGTGACTCGAAGTAGGCCAGCCTAGTCTCGAGAAAGTAGACGTAGCTCCGAGGGATCTCCCGTTTGGTGATTGGATCGTAGCCTACGCAGCGTGCGTGGGCCTTTTCGCAAGTGCTACAGGATGGCAGGCGAGCGTCACAGCGGTTTTTTCTCGTTCTGCAGCGGTTGCAAGCAGAGACGTTTCTGAAGGCGGAACTTGCCGATGCTGCGGTGGCATGAGGGGAGCCTGATTGCGCGCCGTCGTGCACGGGCTGGCTGTCGGTCGGTTCGTCCGTCTGATAAGCTCGCTTCTGGCCCGCGGTGGGGGAGGTTGTAATTGAGCTCATGGAGGGGTTACCCGGCCATACATGACCTGTCTAGACGTCAAGGGACAGCAACGAGGTAGTGCAGGTGTTCAAGAAGGCTGACCATGCTGCAATAACCAGCAGAGACCAGGTGTTGAGGTAGTGCAGCGTGACCGTGGGGAGGCGCATGAGCAGTGTTATCGGCTATCAGAGGCTACGGAAGAACCAATCAGGACGAGATGTCTTATTCACGACTGAACAGGTGGAGCTAGACCACAAAGAGCAGTTGTGACAGATTCGGCAAATCATCGCGGACATAGGCCGCTGATTCCAAAGTGGTCTACTATTGCGGTCAATGTCTTGGCAAAGCTGTGTACCGCGCCGTGCCACAACGAACGCCACCGTCGGAATCAGTCTGGTCACTTCGGCAGCCCGCCAGGACTCGACCTTTTCCTCGTAATACTCAACAGCCACACGGGGCACGTTCGTCCAACCGGATGGAAGCCACGGAGCTGAGAAGCATCGCTGATAGAGTTCCATCCCGCGCTACCAAGCTGGACAAAGTTCTGATAGCACCCCCGATCCTTTTCCGTTGCAACAGTCCTCTCCGACTCCTGGCTGGCATTCTCCTGACTTTGACTTTAGCGGACATGCGGCGGGATCGTGACAGACGAGCTGTTGCTGCTTAAGCGAAAAGTATATCTGACATGAGCTTATGGACCACGATGCTGCAGCCAGCAACTACAAATCCGCACCTCGCAGCGACGACGAGTCTTGCCTCTCAAGGGGCTGATAGACTTGCAGGAAAAACGTGTCACCTTGCGTTGATATTCCAAATCTCGAATTCCTCTGCAAAATGAAGATCCCCCGTCAAGCTGCAGCCGTTATAAACCTTGAAGCGGGAGCAATCACAACAGTAATGATTGCAATCAAGGCTGCTGCAGTTTGCGGCGGTTCATTCAACGCAACATCGGACCGGCCACTCCGTAATTTCGATTGGACGAGATGTGGCTTGCAGCTCTGCACGTCCCACGTGGTAAATCCACCCCCCCTTCCCCTTTCCACCATTGCATCCGAGTCCTTGCAGAAGCACTGACCAAGAGCCGGCACCCGAATCTTTACCAGATCTAAAGGCGCTGACTTCTCCCTGCCTGCTGAATGATACCGTTAAAAAATGTGATGACTAGACCACATTTCAACATTGCACGGATAAGCGAATCATTGTAGCAGGAGCAGGAGCACGCGAATGTGAACGTTGAGCGACCGATACGGAGCTGTGCCGGTGTCGTTCTAACACCCTACTCCGTGGCATCCGCAGCGCCACACCACCTGTGCCGATCCTCTCCACCCTGTCAGAGTGGAAACATTTGATGTCACTGCTCACGTCGCTTACCGGTAAGCGAAATGTTTTCAGCTTCCATGGCCGGCTTCTATCCGTGCTCCCCAGTCCTTTGGTACTCGGGAAACGACTCTCTTGAAACAAGCGCACACACAGCAGGGGTCGCAAGCTCCGTGATATATCACCAGACTTGACAATAAATAGTGGCGGCAACGCCAACCGTGCGTGATCCTTGCTGATCTGAGGCGGTGAAAAATGCTTGGACTGCCACTGTGGGTGTGGGAAAACTGTGGTGACGGTGACAGCGTCGAGTCTGTCACACATCGCCAACGGAGCACATGACCGCACATCACAACACTAGGCGACTCCTTCCGAAACTAGCTACCCCTTGCGTCGCGCATAAGGCAGAGTCGACCGTTGCCGACCCATGCGCAGTCAGGCTTGGTCGGGTTCAAACATGTATGATTCGGAGGCATAACCACAGAAGGGAGCACAAGAGTCAAGGGGGGTTAGAATGCCACTTACCTGCCTCTGCTTGACCTCAATAGCATCCTGCGCCGGGCTAGACAGGACGGGTGGGCGATGCCCTTGAGTGTGTATTCTACAGCAGGAGAGTTTGTGACGCGGGATATCTATACGCTGATGTGACTGCCGGCATCCAGATCTGCCTTTTGGGCTGCTGCATATGCAAGTTCAGCCACATCCTGGCATATCACATCGCGAGTTTACGCTGAAATTCGGATCGAGGGGTTGTCACTGCCGCAGTGAAAGGTCACACAATCTGCACGCATCAGCGCGGGCCGCTCCCCAAGTGGTGAATGATGGGTTACACAGGCCACGAACTACGTGTCACACAGCAGAATGGTATCGCCTGCAGTCGACAATACCGTCCACGTCACAAGTCAGCTGCCTTACTGCATGCAGCTGTGTCACAAAGTCGGAGTTGCCTTGCTGCACGGTGGCCTCACCAGAGCTCGGAGCAAATGAGAAACCTGGTCACGTTGTTCGCAATGCGACCGGCAGCAGTGGTCTGGTATACTCGTTTATCAAAGTGAGGCGGCACCAGTACTAGTACTCATTATTGATGATTATCAATTTTATCCGAAATTTTGGGCCCTGGTCACGAGAGGTGGAGGTGCTGAAGATGGCGAAGCCACTGGCGCCCCCAGAAAAGCCCAAGTTTCGAAAATGGAAACGGTTTGGAATTCGGCAATCTCATTAGCGTCTTCTAGCTGACTCGACGGCTGCAAAGGCAAACCGTGTCCCCGGGAAACTTTGCAGGGCTTGTCCTCCCAGGGCCCCAGCAGGCTCTGACGGCTTCAGGTGAGCGTCTATTTCCTCGCTCGCCTTGCCCGTTCGGTCATGAATCAGGGGCATTCCCTCCACTTGGACCGCCTCCAACGTTTGAGCAACCCCTCCGATTTGCCACTCAGGGCGCATGGCAAAATCCCGTTAAACCCTTTGCAGGCCTCCACTAGCCACCCAAGGCTCCGAACAAGCTTACTTCGGAGCTCTGGGCCCCCTTGCTTTTGCTGTCAGCAATTCTTGCGGGCTGCATGATGAGGTCAATATTCGAGGTCAGCTGCCATCGATTCTTGACCGCTGTCAACGTGAACCGAACAGTTCCGACGTGCACCGCGCCCCATCTCGACTATTGTTGGCACCAAGTGGAATATCAGGCATGACCGCCATTTTCACCGCCCCAACTGATGGTGAGCATGAACGTGTCTGGGCTTGCCACCTGGCGACAGAACTGGTTAACGGGGAGGAGTCATGGAGTCACGCGGGTCGGGTTTCGTTTTTGCTTCAGTCCTCAGGGGAAACCCAGCTGCTACGCTTGAGATCATTTGCGCCCACAGGGTGGGTGAGAAACGAGAGGTGGGCTTCTGACATGCTTCTATGGAGGAACTCGGCTGGTGTCTTCCACTTCCGACGTCCGGAAGACAAGGATTACTTCCTAGTTTTGTGTGCTAGTGTTTGGTCCAGGGGTATCTGGCCCCCGGAGCCAATCGCGGCCCATGGAGCTGAAGACGGCCTTCCCTGGAACAATCGATAAGCTGGGATTCTTCTAGGTGAGTACCGCACCCGCGGGCCCGTAGGCTGGGCTTGTGCCTCCAAGAGGAAGTCAGTCGCCCACACCGCCAACGTCGCATGGTTATGCGCCCCAGTTCAGATCCCTGCACAGAGCCGAGTCACAGTGTGTTAATATTCTCAAAGCTTCCACAACATCAGAACGCTTGCTGGCGGAACCCCCGGTCCCCCTCAGCCTAGCGCTCCGGACGGGGCGACCACTTTTTTTTCTCCTTCGCTTGCCCTGCAAGCGCCGCGGATGTCACCAGCTTCGCGGATCTGCCGTATACTATCGTCTTCCGCGCGCCGTGTAAGTTTTGCTGCCCGCGCCCCCGCGAGAATGGGTTCTGCCTCGCCTTTCGCTTTAAAATAACTTGTCCACCGTCTCCCTTGCGGATCAGGTGTGCCCGGGATATGGCCTGGTATCCCAGACACAGTTAATACCGTCCCTCTCCGCCCTCTTGCACCATCCCACGCTTGTTCCCCCTTCCCTCTTATTACTACAACTTGCCTCCCCACCACCTTGTTTGACTCCTGTCAAGTTATTGTCCCTCTTCTCTCCCTCCTCCGTCTTTCTCCTCTACTGTGCACCAACCATGCGTGCCCTATTCAACTTCTACAACAGCCAGCTACGGCCGCAAAATGGCCAAGACAGCTTTCCCGCCAAACAGCTATTCGTACTCGGTGCGTCATCCTTGCAGCCGCCCCCGGCGCATTACTGACATAATGCAGCACTATGTCGCATATGCGAGCCAATTGCCTTTATGTCGATCTTCCCTTACGCCTACCGAATGATTGAGTCGTTCGATATCGCCAACAACGAAAACCAAACCTCCATGTACGCCGGTATGCTCATCACCGCCTTCGCCTTCGCAGAGTTCTCCACGGGTATGCTATGGGGTCGCATAAGCGACAGGGTTGGCCGCAAGCCGGTTCTGATTATGGGATTGGTGGGAACAGCCCTGAGCATGATCTCGTTTGGTTTCGCCAGATCGCTACCCATGGCAATCATCTCAAGAGCACTGGGCGGCCTGTTGAATGGAAACGTGGGTGTGCTCCAGACGACTGTTGCAGAACTCGTGACCAAGAAGGAGCACCAGCCGCGAGCATACTCGATCATGCCCTTTGTGTGGTGCCTCGGGTCCATCATCGGGCCTGCTATGGGCGGAGCCCTTGCCATGCCTTGCGAAGCATATCCGTGGCTCTTTCCCAAGGGCACTCTATTCGACGCATACCCATTTCTCCTACCGAACCTGGTCTCCGTTGTGATCCTTGTCTTCGGCATCACCACTGGATTTCTATTCCTCGAAGAGACGCATGCAGAGAAGAAGCACCACCGTGACGTGGGACTGGAGTGCGGCGATCTTGTGCTGGAGAAGCTGTTCAAGATCCACAATATCCGCAATTACGAGCGGTGCGAAGTCGCCTCGCTTACCGAGAACCCCTCCACACCAGACGTGTCAGTCGCAACCGAAGATGATTTGGAGACCGGCTTTTCCGAAAAGACCACCAAAGTCTCCGTTTTCAACCGTCAGGTCATCTTGATCATTGTGGGATACGGCATTCTAGCATAGTAAGTGAAATTCCGAAATTCCGATGCATCTTGGACGCTAACCGTTGTACAGTCACTCGGTCTCGTTTGACTCGCTTATGCCAGTTTTCTTGAGCGAGGCCAAGATGGAGACCAAACCTGTCCTGCCGTTCAAGTTCTCTGGCGGCTTTGCTCTGTCTACCAAGTCCATTGGCTTCATGATGGCTGTGCAAGGCGTCTACTCGATGATTGCTCAGCTCTGGCTCTTTCCATTCATTGTCCGACGGATCGGAACTTTGGGTGCTTTCCGCTTGGTCATGATGGCCTGGCCATTCCTCTACTTTGCGGTGCCATACCTCGTGCTCCTACCTGAGAACCTCCAAAGTACCGGCATCTACATCGCTCTACTCACCAAGATGACCTTCCACACTATCTCTTTTCCCTCGAACGCCATCCTTCTCGCCAATGCGGCGCCCTCGAAATCCGTTCTCGGAACCATCAACGGTGTCGCAGCCTCGACCGCCTGTCTCGCTCGGGCTTTCGGACCCACAGTCACAGGCGCCGTGCACGCAGCTGGACTCAAGTTTGGATGCAACGGCCTTGCCTGGTGGGCAGCCGGTCTGATCTGCGCCGTTGGAGCTCTGGAAAGCTTCTTCATGGAGGAGACGGACGGCCGTCCCTCGGAAGAGCCGGAAGAGGAGGAGCCGCTGTGCGAGCCTCTCCTTCACTCGACCAACGCCGACGACGAAGAGCCTGGTGCTCGACGAGGAAGCTTGGTTTCGCTGAGCGGCCTCGATCTGGACAAATTCTCCGATTCAAAAACACTGGTTGAAGTCACCACGCCCGAGGAGCCCAAGCCGGTAGTATCATAGGCCACGATCCTCGTCTATTTCAGCAGGACTGGATTCTCCACCACCACCAATCTGCTTATTATTGCGAACTGTTTTTGACGACATGAAGCGACACTACCTTGTACAAAAGCGATAAAGACTTTTTTCCACACAGGGCGACCTGTACATACCCCAAACAACAACATATATCAGCCAGCGCGGCTCAGAGAACCACGGATAGAATGAAGGCGTTAAGGAAAATAATGGCGGCGAATGCAGAAAGGGTGGGCACGTCTGGGCGCCATATCGTTTTCTTGGATATGCATCTGCATTCACGGGTTTGCAAAGTGTTTTTGCCGGAGTTTTGAGTAATTTGGGGGGAAGGATGAATTTGCTTTTGGCCAAATCATGGTTGCTTTTGGCGAAAAATGCGCGCGGTGCACAACATCATCTGGGAGGCTACTTTTTGTTTGAAGATACCTTGCGGGCTTTGAACCCGGCGAATCTGCTGCTGCCCAACGCCAGGATTCTGGTTGGGAATGTGTGTATTTCTACTGTGTGTATGAAAGGGGAGAGAAGTGAAGCGAGACAGAAAGTGAGAATGTCAAATGAGTTTATCTCTGTGTGTGTGTGTGTGTGCCGATCAGACGAGAGACAAAAAAGTATGCGTGTACGTTTAGTTTGGACCGGGGGGGGCGGCTTTGTTGGTGCTTTTCGAGAAGGCGACGATGGTTAGAGCAAGGCCTCTTGAATCGACAGTGAGGCGATGAATCAAAAGTCAAGGTTTTCATGACCTTTTCCATACGTGGCGGTGTCTTGACCGTTTATTTGTTTCTTTCTTTCCTCATGAAGTACGTGGCGTGCATGCCCACCTACCAGGCAGCCAAAGGTGTTTGACCAACAACGAGCGATGGAGCGGGAAAGGGGGGGCGCCGGAGATCGGTCCCGCGCCCCGAGGCCCAGTAGGCACGTTTGGCTGCCCATGACAGCGACCTTTCTCGTGTGCTCCAACCACTCCGCGACATGCCTCGGTCCTTGGCCCCCCGGCGTCGGAGGTTTGGGGTTTTGCTTAGGTGCACGAGGCTCTCGGAGCAAGAGAGCTCTCAACATTCATTTGCAGACAACATTATTATCATCTCGTCTTCTGTTCTCTTGACTACTCCTTCTTGCTCCACTGTTCCAGTGTGAGCCATGGCACCCAGCAGAGCGCTGATACGGGAGGTGTGCTCGATACGGGCGCGCCATGCGATTCCGCGGCCGCAGCGGCGGTGCTTTGCCTCGGCGCCGCAGCAGGGGGGTGGACCACTGGCGGGGATCCGTGTGCTGGACATGACGAGGGTGTTGGCGGGGGTATGTGTTGCAGCGTCGTGATCAGAGGCTGGCCGTGTATGCTGACGCTTTTCGAAAGCCGTATTGTACGCAGATGCTTGGGGACTTGGGGTAAGGGACCATATCTCACCAGCAGACTTTTGTCGTTTGGTTTCGGCGAGCAAAGTCGCTGACGGCGAGCTCAGTGCAGAGATCATCAAGGTCGAGCACCCGACGCGTGGGGATGATACGCGCGCGTGGGGCCCGCCTTACGCCACGTATCAGCCAGGTGAGCAGCACCGATGCTAGGTTCGCGGAGAATGCTGGGACAGCTGCTGATCCTCTGGTATCTAGGTACCAAGGAAGGACCAGGAGAGAGTGCCTATTTCCTCGCCGTAAGTCATGTCACCTTGCACCCGTGTCTCTCGCAGCATACGCTAAGCAAGAACTAATCATCTTGGCGAGGTAGGTCAACCGGAACAAGAAGTCAATCGGCCTTTCGTTCCAGCACGAGGAAGGCGTCAAGATCCTCCACGAGCTGGTCCGCACATCAGACGTGTTGGTTGAGAACTACATTCCAGGTACGCCAGTGGCGGCCGCGTTGAGGCAGTACTTGCTCTCGAGACTTAAAAGCTTGCTGACATGTATTATTACAGGCGCCTTGAAGAAGTACAAGCTCGATTATGAGTCCATGCGCGCAATCAACCCCAAGTACGTTGCTAGTCTCTGCCCGCTTGATCCCTCCTAAGCGCCCCATCGGGTCACAACGGCCAGCGTCGGACCTCGCCTAAACCATGCCTTTGGTTTTACGTCAAACTTTTGCCCAGTTCCTGCAACCCACTGACACCCTTGTTCTTACCCAACCAGACTCATATACGCCTCCATAACGGGCTACGGCCAGCACGGCCCCTACTCGCAGCGCGCCGGCTACGACGTCATGGTCGAGGCGGAGTTCGGGCTGATGCACATCACTGGGGCGCGTGACGGCCCACCCGTCAAGGTCGGTGTGGCAGTCACGGACCTCACCACGGGGCTCTATACGGCCAACGCTATTCTCGCCAGCCTGCTGCAGCGGGGCCAGGACCCCGAGGCCCAAGGCCAGCATCTAGATGTCGCGCTCAGTGATTGCCAGACGGCGACGCTGGCCAACATCGCCAGCAGTGTGTTGGTAAGTGGGGAGCGGGATGGTGGGCGGTGGGGCACGGCGCATCCTAGTATCGTGCCATACAAGGGTTTCAAGACGTCGGATGGGGATGTCATGCTGGGCGGGGGCAACGATCGGCTGTATGGCGTACTGTGCGACAGGATCGGGAAGCCGGAGTGGAAAACCGATGAGCGGTTCGTGACGAACAATCTCAGAGTCAAGAATCGGGAGACGCTGGAGAACCTGATCGAGGCAGAGACGAAGAAGAAGACGACCAAGGAGTGGTTGGCGGTCCTGGAGGGCAGTGGCATGCCGTACGCGGCTATCAACGATGTGAAGGATACGTTAGAGCACGAGCACACCGCGGCGAGGGGTATGGTGACGGAGATTGAGCATGAGTCGTGTGGCAAAATGAAGGTTGTCAGTCCCCCTGTCAAGTACGGGAGGCCGGGGATGGTGGGTGTCAGGAGCGCGCCACCAACGCTGGGGCAGCATACTGAAGGTGTGCTGCAAGAGGTGCTGGGCTACCAGGTGGAGCAGGTGAAAGGTCTGCGCGAGAAGGGTATTGTCGCCTGACCTACTGACGGGTACCCATGCATCGTGCATTGTTCATGAATCTAGAAGTGCAGCATATATATACGCACTCAAAAATGTACAGAAGATCTATGCTGAACCACTTGTCGAAAAGGCGGCCAGGAGGGTTTCAAACGCTAGTACTGGCTGCGAAGTGGTTCGATACGGCGACCGAAGGGAGCACAAACCGATCCGCCAGCGTATCTCTTCTGGTTACACCGTCACAACCAACTATGGCGTCCTACCTCAAATATAGTTTCAATGAAGCTCTCGCCGAAGCGTCCACATACACCGCGCCATCAGTCGGACAGCCGAGCCAAGAGTAGCATGACTAGTGAAGCACAGAGTATGAGAAGGAACGACGTGGTAAAAGTAAGCATTTCTGAGATAGACACGATGCGTATAGGTCGACGAGTGGAGCCACTCTCAGGCCCGATGTGCCCATCGACCAATCGGTGTGGCCGCCGAGCAGCCGAGGCCTTTAGTCATTAGTTCGTTGGGGTCCTTACTAATTGAGCATACTATGGAAGAACTACCACAGACTTCACCAAATTTCGCTGGAGGTAATTATCAAGCACAACTGAGTTTGATACTTGATACCTGTGGATGACGAGCTTGCCGGTCAGGGTTCACGCTCCGACGGAAGTGCCGCTGTTAGAAATCGGCCACGAAATGTAGAGATGTCGTTCCTATATAACAGATCATGGCTTCGCACTATGAGGACTGTTCAAGCACCAACTCACAAAACAATAACACTAAGAACAAATCAACAGAACATCATCCACACAAAGACTTCAAATGGCTGATTTTCACGGCAAGTTAGCAATCATCACCGGAGCCGCCAAGGAGAGCGGCATCGGTTTTGCTACAGCATGGCTCCTGGCGGAGAAAGGCGCCGACGTAAGTCTTTTTCTCCTGGTCGAGATCCGCAGACTAATATTCTGCAGGTCGTGCTGCACTACAACACCAATCAAGCTGCCGCCGAGGCAAGCGTTGCCAAGATCCGCACTCTGGGCGTCACGGCTATAGCCGTGCAGGCTGATGCAACAAGCCCGGAGTTTGGGAGAACCATCGTCAAGGCATTTGAAGAGGCCTTCCCCGGCCGAAACATCGACATCATTGTCAACAACGCCGGATACGCTGCGTTCTCTCCGTCCGTGACATCTTTCACGCTCAAGGAGTTTGACGACTCGTTCCACGCCAACGTGCGAGGCCCGCTCTTGTTGCTCGAGGCGGCTCTGCCCCATCTGGCATCTCCAGGCGGCCGCATCATCAACATAGGCACGGTCGTCGCAAGACTTGGGTCCAAGTTCGCGGGAATCTATGCTGGGAGCAAAGCAGCCTTGAACGCAATGACCCTGGGCTGGGCGGAGGAATTGGGCGAACGAGGCATTACGGTCAATGTTGTGGCGCCCGGCCCGATCGGCACTGATCTCGCGCCGCCCGAGGAACATGATCTCATCCAGAAGTTCCGTGCTATCCAGCATCTGAAGCGAAACGGCACTGCAAAGGAGGTCGCTGAGATCATTGCGTTTCTGGCCAGTGCAGGAAGTGCTTTCGTTACCGGACAGGTTATTGGTGTTGATGGAGGTCTAAGCTATGTTTGATCCCATGTAGACCGAAGCTAGTGGGCAGTGAAAACGATGTCTCGCATTGATCGTACACGTCTCATCAAGTTACGCCAAAATTCAGATACACTGCCCACAGTCTCTTCTACCAGCTAGCGAGGTATTGCCCTCGCACCCGAAGCCAAGCTAACGTCATTGCTTCCAAGAGCTGGGGGTACTTGTTTGAATTTTCTGCTTATTAGATATTATACCACTCAATCTGCCTGAAAGTCGCGATGCCGACTGACGACCACGCTAGTCAAGTCGGACCGGTCTCATGCCTGACCAGAGGCCTAGCTTTTTGAGGGGAGAGATGCTCAAAATGCTGTCTTGAACCCGAATTGAGTGAAGTCGCAGACTCATACCAACCTTTGGACTCGAAGGGCTCAAGGTGCAGGATCTGCAGCTTCTGTGGACACGGAAGGCTCCTTTGAGGTTGATGACTCCTGGACATCCTCCTTGCGCAAGGTCTGGGCAGCCTGTGTATCCTTCAGAGAGTCCGCCATGAAAATCAGGTCGATCTCCTCCAAACTGTGGCCACGCGTTTCGGGGCAGCAGAAGTAAACTGGGCCATGTTAGCATCGGATCGACAGTTGACAAAGCCGACATACCGAAAGGGGCACCGATGAGATTGAAGACCAAGAACCAAATCCAAGCCTTCCAGCCCACATTCGGGTCGGCGATAGCGATGGGTCCAGCAAACACGGTAATAAAAGCCATGATCCACTGCGAGGATACGCTCAAGGCGAAGCCGATGTGTCGATACCGAAGAGGCATGATCTCGGAAGCGTACACATACTATTATGGGTTAGTGATGTAATGCGTCGTCTCGGTGTACATACAGTGACCGGTCCCCAGGTTGGCCCAAAAACGGTGATCCAGGCAAACAACATAGCAGCTGCAGCCGCACCGGTCTCGGGACCTGGCGTAGAGAGCAACCCTGTGAAAGCAGCCAAAAAGACCGTCTGAGCGATAGCGCCTGCTATCAGCCAGGTGCGTCGTCCGAACTTTTCCAAGTAATAGACGCCCAACAGGTTTGAAATGGCCAAGACGGTGTTGGCAGCACCGGCTAGACCAGAGGCAGTCAGCGGTTGGAGACCGATGTAAACCTGGAATATCGTTGTTGTGTAGTAGAAGATGACGTTGATGCCCATCAGATATGCTATACCCACAAGGAGCACGCCTGTGCGAATTCTTCGCGCAGCTTGTAAGCTCGAGGTATCCCAGAAGAAGTCGGTCACTTTTAGTTTGGCGGAGTCGGCGCGTTCGAGCTCCAGAGACGCGATGATCTCGTCTCTCGCATGCTGGACGTGTTCCTTTTCCAACGTGGCGCCATATACTTGCTGCAGGATTGCATCACCTTGATCGTTCTGTCCCGTCGCGTAATAGTATCGAGGTGTGTCAGGGATGCCCCAGAAGGCCGCAACCGTGAGTATGGCGAAGAATGCTTGGAACGCTACAGGGAACCTCCAGACCACGGAACTCCCACGAACAAACACCATACCGAAGTCACTAGAACAGAGTCAGTCTGCGGTATGGGGTAGATGTTGTCTGCCTTACACCCAGTAGGCGAGTGCCACGCCAACTGTGGCTGCAGCGATCATGCCGTTCACGCCTCTGCCTCGAAGCTCTTTTTGTGTAGCCATTTCCGCAACGTAGACTGGGATCATTGAGGTCAAGAATCCGTTACCAATGCCCTGTGGGAATTGTCAGCGGTGGTGTCTAGTAAAGACCACATTTGTGCTTACTATGAAGACTCGTCCAGCAACTGTCCCATCGAATTAGCTTGCGATGTAAATTGAAGCCTAGCACACTCACTCATCTGTCCATAGCTGAAGGACGAAGCACAAATAATGGTGCCAGCAATCTCAATCATGTTACCAATCAACACCCACGTTCTTCGACCCATTCGCATGCCAAACGAAGAAATAATCATGCAACCGAGCCATGACGCAAGGAGGAATGTCGACGTGATCATAGAAATCTGGTATGTATCGGTGGGATTCTGGACATGCCATTAGCCATTGCAGCAGATGGGTCTGGGTAGCGGACTGACCCCGACTGCTTCTTGGAACTCTGGGGTGAGCAGAATGCCACCCAGTACACCAGCATCCCAGCCAAAAGTGATGAAACCCAGGCTACCAGCCACTAAGGCACGTGTATACAGCTTTGTTCCTTGGAGCTGCATGGTGAAGCGTAGATGAGCTGGGAGGGACTTGAGACGAACTTGTGGTACAAAGGATGCTGAAGTCGGTGCTGCAAAAGTCAAGTTGAGAGGTTGGAGGTCTTGGGAGCTGATCATAGGGGTGATGGAGTGCTGTGATGTGTTCAAGGGTCGCTGCGTACGCGAGCTAAGCCTGACACCCGCAAATGCACTACTGAAAAGTCTTACATATGTCCATCAACGGCGCCGTGGAAAGTCCAGGGGAGGTCTAGATAGTTCGTGATAGTGCAGAGATCGAGCGCCACAAGCCCGGGATTACCATGAGCTCCTCTTGGTACTGAGTAGTGTAGGGCCATCGCTAACCCTGCACCAAGCTCGAGGACATTCCGTCGGGTTTAGTTTCCAAACCCTGGCCAAATGCATCTCTAGTACAACTTAAACGCATCTCAAGACCGAGGGGCTCGCGAGGATTGACGGTAGGAAGCTTGACGTTCTAAATGCCGAAAATGAATCTTCATCTGGCGGCGACGCCTAGTCTCAAGCGAAGCCTCATACGAAACTCGTGGAGCAACGGAGATCAACAAGGCAACGAGCGTTGACTTGTTCTGTGCACAGTAGCTTGCAGGGTGGGTCCAAGGATCGCCCGCTAGGATAGTAGCCTAGCGCTCCCGGTGAGCCTAGATGCATGAGCCGATGCTCGTGCAAGGGACCTGGCCCCCAAAACGGCTTCATGACTCTAGACGGTTAACATCATCTCCACCTTGCTTAGCGCACCGTTGTATCATCACGAATGCTACGAGACGATGTCGATCCTCACCTAGCTCATTGGCTGCCTGTGAGCGAGCTTGAGGAGTGGCGCGTCGAAACTCATGCAGCCAGAGTCGGTAGCTACTCGTGAGACACTGACACGTCGCGGCCACATCCATGTCCTCGGTAGCACAATCTAGATGATATGCACCCTGATATGTACTAATGCTCCCAGGAAGAGAGAATCCAAGACGAGGCGCAACCTCGCTTAGAGGTACCTCCTCATTTCACTTGCGCGGCAATCGCATCGGCTCTCGCCAGCTCCTGTCGAAACTTGGTTCCTGAAAAAATCTACATGTGATAGTGGCAACTTATCTGCTGTGCTGTAGCAACCAGTCAAACCCGTGATAAACACATGGTCGGTTGAGGGACTGACTTCTCTGATCGTTACAACGTTCTAGACAACATGGCGAGTGAAGCTGGCTCAGTATTGGGCACATCAGCCACGCTCCTTGGACGCATATTCTCAATCATACTCGGCTATTATGTCCTCAAATTTGTCTACCAGATCATCCATTACCGCTTTTTCCACCCGCTATCGAAGTTCCCTGGCCCTTTTTGGGCATCCGCAACTCGGCTGTACATTACCTTCTGGAATCTGAAGGAGACTGAACATGTGCACATGCTAGATCTCCATCGTCAATATGGTATGAACAACGCAGAGATCGTAAGTGCGTCTGCTGATTGAATGAAGGTCCTGTGGTACGCATAACACCCACGTTACTCGTGGTCAGCGACGCGACAAAGCTCCCAACTATCTACAGCCGCCATGCAGACAAGACAAAGCACTACATCACCGGCAGTTTCGGAAAGACTGAAAGTGTCTTCAACATGCAGGACCATCGCCATCATGCAGCTTCCCGCAAGCAAATTGCTGGACCGGTAATGTCCTTGCCACTCTTTCTGTCGTCGCTCTAACGGATGAACAGTACAGTTTCACGAATATCAAGAAAATGGAGCCGTTGATTGATGCGAGGATCAATGACTGGCTTAGAAAGATGGCCGTAAACTTCGTTGATTCTAAGCAAAGATTTGACTTCGCACCCTGGGCAGTGTACGTGATCTAGACGTCGGCCGAGCCACACTGACAACCATAGTTATATGGCCTACGATATCATCTCTGAGATTGGATTCGGTGCGCCTTTTGGTTTTGTTGAAAAAGGTGCTGATGTGGAAGGTTTGATCCAAGGTTTCCACGATGGCCTCCCGGCTTTCGGTTTAATGGCAAGGCTGCACCCTTTCACGACTTGGATCAAGACTACATGGGTTGGCGAGAAGTTTCTGGTCGCGAAGCCAGAAGATGCAACTGGTATTGGTACGTTGATGCGCTTTCGCGATCGTCTCATCAGCGAGAGAGTCGATAATATGGCCGCGGGAACTACTGACGGGCGAATTGACCTGTTGCAAACGTATGTTGTCACCTGGCTGTGATCATCTTGCCACTGACTCGGAGCAGATTTCTCGATGCACGTGATGAGGACGGCAAAGCTATCGAGATGGATCGCATCAAAGCAGAAGTGCTCCTGGTGATGCTGGCGGGCGCCGATACTACAGGCACTTCCTTCCAGGGTCTGATCTGCATGGTCATGTCGAACCCTAGCATCTATGCCAAGATGATGGAAGAGATCGATGCTGCAAGTCGTGACGGACATTTGTCCTCGATGCCCCAGTACGAGGAAGTCATTCGCCACTGCCCTTACTATGTTGCCTGTGTGAAAGAGACAATGCGACTCTGGCCAGCGGCTCCCAACATCTTTCCCCGAAAGGTTGGAAAACCAGGTATGGAGCTGTTTGACAAGTTCGCACCCGAAGGTACAGAAGTCTCATGCAACCCGTGGGTGCTGGCTCGAGACACAAATTTGTATGGCCCCGATGCTGGCCAGTTCCGCCCCGAGCGGTGGCTTGAGAATGATGATCGGGCCAAGGACTTCGACAAGTACAACATGGTGTTTGGCTACGGTCCCAGAGTCTGCCTGGGAAGGGATATCGCGTTGATGGAACTCTACAAAGCCCCTTTACAGGTATGGTGAATGTCCACTTGCTGAAGTTGATGCTAATTTAATGCTGAAGTTCTTCCGTACGTTCGAACCAGAGATTTCAAGCCCCGACAGCATGGGCAAATTCGTGGTAAAGGGCGGGGTGGCATACTGGACCGATATTTTCATGACTTTGAAAAGGCGCTCGGCCGCGGCATAGTCGGAGTCGACCGTTGACCAGAGCAGTAGTGTGCTGTGTTGGAATATGGTGCCTACACCTGCGTATCCCTGGTGGACAACGTTGAACTTTCAGTGACCAAGCCTACTCTCAGTGGGCCCCGTGCCGTTGCTGCAAGCGACGTTTTCCATTTCACATATTTTCAATCACGTACCCAATTGCTCCAACGTCGCAACGTTCGGTGTCGCTTAAACACGCAGGAAAATTGTGCTGAAGATCTTTGTCGAAAAAAGACATTTCGCGCCGTCTAGCCATCCCTGCTGAACAAATGCAAAGCGCGCATTTTCACCTTCAAGGATGGGTTTGTCCCTAGGGGGAATGTGCATTAGGGCAGCGTATTTCAATCCTTCTGCCCGAATGATATCCGCGCCAATTTCGACTTCTCCACAGTCGCGCTTCCCCTAGCGACGGCGGCTACTCCGTACCATGGTGCGTGCAGTCGGCAGTTGGTCCAACAAGATCGCCACAGGGGCATGTCGAACATGATCCACAGATCGACGCGTAGCGGCCGCTGCTAGTGTCGCGTCACTGAAAGTGGTCTAGAATCCATCGACCCTGAAACTGGGCTTTACTGCTTTCTGTGATAGCCTTATACATTGCTGGGCATCAGGCCTTCCGAATCAAGTGGTCTCGCGGACGAGTTGCCGGCAATGGCAGCTTTCAACCTTATCGTTCAGTATGCTAGGCCGGCGCCTTGGATGTGCCTGAACCGATTTCTCTGAGTGTGCCATTATCTAGCTACATATATCACAGTAGATAACATGCCTGAGAGCATCTGGAAGACCACAGTGCCGCCAGTGCCGCAAAAATCACAGCATCTCCAGGGTCAGCGGGTACCCGATGATCTACCTATACTGTTGCCGGAAAAATCTCCGCTAATAAGGTGCAGCGCCGCAATGATACTATCACAATGTACTTTGTCGGGATCGACAGTGGGAACGCCTTGCCCAAATATACAGTAGCTGTTTTGACTCCATAGTGCCAAGTCACCCTCCGGTTGCTGAACGGCTTTGTCAACGGCCCAGCAGTCCGTATGAGCTACCAAACCTACCAGCTCATCGAAGATTGCAAAGTTGCGCAGCCTGCTCGGCCGCGATTGTATCTCAGCCTCGCACCTCTAGTAGCTATGACCGTCACTCGTAACCATGTAGCTGCGGTCGTTAATGGTAGACCCGAGAAATCACCTCCCATGAATCAACTAACGAGCATGAGGAGAGACATGGTACTTGTGGACCCGGATATGAGACTGGACTGGTTCCTGTCGATCACAGCGGTGGTTCTTCTGCCCCTGGCGGGGGCCCCTGGCTGCTGCTATGACCTCGTAGCTTGCATACAACGACTCCTGATTGCAGGGATTCGATGTGCCGTTGTCGCACTAACATCCGGAACCTGTGTTCCTGAGAGACAGTATCACAACATGTCCCGGCATCACTACAAAATGTGTTATAAGAATGTTTGCTACCATCTGAGCATCCTGCTGCCCTTAGATCGTGACACAACCTTTTGTCCTCGACGCAATGGAGGCTGAGAACGCGCCCCTCCGAACGGACTCGCAGGGTCCCACAACACTCATTATCGCCATCTTCTTTGGTTGCTTGACATTTGTTGTCATTGCACTGCGTCTCTCAGCACGCATATTCGTGACGAAACATCTTGGTCCGGATGATTGTAAGTCGCGAGTTGTGTTTGAACAAGAACAAGGCTTACCAGTTCTAGACTTGATTGTTATAGCCGCAGTAAGTTGAGTCTGCATCGAAAAAGGCATTCACTGACATGGCTTCAGCTATGCACATGGAGCTTCATGGTTTTGAATATAACAAGTATGTCTGATACTGCCGATCCGAAATAAAATTGACAAGATTAGCCGTCAGCCATGGCCTGGGTGAACACATTGAGGTCGCGCTCGCTCGAGGCCAAGAAGAGTTTGGACGCTTATACAGAGTTGGTCTGCAGATCGTCTCCCGCGGAGGTTTTACTGACGGGTGCAGGACGTGTGGATCTCGTCAGTGTTCTACAATTCCAGCCTGGGATTCATCAAATGCTCAGTACTGGCTCTGTATGCTCGCTTGGGTGATCGACAACTCAAACGCATGTCGCTGATCGTTCTGGCCATATGTGCCGCATCGGCGAGTGCTAACGTACTGGTCTGCATCTTCCAGTGCTGGCCGTTGAATGCCGCTTGGGATCAGACCATTACGCAAAAGCGGTGTGTCAACATCAACGCTTTCTACCTGGCCAATGCAGCGACAAACATTGCCACTGATCTATTGGCATACCTTTTGCCAATGAGACTTGTGAAAAATCTGCAAATTCCGAAGAAGCAAAAGATTGCGGTCGGAGTCATGCTATGTCTTGGTCTTTTGTAAGTCAAACTTCTTTTGTCTGTGGGGGCCAGGAAAAGTCCTACCGTGACCCCCAAAACACCTGCCTGACTCAAAAAGGGGTTGTTGACCCTTGCTAACACTTGTTTGCAGTACCTGCGTTTCGTCAATCATCAGAATTTCCTTCATTCCGGTCATGCTGACCTCCGATGACCCAACCTATGTCATCGCGCCCCCGTTCTACTGGTCTGTCATCGAGATCAACATTGGTGTCTTGGCAGCATCTATACCCTCATTCAAACCACTTGCCAAACGCTTCTTGCCACGCTTGATTGGCGAGAGTTCTTACAAAGGAAGACAAGGATATGCCAACTCAGGCAGTCTCAAGGCACACTACAAAGGCAACTCGGGCAGCGGTTTCGGTCGCCTCGACAGTGGAAATGCTGTTCACATGGGCGACTTCAAGAAAAGCGGCGCCATGAGCCATACCGAAAGTCTCGATCACCCCAATCGTCTGCAGAAAACAGGACAGAGGGATCCGGCGTTCTACAACGGTGGAGAAAGGACCACCCAGGGGTCCAACGAGTCTCAGCACAGCCATTCGAGTGAGGAGTATATCATCAAGCCCGGAAAATCCGATATCGTCCGGACTACTGAATTCACTCGAACAGTCGAAGAGGCTCATCCTCACTCATCTCGAGGCAAGAAGGATTTCTTTCCTGGGACTGCGGTCTAAGCACAGGGGTCCAGAAAAGCAATGCCTGTAGCACAAAAGTCCGATGTACATTCTTTGGGATGGTGGTGCACCTGATTTATCCTCAGCTCTGCGACTTGACATGCGAATCTTGCAACGATAGGTTCCGTTGCTTAGGGCGGAGGAATGAGACAACGCAATTTGACATGCGAACTCTGTAACGATAGTTTCAGTTTCTTGGGGCGAGGAATGAGAAAACGAGTTCATGGATCGGATCTGTTGATGTAAGTGTTCGAGGTGTGTGAAGGAAGGAAGGAAACATCGTCGACTCAACGATCCCAAGTTCTGTGTGACCGATACATGAACTTTCCTGTCCAAATCGCCGCTGAATGATGCAAAGATAAGCTAACCCGGACTCTTCTGCCGCAGATGCGTCTCTGTTTTGCAATTCGTTTGACTTAGAACTGTTTGTTTGCTTCCAACGGCTCGGTCTCGGCCTTGAGCACGTTCTGGGCGATTCGCGCCTACTACATGATCGCCTTATCCATAACATCTACAGGCAACAGCATTGTTGGTTTTGTGGGGTAAGTCTCCACGTCGGTTCAACGCCACGCCGACCCCGTAAGCCACCCGAGCCTTACAGCCAACCACACCTTACTGTTCCCGGCCTCCTATTGTCACTTAGCTACTCAGGGTAATTTTGGTGGTCGAGGGTAGACTCTGCTTTGGGAAGTATTCCTTCTCGCAGACAACAGCCAACCGAGGGGTACAGCAGTAGAGGTCCTTTCCGTGCCTACTAGCTAAAGTCTATGCGCCAGGCTCCTGGAATATTGAGCATGTTTATTTCTGCGCTGAATATGCTTGGATCTTGGTATACGAACGACTATATCTATCCACCGGGGACGCACCCATCTGGAAATCTTCATAGTCTAGCAACTTGGCCGACAACCAGGGCATAACTTTCCAATATTAAACATGATTGCCGATAAGCTTGACCTCAAGAACCCGCACCGCCGCATGCGGGTCGGGGTGATCCTGGTCAACTCGTGAGTCTACTCTGTTCCTAGGTGTGTACTTGGAAGCCGCTGACACAGCACATAGGGTCACAGAGATCCTCGATGTTGCTACGCTGGACATCTTCGCAGGCCTCTCGAAGGACTTCACCAACAACTTTCCTTCCGAACTGGTCTCGGACCAGTGGAAGAAGGAAGCTCTTGATGTTGAGTTCCACTGGGTGAACGAGACGGGCAAAGACGCGACACTGACGGCCGGCATCACCCTCAAGCCTACCGTATGCTCTGATGCCCTTCTCATGATTTTTCAATGCTGACAACAGAGCAGGACTCGTTCGAGACATGCCCGCCTCTCGACGTTGTCCTCATGGGCGCCAACGTCATGGGCTACGTGATCAACGAGGCCGAAGGCGCATTCATACGCAAAGCCTACGACGAGTGCTCGGCGTTCATCACAGTCTGTGGAGGTGCCATGTCTGCGCTGCAGGCAGGCATTCTGCGTGGTCATACCGCAACAGCGCCACGTCTCGTTGTCGATGAGCTCCGTAAGACCAATCCAGAGGTCAACTGGGTGGAGAAGCGTTGGGTGCACGACGGAAAGCTGTGGACGAGCGGTGCTCTGCTGAATGGAACTGATTTGATGCACGCTTTCGCGACTGAACATTGGGGTGGACCAGGTTCTTATATCGAATGGGGTTTGCAGCTAGGGCATTATCCTGCGAGGGACGTTGACTATGCGGATGTGTCCCATAGGCTGTAAGATGAATCTCAGTATTGCCAGTTGAAGTAGTAGAAAATTTGCAACTGATCTTGAAGACTTGCTTTCGGGAAAGACTCTTCAGTCTATATCACTCCATTGGCTACCAGATCGAGAAGGGGGTCAAGCCTCGTCACCATTTTGGGCTGCTGAGCAACAACTCTGATCTAAGAGCACGGTGAGAAGATAGTGACAGGATAGCGAGGTTCCAATTGCTCTTCACCAGTCGAACCTCCAACGGCCTGAGTGGCGGTCACTCGGGTGATGGCACAACAACTTCTTTAACCAGTGGCGCCGCGGTAAGTTCAGCGGATTTCACCTGGCCACCGTTATTAGCTTCGAGGTACCATCAGCTCTTCAACTATCATGATAAAAGGCTGTTATCATCAAACCTCGCCATCGAAAAACGCGCTCCGCGAAACTCCTCGCGAAAACCTGATCGCGACCGGCACCCTGCAGCTTGCCGCCTCAAGCCGCCGCAAACACCCGCACCGCGATAGCATTTGACACAAGATTTGGAAGTGCAATTTCCATTAGCAGGCTCAAGTTGTCTCTCTCTGGTCTCCTCGAGGGACTCGTCCCCGGTCCGCATATTCTGCGATTGAGGTCTAATCCAACCGCCTAACGACCACGCATACGAAGTTTTGGTACACGGCCTTCCAACATTATCATCCGTCAAAGTGAACAATCAACGACACGACTCCGGCGTAAACGAGTCAAGAACCATAAAAAGCATGTCTGCTCTTCCTCTACGCCCACACGAGGCTCCGATCCTCACATTGTTTCGCCGAGAACAGCAGTCGCCCGGCTCTACTCCTGCGCCACCAGCTCTATCGCCCAGCGCCATAGTCGGTCTCGCCATCATCGGCGGTATCTTCGTAAGTCTTCATGTTGGCTGGCCCCTTTTTAGTTCCCTCAACAGCTCTCTGCACTTTGCCTCAGTGCCTCACCAGATAAAAGGTCTTTCCACTAAACACAGTCACCAAATAGTTCTGCGTCGCTCTCGCCGCCATGCTACACATGTGCCTGCGACCCTCACCGCAAGACTCCAACCCCACGTCCCTCTACCAGCCCGAAGACGCCGCGCAGCTCGCGCGGATGAAAGAGGTGCGTGAATACCACCGTCGGGCTGCGTGGGAGAGTGCGGAGGCGGCACACGCGGAGCAACAATCAGAGAGAAGGGCCAGTTGGGCATCAACTCCGCGACCGAGAGCATCGAGGATGGGAGGCTGGAGGGAGAGGAGGGGCGTGGGCGCGAGTAGACTTGGGCAGACCGCACAGGAAGCGTATGGCGAGGTAGAACTTGACGAGCAGTGGAGTCTGCATAGCGACCGACTGGGAGAGCGAGATGCTATGGTGCATGCAGCAGGAGATTATGGCGCGGGAACGCAGGGTCCAGAGGCGTTGGGCGATCGTGGCAAAGGGCGGGCCTTTGAGCGGTATGATCGGGCGGATATCGAGGCCGACGGAGGCAAGACACATACCTATCGCACTACTGTCACCGCCGATGTGAACGACCTGAGGCCTGTGGCGCTCTAGAGCAGGCACAGTATGAAAACAGTGGTCGTGGCGCGACAGCCAGTATTACCATGAGGCACACGGTCCAAGATACGCTGGGCAAACTCACAACAAGCGCTTCCAGGATAATAAGACCGATCGTTGAAAGGGACTACTAGGTAGCCTAGGGTCGCAAGAAACCACTAGTGTAGTGACTGTTGTATTTTCATAACAAGACAGTCAGCTCCACCGCTGCCAAGTCGCACACATTCGCTGCGCTCTTTGTCCGCACGCTCTGCTGTAATCACTCACTTGGAGCTCACCAGTTCCACTTCCATCCAAAAAGAACATGGTACAAACGTGCGTATAGCAAAAAGAAAAACCAGGACGTGGAAGATCCCGACAGCGATGGGACTCGAACCCACAATCTTTGCCACCGGAAAGCAACGCCTTACCATTAGGCCACGCTGCCGTTTCTGAGACGGCATTCGAGAATCGCATTTCTGTGTGCAATTCGTGGATGGTATCAGGGGCAAGTTCAAGGCATTGAAAAATATATAACTCTAGATTATACCCGCTAGAAGCTTCTTCCGGGGGGGCGCAACAGGGGCAGAAACCCGGCCTAAGTAGGGTTCGTGGGGTGGACCTTTTTAGGCGGCAGATAGTCGGGTTCAGCCCGAGAAAGATTCTGAATCCGAACGATGATACCGCTCTTTGTCCTTTGTTATCTTATAGTGAGTCTATCGTCAACCTCATGCAAGCTTGCTGGCGACGAGCTTCTTCAAGTCTTCCTGCGTCATCTCCTTGACACCAAGCAGGGAGTTATCTGTCTCGTCAAAGGCAGCCCCGTAGGTATCACCAGCCAGAGCTGTGCCTCCAAGCACTTTAAGAATGGTAGGGAAGCTGTAGTCGCCCGCTCGGGCGCTGTCCAGACCCTCTTTCAGAAGAGCGCTCGTCTGGACTTTACTTAACTTCCAGGTAATGTCAGGTCGCAACTCCGCCGCGATCCCCAATACCTGGTTCTGCGTGACAATCACCTCTGAGACTCGGACGATCTTATTCTTCGTCTCTTCGAGATTATTGAAGACTCCGACAATGGCTTTGCTCAGGTTGGCCAATGAAGTCGAACTGACTCTGTTGTCGCCATCGTCGTACAGCCGCGCCTCATGCTTCGCAAAGTCTAGCAGCATTCCTCGATCGAACAGGAATTCTCGGAACGCACCACACGCAACGACTGTCCAGGTGAGTTTGCCGGCCCTCGCCTTCTCTTGAAGCTTCTGCCTGATGTTGAAGGCATCTTCGTACCACGGGTAGGTCTGAAGCTCGGGATGAGTTGTGCAGGAGCCGTACTCAGAAGGGATGAATCGTTTCACACCGGCGGCGGCGGCGGCGTCAATCAGAACACCCTGGACAGGTATCGCTTCACCAGCTACCGTGGACACTGCCGCGTCGATGTTTTGCAGAGCCGCGGTCAATGATTCCAGAGAGGTGAAGTCAACTTCAACAACCTTGACGCTTGCGTCGTATGCGCCTGCCTTCTTAGATCGCGTGAGGACCGTGACTTGAAAGCCTGCATTGAGCAGTGCCTGGAGAACGTGCGTCCCCACCGCGCCCGATGCCTGATGAGATTGTCAGTCGTCAAGCTCAATTCATTTATTTGAGATCGCTTACACCTGCAATCGCAACTGACTTGATTTCAGACATGGTAGACAACTGGATCGCGGGTTCCGTCGATGATCCCTAAGAACGAGTTGTCAGGATTGGCTTGACAGTGTTCTTGCCTCCAGGGACAAGGCCTCGTTTTTATACTCCTCTGCCCTGCTACCGCGCATCTCGTGTGAGCACCATTGGCTTACTAGACGAGCCTCCACGAGTCGCTTTCTAAGCAGGTCGGACAGAATGGCAGTAGGCTTCGAAAGCACTCCCGATGTCCTGCTGTGGAATAGCCCGCATCTGTCCGCCGGGCATTTTCCCGCATGACCTTGTGGCCTCGTCGGATTTTGCGGCGGCAGCCCCCGCTTCGCGACTCCGCGACAGGGCGCTTGATAAGCGCCAGTTGAACTCAGCTCGTTCCCGTAATTGCAATACTCGTGACTCAAGACACTTTCCCACAGCCCACAAGCTAAAGGCCACTTCTGCGATGGCCTGAACGGCATCGGCGCTTCTGCCCCATCACGCTCGGGACCGTTTTCAGTGGATGAAGGTGACGCCGCACCAAAGTTGCCAGATCCCGACTCCGCTTGCTCCTGCATCCGCGTTTTCCGCAGCCTGGCGCCAACTTTCCGTCCCAAGTAAATCATCACGATGCGAATCGAACGTCGCGAATTGACAGCTCGCAAAGCCTGTGCGAGATGTAGCGCCCAGAAGAGGCGCTGCGATAGGGCACTGCCGACATGCGGACTTTGCACACGACTTCGGCACACGTGCGAGTATGGAGGGCACTTCGCATCTCCGGCGGCCTCGTCTCCAAGGTCGCAGATTTCCCTCTCAGGCGCGTTATCAATAAGTCACCTCAAGGATGCAATTGTCGAAGCCTTTGACTTCACGCCGGCAGATATCGTCCCAGCCTATCAACGGGCGGTTGAGCCGTGGTTTGCCTTCCTTTCAGTACCGGAGCTACAAAGCCGTCTGCCAGTGACCTGGGAGGAAGCTTCGTTGGACATCCTGTTGCTTTCCCTGTCCATTGTGCTTCTCACGACTGCTCCGCCTCCTGCGGAGAGTGACAGCGATCCGTCCAGCTTCAAATCGCGATATGTTCAACTCAAGTGCCATATAGCCTCGGTTGAAGCACTCGGCATTCACTCACTGTTGATTGTTCAAGCAAGAGTCTTGATAACGCTTTTCGAGGTTGCACATGGCTTCTACCCGGCCGCATATATCTCCATTGGAGCTACGGTCAGAGCTGCTGAAGCACTGGACTTCACTTCGGACAGTCTCTCTGCCCCGTCTCATTCGCTAGGCGACGAGCCGACGCCCCTGGAACAAGCATTGTGTTGGTGCGGAATCCTGGTTCTGGATAGGTAAGCAGTTCTTCCTAGATTCCTCTTGGATAAAACTATGTCCACCTGAGTCATCCTTGATAACCTCTCCACAGTCAGTTCGTGCTGACCAGGCTTTTTTCATACTAGATACATCAGTGTCGAGTCCGGATCGCAACCCTCTTTGACTCGCTCCCGACACCAGCGTCCCGACCCTGCTCTACAGCCCATCATGTGCTCGCCACATCAAGGCCGAAACAGAGTGAGCCCCTTATGCCGCTTCGGCCGCCTCTTTGAAGCTTCAGACGCCCTCGACCAGATCCATGCAATATTGAACAACACCACGGAGGAGGACACTATCGACGTCGACGAATTAATCTCGGCCATTCAGACATCAGTAAACCTTCAAGCCCTACTATGTGAAGAGATCGGAGACGAGAACCAACTTTACGCTGGCGGACTCAACCTTTGTCAAATCGGACTGCTGCTGACCTTCGAGCATGGTACCAAACAGCCTCCTGCCCCCGACGGCAGTGCGCACTCCAGCTCTGAGGCAACCACATCCCTCTTCACAATTCTGTCCAGTCTCACTGACTCAGTTGAATTGTTCACGCTGGACATACCAACCATTGACTACAACTGCCTCCCACCCTTCGTGGTCTTCCTAGCTTACAAAGCGGCCGCACTGGCAACGCAAAGGTTGTGGCTAGACAAAGACACGAACGAAGGACTGAGAAAGTTGAGAATACTGAGGAAGTTCTTGGCCGTGGTAGGAGAAAGGTGGTTGAGTGGCAGTCAGTGAAGCGTGCCCCGTCCAGATATGGTTATGGCTGACTCAGTAATCTAGAACGCTACCTCGAGCTCCTCGATGAGGACACTACCCCACGTATTCTGAAAGCTCTACAGCAGAGGAGCTCGACATAGTTGGCTCACATGGAATAGGGGCCGCCGCTGCGTTACCCCTGGTAGCCCTTGTCGTCTTCGAGTGGCGCGTCGGTGCTGCGGTCGCCTCAAGTTGCGGAACATATTTCTCCTGGGTACTGAACATCACGACTAACAAGATCTAACTCCCAGAAGGTGGAGATGGTGAAGCCGTTAGAGGTGCCTGCAAGTGATCTTGGACTCATACTCAGGTGGATCGGCTTCGCTTCTGCGACGAATAAATTAGACGAAGACCTCACAGGGTAAGCCATGGGACCTTGGGCATTGTGGCAAGGGTGCTTCACCAAGCCAGAATCACCCGCGTGCCTGAGCGGCAACTGGAGCAGCAGCAACGACCCCCAAGCCCTGGCTGCCATTGTTCTACAAATTGCTAGTCAGCTACCCGGATCTCAAGACCCTTCATTGTCCCCCTTGGTACTGGAACAACCGCCTAGTGGCCTGGTGCACGAACGCTGACTTGGCATATCTGGGCCGACGGGATAAATGTCGCGTCCGCCGCCTCTCGCTGTGGTTGAGTTGACCTGCTGCATCCACGTCTACAACTGCTCACCAGCCGGTACCTGATGTTTAGTTGGACTGGACGATTTGATTGGCCTGAGGAGGCCTTACCCTGGTCCCGAAGCAGTAGGTGTTGTGGGTCTACCCCCGAATTTGGGACCTGCGCACGACTTCACTCGCTTCACCTCTCTCCCACAAGACGCCTCTACAAGCATCACATCCGATGATTAATGCAGCAAACTGGATATAGAATTGCGCTACGCTAACTCCTCAAGTCGTCATCTGTGCTTAGCGATGAGCGCAAAAGGCCCCTCGCGGCGCGGACACTCGGGCGGAAAAGGAGATAATATCACCGCCTCCGCTGCCAAGGCTCAAGGAGATTCATCGCCAACCCTTTCGTCCACTCATGATGAGTGTCCGGACCTTAGAAGCAAGATCGATGCCGGAGCACAGAGGACGTGTGGTTTCGCACAGCCCGAGCTGAGCAGACTAGAATGAGGGAAGGATGCTATTAGCCCAACTCCGACAGCCCCATCCGGAGGGGCCTAACATCCGCAATCTTGTATATGAAGACGAAGATGGGATTTCCCCCCGGTCGCATCTGCTCAACTCGAGCAGCACCCTCGCATTAGAACCCTAGTAGAATCATTCAGTGCCCAGTCCCGCCATCCACCATGCCGTCCTGCGACGAGAAAATCGAGTTCAACCCCGCCACCGACATCCCTTCCCTCACAGGCAAAACCATCCTCGTCACGGGCGCCAATGCCGGCCTTGGCTACCAGTCTGTCCATGACCTGGCCAAACACCAGCCTGCACACATCATCATGGCCGCGCGCTCAATCGCCAAAGCCGAAGAAGCCACTCGCAAACTCCGTGAAACCATCCCGGGCCTCAACACCCAATTCACCCCTCTCCCCATGGATCTCTCCAGCCTAGCCTCGGTCCACGCCGCTGCCGTCGCCCTCGTCACCTCCTTCCCCGACTTCACGCTCGACATCCTCATTTTGAACGCCGGCATCATGATGCACCCACCCAGCGTGACCGCCGACGGCTACGAGCTCCAAATGGCCACCAACCATCTCGGCCACGCGCTCCTGACCAAGCTCCTGCTCCCCTCCCTCCTCCGCTCGCCCGACCCCCGCGTCGTCGTCGTCTCCTCCGACCTCCTCTCCTCCGCGCCCAAAGGCGGCATCATCTTCCCCGCTCTCAAAACGCCGCAAGCCGAGATCTCCGACCGCGCGCGCTACGGGCAGTCCAAGCTCGCCAACGCGCTGTATGCGCGCGCCCTGGCGCGCCACTACCCCAAACTCACCGTCGCGGCCACCCATCCGGGCGTCTATGCCACGGGCCTACAGGACAAGATGGCCGAAGGGAGCATCGTGATACGGGGCTTGCGCGCCACGGTGGGGGGCTGGCTCATGAAGGACCCGAGCGAGGGCACGAGGAACCAGCTGTGGGCGGCGACGGCGAAGCAGGGGGTGGTCAGTGGCGAGTATTACGTGCCGGTCGGGGAGGTGGGCAAGGCGAAGATGGTGAGGGATGATAAGTTGACGCAGGAGCTGTGGAGGTGGACGGAGGAGCAGTTGAGGGTGTGGGAGACTTAGAACGTGAGAGGAAATGGTCTTGCGTGTACGCATGCAAAGCTTCGGACACTCAGCAGTGGTGTTTGGTGGGGGTTCGCATCTCGCAATGCTGGGAAATGGGATGTAAGGTTCCGCGTTGGAAGGAGGAACCCTTTTCCATGGTTTGCTTCAAATGAGGTGTGCGTACGTATTCCCTTGCACAAGACGAGTGTTCTCCAAACGAGTGACTTTTGTAGTTTCCGCTACCACAAGTGAGCGATAGTCTTCACGGTCCCAGGTGCTCCCCCCTACCCACCTTGCTCCATTCTTCCTTCCTAGCCACACTACTCATCCTATCTCACTCTATACCACCCAACTTAGCCAATAATACAGCACCGCTCCCCGCTCTCACACGGCTTCGGACTATCGTAGAACACGGGACGATACCCCCTCGGACACGGATACGCCGTGCTCTCCATGCAGACGGGGCCGGCGGCGTTGGCTTGGTCGCCGCAGGAGACTGCTAGGGCGCGGGTGATGAGGAGACTATGGTATGGGAGGAGAGAGGGTGTTAGCTTGGGGAGTCTGGGATGTGGGGATGTGGGGGGTTGATGGGAGGGGACATTGTGGAAGGGAGTGGAGGGATGGCAGGAGGCAGGAGGCAAGAGGCGTACCCGAGGAAGGTGGTGATGAGGGTGAGTTTCATGATTGTTTGCTTGATGTGTGGTTTGAACTGTGGGGCACGTTTGACCTTTGGTGGCTTTTGGGCGGTGTATGCTTGCTTGTTTGTGGTTGTGGTTGTGGTTGTGATTGATGGTGATGGCTTTGGTTGAGAGAATGCTGGGCCTTTATAGCACTACCATTGCTCCGTCTTCAGCACCAGTCGCACAACGACCACATCCATTCCGAATACGCCTGTCCGCCCTATCTCGATGCAACGTCGCTCTTGCTCACGCGTTGATCTCGTGGCCATGTTGGACAAGCTGAACATTCAGGAATTTCTCGGCGATGACGGTCCGGGGAACAGACCTGTACCGCGTGTGTATATCCCACGTATCAGGTAGTGGGTAATGGGCAACCACTTGCAGGTGTTGGCCGGACCGTAAACAAATCAATATAGACCAACACCTCTTGGTCCATCAGCGGGTATGAGCATTGGCCATGGATCGTCAAGGGGCACCCACGCCCGAGCGGATTCAGACTGGTAGGTGCCAACGCAAGTATAAATGGACTGGTATCACAACGAAGCACGGGCATCGATCTGATGACCTGTGACAAGTGAGCTTCACACGAAATCCTCCACGTATTCGGCATTCGAGACTCAGGAACCAGCCTTGCCATGAGAAAAGATGTATTTCAGTGAGAAGAACCCCGCTGACGTTTGACAGAATGTCTTGGCCATAGCCCTCTCGTGGTCGGAAACTTGATCTGAGCGCCTTGTTTACCTAGCGCAACGGCTGTGTGCATATGAGGTATCATTCACCCTCGCAAAGCCGTTGACTTGAAACGCGCCAGGCATTCGAACATGGCTTAACGCCGACCGCCATAGTAATTACCTCCTCCATTCCTTGCTTGACCACCGTATGAATCACCTCCGTTTCGCCGATCTCCGTTTTGGTGACCCTGTCCGTAGTAGCCGTGGCCTTGCGGACGTCCTCCCTGCTGTTGGCCTCCTTGGTATCCTCCTTGGTATCCTCCCTGGTATCCACCTTGATACGATCTCTGACTTCCGCCTTGATAGCCCTGATTGGGGTAAGCGGCATGCGGTGGGGGCGGAATTGGTGGTGGTGGTACAGCCATTCCCCTTGGAGGCATGCCTGGTGCAAACTTGGGGTCCAAGAATGCTGCGAACGGGTTGTCTCGAGAATTGGCACCTGGCGGCGGCACAGGTGGAAACGGCGGGGGTGGAAAGTTATTCGGACCTCGCTCCGCAGCGTAGTTGATCCTCGGAGCCCGATCTCGATCCATTGGGTCGCGTCGAGTGTTGTCGTAGAGTGGTGCACCACCGAAATCTCTACCAGAATTGCGAGCCTTCGACTTGAGAATGCTGAGGTCCGACTTGTCCAGAGCGGGGGTTGGCATCTGCACACCGGGGAACAGCATTGACTTGTGGACGTGCGTAGCCGGTGGCATGAAGTAGTGGACGTTCATGCTGCGATCATCGTTCACATCTGGCTCCAACCTAATATCATCTGCGGGTCCTCTCAGGTCCATGTGAGGCAAGAAGTCATCATTCTTGCTGACATGGCCAGCAAGTTTGCCTTTCTGTGTTGGCAATTTGACCTTCACACCGGTTTTTGCTTTCTTGGAGTAGAACTCAGTTGCCATAAAATCGTACAGAGGATTTCTATCCGCAAGAAGTAGAGCTTCCTTGCCGATCTCATTGCGCTGACGTTCATCTTCGGTAAGAAGAGGGTACTTGGTGTCCATAGCTGCCAGAAGCCGCTTTTCATCGATGAATGGCAAAAGCACCACAGCTTTCCACTCCTGCTTCTTGCCATTCATGTCGAGGTCGAAATCTTCAGGATAGAAGTCGATGATCTCAGAGTCTTCCTCGGTCATCAGAGGATGAAACGCCTTGGGAATGGCATGATTCGAGGCAGCAGGCAAGACACCCATCAGCTGCTCGTAAGGTCGGAAAGGCTTGCCTTTGTCGAATTTGATGTTCATTTTATCCAAGTCGACAAAGTCGGCCGCGAAGGGGGCATAGTGATAGGGATAGTACCAAGTCCACGAAGCACAACCTTGGAAGTAATAAAGCAATACCCATGCTAGACCTTCGACATAGGCTCGAGCAACCTGGTGACGAAACTCTACGTTATCGGGAGCAACATGGAACTTCTGCTCGTAATAGCGGTCGGCATAGCCTTCCTCCCACAGGCGGACGGTATCGGGTGGTGGATTATCAGGATCAAACTTGGGTTTGGGTGCTTCTTGAACCGGTGTGTTGCGGCCGGGTGTGCCAGAATCCGTGGACGCAGCAGCGTCTTCTTCCATCAACTCAGCTTTGCGTTTGGAAGGCGCCGAGGCAGGGGAAGTCTGCGGCGCTTCACTGACAGAATTAGTAGCCGGTGCCGGTGCCGGTGCCGGCGCCGGTGCCTCAGCGCCCTTGCTCGCGGCGAGCATCTTCTCCTTCAGGGCAGCCGCAGCACTCTTGTTGGCTGCCAGCGATTTGTCGACGTTGTTCCGGTTCACGATCATGTTATAATCGATGTGCCCAGTTGGGGCATCGGCGAAGACGATAGGCTTCATGTTGCCGGTTGGAGCTCGATTGTCGATCTTGCCGCCCCTGCTGTAATCGGGTGAGCTACGTCTGCGCTTGTTGTCGCGGGCGTCGCGAGCGTCTTGCTCGGCCTTGCGACGCTTGTTGTTCCGCTCCTTCTTTTCCTCAACCTCACGGCGTCTCCGGAAGATGGCATCTTCTTGCTTGGCCAGGCCTGCCAGAATGCATTGAGCACGAGCAAGCTCCACCGTGCCGTCGCAAGTCAGGTACCCGCCCATGATGGGCAAGTTGTCTCGCCAAATGGCAATGAGCTTATCAATGCCATCCTCGTGAATGTCCAGACTGGGGAGATGGGGCAAGAAATCGTTTCCGACGAAGAAGCACATGAAGACCCAGTCATCGATAGCACGTTCCAAGTCAAAGCGAAATTGTTGGCCCTGCACAAACATCTCTGCTGACAGATACTCACGCAAGATTGAAACACTAAGCCAGATGAAAGGCTTCTGCTCGGGTTTGGCAGCTTTCTCATCGTGTTCTCCACTTTTTTGTTTGGGGGTGCCTCGACACTGGTCCGCATAGTGCCCTGGTTGACCGCACAGCTTGCAGGTTTTGGCTTTGGCATCCTGAAAGAAAACGTCTTCTCGGAGAATACGGAAATGAGGCTCATGAGTTGCAAGACCAAGCATGATCAAGTCGGCATCCAGACCATACATGACATGGCGAGTGTTGGGGTCATACTCTGGGTCGGAACGTTGAGAGCGGATGAATTGCATGATCTTGTGCTCACCTTCACCAGGTACACTGGCGTCAGAGATGACGACCTTGAGGTCAGCCCACGCTGGGTCGGTGTTGAGCTTCCATTGGCACCAGTAACGAACAGATTGAGCGAGAATGAACATAAAGGGAGTGCCAGGCGTGATGACATTGCTATCCCAGGTTTTCTTAATGACTTCTTCCTCAGAGTTGGCGTCATCAGCTCCGTTACCTTGTTGTCGACGGAGAAGAGCTGAGAACTCGGCCTTCTTCTCGTCTGCCTCTTTCGCATCTCGGGCAGATCGGAATCGACGGGCACGTTGTTGATTCATTTTGGCACGCGGAGCAACGCCATCTATTACTTGTTAGCTCTGTAGATCTTCAGAGTTGTGCACTTACCAATTGCGATCATGAGCAGGCGGCGGGGTCGGACCATGTTGACGACACGGTCAGTATACTTGAAGATTTCCATCATCATCTCACTCTCGGTGGAAGGTGCAGGCTTGCCCTCAGGGTGAGAGCACGGATGCACGATACCGTTGAAATCAAGGTACAGATTGTGCATCTCTTCTCCATTAGGATTTGGCTTGGTGGTGTCAGGGGGATAATGAACGCCATCGATCTCGTAGCCAGGTTCCTCGATGACGGAGCTGACGATCTTCGGATATTTTTTGGACAGCCAGCGGAAGAGCGCTGGAACACCCATAGTGGCTGATTCTTGCTAGAAGCGAGGGGGAACGGCGAAGATGACACGATGAAAGGGGATGGATGTCAACAAAGGACAAGGGCTGAGACGAGCACCTCTCGGTTGAACGTTGACTAGGTCGCGAACTAGTGCGACAGTCTGTTCGCGCAGCAGCGCAAGAAGATGACAGACTCGTGATGAAGGCCCTCCCACAATAAAATGTCCGAGAAAGGAAGGACGAGATGAAAGAGACCTTGAGGAAAGATCTGACGATGCGCGAACTTCCAAGAGACTTGAAGACTTGAAGACTTGCGCAGCGCAGCCTGCAGCCTTGGCATTGATCGGCAGGATCCGCGCGCTAAACCGGATCCAGAATGCTACCACGGCTGCAGCTCGATCGGTTTCGAGTCAAGGTACTCTGGCTTTTACCATGGTCAAGTGTGAGAAAGCAGAGTGGGCTTTCTAGAGTTCAGTGTATCTGAATATCCCATGAGCTAGTGCCACGGTGATCAACAGCGGATCTGGGTTTTCTACGCTCAAAGCCACTTCTTCAAATCCTCCATGACGAAAGCCAGTGCCTCATCCTGCTTCGTTTCGTCTCGGCTGAGGGGCGACGACTCTTTACTCTCTCCAATTACATAGTGTGCAGCCATCCTCTGTTCTTTGGCTTGATGAATGATATTGGCAAATGCCGCCGCAGGCACTTCTGGCGGGTTGATTGCAGACGGGAAGAACAATCGGAGAAGCGGTCCCATAGCGACGAAGGCCGCCTGAGCCATCTTCAAGGCCAAGCGTCCCTCAGGTGCCAATCGAGAGCTACCACTCATTCCTCCGGGGTCCGCCGAAACCATCTGGATGTCAGCCTGCACTGATGTCAGTGAATTTGGGGCCAAGGACGAGACACTACTCACGAATCTTTCAGTTCGCTGCAAGGCATAACCAGCCATCATCAAATTGAGCTTCGTGCTACCATACTTTTTGAGTGCCGCTGGTGTACTAAGAACTGTGCCAGTGGACTTGTCCAAGGAGACATGTTCGTTTCTGAATGAGTCGTATTCCCCTATACTATGTGTGGAGCTGGACACGTTGACAACCACTCCACCTTCCAGAGCAGAGTTAAGCTTCTGGATCAATAGCATAGGAGCAAGAACGTTGGTTTGAGTTTCCAGATCGAAGCCATCCACGGTCTTGGTGATGGGAACCATCTGAATGGCGGCACAGTTGACCAGGCCGTATAAAGCAGGTATTCGCTTTTTTGCAATGGCGGCAAGCACTCGGTCGGTGAAATCATTCACTGCTGCGAGAGAGGATAGGTCGAGTTTCTCCCAGGTAAAAAGGGCGCCTGCTGCTTGCAGTTGTGACGACAATTGTTCGGTACTTTGGTTGCTGGTATTTCGGGCGGCCAGGACAAGGTAGTATTGACCAGGAAAGAGTGCAGCTAACTTGAGAGCTATTCTGCTCCCGAGTGCACCAGACGCCCCAGTGATAATGACAGAGGACTGTTGAGGCATGGCAGTTGTCTTCTCGAGGACTAGATTTGCTCGACACCGTATTACATGTCGTGTATCTGCATTTATATACCTTGCATTCGACCGTAGCGGACCTAATGACGGCTGGACAGTCGTTCTTCGACAAATCTCCTAACTAATTTGCTCTCCGAAGACGAGGTCAATGCTCAAATCTACGGCATGGCACTGACTAACAAATTGATAGAGTGTGACGAGGGGCACAGATATGTTGCAGTACAAACCAGACCAGAAAGGCAATTCTGCAGGTCAACATGGTGTCATTTTCGAGGCCTAAGGAACAGTAGTACTCATCTTCTGAGGACCTTGGGTCTCCCTGCTGAATCTGCATTCGTCGATCTCATCAACGAATTGCCCATAAGAAAGCGGCGGTCGTCGAGAAGGGCAATTCACTAAAAGATGCTAACCGCAAATGGGCTAGCGTGTGTCACTCTCTCCGCAAAGAAAGTTGAATCCAACACGAAGTTGTGCCGTGGCCTCTCCGAATCGCAGGTGTACTTCAGCAATGCAGCATAACATTTCTTGACTTATTCGTCCGCACCTTTTGTGATAGTGCTACCAGAGCTAGTAGCCTGTTCCACTTCGTCCGATAATGTTCCGCATTCGTCCCCGACCGCGTTAACACGGCTCAATCTTAAACCGATATGCTACGCATCCTCGAGTCCCAGGCCCCTGCCCGGCAGACGGCTACCGACACGATCCAGACTCTCAGTGCCCGTCTGCAGAGTGCCACACTCCTCGAAGATCGCCGCGCTGCGATACAAGGCCTCCGAAGCTTTGCCAAACTATACCCTGCCTCGGTTGCTTCCGGTGGCCTGCGTGACCTGGTCGCTTGCCTGCGACGCGATGCCGACGACCTCGACACCATAAAAATCGTTCTGGAGACATTACTGGGTCTATTTGAGCCTGATGCAAAAGCAGACGAAGCGTCCGATGAAATCACTGTCTGGCTGGCGGATGAGTTCGCCCTCAAGCAGGACAATGTCACTGCATTGCTCGATTTACTTGAAAACCATGAATTGTATCCAAGGTTATACTCGCTTCAGATACTGTCTCATGTCTGCAGCGCCAGACCTGAACGGACACAAGAGGCTGTCTTCGCAGCCCCTCTGGGTGTGTCGCGCGTTGTGGCTATCCTCGACGACAAGAGGGAAATGATTCGGAATGAGGCGCTCCTTCTCCTGGTGTCCCTGACTCCATCCTCTACTGAGTTGCAAAAAGTTGTGGCGTTCGAAGATGCATTTGGACGAATTTTCAATGTCATTGAGACCGAAGGCGGTCTTACACACGGTGCGACCACTGTGCAGGACTGCCTTGCATTGCTAGGAAATCTTCTCAAGCTCAACACTTCGAATCAGTCCTACTTTCGAGAGATCGGCGGCGTCGCAAGACTGGCGAAGCTCCTGGCCGATGCTCTTGCTGAAGAGAACGGCCCAGAAGGAGTTACGGAATGGATCAAGCCGCAGCGAGACATCAATGTTTGGGGCCTATTGACCGTCATACAGCTGTTTCTACCGAAAGGGGCTCCTGGCACATCTATCAACCAACAGGCCTTCTGGCAAAGCAACGTGCTATCAAGAATTCTGCAGCTTGCTTTTCACGTCTCGTTCAGTGTGGGCATCCGGGCAAAAGCTCTCGAAACTTGTGGCGACATCATCCGCTCAAATTCTGGCCTGCAAGAGCGCTTTGGCGATCTTCCAGTACAGATCCCGTCCAGAAGCGAGGCACCCGTGACGAATGGACACTCAATCCCAGCTCCGGGAGGCAAGATCAACGAAAAGCCGCCAAGCAAACCTAAACAGGTGTTGGAGGAGGTTAATGTGATCGAGGCTCTTCTTGAACTATCACTGGAGCCCGCGCCATTATCAATGTTTGATGTTCGTCTAGCAGCTTCAAATTGTGTCCAGGCTTTCATAGAAGGTCATAATGGTATTCGCGAGCACGTTCTGCGAAGGGCAATTGAAGGCCACCGAAGCGGCGAGGATGTCATCCCTAATATCCTTACCGTCCTGCTCGAACCTCCAGCAGCACGCAGCACCTCTGATCCTTACCAGCAGTGGATGGCTGCCGTTATACTCATGCACTTACTTTTCGACAACCCCGATGCCAAGAGCCTTGCGCTCAAGGTTGCCGAAGGCGATGCCGACAATGGCGAGGAAGTGGTCACCTTTGTACAAAGTGTGGCCAGCAATATTATTGCAGGTGTGCAGCATGTCGAAGACGAGCGCGCCCTGCTTGGTTGTCTCATGCTTCTCTGTACCTGGCTCTTTGAAGATCCGGATGCCGTCAATGACTTGTTGGGCGAAGGCACCAATGTGCAAGGACTCATTGCAGCTGTCAAGGTCTCTAATACTTCGATGCCGCTTGTTTCAAGCCTTTGCGCACTCTTGATCGGCATCAGCTACGAATTTTCCACCAAAGACTCTCCTGTACCACGTGCATCACTGCACAGCCTGCTGAACACAAACCTTGGTCGCGAGACATACGTGGATCGAATGACAAGGCTTCGAGAGAATCCTTTCGTGCGGGATTTCGAGGTTCTGCCTCAAAGTAGCAACGGTGGTCTACCTGATGTCTTCTTTGACAAGGCTTTCGTTGACTTTTTGAAAGACAACTTCAGTCGCCTTCTACGCACTATTGACCGAGACCCAGGTTTTGAGGTCTCGGTCTTGAGCAATGGCGTACAGAAGGGCATCTCCAGGGATCTCGTTGACAGCCTGAGGGCAGACGTGGAGGAGCAGAAGCGACTTTTGGAAACGGCAAACAACGAGCTTCTGCAACTACGTCGGAAGCTGGAAGATGAAGAGCTCGAGCATCGTAGAACGCGGGAGTCAAGTACTGTCGACTTGAACAGAATCAAGCAAATCAACCAAAGCCTGCAAAACAATCACGAAGACGAATCCGCAAGGATGAAGCAAGACCACGCCCGCGAACTGAATTCGATGAAGAAGAGCCATGACGAAGACCTCAATCGACGGCGGATCGACCACTCAGCAGCCATGGATGCAGCCCAGAGACAACGAGACCAGGAGCGACAGAAATTCGTGCAGGAGGCAAAAGAGCAAGAGCAACGTTCCAACCAAGCCAGGGATAAACTGATCAAAGAGCACAAGCAGGCGCTTGAGCAGGCAGCTAAGAATTTTGACTCGGCCGCAAACGACCATCGAAAAGAGATCGACGACCTGCAGCTTCGGCTCAAACAAGCTAGGGATGGCAACGAGGCAGAAATTGCTGATCTGAAAGGTCAAGTTGATGAGCTTAAGAAGCAGCTTGCCAAAGCTGAGAAGAATCATTTGCAAGATCTTCAGACCGCTAATGACGAACATACGGCTAAATTGTCGGCCATGGAAGGACGCCTCAAGAGAGCCGAACAACGTGAGAAGGAAGCCAGTGCCGAGCTCAAGACGCTATCAAAGAAGGTCGAAGAAGTAGAGGAGTCACGGAAGGCTGCGCAGACGGAGCTTGATGATTTGCTGGTCGTGTTCGGCGACCTCGAAGTTAAGAGAAAGGCCGATAAAGCGAAACTAAAGGAACTTGGACAAGAAGTCTCTGAAGACGAGGACGAGGAAGACGAGGAGGAAGCGGCCGAAGATAGCGATGTGGACTAGGTGTCGATGGGATGGGACTCTGCAAATGCATAGCAGGCGGTCTGGGAAAATTTATAGAGCTAGATACCCTGTACAAGTACTACCTACTGAGACTCAGTGCCTTTCTTTTCACTGCTAATTTCCCCTCGGCGCCACTTCAAACACAAAGCATTGTAATGTCTCGGCCCTCATCTGACTCCTTCTAGAATCAGCCTCGCCACAGGCAGCCTCGTTATCTGAATTGAGCCAATCGGAGCATAACGCCAAGACCGCAAACGATCGTCGCCCGCTCCGACTTGACTCACGCGCAGACAATACAAAAAGTCCGCCTCGCAGCAGCGTCAGCGTCCCAGCTTGCAACAACATGGCGGTCAACTTCTCTGCGGAGGAAGCTGCTACGCTCAAGCGATGGCGAGAGATTGACGCCTTCCAGACTCAAGTTGCTCTGTCCAAAGGCAACCCTGCCTATACTTTTTTCGATGGTGAGCACCCCGCCTCCGCCATTTGCATAGCACGTGCTAACATGAAGCTCAGGACCACCCTTTGCGACCGGTCTACCTCACTATGGTCACCTCCTCGCCTCCACCATCAAGGACATCATCCCCCGCTACTGGTCTATGAAAGGCTTCTATGTCGAGCGAAGATTTGGCTGGGATACACACGGCCTACCTATTGAATATGAAATTGACAAGAAGTTCAGCATTTCTGGCCCGGCCGCGGTCAAAGAGATGGGCATTGAACGTTACAATGCAGAGTGCAAGGCTATTGTCATGAGGTTCGCGACCGAGTGGAGAGAAACCATTGATCGGTTGGGAAGATGGATTGACTTCGACAACGACTATAAGACAATGAACCCCACCTTCATGGAATCGGTGTGGTGGGTGTTCAAACAACTCTTTGACAAGGGTCAAGTCTATCGCAGCTACCGAGTCATGCCCTTTTCGACTGCCCTCAGCACACCACTTAGCCAGCATGAGGCGCAATCCAATTATAAGGACGTTCAGGATCCAGCTGTTGTGGTGTCATTCCCTCTTCTATCGGATCCCAATACCAGCTTCCTAGCTTGGACAACGACCCCGTGGACGCTACCGTCGAACTGCGCATTGGCTGTCCACCCTGATTATGATTATATCAAGTTTCTGGACAAGGACTCCGGTCATCAGTACATCATGATGGAAGAGCTGTTGGGTACCCTGTACAAAGACCCGAAGAAGGCCAAATTCACCATTGTGGAGAAGTTGAAGGGCAAAGATCTCGCTGGACTGAAATACGAACCACTGTTCAACTACTTCTATGAAGAATTCAAGGACTATGGCTTCAAGGTTCTGACGGCTACCTATGTCACCAAGACCGACGGTACTGGCATTGTCCACCAGGCTCCATCTTTCGGTGAGGACGATTATCGCGTTGCACAAGAACACGGTATCATCAATTCCGGCCGATTACCTCCCAATCCCGTGGATGAGACAGGCAAATTCACCAAGGAGGTCACGGACTTTGTCGGTCAGCACGTGAAGGATGCCGACAAGAACATCATCAAACACCTAAAAGCAAGTGGCAGACTTATCAAAGATGGTCAGCTATTCCACGCCTACCCTTTCTGTTGGCGATCTGATACACCACTTATCTATCGAGCGATCTCTGGCTGGTTTGTGAACATTGCTGGAACGGAGAAAGGCGAGTCCATCATTCCTGCCATGCTTGATGGCATTGAGAAGTCTCATTGGGTGCCCGGGTTTGTCAAGGAGAAGCGCTTTGCAGATTGGATCAAGAATGCCCGAGACTGGAACATCAGTCGAAATCGCTACTGGGGTACACCTATCCCCCTCTGGGCAAATGAAGACTTCTCAGAGGTCATTGCCGTTGGCAGCATCCAAGAGCTGAAGGAGCTTTCTGGATACTCTGGTGAGATCGCTGACATTCACCGCGACAAGGTTGATAACATCACCATCCCCTCGCAAAAGAATCCCGCTGGGCCCCCGCTCCGCCGCATCGATGAGGTCTTCGACTGTTGGTTCGAATCTGGCTCCATGCCGTATGCCTCATCACATTACCCCTTTGAGGGGGCTGATACCTTCAATGACCGCTATCCGGGCGACTTCATCGCTGAAGGCCTGGACCAGACTCGCGGCTGGTTCTACACCCTTGTCATCCTCGGCATTCACCTCTTCGGCAAACTGCCCTTCAAGAACTGCGTAGTCAACGGTATTGTGCTGGCCGAAGACGGCAAGAAAATGTCAAAACGCCTGAAGAACTATCCCGACCCGACGACCATCATTGACAAGTATGGCGCCGATGCGCTCCGCTTGTACATGATCAACTCGCCAGTTGTGCGCGCCGAGACCCTACGATTCAAGGAGGCAGGCGTTAAGGAGATAGTGACGAAAGTCCTTTTGCCACTGTGGAATTCCTACAAGTTCTTTGAGGGCCAAGTTGAGCTTCTCAAAAAGCTTGAAAACATCGATTTTGTCTTCGATCCCAAAGCCGAGGAGACCAACACCAACGTTATGGATAGATGGATCCTGGCATCGACACAGTCGCTGCTCAAATACATCAACGAGGAGATGGCTGCCTACCGCCTCTACACCGTCGTGCCTGGCTTGCTGAATCTCATCGATGAGACTACCAACTGGTACATTCGCTTCAACCGCAAGCGATTAAAGGGCGAGCTTGGCAAGGACGACACCCTCCACGCGCTCAACTCTCTCTTTGATGTTCTATATACCCTCGTACGCGGCCTCGCGCCATTCACCCCTTTCATCGCGGATCTTATCTACAGCAAGCTCCTGCCTTTCATCCCCAAGAGCGTGCATTCCACCGACATGCGATCTGTGCACTTCCTGTCCTTCCCCGAGGTCCGATCTGCCCTGTTCGACGAAGTCGTCGAGCGCCGTGTTGGTCGTATGCAAAAGGTCATCGAGCTAGCTCGGCAGTCGCGCGATCGTGTCGCCATCGGCTTGAAGACCCCGCTAAAGACGCTTGTGGTCCTCCACAAAGACCAACAGTACCTCGATGATGTCAAGAGTCTAGAAGGTTACATCACCGAGGAGCTCAATGTGCGGGACCTAATCTTGACTTCAGATGAGGACAAGTACAACGTACAGTACTCAGTCTCCGCGGACTGGCCGGTTCTCGGCAAGAAGCTCAAGAAGGATGTGCAGAAGGTCAAGAAAGCTCTGCCAGATCTGAGTTCGGCGGATTGCAAGGCCTATCTGGCGGAGGGCAAGACGCAGGTGGCAGGCATTGAGCTTGTTGAGGGCGACTTGGTTGTCAAGCGCACCCTCAAGGAGGGGGAAAACAGCAAAACGCAAGAGACAAACTCCGATAACGACGTATTGACCATTCTCGACGTGGCCATTTACCCCGAGCTCGCGCAGGAGGCGCTAGCGCGTGAGATTGTCCGGCGCGTCAACGATATCCGGAAGAAGGCAGGTCTGAAGCCCACAGACGATATCAAGATGGAGTATCGGGTGAAAGAGGATCCGGACAACACCGGCATCGAGCGGGCCTTTGAGGAACAGGCGGCGTTCATCGAGAAGGCGCTGAGGCGGCCAGTGGACAAGCATGTCGTGACGGACCTGGAACCCGAGCCGAGCAAAGAGGCGATGAAGAAGGAAGAAGAGAAGCTGATCATGCAGAGCGATCAGGAGGTCAACCGCGCGGTGTTTGAGTTGCGGCTGTTGCGGCTGTGAGGTTATGAAAGCGGACGCGTGTAAGCGGCGGATTGAGCCTATGGCTTCTTTGCGGCTTTCTAGAAGCGGGACATGTTAGCGTGCACTGCTAAATAAAGTTGGATGAATTGATGCGACGATGATGGCAGCGCTGCGGGTAACGAACGATGTAGATGAACCCCGACCAAAAAGACGAGTAGAATGAACCGATGGTTGGTCTTTTCAGCGAGCCCGAGGAAGAAGACCAAAAAGTAGATCAACCGATAGACATGGGAATCTAGTCTGCAAAACGGATTTCATCGCTTCTCCCTCGGTGCAGGCTCACATGTGTGGTAGGAGACAGGCAAGAAGAAGCAAGGAGATTTTGTCTGGGTTACAGGGAGAAAGACGTACGAGATAGCAGTCCTTCAAGCGCAAAAACTCCTTGGCGCACATGTCCTGATGCACGGATTGGTAGTCGGCCACGATGCACTTGCCGTATGCCGTCGCCTATGAATTCATGGTTACATGGTTAGCTCTCGCACTCCTCAAGAGTTGTGGCCGGATGGTGAGAGATGTGCAGAAGATGGGATGGCGGAAAAGAGGGGGGGGAAGGTTACCTCGGCGCCGCATTTCCCGACCGCGGAGGCGAATTTCTCGATTGGGCGCTGACGGCCGGCTATCGTGGGCATGTTGGATGTTGAGAGGCGATGGGAGTGTGGGTGGGTGGGTGCGTGATGGTGTTGAGAGGCGATGGCGGACGGAGGGAGGGGCGTGTGACGGGTGGTGAGGGAAACTAGAGAGCTTTAATCTCCTGCGGATCTGGAGCTGGATTGTCCACACCAATGTGGCTGGCTCTTTGGGATGGGACTGCGGTTCCACGTGATAAGATCGCGCGGCCTGAGATGTTGATGAAGTTGCCTACGATGAACAGTGTTGCGATGGACGACGGTGTGAAAGGAACGGAGGAAGGTCGATGATGTCGTCGAGTCGAGAGTTTGATAGTGGAGTCTGCCGAAAGCTCACGGTGGAGCGAGCATTCGGCTGCAGTGCAAAAAGCTGGTAGTGGCTTCGGCGCTCGAGTGATACTATAAGGAGCTCTGTTGTGGTACAGCGAGCCTACCGCTGCAGCACGACCTCTTTCGTTGCAGTGCTCCTTTGTGATCGGTCTGCCACAAGTGTCTGGGGCTGACCGAGATGGAATTGTCCAGCTCGGATTCTAGAGACGATGATTGGACGTCCAGACCCACAACCGAGGCTGCGAGAGCCTTTCGCGGTGGCGTGTATGATGATTGGTTCATTGAAGTTGCCGAACATTTGGACACGAGGTTCAAGTCCACCTCCAAGGTTACACTTCGTACAAACTTTTGGCCTTGCTGTTGACTCACATTCGTGTACATCTCGAGGCTAACTCTGTGTCATCCGAAGCATCGCTCAAGCTTCCACTGCTGTCTAGCGATCAGGAATTGATGGCACCACTAGCAAGCCAGGCCATCCGAGCACCCCACGTAGTAGAGTTTCACACGAATGGGCCGGAAGCGATGCTTCGGACAGAGCGTAGGCCTTGAACGAGGTGACCAAAAAATATAAATCGTCCCCATCTTGCCCTCTCGTCGTGCTCCGTGAGCGGGCATACGACTCAAGTTCAACACATCAACGGGTACACAACCACCGGCATTGTCAATCTCGTGACAGTGCTCTACCTTGCGCATCACTACACCAGAACGCAGACTGCAGCACGCAGGCATTTATTTGACCGATGATATCATGGCCAATTCTCTCAAAGATTTCGAGGAATACCTCACCTCCCTCGCCCCAGCGACCTCCACTAGCCCATCCATCCCCGGCGTCGTCCTGCTCGCCGCAAGCCGGGACCCTGCTATCCCCCAATATAGTTTCTCCTGCGGAACCACCTCAGTCTCACCCTCTCGTAGCCCCGCTCCAGCCCTGACGCCCGCTAGCAGCTTCTGGTTCGCATCCGCCACCAAACTCCTCACCTCCCTGGCAGCCCTGCAGCTTGTGGAGCGTGGCCTGTGGACGCTTCACCGTCCCGTCGCTGAAGCGGTGCCCGAGCTGGGAGCCCTGCAGCATTTGACTGGCTGGAGTGAAGACGGCCTGCCAACTTATGGGGAGGATGTGAATGGCAAGCGTGCAGGCGCGAGGGTCACGCTACGGCACTTGCTGACGCACACGAGCGGCATGGGTTACCATTTCCTCAATCCCAAGTTGATCCGGTGGTGGAAGTGGCGGGCTGAACAAGAGGGAAGGGATGTGCAAGGGAGCTTTGGCGGGACTGTGACAGGGGGCCTGGGCGGCCCGCTGGTCAATGAGCCGGGGACTGTGTGGGAGTATGGGCCTGGAATCGACTGGGCTGGGTTGCTGGTGGAGAGGATCTATGGAGAAGAAGAGGGAAAGTTGGGCAGGGTAATTCAGAGAGAGGTGTTGGGGCCGGTGAACGTGAAGGAAAGAGAGGCCGTATGGCGGAAGGCGGATTTGAAATGGAGCGAACAAGACGCGGAGGAGCGATGGGTCGACATGACTGCGAGAGGACCGGAGGGGTTGGTGCCCGCAGGTCCCATGCCGCCAGAGAATGCAACGCACGATCTGGGCGGCTCTGGTATCAGATGCCCGGCACAAGACTGGATCAAGGTCCTAGAGAGCCTTATCAGGAACGACGGAAGGATTCTGAAGCCCGAGACGGTGGAGAGGTATCTGTACCAGCCTCAATTGGTTGATGGAGAGGGTCTGCTGGGATCAAAGCTCAGCCAGAGCCAGCGAACTGTCTTTGCGGCCGGCCCAGGAGGGAGAATGCTGTCAGGTGGCTTGCCGCTTCCATCTAAGGATGGAGAAGCTGAGGACGAGTATGAGTACAACCACAGTCTGGCCGGCGCGCTGAGCAGGAAGAAAGGCGGAGAGGGATGGGCATTGCACTGGGGCGGAGCACCTAATATCGAGTGGTTCCTGGACCCTAATGCTGGCGTAGGAGGTGTGTTTGCCACGCAGTTGCTGCCACCAGTGGACAAGCTGATGTTGGATCTGGCCGTCGACTTTCGGGAGAAGGTAATTGAGGCGTTGGGAACGAAGTCATAGTAGAGCACTTGCGCGATCAGACTGAATCCCCCCCCTCCAAAAACACTCAGCGGCTCCTTCCTGCTGGCAGGGCGGGGCGTTCTCGACTCACACACTAGACCACTAAGCATTCGTCTCCCCAACGATCCACTTAAATAGGTCCGGAACGCTCAAAGGAAGTTTGCCGTGATCCACCATGACCACATCGCTACGGTGGAGTTCGATGGTACTTTAGATAATAAGGCAGAGCCTGGACCCTCAATTGATCTGGTGCTCTATGTGCAAGTACTCTACCTTCAAGTCACGGCTCGCTGTCCAGCGGGCGATGTGGCGGTGCTTGGGCAAGGGCGCCAATCAAGCGCTTGAAACAAAGCCTATCAACCACCGACACAGCCCACCTGACACCCGGATTCTGGATTCGCAGTTTCCTTCCTGCACCTACGCTACCGTCACAACGTTGTTACTCACGTCGACTGCTTACACCGTCGCAAGGTACTCTCGAGCGTGCCGCATTTTAGTGGCGACCTCCTGCCACGAATAGCAAGAATCGTAACAGCCTCATCGTTTGCTATTGACCATTCACCTGCCTCCAATACAGGCGACCCGTTAGGCCGACGCGCATCCGCGAATGTCTCTCAAACCGGTGACATGCTTTCATTGTAGCGTTGAGGCAGACGTTCGGAATCAAGCCATCTTCGTGGAGGCCTAAGTGCGGTAATCCGTGAATCAGCTAAAGATGTCGATGCTGGGACGTACACATTGGCCCCCGAGGTCTCACGTCTACGATGCCCCACCGCCGCAGTACACCAAATTCTACGACCAGGACTCACCCTCCAGCTCGGGCGAATACGTTTATTATGCCGCACCCCGGGTTGGGCCCAGGTACAGCCACAAGCGACAGGGGGCATACGTTGTGTCACAGGACGGAGCCGATTATAGTTCCCCAACAAGGTTGCCTTTGCCATGGGAAAAGCGAGACCATGCCGTCCCTGTAAGGAGAGCCCAGGCTGTTCGAAGAATGTCATCCGCAGAGGCGTTACGCCAGCAGCTCCCCGAACTGCACGCGGCACCGATGCGTGCTGCAGAGCGGCAGCTTCAGTACCCTTCATCCCGGGGCCTCTCTCCCTTCCCGTCGAACAAAGGCCAGTCTACGAAGCTGGAAGATCTGCCTCAAAGTCTCCGCTCTCACGCGGATACAACTCCAGATGCGAATCGGAAGCGGCCTCTCGATGGTCTATGGGGCTTCGAGGCTGGCGACAAGTTGAGGAACGCCAAAAGCTTTGAGTTCCTCCGTCCGTGGAGCCCGTCACCTGGCCCTTCGCCACCAGTGACAGGCTCAACGTACCGTTCCGAGAACGTGCTCACCGAGCCATTCCGGATCGGAAATTTGGCTCGGTTTTCTAACGGTCCGTCCGACATTGACACGGGCAACACTAGCATGATGTCCGCCACCAGCATGCCAACGGACCCCACACACAGCCAAACGCCAGATCCCTTACCTCCAAAGATGCCATCAACACCCCGCCTCGATCAAAGTTATGAGCAAGATTTCGGTTCGATGGGCGAGACAGTGTCTGGACTGCGGCGCCCAGATGATGCCACGCTGCAGCGCCTACTCGCAGGGCCACGCGCAGCTCGAGGGAAAACGCTCATGCCATCGGTGCAGTCACAGTTCGAGCCTCAAAGGCCACAGAGACGGGTGCCAAGTGATGGGGTCACGAGCGTTAGTAGTTGGTCCCATGAAACGGTAGACGTTAACATACAATGTGGTGTTTCTCTACGCAATGGTGATCTATGTCCAAGGAGCCTCACTTGCGAGAGTCATTCTATGGAAACCAAGCGTCATGTCCCGGGTCGGATCTTACCTCTCGATGCATTGCTAGCCAATTATCCCAAGAGGAGCCAGGTGCGGCAGCAACTTGCTTCACATAATGCGGAAACACCTAGCCCGTGGGCGACTTTACCTCCTGTTGACTACGATAAACCGACTGATATCAGCAGCGAAACAAGCTCTACAGTGCGGTTCTCTGAGAAACCATGGCTTTACACGCCCTCTTTGCTGGACCCCAACTCTTACGCCTTTACTGCCTTTCAGGAACACCCGCTGGGCTACTATACACCCACGCTGGGCGGCTCTCCTACCCTTCCCGGCGGTGAGTTTGGCAACAAAGGCTATCAAGCTAGCTTGCCTGTCCATGAGAATCCAGCCCCCGACGCTATTGTGCAGTTACCCCCCTCAGACACTCCCAAGCTCCATTCACGAGGCTGCACTCGCATCAGGTACACGATATCGCAAGACCTTACCGATCATCACGCTGCGGCGCGCGCTCGGCTCTGTGCACTTGAAGGCCGCAAGTCTAACCTGAAGCTACAGAAAGCCAGGCAACGAGGGCTCTTCAAGCTTCACACCTACGACGATGTTGTTCCCGAACAACCCTCAATTACTGTTCAACGGAAGAGTTACTCTCTGAAACCACTCCCACACGATGTACTGCTAGCAAATTATAAACGGAAGTGATTCGGCCAGCAAGACCAGCGGTCTAGTTGATACGAGCTATATGTACCTTGGTATGGAGTCGAAGCAAGCGGTAATGACTAGCATTGAGGTATGAATTGACCCAATTCGAGGCTCAAATTGGCCACGATAGATTCAATGTACAAGTCTCAAAGTTGAGTTCGAAAGAGTTAGGAAGCACCCCAGATTCATCCTGATCCCAATGGACTAGTAGGAGGGCTCTCACGAGGGGCACCCCACCTAAGGTGGAGCTGGCATGCGAGGCCCGAGGCCGCTACCGTCTTCGCGGGCCCACCTAGAACCATAAATGCACGACGCCCAAGCAGGCGCAGCATGACCTGTGGTAGGGCAGCCACGACGCTCAGCGCAGCGTTTGAGCTGCAGCACAGCACCGCCCGCTTGGAACTGGTCGCCTGCGCTGCAACTGCGACTGCGCTGGCTGTTCCTTTCTCGTTACCGCATTCCTGCACCGTGCGATGTACTGGCCATTGTATAGTTCCTGAATACCTACATTCCATGCGTTCTGCGGGATTTTCCTGCCTCCTGGCACATGATTTTCAGTGAGGAACGGCTCCTGCTGTAGCATTGTCAGTCGATGATGCTGCCTGAGCGCCGCCTTTCGCAATGGCAGAAGCAGCAGGATTGTCAGTTGCGACCGCAGCCACCGACTCCTACTCCAGAATGCATCCCAGACTCGAGTCGTCCAGGCTACCGTCCAACTATGGCGGTATGGTGTTTTCTAGCGGTATTGAGTACGGTGCCGATATCGATCAGCCTCCAGGAAAACGACGTCAACTGGATGGCCTAAAACCGGGTCTGATTGCTGCTCGCCAGGCTAACGGACTACGGCGTCCGGATGGTACCACCCTCAAACGCCTGTTGGGAGCCGATAGCGCGCAGAAGAGCAAGAAGGGGGAACTGTTGGGAGGGAGAACAAATCCAGGACTGCTACGACAAAATGAATCGTCACCTACGAATAACGACCCTTCCTTCCCACAAGTCAGCGCCTGGAAGGAAAGGCATATTGGGCGTCCACAGAGAGACGCCAAAGAGAAACACACGGTCAGCCATGGTGAGCCTTGTGGATGGACCCATTGTCGTATCACTGACCAACTCTTTGTTAGCATGTGTCTACTGCCGCCGCTCGCATATGACTTGCGATGACAATCGTCCCTGCAAACGCTGTATAAAACGGAACCTAGGGCATCTATGCCACGATGAGCCACGAAATCGGCCCAAGAGCTCAAGCAGCGAATATGATCCATCGAAGACAGTACCACCCCAACGGCAGACGATCCAGCAGCATATGGCAGAACTGCAGCAGCAGCAGCAGCAGCAGCAGCAGCAGCAACGCAATCCTCCGAGCCCATACAACGAACTTGGTAGGCACCAAGTCGGTCAACAAATGTGGCAGGGATCATACGCCGGTGGCGCACCCTCATACCACGACAGCGCTTCGCTTCAGCAAACCGCCAATGTTTGGCAGCCACTGCGCGAGTCCATACGTCAACTTCGAGAGGAGAGTGGCCAGCACTCCTCGTCGAATGAGTCAGCGGCATACCAAGCTTCCCTCGAAGTTGTCTTTCCTGCCCCCCAAATCACCAATAAGATCAGACAGCAAAACCCGAACATGTCTGACATAAAAGCACAAGAGCTTGCCTCTCAAAACCCCCAGATATGGCAGCAACAAGCCAACCAAGGTGGTCGTCGGGTGCGCCACGAAGTGAGAGGACGACGGCGACTTGATGGACATAGTGTAAAGTCGACATTTGGAAGCTCCACACCCCAGCCGCTCCTACCGCAGATCCACGCCCTCCGTTCCGTCAAATACACTATATCTGAGGATCTGAGTGACGACCGCGCTCTCTCTCGAGCCAAGCTATGCGCTTTGTTGGGGCACCGGTCGTGGGAAGTACGCAAGAGCCCATCCAACGGATTCGGTTTGTCCAAAGACAGGCTGATCGCGTTTCGAGACTCTACCCAAGTTGAACAAAATAACACAGGGAGTTCAGGAATAGATATCATGGTCCCGCCTGAGAACGGGCGTGACCGGTACGGAACCCTTTCAAACGGTCCGGGCTTCCACGACCAACTGTCCGCCTTGTCCCACCATCGAGAAGTACATGGCCGCTTGCCCGATGAGAACAATGACTTTTTATCGCTTGCCTCCGTGGGTTTCTAGCCCAAGCCTGATGCCCAGCCTCTTGAAAGGAGCCCTACACCACCGGCATTAACTGAGCTCGACGAACTGATGTACATCCGTGAGTGCTTCGTCACAGGATCCGAAGTCCTGTGATTGACCAGTCTATCTTAGAATATCGGGTACCATAGCGAAGGCCGCCCAATTCTCTTTTCAGGGACGTAACCGAAGCGACCGGCGCTGCTGCTTGACGCCTGTGGCTCAACTGCCAACAGCGCTTGGGTAGCAGCAGTCTTCTCCTCGGGATATATATAGCATCTTGCATGTATAATCTAGACATTTGTCGACGAAGACATGCTCTTTTGAGGACCAAACCTAGTACAAACAGCTGGAAGAAGAAGAGACCAAAGGAGCCAGACACGGTACCCAGAAAATAGCATTCAAGTCTCAACGAATTCGTGCGTTCCCCACGTGAAGCACTAGTACGCTTCGCGCAAAAAGGAGCGTAGAACCCTGAGCAAACAAACAAAAGCTGGCACTTGCTACCTTGGTGCCCGTACAGTCGAGACGACCGTCACCGTCTCAGTCCCTCCGTCCTAGCAGCTGCGTCATCGTCTTCGCCCCGAACATCCGTGACATACTTCTCAAACTCCATAGTGATGCCGATAACGGAATCGAAGTGGCTGATATCCAGCCGCTCGTTGTTGAAGATGGCCAGCTGCATGGCGCAGTGGACCGTGCTCCGGATCTGGCGACCGTTGAGAGGGTATCCGGAAAGCTTGTCCACGTGAAACTTGAGCGCGTCGAAATCGAAGCCGACTTGCCCCGTGGGGATGGCGCGTAAAGCACTCAACCAGACTTGGGCACGGCCACCTTTGTCCAGGGCAGGATAATGGACGGCCAGCTGGATGCGGCTCTTGAAAGCTTCGTCGAAAAGCCCGATGCGATTGGTCGTCAGGATCAGGATGCCGTCGTAGTACTCGAGTACGCGGAGAAACACCGATACGAGAGCATTGCGCTTGATGTCTTCGGTAGTCCGCCGTTCGAGAAAGATGTCGGCTTCATCGAGGAGGACGACACATCCCCAGACTGTGCCGATGTGCAAGACAGAGTCCAGGTATTTCTCGACACCTTCTGGATCGATGCCCATGTCCCCGCAGGTGACTCGATATAGTGGCTTCTGCGCCAGCTCGGCCACACTCTCTGCCGTCAACGTCTTGCCGGTTCCGGGACCTCCGTGCAACAGAATGATGAGACCATTGCCCTTGCCTTCGATGATGTCGACGCCTCTCCTGGTCGTCAAGTGGACAGAGACAAGGGCCTTGACGAGATCCTTTTTGCGCTTATCGAGAACCAGTTGGTCAAAGGCTGCAACGTTCCACTGTAGGTCGTCGATGTAGTCCACTTGCAAAGTGCCTATCTATGGTTAGCAGACAGACATTGTAGTTCAAGACTGGATAGCACTGACGCCACTTCTTGTCCAAGAATCCGAAGCCTTGTACATAAGCAGGCAACAACATCAGCATCTCATCTCGATTGGGCCCTTCTAGCTGCTCCAGGCTCTCTGAAGGGATCGCTCCAGCGTCATCTCTTCTTTGAAGCTCGATAACTTGTTGTCCTTCAGGCTGATGGAGTACGCGATACATGTCGTAATCTATCATGTATCGAGGTTGTGCCTATGAATTGTCAATTCAGTACCGTGTCTAGCGACTTTGGGACTTACTGTCTGGGACTCAAAGGGCATCCGAGGTGCTGTGTAGTGGATATATTTTCTGGCACGGCATTCCCAGAACTTGCAGCCTCGGGATAGGAGGTCTTGTCTGATACCTGAAAGATCGAGACGAAGTGGAAATGCTTCCAGACTGTTGATGCTGATGGCCTCTTTCTCAGAGGGTCGGCGCACGTAAAGCGTGGTCTGGCGCATCTTGAAGGAACCATTGAAATCATACGACCAACATTCGAGACTAATGCCATCTTGCGCCTCGCGGATTCTGTCGAGCCTGTGCGCAACCAGAACCCTGTCCTTACGTGTGACGACGAGCTCGCCTGCGCGAAAGAGCTTGCTGAAATGAGCGCGATCAACAAGTCCACGTGAGAAAAGCTGCTCAGCCTCTGCATGATCTTGCCTTCCCAGGTCTGCAATGCAATGCAGAAGCAGCGCAACATACTTTTGCAACCCTGGACCGCCGGACAAGTCGACTGCCGCCTGGACCTCAGCAGCGTGGTGGAAGAAAAATGGAAAGGGAAAGCTCAAGCTCCTTTCTTCTTGCCACCCACTGAGGATGTCCGAATGGGAAAGAATGGCTGATATCTCACTAACTAGCTGTGTGGATTGCAGATCCAGCCGGATTGACTGAGGCAGTGCGGCTGGGCCCTCCCGTTTGAATCGAAAGAAGCGTGCTTGATTCGCACGGAGAAATGTCTCTTGCAGATGCGGCAATTCAATTGGCTCGAAGAAGGTATCGAAATGGCGAAGGTACGCGTCGCAAGCATACGATTGATAGATGACGATACCTGCTGATGCAGCGAGCTCGCTGTCGTCTGATAGGCGCTTCGTACCACGAAGCTGGCTTGCCTTATCATCGCCGTAGAAGAGCCTCGGATGATCGAGATACAGAACATTCGGGGCGTGGCTCGTGTGATCGGCCTGGCGGCCACGCCCTCGGCCACAGTACACCTGGTGGATAGTGACCACGGTATCATCGTCTCTATAGTCTATGTTGTGGCGGGAACGTTTGGCTGGAGGGGTGCGCTGCTCATCCGCATCGATGTCGCTCTGGGCAGTCTCGTCCTCGGACAATTCACGTTCTCGTTTGCTGGTCGGGAACTCATTGCTGGGATACATTGCCGTCAAGTTAAATGTGAAGATGTCTCAGTGTTTACCGGTAAGTCGGCGGTGATTCCAGAAAAGAAAGAGCTACGAGGCTGAGGCTGAGGCTCTCTCGAGGTCTTGAAAATCAACCCGCTAGGCGACGGGGCTAGTCGCTGGCCTTCTAAGCAGGGTTCATGAGGAGACTTGGCTTGCATACACGGGCGGCTGTGCCCAGAACGACCGCAAATCCAGCCCGTCTTTTCGCTGGCGTTTTCTGAGAACGTGGTCCGCGCATGGTTCGCACCCAAAAGCGCTCCTCGTGCGGTTCTTTCGTTTTTTGTGGTCGGGCCTTTGCAGTACTCGAGGCGTTGGGAGCATTGAGTGGAATCTCGAATTCTGTATAGGATGAGCGATGTTGATAGAGTTCTTGACACTAGTTGAATACAACGGTTCTTCTCGCTTTCCTGTCAACGACGCGAGCCCGCTTTGTTGCCCTTTTATTTACTAGCCTCGGGCGCGCAAGGAACGCCGTGAATGCCCGTCCTGAGGTAGAAAGGTTTGCTATCGCGGACCGATCAGAACAGTAGCTTGCGATGAAAATCTTGACAGCACTGCCTTGCTTTGCCGCTTCTTCGGCGGCCAACTGAAACATGGAGATGAAGTCCCGCACTCTGGCGGGATCATATCCGAAGCCTTCGAAGATATCGCTCGCTTCGATGACAATCACGCACTTCGACAGCTTTGAGACGACTTGAGAGAACAAGGTCCGCCACTCGTTATCGCTATGGTTGACTTTGAATTGTAAAGCACTCAATTTCACTCCGTTGTGGCTCAGGCATTCAGGGTTATGTCGAAGTGCTTGGGCAATTAGAGTCTTCCAGAGCAACGTCCTGTCGGTCGACGGTGATCTGGGTTTCTTGTTCTCCGATAAAGCCCAGATTGCGCTGGCACCCGCCGCTTGGCCATAGTCCACGACACTGACAGCGAGATCCTTGAGTTTGGCTTCTGTGAGTGGACTGCCCTGCACCACTAGCAGAGCGGAGCTGTTGGAAGACGCCCACCTGCGAATGGTGTTGACAAGATTGAGTGACTCCTGTCCTGCATATTGCCAGGACTGCCGCCTTTTCGACAAAGCGCGGGATTCGTTCAGGCGCCGATGTGCGTTTCCGCTACAACCAAGTTCATTGAGTATTTCGGCAAGTTGTAAGTCCCGCAGACTTTCCTTGTTATCAAGTACATCGGCCGAAATCTGATGGCTGAGTGCGTATGTGCCTGATACAGGATTAGAATTGACACCGAGAAAACGGCCGAGTGTGATGATCTTACCGCTTGTGACCTGGCAAACATTATCAAGTTTCCCCTCCATCAATGACAGCTGAGAAGCATACTTGGCAAAGGCGTTTTGCAGTTGCCGTAGTTTACCGTCGACGGCATTGAGGCTCTCCACGCTCTGCGTCTGCATCAAAGTCACCCCGCGGAGTTCGACTTTGGCGGCCGAGTCTGCAGCTGTGTCAAGAGATGCTGTACAGGCTCTTATCTGATCGACGGTAGCCTTGTATCCAATGTCATAAGGCTCAGACACCGACTTGAAAGCACGCCACCAGCGGTTTGCCTGATACCACTTGATTGCCTTTTTCAAGAACAGTAAAATGTGGCCGTAGAGTCTGGCAATGATTGGTAGGATCTCGCTTGCGGAGTAGAGCTTTGAGTACAGTTCAACGCGCTGCAGTGACTCTCCAACGAGTGTCAGCGCTTCGGCAATCTTTGCGAAGAGGCGAGCGTTGTCAATGACACCCTGCTCGTCAGTTGAAGTTCTGGAACTTGGGTACAAGAGTCATTCTTACCATGAGAACAAACTTCATGGCCCCCCATGCGAGCGCTGCAACCTCTGGATGTGATTGCACGAAAACGTCAAGCACGGATCCATAATACATGATCTGGTCTGGCAGCCTTGAAGCCCATCTCGAGATGGGTCCATGTTCGGATCGCGAGGCTTGGTATGTGCAACGAGCGTCCTTGGCGACTGTGAGGACATCCAGCATAGACGTCTGTTCATCAATCCAATCCCTTTTGACCTTGTCATGGGTCAGTTCTGTCTTGAAGTACTCGACCCCCTGCTCGAACGCCTCTCGGGCGACATCATACGTCCTGGTAGTGTCGCCGATGTATTTGTCGACAAGCGCTTGCGGATCGTCATTAGCTGCCATTGCATGAGTGGACTATGTCATGGGAAGAGAGATCTCGACCAGCGGCAAGGATGAAAGGCAGTGAGTCAACGATGGTCAGTCGTCCTCAGAAGGCAACCACGTGTAGCAAGTCTCGAACTCCAGACGACGCACAGCCACGCCTCGAGGCGCAGCGGTAGCCTGCCGAAGATGCATTAGCTCAGCTGCCCCTACCGATAGGCTGGCGGCTTGCCACGGCATGCCGATAGGCTATCAATGCTGCCCTGAAGCAGAATCGCCATTCGTCCTGGTCTGGGCTGACCCTCTAGCCTTTTAGACCGAATTGGGCATGATGGAATACGTTGTTGAGATGGAGGAGAGGATGAAATCGGTTAGGAATCGCAAAAACAAGACTGCAACGCATGAAGTCGCGGAAAGCTCTAGCGGGAGCAGGCGCGACGCGGGTGCTTGGCATCCAGTTCACCTCACCCCACGAGACTCTGTCTCAGAAGGGATGGACACACTATCGGTGCGTATGTATTGTGCGTGTTTGTAGCAGGAAGGGCTTCAGTGAGCTTGGGAGGAGTGAACATTTGGGTTGCAGGATGACACTGCACGCAGGTGCTCGAACTTGAAGCCCCTGCAGGTAGTTGGTAATAATATTCGCTACTGCAACGACTAACCGGACAGTTGATACCGGCCACTAACTTTGTTCCCCGATGTATATTCACATGGTCCTTTTCTGCCTTTCAAGGTCGTAGGCGAGCATCTGAATCAACAAGAGTTAAACCAAAACAGGTCGTGCAAGTCAATCCGACAACATGCCACCCACCATGCCCGAAGCCGATGCTTATCCCATCCAGCATCAAGTGCGCCCCATCACTTCGTAATAGCATCATTCGCTGCCTAAATCACTGCTTTTGTATTGTTTGGTCCCATTAAATCGCTTGTGTCGTTGTTCATTGATCCCAATCGGCGTTCTGGAAGAACTCGTCGCCGTGGGCACCGGATCGTTGTACGCCGCTCATCCTGTTGTCTCTGGTCCTCTGACGGGTCAAGCCATCGTCCATCTTCTCGTCCTCGAACCTTCCCGCGTACTGTTGATCAAGTGTGCTTTCATCGACGAACGTAAAGCCTTGGAAGGCGTTCTGCATGGTAGGGGAAAGCGGGGTTGAAGCAGTCTGAGCGCCAGCAGCCAGAGCCGCAGCGCGAGCATTCAACGAACTTGATGTGTTGAGCGCGTTGGTGAACTCGGGATCGAAGTTAGATGTGTCGGCATTGGAAGAGAGCTTGGGCTTGAATGGGGGTATAAGGTTCTTCTTGCCTAGTGCAACCCAATCAACGTCGTGGAAGAATGGGTGCTCCATTAACTCCTGTGCATCCCGGTTCGCCCCCAGACGATGTTTCGGATTGCGGTTGAGAAGCCCCTTGACAAAGTTGCGACCTTCAGTACTAAGGGCGTCGCGAGGAAAGCGAACTTTGCCAAAGGCGATGTTCTTGTACATCTGTTGCGTGTCTTCGGCGTAGAAAGGGCTCCAGCCACAGCACATTTCGAAAACCAGAACCCCGAGGGACCAGAAATCCACCATCTTGGTGTATCCTTGCTCGTCCAACAGCACCTCCGGCGCGAGGTATTCTGTTGTGCCGCAGAATGTGTTGGTTGTATCGTTCTTGGTGAGGTTGGCCTTGGACAGACCAAAGTCGCATAGAGCAATGTGCCCGTTGGCATCGAGGAGTATGTTTTCCGGCTTCAGGTCGCGGTAGACAATATCGTGCTCGTGGAGGTGCTTCAACGCCAAGATCAACTCGGCAATGTAGAACTTGGCACGTTCTTCTTTGAATCGTCCTTCCTTCTGCAGATGCCAGAAGAGCTCTCCACCAGACATGAAGTCTGTTACCAGATAGAGGTCGGTCGGCGTCTGGAACGAGAACTTCAGGCCAACGATGAATGGTGAATCGGTCATCGCAGTCCTAACGAGAATGTTACGCTCTCCTATCGTGTGCTGAATTTCCTTCTTTTGAATGATGACCTTCTTCGAGAGCACCTTCATGGCGTAGATGCGCTGGGTGTCCTTCTTGCGAACTTGATAGACTTGACCGAATGTGCCTTTGCCGATAAGCTTAAGAATTTGGAAGTCATTGGGGCCAACATGACGCTTTTCGGTCTCCAAGAACGACATGCTGATGTGGATCTCTCCTGTGATGTCCTGATCTTCCGATCCGCGAGGTTCGAGGGCGAAGAAATTTTCAAGTCGTGGTTGTTGTTTGGTTAGATTGAGACAAAGTCGAACGTGCCCCAAAAAGGCATCTTGGTGACGGTCGTACACTGATACCTCTAATTCCGACTGTTTGCCAACCACGTCACTGCGTCACTGTCAGTATAGATCGAATGCTAAACATGATTCACTTACAACACAGCTTCGTGATCCCATTGAGGGTCAATCACTTTATTCATCGGCCTGCCGTTCTCGTCACTCACGCCATTCGTGCTGCTTTGCCTACTACGCATGGGAATCGCCATCGCTCTCCCCGCCTCACTATCTGTCCTTCGAATGGCTGCAGACTGAGGTTCCTCGCTGTCGATCTCCATTTTGTCGTGTTTAGAGCCTTTCGATATGTACTCATTGAATTCGAAAGTGACCACAACATATGGATCAAATGCCGGCTTGATGTTTTTGCCTTCAGCGATTTTGACGGCTAGCTTACCGCGAGGGTTATGAGTGGGTAACTTGGCATCAGGCTCGGGTTTTTGCTGTTTCTGAGTCTCATCCGCTAACGGTGACCGTCGCCGGTCTTCTTGTGATAACGCTCGGGGAGTATGGGGTGGAGTGGCCTTTTCTCGTGGCTCAGCCGCCACGACTTCAGTTAGCCTTGTGTCATCTGGTATGGGCTGGGACTGCATAGGCTTTTGGGATGGGGAGTCCTGAGGAGTCTGTGTTTTTGACGATTGGGCAGTGGACGAAGGATTAGATATGTGGGTGGCGGGCACCGATTTCAAGGTCACACTCGACACGGGAAGTGACTGATGTCGACGAGCATGACCACTGAACGAACTCTTAGGCAGCACAAAGTTGCGTAAAGCCTGAGTGATGGAGGCAAGACCAGAGTCTGCCAATGGCTTCCCATTCTCTGCCGAGTCCCCGTCCCGTTGAACAACCGAAGAAGCTGAAGAGATGGGAGTGGGGGGCATGCGAGACGGGTCGGGCCCGGGCCTGCTCACAGCATCCTGAGACTCTTCAGGCGGTGGCGTTGCGACCTGGGGCTGGTCTTTTTCGACCATGACCATCGAGCCCATGGAACTCGTCGAGGCGCGTCTTGACATCCTGCGAAGGTGCTTCGGGGGATGGCTTGCAACGCCCAAATCGACAGCAGGGGTAGTAACAGCTTGGGTATTCCTCAGGGGTGAACTTGTGGAAGGTTCGCTACCCACCTGGCCAAAATAGCCTGGCATGATGCCAGGTAGGCGCTTGTCATGAAAGTCCGGACGAGGCGTCTCGACGCCTGATGGAGTGGGGGACTCGGTTCCTATTTGGTCTGCCATATCATCCCGTAGTTCATGTCTGGCACTACTGGGAGCATGTTAGCATGGAGAACGAGGAAGATGTACTTGGAATCATGACAAATGCCGCGCACACGAGAGGCTTCTGGTCTGAACCGGCAGGGACTGCGAGTCCTGCGATCTCCACCAGCAAGTGGCACTCTGCCCACGGCTGATAGCGAGATTTTCTTGACATGTGATGCATTCTATCCCATACTGCAGAGAATCGCATGCAATCTGCTTGTTTCCAGCATTTGCTGCCGGATTGAAGATGCAGAACGATATGGAAGTGCAGAGAATAGAAGAAACATACTTGTGAGCCATAGCTTGTCGAAGTAGATCGGCGGCATGAGACGGTGTGACTCCTCCAGCCTGCGCCATTGCGGGCATGCACCTCGTCGGTGCCTCCTCCTCTTGAAGATGTCTCAAAGATAAGTTATTGCATCCACACAGCAGCGGTGACGACAGCTGCGGATGGAGCTCTTGTGAGGAAGCAGTTGTGAAATGTTGCTTTTTGGCCGTCGAGCAAAGCTACGGGTGCAAGTTGGAGAATATCGGAAAGCGTTCGGCGGGGGATCGCGACAGTTGTCGGGAGGGTTTCCTGGTTGCAGTACTGACGTAGTTGTCCGTGGATATGGCAATATCTCGGTGCTGAGTATACCGTGGGCAGACAAGTGCTACATACGGCTGCAAGCAAGTGAGGGTGTTGGATGAGCTGAGCGCAGGCAACACACAGCTGAGGGTGGCAAACTTGTGCCTTTGCTGCGACTGGTACTGGTAGCGACAGGCTTTTTTGATATCGCGCGCGGAGGGGTGTGAGGGGCTACCGGGTGAAGAGGAAATAATCGATGGCTCAAACTAGGTCATGTACCCGAGTGAAAAAGCTTTCGGGGCAGCACTGCAGCAGGGCGTTGGCGGGTTGAGTCAGAGGTGAGAGAATTGAAGCGAAACATGGATTCGAAGGCTGGACGGCGGTATCCGGAGCCCACACCCAGCTCAGACGTTTCCTCGACCAAATGCTGAGACGCCGCACCAAGGTTTTTCCTTGAAATCTGATCTATCATGGCCCTTTGGTTCCGCCTGTGCGCAGCTGGAGCGAGGGCCAAACAGCGTCATCATGCTTGGATGCATCCCCAGCGGTGCTAAGAAATGGGCTCCCCCGTATCAAGGGCGGCATCATCTCCTGCTTGCGCACTGCCTCGTGGATAAAAGCATTTACAGCTGACATGATTCACCCATTCGTCTTGACTCTCAAACATCGTGTCTGGGCACTACTAGGCCATGCCATCCATTCGGTGGCTCTTTATTCAGCCTGTGTCGGCCTTCGCGATCGAGAAAAGGTTGTCGGGCGGGCGAACTCTTCTTGGCCATTCCTCTTGGCCGGAGTTTGTGTTGCTGCCCAAGGCGAATGTCGGGAGTCTCCAACAAGCTCAACCGTTCTCAACCACTCATTTGCATCAACCAGCCTTTTGGTAGTGTTGGTCCCCGTTGAACAGCCGCCTTTGGACACCAAGTAGCCTCGGCCGGCCAGCTTATGCGTTTCCGTCACCTGTTGTGAGGCTGAGGTTCTCCGGGATTGATCGCCAGCTACTAGCAAAAGCTGTGGTACTTGTCTACCCCGGACTGTCACACCGTCATGGATCATGGCAGCTTCTGTAGTATGATAAGCTTACTCCCGAAATAACCTCGCATCTTGTGTAAGACCAGTCACAGAAAGTACATAACACTCGTTGTACGACATCGACACGACAGGCTGAGGACACATCGGGTATCCCGAGACACTTGTTGAATATCGTGCGACTGCACGCTTCATGATGACCCAGCAGTCAAAGCCGCTGCACACCAATCTGGGTCCGGAAGAGTGCCGTCGTGACATGAACTAGATCATCTATGACCATGAACCAGCTCAGCAACATGCACCAGGATGGAATTGCATAGACTGTACGTGTAGTCCTCCGTAGATTCCCACGGGCCGATTAGAAAGGTCACCTGCGCAAGACTGGCTGCCTTCAGCCTCGTAGCCTTGCATCTAGACGCGAGCACTGTGACCGCGCGACTGAGCCCTTGATTCGAGATCTACATCGACAAACGGGTATATCGCGCTAAGCTGCTGTTCCAACGTGGTTACCCCGTCACATTATCCTCACCATGGCGAGACGACCTCGCCTGGCCGCCCAGGCTGCCGCCGCTTCAATGCGTACGTCCACTACACCTGGCGCAAATAACAACACACTAACTGCGGGCTAGGTAATCGCATTCCCAATCTCTCGGACAATGAAGACGATGAGGTGGCCGAGGCACCCACTGCAGATGCTCCGACGCCCCAGGACGATGAAGACGAAGGTGCAAATGCGGACGACGATGATCAGAACGATGGCGAAGACGACGGCACCCCTTCACAAGCATCCCCACGGCCTTCGAGATCCGCCACCCCTCGCCGCCGTGGACGACCTAGCCTGCTACCTGGGTCAAGACGGAAACCTGGACGCCCACCGAAGAATAGACCGGTAGCATCTGAAGACGATACTGGCGAGCCTGCATCAGATGCCCCACCCAAGCGCAGGGGAGGCTTTCGAGGCGGTAATCGTGGACGTTGGGCCAACCGCAAGTCTGGCGTGTCTCGTCAGCAGCCGCCGCCTCTGGATGATTTTGGAAATCCCATGGAAGTGGTGGAAGATGAGGTCGTGTTACCAGAAATACCTGAAGGCGAGGAGAAGGTCGATAAGAACGGGGTTCTGCTGGGTGGGCGAGACTATCGCGTACGAACCTTTACAATACTCGGTCGTGGCAGCAAGCTCTACATGCTGTCTACGGAGCCGGCTCGTTGCATCGGATTTCGCGATTCTTACCTGTTCTTCCAGAAACACAAACATCTTTACAAGATTCTGATTGACGACGAAGAGAAGAAGGACCTTATCGAGCGGGACCTCATGCCCAACTCCTACAAAGGTCGTTCTATCGGCGTTGTCACAGCCCGCTCGGTATACCGAGAATTCGGTGCCAAGATCGTGATCGGAGGCAGAAAAATCAACGATGACTATGACGAACAAGCGGCACGAGAGCGAGGTGACGTCGAAGGCGAACTGGCTGATCCCAATGATCGTCTTCCCCCAGCCGGCGAGCCGTACAACCGTAACCAGTACGTGGCATGGCATGGTGCGAGCCAAGTCTACCATACAAACCTCCCCAACGCGCCGGCACAGGGCCAGAAAGGACCTGAAGGGAAACGAAAGCGCATCTTGATCACCGGCGATAACTGGATGTTTGAGCATGCTCGAAACGCCAGTGTGTTCAACTCGTCGCTCGCTCAGGCCCGCAAGTCTAACTTTCATGGCCTCTACGACATCCATACCAACACGATGCAGTGGCCAAAGCATATGCAGTCCACCCACGGACGCTGGGAGAAGGTATACGATGAGGTCGTGGACGAGCATCAACCTGGAACAAGGCTGCCACATCTCGATCCTGTATACAGTCGCAATTTCCGGATTCACGATTTTGCTCTAGAGGCGGCGCCAGATTCAAGCCTTGTGCCACCTGGGCTAGACAACGACGAAAACAGCCTTGCTGCAATCGCCCCAGAGGTGTTGGATGAGCTTCCTGTCGAATGCATTGAGGCGTTGCGGCAAGCTCAGCAAGACGAGAGTGCCTGGCGTCGCAAGTGGACCAATGAGAAGTCCAACGGCAAGAGGGCTAACTTCTTACCCTCATTTGAGTGGTATCCCAAAACGTAATCAGGCGCTGCCAATGAAAGCGAAGGTGGCGACATCTACTGATCAGCTGAAAAGGCATTTTAACGTCACGAGAGTCCGATCATGGCATATGTTCTGTGGCGGAGCACAAAACAGAGTCAAGTCTTGGCCATTTGTCATACGGCAGCAGGCAGACAGCAGATGGGCGGCAACATCAGGTTATGGAAGCTTCCGAGACGTGCCGCAGCTTACCAAGCTAAAGGCGCAAGGCGTGTAGATGCTGACGAGTTGCAACGGACCGAAGAAAAGCAAGGACACATGATGGCGCTACAATTAACTAGGGTGGTGTAGCAACAGCAGGGCCACATGGAGGCCTGAGGAAGCGAGCACGAGGGCATGGCACTACCTCAATGTCAGATATGATTTGGGAGGTGTCGTCAAGCTGCAGTCAGCCGGTCTGGGGTGAGTGTACGCGAAAGCTGCCAGATCGAGTTTGGAGGTGAAGGCTGTGGTCTGCGTGGATCAGCAGCCCGTCGCATTGCTCGCTCCCACCGCCTGAACGGGTGCGTGCGTGGCCATTCCAGAGTCAGGTGCAGTGACGACCGGTCTAGCTCAACTGCAATAGCAGTCATTGTGGTGGTACATACTGTGAGACGAAAGAATATGCTAAGACGAGCGACAAGAACCTGGCCAGCGGCTTCCTCGTGTTCTAGAAGCCGAGTGCGCGCCGGAGGGTTCGCGTAGTCCGTTGTCCTGTTGGGCACCTTTACAGACGTTGCTCCGAGGGTTTATGCCACTTACCGCGCTACGGGACTTGCGGGAAGTCGGGGTTTCTTGGACTGCAGAATTAGACTGATGGATCGTTTGGTAAGCGAAATGCCATTATTGGCCGCTGCGTCATGCAGACCCGTCCCGTCAGACTTTTTGCGTGTTCTCGTGACGGACAGAGTGCAAGACAAACATGTGGTAGATGGGGCTCGTAGGCTAGAAAGCTATCAATTGATTGTGCGGTGGGGATAGCCTCCCGCAGCAACGATGCAGGAGAGAGGAGATGTTGGAATTTTGTCGTCTGAAACATGAGGTGTTGATAGGCGGCAAGGGACAGTCCGGGCCTACCTAACAGCCGGGAAATCTAAGCCTAAGAACACGCCTGTGGCCGAGGCTGGTTGCTTCTGCGCAGTCTCTGTACGGTACTCCGGAGGGTCATCATTCGGCCTCGCCGCGTAGCTGTGCATCCTTTTCGCCGTCATCTCACATAGTGTGAGGCAGCAGCAACGGCGACAATGGTCAACACAGCACAGCACAGCACAGCCCAGGCTGAAGCGGAAAGAAGAACCGTTGCTGGTTCAAGTTTGTCTGGATCGACCAAGACAGGGTGAAATGGAGAAAAGTCTCTCTTGCATCATCCTGAACACGTCGGCCCCCATTCGCAGGGTCGTTGGCTCCCTGCTGAGCAAAGTGGCGGCCATCGGCAGGAGGCAAAAACGCGCACTGAAAAAATAGGGGAGGCCGATGATGCCTAGGGGCGAGTTAGTAGCCTATGAGGAAGGGCGCCGCGGGCTTTTGGGAGAGATTTCTGCCAAGGCGCAGCTTAGTCCTGCTGCTGCTGGCCCACTCAGGCCGGCACAGCCATTCCAGTCCGTCGCCCCAGCAGCTTGTCCACCCCCCCTGGCTGATGAGGTTGAACCCGCATCGTTTTCGCCTGCCACCGCCGTGTCCATCTCATCATACCGACTCCTCTGTGTCCATCCCTCGCCGCTGGACTGGCTGGCTCTGCTATTGTGCCCTGCCTGCTGCCTCCTCACCTTTCCCTCCTACTTCCAATCCTCCCTCCCTCATTTCCACCATCCCATCACCACCACCCCTTCTCCCTCCCTCTTATTCTCTACATACACATAATTGTCTAGTCTCTCCTCTCCGACCTTTGAGCGACCCAAAAGTTTGCAATTATCTGGGGCCCAGTATTCTATTCTCGGCAGGGCTAAAGAACATTGTCCCCATATTTGCAATTTCGGAACAGGCCCGAGTTACGACTCCGTGCTCAGCCTCTGAATCAGTCTGATTGCCACAATTTCCACCCAGACCATTGTTTGGCAGTTGTCGCAGAAACCATTCCCTACACCGTAAGGGTCCAAGGAACTGCTCGTGGCAACCCTGCGCCCAGTGGCCGATCAAAAGAGACGTTGCGTTACTGGGGCTGAGACCCAGCATCACCAAAACCGCGCAGCCTCGCCTCTTCTCTCACCACAACACGCTTCCAACGCCTTTTTCAATCGCAACGGCCTGGTCATCGTTTATTCGAGTGATCTGTCTGCCTAATCTACCGACAACGACTGTGTTCTGGCTCGAGCTGTTCGTCGCCGCTTCTTGATTGATCAAACACTTGTCTGGTGTCACCTGTGGTCAGTTTTCCTCCCGCTCGGCCAGCCACTTGCCCGCTGCCTGTGAACACGTTCGTTCTCGCCGCAGCATCATCACCGCTTGAACATCATTGGGCTGACTCTTCCGCGCATAGGCCACCGACCGATTCACCAAGCAATATTCACAGCCTCCAACCTACCTTTTTCCGACGAGCTTTTCACTAAGTCTTGTCGACACCACTTGTTCATCGCTACTGTCACATCAGCGGCCTAACGTATCGACGTCGACTTTATTTGTTCGCCTGCATCTACGCTGCGCGTTATTAGTCTTCTCACATCGCGAACCGCACCATCGATCATCCTCCATGTACTAGGCTGAGTACTATCTCCAACCACACATTCCAAGCTTCGGCTTCAAGAGGTCGCAGGCCCCGTCGCCCGACCATCTCACAAGTAGACGGTTGAGAAACTGTCTACTTCCCATCTCAAACGAATATGCCTCACTACTCGGCCTGGGGCCCCAGCGCCCAGCACCTTGCTCGCCTGCCCCCTACTCCACCTGAGTATCACAACGCATACATGACCCCAATGAGCACCACCTCCGATCAGGGCTATTACCCGGTGCATGGCTATCATCACAGCCGTCACAGCTCTTCGCGAGAGCATAGCGAGCGATACTTGCAGAACCCGGCCTACACCGCTCAGCACTCATCGCACGCGCATCCTCGCATGAGCCACTTGCCCTACGACGGTTACAGCCATGGCCTCCCTACTTACCAGTATGCGACTGCTCCTGCGCCGATTCTTCCTCCCATCCAGGCCCCGGGTGGTGCTATTGATCCATTTCACTATGGTCATCAAGAGAAGAAGGAAGAGAAGCCGACCGGCGGCGTCGCGCAGCATCTCGACTATGAGATGGATTTGATGGCATCTTTCGTTGCCGAGATGGCCCAGAAACTGTAAGTTCATATCAGGAGTTGTCTCTTACTTGACGCTAATTTGTCTCCCCAGGGTCCTTCCTAGTTCAGAGCCGCCGAGAGAGTTCCGCAAGTACGTCTCGCAGATACTCTCTTCGACTCGTCTGCCGAGCTCCACCATCATGCTTGGTCTGTTCTATCTCGCATCAAGAATGAAGATGGTCACAGAGCTTCGCCAAGACATGTCTCAATCGGGCACCGTCTACCGAATGCTGACTACCTGTCTGCTTCTGGGGTCAAAGTTCTTGGACGACAATACCTTCCAGAACAAATCCTGGGCCGAGGTCAGCAGCATCCCTGTGGTTGAGCTGAACATCATGGAGCTTGAATGGCTTCAAGGCTTCAACTGGGAAATCCATCAGTTGATGTACGAGGAAGAAGATGGCTTCTTCAGTTGGATCGAGCTCTGGCATGCCTATGAGAAGAAAGCAAAGGCCATCAAGGCTAAAGAGATGCACAAGTTGGCTCCTCTTGAGACCAAGTTTGCGCCTCGCTTTGGTGCCCAGCACTCCATCCTCATGTCACCAGACAATCCCATCCCACCCCAGTACCAGCAGGGCTCCCAGTACGACACCCAGTGGGCTCGCCAGTACATGTCAGAGTATTCGCCTCCTTCGGCACCGCACAGTGGACCTGCCACTCCGGAGTACTATCCCAATCAGTGGTCGTACGCGCAGGCGCCATCGTACAATCGCCAAGGCTTCAACTACGGAGCCCAGTCGGGCTATCAGCATACTCCACACTACCAATCCTACGGGTATCAGCAACCTTGGGCTCACGGTGCCAACTGTGGATGTAGTCTATGCGCCAAGCATTCTGACTATTACTTCTCCCATGGCGGCTACCCTGTGCAGACTGTCGTCGGATAACCTTCCTCGACCTCTTTGGCCCACACAGCATCATACTCCTCACCGGACTTGCTTCATAGCAGAAAAGTTCTGTGGTTCGGGGTTATGACCAACCCAAGATCTGCTGGAGAACGAACATATCTTGATCGTCATCCATGCTTGATCTTCACGACATTTACGACACGTGGCTTCCGGTCTCTTTTGATTGCGACTTCCACCTGAGCGACCTTCTTCACTAGTCATTTTTTGAGCTTAGACACGGATTGGCAGGCGGCGTTTGAGAAGGGTCTCATATTTCTGGAGCCACCAAAAGTTGAAAAGTTCGCCGCCCATTTTCACCAATCCCGATCGGCGTTTGGGGCATCTTTTATCTTCGTTACACACTGGAATCGAAAATCACTACACTCTCGGTGGGCGTGGACACCACTTTCATCGACATTTTCTTCGCCGGGCGCGTCCACAACACCGACATGGACTCGGGCCCCTGTATCTTAACAAGACCGTCATTCTTGTAATACATCGTCAATTGGTGCGGATTTGATTTCAATTGTTAGACATTCATTAGCGGGGAACACCACGGCACGGGTGATGACAAAAGGGAGGTGAGGAGTAGAGGCGAGCGGGAGATGAGGGATTCACGGACCCGAGATTGAATCAGGAGACTGCTCAGCATACACGCCTGGCGCAGGACGGAGGTACATTGCATTGACGACGAGTTGGTGACTGACGATATCATGGCCCTGCAACATGGGAAATACCCCTGATAGACCTTTGGTGTTTCTTTTTCTATCGAATACCTTTGCATCAAGAAGACCTAGATCGGCAGGCACGCAAGCAGACAGACAGACGAACAAGACACGAACATCCAATCTTTATTGTTCCCACCTTTCAAAAGTAGAGATAATGGATAGCAGCAGTGTTGCGCAAGTCGTATTTCGCGTTACTAAACGACAGGCTGCCTTGGGTTGCGCACGCCGAATGCCAAGGCTGACCATCTTGAGCCGCGTTCGCCCCCGTAACCCCGGTCATCTCTGTGGCCAGGCGTGTTGCTGCACTTCCTCTGAGCTCTCACTCATTCCATCCTTAACACTGCGCATCCATTGACTTGCCGTCTGTGGCCCCTGTTCGACTTCTTGAGAACTGTTTGTTCGTTTCCTGTCACCCGCCTGACTACTTTGATCATACACCGCCACCATGTCGACCCTCGAAGATCTCGATGACATGGATCGCCGGGAGAAGGAGGAGAAGAAGGACGGTGATGATGGCAAGAAGCCGTCTGGCAACGCCAGTGGCGATTCCAATGATGCGGAAATGAAAGACTCGGAAGAGAACAAGGAAGAAGAAGAGATCGATGTCGAGATCCTCCAGTCGAGCACAAGAGACATTATCAATCGGCGGCGGTTACTGGAGAACGAGCTCAAGATTCTCAAGTCAGAATTCCATCGCCTCAAGCACGAGGAGACGACGATGAAGGACAAGATCAAAGACAACATGGACAAGATCGAGAACAATCGCCAGTTGCCCTACTTGGTTGGTAATGTTGTTGAGCTACTGGACCTGGACGTCGAGGCTGAGGCTGCGGAGGAGGGTGCCAACATTGATCTAGATGCCACTCGGGTGGGCAAGAGCGCGGTCATCAAGACGAGTACACGACAAACAATCTTTCTGCCTCTGATAGGATTGGTCGACCATAACAAGCTGAAGCCTGCCGATCTGATAGGTGTCAATAAGGATTCATACCTGGTTCTGGATACGTTGCCTGCAGAGTACGATTCACGAGTCAAGGCCATGGAGGTGGACGAGAAGCCTACAGAAAAGTACACTGATGTCGGTGGCCTGGACAAACAGATTGAAGAGCTGGTCGAAGCGGTGGTGTGGCCAATGAAGGAGGCTGAGCGCTTCAAGAAGATTGGCATCAAGGCACCCAAAGGTGAGCGTCGCCGTCAGCATGGAATCCTCTTAAGCTAATCTATCACTAGGTGCACTGATGTACGGCCCTCCCGGTACAGGCAAGACACTGCTCGCAAGAGCCTGCGCTGCACAAACCAACGCCACCTTCCTCAAGCTTGCTGGCCCGCAACTTGTGCAGATGTTCATCGGTGACGGTGCGAAGCTCGTCCGCGACGCCTTCGCCCTTGCCAAAGAGAAGGCGCCGGCAATCATCTTCATCGACGAACTCGATGCTGTTGGCACCAAGCGATTTGATTCCGAGAAAAGTGGTGATCGAGAAGTCCAGCGTACCATGTTGGAGCTTCTCAATCAGTTGGATGGCTTTGCTTCCGATGAGCGCATCAAAGTGCTGGCCGCTACCAATCGTGTCGACGTACTCGACCCTGCCCTACTTCGATCCGGTCGGTTGGATCGTAAGATTGAATTCCCGTTGCCGAACGAGGAGTCCCGAGCCCAGATTCTGCGCATCCACTCGCGGAAGATGACGGTCGATGAGGACCGCGTCAATTGGAACGAGCTGGCGCGGAGTACGGATGAGTTTGGTGGTGCGATGCTCAAGGCGGTCTGTGTGGAGGCGGGTATGATTGCGCTGCGGAAGGGCAATAGCAAGATCACGCATGAGCACTACGTGGATGCCATTGCGGAGGTGCAGGCCAAGAAAAAGGATACGGTCAACTTCTACGCTTAGTAGAATGCGGTATGCGCTTGAGGCGTTGCATCTTGGGCGCAGGATTTGTAAGGCTACTATCGCGGCATTGGGCAAAGGAAGCGAATGCGAGATGTGTGGTGTCATGATCGTAGACAAAGATGCAAGACATGAACAGCGAACTCGTGCTACAAGCATGTCATAGTCAAGACACCTCCCTGCCCATCATCCAACCGCATCGTGAGACTGCCAGGTACAGCTCGACGAAGACGTAGTGCACCTAGCTATTCTAGTCGATGGAGCAATCTTACCGTCACCGGCAGCAACCTCCCATTCGATGCCCGACAGGTGATAATGCTGTTCCCGGTCATGCTTGTCTTTCAGCATTATACGATTTGACCACCTGCACCCGTTCTCGCCAACACCACGCCATTGTCCCGCTTGATGTAGTGTCAGCCAACAACAAGGGCAACAGCATGAACAAGAATAGTCCACGCGATTCCTGACAAGTTTGATCTCAGTGAGCCGATGTCTGTCTGTTCATCAGTCAGTCGGCTACATTCGGATTTTCGTATTCCACCGCTTCGGGTCCTGCATGCGTGTGTGCGTACGGGTGCGATTGTATCTGCACCCCTTGGATTTCGAAGCTGTACCTGTGCTACGTCGCATTGCAGCTCCGCGCACACCGACGTCCAGGGGTGATTTACGGCATGGCCGTCCAACATGCTGGCGCGGAAGCCGCTTACTCGTATCCACGGCTGTGTAGCTGCAGCCAGTATTGAAAGGCTTTGGTCAATAAGCGTAAATGTGGTAGAACAGACATCGAAAACGAGTCCCCCTTAAGGATTGGTGGACAAGCCCCTTGTTGCCGGTTCCGAATCACGATTACCGGAGCCCCGAATTAGGATTTTCCCTCTCTTTATTGGTGGTGCAAGGCCATATCCCCCTGGGTCTCCGGGGCTCGTTTAAAGCCTGGCGACGTGGACAGGGATGCCGTGCCAGGTTTCGGATCAGCAGCCGCCAACTTTTGGCACCCAGCCGATTTGCCTGTTGGCCCATGCCCATTCAATGCCCTGGCCGCGCTGGCTCCTTGCGGCGGGTCAAGGGCGGGGAGACTATAGCACGCGCGCATATTGATATATTGGAAGACGAGCTCGCGTTCCGATCTGTCATGTCACTGGGACAGTTGTGGCCTTCTGCCCTTGAGAGCTATCGCCGGTCACAAGGAGGGAATATGATATGCACAAATTCCAGGTAGTAATGCCGAGAAAGGGACGTGTGAGAAGTCATTGAGTTAGACCATGGACAAGCATCAGGACAAGGCAACGTGGGGAGACTCCCACACCAGGATGCCGCGGCAGACCAGCGACCCTGTGAGGTCATTGCCAACACCGCCGTCGCAACACTTCAACGCCTGGCTGGCAGATGGGCGGGGAAGCGTGAAAAGACAGTCACTGAAGCCGGAGGACGCGTTGTTGGCTTTTCATGACGCACGGTATGTCTCTGCTTCTCGCGAGTCCATGTCTCGCTTCGCTGATACCACGGGCCGCACCAGTCCCAACCGTCCACAACATCGACCAGAACAACACCAGAACCTCTATCAACAGACCCGCCATGAGAGTCTCTCGGGTATAGGGCAACAACGGACGCCTCGTCGATCACAGCATACGCAGTCTGCACCTGCCCTGCCAAAGCCACGGCCGCTGACTGTGTACGTGGGGAACACACTGGGGTCGATCGATGAAGACCCCTCCTCAGAGAGCTCGCTGCCTCTTCCGCCACCGCTCCAGGATGCAGCACTCAAGATCAAGGAGGCCGTGCAGAGGGTCTACCGCCCCATCGACTGGCGGAAAATCCCCAGCCCCGTCTTCGAATGCGTGCTCGACCAGCTGCGCCTGTTGCACACATCTAAGCAAGGCAATGGCTGCACAACCTGCTACATGCGCGACCTCTGCGCCATGCAGATGACCTGTAAGCCATGGTTCTCCGCAGCGCAGCACAGGCTCTACTCTTGCGTCTCGATCGAGGGTGAGGACGCACCGGAGAAGTTGAAGAGGTTCAAGGTCAAGCATGGGGCGCGGCTGGTGCTGTTGCGGCGCACGCTGAGGGCCAAAGCCTTGCTGGCGGCGCTGGTGAGGGACTTGCGCGTGCCGGATCCTATCATTCCACTGTATCAAGCGACTGGGGACCCTAACCCAGAGTACGATGACTATTTGTGCTTGCTGGCCAGCGTGGTCATGGCGTGTCCGAATCTGGAACTGTTTGCCGGCTTCTACCCCTTCTACAACCACACCTTTGACAGACTGACGCACGCGCTGAGCACGAGGAGGAAGCTGAAGCAGCATGTATGGGTCATTGCCGAGAATGCTGACTGTACGGCACGGGCACAGAAGCAGCTCCCGCCGGGCATCATGGATCACGATCAAAGTTATCAATTCCTGCAATACCACGATCGGTGGACGCAACTGGAGACACTGCTGCTGTGCTCACCAGGATCCTTGGGCGTGCTGGAGCATGAGGTCTTTGTCCATGCGCTCCGCAGTCTCCCTAAGCTCAAGCACCTCTGCATCTCCTCCTTCGACGCCGACGACTTCCACGACGGCACGCTGCAAACGCTGCCGCACATCATGAGCCTGCGCCTCGAAGAGTGCCCGGGTGTCTCTGACGCTGGCCTTACACGCTGGGCTGCGTCCCCCAACGCCGTTCTCATCGAGCGCCTATCCCTCATCCACCAAAACCTGACCTCCCTCGTCACCATCGCCCGCCTGCTCTCCTCCCTTGACCGCCTCACCAAACTCACCATCATCCAATCCGACACCACACCCTCCCTCCCCCTAGACACCGTCGTCTTCCAACCCTTCTTCGCCAGCAAAACCCTGCAATTCCTGCACTGGGACATCGCCACCTCATCCACCCACTCCACGGACCATTCGTCGCCGACACCTACCCTCTCCCTCCAAGACGCTCTCGCCACCACCGACCCTCTCGACGCCACTCTTCCCCAAACCCCCAATGCCCACCTCGCCCTTTCACTCCTGCACCACGGCTTCCCATCCTTAACGCGCCTGCGCGCACCCCGCGACACCGACCCCCGAGGCGCCCTACAAGCTGTCTGCCGCCCCGCACGCGACATGAACGTGCTGCTCGAGCATGACACGGGCGCCATGCGCTTCGGCCGATGCTGGAGCGGCAGGAACGGCGGCGCGCCAAACCAGCAACTGGACGAAGGCGGCAATCATCTGCAGACAGCACGAATACGGGCACAGCGCCGTATCGAGCGTGCCGCTATACAGGGTCCGGATGTGGAGAAGTCGGGGCTGGGCTGGAAGGTTGTGGTGGAGGATTACTCGGCGTGCTCGACGCCTGGCTCTGGCGTTGGCAGTACGGAGCAGGTATCGCCTGCGGTGGTGGAGAAGGGGGGGTTAGAGGCCAGCAATGACTGCGGCAACGGCAGTGCGGTGTCGGGCATGGGTTCGTACTCGCGCAGCGATGGTGACCAGAGCAGCAGCGGCAGCAGCAGCAGCAGCACGACCATCCGCTCCAGCACAGAAGCCACGCCCAACTCCTCCTCCTCCTCCTCCTCTCGCTCCGACCCGAGCGTCGCCTACGGCGTCAGCGAAGAAACCGAGCTGCGCGACCGCTACGTCGTCGGCCACGACTGGGATAAGGAGGTCATCGTCTCCTCGTCTTCCTGCTCCAGCTCCCACTCTTCCTCCGAGACAGGCGCACGCATCCCGACCTGCGCTCACGAAAGGCACGTCTCGGCGCCCACCCTCCCCCGCCAGCGACAGTCCCTCCCACCGCAACCGCACCCGCAACCGCATCCCCTTCCGCTCCGCGGGGTTGGCCCTGCGACGTTGCTACAGCACTCCCACACCCTCCCCAACCTATCCCTACCCCTAGCCCCGTCCCTATCCCAGCTCACGACAACGCACCCGCCGCCCCAAAAAGTGCGCGAATTCCGCCTCCCGACGTGCGTGGGGCGCGTCAACATCCACATCTCGGCTGAGGGACGAATGTTTGCGCCGCCGGAGCTGTGGCTGCGGCCGGATCGGGTAGGGCGGGAGGGGAACGGTGGGGTTGTGGGGTGGGGGGATTTGTTGGGTGTTGAGAGGAAGAGGAACAGGAACAAGGTGGGTGATGGTGGTGCTAGTGGTGCTGGTTGGGGGAAGAATGGGAAGGGAGATCAGGGTGGGGATGTAGGGCCGCGGATGTGTGATGGGAGTTGGAATTGGAATTGGAGGGGGAGGAGTGTCAAGGAGAGAGAGTTTCGTATGGGGTGGGGGTTGGGGTCGAAGGGCAGGGAGGAGGGGAGGTGGAGGCATCAGCTTCGGAGGAGGGGCGGGGGTGGTGAGCCGGGGGATGTGGGTGTTGAGTGGATCTTCTAGGAAGGGTTCTGGAGAAATTCGTGTGGGATTCTCTGGAGGAGACTCAAGCTTGGATGACACTTCGAATGGGGAGGAAGCGAATGTGTGCGGTTTGGAATGGCGATTTTTCTGCATGAGCGAGGAGGGCTTACGCACGCATTTCCACGATTTAGAGACGGCTCCAATCAAAGGCGCCAGATTTTCCGCTCGTTATATGCGCGGCAACGTCTACGGCGCCATCGCATGCCGGTCCGAGAAGTAAATCCAAGTGTGAAAGTGTTGTTCCGGGCCAGGTGTCTTATTTATGATCATGGTTCATGGGAAGAACGTCGAGGAGACCCGGAGCCAAGTCCCCGTGGATGTTGCTCTCCCCTGCTGCAGTCCACCAAGGTGCCTCTGGGAACTATATGAACTGAAGCAGCGTCAGACATCGGGTTGAGCGCCGTCCGTGGCATCTTCGTAACTCAGAGTCTATCTCCCGATGGAGGGGCATGCGTGTCCTAGTCCCAGCCGTCTCTGCACTGACGGCGACGATGTGCGTGTTCGAGCGTGCCAAACAACGGCTTAGAGGTTTCGGCGGTTCACTTGGATCATCCCTGCTCGAGTATCAGGGGCGATAGCTGGGTCTCCCGCCGAGATGTTGTCCAACGCTGAAGTCTGAAGTGCCGCGTCGGAGAATTTGAGTATCGTCCTCGGCACAGACCGCAGAAGTGAGCTCTGAATTTGGGCTGACTCGTGCATGGTATATCTCACTCTAGTAACCACTGCTCCTGCAGCTCAACTTGCCCTCTCTTTTTACGAAAAAGGATACAAGTACTTAGAAACGATGCCAATTGTCTGGGAACATGGAGTTGCACTAGTCTGGCGAAGGTCCGAACCGACCCCGAGCTACTCCCGCAGAAAAGCCTCCTAAAGTATAATTACTTGGTGTACATAAGTCCACCCCCTTGGCGGAAGCCTCGCGCGCCTGGCGTCTATGCAAGTTGAAGCTTGATCTGAATCTAGACGCCGTGTTTCCGGGAAATTGACCAGTATGGGACAAGTTTGTTCGTGTCTCCTTAGCATCAACTATGCGGCATAGATTGCTGTTAAACTAGTACCAACATATAAGCAACGAGCGCAGCCACCGTAGACTCAGGGCTATTTTACAGTCTCTACCATCGACCCAGTGTTCTTGCCAGGTCCTCGTAGAGACAACAAGTCCTCGGGTCTCTACGTCAAGTCTCGTAACTGGGGCTAAAGATGGACCTCCGCGAAGTCCACGAACTAAAAACGTTGCCCCATCACTGGAAGAGGAGTCATCCATATCCTTGTGACACTCCTGCAAAACCCCTCCTTCAGTCAGCTCATTACGAGGCTGCTGAGGACGAGCCAGTATATGACATCGTGTATCTTGTCGACGAGCACGATATCAGCCGGAACATAAACCAGAAGGTCACCCGCAATGGCAACACGCTGCAGAGGAGGTATGCTTGGCATTACCGGGTGGCCGACCTCGCGACATTCAACGTTGGTGATGTTCCAGACACCATTCAATTGCATGAAAAGGTGGGAAATCCTTTTGATAATGATACCTTTCGGTGGGAGGGTTTCATGTTTGGTGAGTCCGACTTGTGCTTTTCGAATAGTCACCTTCTCCCGCCAGTCAGACCTTGAAAAGCATTTTTACTTATGCAAGTAGATATCCCTGGTGGACGAGCGACATGTCGAGTCTCCATCGTAGCTGGCGCCGGATCGGCCAGCGACGCTGCACTCACGGGACCAGGAGGGGCAGGAGGGTCCAACATAGATCGCGTTGTTGGATTTGCTGGAGTCTATCCCGACAACAGGGTCCCCTATGGGCCTGTATTGCAAGTCCGCAGAGATAACGCATACAGGCGTCTAGGAGCGTCTTTAAGGGGCCCAGTAAAGGTGGCCTGGCACTGCGCGTACTACATCACCAAAGCGACTCCCGTGGAGCCCACACCACATGCGAAGAACGCGACGAACGGCTCGCCCAATAGCTATCGGCACGTATCGAACGGGAAGAGTGCTCAAGGCAGCCCCGACTACGATCAGATCCTGGATCAGAACGTCGACAATGAGGTCTCCGTCGGCTTCGACGGGGTTCCGTGGGGAGGCATGGTCTTTGGCTTCGTCCTGGCCGACACGATACCTAGGTCTGACCCTAATGATGACACTGGCCTAGAGCCTTACGATTACAGCGCGATCCAGGAGCTAGGGATTGAGTTCTAGTGATGTACGGACTCCGTGAGAGGCTGCATTAGTCCATGGTCTTGAGTGTCAATGACTCTATGTATGTGATAAGGATACCATGAATATAGTGTCAGGAGTTCTTCGCTGGAGCATGATGTTGCTGCGCTATCCTCCCCACTGCATCGCGCTCCGAAATACCTTCCCTCGTTGTCTGGTATCCTTCCAAAGAGGACTACAGCGACTTCATTTAGGCACGATCCCCAAGGTACGAGCTCTCTCTTAAACTCGCAGAGAAGTCAGATATCCAGCGAGGGGACTTCCGGGAGCAGAAAACACAGCAAGCAGTGCATCTCATCGGTCTTCAACAAAAGATTTGTCGAATTGCCTCGCCTAACTGTTTGCCTACTGTCTAATTAAACTGCGGTCACAAAGTACTGTCTCTTAGTGTTCTCATTTTACAGCGTTGCTCGAGTCAAAACTCCCGTCCACGCAACGTCTCATGCCATTTGGCTATATCAAATACATCTCGCGTCATTCTTCGTCCACAAATGCTCTACTATCCATTCTACTGTGAAAATAGCAGCCAGCCGTGGTAGATCAGTAAGTCTGCCCCTTTTCAGGTTGTAGAACCAGCGGAGTTTTGCTTCCTTTCACGATTACCATCTGATCTTGTTCTTCAGTCTCTCTCAGAGTTAGTGCAAGATGGTTCGTACTCGTTCGACCGAATCTGGGTCTGACCCAATTGTACTACAGCGGGAGATCAAATACCTCGCAGCAGCACATGCGATAACATTCATGATACATTTGCTCATCCGCGAGAACTAACCACCATCGGATAATATCCCTTCTTGGTAGGTCCACGCCCTCGTGGCCCATTGACTTTATAACAATTGCGCTTAGCTCCCTCAGCGACGAGAGGGATCTCGCCCTGTGGCCGCGGTAATAGTAAGGTCAGAATTCTGGTATATGGAGTCCATTGTGAGCAGCTGCGCAGCAAGTTGTCCCTTGTCTTTTTGGTCAATGCAGAACTGATCGATCCACAAGTACCGAAAACCTAGCTTTCGTGTGACCGTTCTTGCATTTTCGATTGTAGCGGGTAAGTCTTGCGGTAGCAATCCATTACAGTCGACAGGTTTCGCACCCGCGCCACAAACGTAGCTTCAGATACACAGATGGATGATCCGCCTCCAGGACGGTGTGACCAGTCTCACAGTCAATCAATCTAATTCAGGGCACCGGAGAGGTTATCCTGACACTGCAAGTCTTGGTGTGCATCTCATGGCAGAACCTCAGCCATTTCTTGACAATTTCGAAAGTGATATGATCCGGACTGCGCATTCGTACCCATGCTGCCCCCTGGTGTTGCGGAACTAGACGTATGGTTCGCTCAGTGCAAGTCAAATCGAGCGTAGGGTTGCACGGCTATGGCTCAATATGAATTATTTGTGGTGCCGAGGTTCCCACACATTGAAGTGGTTTCCCGAGAGATCCGTGAAATACACGACTCGGGGGGATATCGTGGAAACGTGGGGGGGAGTACCCACTAGACTCGGAATTAGTACCCCCTCATACGCATGGTGTTAAGGTTGAGGCCGAGAAGCTGATGTATGCTGTGCATAGGATACATTCATTAATCTTGACGTCACCGAGGGTACAGTCTTTAAAGACCGAACACGTGCTCCTAGTTCGAAATCAATCAACTGAACATGTCCGCCAACAAAACCATCGTCCTCGTCACAGGCGGCAACAATGGCATCGGCCTTGCGGCCTGCCAGCTCTTCGCTACAAAGTCCGACTACCACTGTATCATGGCCAGTCGCTCTCTCGACAAGGGAAAGAAAGCACTAGAATCGATCCAGTCCTCGAACCCATCCGGCACGGTCTCGCTGGTTCAACTCGACGTTACCTCCGACGACTCCATCGCCGCCGCCGTCGAAGAAGTCAAAGCGAAGCACGGTCGTCTAGATGTCCTTATAAACAACGCTGGTATCTGCCCCGTGGAATTTTCTCGCACCCTCCTTCGCGACTGTCTGGAAACCAATACCATCTCGCCCGCAGTGGTAACAGAAGCCTTCGCGCCGCTTCTATTGAAATCAAGCAGCGCTCGCCTCATCTATGTCACCTCGGCGCTAGGCTCTATCGAGAAGCGCAGCGATCCAACTGACTTTGCGTATGACGCGCCTTACAAAGCGTATCGCATCAGCAAGGCGGCGTTGAACATGCTGGTCGCATGTGATGCCTATGAGTACAAGGGTCAGATCAAAACGTTTGCCTTTTGTCCAGGTTTTGTGATCACGGATCTTGCTGGGATGCGAGAAGAAAAAGAGCAGGGCGGTGTTGCTAAGAGTCCGGACGGCAGTGCAAGGGGTCTGTTGGCTATTGCAGAGGGGAAGAGGGACGAGGAGAATGGGAGGTTCTTGCATGATGAGGAACCAGGGAATCTGTATCCTTGGTAGACATTGATATATCGGAACTCTCTGGAACGAAGCATGATGACCAGTATCGCTAGCCGAGGCGTGACTTATTGTTGCTTTACCTCACAACGTATAAGGTAGATCAGCGGTCGAAAGTATGCCATTTCGGCACCTCGACAGCTTGAATGACAAGTCGACCATTCAGTATCCAAGGCGTGTTCACTGAACTGTACTGCTTAAGTGCTTGCTTTGCATAGTCAGCTTACTTCCTGAAGATAGGAAGTCTTCTCTTCTTCTCCAGATTGCTGTGGAAGTCGTTACAAGCTTCTAGCGTGTGGTCGGATTGAGCAGCTTTCTCCCAAGCAGTCAAGCAGGCTTTTCAGCTGAGTTTTACTGCTTGAGTACTCGGTCTTTCACAGGGACTGTCCATCTAACCCAGCAACGTTGCTCAACTTTGAAGCTTTTCATGTGGACGTACAAGGACATACAATCGTGCACAACAATGTACATCCTTCTTCACTAGTCTCTGTGTGCCCCCAACTTGCGCCAGTGTAGCAAAAGGGTCCGACATCCACTGGTTGCGAAACTCACTGTCAAAAGCTTTCTATACTGTTCAATCCAGATATGCCCTTGGTCTAAGAGACTTGAGGCTCAGGTCAGTCTCGGCTCTCCACTGAGGGGATTACCTCGTGCATATACAGTCACGATACTCATTAAGGGCACACTACTCCACATGGACAGCATGGTGATCTTGTTTCGATTCCGCATCTGGCGCAACATGCCACTAAATCGAGGGACTAAAGTAAATAGTACAAACGGATCTATAGCTGCTCAAAAGCCCAGTCCCCCTGCCCTTGTCGGTGAATCGTGGTTTTGAATACTTACGTTGTCGTACAGCAAAGTCTTGACCAATACATGTCACGACGAACCATCACAACGCTAGTCACTACTAGCTTTGTTCTGAAAGGAGCACATATTTTACACATCCAATCGCATAGTCGTGCAGGACATGTAGTCCCCGGCACGTCCACTTGAACGAGCTCTCAACGCAGCACAAGTACGCATGCGTATCGCCGAGCTGTTCCTTGGCCAGTCTTTCAATGGCCCAAGATCGGAACAACCATCCGTTTTCCTGCAAGACATGGATCTCCGCTTCATTCTCCGCGGTGTGGAAGGAAGCTTCTCGTGGCTACGCCATACGCTTCTGCTGCTAGCTATTCCAACCTTGCGTCACGCTCTGCTGGCTCGAGACCGCATGGAGAGTAGCTCTCTCCTCGTGCTTTTGGGGACTCGAACGGTGAATGCTAGGATAGACGAGAAAATTCTCCTACGAGCGGTATATCGCACGGTGCGGCTGCAGCTCTGTTCGGAAAGATCCCCTAACCAAGATCTTGACTAGCCAGACTGAAGAATCAATCTGCGCTCGAGGCGGTTGAATTACGTGAGCTGACGCTAATCCGTTTTAATGCTCTGTTGCGATGAGCCCTAACCCTGTGTCCTAATCTTGAATGTGATTGGAGAACTGCCCACGTCGCTGACTACTGGCACCTCGTACCCAACTTCAATTAGCTCCTCGATTGCGTATGACGCCCCATATTGCGCAGAACTTGTTCTGCAAAGGGCCAAAGATGGTTCACTGGCCACAAGACGCTGCCGGCAGGCTCCAACTGATTGGACTCGCCTAACCCTGAACCGAGCCAAACAGCCTTGGCCCCTGATCTGTTGCAAGGCATCTTCGGCCTCAAAACATGCTCTCAAAGCTCAAACTGCCTGATAATCCCACAGGCCGTTATACAGCAACTAACTCATTATCAAGCACATACCATGGTCTTTCATGGGCGCTCAAAGGGTTGTCTGCCGTGCAGGAAGAAGAAAGTCAAGTGTGACCTGAACCGCCCATCTTGTCATGCATGTCTGAAGAGACGTGAGCCATGCCCGGGCCCACGTATAGGCAAGGACGAGACCGAGTTCCGCCTCGAAAATCCTCCGAAAAGTCAACAAACTAGTGCGCGCTGCCCTGAACAGGTGGTGTTGCGATCGCTAGACAAGACCAGCTCTCATCCAATGACCAAAACCAAGGCTTCAGGCCGCAGCAAGATTAATGAACATCAGCGCGCATCTACGGAGCTTCTACTCGACCAAGCTTCAACTGACAGCCTGTGGACCCATTCCATTTGTTCATGCACAACGCAATCGCCCTTCTCCGTCCCAGAGTGTCCACACACCGCAGGGAATATCACATCTATCCTTCCCAGAACGCCACCAGGTGGCCAGTATGGGAATGGGTACATTGGTGTCTGTAAAGCGGAGCCAGCTTTAGTCAGCCTACTGGACTTTTGGCGCCGCGTGGCCCTGCATGACCTGACACCTGGAACTCCCTTCTCTCGCCCTGACTTGGGCAAGAGAGCCTGGGCTCTGAGCATCTACAGCTTGAACGATGAGTGTCTTGGCTATGCCTTTCTATCCGTAGCCTCGTGCTACTATGCCAAAGTCAGCAAGTCCTACGACATGGATCTTTTCAATCTCAACGCCCGTCTCCGTACCATCAGTAGTGCGCGGAAAGAACTTGCCACGAAAGGCGTTGTTGAGAACCTCATTTCGAAGTTGCAGATCGTCATGGCGGCCGAAATGGTTGCGGAAAACTGGCTCGCCTGTACTCAACATTCACAGTTCATCGCCAAAGTCTTGCAACCCGCAGACGGAGAACCTCCTCAACTCCGTGAAGCGACCAGACACGCTTTCTTACACATGGATGTCGAGCGAGCAATTGCCACGGGTACACGTCCATTGCTCGACTTGTCCACTTGGTATTATGAAAGACATGCTCTCGATACTTGGTCATCCGAGTTGCTGCTAGATCCCTCTGTCAATTCTTTCAGCCTAGATGACCTTGACCGCCTGGCAATCGGTGATCCTACCCTTAACTCTCTTTTTGCTGAGATCAGGTATCTCGATCATCTTCTCCGCCATCCTACCACAGCCACGGAGCTATCTCAGGCAACAGCATTCCAGCTTTCCACTGCCATCGACATCCTCAATGGCAAGCTGTTGAGCTTCTCGATCCCTATCATTGAAACTGGTATGTGTGCTGTCAGTTTGACACATAGCTACTAACAGTCAAGCAGTAAGTGTAGAAGCTCACGAGCTACGTCCCAGCCATTTCGACTCTTTCTATGATGTGCCATCTGGTTCAGCGATGCTAGACATGCCTGCTCTCACCAACACCGTGCCTAACAAGCTACAAGTCCTGGCCACAGACAGACACCTGTTCCTCCCATACAGAACCTAAATAAACTGATAGCTCCTACAGATCTCAGAACAAACATCTCCGAAGACCGCCTCAACTTCTACCCCTTCCTCCGTCGGTCTCATCACCACTACCATCCAATCCGCAACGACGCCCTACCTCGACCCCGGACCTCTTTCCCCCACTCCATCCACATCACCCGACGCCATTACCTCTACCACCACCCATACAACCCTCTCTCATCTCCATGCCACACAATCCGCCGCCGCCGCCCTCGCCGCCCTCGTAAGTTCTTCACCATTTCCTCTCTCTCTCTCACCCCCCCGCTCCACCACGTTTCAACTCTGCGCTTCAACGACGCAAAACCCAAGCTAATCTCTTCCCGAACCCACAAAGTACTACCTCCGCCTCCGCACCCGCCAAGAATACGCCGGCCCGCTCCACCCCGTTCCCGAGCCCCAGCTGATGGAATGGTTCTGCGCGCAAGCCCCACGTCTACACATGCGCATGCAGACCCTGCTGGAATCATCCGAGGAGGCGCTGCGAGCTTTGTTGATCCTGCATCACTCCACCAGCACCACCAAGGGTGCCGGCGCCAACACCACCACCACCCCACCAACGGCGAAAACCCTCCACCCGGTCCTCCGCCTCCGCCTCTGGATCCTCCACATCGGCAGCGTGATGGAGGAAACCGCCGACTTCGGCGCCGTGGGTCTGCAGCGACCGCCGGACTACCATCGGCGCGCGATGCGGGAGTTGTTGGCGTTGACGGGCTTGGATCGCGATCAGGATCAGGATCAGGATCAGCAAGAGATAAGGGGAGGGGAAGGGGGAGTGCAGGTCGTGGAGGAGATTTTGGCGAGGTTTCTGTGTTTTGGGGGTGGGGAGAAGCAGAAGCACAAGCCCAAGCACAAGCAGCCGCCGTTGGATGTCTATGGGCCGCGGTGGTTGAGTCCTGTGCTGCGGACGTGGGGGCTGACGAACTGGAATGGGGAGGTCGTTGTTTGAGGGCCTGGTGTTGACAACATGGTTTGTATTCGATCCCCAAGATATATCGGCGACGTGGTGGCGGTGTTGTGTTTATACAGTTCTCTACTTCCCCGTTCCCAATCTCGTGGGTTTTTACACGGCCTCAATGACCCTCCCCCTCCGCTGTGAGCCCACCACTTCGGCCGGCCGGCCCGCGCCCGCCATGCTATCCAGCAGACCTGCCGTCCACTCGGCAATCCTGCTCGTGCCCTCCCCTCGGATGGCGCTCACCGGTATAGCGGCGATGCGCTCACGCCACGCATTCTGTTTCCCGCTGGGGTGGGTTACCCTCCCAGCCTCGACGTCCTCCATGTACTTCCTCAGCTTCATGTACTCGTGCTGGGTGCCCTCCACGTCGGCCTTTGTGCAGACGACGAACCAGGGCTTCGCGCTGATGGGCGGCAGCTTCAGGGGCTCCAGTTTCCGCGGGGGTTCTGGATAGACGATCATCTCCTCTTCCTCTTGCTCTCCACTCGTGAACAGCGGGTTTGTCTTGCCCGCCGCGAATCCCTGCCATTGAATGGTGCCGCTCTGTTGAGTTTCTTGGTTGATTTCCACGTTGCGGAGGTTCTCGTACTCGCCGACCTCTTTCCACAGGTTCTGCAGCGCGGCCACCACGTTTCCGGCGCTGAGGTCGACCACGAATGCGAGGATGCGGGCGCGCTCGACGTGGCGCAGGAAGCCGAGGCCCAGGCCGCGGTCGAGGTGCGCGTCCTGCACGAGTCCGGGGATGTCGGCCACGGTGAAGCTTTCGCGCTGTCCTTCGCCTTCGACGCCACTGCGGATGGTTGGGCGGCCGGTGTGGTCGTCGAGGACGACGGTGCCGATGCTTGGCTCCAGAGTGGTGAATGCCCAGCTGCCGACGCGGGTGCGGGAGTTGCTGATGCTCCGGAGCAGGGTGGATTTGCCGGCGTTGGGCAGGCCTACAAGACCAACATCGGCAAGGAGTTTGAGTTCCAACTCGAGCTTGAGCCGGACTCCCAGCTCGCCTTTGGTAGCGAACTTGGGTTTTGGCTCGTCTTTCGTTGTGAAGTGTGGGTTGCCCAGGCCTCCAACAGCACCCGCTGCGAGCAAGATGGGCTTCTCCATGGGTTTGTCGAGATCGAGATGGATTGGGTTTCCAGGCTCGAGGACACAAAGCGGACTGCGCCGCGGTTTGGATGGTGGAGGCATACTTGAGGCCACGTTTACAGCTTCTTTGCCTGTAGTACCAGCGTACATGAGATATTTGTTGCGGAGGGGCGCTTCAGAAGGTTCCATTTCTCGAAAGCGCGCCTCCTCTTCGGCGACCGGATCGCTGCGCCATGTTTCTCGGATGACTGTGCCAACAGGCACCTGTATACAGACATCTTCTCCCTTCTTACCACCCTGACTCTTTCCTTGACCACCAATACCGCGCCCAGCTTTGACGACGCCTCTACGTGCGAGCTTGTGTAGACTGGTCTGGCCGGCTACTGCTTGGATCCAGACGTTGCCACCAGAGCCACCATCACCGCCGTTAGGAGGACCGTCGGGGATGTAGGCTTCCCGCTGGAAAGAAACACAACCGTTGCCTCCGGAACCCGTATGTACGTTGAGCGTGCATTTGTCGACGAAGATATTACGGGAGTAATCTTCAGGAGCAGGATTCAGTCGTGAGTGTGCTGACACGGGAGGCGGGTCTTGCGCAGCTGCTCTTCGATCGGTGTTCGTCTCAGCTAGGGATTTTCGCTGGCATTGCGATTGATGAAAGGACCGAGAGAGGGTGCGGTATGCTTTGGCGACTGGCCTCGTGCGGTAGCCGGCTGGAGATGCAGCACGGAAGAGGCAAGGGTAGAGGAATGGCAACACAGTGCCTTGAGTGGCGCTCATCACTTCTGATGTTCCTGGAGAGACGAAGAGATCCCGGCAGGGCTGACACGACAGTATCTGGCCGTGTGAATGGTGCACGCAGTCAATAGCAATGATGGGCACTTTTTTCGAGAAGGGTAGAACAGGGCTTCGGCTAACTTGCCCATTTCATTTACTGCCTCAGTCGCGTCCTGCGACGCTCTCATCGTCTTCGGCATCTATCAAGCAACGACCACTGCTCTAGACACATTTCCTCTATCCATGGACGTGTCAGTTGGTCTGTACAACCGATCTAGGCAACTCTGGCTCCATCAGAAGCAATTGAAGCTCGCTGTCGGTGGCTCAGTCTCCGACGCTTCTCACTGAGGGATGCGTAGCACTATTCGGCCACCAATCTGAAACTTGGCAAGCTTGTCGACAATGGTGTTGATATCCTCCAGCTCGAAGACTTGGACATGAGGTACCACGTCACCTGCGACAGCCATTTTCAGCAGTTCGTCCATGTCCTGTCGGGTGCCGCACGAGGAGCCAACCACTCTTAGGCACCTCACCACCATCCAGAAGGGGGATATAGGTAGGTCAAAGTCAGTCCTTGGAAGGCCAACGCAGACCAGAGTACCGAGCCGGCGTAAGAGCTTGAAGCCTTCTGTGTAGGCGGCAGTTGAGCCAGCGCCAACCACGACGCCGTGCGCGCCATACCCGTTGGTCAGTCGCTTGACCTCCTCTTCGACGTTGTCTGTCTTGAAATCGAGGAAAGCAGTTGCTCCTAGCTCCATCGCCATCTTCTTCTTGGACTCGCCACTGTCAACGGCGATCACCCTATACCCCTTCTTGGCCGCGATCTGCACGCCGAGATGTCCCAGCCCACCTCCCGCCCCGGGCAAGACCAACCAGTCGCCTGGTTTCAAGTTTGCTTTCGATATCGACGAGTACATTGACAAGCCAGCACATAGCAAAGGTGCCAGGATTTCGGACTTCAGCTCCTTGGGTAAGCGCGTCACATCCTTAGCTGGCGCAGCTATATACTGAGCGAATGTCCCTCTGACGTTGCGGCCAGAGTTGTCTTGATTCGGACAAGCCGTCTCATCGATTGGGCATATCTCACACTTGCCGCAGGTGCTGTACTGCCACTTGATACCGACGCGTTCGCCCATGAAATGGTCAGGAACACTAGGTCCCAGCTTGACCACCTTGCCAACGCCCTCGTGTCCGGCAATGTCCGTCTCCATTGGCGTCTCGTTGAAGATGCTGTGCACATCTGAATGGCAGATACCGGAGCACTCGAGCTTGACAAGCACCTCTCCATCCTTAGGCTCGGGAATTTCGATGTCGTGCCGGATTTCAAGGATGGCACCGGGCTCGGCTTTGGGCAGCCAAGCAGCTGTTTGAAATCCTTCCTTGGAGGACATGCTGACGAGGAGCAGATGTGAGAGGAAGTGGTCGTGTGAGTATTGAGAATTGATTGAGTGAACCCCTCCAGAAGTGGCGGTGCATCTGTGGCGTTGAGTGCCAAGCCGCGGGGCCGCGGCGTCTGCGAAGTCGGATTCGATGCTTTCATGCATCTTTCCTCAGTCATCAGGCGCCATCATGTTCACTGGTCTGGTGGAAACGATAGGCAGTGAGTACTCTGTCAGTCCTACTGCGCTCTGCTGTGGCTGACCAGTCCAGCCGTCACCGCTCTCACCGAGCTGGACCCATCCACGTCCGGCGGCAATGGCACATCCCTCACCATCTCCGACTGTTCAACGATTTTAGACGATGCCCATTTGGGTGACTCAATATGCGTCAATGGGACATGTCTCACCGTCACCGAGTTCGAGAAAGACTCGTTCAAGGTTGGAGTCGCGCCGGAGACACTCCGCAGAACCAACCTGGGCAGCCTAAAAGAGAAGAGCCGTGTCAATCTTGAAAGAGCGATGCTGCCACATACACGCATGGGCGGGCATATCGTGCAAGGTCATGTTGATACCGTGGCCACTATAGTGTCGATCACACCAGACGGAAACGCCCTCACCTTCAGGTTCAAGCCACGGCCTGCGCCAGATGGATCCAATATCTTGCGATACATCGTGGAGAAGGGATTCATCGCGCTTGATGGTGCCAGCTTGACGGTGACCAATGTCGACGATGCTGAGGGTTGGTTTGAGATCATGCTGATCGCCTACTCACAAGAAAAGGTGGTCATGGGCAAGAAGCAGCCGGGCGAGGAAGTCAATGTCGAGATTGACCTGGTCGGCAAGCTCGTTGAGAAGAGTGTGAATGCCTACTTTGAGAGCAACAAGGACGGTGCGCCGGCCGTGCTGGAAAAGATGGTCGCACGCTTGGTACACGAGAAACTGGCCAAGGTCTGAACCATCAGCAATGATACCAATCGTAGTAGTACATGAGGTAAGCGTCTCCACAAACCACACACTCGTCGGACATGATCTCCGATCGTGGCTATACTACCAACCCTAGTAGACACCCAGTATCTTGCCAGGGATAAAGAGCGTATCTCAGTGTCGTTGTGGCAGGGTGTCGGCTATATGAAGCTCTTATCTCCAACCGTACATGCTATACAAGCTTTGAGCCACTTCTCCATCCGCGCCCGGCCGAAATGTTTCATGTTGTCGAGCTGTGATCGACATCCTCGTCACCATCATGATCTCGCTCCATATATCGAGGTCTCGCCCTTTGCTCACAAGACAACCCGCCGAAGTTCGTACGCCAAGCTTCTAGTAGCGCTTCGATACATTCTCGTGTATCTAACACTACCGAAGCGCGCCGAACGTCGCCACCTATGCCTCTACCTCACAGCTAATAGTGACAATCCCAGACTTCTCCACTGAAGCCCTAGCACTCTTCAGACGAGGCGGTCCAACATGGCCACCAGCAATATCTTCTACTGCCTCAGCAACGGGCTCTCGCAGGCTTTTTTCATTGCCCCTGCGCCGCTCACTGAGCGCAATCTACCCGATCAAACCGGTCGCGTCTTCTTGTAGGTACCCTCCGACTTCTCCTGAACAGCACCTCCATCCCCCATGGGAAACATTATCGCAGTGTTGTACCCCCACTGGCATCCCTCATACCCAATACGCCCATCGACGCCATTGACACCACTAATCCCCGGACTCTGCAGAATAACCGGCGGCTACACCGGCCTCGGCCTCGCCCTCTCCAACATCCTCTACGGCGCCAACGGCACCGTCTGGCTCGCGGGCCGCAACGAATCCAAAGCCAACGCTGCCATCTCCCACCTCCAAGCCACCCATCCTACCTCCACCGGCGCCTTGCATTTCCTGTCCCTCGACCTCTCCGACCTCAGCAGCATCAAACCCGCCGTGCAGGACTTCCAGCGCCGCAACCCCTCGGGCAAGCTGCACTGGCTCAACAACAATGCCGGAATCATGGTCCCGCCCGCCGGCTCGCGCGGCAGACAGGGCCACGACCTCACCTACGTCACCAACATCTACGCCCCCTTCCTGCTGACCACGCTGCTGCTGCCTATGCTGCGCCACACCGCCGCCACGGAGGAGGCCGAGCCGCGTCGTCGCGGCACCGTGCGTGTATCCTGGGCTGGGAGCGCCGCGTCGTACCTGACGCCGCATGTCGCGGGCGTGGCGTGGGAGAAGGACGGCAAGGAGCTGGCGGGCGCGCTGGCGGATCCGCAGAGCACGTACGGTATCAGCAAGGCGGCCAATTGGTGGTTGGCTGTCGAATTTGGGCGGCGGTTTGGCGATGAGGATGGCGTGCTGCATAATGTTCGTCCCCCTCTCTCTTCTTCGCTCCCAAAATGCATACTTTTTTGCGTCCTTGTGCGAATTTGCTAACGAGACTGAACACCAAGTCCTACAACCCCGGCAACCTCAAGACGGAGCTACAACGCACCACGAAGGAAGTCGCGGGAAGGATCGCGCACTGGTTCATCCTCAACATTCTGTGTCACCCGCCTGTTCAGGGTGCGTATACGGAGCTATACGCGGGCCTGTCGCAAGACTTGAGTCTGGAGAAGGGGGATCAAGGTGCGTGGATCGTGCCATGGGGCCAGAGGAGTAGCATGCGGCCGGACATGTTGGCGGAGGCACAGAAGGGCGAGGATGGTGTGGGCGGCAAGCTGTGGAGGTGGTGTGAGGAGGTTGTCAAGGAGTATATGTAGCATATATGGTTTGGGCACCATCATCCAGGGAGTTTGAGCATCCTAGGTTAGGTGGAGGAGGATTGTTATTGGGAGTCTTTTGATTTAGTCTTTTAGCATGAGCCATGGCTCATCGCGCCGCAGTAGCTGGTAACTCAAGGTTTCTCGTCTTGTCCGCATAACATTCCTACCTCGCCCTGAGTGCTTGCTTGTCTTTCGCGGTCAATGCCACATGTTTCTCTCAAATGCAAGCATCATGTCCACAGCCTTCTTCGCCAGTGTTGCGCATTCCTCACCAACTCCAGCGCCACCAGCTGCCTTCTCAAAGCCCTCTCTCCAGAACGACCAGCGTTGCTTGCCGTATATGGGGCCATCGAACAGCGGGCCAACTCTTAGCAAACTCGCTTCCAGAGTGTCAGTCTTGATCTGCTTAGGTGTCTGCACCATTTCCGTGAATAGATTAGAACCATTGATCAGGATCCATCTGCTCGCAGCGCCGACTAGCCCAGACCGCAACTTGAAGCAGGCTTGATCGAAGCTAGTTCCTACCATTTTCTGCAGAGCCTCCAAGGAGTATTTTATATAGCTTTCAGCCTGCAATTTTGTTTCCATCCAATCTTCTTCAAACACGTCTCGCATCTGCCAAATCGCAACATCTGTCATGCTGGTGAAGTTGTGCTGTCCGAGGTATGATAGGAAAGCATGGAGGTTGATATGTTGGGAGATAGTGGTCTCGACGTCGGCAGTGGTGGAAGAGGACTCGAACATCACTGAGAATGCTGTTAACCGAGGGAACGATGAATGGTTTGGGCATGATACTGAGACATTCTCCAACCGACAAGGGTAGACCTCATTTCCACCGAGTTCCAGTATGTTTTCTGAACAGGGCAATGGAGTGGTAGAGACATGTCTTAGGTCAAGTAAAGATGAGAAGGTGCCCAGAGGCCAAGGAAGTTGCGAAGTACTTAGCAAAGTTTGATGCCAAGGGAGAACAAGTAGAGGTCGCACACTGCTCTTCCCCACCGGTTCCGTTTGTGGCTACGAATAGCTGTCAAGATCTCTGGCACCCTAGCATCGACACTTCGTGGGAGTTGTGATGCTCAAGAAGCGCAACTCCCAACTCCCATTCCCGTGAGAATCTTCTGACTTTCCATGTTCCATTATCGGCTCCTACCTTTTTCCGGGCAAACAAATATCGTTACTCGTCTTATTCTTGCTTCAACTAAAGCAGACAGATGAAGCTGAGATGAGACAGATGAATGTTGACTCCAGGCAGTAAAAGTCTTGGCATATGGAGCCTTGGCGGCAAGGATCAAAGATCTACATCTCCGCAATCAGCGTCAGGTAGAGCAGACTATAGTGGCTAACCCGTCATCCTCTCTGCGAAGGGGTAGTCACTCCAGCAACAGCCCTGGAGCTGGGTGAACGGCTTTCGAAAGGCATTGTTTGGGCCACGCATTTCATTCCGTTCTAATTGGTCCGGATTGCTTTAGCCAAGACCGCCTCGAATATCCCAGCTTGCGAAGCGTGAATCAATACCATCTTGCTACTTGCCACCTCCCGTTAGGATGACGACCGCAAGGCACAACCACCAGCATGAGGGCAGAGACGACTTGGAAACAAATCCCAACTCTCTTCACGACTACCACCGCAACAAACGCGGGCCGAAAGGCGTACCAAAATTCGTCATGGCATCGAGAAACAGTATAAGCAAGCCTAAGGACCCGGGCCATGAGTACGCCAAGACAGAACACATCTTTTTTGAATACTTCGACCAGAGAAGTTCGAACGCGCCCTTTGGCTACGAGCACTATGTGTCATTACCTCCCGGATACGAGACGGAGCCAGAAAAGAGATGGCCGTTGGTTCTATTCCTTCACGGAGCCGGCGAGTCGCAAAGGAACGCAAACGAATCGTACCTTTCAATTCGACACGGTATTCCCAAGGTAATTCTCTGTTACGACAGAGTGAAGTCAGGCAAAGAGCCGGTCATCTCGATCCCCATGGCAAACCGACTGCGGAAGACCAAGCAGGCCAAGCAGGGTGACCTCTCCGAGACCGCAGTACCGCCAGAAGTGTGTACTTTGCTTGTGGAGAATTTCATTACCGTCTCGCCGTCGCTCAACATGCAGTGTGGGTACGGATGGAACGCCTCGATCCTTTCAGCTCTGCTCGACGAGATCGTTGAGCGCTATCGTGTCGACATGCATCGAATCCATGTCACAGGATTCAGCATGGGCGGGTACGGCACCTGGAAACTGGCGTTGCACACGCCGAAGCGATTCGCGTCTGCCATGCCGATCTGTGGAGGGGGTGATCATCTGCGGGCGTCCATCCTCAAGCAGATCCCGCACTGGTGAGATCGAGCCAGGCCACTCACAGTCAAACTGCTGACCGGCACAGGATCCATCATGGCGACAAGGATGACATCATCCCTCTACAAGCCTCTCAGCAGATGGTCGACGCCTTGGAAAAGGCAGGAGCTGAAGAAATCCAGTTCACGCGATATCCTGAGCTCATGCACGACAGCTGGACAGCGGCATACAATAATCCGGACGTCTATCGATGGATGCTGGATCGTAGGCGGCAAGTCCAAGGAGACGAGAAGGTGGTGCCTGACGCGAACAAGACGACCGTAGCATGACTAGAAGTACGGGTCTCAGGCAGTAAAAGTCTTGGCGGCTCAAGCCGAGTGAACCTGCCTCGCTGTACGCTGTAATCCGTGTGGCTTGCTCACTCGGGGCGCGCCGGCTTCCCTGTGGCACTTCCCTTACACTCACCTGGCCGAGTCTGACCTTCGCCTGGCTCCGATCAGGTCGAAATTGTGATCGGCGCACAGCATTTCCGGTAGACCGCCGTCAAACTATGGTGGTTGCTGATGGTCTCATCTCAGACACCGCTGGCCATTTACTGTCTTCTCTCCTGGTTTCTAGTACTGTATAGTTGCGCGTCTGAATATGGGCTGAAATCCATGATTGTTCAGAGCAGTTTGCAGCCATCACGTGGCCTGGCTGTACTTTCTCCCCCAAAAGCAACCCCAGTCGCCCCCTTAAATGAGGGTCAACTCGGGGTAGGGGCAATGTTAACTCCGGGGGAGCGTCCAGGCCTTGGATGTTCATTCGCCGCTAAACATCTTATCGCTGGCCTTCAACGCTCCATGGCTCAGCCAGCCGAGCGATCAGCAATACCCTCGATCCTTCACCAGATACACATCAAGTGCAACGATACGAGGCCTCGATGAGTTGCGTCTTCGAACTTAGGCCGTAACCAATCTGGGAGCAACTATCATGTGGCAACAGCGAATTGGCAAGTACAGGCGTCGACCGCGCGCCGTATTGGTGTTGGTCGAGATAAGCGAAAGATAGGGTCGTTTCTTTGACGTTAACGTCAAGCCTTGAGCAACGACGCTTGCTTTTTCCTTATCGCTGTCCGCTCGCGTGCGTCTCTGACGAACCCCACGACTCCAAATTACTTAAGAGGAGTCCAAGTAAGCTTGACCCCGGGGCCAAGTTTGCTTGTCGGTTCTTCTCTTCTCTTGTCGTCGTATGCCATCACAAAGGTTCCACGACATGGCATCCCAGGGCAACAAAAGCTACTACGTTGAGAAGAATGAATCTGAATCGCCAGTTTCTTCCGCCGTCGACCCGGTCGAGGTCGGTCACGTGACCGGTCGCAAGAGACGTCTCCCTTTCAGCCTGGAGGTAAGGCAGGAGGAGAGCAGCTTTGCAAAAACGAAAAATGCCTCCAATGCCGATTTCGATCCGATTCCACCGTCGAAGCGCACATGGAACTGGGGCGCATACGTTGCATACTGGATGGCCGACGCCTGGGCTGTGTCGAACTGGGAAGTCGGTGAGTTCTTTGCCATGCTAGAGTCAGGTAGATTGGCCGGTCTGACGCTCTGGTCATTGCAGCATCTTCCATGATCGCCGTTGGCCTCAGCTGGAAATACGCGATCGGTGCCTGTGTGCTCGGTAATTCTATCATGGGCATGGTGATCACTATCAACGGCAGAATGGGTGCTATTGTGAGTTCTAGCCTCGCTCACAGGCTGGCCTGAGCTTATCCGGAGTAGCTTCACACGCCATTCCCGGTTCTGGCTCGCATGCCATTCGGCTACTACTTCAGCTACTTTGTCGTCCTGTCTCGCTGCGTTCTCGCCATTGTCTGGCTAGGGTCAGTCTACCTCAGCAACCACTCCATCACTACATGAGACTGACTGTATGCAGTGTACAAACCACGACTGGCGGTCAGTGTATGACTGTCCTACTCACAGCCATCTGGCCGAGCTTCAGAAACATTCCCAATCACATACCCGAAGACGAGGGCATCACTTCGGCGGGAATGGTTGGTTTCCTGCTCTACTTCCTGCTCCAGCTTCCCTTCCTGTGCATCCCCTATACCAAGGTCCAATACTTCTTCGCTTTCAAGAGTATCATTGCACCGATCATATTCTTGGCCGTCTTCGGCGATACTTTGCACAAGGCTGGCGGAACCATCAATCATAGTACTGTCATCACCCAAGGCACTTTGTTGAAAGGGTCAGCCTTGGCTTGGGCATTCTTCGGCAGTGAGTTCATTCTCTACACCTTCGCCACCCGTTACTCTGCTGACTATCGATATTATAGATCTCAATGGAGTCTTGGGCAACTACGCCACGTTGGGTCTGAACATCGCAGATTTCTCCAGATATGCCAACAGACCAAGCGCACAAAACGTCCAAGTCATCGTCATCCCCTTCATCTTCAGTGAGTCTCCTTGTGAGACGCCCTTCACATCGAAGCTCTGCTAATCATTCGCGCTCGCCAGCCATCGTCGGCCTACTAGGCATCTTCACCGCCGCATCTTCCGAAACCGCATATGGCCACGTCATCTGGAACCCGATCGAGATCGTTGATCTATGGCAACACTCCGGCTCCTCCGGTGGTCGTGCCGCCGCTGCTTTCGGCGCCATCGGTCTCATAATTGTCACCTTGGGCATCAACATCTCAGCCAACTCCATCAGCGCGGCCAACGACCTCATGTCTTTCTGCCCTAGATACATCAACATCCGCCGTGGTCAACTGCTCGCTGCCTTCATCGGTAGCTGGGGCTTCGTTCCCGTAAGTCAGCCCAGGCTCTTTTCTCAAGCTAGATCTAGCATTGTCATGCTAACCATGATCCGCACGCAGTGGAAAATCCTCGCCTCCGCCGCAAAATTCCTCGCCTTCCTCGGCGGCTACACCATCTTCCTGGGTCCCATGACCGGCATCCTCATCACCGAGTTCGTCTCCCGCAGCATGCCCTCCTCACTTCGCCCTTCCCCCTTACCCACTGTTCTTCAGATTCACTAACAAGGCACCACAGCTACTACATCGTGCGCCGCGGCAAAGTCTCCGTGCCCGACATGTACAACTTCCACGGCATGTACCGGTACTCGCCCAAGTTCGCGACCAATTGGCGCGCTGTGGCCGCCTTCTTCATCGGCTGCGTGCCTCCCCTTCCGGGGTTCGTGAACAACATCGTCGTGGCGGGCGACGGCACGACCGGCGTTTCCGTCGGCGGTCAGCATTTGTAAGTCTCAGTCTTCTTTCTTTTTTTTCTCGCTTTGCTGGCCTTCTCTTTCTCTTCCCCTCCTTCTCTTTCCCTCCTTCTCTTTCCCTCCTTCGCTTTGCTCTCCACATCCCCTCCTCTCAACAGGCAACGCAACGACGAGACCCGGATTCCCCCCCTAATTCACAATTGTATCTTAACTCCCCCACCAGATTCAGCATAGGCTACGTCTACTCCTTCGTCGCCTCCTCGGTCTTCTACTACGCCTTCAACCGGTTTTTCCCACACCACGACTCCATCATGACCCACGCCGAGACGGGCGAGGAGATCATCGCCGCCAACGACGCCAAAAACGTCGCGGAGCGGAGGCAGAGTTGGGTCGACACTGGGAAGAGGCCGAACGTCGTCAAGAGGTTCTTTCAGGTCTAGCCAAACAAAAAGCTTCTCACAACGACATCTTGAGTGTAGGCAAGGGGAGGGAGGATGAGGGGAGGACACTGGCGATATAAGGGGGCCGTGGGAAAGCGAGCTTGCTGATGCTATGATGCTGATCGTGAAGCAAGAGGCGTGAGGCGCCTGCCCCGTGCACCGTAGTCAGGGGATTCGAAAAGCAACGGCGAGGCGACACCATGGTCCACGGGGGTTTAGGGGGGACGATGGCCCGGCCCGTCTCGATATCGAATGTCTAGACGAGGTTTTATAGAGCGACAGTATAGCAAAGAACCTTGGCCGTTGCACTCACAATTGAGTATTAATTTATTTCTGTCGAATCATGGGATATCTATCCCCCCCACGTTCCCGTTGTCGCTGGCGGGGAGACAGACACATCGGGGAGAATCAATCATGATTACGGAGGACCTCTTAAGAGAGAGAGCAAATGACACCACCTTCGACTTTCGGCCATGGGATGGGCTGGGGGGCGGGGAAGCTACGGCCGGGCTAGGACAAGTCCCATACTGCACTGTAATGCTGGATGCGCTCGCTGTCAGATCGCTGAGGAGTGGGATACATATCGAAACGAAGGAGGGAAAGGAAAGGGTCTGGCTGGCAAGCATCGAGGGAGAGGGAGAGGAAGAGGAAGTAGGGCGGCGGGTAGAGGCATTTCGATGCTATCTTTGCCATTTGGGAATCGTCTCTCCGAGGCTCTGAACCCCTGAGACAAAACTCTCCTGGCTAATCACATTGTCTGATTTGGAATACTTTTCGGAATCCGAGCTGTGTTCCGTCAGCGGTGAAGTCGGAAGTGAGTAGTACATACATCCCTGGGCAGATACTAGTCTGCTAAGAACCCAATTCTTGGTAGCCTGACGATGATGATGCTCACCTGGCGCATGATCATGCTGGTCATGCTGATCCGGCTGATGATATCGCGCTGCGGCGCGTGTATGGACTCTCTAGGGTACATCATGTATGCACATTAATAAATGGACGCAACTCATTCGATCTTGTTCCCACCTCATGCAATGGATACGCTCCTCACGCCGGTGGCTCATAACGGTCACTGGATGCTGTCGTCCCTCGGTGTCGTCCGTGGACTACGCCCAACTGTTGCCACCAATCCGGCTCTCACCATTACCATCCAACCACGCAATGGCCCGCTCAACATTGTCCATTCCATCCTTGGCACGGTCAAAGCAGCCGTTCAAGTTCTCCGCCAGATCCTGCAAAATAGCCATGATCCTACCATCATCGAACATGGCGCCGTGTTTGTCGAATAGCTGCCTCATGTCGACCTGGCTCTTGTCCATGTCGCGTCTCGCCAGCATGAATCGATGCTTGAGCTGTTGGAGCTCCTCGACGATTTCGTTACCGGGCATCGAGCCAGCAACAGCCTTACCATCACCGACCTTGCGACGCTTGGAGGAGTTGGCCGGAGCAGAAGGCTTGACGTCGTCGATGGAGTCGATGATGTTGGTGGGATCGGCCTTCTCGGAACCACGACGCATGAGAGGCTTAACTGCACGGAATGGTGGCGGCTTCTCATCGTCGACGTCGACTCGCTTGCGCTTGGTGTCGTCACCTTCTCCTGAAGGGCGATAGCAATCCGGATAGATAGGGTGAGGTGGCTGCGGGGGGCGGCGGCGGCGCCGACGCATAAAACGATCCTTGGGCATGGTCCTCAGGCTGACGCGCTTGACAACCCAGATGAGTGCGAACAGAGCCTCGTGATCGCTGGTATCGAACCCAGCATTCTAACGCTGTCAGCAAGTTGCCTCAAACCCACCAGCGTCACTTACGAATGCAGCATTCGCGATCTCGCACTCCAATCCCGCCAGCTGTAAACCTATTGCATTCGCATTAGCACCCGTCCCTTCCTTTCTTCCTAACGCTCTTCATCTTTCGGGAGATTAAACTCACTGCCTTGAAACAACCCCGTCACCCCTGTCTGCCGATGCTCATACGGACAGTTCAAACCATGGCAGACACCACGCTGCGCCCAGGTCAGACAGGTGCCGCGCTGCATCTGATCCGAAGCCAGGGTTCCGGTGTCGAAGTGCGCGTAGTCGCAGGTGATCTTGCCGGCGCGGGTCTCGTCGGGGCAGCGAGGTCCAAGCGCCCAGTAGCGGCAGGTGTACTGGCGGGTTTCGGTGAGAGATGGCATGGTAGGAGAAGAGAAGAGGGTGGGGATGGGGATAAGAGAATGATCGGAAGTGATGCGAAATGATGCGTGAAAGCAGTTGGGGATGCGGCGATGGCGATGTGTTGGTGCGTGGGTAGTCAGAACGAGGTGGTGGATGAATGTGCGCGGGCAAGTTTTGTGACAGACGAGAAGACGCGTTTGTTTTCGGATGGCAATCGTAGTGCGTGCGGAAGGTGAGGTGTAGGTGAACGTGTGTTGCTCTGGCATCACTTGGTGCTCACATCCTTAGACAGGAGAGAAGACTGAGACTAGCTGAAAAGCAATCATGCATTCTGGATCTACCTGTTTATGTTTCTCACCACCATATCCTTCACTCGTCGTCCTTCCGTTATCGTGCCAATCTCTGCGTTGGCACATTGAAGCTTCAAGTCCAAGTCCAACCTCAACCTCAACCTCAGCCTCAAGCCCAACCCCAACATCAAGCGCTCGCACGCCGCCCGACCTTCTTCCTCACACCCCACAAGCTCAACAGCGCCTTCGCCGCCTCCTTATCGCCAAACTCGCCGTTCCCATGATACCGGGGTCCCGCCCCAGCGTCAATCTCCATCGCATCCCCATCCCCCTCGCCCTCCGTCTCAGCCTCATAGCCATCATCGACCCCCCGTCCCTCATTCCCACGAACCCCCCACCCTCCCATGCGACCTCTCTTCGGACTTCCCGCGGGGCTAGAGTACGCACTGACGCCAGGCCGCGCACCACTCCACCCTTGCTCCTCCTCAAACGCCGCGAAGGTGCGCTTCGCCTTGAAAGCCTTCATGACGCTCTTGGGGCTGTGTAGCTCCTCATCGAGTCGCGGTGCCGAGCGGGGGGCGTTGGCGGCGGTCCACACGTTGTGGAACACGGGCGTCGATGGCGAGAGCGTGTTGGCCGGTGACAGCGCGTACGTGTCGTCGGGCTCGCTGATGTCGCGCTCGCTCTCGCTGGCCATGTCGCTGGTGCTGCTGCTCGAGGGGGCGTCTGGGCCGTCGTCGTCCGTGCCGCTGCCAACGCCAACGCCGCCGGCATTGACGGGCTTGAAGCGCAGCACGGTTGGGACCCGGTGGGCAAGAGTCGGCGTCGGAGTGCGGGGACTGGCGGAGCGGCTACCGGGTGCGGACGTCGGACGGGCGGTTGGAAACTGCAGCTCGAGTTCTTTGAAGCGGGCGGCTTCGGCGCGACACTGCTCGGTGATGGCTTGGTCGATGAGCATGCAGCCGAAGCGCGGGTCCATGGGCTCGACGCAGAGGTCGATGAAGTCGATGCCGAAAACGGGGGTCAGTGCGTAGCGGATCGAGTAGCAGAAGGTGGCGGCAATGGCTTTGGCGGCGGCGTAGGGGATCCAGTAACCTGTAAGGAGAGCGCAAAGATTGAGTTGTCTGATGCTGGAGGCAGGGGAAGAGAAGTGCTAGGAAGGCTGGAGGGAAAAGGTCTTACCTTGAGCAACAAGCGCTCCACCAGTGATGGAATGGCAGATATCACGAAGCCCAACATTCTTGTTGAGCATCTTCGCCGGCGTAGTCTGTCACCACACACGAACACACACGTGTTAGCCCAGCACGCCCCGACATACACACCACAAGCACCCATCCAAAAAAGACTCACCTTCCCATAGCCACAACACTTGAACAACGGCGTCGTCCTCACCAGCCCAATATTATAATCCCACAGCATCGTATACACCTTCCCGGCCTCATCCCCGGGCACCCGGAACTGATACTGAAACACCTCGAAGAAATCCCGCGCCGTCTTGTCCAGATAGACACGCTTCTCGCTGTTGTAGGGGATGTGGCGCGGGTAGTCGCCCATGTTACCTCCAGAGGGGTAGACGTCGAAGTGGTCGTGGAAGTCTTTGAGGAGCTTGTCGGTGTTCGGGACGAGGATGTCGGCGGCGTACTCGTGGGGAGGGAAGCGGAGAGTGCCGCGTGGGGGCCCACGGGTGAAGATGGGCGCGTCTTTGCAGATTTTGGGTTTCGCGGCGTGGGTGAGGGAGGAGGGAGGAGGGGTGGTGTTGTAGGTGCGGGTGCTGAGTGGGGCCGGGCTGAGGAGGCGGGGGATGGGTGGAGTGTGTTGTTGAGGAGGCGGCGTGGTGGAGGGCGAGGAGCCGGGGTGGTTGAGGAGGGCTTTGATGGTGGACATCGTTCTGGGGCGATGCTTGGGGTTGGAGTTGTGAATGAGAGGAATTGAGAGCGTGGTAGAGTTGCTGCCGGTAAAGTACCCGTGGCTGGGAGCCGGTCTTTGATGGGGTGCAAACACGGTGCTCAAAGGAATTGGGCAAATAGCAAATATCAAGGTGCCGTTGTAGTCAAGGGGGAGAATAACGACAGCGTGTTCGGACAAAGGAGGTACCAAAGGTTCGTGCAAACGATGCGTGCTTGAAGCTGTGAGAAGGTTGGTAGAGGAGAGCCCGGCATGGGCAAAGACGTTGAGCTTTTGAACCTTTGAGTAGCAGAGGCTGATCGAGCCATGTGGTCAACTGTCTAGGCCGCTGAAGAGCAGTAAGTTGACATCACGATGCCTGTTCGGAGCTCGAGCGGTGTAGTTCGACCAGACCAGAAGCATCGGTGAGGAAGTGCGCATGTTTCAAAAGAGGCAGTAGTCATGTCGAATCTGGACAAGGCTTTGAGTCGATCGAGGAGACTGCTTGGTAACCACATCCTTCACAGGGAGTGTCTTTCGTATATCACAGATCAACGAATTGACGACTGCCTGGTTTCATTGCGTTACAACAGACGTGCGATGTTTGCCTTCATGAGTTCTGCGAGCTTAAGCTGTCTCTTGAGCCCTCAGACTCGACAAGACGACTCAGGCGACCATCTGTACAGCAACTTTGCAATGCAACCAACCCTGGGGCTCGTGCCGTGAATAGGTAGCAGAAATCCCCGGTGGGGAAGCACAGTACCCAACAGCCCCGCCGAGAAGAGTGGCATGTAGTACAAGTCGGGCCAATGATAGCTAAGCTTCATCTGCAAGGCTGCCAGCAGACAAAGAAATGTGGACTCCGTCCTCGTAACAGAATATGCAGAGAGCCCGTCAGCTGGAGGCTCTGTGGGGATGAGGCGTACAATTGAGAATCTGACCAGATATATCGGCAAGTGGATGGGCCATGTGTTTGAAAGGAGGAACCGATTCTCCCCGATTTTGGAGCTATTCAGCAGCAGCGTGCCTGTTGAGCAGTCCTCGAGGCTTCGATATGGCTGTTTCGCGCTCGATGAGGCAGCAATGCTTGTCATCTTTGGCAGCTTTAAGACGGGAAGAGCAGGAAGGGATAGAGAGGAGTCTGCATCACCCCAAGACCTCTTCCAGGAGTCGGTGAAGCCGAGACTAGACAAGACGTGGTCGTACCTGGCCGAGGCATCGGGGCCGCGTGGTTGCTGTAAAGAGCCGACCGTCCGAATAGTTCTGCTAGAAGTCCACAATCACAGAGGATGGGTTCGAAACCGCATTGCAGTGACTGGCTGGAGCGGAAACCAACACCCGCCCACGGCTGAATGCAGGGATCACCTCCGACGTGGCATCACAGAACCAAGAGATGTGACGCCTGAGGTCGGTCAATCGGTGTAGCTTCGCGAACGGCTGAGATATGCTGACTTAGAGATCCCAAACACGCAGTCGCAGGGGCAGCAAAGAGAGAGTGACTCGCAGGGCGAGGCCTGGTGGAAAGAGTTTGATTCTGTACATTGAGACCTGCGTCATTAAAGCTGTGCCTGTACCCAAGCTATATCGAGCCATGACTTGCGCCGAGAGCAATGCATAACCCCGCGACACCTCGCCATGCAGATCGCTTATTCGGTGCCCAAGATATACGCGAGAAGAACGGGTGGAGCGCCAACATGAATCGCATGCAGACCACAGCACCTGTCAAACCTCTATCCCAATAACTGCTTCATGAATTTATGAGCAAGTTCGACGCCCAAGAACGTGGCGGCGTTGGCAGGCACTGCTCTCGCGAGAGCTGGCCCAAACCCTGGGAAGAAAGCTTTGATGCCACCACTCCTGTAGACACCACTGATGACGCCGGATATGGTGGGATTGCCTTCCATGCTCTGCAGCCTGCTCTTGACCGTGTCGACGGGGAAGACTGGGATCCACATGGCAATACCAGCTGCACCACCGGCGGTCATGACGGCCGTAAGAGACAACTCGCCTGTGGCATTGCCATTTGCGTCTTTGGGTGACAGTGATCGCTTGATGTATTCGTAGGTCGCGAAATAAGCTGCTGAGCCAGGACCATCACGCGCAAGAGTCATAGCGCTACCACGGAACACGGACCGGATGCCGCCTTCTCGGTACAGTTGCCGTACCACGTCGACGCCGCCGGCATATTTGGGCTTCTCCTGCGACACGTTAGCTTTTGGGTTTCGTTACGGGTCCGGATTGCTTACGCCAGGTTTGAGCTCCTTCTGACCTTGAATTTGAAGCAGCACTTTGACACGCTCAAACGGCGCAGTGATGGCAGTCATGGGTATGGCAGAGAAGAAGCCGGCAGCCGAGACTTGGCCAATGCTGTATTGCGGCGTGTTGTTCTTGTATTCCACGTCGCTCGTAGCCTCGACGAGCTTCTTGCCCACGCCGTAGCCCCAGAAGCTCACGGCAAACATGGGTGTCACGCCCACGAGAGGCGCAGAAACACCCGCATAGAGACCCCTCCGTAGACCTTCGCGCGCTATGCCCTTCTTCACACAGTCAATCGCGCCCGTGTAGGTGCCCTTTTCTGCGGTCTGCAGCCGCACCTTGCACAGGTCGAACGGGTGGCCGACAATGACGGCGAAGACACCACCGACGCCGCCGGCCGCGAAATCTCGGGCAGACGAGGTCGCCGACTTGACCGTCTCTTTGACCTCTTCTTTCACCGTCTCGACCGAAGGCAGCTCTGCCGTCGAGGTTGGTATTGAGGGAGCCATGCTGGAGGACTGTGGGAGGAAAGAAGAGAGGTGGGCGGTTGACTGGGGAGGAGAGAAAAGCAAGTGAAGCTGTCGGCGAGCTCAGACTTCACACGATAACGTATGCCAATGTTTCTTGCGTTCTGGGGCTCCGCGGTCTCGTTTGCGGGTGAATGGAGAGCTGCAGGGACTGGTCGCGATCGGTCTTTGCCCAGCTTCTCGCTTGTCCTTGAAGAGGGGCAGGGGAAGACGTTCTACTCTTATGCTCAATATAGGAGAGGCGGTATATCCACGACACGAAGATCAATTAAGCGATTGTTCGGCAGAGCGCGTTGGAGGCGCACATGGCAAAGTTACGACGCATCCCAAAAGAATAGCTCTCTCTACAGTGTGCGGGTTGGAGTGCTGCGAATCCTGGTCGCCCCGAAGAACCGAGGCTCGCAGCCCGGAGTTTTCTCGGCACGACTTTTCCTCTACCTATTGCTTCTCGTCCGCATCCGCAATTCCGAACAGCTTGTTGAGATGGCGACGCTGTGTCTTGTTGAACGCCGGCCGTGTGCCCGTCATCCGCTGCCATTCCGTTATGTCATTGTTCCTCTCCGGCTGATGATGTGCTCTTTCTGATCGCGCCATGACTTGTGTCTCCTCCGATGGCGGTAGCAGAGTAATAGGCACCGAGCCCTCCATGGTGTGATGCTCATCAACCGTCTGCATGTGTATCTTGAAGTCCAGTGAGTAACTCAGCGCGATGTTGTAGGACATGAAGCTGGGCGATGGATACGCAGGTCTGACCTTGTGTGGCTTGAGACGGGATAGATGCCCAATGTCCAGCGCCTTGGACTCGTCAACCACTTCACACGCGGCTGATGCGCGAAGAGTCGACCACGGAGGCTGTCCTTCGTTTGGATCAGTTCCAGTCGCGCTTCGATAGTCAGGGGGTTGTTGGATAGAGGTCAGTATGGGAACGAGCATCTCCTGCTGCTCTTGTGGCAGAATGAAGTCGTGCTCGATCATCGTTTCATCGGCGGTCGCAGTAAACATCGAGGGCGCCCTGTACCTAGCTCGTCCGACCAGCTTGAGCTTCAGCGACTTGAAAAAGGTCGGTGGCATACCATGTGGATCTCCTTCGCCAAAGTTGCTCATCTCTTTCCCAAATCGAGGGGTGATGTAGATTTTGAACGAGAACGGATCTGGATGGTGCAGCTGCAGTACTGTTGGGACAATGACTGTGGACTTGAACGCATACTGGGGCGTTCGACTGGACATCTTAGCCTTGAGCCTGTCTCGGAAGCCCATGTCCTTGGAAGCATTTTCTGGCAGACATTTCGGGCTCTTGATGAAGTTATGCCGTGACCTTGCAACCGTGGAAGTGAAATTATGGATGGGAACCAGAGTACTCGGGGGCTGGATGTTCAGTGGTAGCATGCATTCAGTCTTGGAATCCTCCCCAGCAAAACGTAGTTCTGCCCTCAGCACGTATTCCACAAATTCGTCGTCGCTGTAATGGTCCTGACACGAGAATGTACCCGGCAAGGTGTCGCCACTGATGTCTCCTTCGTTGCTCAAGAAGCCTCGTTCGGGCTCAAGCTTGTCTGAACGATCTGGACGACCAGGATCTCGCGGAATGGGATGAGTTGGTATAGTTATCCGGAACGGCCATGCTTGATCCAGGTCCGTGGAAGCCTCTCCAGTTCTGGTTGTGCTGTGTAGTCGATAGACTGATTCGAAGAATACGACAGCGGCGCGATACGTCGTTCCTCCAGATGTCTACCATTAAAATCAGTGGTGCCACGATAGGTTGCCATTTGGACGACTGGCAATCTCGCAGCCTCCGATCATTTTTGGGATAGCAATAGGTTCGAGAACTTACAAACTTGGTTTTGGTCCTACCGAAGAATATGAGGTTGACAGAACGAGACTTGTAGTCTGAATGGTTTCGCCGAACTACATGTCCTTGGAGAGTCTCGCCAGGGGTATAACGGGCTTGGAAATCCTGCACTTCGATGGCCAGGTCATCGCTCGCTGTCCAGGACGCGCGTGGCATCTTCACAGCTGCTGAGGAACAAGAGAAGAAAGAGAAGCACCTGCAAACATCCTACCTTGGCCGTTGTGCATCACAATGTCTGATACCTTGCAGCCATTTGTACGATTGGGAGATGGTCCTGTACGCCTTACCTTGGGTTTGATCCTGAAACGAGACTATGGCGGCAGAACCTGGGCCAAGGTCAACCTGCCGAGCATCTATCCTTTCTGGCATGATTGTAATCAGGATTGAGAAGATAGCAGAAGTGCTTATAAGCAAGCACGCAGCCAACAAGTCGGACAATATCGCCAGCGAAGGGACGGCATGGTAAATTGATAACGAGCACCTTTGTCTCACCTACTGTATGGGGGGGCTCGGATGTTGCAATGGCTGGAGCCTGAAGTGACAAAGGAGCCGAAGGCCAACTCGTGCTCGCTGCTGCGCCACCCGCCGCATCAGACACCAACCTCACCCCATCTGCTCCCTACACCTCTCCTTCATTCCCATACCCTCTTTTCCTTCTCTTGTGTATCTGTCTGTCTCGAATTGCCCAAGATGACCGTCCACAACCTCCTCCGTCGTGGCATGGACATAGTCGCACTGGCCGACAAGTCTCAGCACGACGACGACAATGACAAGCCCATGAACCCACTCGCCCTGATGGTGATCACCCTCACCTTTCTGGCCTTCCTCTTCCTCATGTTTACCATTTCCTACACCTACGGCCACGTCATCCCAACACTCTGCATGATTGAGACCCCCTCAGCACAGGCCTACGTCCCCGTCAATGCCGCGGCAGCGCCCGATGCCCCTCCTGCGTACGATGCCGTCCCGAAGCCCGACGATGAAGAAGCAGACGTTCTCCTCGTACAAAACAAGCCTATCACCACGTCTATCAGGGCAACAATCCTGCACCTGCGAGCGAAAGCCGGCTACTGGTCCCGCTTCCGCGGCCTGTCTGTCTTCCTCGTCTGGAACTTCATCAGGAGCTTGATCACCAATATCATTGGGGCGCCTTTTATGCACCCTATTGGCTTCGCGGTTGCTGCCATCATTGCTGAGACGCTTCTCGCTCGCCTGCATTTGACATGGGTTCAGTAAGTTGATCTACCAGTTGGTCTTTAGTACTGTACTAATATGTCGTAGCATTGTCATCTCCGAACCTTCAACGAAGCCTTGGTACCGCCGTGTTCCTCCCTGGAATACCTGGAAGAAGATTGCCCCAGCCGTTGCCCTCCTCTCGGTCTGCACCCAGATCACCGTCACCATGCCGCTACTTGTCACCGGCAGCTTTGGCGCCTGGAAGCATATGCAAGATCCAGAGTACGAGCCAGGTACTGGCGACCTGTATGCCTCTGGCGGCCAGGCATTCTTCGCCTTCCTCGTCTTCATCGCCCTTTTCGTTGGCATTCAGATCCCCGCTCTCGTCACAATGGTCCGCGTCGCAGCCAGCATGCTCCCCGAGGAAGACGAGACCATCGTCGAATTCGATCGCAGTTTCCAGGGCCGCACCACACCGGAGATCATTGGAGGCCAAGGCAAGATCGGCATCGTCGAGGCGTGGAAGAGCTACCCCCGCACCAGCCGCATCAGACTTCTCAAGTTAATGGCCAAGGTGGCGGCCATCTCAGCTGCGGCCTGGATGTTCTTCGTTATGGTCCTCGTAGCAGAAACTCATCTCTTGCTGGGCGAGAACGTCGGCGCCTTTATGAGGGCTGTGCACGGCCGGAACTGAGCAGAATGCTCATCGAGCGGAGTCACCGGCCGCTTGTGCAACATAAGATCGCGGCAGGTGGCTTCGCTTTGGCTGCCTCTCCCGATGCCATCAAGTCGCGATAGTAACTTGGGTTTTGTATAAGAGTAGCAAAGAAACCAGAGAATGTGAAGCGTTGAGATATGTATGGCATTGCACAGGCGTTGGGATTCAGAAGGTGTGTACGTGTTGCAGAATAGCATATTTTGAGAGCCCATACCCTGTCGCTCTCAGCGATATCAACATGAACTTATTTCAACATGAATCTAGAACGCGTCTTCTTGTCGTCTATCCCACCATTTACAAGTGACATTGCTCATTCTATGGCCCCAAGATTTTCGATACATAGTATCGCCAAGCGTCTCGGTCAGTGAAATGAGAAATGAATATATTTGCTAGAGCGAGCTGGTTTCACCCTCCTCACGAACCATTCCGTACACATAACTAATTCAGCATCAATATATCCAATCAATATCTTGATCGTTGATCAGTACAGCTGCGCTCTACCTAGGACACCACAAGAGACATCTATCCCCATCCCAAACGCTACCGCGGTCCGCGCTCATCACATACAGAACAAAACCCCACGTTGTCTTATATCCCTCCCTCCCCCACTAGGTGACTCCAGCTACATACAGTATGTTCGCGGGTGACTTGGTGCTGCCTGCCTGCTTGACGAAGCTGACTCCTGGTTTCTCGAGAAGTCGTGGAGTCTTTGCCCGAAGGCGAGAGCCATCCATGTGGCAAGTGTTGGCGACAGCTGAAGTCAGTCAGAGTCAGTAGAACCGGTCGGAACCCGACGACACTCGCTTCAGTACACGCACAGACATACACACAGACTCGTGCTTTGCCGGCTTTTCGTGGGCTGGCGTTGATACTGGTTTGGCTGGGAGGGAGCATAAGCAGTGCGCGCAGTCGCGCTCTCGTGCAGCATGTATGTATGCCTCTTTGTGCGAGCTCGCTTTCCCAGTGGCGTCACACACACACACCAATCACTGCAGCGTATAGATCTTCTCTTCCCCGAGTCCTAATAACTCCTCGGCATCCCCAACACCTGCGTCGAGATATAATTCTTGATCATCTCCCGACTGACGGGCGCGATCCTCGGCACGAAGATCTCCCGGAGGTACCTCTCCACATTATACTCCCTGGCATAGCCCATGCCGCCGTGGCTCATGACGGCGCGCTCGCACGCCGTGTACGCCGCCTCAGCCGCCAGATACTTTGCGCTGTTGGCCGCGACGCCGACGGCGTGCGTGGTGATGCTCCTGTCGTCCTTGCTGCGGTCGTACAGACTGGTGGCGTGGTAGGTGGCGAGTTTCGCGGCCTCGAGCTGCATGTAGCTGTCGGCGAGCGGGTGGGCGATGGCCTGGTTCTGGCCGATGGGCCGCCCAAAAACGACGCGCTCCTTGGCGTACGTGGCGGCTTTTGTCAAGGCCGCGTAGCCGATGCCCAGGGCTTCGCCGGCCAGCAGGCAGCGCTCGGCGTTCATGCCGTGCAGGATGATCTTGAAGCCCTGGCCCTCGGCGCCGACGAGCGTGTCGGCGGGGATCTGGTAGTTGTCGAAGAAGACTTCGTTGGCGTCGACGGCGTTGCCACCCATCTTGCGGATTTTTTTCATTTCCAGCCCGGGCGCGGATTTGTCGAGGTCGATGCAGAACATGCTCAGCCCCTCGTTGGGTTTCTTGACTTGTTCGAGCGGCGTGGTGCGCGCGAGGAGGATCATCTTCTTGGCGACTTGCGCGCAGGTGATCCAGATCTTTTGGCCTGACACGCTGTAGCTTTGCCCGTCGGCGGATTTGGTGGCTGAGGTCTTGAGGCGGAGCGTGTCGAGGCCCGTGTTGGGCTCCGTGACGCCGAAGCACACGCGCGTCTTGCCGCTGATGATGTCCGGGATGGTCGATTCGAGCTGCTGCTGGTTGCCGAATTTCGCGAGCGGTTGGGTGGCGTAGACGTTGGCGTGGATGGACTGTGCGCCTGCCATGCCCGCGCCCGACTGCGTGATGGTCTGTAGCATCATGGTGGCTTCGCTGATGCCGAGGCCGGAGCCGCCAAATTCTTCGGGGAGGGCGATGCCCAGCCAGCCGTCGGCGGCGAGAGCGGCGTGGAAATCGGTCGGGTCCGTTTCGGTGCGGTCGCGCTCTTGCCAGTACTCGTCGGGGAATTGCTCGGTTACTTTAAGGATGGCGTCTCGTACGGTGAGCTGGTTCTCGGTGAAGTTGGACATCTCCATGAGGCGGTGGTGGGAGGAGCGCGAGAAGGTTCGGGCATTGTGTCTGTTGTGAGCGGTGATGGTGTTATGTTGGGTAATGGGGGAGAGTGCTGTAGGTCGGGAGAGGCGCGTCAGTGCACGCGCTACCGGCAGTCTTGCTGCCATGGTGGTTGTATGAGCTTGAGAAAGCCACGGGCTACCAGTACGGTGGGACACGCAGCTGAGGTTGATTGGATGCTATTGAGCCGTACAAAGAGCCTCGAGAGACTAAATCCAGCAGATATATAAATGAGCAGTCGGTGTCGCAGGATGACTTGAAGCCCATCATCGGCATGACACTAGGATATATTTGAGGCGGCAGTTTGGGGAAGCTGTTGGAGAAGAGCGAGCTCGGAGACTGCTCAAACCTGGGGACCTCCGAGGCTCTTCTTGAAAGCGGTTTAGCTCTCAGATCTCGAAAAGAACCCAGGCGGGTCCCGAGATCGCAGCATGGAACGAGATGAGCTCGAGTTGTTTTTGACACGTCGAGATGCAAATGGACGAAATCAAGTCGGAACTTCTGTTGTGCCAAGGCCGATCAAGGACTCGATTCTCCTGCTCAGTCATTCGCCCTTCTACTCACTTCTCATAATTGCATCCGTCTCGTGACATCAGTCTGATCGGTGACTGTTGCAGATCCATGCTGTGTGCTCTGCGAAAGGCTATCATATTCGGCCGCTCGTACAGGTAAGCGAGCTGAAGTCGGCCTCCAAAACGGCTGCTGGTCGTTCACGTCTCACATTCATGCCTACTGAATCCGCAACCCTGACCATGGCGTTGGTCTGACTCGTCTGCCTTGTTGTCCAAGCACGGTCGATCATCTGCTCTATGTTGCTGATGGTCAAGATGGTCATAAGGTCCCTCAGAAGCTCGTATTTCTCGATCACTTCCAGCTCGGTATCTGCACGCAGGCCATCTTCAACGCTGTCCATGCCTTGCTTCTCGCATTCTGCCGCGTTCCCTGAAGGTCTGTTGTTCGCGCATACAATGTGTCTGTTTTCGATGGTACGCCTTGGAGCTACTATAAATGAGGATAAATCGGAAACCAATGTTGAACACACAACACCTAAGGTCTGGTCTATGGAGGCCTATGTCTAAACAGCAGCTAGGTCACACAGCTCGCAGCCGACGGTCACGAATGGCAATTGCGAGTCCGCACTGGCTGGGGATCCCGTCGCTGGTTCGTTCGGAGAGGCTGACAAGTTGTACAGGCCTTATTGGCTGCCTGATCTTGCCCCTCCTCATGCTTATTTATATTCACTGACGGATTCAAAGATGGGCGGCCAAGGCTCAACACTTACTAAACTAAGGGTTCTGCCTACTCCACGGCCAATGGAATGCCTTGCATTCTCTGCCCAGTTGTGGTCGAAGCAGCAAGGGCCACACGACTGCTATGTGAGAGATCAAGATGATGCGCATCGGACCTCGCTTTGACATAGGCTTCGCCAGGCTTGCCAGGATGTGCTGCGGCTGGGGGAGTCCCCTGGGTGTGTAGCACAACATGTACTCAGCTCACTCCCGGTCGTGAAAAGAATACGGCCGTCAGGCTGACTCGCTCGCCTTGTCGTGCTATAAGAGTATGGTGGGACGTGAAATACAAAAAAAGCCCATCCTGTTAAGCCACCTATCTCTTCAAGACAGCGAGCAGAGAAGCATCAAATTTCCAACTCATCATGGGCTCCCAAGGCCCCCTCGGTGGGCCACAAAAGCCCGCCGTTCCACAGACCACCATCGCCAGATTCACGCCGGAGGAAATGAGGAACATTCAAGGCGACATCTTGTCAGTGACGTGGCAGATCTGTCCATGACCGAAGAACTGCTGACCAGAAATAAGACTTGGCTTGCCCAAGCAGAGCCAGCGATTCTGGTTCTTCAAGATCGTCAAGAATCACGACTTCCGCCAGCGCCTTGGCGATGTCATCCCACTCATCACCACGTGCGTCAAGACCCAGAACGACCGTGAGGCTATCAGGCGCCGTCCTCGCCGTGAGGATTGCTTGCATATGGGCAGCATTAATGTTGCCTTCAGTTGGGAGGGCTTGAAGAAGGTTCGTGATGGGTACGCTGTACGTTGGTTTAGGTTTTGACGTCGACTAGATTGATCCGGCGAAGTTCAAGGATAGCACCACGGGAACGGCTATCCTGGACAAGCACTTTGAGGAAGGCATGGAAGCTCATCGCCTGCAACTCAGAGACGACCCGATCAATTGGAATCCCAAGAACTGGACAAGTTGGGATGGGAAAAAGGACGGCGAGGGAAAGGCAGATACCAAGGGCTTCGAGGGTAAGAATATTCACGGTGTCGTGCTTGTCGTTGGAGAAGATGATCGCAAGGTGCAAGACCAGTTCGACAAGGTCGCAAGCATCTTGGGAGACTCGGCCGAAGAAGTCATTGCCCTGAACGGCAAGGTTCGTCCAGACAAGGAGGCTGGCCACGAGCAGTACGTTCGAGATCTTATCATAGGTGTCTGAGGCTAATCTGTGTTTACCAGCTTTGGCTTTAAGGATGGAATCTCGCAACCCTTCGTCCTCGGCACTGAGGGCTGGGGCAAGGACAGTCACGAGCTACCAGGGCAAGGCCACGTCAAACCTGGCGTGATTCTGTTTGGGCGTGAAGGCGATAACGAAGAGGTGGACGTTGACAAAGGCGAAGATGCTTCTGGCAAGCCTCAGGTACAGCGACCACCGTGGGCAATGGATGGGAGCTTGATGGCGTTTCGCTACCTCCACCAGAAGGTCCCCGAGTTCGACCGCTTTCTGGAAGTCAAAGCCACCTCTCAAGTCAGCAGTGAGCTTCTTGGTGCGCGGTTTGTTGGACGGTGGAAGAGTGGTAAGTGAGACTTGCGCGTTGCATCGAGCCATGAATAAATTGGACACAGGTGCACCAATCGATATTGCTGATCGACAGGATGACCCCGTATTGGCGGACGATGAAAACAAGAACAACGATTTCGTCTTCAAGGACAACGACAATGATCCGGCAAACCCCCACTCTCGTTGCCCCTTCGCAGCTCACATTAGAAAGACGAATCCTCGCGGTGACCTACCTCCTGGAAACATGTCTGTGGAGCGCATCATTCGTCGCGGTATCCCGTACGGTGAGGAGGTTGAGGATAGCGAAAGGCAAACCCAAAAGACCAGTCGCGACCGTGGATTGCTGTTCGCCTGCTACCAGTCCCACATTTCACGTGGGTTCGACCTGATGCAGAGAGGTAAGTCGTCGGCAATGATTACCTAGTTGGGCTGACCATGGCATACAGTCTGGGCAAATAACCCCAATTTCATTGTTAACAAGACGCCTCGTGCTGGGGTGGATCCAATAATTGGCCAGACGCACAAGTCTGACACAGCACCAGCAGATGCTAGAAATGCCACTGGCATGATCTCCATCAATGCCGACGCTCCCAGTAACCAACCACCCAACTTCTTTGATATGGGTGACGCAACTGATGAATGGGTGGTTAGCCGAGGCGGCGAGTACTTTTTTAGCCCTAGCATCATGAGTTTGGAGAAGTACATCGCGATCTGACGTGGTTTACGAGATAATGTTAGGAATATGCAGTGGCGATAATTCGAATGAGCTTGGTAACCAAAGCGCAGTAAGATAGAGGAGTTGTGAGATGAAGTTGAGGTGGGATGAAGTTGATGTTGGCTGCGTGCCGCGCCAAGACTGTTAGACGCTAGTCCGAATTGGGAGACAAAACAAATGCCCCCAGCTGCTTCGGCATCGTCGCATCTTCACCCACTCGCCCACTAATCTGACACTTCGACATCTCTTTGTTTTCGCGACTGGCGTGCTTATCATCGACAACAGCGGCATATATACAATGTTTAGACCTTAGCGATACCTGCACAGCACCAATCGTCTATTGACACGCGTCGAGGAAAGCTGCAATGGCCAAAGCAGTGGGTAGCGCGGCATGGGTCGCCGCAGAGAAAGAGAATGTCCTCGATCTGCTGCGAGAAGAAAAGGAGGAGCTCATATTCCCTGCTCAACACGAGTTGGAATGGTTGAATGAGCACATGAACGATATCTTCACCACAAGTCATGTCAATATCACCGATGTTTTCAAAACACCCGGTAAGATGCATGGCAAGACGCCCAAAACCAACAGAAAGCGCAACGCCGCCGAAACGCGCGTGGTCAGTCTTCTCATCTTCCGTGGCCGGATTGTTTACTAATGAAATGCTAGCCGTTGAGTGATGTATTCTCTGCACAACCCGCCCAGCGGCAGCAAAGTCCCGTCAAGACACGCTTCGCGAAGCCTCCACCAAGATTCGAGATCCCAGCCGACGTGACCCAGACCCAAACTCAGAAGACTATCATACCATCCCAAGCAGACTCCGGCTATCATACCTCGAGTCAGTCTCAAGCCGATCCCGACGAGACCGCTCCGTTGAATACTATTCATGAACCAGCCCGATTCGAGCGCCAATCGACAGATGCTATGGTCAGGCCCGAACGCGAACGTAGCCCCGGACGAAGAACGACTGAGGGATCATTTCACTCTGCCAAAGAGGATCAGACTACGAAAATTCTAGCAAAACAAGCAGAAGGCCCACAGCCCGAGCCCGCCATCGTATCTGCTCCAGAGTTAGAACCTCAGCAACAAGAACCTGAACAAGCTGCTTTTGAGCCTGAGTCCGCACCTCCTGCGGACGTCGATATGGACGACATTGGCTCGCCATCGGACGAGTCAACTCCAGATCGGCCGCTGGTGCGCAAGGGAAGCTTGAATTTTGCGTCTCTGCCTGCACGTGAACCTATGAAGACCAGTATTGGAGCTCGTATTTCACACCAGAAGAAATCATTTGGCCCAGCGCGAAACAGCCAGTCGCTACATCATGCTTCTCACTCCTCCCCGAAGCAAGACTTCGACCACTCCGATGATGACGATGTCGTGATGGAAGATTCTCATATCCAGATCCTGGGTCGAGACGAGTCAGAGGACGAGCAGCAACCTATCAGATCTACCAATGAGACCGCTGCGCAGAGGCTGCAGAAGAAGATCGAAATGCTTGGAAAAGCTCCTCCGCCTAGAGCTTCCAAATCTATTCCTTCTGTTTTGCAAATGGTCAACCGAAAGTCTGAGGCCCCCAAACCAGGCGAGAAGGAAGCACAGACGGATGCCGATGATGACGACTGGATCAAGCCGCTGGAGTCAGCATCGAGAGCGAATGAAGATGAGCATACCGATGAGGATATGGACTCCGACCGAGCAGACGAATTTGACGTTCGCGCTCCTGAGTTGATCGCACACGAGCAGAGAATGGCTGCTTTCTCGCCTTCCCCTCCAAGACAGCGTCCAGGCTTTGGCCATGCTAAGTCCGCCTCTACAGCGACCCTGGTCTCTCCAGCCAAACTCAACATGGCGCCAACTCGCAGTCCTGCCAAATCGATCTCGGTGTCCAACCCACAACAGCAGCAGCAGCCAACGACAACTCCCCAGGGCTCCCCGCGTCGTTATCTTGATCTCAGCGCGTCAAAATCTCGTCTACAGTCCATCATGAAATCAGCTAAGGGCTTGTTTACTAGCAGTGCTAGTGTCTCAGCCGCGGCGAAAATGGAGACGTTATCGCCCACCGCTAGGCAAGCTAATGCCATGCCTGGCATGTTTCCCCGTGGCGGCAGTGTGCTGGAAGACAAGCCACTACCCAAGAGCCCTCTCAAGGAAGGCAGACGGACGAGGAGCTCGACTGAGCGTGAAAAGGAGGAGAAACGCAAAGACAACGACGTCAAAGCGATGGAGAAAATGGATGAGCAGCTACAAAAAGCACGCGAGAAGGAGGCACAAAAGGCTGCAATGCAGAAACAACAACACAGCGAGAAGGAAGCAGAAGATGCACAACCACAGTCTAGGATTCAGCGTCCTCCCAAGGCCATCCGAGAACCGGTCCAGAAAACCAAGCCAGCTCCCGTCGCCATAAAAGTCGGAACTATGTCGCAGCGAGTGCCAATCGGCTCTTCGATAGCCAATGCTTCACAAGAAACGCTTACTGCGGAACCGAAACGTCCCGGCCTCACCAAAAAGGCCAGTACCTCTTCTATTTCTTCGAACACGCATTTCAAGACCTCAGTACAGTCGCAGCCTACCAAGCCCAAAGCTCTTCTTGCTGCCGAGCGCAAGAGAGAGGCTGATGAACGTGAAGCCAAGCGAAAGGCTGAGGCCAAACGAGAACTCGAGCGCAAGAGAGAGGAGGCTCGGCAACAAGAAGCTAAGCTGCGCGCTGAGACCGAGCGGAAGGAGCGTGAGCGTGCAGCTGCTGAGCAGGCGAAGCGTCAAGCTGAACAACAGGCTAAGCAGCAGGCCATTGAGCGGAAGCGTCAAGAGGCAGCTCGAAAGGCTGAGCAACAGAGAATGGAGAGGGCCACTCAAGATGCATCCCGTCCACCGTCTCGAGCTGGCGGTCCTCCTATGTCTCGCTCGCTGATCGGCCATCCCATTCCAACGAACCCCGCGAAGCCAGCCAAACGACCGGTCGACGAAGAGACGGCTCGTCCTCAAGCCAGCAAGTTCGGGCAAGCTTCGCAACAACAAGACGCCAAGCGGCGACGGACTGAGGATGAGCAGGAAACTCAGCGTCCGACCATGTCTGGTGCTCCCATCCGGCAGTCCAATTTTGGCAAGAAGCCTTCGATTTTCAACCATTCGAGCTATGCCCCTGCCCCTCAACCAGGCCAGCTGGGACAGTTTCCTCAGCCACCCAACCGGATGGCGCCTCCACAGATGGGACAATACGCGCATTCAAAGATCCCATTCGGCGAAAGCTCCAACCAGCCCATCCACAACAAGACGCCGGCTTCCGCATCGCACAAGACGCCAGCATCTGCATTCAAGTCGACGATTCAGCCCGTCAAATCGTCACCACAATATACGCCTGGAGAGCAGATCAACCTGCCGGAGATCCCAACCGACTCAGAAGACGAGGACTCGGACGATGAGGGCAACGCATTCCCAATCCCCGACTGGGCCACCCCTGGTCACCTTACGGAACAGCTTATCCGACAGGAGGGTATGGATGGCGATGCTGTGTTCGGACCCATAGCGCCATTGAAGATGGAGGAGATTTTCGCAAAGGGCAACAAGGAGCGATTGAAGCGCTTGCGAGATCGTACATCCAGCGCCAATTGGGCTATGAGTGGTGATGGTTTGACGCTCGAGGAAGTCCGGATCGATCGGGAACAGCGTGAACGGATGCGTGTCCAGGGTGGGTGGGTCTACGGTCAGGGGAAGTAGGAGAAGTAGGAGAGGGTATGACCGCTGCTTTGCATAGCATTGGTGTTAATGAACTTGATGAGATACATGCGTTGCCGGGCAGGCATCGTTGGGAGGTGAGATTGTACAGCACGACGGGTCGGAAGGACATGGATTCCTTGTTTGGCGTTGTACGGAGAGCAAAGGGACTCAGACTCAGGGATCCTACTGTATGGTCCGGAGTTGCGGTCTGCCGCCACTGCAGGGCTGTTTCTAGGTAGTATATCGAGGAACAATGTACCTAACGTGTTCTCCTTTCAGCTACATAAAGATCCTCGCGCATCCGTGGAGCAAAATCAGGATGGTATGTATGTACCTCTTGGTCGGGTCTCAGCTGACTTCAGCCAAGCGAGGCCATGTCTTGTTCATCTAGTCATCTCTCCATTGCATTTCCTCACCTGTGCTGCACAGGCAAACGCAAACCTGATAGAGGGGTGGCATGAACGGGAGAGCACAAGAGCATTCAGCTCAGCTCGCGGCCGGGAGAGAGGGACGCGCTGTTCGACTACGAGAGATCGGGGTTTGTGGTAGATGTAGACATGGAGAGATTATGAAACAAGGAAAACTACCTGGAAGTCTATCAAAATCACTTAACGGCTGCGACATAACAAGCAAATCCAACACGGAATGAAAGCCACCAATGCCACGCGCGCGTATACTCCGTAGTGAAATCCCCTTCTCCTTTTCCCCTGCCTCCTGCCCCCATCGCAATCGCAAAGGCAGAGGCAATCGCGGAAGATCCGAAACGCCATCTCCCGGCCATCCCCAGTCCCCAGTCCCAGACATGCGTGTGTGTACCCAGCATCCAGCATCCATTCGGGAACCCATCAATCCAGGCATATCTCATATCCCATATCTCACCCGCCCAGAACCCTCACCATCTCCCCAAACCTCGACCCCTCAATAACCTCCTCCACACTAACCTCCCTCTCCCCAATGCCCTCCACCGCCAGCTTCGCAGCCAGCACTGCCGCCGCGACAAGGTCGCCTCCGAGGGCGAAGAAGTCGCTTTCGTCGTCTGACACTGTTGCACATGTGTCCTCCTTGTGCAGCTGTAGAACTTCGTGCCACGCGCTCGCGAGGGCCTGTCTCGTGGTGTTGGCTGCTGGCTGCTGCTGCTGCTCCTGCTGCAGCTTCTGCATCGCTTCCCAGCCGCGGATGCGGGAAGCGACGCTGCCGTTGCTGTTGGCACCAGCGGCGGCGGAGTGAGTAATCGGCTGCGCTGCGCCATTGATGCTGGTCTGTGGCGGCGCCGGCAACGGCAAGAGTCGCTCACCACCATCGCTCTTGCGGCTCCGCTCCAATACATCCCCAACCCGGGCTTCCACATCCCCTCCTACAACACCAATCAATTCACACAGCCTATCCATCAGTTTCGCCCGCGCTTCCTCACCCACAGCCGTATCGCTGCAGATCATCAATACCTCCGTCGTCCCATCCTTCAACGGCGTCGTCTTAACCGCCAGATCCGCCTCGTCGGCCTCAGGGCACCAGAAGCCCACCTCATACGGCCTGCCGCCCACGGCCACCGTGCTGTCTTCCTCGATATTCTGATGCTGCACCACGCTGCTAAAGCGCGTCTGTTTCGGCCAGGGGCTGGCTTCGCGCACGATAGTGCGGCTGCCGACGCTCTCGTAGGGGAGGCTTGCAGCGTGCTGGTCTTGGACTGCCTGCAGGAGCTGCAGGATGGTAGATTCTGCAGTGCGGAGCGCTGCCACGCGCACAGGCACAATGTTGATGCAGCCACCGATTACGTTGTCCAGGCCCGGACCAAAGGCCGCGTCGAGATTGCGGCCTGAGACGACGTGCCCGAATGTGACATCCGGAGTGTGCGATAGGGACGCGAGCACGAGCGCCCACGCGGCCTTGAGGATTGTGGCGAAGGTGATGCCGTGCTGGGCGGAGAGGGTGGATGTAGGGACTACGCGGCGCACGAAGGTGTTGTATACGTTGCAGAAGGATGGTTTGTTGGGGTGGGTAACGATGGGGGTCATGTGTGAGTTGGCGAGCAGGCTGCGCCAGTACTGCAGGGCTTCATTGTGGTTTTGAGATGCGAGCGCAGACATATAGGCCGCCATGGGCCTGGTATTCGGGGTGATGCTGCCGTCGTTGGCAAGGGCGCTGGCGAGTGATGCCCAGATCTTGGGTAGGCAGACGCCGTCGTACTGAGCGTGGGAGATGCGCATGACGATACGGTGGCAGCTGCTGCTCGTGCCATCGACTCTGGCCTTGATGATGAAGAACTTGAGTAGCGGATCGGTCGCCTTCGTGGGTTTGGCAGAGTCTTTTCGGCAGATCTGTTCGGTGAAGGCTGCAATCTCCTGGTCTGTTTCGTGTATATCTACGGCAAAGTCGAGCTTCTTCAACACGACCTGCACGAACTTTTCATGATAGATACCGAATATCGTGCGCAGGATTTCGTGCTGTCCTACAAATTGACCCAGTGCTTTCTTCGTAGCAGCAGCATCCAGTTCACCGTAACCATCCAGCCACAGATAGTTGCGGAAACCGCGGGTCTTCATCAGGGCGTGTGCCACGGCGTTCTGCTGGAAGTCCGTCGCAGGCAAGATGTCCGCTATATTGGCTTCGGGAGTCTGTAGCTGCGCCGCCATGCGCTTGACCAGCTTGGTCGGAGGTGCGTCGGCAAACAGCGAGAACGGTTCGTACTTTGGTGCTGCACCATTTGTTACGATCTTGGACCGGCTTTCAACGACCTTCGCCATCTCTGCCAGCACAGGGCTTTTGAAGAAGTCTCTCACGGATAGTGGGATTCCCTGCTCGCCAGCGACGCCCACGAGCTTCATGGCTAAGATCGAATCGCCACCGACGCGGAAGAATTGGTCTTCGATTCCGATGGCCTCGGGGTCGACGCCTAGAGCTGATGCCCACAGGTCGCGCAGAGCGTGCTCCATTGGGGTGGTAGGCGCCTGCTTCGTCGTTGACTCCAGGCCGTATGCTAAGACTTGTTCGCGACTCATGCCCGAGGCCAGGTCCCGGAGTTGCCGGCGGTCTGCCTTGCCGTTCATTGTGAGCGGAACATGAGCCATAGGGATGAAGAGGTTGGGAAGCATGTAGCTCGGCAGCGCCTCGGACAACGAACTTTGCAGCTTCAGTAGGTCTTCCTTGAGTTCGCCTTCTAGCGGTAGAGCCTTGGCTGCGCCTCCCTCTGTTGTCATGTGTAGGTATGCAACCACGACTTGTCGGTCATCGAGGCTGGCCTGGCGTACAGCGTCAACGGTAACATGGGCGAGACTGGGCATCTGTAGGCGAATTGCATGCTCGATTTCACCCAACTCCACTCTCTGACCGCGGACCTTGACCTGTGTGTCTTTCCGGCCAACGAAGTGGATGGTACCGTCTCCATTAAATCGTACAAGATCGCCGGTACGATAGAAGCGGCGTGGTTTCGTCGTGGAACCACCTGTCGCCCACGAAGGGTTGGCAATGAAGGCGTTCGCCGTCTTCTCCTTGTCGTGTAGATAACCGCGGGCCACGGTCGGACCTTCAAGCAGTAGCTCGCCCGTGCAGCCGACAGGCACAAGGCGATTGTAGTCCTGAGGGTCTGCAATCCAGTAAAGCGCACCGATTGCCTCTCCTAGGTCGGCCGGGTCACTGGTCGCCGTAGCTGGTGGGGCACCAGAGCAGTAGACCGAGCATTCAGCTGGTCCGTAGCAAACGATCAGATCTAGCACGTTGTGCCACTTAGCTATTGTGTCTCTTGTGCTCGCTTCACCACCTAGCACCAGTTTTCGAAGGCTAGGAATACCGTGGGCGGGCAGTAGCGAGGCGACCGTAGGCGTCAAGAACGCCCAGTTACACTGGAAGTGGTTTATTGCTCCAGCCAAGTTGTTTAGGCGGTCATGCTCGGACGGCACGCAGATACAGCCTCCCCGCTGCAGGGTGGTGAAATTATCTGCACAACTCACATCAAATGTGTAAGCAGCAAATTGCAACAAACGCGTCTCGGGACCGATATCCCACGCCGTACCATGTGCTTTGGAGCTTGAGCATAGACTACGGTGCTCGATGACAATGCCTTTGGGCCGGCCGGTTGACCCGCTGGTAAAGAGGACGTACGCCACACTCGACGGACTGATCGGAGGAAGCTTAGGCTTGCTAGGCTCAGAAAGGTTGCGGAAGTATTGCTCGTCGATACTGATGACCTTCAGACCCACAACCCCCTTGAACTTGTCATAGAACTGCGGTGCGACAAGGATGACTTTAGCTTTGGCATCTTCAATGATGAGCTCCAAACGGCCAAGAGGGTGCGCAGAATCGAGATTGACCACTCCGCCGCCAGCTTTGATTACGGACATCTGTGTGACGATCGCCCATCTCGATTTCTCGAAGCAGAGTGGCACAAGGACTTCGGCACCAACTCCTTGCTTGACGAGCTGTGCGGCAAACACACTCGAGAGACGATCAAGTTCAGCATATGTCAGCTGGCCATCCCAAGCGTCCACAGCGAGAGCATCCGGTCGAAGCTTTACCTGTTCGGCGAAGACCTCTGGTACCGTAGTCTCCAGCACGTCGGGGTACGTCTTATTCCATTCGAGGATCTGAGTCATGTCGTCTTCCGTGAACATTGAGATATCCTGCATTCTTGTCGTTTGGGTGGCAGAATTGAACGACTTGATCACATGCTCGAAGTGCCGGATGATACGGTCCATGCGATCCTGAGCAATCACGTTTGCATCGAAGCGCGCCTCAAAATGAACTTCAGAGTCGCTCAGGCTGCACTCCATGACCAGAGGGTAGGTATCGAAGTTCTTTAGAGGTGTCGACACTTCCTCCGCTCCGAGAAGTTCATTGTGATGGACATCGAACTGTGCCATAGGCTGAACTACGAAGATGTTCTGGAACTGAACGGCTCTGCTGGCTTCATGGCTGATCTTCCCAATGTTTTGAAGGCCAAAATGCTCAAATGGAATCATCTTGTTGGAGTCCTCTTGGACTGTGCTCAGGAATTCAGCGACTGTTCCCTCTGTTGGAACAGCCACTCTGATCGGCACCGTTGTGATTGTAGGGCCCAAAATCTTGGCTATGTCATGGACTGGACAATTTCGTCCTGATAAGGTCATACCGAACACAACATCTTCCGCATCTGAGTACTGTGCCAAAGTGTATGCCCAGGCAGCTCGCAGAATCGTCGCCATGGGAATGCTGGATCCTGGTCTACGCGAGATGGACATGCTGTGATGGGAATCGTGGTCGACTCTAAGGACGTGAGATGCGGACGGCTGTTCTGGAAACGAGACAGGCTTGCCACCCGAAAGGTACTTGTTCCAGTAGGCTTGGCCGTCATGGTAACTCGTCTTCGAAAGATACTTCACAAAGGTATTGAAGCTTGGAGTGGCTGGAGCCTGACCTGCAGTGTAGAATCCATGGACTTGCTCAAGGATGAGAGGTACAGTCCAACCGTCGTACATCGAGTGGTGAGCAGTCCAAACGAAGTATCCATCTTTGGTAATCGCGTAACGTGAGAGTGGCTTCCCACATGCTGCCTCATCCTGCTGATCCTGGAGGAGATATTCTTGAAGCGTAGATGCGGTTCTCCACTGGAAAGCATTCGAAAGCACGACCTGCAGCGAGCGGCCGGACTCGGTCTGGATAATAGTAGTCCTCAGGATAGCGTTGTTGGCGATTGCTAGCTCCCAAGCCTTGCGGAAGCGAGCGATATCCATGGTTGATGGCAATTCGAACACCTTCTGCACCATGTAAGCACCGGGATTGAGAATCGACAGCACCATCATTCCTTCCTGCAGAGGACTGCATGGGTAAGCATCCTCTACCTGTTCTACTGAGACATCGCATTTGGTGGCAAAAGATCTCAACATATCTGTCGTACACGGCGACTCCAATAGATCGAACGGCCTGATTTCTGCAGTACCGTTCGTCTCGGAGTAGTCTTGCTTAGCCAGAGCAGCCATATCGGTAAGTACTGGATGCTGGAAGATGTCCGCGACCGTCAGAGTAAACTCTGCTCCCGCCATGGCTGCTAGTCTCATTGCTGTGATCGAGTCGCCACCGAGGCGGAAGAAGTTGTCGTCAGCGCCGATTTTCGAGACAGGAATCCTAAGCACCGCAGACCACATATCAGCGGTGGCCCTCTCGCTGTCCGTGGAAAGTGGCTTTTTCGATGCTTCCGCGAGCGAGAAATTGTCCAGCTCTTCCTCGGACAAAGCTGCAATGGCGTCCCGGAGAGCCTTCCGATCAAGCTTTCCGGCTGTCGTGGTAAGCATTCTCCTAACGGGTATGTATAGAGTCGGTACTTCATAGGGTGGTAGCAGGGACTCCAGTGACTTTTGAAGCTTGAAAAGATCCGAGCGAAGACCATCATCTGGCTTCAGTAGAATGGTGCTCCTGTGCTCTCGGTCAGGTAAACACAAGAAAGCCGCTAACGTTGTCCTTTCTTTCTGACCGAGAGGCAATACGACCTCAATGCCAACTTGCGAAGCCCGTGGAAAGCTGGCTTTGGTGTGATGCTCGATCTCAGCCAGTTCTATCCTCTGACCCCTGAGTTTGACCTGCTGATCCCGTCTACCAAGGTAGGTAATACTGCCGTCAGAATTGTAACGTGCTAGATCGCCGGTGTTGTAAGCTCTCCTAGGCATACCTTCGACGCGGGGAAGGAATGGAGCATCGTCAATGAAGACACTGTCGGTTTTGGTTTTGTCGTTGAGATATCCACGAGCCAGGGCTGGGCCCGAAAGGCACAACATGCCAATGGTTCCGACAGCAGCAAGCTGAGATGGGTCATCGAGACTGACGATCCAGGTCTGGGATCCCACACCTTTTCCGAGAATGTCGTTACGGTCTTGTGGACTCTTGAAAGTCTTCATGACAGCAAAGACACAGGTCTCAGTTGGACCATATCCATTCATGAGCTTCAGTTGCGGGGCCCAAGTCCCAATATTGTCTTGGCCAAGAGCCTCGCCGCCAAGTATCAGTGTCTTCATTGTCGGTATCTGCTCTGGAGACAGAATGCGGACCAGTGAGGGCGTCATAAACGATGTGTTGACCTGCTTTCGAGTAATGAAGCCAGCAATGTCACTCATCCTCTCTGCGTCTGAAGGAACGCAGATGCAACCTCCGTAGGCCAGAGTCGTAAAGATCTCCAGAATGCAGGCGTCGAAAGTGTAGGCGGCGAACTGATACATGCGGGTGGCTGCACTACAACCGATTTCGGCTCCATGGTGGAACGTGCTGCTGCTTACGGCGACATGAGACAGAACGACGCCCTTTGGCACGCCAGTGGAGCCCGAAGTAAACAGGACATAAGCCACGTCGGCCGGTGTCACGCCTGTCTTGAGATCGGTGCTGACCGAGCTCGACCATAGGGACGATGTCGGTGAAACTCTGAGAACCTCGCCAAAGAGACCCTCCATACGTTGAGCTGTGCTCTCAGAGACAATTACAAGGACTGCTTCGGTTTGACCAACAATGGTCCTCAGCCTGTCATCAGGGTGGGCAGGGTCCAGCGGCACATAGCCCGCACCGGCCTTCATGATACCAAGCATAGCGATAATGGCCCACGCGCTTTTCTCAAAAGCAATTGGTATGAGCGAGTCCATCTGGACTCCTCGCTTGATCAAGGCTTGTGCGAGCTGAGTCGACTTCGTCTCTACCTCCTCATATGTCATCGTACCATCGAAAGAGTCGATGGCAATGGCGTCAGGCGTCAGGCGAGCGCTCTGTTGAAACATCTCATGTACGCACTTGTTGATAGGTGCAAACGGTTCAGCATTCCAGAGCTCAATCTGCGAAGCGTCTCGATTACCGCTCAATCCAAGAGCTCCAACCGTGGTGTTAGACGATTGGAGTATCGCAGACAACACGTTTGACAGCGCACTCGCAACGTTGGCGGCTTGGCCGTCTGATAGTCTGGACGTATAGTAACTCATGTTGACGAAGACACCATCTTGGCTGTCGGAGATGCTAACGGATATGTCATATTCGGTGGGATCGACACCATCCAAGTATCGTAGCATGATATCACCTACTTTGAAGTCGCCGTGCGATCGTCTTTGGAAGCTGAGAACAGAATTGAATAGTGTCTGCCCGGACATGCCCAACTCATGCTGAATCTGCGCAAGGCTGATGTGCTGGAATGGCAGTGATCTCAGGTATTCATCCTGTAGCGACTCCAGGCTATTGACAACCTTTTGCTGGCCAATGGCGTCGAAGTTGATGGAGCAGACCAACATGTTGATGAAGGCTCCGACAGCACTCTCGATGCCAGGGACCGGGATTTCTCGACCAGACGCAAGGTAGCCGAAACACACTTGATCGTCACCAGTAAAGGCCCGCAGAACCTTTGCCCAAGCCAACCTGAAAATACTAGCCAGGGTAATGTTGTTCTGCTGACAAAAGTCGCGGAGCAAAGCTGCGTTGGGAACACGGACCTCAACTTCGTGAAGTAGCCGCTCAGGCTCGATTTGATTGTCCGTCAACACTGGGAAATGGCAAGTACGCACATCAGCCAGGTTATGCTTCCAGTAGTCAAGTGCGGCATGTCGTGGTTGAGATTGAATGTAGGCGATATAGTCGCTGTAGAGCGGCCCTGGTAGCGCAGACAAGCTGTTGTTGTACGCTTCCACCCATTCTCCTATCAAGACAGACATAGAAGTACCATCCACCAAGGCATGGCTAATTTCCAGCTTCGCGTACGTGCGCCCTGAAGGTGCCTGGACGAGCTCGAGACGGTGGGGTGCCTCTGTAGAGTTGTAGACAAGGTTATCAGTAGATTGAATGTAGGCTAACGCATCCTCATCTTGAGAGTGTACCACAGACACTTTTGCAGCATGTGCTTTGACGACAAGTTGATCGTAGGGCCTGTCCGAAAGCTTCTGTATGAAGACAGTTCTCAGGGTAGCATGTCGATGCACGACCTGCTGCCAGGCACTGGCGAAACGCTCCACATCGATAGTCTTCTTGGCCAAAGAGGAGATCTCGACAACGGTCTCGATTTGGTACGCGCCCTGCATACGGTTTTGGCTGAGTAGAATACCCTCCTGCATTGGAGAGACAGCAAAGATATCTTCAACGTTGTCGATCGACGTGATGCTCGGTAAAGCCTCCTCTTGGAATCGCTGAAGGGCAACATTGCTCGTGATTAGGTTGGGGTAGTCTCCGCTGGTCAAGGTACGCTCAGCTGTCTGCAGCTGCTGACCTATGTCCATGAGACATTGGCGGTATGCTGCTACCCACTGCCCAATGAGCTCCTGGCGTTGCATCTTTGTGCTGTGTGTGATTGAAAAGTGCGCCTTGCCGTCCAATACATAAGCATTGATTTCGATGAGTGCGAAGCGGCTCACGCCGGGCCCAACGTCGCCCTTATTGAACGGAACCGCTTGCAGGAGGCTTGACGACTGGCCTTGTCCTTGATAAATACCCAGGTAGTTGAAGAGAATCTCGATCGGCCGATGAGCCGCAAACGCCTCCTTTCCAGCATCGTTCGACGAAGCTGAGTTGAAGTATGCCCAGCCATTCTGAGGTAAAAATCTACGCTGGTCCTTGACCGTTTTCACAGTATCGAGTGCAGAATCATTGACGTCTGAAGCGGCGTGGAGTGGGAATAACGTTGTGAACCAACCCACAGTCTCCGTGATGTCTATGCTGTTGTCCCATGGCTCGCGACCATGTCCCTCGGTGAATATGGCTGGTGGAGACCTTGCGAACGTCTTAGCAAAGGACTGGAACGCTGCAGACAAGAAGATATCCAGTGGCTCAGTCTTCAGTGCCGTGTGACATCCGCGTAGTAGCAAGTCTGTCTCCGCAGCCTCCAGCGTAAAAGAAGACTCGGTCGTCGTGCCTCTGACGTTTGGTACGTTATCCATACCCCAGTAGCTATAATCCGCTGTCGGAACGATGTGCAGCAAAGATTTCTCGGGTTGAAGGTGACGTCTGGAGTAGTCCGCCTGTGCTTGGACCCAGGAATGAAACGGGAATGGTTTTGCAGTAGGCAACATGCCGCCCAGTGTCAGGAGCTCCTCGAGCTGTCTGATGATTATTCGCCAGGAAACCAGATCTATCACAAGGTGGTGAGCGACCATGAAGAGTAGTTGTGAGCCATCTGGTAGGTTGAAGAGGCTTGCAGAAAAGACAGGTCCGTTCTCGATGTGCAGGCGCTGCTGTGACTGTTCTGCGATGGACAATGCTTGCTCACGAGAATCCACATTATGAGTTTCGAAGCGGTAGGTACCAGCTGTTCTAGGCAGCACAAGCTGCTGCCAAACACCGTTAACGCCCTGTATGTAGCGTGCCCGCAGCATGGCATGGTTGTCAACAATTTGCTGGAGCGATTCCGAAACCTGATCGACTTTCTGTTTTTGTGAGACTTCGAGCAGAAAGCTTTGGTTGAACTGGTTGGCAGTAGGGTCGGTTGAGCCTTTTGTGAGGTCTTCAAAGTACATTGACTGTATCGGGGAGAGCTCGAACGGTACATTGTAAATTTCGTTCTGCACCAGTCCGCCGGATTCGACAGCCTGTGCAGTCAAAGATAGCGAAGATAATGTTTTGCTGCGCATCACATCTTTGACTGTGAGCTTCATCCCTTCTTTGCGAGCTTGAACGACGAGTTGCATGGCCAGAATAGAATCTCCTCCAAGGTTCAGGAAGGATTTGTTGAGGTGGATCTGGTTGGTGGGAACGTTCAGCACAGTGGCGATGACCTGCTGGAGGCGCTTCTCCCCGTCTGTAACGTTGGAGTCATCCTGTTGCTCCTCCTCGACATCGAGAGCCTTGTTGTAGGTCTCGTTGCTGAGTTCATCAACCCATCGGGCAATCCGAACTCGGTCGACTTTCTTCGAGGCGGTTAGGGGGACGGACTGTGCGATGAGCCAAACACTTGGCACCATATAGCCCGGCACCACACCAGAAAGCTGCTCTTTCACCAGCGCAACCTGAGAGGCTGCAGTTTCTTTGCGCTCTTTTTCTTGGATCGTGCTGAGCTCTCTGGACTCTATGGTCTTCTCCACATGTTCAGCAGGGGCAACGACTGCTACCAGTTTGCGCTTGCAGATGCCGTGCTTCGGCAAAAGCACCACTGCGTATCGGACCAGATTCGACGCGGCAATGTGTTTCTCAATCTCACCCATTTCGATACGTTGCCCATTGAGCTTGACTTGACCATCAGATCGACCCATATAGATCAACGTGCCATCGCTGTGGTATCGGGCAAGGTCACCGGAACGATACAGACGTATAGGCTGAGAAGACGACCCACGCCATCGAGGAGCGGGAATAAAGGCTTGACGTGTTTTCTCCGAATCGAGGTAGCCTCGTGCAAGAATGGGTCCCTCAATGAGAAGTTCGCCGACGACCCCGATGGGTGCGAGCTTGTCGACGTCCGCAATGTCGGCTATCCACAGCAAGGAACCATTGCCGCCGTTACCACTGCTGATAGTTGCCGGAGAGTTCCCATGCCCTAGCTCTGCCATCGAGGTCCATATCGTACATTCCGCAGGACCATAAGAATTGAGCACGCGAACATCTTCTTTCCAGAGGTCTACTATGTCGTCCCGGACCTGCTCGCCACCCAATGCAAGTGTCCGTAAGAGTGGTATATCAGCAGGAGTCAGCATGCTGGCCATCGAAGGCGTTAGGAAGGTCCAGTCGACCTCCAACCTGTTCATCACATCGGCTGGATCATTTAGTCGTTCGCTTTCCGACGGTACACACACGCAGCCGCCAGATGTCAACGTTGTGAATATCTCCGAATTGGAAGTATCGAAGGTATAGGCGGCAAACTGGAACACACGGGACTGTGGTCCAATTCCCATGCTCGTGTTGCTGGCCACCATCGAGGTAAAAGAGCGGTGCGTCAGACAAATGGCTTTCGGCTTTCCAGTTGAGCCGGATGTGAAGCATATAAACGCAGCACTATCCGGTGTAGATGTCTCGGATGGAACGTGAGGGGGCGCTGGAAGCTGATGGAGGAGATCTTGGTTGATCACCTCCACCTGGGAGACTACATCATGTAGCTTTTCCGCATATGTTGCCGATCCCGTAAGCACAAGCTTTGCTTCAGTCTGCTTCACAATGTTGCCCAGATGTTGTGCGGGGTGCGATGGATCCATGGAGGCGTAGGCTGCGCCAGCTCGGAGAACTGCCATCATCGATACAATAGTCCATCTGGATTTGTCGAAGCACAACGGCACAATATTTTCCGGTCTCACGCCTAAGCTTCTCAAGTAGTGAGCAAGTCTCCCTGATAGGTCATCCAGCTGAGAGAATGTGAGTGTTCCGTCCCATGCCGATATTGCAATAGCTTCTGGTCTCTCAGCGGCATGTCGAAGAACGTTTGCATGGATGAGCCCGTCAACAGGCACAGGAGTATTGCCGTCGTTGTTCCAAGAGAAGATTTGCTGCATTTGATCTTGGTCAAGGAAGTTGAGTTCGCCGAAAGAGGCATCTGGGTAGGCTAGCATTTCGCTCAGACATTTGGCAAAGGTTGATGCAACTTGAGCGGCACGCTCGCCCGACAGGAAAGTCGACCAGTAGCTGATGGACACATCAATGACCGAATCACTAGCGGTGATATTCACGCTGAGGTCGTATTCTGTCGGATCGCTACCCTGCAGGTACTCGATGTCAATCTCGCTACCAGCATCGATAGCTTCGGCCATTGGCCGCTGAAGTGAGAGGATAGTGTTGAAGAGGCGTGTTGACCTGAGACCCAGACTATGCTGAATCTCGCTGAGAGAAGTGTGCTGATGTGGCAGTGAATCAAGGTAGTCGCTTTGCGTCTTCTTGACTGCTTCGAGAACAGAGACATCTTTTGACGCGTTCACGCGGCACACGAGCATATTGATAAAGGGTCCGACGGCATCCTCAATGCTCTCAAGCGGTACATCACGTCCTGATGCCAGGAAGCCAAACAGAACATCTGTTGAGCCGCTGTAAGTCCGAACGACAAGGCCCCAGGCTGTCTGGAGCACATTGGCAAGAGTGACGCCGTGGGCCTTGGAAAATTCCTGAAGGCTCCTCGTCACGGCGTTGGGCAGTGATACCTTAACTGCTTCTAGAGTTCTCGAAGCCCTGTCGTTGTCGATCAAGCTCGGAAACACACTTGGCTCCACTCCATGCAGATACTGAGACCAGTGTGAAAGCGACTCTGCGGGTGCCTGATCTTGGAGCAGAGAGATATAGTCACGATACGATGGCGCGGGTATGAGGCTGCTCTGATAAGCAGCGGCCAAGTCCTTCAGGATGACCGCCATCGAGGCGCCATCGATGAGGGTGTGGCTGATCTCAAGGTTGAAGAACACCACACCCTCGGTTTCGCATAACGTGAAACGGTGAGGGGGTTGCTTATCGTCGTAGTCAATTGGGTTTGATGTAGAAATGCCGAGCAGCTCTTCCATAGTCTCGACAAACATTGTTCTGGCGATCGCATCCTTCAGTACCATTTGCACATAAAGTCCGTCTTTCGAGCCACTCTCGATGAATATAGTCCGAAGTATGGGATGTCTGTTAACAACCTTCTGCCAGGCAAGGTTCAAGCGTCTCACCACCGCTTTCAAGTCGCTGGTGGTAGTTTTGACCTTACAGACCACATGAAATTTGTAAGCACTACTGGTTTGCGCCTGTGCCACAAGAATACCCTGCTGCATCGGGCTTACAGGATAGGCATCTTCGATAGCTTGGAGACCAGTCAGCTTCATTGCTTTGGCTTGCTGATCAACAAGTTCGACATCTGAATCTGCAAGCATGGTGAAAGCGCCAGTATCATCTTGTTTCCTGTTCGACAAACTTCCTTGCACTGGTTGTTTGGCTGAATTGGCGAGCTGTCGTAGGGACTTGCTCAAAAGGATCTCCTTTACAGTAACAAGCATCGCGTTCGATCGACAGCGTGCTGACAACTGCATAGCCGTAATGGAATCGCCTCCGAGCGCAACGAACGTCTGATCCATAGAAATGCTGTCTTCATTGATGCCAAGAACAATGCTTATCACAGATCGTAGCGTACGTTCAGCTTGCCCCGCAGGCAAAGCAACCGATGTGCTCGAAGTTGAACCTGCGATCTGCTCCGGAGCATGCTCCAGAGCCTCTATGAAACGGGAAACAGCAGAACGATCTGTTTTGCCGTTCACCGATAACGGGATCGTTTGCACCACTATCCATATCGCTGGCATCATATAGACTGGAACCCTTTCTGACAGATGCGCTCGGACTGAGATGACTTGCTGCGCGGCTGCTGGGTTGTGCTGCGGGTCAATGACCTTGATGTTGTTGTCTCCTTCCGTTGGTGCGTGCTCTCCAAGAGCTACAACGGCCACGAGTCTCTGGCTGACCGCCCCAGCCTTTGGGTAGATGACGACAGCGTTCGCAACACTATCATGGCTGAGCATGTTGTGTTCGATCTCACCCATCTCGATGCGTTGGCCATGTAGTTTGATCTGGAAATCTCGTCGACCAATGAAGAAGATAGATCCGTCTGTATTGTACCTGGCTAGATCGCCCGTGCGATAAATGGTGTTGCTCGAGTCGTAGCCGCACTGTTTGATCCACTTTGGACTGGAGATGAAAGCCGCTGTAGTCTTCTCGATGTCGTTGAGGTAGCCGCGAGCGACAATGGGTCCTTCGATCAGCAACTCTCCAACACAACCGATTGCACAGAGCTGATCTGGCCTGCCGACCTGCGTGATCCACATACGTGCGCCGAGACCGAAGCCTATGTTCGCGGGGGACATCTTTGGTGGGACAGGATAGAGTCCAGTGGACCAGACTGAACATTCTGCTGGACCGTAGATGTTGACCAGATATACCCTATCAGCCCACCGTGCTATGTTCTCAGCCCTGACAGCTTCTCCACCAAGCGCCAGGACCTCAAGACCAGGAACATCATCTGGGTGTAGAACACTTGCGACTGATGGCGTCAGGTAGGCCACGTTCACATCCATGCGGTTGATGACTCCTGCAAGATCGTCCATACGCTCTTCGTCATTAGGAATGCAGAGAGTGGCACCAAGCATCAGTCCCGAGAAGGTCTCACCGATACTGACATCGAAAGTGTAGGAGGCAAATTGAAGAATCCTGTTACCTGGTTGGTATTTCATAGTCGGTCCATGAGCGTGGGCACTGGTCACCAACGCATGATGCTCCAGCACGATTCCCTTTGGCTTGCCAGTACTGCCACTGGTGAAAACTACGAATGCTGGGTTGTTGGGGCCTGCCTTTTCCCATGTTGATGGCCGTGACTTGTCGTGAGCAAGGGTCTTGAACAGGGCTTCATCAACTATCACCACCTTCTCGACCAGGTCTTGAAACAGGTGTCCATGAATAGGCGAAGTTATCGCAACTTTGGCATCGCACTGACGGAGTAGTTCCTCACGCCTTTTTGTCGGATGTGCAGGGTCAAATGCAACACAAGCACCTCCGGCTTTCAGGACGGCCAATTGTGTTACTGGCACCCACATTGATTTCTTAAAGCTCAAAGGTACAAGTACCTCAGGCCCCACAGCCAAAGTGCTCAGATGGGATGCCAGGAGCGTGCTTAAATGATCCAGCTCCCGGTACGTGAGAGAGCCGTCCCAAGCAACAATCGCCGTAGTGTCCGGTCTTTCTACCACCTGATGTGCTATCTGCTCATGCACGCAAAGTCGGTAGTCTTGCCAATCGCGCGCATTCCAGAGCACGATCTGGTCACGGTCGTGGTCACTAATCATTATCGTTTGGATTAGTGTTTCTGCATGATTCTTAACGATGGTCTCGAGCATGTATTTGAAGGTTTCGAAAACACGCCCTGCCGCAGCTTTGCTGATCTTGGACGTATAATGACGGATATTGAGGTGCATGGCCTCGCGCGATATCGCCACATTGACAGAGATATCGTACTCTGTCGGATCGACCTCATCCACGATCCTGAACTCCAAAGCGCCTTGAACATTGGGTGCGCTGATAACTTCTCCCAGCGCACTCTGCAGCGACATCACTGTGTTGAAGAGCGGCTCACGCAATTCGAGGGCGTGCTGAATCTCTGCCAGCGAGCAATGCTGGTGAGACATTGAGTTGAGAAAACCCTCTTGAACCGAATCAACGAGATCCTTCAGGGTTCTCGAGCTGTCTAGCTTCAACCTGCAAACCAGCATATTGATGTAAGCCCCAACGGCGTCCTCAATATCGGCCACGGGAGCGTCGCGACCCGCAGATAGATAGCCGAAGCAGACGTCATCTAGCCCAGTATAGCTCCGCAATGTCAGGGCCCAGGCGGTTTGAACAAGGCTCGCAGGCGTGAGGTTGTGATCGCGACAGAACTGCTGCAGCTCCATCCCAAGCTCCAGAACGTTGCTGATCTCGTGGAGCTCGTCAGCTACATCCGCCTCGTCGTTAAGGAGAGGGAAGTGGCATGGGGCTAGATCATTGAGGTATTGCTTCCAGTACTCGAGACTCTGACTCTTCTCAAGCTGTTGTAGATAGCCGACATAATGTGAGAAATGCATCTGCTGAGTGGCATCAAGAGTCTCTGCATATGCCGCACTGAGATCTCGGAACATCAGCAACACAGACACCCCATCGATCAGCGCATGGTCGATAGCTGCCATGCAATATATCGTACCCGATGTCTCATATACGATAAGATTAACCCTAGGCTCCTTGTCCGACGCAACAATTTTATGTGCTCGAACAGCTCTAGACAACGTGACTTTGTCCTTGCAAGGAATAACGTTGATGTAGGGTTCAACGTGTTCTAACACGAGTTGATCGTATGGCGAGTCTTCTGATATACTGGGAACGAAAATGGTCCTTAGTGAATCATGACGATGAACGACCATCTTCCAAGCTGTCGCTAGTCGGTCCAAATCTACCTCGTTGGTGGTGCTTATTTCGCAGACGATACGGAACTCATAGCTTCCCGAGCCACGTTGTTGACTGAGAAGTATGCCCCTTTGCATTGGTCCTAGTGAATAAATGCTTTGAATTTGATCCGGTGAAAAAGGGAGCTGTGGCAGGATTTCCGTATCGAAGGCGGCCCGGTCATAGCTGGGTTGGAATGTGAGGACTTCATGCGAATCACCATTGCTTGCCCTCTGTGCCAGCTCGGTCAAAGTCTTGCTCTCGATCATATCCTTCACCGAGACCTTGATGCTCTCTGCCCGCAATTTCGCTAGGAGCTGCATGCCCGAAATCGAATCACCACCATTGTTGACGAATGAGCGATTGAGATGGATCCTGACAAGAGGCATGTCCAACACTTCGCTGCATAAGCGCTGAATGGTCTCTTCAACAGGATTTGAGGCTTGGATCGCAGCCTCGGCACCAGTGATCTGATTGTACATGGGCTCGCTCATTCCGGTAGTCCATTTGGTAACATAGACTCGATGTAGTTTTCCAGAGATGGTTAACGGAATGGATTTTGCAAGGACCCATATCGAAGGTAGCATATACGCTGGCAAGTGGTCCGATGCATCCTGGATTACTTGGTCTAGAGATTTTGACAGCGATAAGTTGAGGGTAGGATCCAGCAGCTCAATTTTCTCCGAATCAATCTCTTGAAACCCCTCCTTTAGACATAGGACTACTGTCAGCTGATTCTTGCACGGACCTTGTCGAGGCAGCAACACAACAGCTTGGCGAACAAGTGGATTCACTGCTATATGATGTTCGATTTCTCCCAGCTCGATTCGCAGGCCACGTAGCTTGACTTGAGAGTCTTTACGACCAAGAAAATGGATCGTGCCATCGCTGTTGTATCTGGCCAGGTCTCCGGTCTTATACATAAGTCTTGAATGTCCGAAGCGCTGAGGTGGCAGCCACGGGAAGTCGTCAACAAAAGCATCGGCCGTTTTGACGGGGTCCTGGAAGTAGCCACGAGCCACAATGGGTCCATGAACCAATAGTTCTCCGGGCGCTCCGGGAGGTACTAAGCGACGATGATCCTCTGGGTCCACAATCCAGCACAAAGCACCAAGTGGAAATCCGATGTTTGCAGGATCCGTGGTGGAAGAGAGCTTTGGATAGGCTGTAGCGGCGATTGAGCACTCAGTGGGGCCATATCCATTGGCCAACTGTAGTTGAGGAGCCCAGGTCTCAACATCTGTCCGCCCTAATGGTTCACCGCCAAGCACAAGGAAGCGGAGACTCGGGACCATTTCTGGTGTCATAAGCTTCACCAGAGACGGCGTAAGGAAGGCCCACGTGACACCAAACTCCTCTATGCAACTAGCTGGCCCTTTGGCTCTAGAGGCATCGCCCGGTATACAAACGCAGGCACCGGTGATGAGTGATGTAATGATCTCCAAGATGCTCACGTCGAATGTGAATGAAGCCAGCTGCAGCACTCGATCAGTATGCTGCATGCCACTTGCCTTCCGTTGTGCGAAAGATCCTGTTAGAAACTGTCGATGCTCGATAATACAGCCTTTTGGTCTGCCGGTCGAGCCTGAGGTGAAGATGATGTAAAGCATGTTGGATGGAGTAACTGATGTGGTGACAGTGGTTGTCGGCGACGGCAGAGCGTCCACAGAGCTTTGATCAACAATCAATACCTCTGCTCCTGTCCAGTCCCACATTTCTTCATATTGCGAGCAGGTGAGCATGATCTTCGATTGCACTTGAGCTTGGATCTCCTGGAGTCTGGCTGTTGGATGTGAAGCATCGAAAAACAGCATTGTGCCACCTGCTCTTATGACGGCGATCATCGCCACAACAGCCCATGCTGACTTGGGGAAACAGAGAAGGACGATGGTCTCTGGACCGACTCCACGGGCCTGTAGAGCATGCGCAAGCTTGTTTGTCGCTACTTCGAGCTCTGTATAGCTGAGCTGGGCATCTGAAGAGTGTACGGCAATGTTTCCGGGCCGCTCCTGGGACTGCTCGTAGAACAAGTCACCCACACACTTATCAATGGATGCCGGCACAGACTGGTTCCATGTGAAGAGTCTTGTAAGGCTACTCTGATGGACGAGGCTAAGTTCCGAATAGGTGGTATTTGGATTCTCCAGTGACGAGTTGAGCACCTCCGAGAATGTCGCTGCAAGGTCTGCAGCCTGACTTTCGTCAAGACATTGCCTGGAGTAAGAAAGCCTTGCCGTCACTTGCTGTGGAGTGATTTCGAAGTCGACGGCGATGTCGATTGCGTCGTGTAGTGGGGCGGACCGAAGCCCCAGGCTAAGTGCCGTGTTGCAAAAAGGCCTGCCATCAGCGGTCCAAAACAAAGGTACAGAAGTGATCTCATTGGTTTGATACCGATCGCTCCCGAACAGCTCGGTCTGGACCATTCGGGAAAGAGACGACACTTTGTCGTCACGGTCGATTGATAAGGAACACAGTCGGGCGGAAGGGAATGGTCCCGTGAGTGCGTTGGTCAGGCCGAGCGATATAGAAGCATTACTGGTATATGCCTTCAGGACGATAGCCCAGGCTGTGACCAGAGAGACCTCAACCCTGCTGTGCAGACCACTTGTCACGAGACCATGGAGAGACTGTTCCGATTTGCCAAGTTCGATTGAGAGCTCAGCATGGCTCGCCTCTGCCAGCTCTGTCTGAACAAGAGTAGGAAAGATACATGGCTCGGCCTCTTCTTGCCACTGTTTCCAGAAGTTCGCGATGCCTATTTCCACGTCAATGGGGGATTGAAGAATCATACTCACGTTGCGGTTAGTGAGTATTGCTCCTGGCCTTCGTGATCAGTCGGCCCCTCGAACAGTGCTGTGCAGGTTACCGAAGAGAATAACAAAGGAGACGATAGTTGTACAGGGGTATCGGCAGGGACGATTCTGGCGACGACGAGCTGTGCTGTTTCGATTTCACTGACTGTGTATGGAGCATTCCACGCATTGAGTACCCAGCGTGAGTTGTAATCATCGGCGTCTGTGGCCATGTCGAGCTGGGCAGACCGGTCAGTGTGCTCCGACATAGTCAGACGGTGGCTCGGCTGTGTCCAACTGTGGTCGTGCGTGTTCTCCGGCCCGTGCAGCACGATACAGCCTCAGGTACCCACCTTGAGATCTGGATCCTACAACAGCCCCCACAAGGCCTGTAAGACGCAGACCCACCGTGGTCCTGTCAGACCCGCCACTCTGTATTGTCAGCTGGTCAACCGGTATTAGAACAGCAAGTAAGCACTAGCGAGGATGGCTGCAGCTTTAAGTTACCACCGCAGCAAGAGCTTGTGGTTGGTGATCGATCACTCATCCCTGCTATGCAACTTTGACCAGCTCGCAACTGTGCACCAATGTCTGCAGGTCATTTTGTAGCCACATGGGACATGGGAAATGAGCGGGTAGTCAGCAAAACAAGTTGATGACGAGGGGTAGCTGCGGAGAAAAGTGGCAGGATCGCCAAGCCGGAATTCTGGAAAGAGTAAAATTGTCACGTGATGTTCGCGTCTTGCTGAACGCGTCCAACGCGTCATAATTTTCAGATGTACAGTATCGACACCTTCTATTTGAATCTACATGCTTTGTTTCTCCCACATAATCGAGAAATCTATCGACGGTGAGCTCGCCGATCGCGGCCTCAGCCCTGGTCGGAGCTCCGTCACTACCTTAGGGAGCTGCATCCGTGGTCTGGTCCGTACAGGAGAATTGAGGATATCTCGGGGCTTGAACTTCAGGAATGGTCCCCTAGCTTCGTGTTAGATTGGCTCGTCCGGAGGTAAGTCTTGACTTACGTTTTGCTTGCAGTGATATGGTCCTGAACCGCGAACTCGCCTTCAAAGCCCCAGCCCTTGAGAGCGTGTTGTCCTTCGGCGTGCTGAAAGTCCAAGGTGTGGATTGCGTATGCAACCGCCAGACTAAGCTCCATCATGGCCATGCCTTTGCCAACACAGCTTCTGGTACCGACACTGAATGGACAGAACGCTGAACGAGCTTTCTCGACGTTTTCCTTTGTGTTGCCCGATTCGCCCTCCAGCCAGCGTTCTGGTCTGTACTCGAAAGGAGCAGGGAAGTATTCGGCATTGTGGTGAATGCCGTAGATTGGCACGCCCACCTGCACTCCTGCAGGGAGTCTTTGACCATCAACCGTGGCGCCGCCCTCTTGTGCTTCTCGAAACAATGATGATCCAGCCGGCGGCGTCATCCGCATGGCCTCATCGATGCAGGCCCGGAGATACAGAAGCTTGTTCAAGGTCGGGCCTGTCCTAATATCGTCTTCATGCTCGAATGCAGACCGCACCTCGTCCTTGAGTCGCCTATACGCTCGGGGTGTGCTTGCGAGGTAGAAGAAGATCGCTGCCAAAGCTGTCGATGAAGTATCAGCCCCAGCCACACATAGCGTCGTGCTTTCGGCAAGAATTTCCTTAGCCGATAACTTGTCGCCTGTCACGGGATCAGACGATGCCTTGAGAACAGACACTACAGTCCGCGCCTGGGGGGCGCATTCTGGCTTCATAACCCGGTCGACAAGTCCCCCGACAAAGCGTAAAAACTGATTGCGTGCCCCAATAGCCTTGGGAAACATCCATCGATCGATGCGACCAACTTGGCGGATAATTGGAGCTTGAAGAAGCACGCTTACGCGCACGTTGGATTCCTCGATCGCTATTGGGATATTTCGGTTGGCTCCCGAGCCAAGGAGATTGTATTGAACTCCGAAGATTGTATCACCCATGATATCGAAAGTGAGCCAATTGAACCAGTTGGACATGTTGCGCGACTGAGACCACGGCTCTCTCACTGTCGGGCTTGCGGGATATTCGAGACCTAGCGAGCGCTCGTCCGTATCAGCGACCTCACCGAAGCACTTTTTGATATGCGCCATGAGCGTGGGCTCATGTTCACGAAGCGCGACATCCGATAACCCTTGTGAGATGATCCGGCGCCGGCGAGCATGCTCTTTCTTATTGATCATCGTAAAGGTATTGGCGGCGCCGTGCCGGAGAACACGATAATTGTTGCTCTTCTGAAAATTTTTGGACCCCGAGTATATATCCTTTAGGGCCGCAGTATTGTTGACATTGAGCTTGTCGGGCGCATAACGAACATATGGCCCTGTCATGGCGGTCAGCATCGTCCCCCACAGAGCTTCTGCGACATACCATAACGCTCATGTTGTCTCCACATGTCGACGTGGATATCGCCGATCCAGGCATGATATGCAGCATAAAGGTCTGTTACCTTTGCCAGGAATGGACCTGGATATTTCGACAGTGGATGGAAATGTATGCGATGGACAATGATGCCAGCGATCTACCAGGTTTAGTCGACGCTACCAATGATTCGGGTGCAATCTCGTACCAGCAAAATGCCAAACACCGCCGACAATGTCGCTAGCCTCACCGTGCTGTGCAATGCGAAAACGAGGAATCCCATGGTGAAGTTGTCTGCTCAGTGGAAAAAGCAAGAAGGCCGAGAGCCCAGAACTTCAGAATCGGGAACAAGACTCCGCAGATCTATGTGATACTTGTTCGGACCGCCGATGCGCAGTTCTACTGTACCCCATATACAACGCGGTTCCCACTACATTCGAAGCCGTTGTGTCTGACAGTTGTTGATCTATTTTCGCAAATGCAGCTCAGCAGCTGAGGCGCAGGCTTGCTGATGAGCCTCAACATGGAGCACCACCTGTACACGGCGCGGGCTGTGTTCCGTTATCCGTCACCGCATTCATGTCGGACGGTCGCCTATGCGCTTGTGGGGCGATTATGAGATGCATGAGAAATCATATTGAAAATAGCATCTGGTTGGGAGTACTTGGTGATTTTACCGATCTTGGCCTAGTGGTAATTCAATGAATACCTGACCACTAGCCCGGTATTGTACGAATACACATTCCACTGTCAAATTCCAGGCCCCCAAGGTGTCACAGCTCGGCTGCCAAACACAGACACATGGCCCCATGTCAGCGAATGTAATGGCCCCTGCTCGTGAAAGGACTTGGCCCTGGTCGCCATCAGCCTCGGCCGCAGACCCTGAAATCTGTGAGAGTCTAGCGATCGGCAAGGCACGAATCTACGATCAGGCTTTACCAGCACTACATTGCTCCTGACACCTCGCAATACCCCTGTGGTGAACAGCTCACAGCGCATCTTGATCCATACCTCTGACACTTGAACACAGCGACATTGTCGAGCATTGTGTCGAGCCGCCATCTATCGCATGCTTCTGAATAGACCAAAGTAAGATGCAGGCACTTCAGCCGGCGTCCGAGGATGGCTCGGTTAGCCCGCGAGAGAATGAAGTCGCGCGGACAGTGCTCATCGAGCTTCTGGCGCATCAGTTCTGCTTCCCGGTGCGATGGATCGAAACGCAGGATCTGCTATTGGGATCCCACAACACTGAGCGACTCGTCGAATTCGGACCGGGCAATACACTAGTCAACATGGCCAAGCGAACAATTGCATTGAAATACGCACCAAGAGACACGGCCCAAAATATTTCACGGCAACTCTTGAACTTCCAGCAAAATCTCGACAAGATCTCCTACGATCAGAAATTTGTTACTCCACCTGTGATCGAGCGACAACAAGACTCGGTCAAGAAGTCTGATCCTTCGGCAGAATCGATCAAGAACACAGCTCCTCCTCCGGATCCAGCCTCGACATCTACCCCTCCACCTCCAACTCCCGATTCCGCTCCATCACCAGCAGCCGTTGAAGACCAGCCGGTCAGCGTAATTGAGATCGTGTCTACTATCATTGCAGTTGGCTTGAAGAAACCGCTGGATGGGTTTCAAATGAGCAAGTCGATCAAGGCTTTGTCCGGCGGACGATCAACGCTACAGAATGAAATCATCGGTGACCTCTCAGCTGAATTCGATGCAATTCCTGAAGCTGCTGAGGATCTACCCTTGGAAACGCTATGCTCTACAATTCAGAGTACTTTCAATGGAAAGCTTGGCAAGAAAAGCTCATCGCTCATAGACAAACTGATTTCACAGAAATCACCTGGCACATTTCAGAACGCCGGTATTCGTAAATATCTCAAACAGCGATGGGGTCTCGAGACAGGTCGTCAGGACAGTATTCTCCTTTGGGCTGTGACTTCGCAACCGGACTTTCGACTGAAGAACGAGGAAGAGGCGAAGATTTTCTTGGACAGCGTTGTCCAAATTTACATCAGCAAGACTGGGCTAGTCATCGGCGAGACACCAAACTCTGGTGGTGCTTCAGGAACACAGCCAGCTGTCAGTGCGGAGGCACTAGAATTCTTAGAAAGTCGACAGAAAACTGCGTGGGAAGAGCAGCTCGGAGTCTATGCTCGATTACTGGGAATGGACCTGCAGGCCTCGGAACCGGCCCACGCAGCGCTTCGTAAACGTATAGCCGAGCTTGAATCTCAGCTTGATGACTGGAACAGCGAGCATGGCGAGTTTTACTCTTCGGGTATCCATCCTCTGTTTACGCCGCTCAAGGCTCGAGTCTATGATTCCTGGTGGAACTGGGCCCTGCAAGATCTGCTCGCTCTTGTGGCTGTTGCAACCCGATCAGATGCGAAATCAACAGAGGTTCTCAGGCTGCAACGGAATTTGGTCAACAGGTCCCATCCACGTCTCATAAAGGCTGTGGAGTATATGGCATCCACCACGTCCGACACGACCGTCCGCTCACTTTTGCAGAATCTGGTCGCTGAGTGCCAAGCATTTGTGAGCAAAGGGGCGATGGTATACCGAGATAGGGTATCGAGAGCTCCAGTGACGACAGTAGACAAGACTGGCAAAATCATTTACAGAGAGCGTGTGCGACCTACAGAAGCCGGATCTATCAACGACGACAACCTCCTGAGACTTGGCCGTAAAGGCACAAACGGTTGGCAGTACTCCGACGACCTATCACTACATCTGCATCAGAGCTTATCAGAAGCCATAAATGAAGGCTATTGCTTCAATGAGCGGAACATCCTGGTCACGGGCGCTGGTGCCGGCTCCATTGGGTGTGAGCTCGTTGCTAAGCTTCTCGCCGCAGGAGCCAATGTTGTCGTCACCAGCAGCTCCTACTCGCCAAAAGTCACTCGATTCTATCAAAGTCTCTACGCAGAACATGGTGGTAGAGGTTCTCGGCTGATCCTCGTCCCATTCAACCAAGCCAGTGTTCGGGATATTCAAGCCCTAGTCAAATACATCTACGAAAAAGAAGGCCTTGGCATGGATCTCGACTATATAATCCCCTTTGCGGCCATATCGGAGAATGGGCGAAACCTAAACAACATCGACTCGCGATCAGAGCTCGCACACAGAGTCATGCTCACAAATACAATGCGCCTGCTCGGCGAAGTCAAACAACAGAAAGAAACCCGAGGCATCTTGACTCGGCCAGCACAAGTCATTCTCCCACTTTCCCCCAACCATGGAAGCTTTGGCAGTGACGGTCTATATGCAGAGTCCAAGCTTGGATTGGAGTCTTTGTTCGAGAAGTTCAACTCAGAAGATTGGGCTGAGTATCTGCTAGTATGTGGCGCACTCATCGGATGGACGCGAGGTACAGCCCTGATGTCCGACAACGACATTGTGTCTGAAGACATCGAGAAACTCGGTATGCGCACGTTCTCACAAAGTGAGATGGCATTCAACATTCTAGCACTTATGAGCCCGTCAGTCCTTCCCTTGTGTACGGACGAACCACTTGTGGCGGATTTGAGTGGTGGCATGGGTGGGATCCCGAATCTGAAGGACGTCACTACCAAGATCCGAACGTCGATCACTCAGCTCGGGGAAGAACGACGAGCAATTGCACGAGAGGCAATCTTCGACAGCCCTGCTATGAATATCGAACAAGAGCCGGAAACACAGGCCAACCTAGAATTCAGCTTTGCGTCACTACCTGATTGGGACACCGAAGTCCAGCCGCTCGCTCAGTCGCTTGAAGGCATGGTTGATCTTGATCGCGTTGTAGTCGTTTCTGGATACGCTGAGGTTGGCCCGTGGGGTAACTCACGCATCCGCTGGGACATGGAGCTCCATGGCCAGCTGTCATTGGAGTCAATCATAGAATTGGCGTGGACTATGGGTCTCATCAAAGCTCACTCTGGAATTGTTGATGGCCAGCCGTTCTCTGGATGGCTAGACAAGGAAACTGGAAAGCCAATTGCAGATCAGTCGATCAAAGAGAAGTACGAGAAGTTCATGCTCGAACATGCTGGCATACGTTACATGGAGCCCAAAAAAGGCTCACAACTTTGGGACGGCCAGGAGGCGCTCCATGAAATCGAGATTTCCAAGGATCATGAACCTTTCGAAGTCAGCAGAGAAGCTGCGTTTCATCTCAAGAAGGCGCATGGGGAATTCATTCACGCAACAGACAATGAAGAGACAGGCCAAGTCCGCATTGTGCTCAGGAAGGGCGCCAAGATCATGATACCTAAACTTCTGGATACGCAGCATACTGTGGCCGGACAGGTTCCCACAGGCTGGGAGCCCAGCACCTTTGGGATACCAGAAGAAGTGGTAACGCAAGTAGATCCGGTGGTGCTCTACGCCTTGGTCGCTGCTGCTGAAGCATTTCAATGCGCTGGAATTCTCGATCCGTATGAGTTTTACAAGCACCTCCACGTCAGTGACGTCGCCAATTGTGTCGGCTCTGGTTTCGGTGGTGTTACTAGCATTCGAAAAATGTTTAAAGGTCGATACCAGGACAAGGAAGCAGCCAACGACATTCTGGCAGAATCGTTCATCAGTTCAGGCAGCGCATGGATCAACATGCTCTTGCTTTCGGCTGCTGGCGCCAACAAAACGCCTGTGGGTGCCTGTGCAACTGCTCTCGAATCTCTTGATACAGCCTACGATCTGATACAGGCTGGAAAAGCGAAGGTGTGCCTGGTTGGTGGCTTCGACGACATGCTAAAAGACATCTCGGAAGAGTTCGCAAACTTGAAAGCCACAATCAATGCCGACGAAGATGCCGAAAGAGGTCGAGAGCCACGGGAGATGAGCCGTCCCGCAACTTCGACACGAAAGGGGTTCGTTGAGTCTGAAGGTGCAGGTGTACAGATTGTCACCTCTGCGACTGTGGCTCTAGAGATGGGGCTTCCGATCTACGGTGTTGTCGCACTGACACGTACAGCCATGGACAAAGCAGGCCGGTCTATTCCTGCTCCTGGTCGAGGCATTCTTGGCTCAGCTATTCAGAAGCTGGGCAAGTATGACTCGCCATTAATGAACGCTGCCTACCGTAAGCGAGCACTAGACCACAGGAGACAGCAGGCTGTGGATATGCGTGAGCTGCAACTTTCTTACCTGGAGGAAGAAATCACAAGCTTGAGGGAGCAGGATCCTTCTGCTGATGTTGAAGGCTACCGGCAACAGCGGATCAACAGCATTGAACTTGATGCCAAGCGCGATCTTAAGGACGCTCTCAATCAATATGGCAACAATTTCTGGACCCATGATAGTCGCATAGCGCCTATCCGAGGCGCATTGGCGGTCTGGGGCTTGACTATCGATGACATCGACGTCGTATCCTTCCATGGCACGTCTACACGCGCGAACGAGAAGAACGAGGCTGCAGTCATCAACGAGCAATTCAAGCACCTCGGCCGGAGAAAAGGCAATCTAGTGCCTGGCATGTTTCAAAAATCTATCACTGGCCATCCCAAAGGCCCGGCTGGTGCATGGATGCTCAATGGTTGCCTCCAAGCCATGCATGCTGGCCAGATCCCCGGCAATCGCAATGCTGACAATATCGAAGACGTCCTTGAGCAGTTCGAGTATCTGGTGTTCCCGAACAAGTCGATCCCGAAGCCAGAAATAAAGGCATTCATTACCGAGTCCTTCGGCTTCGGGCAAAAGGGCGCTATGGCGATCGGGGTGAATCCCAAGTATCTTTACGCTACGATGAAGCAGGAGGACTTCTTGGCCTACAAGGAGAAGCTGAGGCTGCGGGAGAGGAAAGCGAGCAGGAATTTCCACGAAGGACTGTCGAATAACACGGTCTTCCAAGCAAAGGAGAGCCCGCCTTGGGCTGCCAGCGAGGAGATGAAGATCCTACTGGATCCAGATGCCAGGTTTTGATCTGTGGTGCAAACGGGGCGTCGTCGGTGCTGGGATGTTGCATGGAGGGGTTGGGCTGCATCTCTATTTATATTCGCGAATGAGCGTTCTCTACCAACTTGCCCAACTTTGGGGAGTCTTTACTGTCCTCCTCATCCTGCCACCCGGCTTCATACAGTTGCAGAGCGTATTAGCAGTGGAAGATTCTGTAACTACATTCTTGGATAGTTTGAGAGAATTGAGTACGAGGTGAAAATTGGCATCAGATGCGTGATCGTCCCCACACCTGTCGCCTAGGGTTCCTCTCTAGGCACGACACCCAAGGCATTGTCGCCCAGCCAAGATCTGCTCTCAGGCCTGCATTTCGCTCGCCCCAAATTTAATTCGTGCAGTTGCTTCTGCGTGTTGCAGGACGCCGAGCAGAGTCCCTCGTTCAGGGGACACATAGTTGACACCGGTTGGACGGCGGTCGCCTGAGCGAGGCAAGGAATCATGTTTGATCTTATTTCTGGAGCATTTATTCTGGACTTAATGGCTAATCGCTGCTTGCAGATGGTTCGCTTCAGGCAACATGCCTGTTGCGTATGTGATCTTCTGGTCGGCTACAATGGGCGGTGGAACACTAGCGGGCGCCTGTGGCTCGTCAGGGCAGGACAAGGCATATGACAAAGCTGCTATTATTTTTGGCCAGCAGGCCAGGCCACCTTTGGCTGCCAGTTTACCTGCTGTCCAGATCTGGTACTCCGGCTCGTGCCACGTCGCTTACAAGGGCATCATACGGCGGGCCTGAAAGCTTCTCTGTATTTACTAGCGGTAAGCAAAACATACGGTATCGAAATACAGAAGTTACATGCGTCTCCACCTACGAGTAGCACAGTATCAGCCGGGGCCAACTGGTCAGCACTCTCCACCCGAAGGGGCGATGGTTCCGTCAACTTCTTACAGCTGTCACTAGCGGCAGGACAATGCTCCATGGCAGAGGTTTGCCTGTCTTGTACGCCGCGACACGATCTCAGAAGCCGCTGCTCTCCACCGTACAGGTCGGCATCGGGTGCTGGCATTACTCACGCGGAATTTGACAGGTGCTCAAAGCGTTCTATCGAAGCAGACGACACACCTCTCGTCGGTAGTTGCGCAACAACAGTCTTTTGGTAGATCCCACACCTCGCAAACATGACAAGCGGATCGGATCATACAGACGCCTCTTCTCATTCATTCAGCATCATACAGACGCCAGAAGTCCCTCGTTTAATAGACCTCACTCACGGGTCTCTCGTATACCAGTGGAGCATTCCAGGATCGCAACATGGCGGGCTCACGAGATCGCGGGACCATTTCCTAGCATCGTTGTCGGCCAGCGAGGATGAGACGCCCTTGTCGGCTCCAGAACTCGTTGCCAGATTCATTCTGTATCTGATCCAGCATAATGAACTGTGGGATGAAGCGACCTCAACAGCGCGCATAGAGAGTATCGAACTCTTGTTTCGCAAATTCGAGACCGACTTTCTCCGGGGCAAGGACATTCACACTTTCGTTGCTAAACTTCCCGGCAAGCCCAGCCAGCGCCAGACTGTACTACAAGCCTACATGGCTGCTCTCGCGTCTTCGAGCATTTCGAGCTCACAGGTCAGGCACGAAGCTGCTTTGTTCTCCCAGGCCAATGATCGACAAACCAACACTTACGCCATATTCGGTGGTCAAGGCAACACGACGGACTATTTCTCAGAGCTTCTAAGCCTCTACGCAACCTATACTCATCAAGTTGAGCCCTTGATAGTAACTGCTACTCAGACGTTCCATGAACTTCTACATGATGCATCAGTGACCTGTTTACGCCAATTCCATCAAGGACTCGATATCTTACAATGGCTACTACGGCCTGAAACTATGCCAGAGCCAGAGTACCTGCTCTCAGCTCCAGTCAGCTTCCCCATTATTGGCCTTGTGCAGTTCGCCAACTATGCAGTTCTGTGTCGATGTTTGGACAAGACACCAGGTGAGATCACCGAGCACTTTCTTGGCTTGGCAGGTCATAGTCAAGGGGTTATTGTGGCAGCAACCCTAGCCACAGTCTCAGATTGGGAGAGCTTCGACATAGCACTGGCAATGTCTCTCAGATTGCTATTTCACGTTGGTTCAGCGGCCCAGGAAGCTACGCCGCAAGTGAGCGTACCGTCATTGATATCGACAGAGACAATGAAGCATGGCGAAGGCTTCCCTACTCCCATGTTGAATGTTTCAGGCTGCAGTCGTACGCAGCTTGAGTGGTATCTGAAAGGCATCAACGACTATCTCGAACCTCATCAGCGTGTCTGGATAGGCTTGATCAATTCTCAGAGCAATTTCGTCGTCTCGGGTCCCATGCTCTCGCTATGTGCCCTGACTTCCAATCTAAGACAGGTCAAGGCTGCGCCAGGCGCTGACCAGGGCAAAGTCGCCTACTCTATGCGGAAACCAGAGTTCTCGCTTCGATTCCTGCCCATTTCAGCACCATTCCATTCAGTGCATCTAGAAAGTGCAGTCTTCACCGCGTTACAAGCTCTGAGCCAGGTTCATATAGATGCCGGAGACCTGCAGGTTCCCGTTTATCACAGCCATACCGGTGAAGATCTCCGCAAGAAGGGCTCTGGAGATGTTGTGCCAGACTTGGTGAGAATGATACTCTGCGAGCTGGATGACTGGACATCATCAACCAAATTCCCAGATGCTACACATGTATTGGATTTCGGTCCAGGTGGCATTTCTGGAGTCGGCGCCCTACTGCACCGGAACAAGGAAGGTACTGGTTTGAGATTGATCATAATGGGTCAAGCAGAAGGCACGTCAACCGAATTCGGATACCGTTATGAAGCTTTCCAGAGCGCACCGGTCTTTGGAGACAACTGGTCCCAACTCTACTCTCCCAAGCTCATTCAGAGCAAGACTGGAGTCAAGATCGACAACAAGATGACGCGTTTGCTCAGCCTCCCACCATTGATGGTCGCGGGAATGACCCCAACCACGGTTTCGTGGGAGTTCGTGAGTGCCATCATCAACGCTGGCTATCATACCGAGTTGGCAGGAGGAGGCTTGCATAACGCTCAACAGATGACCAGCGCCATCAAAAACTTAGTGAAGTCTATTCCTGCAGGACATGGCATTTGCATCAACGTCATCTATGCCAGCCCGAAGCAAGTCCGTTGGCAGGTTCCATTGATCCAGAAGCTTCGATCAGAAGGTGTACCCATTGACGGTCTGACTTTTGGTGCCGGCGTGCCTTCCGTAGAGGTTGCCAAAGAATACGTGGAGCTGGGGCTACGATACCTCTCCTTCAAGCCTGGATCTGCGTTTGCCATCAACCAGGTCATTGCTATCGCAAGGACGAATAAATCCTATCCCATACTTCTTCAGTGGACTGGCGGCCGCGGCGGAGGGCATCACTCATATGAAGATTTCCATGATCCAATCTTGAAGCTCTATGGTCGGATACGACGCTGCCCTAACATCGTCTTGTTGGCTGGCAGTGGCTTCGGCGGAGCAGAAGATACCTACCAATACCTTACAGGCTCTTGGTCGTTGCCTTTGGGGTACCCGCCCATGCCATTTGACGGTGTGCTTTTCGGTAGTCGCATGATGGTTGCCAAAGAAGCTAAGACCAGTCGGGGAGCGAAAGAGGCCATCGTGGCTGCACCTGGAGTCGAAGACCAGGCTTCATGGGAGCAGAGCTACAACAAACCAACCGGTGGTATCATCAATGTGAGGAGTGAGATGGGCGAGCCAATACACAAGATCGCTACAAGAGGTGTGCTGTTATGGAGGGAGATGGACGAGAAGATCTTCAGCATATCAGACAAGCCGAAGAGACTCGAAAAGCTGCGCAGCATGAAGTCCTACATCATCCAAAGATTGAACGACGACTTCCAAAAAGTCTGGTTCGGTCGCGACAGCCAGGGCAACGTGGTCGATCTGGAAGACATGACCTACGCAGAAGTATTGCGTCGTCTGATCGAGCTTCTCTACGTGGAGAAAAAATCAAGATGGGTAGACCCGAGCTACATGAGACTCACAGCGGACTTTGTGCGACGTATGTTTGCTCGTCTCTTGACATCTATGCCCCGATTCGAGACAAATTTTGGCCTGCAGACTCCGCTGCTGGCAGTTCCAAACATCCTGTCACATTGTCCTCAGGCGGAGAAGCAGATTATCAGCTACAACGACGCGCGCTATTTTGTGCTGTTATGCAAGCGACAGGGTCAAAAGCCGCCGACCTTCATTCCTGACCTTGATGACGACTTCGAGGTCTGGTTCAAGAAAGACTCCCTGTGGCAATCTGAGGATCTAGCAGCAGTTGTTGGCGAGGATGCTGGTCGAACTTGCATCTTGCAGGGTCCTGTGGCTGCCAGGTATTCGACACGCATCGATGAGCCAATAGCCCACATTCTGAACAACATCAACCAAGGACACATTTCGAAAATACTCGAGAGCCAGTATGCTGGAGATGTGGGCAGGGTTCCTGCTACCGGACTCACGACACCTGAGCCCACTTCATCTTTGAAGACGCCTGCCCATTGTTTCATTAGTCACGAAGGCCAAAAGGCACATTACCGAATCGCCAGCTCGATCGAAGACGATCAGTTGCCCGAAACCAGTCACTGGCTCCGACTACTAGCCGGTCGTCCAGGCACTTGGTTGCACTCGCTGTTGCTGTCAGAAGACATAACACAGGGCTCAAAAGTTGTTGCCAATCCCATAAGACGAGTGCTCTCTCCAACTCAGGGTATGCACGTCGAAGTCACCGAAGCCAGCAACCCTGAAGACTTGGCTGTTGCAATCCTCGAGTCCAATAATGACAGCTCTCTTTCGCCTACCACCAAATACTCTACGGTAATCAGCAAGGATAAAGATATCCTCGTCACCTTCTACACCGATGAAAGCGTAGAGAGGGTCAGTCTTCCGCTCACGTTCAAGTTTACATATCATCCGGATATGGTCATGCACCCGATACATGAACTTATGGCCGAACGTAACGACAGGTTGAGGAAATTCTACTACCGTCTTTGGTTCGGGACTGGCCAGCAAGAACGTCCCGTCTCCCCACAAGGACTTCGTAAACTTCAGCGGCGACCAACTCGGCCTTTTGACACATCGTTTCCAGCAACAGTGTCTCCAACGAAAAAGCCGCCAAAGGCAATGTCGCTCGTCACTGGTGGCGCTTTGAAATCGCTCAAGACTGAGCTCGAAACTCCGCTCGACTTGCAGGGGGCGTCCTTCAACACTGAGTCGCCGACGAACTTGGTCTTTAAAGGTCGCGAGCTTACGGTTTCCTCCCCATCGATACAGGATTTCTCGGATAGCATCGAGCAGTCGCACCAAGCGATCTCTGCACGATCTGATAAGAGTATGGCATCATTGGACTTTGCCATCGTTGTGGGATGGGAAGCTATGATGAAGGCGATCTTTCCCAGCGCTATCGACGGTGAATTCCTGAACCTGGTACACCTGTCTAATAAGTTTCGTATCTTGAACGACAGCACACCTTTGTCAAGTCTAGATCAGATCAACAGCAACGCTGAGATTCTAGCAATTCGAAACGAGCCCGCAGGTCGTGTGGTCGAAGTTGGTGCAATCATTGAGCGAGATGGTAGTCCTGTATTGGAACTTGTCTCGGAGTTCCTGTTCCGAGGAACTTACACAGACTACAGCGTCTGCTTCGAGAAGAAGTCCGAGCCCAAGATGCTCGTCAAGTTGGACTCTGCTCCCAAGATTGCGGTCTTGAAGAGCAAGAACTGGATCAGTTTGAAAGTACCTGAAGCAGACCTGCTTGGCCTCACAGTCATATTCGAGCTCAAGAGCCTCAACAGACTGGAGGCTGATTCGGCTTTCCGCAGTGTGCAAACATTCGGTCAGGTCTATTTTGAGGACGTTGTCACCAAGACTCGTAACGTTGTTGCTACGGTGCATTACCAGTCCGGCAAGTCTGCAAGCAATCCTGTCACGGAGTATCTGAAGCGGCAAGGTTCAGGCGCTGAAACTTTTCACCATCAAGAGAACGCCCAACCCCTCGGAGAGTCTGACTGGTTGCGTATCACGACTCCAGCCACGAATCAGGCCTATGCTCGGGCTTCTGGTGACTACAATCCCATCCATGTCTCCAGACCCTTTGCGAAGTATGCCAACCTGCCAGGTACCATTACTCATGGCATGTACACTAGTGCAGCGGTGCGACAACTCGTCGAGAAAGCGGCAGGCTCGAATGAAAGTGTCAGGATGCGATCATACAAGGCCTCCTTTACGAGTATGGTGCTACCTGGGGATACCCTCGAGGTTCAAGTCAGTCACGTGGCGATGAAGGAAGGATTGCGCGTCCTGTCTTTCCAAGCTGTTAACGTTGCCACGGGTGACAAGGTTCTGGTTGGCGAGGCCGAGGTCGACCAGCCACTGACCACCTACATCTTCACTGGTCAAGGTAGTCAGAAGCCAGAGATGGGCATGGATCTTTATGCCACGTCTGAGGTTGCCAAAGCTGTGTGGGATGAGGCTGATCGGTTTTACTCACAGACATATGGTAAGTTGCAACCACCTTTGTACTCACTCAGATATCTAACCCGAACAGGTTTCTTGATCAGTGAGATTGTCAAGCACAACCCCAAAGTCTTGACCGTCTACTTTGGTGGCCGCAGAGGAGCCAAAATTCGACAAAGCTACATGGAGATGACTGTCGAGTCCAATGGCAAGCCCGAGAAATTCTTCGAATCAATCAACAAAAAGACCACCAAGTACACTTTTACGCACAACGCTGGTCTGCTCTTCAGCACTGAATTCGCCCAGCCCGCACTGACAGTCATGGAACGCGCCCAATACCTACACCTCAAGAGCAAAGGCATCGTTTCGCCCAACGCCCTTTTCGCTGGCCACTCCCTGGGCGAGTACACTGCACTCAGCAGCATCGGCGAGATCATGTCGTTCGAGAAACTGCTCTCCGTCGTCTTCTACCGCGGACTCACCATGCAATCGGCCGTGAACCGCGACGCCTCTGGCCGCTCTCGTTTCTCCATGATGGCCGTGAACCCGTCGCGCATCAGCAAGATGATGAGCACGCAGGACCTGCAGGACCTAATCACCAAGATCGCCACCGCTCTTGAGGGCGACCTCCTCGAGATCGTCAACTACAATGTCGCCACACAGCAGTACGTCGTGGCTGGCACCCTCGCTACCCTCGACTGCCTCGCCGCCGTCTGCAACCACATGGCCGCCAACGCCAAGGACTTCCACCCTAGCAACACGGCTGCTGCCACAAATCTCGACAACGCTGTAACGACCGCCGCGGCCAAGACGGAGCTGAAGCCTTTTCCCATTCCTCTCAAGCGCGGCGTCGCGACCGTGCCCCTCGAAGGCATCGACGTGCCATTCCACAGTAGTTTTCTCTTGCCGAAGATGCCGGCATTCCGCAGGGTGCTGGAGCGGTATATCACTCGTGAGGCGATCGATGCACGGCTGCTGAAGGGGAAGTATGTCAGTAATGTGACGGGTAAGGCGTTTGATACGAGCTATGAGGCCGTGCAGGAGATGTATGAGACGACCGGGAGTGTGGTGCTCAAGGAGCTGTTGGAGGAGATGGAGGGTTATGCTTGAGCTTCCTCGCTTGTTGAGACTGGAGTTGTGTGTAGGTTACCGGCGTTTCGCATAGCAAATCTGAGACTGTGTACAGCTTGGCTGTTCTGAAGTATGGATGGAATCATAGAATGGAGTCGAGCCGGAACGATGATAATAGTCTATCGAGCGCACCAAATGCGAGCTTCCTTTCAATGGCTTCCTATTGCAGTAGCTCACCTCTACAAAAACCACTGCTTGACGTCAAAAGTGCTCTTTGAACCATATCAGTTTATCATCTATAATCATAACTCATCCACATTTACATAACTTCCCCCTCGCCCAATCCACAGGCGCCACAAAATCCAAGCCCCCCTTTTCACCCCTTAAATCGGGCTCGTGACCATTTCCAACTCCGCCTGGCTTATGCCCCCTCCATTGACCTGCACCGTATCCAAGCGCGGCGGTCCCTTCTTCTTCTCCTCCGGGAAGGGCACCTCATACAGCCAGCCATGGGTGTCCTCGGTCTGCCCTCTGATCGCCTTCGTGATGGCGCCGCTGAGCTCGACGGCGGCTGGGCCCGGCTTGCCCGCCGCACAGTACACGAACTTGTCGCCTGAGCTCTCGCGGACGATGGCGGCGATGGGGAGGACGCTCGCTGTTTCAAACTTTGATAAGTATGTGGATCTCTGTGGTGTGCGCGGGTGCACCCGCTTTGTGGTGAAAACTTACCGGCAGTACCCACGGCCAGGACCTCACTGAAGTCCTTCAGCTCCTCATACTTGACCACCCGCTTCTCAACCTCGTACCCCAACCCCCGCGCAATATCCTGCAAGCTGTCGCTCGTCACGCTCTCAATGACTTGCTTACTATCCGGCACCACCAACACCCCTTTCCCCTCTGACCCCTCCTTCGGCGTCCTCACACCCACGAATCCACTCGTGCTAAACTCCTCCATCTCGCTCATGGTCGCACTATCCAGATGCAACGTGAGATAAAACCCCTTGGCTTTCGCCTCGCGACTATGCTTGATGACCGGCGCGTAATTGCCCCCAATCTTCGCATGCCCCGTGCCGCGCGTCGCCGCGCGATCAAACCCTTCCATGACCAGACAGGGCAGGGGCTGCACCCCGTGGTACGTGGTCGCGGGCTGCACGAAGACCGCAAAGGTGAATTCGGACGGAGGCTCAAGCGCCAGTTGCGGGCCGGAGCCGAAGAGGAGAGGGCGCAGGTACAGCACGGCGGCGGAGTCGGCGGGGCCGACGAACTCGGCGTTGCGCTGCACAGCTTGCGCGATGCAGTCGATGAAGAGGCTCGTGGGGACGGGGGGCAGCGAGACGGTCTCGGCCGAGTGCTGCATGCGGCGGGCGTGGAAGTCCGGGCGGAAGATGGTAATGCGGTTGTCGGGCGTGCGGATCGCTTTGAGACCTTCGTAGGCTTGCATGCCGTAGTTGAGCGCGGGGGAGAGGCCGTGGATGCGCAGGTAGGGGTCTTTGATGAATTGGGGTGCGGACCAGGTGGAGGTCGAGGCCGAGAAGGTGGCTTCGATGTGTCCGTTGACGGTGTCGCGGACGTCGAGGCCCAGGGTCGCCCAATTCACGGTGGGAAGGGGTGGAGGGGGTGCCATCTTCGCGTGTGGTGGATGCGTTGGGGAGGTTTGATGAGGAACTACTGGTAGTATTTGGCGAGTTGGCTGATGTCGTTGGCGTTGTAGCTGTGACGGGTGCTGTTGATGTCGACGCTGTCGTCTCGGACTTTGGAAGCTGTACTTCCGGCGGAGGATGAGCGGTTGTGACTTCTGAAATGCGACGGGGTGTGGTAAGCTTGCGAGATTATGGATGACGTTGCCTTGTCCGATTGCGGTATGGGCAGCAGCAGTGAGAGAAACATCGGGTAAGACGGCTGGTCTCGATGATGGAGCTGCAACTGAGAGTGTGATTTCAGTTCTGGTTTCAGAGCTATCTCTGGACGTGTCAGCGGATATGGGGGCTGACCGATCTGGTTCTCACGTCCAGGCTGCCTGTTGCCCCGTTCTGAAGCCGAAAGTATATACACTGAGTACCACATTCGGACGAAAATAGACTGGGCTTGGTAGTTCGCACCGCCGCTTGATCAACAATCAGGGATCTCAAAGCTGCTTGGCTGGCTTGATGCACGCGTGGCGTGTACGACCCAGGGAATGGGGCGGGGCAGCCTGCAGCGATTATCCCTCCCGAGTTCACTCGAGGCGGTGACGATCGGCAAGGGTGTACAGTGCCACAGCATGTTTCTGGTAGGGCCATGCTCACCAATCTACACAAATTACATCCCGTAGGTATTGGACGGATGAAGCAACGTCAAGTTAACCTAGTGGATGCTAAAGAGAACCCTAGACTGTAATACGGTATCGGGGCTAGTGTAATGGTTTTGGTAGGATTCGTATCATTGAAATGACACACAGACAGTATCAGGCAGTGGAGCGCCCTGTCTGCAGCTGACGCCTCGTCTGGGGGCCTTGAAGTGGAGCTCCCGCCACGGGATACAGTACATGCAATCCCCAGAAGCTACACCTCTCGCCTGCATCTAGCCACGTACGACTCCACCTCTGCAGATTTGGGCTGCAAGCTAGGGTTGTGTTGTCAGCATTGGAGGATCCACGCTTATTTCAGCCTTGGATAAAGGAGCACAAATCTACTCGGTGTTGACACATCGATTCCATACTGCAAACATCAGACCGGTCACTTCTAGGTCCTACAAGTGCTGACATGCGGAGATGATGCTTCAGCTGTCGGTGGTAATCATGGGCATTATCTCGGTCCTTCCTGGCTGTAGAAGTGGTGCCGTAATCTGGTGTGCACGCGACCCCGGCCGGCGTCGTACAGCAGCTCGTGTGAGGCAAGACGCGGTGGACCACCGCTTGGCTAGGCCACCCACCCACCTGTCGGCTAGATAAAGAAACCTGAGGACTGTTGCTGGGGTTGATGTCAGGTGTTATGTCAGCAGGTGGGACGCGAGCGTGGGGTTGGGCATGGAGCACAAAACACTTCGATATCGTGCTACACATGTGAGCGCATGCCTCTGGCGTCGAAGCTCACAATCATTGGTTGTCGATTCGCAAGAGGGCTCAACATAGGCTCAGAATCTCATCTTACATGCAGCGGTCGCAGATTCGTAAGTGACTATGCGATTACATGTCTTGACCTCATTGCTATACTCATAGAACTCCGCCTATACTGTTCGAGGAGAGGTTGGAATTGCTTTTATTGGCGTGATACGAATTGGGTCTAAGCTGCCACGTCAATCTAGCTGGAAACGCCTTGCTCTAATTTTCGACAGTGTAACCATAATGCCATGCATCCGTTACCAAGACCCACGCACTGCTGATGAGTGGATCGTCTAAACATATCGACTGATCATTCCAAATGGTTGTACATGCTGCTCAGGATCGTATCACCAATCAGAATCTTAGCTTTGAGGCCCCAAAAATTCTCTAGGACGGTATGGCTCATACGATGGAGGATTGGCGCTGTCGTCGCGCCCTGCACGCTGAGGAGCAGCAGGCATAGATGGATCGCGGGTCGCTGAAGTGCCTCTCGATGGTGCATCGTAGTAGAATGCGGCTGCTTCGCCCGTCCTTCCACGAGGGTTCGGAGAAGGGTCGCGAGAACGTAGCGCCTTCATCTCTTCGTCAGCTGTGGTGGAGTTCAGGCGCTGGTGCGACCCCTTTCCGTCCTTGCCTTTGCGATGGAAGCAACAGCACAACTTCCGCGACAACCATGAAGGCGGTAGCTTAGCATCTGGCCCGTTCATGTAACGACCTGGATGGATGAGGTTCCAAACCAAGATAGCCAAGAACATCGGCACTGCTTCGAGAGCGTAGAAGTAGCTCTCATTGTGAGGCAGAGGGTTATCTGTGTCCATTCCGCCAGAGAATTCGACGAGTCTGAAGACGATACGGGCTGTGATAAAAGCCAGACAGGCGTATAGCGCATAAGTGATCCACTTCCACCTTGTCCTGCTGGCTGCCAGTCGGCCGTTCTTCTCGGCTCTGATCTGATCGAAGTGGAATTTGATCACTAACCCTAGAAAGAATATGATGAAGGCTTCTTGAAGACCAATGCCGGCCATGTAGATGTCGATACCCTTCTTCTGGGACTCGGGACTGCTTCCAGGACCGGCCATACCGCCTCCAATCAGCTGAATGATGAAGGACAAGACATCGAGTGTGACGAAGACGAAGGCTAGGATGCTTGGCGATATCTTCCATACTTTCTTCGTCGGTGAGAAGAAGTGCACGATCCGCGCGAAGACCATGTAGGCGAACGCATTGACCCCTAGACAACGTTAGTGGCTGCGGAAGCGGATAGTAAAGGAAAACGTACAGATTGGCGCAAGAAGCACCAAGATCTGTGCCAGCGTAGCCAGAGCGTTGCTTTGCTGGTTTTTTGATCCGGCCGCACGAAAGCCATATGAGCCAAACTCCCACAATGAAGCCATGGTAATGACCCAGCAGAAACCTTTCTTATAGAGAATAGCTTGTCCAAGGTGCGCGATGAGAAGTGCCCCGAACAGCACAGCGAAGGCTACAGCCGCGGCGAATGATGGGTAGTAGGCCCAAAGGGCACCACATGTGCCCGGTGGAACATAGCCATTTCTGTCCGGTTCAATCGTTTGAGTACATGTCGATGATGGGAGGTCTAACGAGAGACTGAAAGACTTGATAGAGACTGGTGTGATGCTCACGCCCGTAAATGAAGGTGCAGCAGCCCGCAACTCAAGAGCGGGTGTAGGATCAGGGCCTGGTACCAGTGCCTGGCTGGGAATGGCGGTCTGTGTAGGAAAGGCGGCCGCAAAACCCGAGCTGGTTGCTAGCAGCAAGGCAAAGAATGAACGGAGCTGCATATCTGGCAAACTCGCAAGTAGCACCGAGGTGATGAGTAAGATTGTGAAGACGATGATGTGAGTCCTCTTCTACATCGGAACAGAATGGCAGTTTACTTGAAGTCATGCACACACCATCAAACGCGCTTGCCTTGTGTGGACGCCGCGAGGCTTAGAGTCGGGGCAGGAACGCAAGCGCCATCCCGGCGCAGTCATGGCGGTGATGCCTCAGCACCAATCCTTTTGTGCTAAATTTAAATGGTAGATCTTCGTTTAGTAGCAGGATGAACAACCAGTGTAGTTAGCCATTGGACTGGAGGGACGCACAGAGATGATTGGTGGCCTTTTGTCCATGTTACCACATGCAGCGATGACAGAGCGATTCGTGAAACTTCCGACGATGTCACATTCAAGACGGCCGGGCGCAGTTTGCGACAGGCCCAACGCCTATCGTGTAGGGCAAGGGTTGATCAGTGATTGGCCCGTACGACGCCTCAGTCGCATGTAAAGGGATCTTCCCGCCTCGTAAGATAAATTACCGCTAAGACACGAGGCAAACGGGTGGAGCTGCATGCGTATCAGCTACTGTATGACCCCCAAGTTTTAGGCCCCCAGAATTTCCAAGATTATTCACAGTGTGGGTCGATCTGACAAAGATACCCTTGTGAATTGCAGCATTCGGAGAAGAGAGGTTACGGCGGGCAGCAGTGCCTCACCGCGTCTCACACCAAGCGCAGCCGCAATGAGCCGAAGCTGCTTCTGGAGCGGCGCAAGGCGATGCATGGCCAGCAGTACCTCATCGTATCTCCGAGGTGGCCAGCAAATGCATAGAGACCCGCGAGCACGTTGTGCGATCTAAGGGCCATCTCTGCGGAGCATGGCGACCTGCAACTCCCGGACAATCACTCGTTAGTACGCGGTGAACGCGCCATTGTTGCGATATGGGTTGTCCCATAGAGGTTGAAGATGTGTTCGGACCAGCAGTTGCTTCAACGTGCCATTGGGGGTTTGACTTCACCTTGCTGTTCGAGGAGATCTTCTTTGGCATTGTACCAGTCGTTGTCCTTTCTGTCCTTATACCACTTCGCTTATTTCAGTTATACCGTCGACAACCGGTGTTTCGACCGGGGGTGTTTTACTATATCAAAATCGTAAGTATCACATCTCGAACAACATCATCAAGTGTATATTGACCAAACCAGGCATGTCATGCTGCCAACTCTACCATCCAGCTGGTGAAGTTAATCTTCCTGGTAATCCCTAATTTCGTACCGAAGACCAGGGCGTCGATAGCAACCGCGGCGCTGAGTTTTTACATTTCGTTATTGTTGCTAGCGTTGTCACACTTCGAGCATCTGAGGAGTGTTCGCCCTTCAGCATTACTCTCGTTGTATTTCGGACTGAGTATCCTTTTCGACACTATCCGCGCGAGGACTTTATGGACCATTGAAGGCAACTTACCATTTGCGGTCGCCTTCTCGGTTGATCTGGGCTTCAAGCTTGCTCTTTTCATCTTCGAATCGCTAGAGAAAGAGTCAGGCTATCGTCGTGCAACTTACGAGACCGTGTCTCACGAAACCGCGGGTAACGTCTTCACGAGAGGCCTGTTTTGGTGGCTCAATCCGTTGTTGTGGAAAGGATTCAGGCGGATCCTGGACGTCGACCAACTTCCTGCAATCGACAATGAGCTATCCTCTCCTGAACTCCAGAAGCGTGTGTGGGCACGATGGGAGCGCTTACCTCACAAAACGCCAGGAGCACTGGTCAAGTTGCTCTTCTCCGAATACAAGTACAGCATGTTCCAAGGCATGCTTCCCCGATTGGCGTTGTCGGGATTCACTTTTGCCCAGCCTTTCCTGATCACAAGGGTCGTCAATTTCGCAACAGACCCAGTTGTTCGTCTCGACAATCAGCTTGGCAATGGCCTCATCGCTGCTACTGCCCTGATATACATCGGACTCGCCGTATCCAATGCAAATGCTCAGCATAAGACATACCGTGTTATTACAAAGCTGCGAGCCACTCTAGTGTCTTTGATCTACTACAAGACACTGGGGGTGTCGATCCCGACAGCCCAAGAGTCCTCTGCTGTCACCCTCATGAGCACCGACGTTGAACGTTCAGGCACAGGCCTGAGGTTTATGCACGAGGTCTGGGCAAGTCCGATCGACATTGGCCTCGCCATATACCTCCTGGAACGTCAACTTGGACCTGCAGCCGCGGCCCCAGGCGTGCTCTTCATGCTTTGCAGTGGTGCCGGCCTCAGGGTCGCCGCAAGCATGGGTCAACGGCAGAAACTGTGGCTAGAGTCAATCGAGCGCAGAATAAAGGCAACATCTGACATGCTGTCGTCGATGAAAGAAGTCCGCATGGGCGGCCTCCAGGCACGCATGGAGGATGAGATTGAAAAGCTGCGTAAAGAGGAGATTGAGATTTCCCGAAAGTTCAAAAACGCCCTCGCGCTGATTGTGTGCTTGTCGTATACAACAGCTGCCATGGGGCCGGTGTTTTCGTTCGGCATCTTTTCGCTGCTGGCAAAAAGAAACAACACCACACCATTGACAACAGAGAAGGGTTTCACATCTCTGGCTGTATTTTCGCTGCTCAGAACTCCCATGGCGCTGATACTTGATTCCATCGCCGGACTCGTGGCTTCGATAGGAGCTATGCAGCGTATTGGTGAGTATTTGGCCGCAGAAAGCCATCTGCCAGCACATCGTCATCACACATCTCCATCGCCACCTCCGCCATATGATCCGATGAGCTTCGAGAAAGGAGACGAGCGATACGATCCTGTACCACTGAAAGAGCTCCAACCCAACCTTGATTCACCATCGAACTCGCCAGATCCGAGAGTCGTCTTGGCCACAAAGTACAGCGCTGGATGGGAGAAGGATCGAGGCTTTATCGTGCAAGATCTCAACTTCTCCGTCATGCGAGGCTCTTTGACTTTCATCGTCGGGCCAGTCGGGTGTGGTAAATCTACTTTGCTGAATGCGATGCTGGGCGAGACGACTGTTAATTCAGGCGATCTGCACACCACATTCGATCGTGCAGCCTTCGCCGGTCAGTCACCATGGCTCATCAGCGATACAATCCGAAACAACATCGTCGGCACCAGCGTCTTTGAGCCTGTATGGTACAACCAGGTCATCGATGCGTGTGCGTTGAGAGACGACATCTCCAGCATGGCCCATGGCGATCAGGAAATCGTTGATGGTGGAGGCTCCAATCTGAGTGGAGGTCAACAAGCTCGCGTGGGCGTCGCGAGAGCCGTATATTCGCGTCAACGTGTCATCATCTTCGATGATGTGATGTCCGGCCTGGACGCTCGCACCGAGAGCACGCTCTTCACGAATTTGCTTGGTCCCGAGGGACTGCTGCGCAATGACAGCATCACAACTATCTTCGCAACGAATGCCGTACACAGATTGTCAGCCGGCGACCATGTTATTGCCCTCACAGCTGACGGTAAAATCCTGGAGCAGGGTCCTTATGCAGAACTGCTGAAAACAAAACACGGCCAGTCCTCGCCGCCTGAGAGCGACGGGTTCGAGCAGGCATCGATCAAGCCTGTCGATACCGAAGTCCAGGGTCTGATAGCCAAGCTTTCCGCGCAAGAAGTCAAGGGCAGTCAGCGGCGCACTGGCGACCTATCAGTCTACCAGTACTACGCCAAAATCGTTGGCTGGTTCAACTTCCTTCTCTTTCTCTCTTGCGGCGCGCTGTTCGTCTTTGCTCTGGTATTCCCACAGTATCTGGTCAAATGGTGGGCTGAGCAGAATGCACGCGAGCCGCACAGCAAGCTGGGCTTGTATTTAGGCTCATACTTCGGTCTGGCGTGGCTCGCCATCTTTGGGCTGGCAGCAGGATGTCTGCAACTGGTCGTCCGAATGATGCCTCGTGCATCTACTTCGTTCCACACCATACTCTTGCAGACGACACTGAACGCGCCACTCTCACTGTTCTCGGGTAGCAATGTCGGTGACTCTGTCAACAGATTCAGCTCGGACCTACAGCTGATTGATATGGAACTGCCACTTGCGCTTTTCAACACTTCTATCGAGTTTTTGTCCAGCATTGCCAATCTGATCGTGATTGCAATCTCAGCGAAATTCATCGGCGCAGCGCTTCCAGCAGTGCTTGTCGTCTTCTTCTTCGTGCAGAAGTTCTACTTGCGAACTGCTCGGCAATTGAGACTTCTAGATATCGAAGCAAAAGGCCCACTGTTCTCGCACTTCCTCGAGACCTTATCGGGAATTGCAGCGATTCGCTCTTACGGTGCTGAAGCTGATTACGAGCATCGCGCGATGGACAAGCTCGATTATTCTCAGAAGCCCAACTACCTTTTATACTGCGTACAGAGGTGGTTGAACTTGGTGCTTGACTTTATTGTGGCGGGCATAGCGATAGTGTTCATTGCAATTGCTGTCAAGACCAAAGGCGATATCGACCCCGGATTGATCGGAACTGCACTTGTGGGTATCGTCAACTTCAGCGTCAGCATCAAAGCTCTCTTGGAGAACTGGACGAATTTGGAGACGTCCGTCGGTGCGGTGTCCCGCGTGAGGTCTTTCGCACTCGAGACGAGGTCCGAGCACATGCCTGGTGAGAACCACCCACCACCGCCAAACTGGCCTGCGGAAGGCAATGTTACCTATCACGAAATCACAGCGACTTGGGAAGGCAAAGACAAGCCGGTCATCAAAGAGCTGTCGCTCGGCGTGGAGCCTGGCAAGAAGCTTGCGATCTGTGGCCGAAGTGGCAGCGGCAAGTCCTCGCTCATCTCAGCATTGTTTCGCCTGCTCGAGCCTCAACTTGGTGCTATCATCATCGACGGTGTCGACCTCACAACAATGCCGCGTCAGGAGATCCGAGGGCGACTGATATGCGTGCCACAAGCGCCCTTCCTTCTTACGGGCAGCATCCGAGAGAACGTTGACCCCTTCCACGTCGCGACTGACGAAGACGTCATGTACGCCCTGCGGCAAGTGCAAATGCTCGAGGCGATTCAGAGCATCGGCGGTCTCAACGCAACCGTTGATGGCGACAAGATGTCCGTAGGACAGAAGCAGCTCATCTGCCTCGCCCGCGCCACTCTCAGACCGGGGTCGATCTTGGTCCTTGACGAAGCGACCGCTTCGTTAGATTTCGACACGGACGAGATCGTGCAGAAGGTGATTCGCACAGCCTTCAAACACCACACCATAATTGCCATTGCGCATCGCTTAAAAACCATCGTCGATTATGACCACGTGGCCGTCATCTCCGACGGCCGCCTCGTTGAGTACGGTCCACCTTCCCGTCTCCTAGAAGACCAATCTTCACGATTCGCACAGCTCTACCGCATCTCCGCCGGGCACACCAAGATCGAGCGCGCCAAATCCCTCGCTCGTGCGCGCTCCCTGCAACGCAACGCCTCTGCCCGTTCCGGTCTCACCATCCGTTCCCTTAGCAAGAACGTCCACCGTCCACCACCACTCAACGATGACCCGTCCCAAGACCTCGGCCGATCCAACAGCTGGACGACCGAAGACGGCAAAGGGCCACCATCGCTGGCAAACCTGCAGACCACCAACCTCGACCACGACAAAGCCGAGCAGGACCTCTCTGCCTGGCCCTCCTACCACGACTCCCGTCCGAACTTCCCCGACGACGACGATGACGACGAAGGCGTCAGTCCCCTCATCGCCGGCACCCTCTCCGGCCCTCATTCCGACTTTCCCGTCATGCCAACCTTTGCCATCTCCTCGGCGCCCAATTCCGCAACGTCCGACAGCCACTTTACGGTGCGCCAGCAGATCGACGCGGCGTTCATGTCGTATACGAACGCGAGTAGCAGGGCCGGCGCTGGTACTGGTACGATCGGGCGGGGCGGGGGCGTGGGCATGGGCGATTACGGACGGTATGGTGGGCTGGCGAGGCTGGCGACGATGAAGCGGGAGAGGGAGAAGAGGGAGATGGACCGGAGGTGGGAGGAGAGGTTGGGGAGGTTTGGGAGCTTGAATGGACGGACGGAGGGGGAGGAGGTGGTGGAGGGCGAGGCGAGTGGCAGCCAAGCAAGGTATTCAGTGCCTGATGTCGACTTCGATTGACGCAGTGCGAGTTCGTTGCAGCAGATGAGGGTGGATGATAAAGTTGGGCAAGATGGTATAAGGCGGAACAGTTGTCGTTGATTTTGAGTTGGTGGTTACACACCTCGTTTATCTTGCATCGCATCCGGCGTTCAGATGGGGGTACGGGTACCACATGCGCGTTATGCGGTATTCTTCGTATTCGGTCATCGGGAACGGTTGATTAATCTCACATACCGGGAAAGTATGGTAAAGTGGGCGTTTCGGGGTATCAGTACGCATTGCTTAGGGCTAGGAAGCATTTGAATAGAAAGGCAGGCAGCGAAATCTTGGCAAATTTTGTCCTCTTCGTAGATCTAGGCGGCCGGCGGGTAATTTTCGCATTTCCACGTCCAAAACTCAGGAAAGACGGGAAGATCTGAAAATAGCGACCTCTCAGCCTCGCGGACGCACGTAAACGGCTATAAATCAAGGCCCTCCCCACCAGCGCGTGTGCCAGCACCTTTCACTTCCTCCCCACGCTGAATTACGCCAAGGAATCTACTGCCTGCTGACATCCAATCCTCCCACTGAACGTATCGCCCGCCAACCATGTCGTGGCTCCTCTGGCTACCCATTATTCTCTTCCTGCTCTCAAACTTCAAAGCCCTCCCACTCGTCTGGCACGTAAGTTCCGTTCCCCTTCCCCCCGGCCCGCCCTTCCAGCTATCCCGCACTAACGCCCCCCATCAAGCTCCGCCTCTTCACCTTCCTCTTCCAATCCCGCCACTGGCGCTCCATCCCAGACGCCGTCGCCGCCAAGCAGCAGGCCAAAGTCACAGATCTCCCCACACGACAGCCTTTACTGCTCTGCCCACAGATCATGCACACCCGCTCTCCCCTGCTGGAAATCGACTTCTACATGCACAAGTCGAACGCGAGTTTCATCACCGACGTGGACATTGCACGGTCGCACCTCGTGGCGTCGCTCATTGGCATGCACACGATTCGGCATCCGCCCAGCAGTGCGCTGCTGCCGCTTCCTGATGGTGCAGTGGAGAAGCAAGGCAGCAATGCGCAGAGTGGTGCGGGGGAGGCGAAGAAGGGTGGAGGAGGAGGAGGAGGAGGAGGAGGAGGAGGGAAGAAGATGCTGGCGATCGTGCTGGCGGGAATCGAAGGTGTGTTTAGGCGGGAGATCAAGCCGTACCAGAAGTACGAGGTGTGGACGCGCGTGGTGGGCTGGGATGAGAAGTCGGTGTGGTTTGCGAGCTGGTTTGTGCGGGCGGGCGCTGTGGCGAGGGCGGGGAGAGATGCGGCTTTGCACGGTGAGTCCGGGGATGGGAAACGCAAGAGGATTGTAATTGGGAGGGAGGAGGCGGAGAAAGCGGTGTTGGCCGTGGTGATTAGTCGGAATGTGGTCAAGTTGGGGAGGGACAGGGTAAGGCCGCAGACGTTGTGGGAGGCTAGGGGGCTGGTGGGGCCAGAGGTCAGGGAAGCGGTGGAGAATCAGAGGCTGAGAGGGATGAAGGCTGTGAAGGAGGGCGATCAAGCGGAGTTGATGGAGATATGGATTGATATGGTGGCTTTACAGGAGAGGGTCGAGGTTCTGGCCGATTATGGTGACATCTGGGCTGGAGCTTGGTCTTGGTTCTAGATAAGGACAAGTAACGATGAGTTTGTATCAGTACTTTCGTGTACGTTGATCAGATGTAGATTCCTCTGAATTCGGTTTTTCTTGATTGTTCTTTAGAGAATTTCACCGTTTCTCCTTCGACACAGGTACGGCTATCGACTGAGTAATCAGTGAACCTCACGGAGCTGAAATGGCTGGGTCCCTTGACTGGGTGGCAACACCCGCATATATCACATATAAGGAACATGCTTGCATCAAAGCCCCTGCTTCAGTCAACGCAATCGTCCTCTCCCATGTCGTAGCTCCGAGCACGTTCGAGTTCTCGCTCAGAGCCATTGCTGCCGACTGGGCCATGTCTAGATGGCGGTTTTGAACTCTGGTACTCAGTTCCTCGGCCGCTTCAACTTACGGTTTAGAAAGCCAGATGAGTCAGTCTGGTCTCGTCGTCAATGATACGTGATGTGTAAAGCTGAAATGCCTGGAGACTGGGGTGGACAGGCGGTAGTGAAGGGCTGCGGAGGTAAACGGAGATAACCGTGCTTGGAGACGTGACTTGGAGTTGCACTCTCGACTCTTCGACTCACTTTGCTCACAGTTACTCTCAAAACTCCCTCTACATTCTTTGCGTTCAAGCACATCTCTCCACGTTCGACCCTTACGACTGATCTAGCTTACGAATTTACGGCCAACGTCTCATACTTGCTACCGTATCCTAGCACTTCTTGAGTAGCGTCCCTCACTCGTACGACAGCAACTCACCCCGCATTCCACCTTCAGCCGTCCACTGTCCACGTGCCGCCGCTGAGGACTACTCTTCCTCCCTCTTCTCGTCATCTTGGGCCATCGTTTCAGTCACGATGAGCGCGGTCTCCGCCGCCGCCGGGCTCCTGGCGCGCCAATTGAAACAAATGCAGAACGACAAGGACATTCCCGGAATTTCCTGCGGTCTGGTTGATAACAATGTGTTTGAGTGGGAAGTGATGCTCATGATCAACGACGAGTGTAAATACTATGGAGGTATGTTCTAAGGCACTACATATACTTTTCTTCCCAACGCCTCCTGCCAGACCGCTTTATTGTCGTGGATGGGCGCAGTGCAAGTATCATGGAGTAATCCATCGGCTGACATTTTATACCCATAGGAGGCTTTTTCCGCGCCACCCTCTCATTCCCACCCGAGTATCCTTTACTGCCTCCCAAGATGAAATTCACCACTCCGTTATTTCATCCCAACATTTACCCCTCGGGCGAAGTCTGCATTTCGATCCTGCACCCTCCGGAAGAGGACAAGTACGGATACGAGTCGGCGTCGGAACGATGGTCCCCGGTGCAAAGTCCCGAAACGATACTGCTGAGCGTAATCAGCATGCTGAGCAGTCCAAATGATGAGAGTCCCGCGAATGTCGATGCGGCCAAGATGTGGAGAGAGGATCCCAAGGAATTCAGGCGGCGATGTCGAAGAGTGGTGAGGGAGAGCTTGGGTGACGAGTGAGGCTCTACGGTGCTATGCACTTTGGTGCCTGGCTGATTTTGTCACTGGGGGAGAGTGCACTAAAGCTTGAAGCTGGAACGGGTTCCGACGGCGTCATCATACTACAGCAGAAACGAGGTCCATTCAGTGGTACCGGAATGCTCTCTTAGCTCTAGCGACGCGAGAACTGTGGATACGGACATGCATATGGTGGGCTTTTGGGCGTCTGAGGTTATTGCTACATCCAGCGAACTTGTCACCCCAATCCATTCTCTTTGATGAATCTTCTTCCGTCATCACAACCAAAGCCAATTCAGCCCTCTTCAGTACGTGTACCTATACTTCGGGTTGTGTTCGCCCAGTTCCGCCACCTCGTCCTCAGTCAACCCAGCCAGCTTCTCATCCGCCTTCCCGGTCCCGTCATCGCGCTGCTTGTTAGCCCGCATGAACCAGACGGTCATGAAAGCGTAGATGACGCCCGCCATGGCCACCATGGCCATGGTGACTGCATGTCCGCGCACGAAGCGCGGCGCCTCGTTCGTCTTGTAGAGAAAGGGGGCCTGGTGGTCGAGCACATGGCACACGTACGTCAGCCTGCAGTCCACACAAAGAGATCCGTAGAGTCAGAAAGTGGGGGGGGGGGGGGGGAAACTCACCATGATGCCCGAACAATTCCCAATCGTCAACTGCAGGCCACTGGCCGTCGTGCGCTTGCCGTAGCGGGGGTTGTTGCTCGGCAGCCACGCGAGCGGGATGCCCACGATGACGTACAGGCCCATGGCGACGAGGAAGCAGCCGAAGTACTTGACGCCGTTGCTGACGGGGCTGATGAGCACGGCGTAGCCGACGATGCTGACCAGGCCGAAGATGATGGTGGGGATGCCGCGTCGCTGCCACCGATCGCTGCAGTACGCGACCGAGAGGTAGGTGAGGGCGCCGAGTGCGTAGCAGGGTATGGTGAGGGCTTGGACTTGGGCCGTGGACCAGGTGCCCAGGCCGCGGATTATGGTGGGGAGGAATGTGCTGTTTTGGAGGAGGGGTGTTAGTAGTCTGGCCTTGAAAGTTTGAATATGGCTGGAACGCAACGAGACGGCCACGTCTTTCAGAGAGAGAGGGGAGGTACCTGTATCCGTAAAGCATGGTGTCGACGCCAAACTGCCCCACGCAAAAGGCCCAGATCTTCCAGTCGCGCAGGCCGGCGTACACGTCGGCTTTGTGGTACGAGTCGGCCGACGTCGTATGCCCGACCTGGCGCTGCTTACGGAGCACCATCAGCTGCCGCTCGGCGGGGGAGAGGTAGTGGGCCGTCTCGGGGCTGTCGGCGAGCCACCACCAGACGGCGATGCCGAGGAGGATGGTGGGGAGGCCTTCGAGGATCATGATCTGTTTGGAGTTGGTGTCAGTCGACGTGGAGCTGGAACGTGGGATCGCAGTAGTGATGCACTTACCCATCGCCAGCCCCTCTGCCCGGACACGCCGTCCATGAAGCCGATTCCATATGCGAGCAGCCCTCCCACGGAGCCTGCGATGGCTGCAGATACAAAGAGGTAGCCCACGCGCAACGCGATCTCCTTGCGCGTGTAGAACAGTGTCAAGTAGATGGTGAGACCAGGGAACAAGCCGCCCTCCAGCGCACCGAGAATCAGGCGGCACGCGATCAGCCCGCCGTAGCTCTGCACCACGCCCGTGAGCGTGGCAACGATTCCCCACCCGGTAGTGATGAACGCGATCCAGCGCGACGGCCGCAGTTTTTTGATGACGAGGTTGGACGGCAACTCTGAAAGCACGTAGGTGACGAAGAGGATGGACACGGAGACTTGGAATTGGTCGCCGGTCAGTCCGAGGTCGTCTTCCAGGCCGTAGAGGCGCGCGTTGCCGATGTTGACGCGGTCGAGGAAAGAGAAGAGGTACAGCAGCATCACGGGCGGGACGATCCAGAGGTCGAGTTTGCGGATGACCTTGCGTTCAGCTTCGTCGTCGATGGCGGCGTCGAGGTCGCCTGCGGCGGTGGTGATGGCATGGTCTTTGTCGGGGTTGTGTTCGAGCTCTTTCTCGGAGAGTGGTGTGGCCATGTTGTCGGGTTGGATTGACAGCGGTCGCGCCACTTGCAACGGCGCCTTAAGCTTTATGGCGGGATTTGAGCTTCAGCTTGAGCTTGGGCTGGTCACTGTTGGACAAGTTTATCCCGAGTCAGAGACACGGAGCGAAAGGACGACAAGTCGTCAGTGTAAAATCTTGCGTCCAGCAGAATATCCACTGCGTCGCGGACGAAACAATTATATTATCGCGGGAACTGCAACACCGCCCACTCTTATCTCTGCATTATTCATAATCACCGTCGCTCCAAGACCGAGACCAAGACGGCGAATCCTTCAAATCAGCGCGCGTGTTTTGGGTGCGAGCTTCAAGCGAGATCTGCGGGGGAGCCAACTCGGAGGTCTTGTCGCTGAGCAAGGCCCAGACGCTAATATCGCGCCTAGCAGCGGCCGTGGACGAACACCCTGGTCGGGGCCGCTGGCGGGGCACAACCAGGAGCGGAGTTCCAGCGCCGCCCAGGGACGCCAGTGCAACCGCGCTATGGGGCGCAGTGGGTGCGGTGGGCGCCTCCCCACGCGACTCCCCCATTCTTGGGTGGAAGTACGAGTGGGCGAAAGCTCGATGATGCGATGCCAGGTGGTGGATGAGAAGCCAAGCCAGGTACAAAGATGCGTCTGGCCTGCAATTTGCCCCACGCTCCTGTTCACAGATCTTTACATCTACGGCCTTTTCTTGCAGTTGAGCTCGACTGCGGGAAACGTACGGAGTAGGATGGATATCATAAGTTGACTTTGTCTTGATTTTGTTCCTCTCCAGCAAGAGTAATACTGTGGCCACGTTTCGCCAGGCAGGGGGCCGATGAATGGCAACTTGGATCTTGCCAGAGCTATGATGTGGCTCCGAAGAATAGTGTCCTTTTCCTTGGTCTCGACGTAACCTGCGCTAGGTATGCTATGCAAAGAGTAGCTCGACAGAAACCCCAATCTCAAATGATGTTCCTGATACCAGCTTTGAGATAGCCCAGGGCACCTCCCTTACTCTTCTCATTTTGCAGCTCAGTGATGCTGGTGCGTCTTTGCTCATCCGTAACGTCGACGCCGCTAATCAGGTTTTGACCCTCTCTCATGCCAGTGTAGATATCGATATCCTTCAAGCGAATGAAGAATGGACGGTCGGCGGGCCGGAAAAACCAGCTGTAGATCTTCCAGCAGAAGTAGAGGAAGATGATCAGAGGTCCGGCGAGGTAAAGCTGGAAGAAGGTATTTGCATCCAGGTTGGGACCGCCAACGGGGTAGAGTGCGACGTAGAACTGGGCGATCAGGGCAAGGATGCTGATCAGCAAGCAGACGTACGAGCCCCAGACACCGAAGGCAGCTCGGAAGGGAAGTTCATCCTTGGAGCGACCATTATGTGCCCTAGAAATGGTTAGCCAACACGTACTGGTTTTGGGGACTGCAAATCTATCGCGTACCATGCCGCGCGGAAGCGAATGTGAGCCAGTGCGATACTGCCGTAGATGAAGATGATAGAGAGACCTGACAATGCTAGGAGCCAGTTGAAGATCGTGCCGCCGTTATCTGCAAGATTGATAAACGCCAAGCAGCCGAAGAGAAGCTGGAGAATGGTCACGGGTAGTGGGCGGCCTTTCTTGTCGATGTAGGCAAGGACCTTCGGGGCCATTCCTGTGTTCGATATCAGCATTAACGACCGACCAAAATCCAACGCAAGCACGTACCATTGGCAGCGAGAGCCTGGATTGTTCGGGTCGAGCCAAAAGTGCAGGAATTTGCAACGCTCATGACAGCAATCAGGATGACTGCATTGAAGATCGATGGGAGGACCTTGATACCAGCAAGTTGAATTGCAATGACAAAGGGCGAGTGCCGCGACGTCGAGCCTTCAGCGGTATACAGTACACTATTCTCCGGAACAATCAGGCCCACAAGGAAAAGATTGACGATGTAGAAGATGAGGATTCGCCAGACGACCTGTTTCGAGGCTCTTGGAATCTCCTTTCTTGGGTTGGCACTCTCGGCAGCAGCCAGTCCGGTCAATTCGGTGCCAGTATAGGCGAATGCTGCGGTGACGAAGACACCACAGAAGCCGTGGAAGCCGTTCAGGAAGGCAGAGTAGGGAGAATGCCTATGTAGATTGTCAGTCCTGCAGGTAGTCGCACACAGAGCATTCTCACCAGTATCTTGCGCCAATGTAGCCTCTGTCATCTGTCGGAACACCACCGCAATTGATGATAATACCCAGAATGATGAAGCCTGTGCAGGCGATGACCTTGATCATACTGATGACGAACTCAACCTCACCGTAGCCTCGAACACCGAAATACTGAATGCAAATCAAAGCGACCAGCAATGGTACAATCCAAGCGCTGTTGTTGATACCCTCGGAACCTGGCCAGTAGTGGATGATATTGCAAGCCGCCGATATTTCGAATGGTAGGACTGTCAGCCAACTAATGGCGTATTCCCAAGCGCAAGCAAAGCCCCACGAGGGATCGACGAATCGACAGATGTACATGGTAAAGGCGCCATTGACCGGATACATGACCGACATTTCCGCAAGAGCCTGCATCATGAGGTAGCTAGGGTGGTCAGCGTTGGAAGGAGATCCGTTATTTGCGAAACATACACTTGAAGACCTTGACAACATTAGCTCCAGTTCATATTACTCGCCAGGATATAACTCACCAATGATCATGAAACCGAGGAGTACAGAAGCAGGTCCGCCGGTCTGGAAAGCACCGCCAGAACCAATGAACAGACCAGCACCAATCGCACCACCACTGTATCCGGTCAGTGTGAAAGCACAGAATGCGACAGGGACACCCACATTGCAATCATCTGCATGTGTCTGCCTTTCAGGTTGCGTTTCAGTGCATTCTGGTCGGCCGCAACCATGGCACGATCCTCAGGATCCACGCTGAATTGTCGTCCGCGTGCATGGTCAGAGAAAGAGCCCGGCTTGTGGACCTCATTGACCTCTTTGGAGCCGAGGGCGCCATTCTCGTGCTGGAAGCTCATATTGGCGACGGCGCGATGAAAGCGAACCTGGGAGGAAGCGAGGGGAGAGAGACGCACAGCGCAACGGTTGCCGGCACTTTAAAGCGTCAAGGCTTCTCAAGCTTCCCAAGCTTGCTAAGCTTCCCGGGCGACACAAGCACTCCTATCAGACCTCCACTTTCTCAGCCGAGGTGGAATGACCACCGCTCTTATCCACAAATCGCATCGAGACTTGCCACACGAACGTCACATCGCGCCGGAGCCGCACGCGGGGGTGACACGATTGTAGGGGCTGGCTACGCGGTGCCAACCAATCTTAGCACTGCTTAGCTGGGTGGCAAGCTTCGCGCCAATTCGCTTTGGTCACGGCGCGCGACCAGGGCACCTGATTGATCAGTTGAGCCCCGGCGAGGGCCGGTCTAATCAATGACACCACTCTTACCTTGATAAGTAGGTAACATTAGACTCGCGAGGAGCCCTGCATCGGGCTGTGCGAGCCGATGTTACGTGCAGTACCCTTCCAGAAGGCCTTCAATCCGGCGCTATCCGACCAGAGCACAGATCTCGAGCCGTTGACCTGCGCTGGCGAGCAGTGCGAATCGCTGAGCGTCAATTCGATCGACCCGAAGCTCGGATCGACTGCAGCCAAATGGCTGAACAGCCCATGCAGTGCGTTGCACGCATCTCAGACGTATGCTCTCGTGCTTTCTTCCGAGCTTCGCGCAGCCGGTTATCAAGAAAGGTAAAGTTTCCTGCTGGCAGGGGCCGCGTGGAGGGCGCAAATGGAGCATTGATTGGAGAAGTTCAAGGGGGGATCGCGTAGCCCGTGGAGCTTATGCCGGGATGGGGAATCCATGTCAAGGCCTCCTTCGCGGGGAACGCTGCGCGCTCGTGAGGCTCGTTTGGCTCGACGTCAGTTTTGATAGCCACAGCGTTGCTGTGACTTCACCGGAGATCAACGCGAAGCTCATGGACAGATGCTGTACCTTCAAAGCTCTCCATCATCAGCACCTAGGATAACGAGAACAATCGCTAGTAAGTGCACGAGCCCTCCTCCACCTCCAAAGGCTGTACCCCTAGAAGTTCTGCGAGAACGCTCGTTGGCCTTCACTGAACCACACGGACGAGTCATCGCACAATCTACGGATGAAAACTGGTGCCCGCCTGGATACTATCAAAACGGTTCTAAGGACAACGTGTAGTAAGCTGTGGGTGTTCCAGACCGTCAATATTTTGCAGCAATGGCTGCCCGGGGGGGCTCAGTATTGCCGCGCTCACGATAAATATGTACCGAGTTGGGCGTATACCCTGGACTAACGCTGGAATTGCTCAGGGGCGGACTTCTCTAATCAACAAAGCTGGCAAGCTTGCCGTGAGACCGCTGGTCGGTCAGCTCAGTGACGTGCCTTGCATATCAGATGCATTTCTCAGTCCCCTCTGGCTCTCTGATTATGCCAACTCACGTAGTTGCCCACCTTTTCTGTGTTATGCTAATGGCCGACTATGTAAGACCTGCTGAGAGGCTTCTGCTGAAGACACAGCCTCTCAAGCAGAAAGGTGGCGATTAGAATAACTGACACCACATCTCTACCAAACAAGGGCAGACAATAGTCTAAAGACGCCAACAAGTGCGCCAGCTCTCAGATTTATACCGCCAGAGTCGGAAGTTGCGGACGCAACAGCCGCAGAAGTGCCAGACGTGGAAGTTGAGGATGCAGCAGCCGCAGAGGTGGCTGTCGTGGTGCCTGTGGTCTCGTCCTTCGTATCTTCGTCTGGTTCTGTGTATGTACCATCAAAATAATTTCCAGTGCCGCCAATATCGTCGTGGTAGTACCCTAAAAGAACATATTAGATCGCGCTTGAAATTCCTCCATGCACATGCTCCCTGCAGGCGGGTCCTTGGACTGTGCTTACCGGTAGCTGGGTTGTAGCATAGAAGCGAATTATCTGGGTGCTGATAGCAAGTCTCACTGCTTGAGCAGGTCAACGTGTCGCGGGCCCTGAGCTTCTTAATCAGACCACTGTCGTCGTCGCTTCCAGAAGATATCAAATCATCGCCTGGGCTTGAGATGAGATCGTCAGTGCTACCAGTGATGTCTGTCGAGTCTGGGCAGCCCACGGCATTGCACTGTCCGCTTAGCGCACTCTCGGTACAGGCTTGATACTCGGCAGCATCATTTTTGAACTGAGCACAGATATCGGTGATGGAATCTCCTCCAGAAGATGAGCCGCCTGAGGAGCCGCCCGAAGAGCCGTCCGAAGAGCCGTCCGAAGAGATCTCAAAAGGCCATGGCGTGGATCTAGGTACTGTGCAGTCGGCGGCTAGATTGAGATGCACAATGGCAAGGAGGACGGTTGATCTGGTGAGGTGCATTGCGTTCGGTAGGCGTGGGACTAGTCGACCTGCAAAATGGTAGGACGCATGGCGGCGAGAATGGTACTCGACGGATTGATAAAAGATTCATGGCGGCCGTTCCTCGAATGTCGTGGAATCCACGTGGGTATGGAAGCTATCACTGATAGGGGTACACAAATTGGTACTTCCAAGCTTTGGGCGTCAAAAGGCACGCCTGGATGAAGCATCTTTGAGGCTTGTTTCTTGGTATTGGCAGCCACATTTACTCCTGGTGTTGTAACTGGGCAAAATCCGACTCCTCGCTTCTAAGCTCAGTAGTGGCTTCAGCCGCAAGCTTGACATTCCGAGACCTCCTGGGATGACGGAGCGAGATCCAGCTGTTCATTTCGTCCGTCCGGATGAGGCTCAAGAAAGTGTGAAGTGGCCACAATCGATGTACCTCGGTTAGAGGGGGGAGACCCTCTAAGGGCTCAGTAGGGCCCAAGAACATGCACAACTTGGCGGGCGTCTTTTTGGCTTTCCGAGCTCCTTGAGGGGGCGCCAATCCCGCGACATCTGCCTTCCACATTGCAGAGTCCAGGTGAATTGCATTTCGCGGGATCGCTGCAATGTGCTACTCGGCTTCGATTGAGGAATGGAAGGTGCGATTAGGGGTGTCAGCTGCCGAAAACGCTTTCTCGCAGGGCCGACTTGACCAGAAAGCCGCCAACGCTGCCGCCCACTGCGCTAAAGCCGGTCCCGCTCCTGTCGCCCGGTCCAGGCCTCAAGGACTGGTAAGATCGGACACCTTTTAGAAACATGCAGACTATCCTGTTACGCCCGAGGTCAACAAGCGAACTCCGTGTTCCTTCGAGCACCATTTGACGGTGATCTGTAGTCTTCGACGAGTTTTGGGCGAGACAATGGCAACAAGAAAATTTCTCCAGGCGTCCATCGGATCGTCCCTCTCATCATCCGTGGAGACGACAGCCAACTCGTGTCCTCCATAGTATGGTCAGCGGATGACAAGAATGACCAGGTATTACTGTTGGGTATCACTTGGTGACTTTGGTGACTGCGTATAATTTGCACTTATGGTTTGCAGTCGCAGACCTATCACTGCCTCAAAAACCCTCGACGCAAGCCATTGCTGCTGGCTGCCTCGGGTTAATCGGAAGCCAGGACAGACTCCCAATCAAGGTTCTTCTATCCACTTGCATCCTATATCCAGCCTAAACGTTCTGAAAGAAGCGACCTCAATGCTGGTTGAGTGGCGTGAAAGAGGGAGAAGTGGAAACGGAGATCGGGGACGTTCCGCTCCGCCCCCAGGCACCAATGCCCACACAGCCTCGTAGCCTCGTGCCCGTAACCTGCTCATCCATCATCGGTAAGCTCCTTCATCAGGAGTCTGTCTCATCGCATCCTCCCGGTCTCCTACTCGCTTCCACTACACGTATAGCCTCGGGAGCTGACGCCATAATGCTTCCTTTCACCAGGCATTCTCTTATTCCACCTCCGAATTCTTTTTTATACCGTGGCCTTGCAGCTGTCGGTGCTATTTACACCACTAGGCTTCTCTTCCACCTCTCATCATTTGCCTACCTGCAATATCTCCGACCCAGCCGTCTCCACAGCTATACGAAAGCCCCCGACGGCAATCCAGCTTGGGCCCTCATCACAGGCAGCTCGGACGGACTCGGTCTCGGCTTCGCAACGGAACTACTCGCCGGTGGCTTCAACGTGATCTTGCATGGCCGCAACTTGGCGAAACTCGAGCGTGTCCGCGCCTCCCTCCTAGCCTCTTACCCAGCTCAACAAATCGAAATCATCAGTCTGGACGCCGGCAGTGATGCTGACGAGCAGACCAAATTCTCAGCCCTCTCGTCCCGCCTCGCCGATAAGCATCTGACCATCCTGGTCAACAACGTCGGCGGCCACGCAGGACCGGGGCCACTGTGCTCCCCTCACGCCTCGCGCCTGCCAGGGCACGACCGTAATGCCATCAACGTCAACATCTGCTTCGCGCTGGAAATCACTCGCGTTGTGCTTCCATTCCTGACCGGCCACGGGCAGCCGGCGTGCGTGCTGAACGTCGGGAGTGCCTCGGGAAGACTACCTTCGCCCTACATTGCAGTGGCGGGCGCAACCAAAGCTTTCATGGAGTCGTGGAGCAAGAGCCTTGCAGCTGAGATGACGGCTGAAGGGCACGATCAGATTGATGTAAGGTGCGAGCTGGTGGGCATGTGTAGCACAGGGGGCGCCAAGAGGCCGGTGACTTGGTTGGTGCCGGATGCGAGGACATATGCGAAGAAGAGTCTGAGCTTGGTGGGGGCGGAGAGGAGGGTGGTGTGGGGATATTGGCCCCACGCGTTGCAGTTTGCAGGCATCTTTCCACTCCCGTTATGGATCAAGGAGCGGGCGGTCACCAAGGTCGTCAGGGAACAGATTATGGCGGAGGATCAAGCCTCTAGGCAAGAAGTGGCTGAGGCTCACAAATAAAGGGGTATCGCCAGATATATTTTGGTATGTTCTTTTCTGTGCCGGCAGAACCAGCAGCTCACTCCTAAGAGTCGCTGCTGTGGGCCCAGTGAGCCTGACCGTTCATTTTGTCGACTCTTAATTATCCACTCCCAGTTGCACTATGCCAACATAGAACGCAAAGTCCCAGAACTCTGATCAATATCGTGTATCTACAGCCTAGACCTTATCTTCACTACGACGGTGTTCCACGTGAGTTACCTCGACACCACTTTTCACAACCGACTCATCCGTATCAGGTTGTTGAAGATTCGTGACATAAGCAGCAAATTTCCTTGTAGCCACCCGGTTCTCAAACAACTCGTCAAGTTGTTCCAAGCTTCTTCCTTTCGTTTCCGGGATGAAAAAGAAGACAAACACCGCCAGGATAAGGTTGCTGCCGCCCCAAATGTAGCAATACTTCGGACCCCAGTTGAGGGCTTCGGGATTGATAAAGTAAGGCGTGCAGTAGGTCAACAGCCATGCGAAGATGAAGTTGATTCCCTGCGCCAAGCCGACGGTCTGCGAGCGCAGCTTTTGGGAGGGGACTTCGGCCTGCATGGCCCAGAGCACGGGGCCCTGGGCGACTCCGTAAACCCAGGTGAAGATGATACTCAGCGCGACGAGGGCTTTGCCTGCGGCCGGAGACGCTGGGCTGGCAACTGTATAGACGATTGCCATGCCGAACATCAGCATCGAGTTGATTGTAGAGCTGTTGAGAAGAAGTGTCCTGCGAGGGACGAAGCGTATCGCGAGAAATGACAGCATGTTTCCAGTGAGCGCTATCGTCAATCCCACCATTACCCACACGAAAGGCTGGCCGATGTTTGCCTGAACATAGAAGTAGACAGAGAAGGCTGCGATGAAGGTGATGCCGCTGGCTGTCTGACCCACAGATGCAGCAGTGCTGAGGAGCGTCCGGCGGAGATTTGCTCCTCGAAAGGCGTCCAGAAAGGACGTGGTTGTGCGTTCTTCTGTTTCTGCGATCCATGCCTCCTTCATTATCCGAATGTCTTCCTGAATCCGTGTGGTGTCCGTGATTCCGCGAAGCTTTGTTATGGCAGTAGCTGCCTTTGATTCATTCCCCTTCATGATATAATGGCGTGGAGACTCGGGCAAGAAAATGAGACCAATTGACACAACAACTGGAATGACGGCTGTGACCGCCAAGGGTACCTGGTAGGAGAGTGGAGTCAGGTTGGTCTGCATGTAGTTGTCGACCAGGATGCCAATCAGCGCCCCGAACGAAACCTGGAACATGATCATGCCGACGATCGGGCCTCGTAGATACGACGGCGAGGCCTCTCCCATGTATATGGCCGAGTACGTGGTGTAGAAGCCGTTGGAGAAGCCGAGGAGGAAGCGTCCGACGTAGAGTGCTGCCAGATGTTTGCTCCCGACCATGATTCCGACGGATACAATTGAAGCAAGGCCTGCGATCCACAAACCAATTCTGCCGTGGAAGAACTGTCCATAACCAAAAATTATAATGCAAGCGACAAGCGATCCAAGTTGAATCAGGCTTTGCACCAACGTTTGCACTCTAGTGGAGATGTTGTAGCCGATAGGATTTTCAGGCTGCCACGTTTAAGTCAGTAATCAAACAAGAGATGTAAGCCGCAAAGCCACAACGTAGTTCGAATGGAGGCCGTCATGACATACATCGCTGTACCCGAACACAATAAGGAAACCAGGCATCGACTGAAATCCTGCAACTGCGGCAGAGTCGTAGCCATACTGGAATTGTGACAAGGCGATAAAGAAGCAAATTGCCACGACGCGCTTTTCAGCCCCGATGGCTTGAAACTGGGCTTTCATATAGCTGCTGTCGCCCATATTGGTGTGCTTTGTTGACAGGCGATTATGGAAATTTCGACAGCGAAAGTACAGGGAATAAGCACTTTGAGAAGAGCTCAGACCCCGTAAGACGAGTTCAAGCAAAAGAGCTGATTTTAGATGCTTCACGAACACTTGCTTCGGCATTAGTAGCTGCTCAAGGGAATGGGCCCTTCCCCAGACTTCGGAAGCATGGCCCCGCGAAGGAAGTGAGGCTTGCCCCAAGTGCCGGTTGCGACAAGGGTTAGGATTGGACCGATTGGTCGGCACTGAATGAGCTACTGTTTGCAGATTCACTGCTGAAACGATAATCAACCACCCTTGAATCAGTCAAGTGAGGAGGTTCTTCGAGCTTTGTGGAGCTTTCGGGCGGCGGATTAATGGTAGGCGAAGGCAGGGTCGTCCGGCTAGATCTTGGGTGGTCACGCTGGCGTAGTTGTGCATAGAACCTAGGATTGTTGACCGACCAACGTCGAAAGTCGACGAAAGCCATGCGTATATGTCTCAATCTTGAAACAGAAGAGGATACAAACGAGATATAATTGCCGAACGGACTGTATAGGCAGACTATCAGGGCGGGGTAGAGCAACGTTCGGGCATATTCTTGTCGTTGACGTCGGGGATTTTGGGTCCACGCTGAGCTCGCGCAATACAGCAGAAGTCAGCCATATGTAGCCTGGGCCGGCCATCGCAATCCAGGCCATCGTTGTCGGTGCATGTCCAATGCGAAGAAGAGGTGAGGGAGAGGGAAAGATAGATGGAGCAAGTTTTTTGCTGTGATACAAAGAGCCAACCCTAACCCTGATCAAAACGACGTCAACGCCCATTCGTTCGCGACAATTTTTTGAATCTATGGGAGGGCGATACTACCACTGTTTGAAGATCAGCTATCGCAGCGATGAGTTCCTCGCGTGTAGAGGAACTCCCGGATGACTTTGATGAGTCCCTAGTTCTCAATGAGGGCCCAACGCAAGGTCTGGCAGCGCCCGCCAAGAGCAAGAATGTGTCGCTCGCAGAGATGTACGAAAAGCGCCTGGACATGCCCAGTGCAGCGATCACGGACAAGAGCTTTGAGGAGATCATGTTCGACATGAGCAAAACTCCCATCTTCATGGATGCACAAGATGTCGCCAATCAGAGTAAGTCCGCCGCGCAAAGTCGCGGCTCACATATTGCGCCAGGACGACGTACTGATCTGACAGTACAGCTGAGGAGAATGAACTGCTCGAGGCTATCAAGGCGATGCAGTATGAAGGGACAAAGTCCGAGATCGTCCAGGGATTCAAGGACCAAGGTAATGAAGTCATCAAGGAGAAGAAATGGGCGGATGCCAAGGAGTTTTATACCAAAGGTATTGCGATCCTGAACGCGAAGCAGGGGAAGTGGGATGAGCCCAAGCCGGAGGATCTAGAGGAGGAAAATCGGAAGCAGATGGCGTTGCGGGAAGTCGTATATGTCAATCGAGCGCTGTGTCAGCTGGAGTTACGTAACTACCGCTCCACAACCTTGGATTGCGCCCAAGCTCTCAAGATGAATCCGAGAAACGTCAAAGCACACTATCGAAGTGCATCAGCGCTACTGGCTCTCGACAAGGTACATGAGGCGCTTGATGTCTGCTACCGCGGCCTCAAGATCGACGAGGAGAATGTGGCGCTCAAGAAACTGCTGGACAAGATCAAGATTAAGTCAGAAGCACTTGAGGCACGCGATCGGAAGCGTCTAGCGGAACAGAAACGCGCAGAACAAGAGCGGCTCACGCTCCAAACGGCATTAGCGGCGCGGAACATCAAGACAAGAGGCTCCCGCAAGCCACCGGACCTTCAGGATGCCACCATCAGACTGAGTCCTGATCCGCTGAGTCCCAAGAGCATGTTGGAATTCCCGGCCATGTTTCTGTACCCTCTTCACAACCAGACAGATCTCGTCAAGGCCTGGGCGGAGAAGGATGCGGTCTGGCAACACCTCAGCTACATTCTGCCCCTACCGTGGGATGAGAAGTCTGAGTACAAGGATGTCGAGTGTTACATGGACACGATAACGGGCGGTTTGATGAAGGTGGGTAAGAAGCTGTCGCTATTGGAGTTGTTGAGCAACGGCAAGACCGAGATCGTGGATGGCCTTGTGAGGATCTATGTCGTGCCAACTGCCCGGGCCAGAGAATGGATCGAAGAGATCAAAGCCTTGAAGGGCAAGTGAAGCGGACCACCTGGTTCGACACTCGGACAACCTTTCCACCCCGCCGCTGGTGGCGTAGACCGGACCAAAGATTGTGGGAGACTCATGGTTTGGCATCATTCTCTTCTCCATTCAAAGTCGCCAGAAACAGCGAGGACATTACCAGTCCTTGCTTCTGCCAGGCTTGGGCACCTACAGGCGTCGTACAAAATCGACCCGTGTCTGATACTGTGGAAGACAGGCAGGAACTGGCGAGCCCAAGGCCCCGAGGCATGCCATCAAGGCGTGCGACACGATGGCCGTCGTTGGCGTTGTGCGACGAGCTGGGTTTTGGCGGTAGGCTAATGCGGCGCTAAAGCTGCTAAACCTTGGCTACGCTCCACTTTGGCTCGTGTGTTTGCGCACTTCTTCCATCATTCACAGCCCCTCTGCATCACTGTCACACCCGCCCGAATGCTTGAACGCTTGCCATGCTCGAATAAGTTGTCATCCCCCGCAGACCCCCGAAAGAAGAACCTTCATTGAACCTCTCGCATTACCCGTTGGGTAGCACCCCAATCGCTTGTTGCGCCGCCGCAAATCGATCTTCGGCACCACCCCCCGGTTCTACAATTTGACGTCTTCAGAGCCTCTCGTGTAGTGTCCCTCGCTCGGCTTAGTTGGACGCTTGCAGCGCTTGATAACGTCGCTTGTCATCGCGCCCATCATGAACAACCCCGCCCTTTATCCTCCCAATAATCCCTATGGATATACGCCGCAGCAACAGATGCACCCTCCGCAACAATCTTTTCCTCCTCCCGGCTACCCAAATCATTTCCAAGGCGGTCCTGTCCCGCACGGTTATCCACAGCAACATCCAGGGTTCCAACCCCAGGGTAAGACTTAACCTTCTTTGGATCTGCGACATCAACTGACCTTCTTAGGCACACCCCAGTCCTCCACCCCACAGCTCCCTTCCTCTTCGCAGAATCTGAGCGCCCCCGGTTCCTCGACGCCTACATCGGCAGGTCAAATGAGCAGCATGATGGCTCAGCAGAGTCCATCCGGCTCTAATCTGGCACAACAAGCGCAGATGCAGAACGCTGTTCAAGCCCGCTCCAATAGCCAGCCTCAGCCGAATCAAGCCATGTCTCCGCAGTCGCAACAGAGGGAGAAGGCCCGCGTAACCGTCCTGCTCGAGATCAACACGGCGCTGCTACAAGAGGTGGTTTCACTACAAGGGAAAGGCATGGCGGGGACTCAGGTCAATCAACCACAGCAGTCGCCCAGCTCTCCCACATCCGCGACAGATAACGCGCTGAACAATAGCCCGACGACCGATACTCCGAAACAAGGCAAACCGCCCAGTCAAGAGTATCAGGACTGTATGCGTCGTCTACAGGCGAATCTCTCATATTTGGCGACCATTGCCGATGCAAAAAAGAAATCTGCCGGTCCTCTACCTGCTGGACCAGCTATCATGATTCCGCCGCCGCACCTCTCCGGAGTGCATGATCTGTACAAGAGACTGAATCAGCTGTTTCCGGAGGCTAGTCAGTCGACTATCAACAAGGCCATGGCGTACGCAAGCGCGCAGGCCAACAAGCAGGGAGGTTGAGCAAGTTAGTGTCATGGGTTGGCAACACGTTATCATACACTCAGCTGAACAGTTCCTACAAAATGACCAATTCCAGCAGGAGGATTATTCACAAGTCGAAAATGGCAAGGAGCTGTCACGAAAGAGGTGCCTGTGTCTCCTCGCGACCGGGAAACACCATCTCCGCTGACGACAGGTGAGCGCCTGTACATTCGCAATCTTGCTGGCGTTAGGTGGATCCTAGCCCTCTCATTCCCCCCATAGCTACAGACTACACCTTAACGAAGACTGAGACCGGTAAGATATCTACCACGCTCGCTTATGTCATGGTACTGATGTCACATCTACAGGGATCATAATAGTAGCATCTACGAATTGAAGTTTTCAGGACGAACAGGACGACGGAGTGAGAGGAGTGAATTGTGTGATACATGTGCAGAGCGACCGAATCAAGGGAGCAGATATCAGTCAAATGGTTCGGAGGGCCTATCGGCAGTCAGCGTCTGGCCTGAACTAACACGACATCTGCATCGACACCATCGGCACCGCGCAAGCACCAGTCGGGTCTACCATCGCCCGGCTGACGCAAGGGAGAGCTCTAGTATGCTTGAGCTCGGACAACGCTGCTGGACAATGGAAGGCAGCTGAGAGTCGACCGAATCAGGATGTGGTGTCATTGGCCGCCAGTATTGGGCTGACTGACTGGCTGCAACGTACTACAAGATGCAGTGGAGGTTAGGAGTAGTTGGCTTCTCACCACGGTCTCTGCTATCTGATCACGAGGCGAGGGGGCCACCCCTATGGACACGGGGATGACAAACTTGAAGGGAGGGCTCCCCATGCTCACAGCGACTACACTCCGAAAACCTCTACTGTAAGTTCGGAGAGCCCTCCCGTCGATTTTGTCGACCCTTGGTGGAGCTGCCATAGGCAGACCACTGCAGACTATCAAGTTTCATTCTGTTCTTACTCAAGGCTCGGATGCTTCTAACCGCAATCAATCTCCAGAACACAGCTTATCCTGATATCATCCAAATACAATAAATATTAGGAACATTGTCTGATCATTTCCAACATCGTCGACCGGGGCCTAGCTCACTCGACTCCCGGTAGAATGCCATGCCCTGAGCCCGCCTTCATCCATTGTCAGTAGCAGCGGTCAATCTCTGTGCTGAGAAGAGATCTCCTTGAGGAGCGGGAGCGGCTTGCTTGGGTGAACCGTCTTTGGTCATCTTACGACACTATGGGCCTCGATGGGTTTTCCAACCGCGGTGGTGTGGTTGCATCACTACTAAAGATGGATGCCGATCCCGACATTCTTTTAGAATGGATCAGACCTCAGCGGATGTCACAAAGTCCCCTTTACGAGCCTTCATGGGATGGGACTTGGGCTAATCCAAGACCCAGTCATCCTATCAACTATTTCCATTTCAGCGTCCATCGATACGATTTCGCTGATCTCATTAAGGTATTGTGTCAGCAAGAACAATATGTTGAATACATCAACCTTCATGAGAACCGCATTCGGGTGCGGCGAGCAACCATCTATCACGAGTTAGATCACAAAGCCCCGATCGTGAACGGCCTAATGAACCCTCAGCAAGATGCAAACGGCAGCTTTCAGCATCAAGCAGTGTTGGCCTTCAGATACCAGCTTGATTACAATGGCGGAATAGAAGCCAAGTTTGAGGAGCCACCCTATTGGGAATCTCGACCTGACTTTCCAACGTGTGGTTCGCTACCTGGGCAGCCTTTCATGCCGTCAGACCCTCAAGAACAGCAGAGAACTATCAGTCCGCGGCGGAAAGTACTCGAGGCTCTTCGTCAAGAAGACCCCAAGTCGACCGAAGAGAAAGTGGTGATATTCAGCGGTGACGTACACTTGGTCGATCAGGAGGACTATCAGGAACGCCGCCGCAGTGTAGTCAACATGGGCCGGATGACACCTCCAGCGCATCGACCCACAGGACCATTGCTGCCACCATCGTTCATACTCCGACCAGCTAAGCCCATCCCGCTTTATATGTTGGGCAGGAAGCCCTTCTTACTGTACGGTCAGACATTCCGCAGCCGACGGTCTCGCACGGCTGATGACTGGGCTGGGTTACCATATGAGCCTTTTCCAGTGGCACACTTACTGGCGACGGACAGCTCAAGGCCTTTCGACATGCATGAGACGGATCGATATGAGTCGTATCCAACCGAGGCCAAAGATCTATGCCAGAGCACTAAAGAGGTCCAGACGGAAGTCATGAAGGCATTCGAACCCAAAGGCACCTGGTTTGCTTTCCTACAGGTTTTCCAGTGCTGCCGGAGACCGGAATGCCGCAACAATGGCCCGGCGGATCCCCTTGGTCTCACAAATTGCTGCAATTGTACACAGCGAGAGCATATCAAACCTCTGCATGGGAAGGTGTTCGACAAGCGCCAAGAGAAGCTCCAACGACATGGCATCCTCGATCCAGAACCTTGGCCATCAGCTCAAGAAGGTGCATTACAAACCGGTTGGGACACCTGCCGCGATGCTACAGGTCGCATCGTCTACGTTGACTCCCGGACGGATTCATACACCTATCTCCGTCCACTGGCAGCATATACTACCACGTCCGCAAGCGGAGACATGCTTCCAAGTTGGACTATGGTTCAGAGCAATGATGACGCCTCAAGCACCTTTGCTGCTTCAAGCCATGATTTCACCACCAGCCACGATCCACGTTCTGCTTTCGGTATGCCAGGAGCTCCATACACCGTCAAGCTTTATTCATCTCTCTCGAGGGAATTGGATCTGAGGTTCGGCCCACTCCCACCACAATACGCCGTTACGACTTCGGATGGCATGATACTTTACAGAGACAGAGTATCTGGGACCAGCACTAGATTGGACCCGCGGTTAGCATAGAGGGTATCTGTTTGGGCCCAATAACGGGCCCTTGACATCAGCACTGACTAGGGCTGATAGCTAGATGGGATGCAGCGTCCTCACAAAACGGATCGTGTTGGGTATGAGAGCAATACATCAAGACTTAGATTCAGCGTACTCGTGCCCTGAGCTTATTGGCTACGTGATCTTTGATGCTTTGAAACAATCTGCTGACCAAGGAATAGATCTTTCAACCATAGAACGGTAGTTGACGCCATTTTGAAAGCCCCACAACCCTCGTAGCGACTCATCGGGGGACAAAGGGACACCAGAGCATTCTGCCAAGCTTTCGCTGCCTGAGGTTCTCGGTCAGCCTCAAGTCTTCCAGGACCTGGCTTAGCCCGGTTGGTGCAATCTCGCTGCATCACCCGTATTCTACCTCGGAAGATTGTCTCCAACGGTGGACTGCCAGAGCGCCTCTCAACAAAACAGCAATGCAGGATTGTTCGTCGATGCCGTCTTGGCACAAGGCGCCCACTCTTCGGGAAAATGTCCACGGCCCCACAAAAGGGGTAACAGCGCTTTCACAGAGAGCACTAAGCTCGACGCAAGCATATTCAAGCTTTCCACCACTCTCGACCAGCTTCAAGAATTTCAGCCGGGGGGAGGACCACTTGCATATGAGCACATCCCACTTAACCCTCGCGACCGCCGACCAAAACTACAGATCCAAGCTCGCAACGACATCCAGCAGTAATCCCACACCTCACTATGGCACGGCTCCTCTCTATGCTCCGACACCTCGCGCACGCCTACCTAGTGCTCTACATCCTCCTCCTCGCCGCCGCCTTCCTCACCATCACCGCCACCTTCGGCGCCATCTTCTTCGACTCGGACCCTGCGTGCTACGAGGCCTTCACCAGCACCGACATGACAGACATCGACCTAAACTGGTGCTACGACGTCTCCGTCTCGGCCGTCAAGCCCCCCTTCTGGGCGTTCCACTACGCCGTGCTGACGAGCATGGTGTTGCCCATGCTGAGCCTTCCCATCGTGGCGCTGGGGGTCGTCAAGCTGTGTCGGCGAGGGGCAAGGTTGCTGGCGGTGCTGTGGCGGGAACGGCGTACCGTGGCTGACGTGCTGTTTTGGTGGAATGTCGTGACGTGGAGCTGGGCGGTGTTTTTTTATGGGGCGCAGTTCGCGGAGACGCTGGCGGCGGCGGTGGGGGTTGGGGGTGAGGGTGGGGCCGCTGGAGTCGAGGGTCAGGCTGTGCTGGCGGGTGGAGGCGCTCAAGAGCTCTAGAACCAAGAAACGGGAACGTTTGCCAAGTTTTGATCATAAAGCGGATGGGACTATCTGCTAATTCAAGAAGTCGCCCTTGGTCTTGGCCACCTGCTCATCGTAGTATGGCTGGAACGCCAACCAGCCCTTCTCCGGCCCCCCTACCTGCGGCGCCGAGTATGCAGCCTCCTCATCGTCGATGAGGATCTTCTTGTACCCGCCTGCCGACGCCGCATCCGCCAGCAGCTGCGCATGGCATGTCTTGTCCAAACTAATGAACCAAAACGCCGCCTCATCGACGCTCTGTCCGACAGTCAACAAGCCATGGTTCTGCAAGATAGCAGCCTTGCCATCGCCCAAAGCACGTGCGATGCGCTTACCCTCCTCGCTGTCGAGCACCACGCCCTTGAAATCGCGGTAGACGCCGTGGCTTCTGTAGAAGCGCAGCGAGTCCTGTGTGAGCATCTCGAGCTCGCGGCCAAAGGCGGCAAAGGCTTTACCGTGCACACTGTGCGCGTGACAGGCCGCGTGGACATCTGGCCGCGCCTTGTGGATCTCCGAATGGATGGCGAAGGCGGCACTGTTGATGGGCTCGTCGCCTTCGACCACCAGGCCGTTCTCGTCAACGAGGATGAGGTCCGAGACTTTGATCAGTGAGAAGTGCATGGAGAGAGGGTTCAGCCCTGGTTGAACTTGATTAGTCTGGTAGCCTAGCGGACGGTCTTGGGTGACGTACAAAAGTGGTCTGTCAGGATTGGGTCGCGGACCGAGATGTGCCCGGCGACTCCCTCGTCAAAGCCACGGTCGGCGAAAACACGGAATGCGGCAGCGAGGTGCTGTTTACGATATAGCCGCTCATCCTCGAGATTATCGAACTTGGGATACTCTCTGATCTTGAGTAAATCACCGTTCTTTTTCCTGCCGAGGCTCTGGACCGCTGGCGGGTTGACCAAGCGTGTGGTCGGCTCAGAGACAGGGTTTTTGATGGAGGTGGGCAGTGTCGTCCCTGGCGCCGGGGCTATCTCTGCGACTGAAGGTGCCATATTGAGTCTTGGAGATGCGATAAAGCGAACCTTGGTGGCTTTATGTGGTGTAAAGTGTTGAAGACGATAAGTTTCGATTGCGGGGATGATATACCGGAGTTCTTCGCCCCCAGGAAAGAGTTGTCCCTCGTAAGAATCTCCAATTCTCCTCAATTCGCCCTTCGAACCTGGATCCACCTATGATTTACAGGAAAAAGAACTGCGTCCCCGCACCTGCGCCGAGAAATTCTGGGTCGGAATCTCTACGTGGTAAGGGCTGTAGTAGCTGGGGCGGGCCTGTCGAGGTGAGCTATTTGCAAGTATGGACAGCTCGATCATGCAGCGTCCGAAGCATTGAATCAAGCTAGTTCCAACATGTCTATGCTTTAACAGCTTCGAAAACGCGTGTCATCTTGCCGTTTAACGTTGTTGCATAGCCTTCCCACGCCGTGAAGTGAACGATCTCCGCACGGCTGCCCCCCACCCCCCACGCCCCCGGGGGGATCCAATTCTAGCAACGCCATCCCAGGCTGAGATCACACAGCGTATCATGGAGCGCTTATGAGAAGTCCCCCATATTGGTAACTCTTCGCAAGTGCGCAGGTGACCGATGTCGACAGCTATAAGTAAGTGTAGTTGGTGATGCCACCGTCTACCTCCCGCAAAGTAGAAGCAATAAATCAACTTCCTCGCCGATCTGATACGCGCAATCGGAGATACAAAGAGTAATAGATGTAAGCTCTTTGTAAAAGGACCGTAGACCATGAGCAACATTGGCATCTCGGGGATGGTGGCATTGCAATGTTACTGCTTGGCCTGCCTACGAGACCTCGCAATGGGACAGGGAGAAAGCAAGACCATATGACGGTGCCACATTGGGTTTCCAAAGAGTACTCGTGTTGTTCTCTTTGTAAATGTAATATGAGCTGTGTGCAGCATCAGTATCCCGAGGACATTGACATCGTAATATCACTCCTTGGCCTGCCTACGAGACCTCGCAATGGGACAGGGAGAAAGCAAGACCATATGACGGTGCCACATCATAAATCCAAAGAGTACTCGTGTTGTTCTCTTTGTAAATGTAATATGAGCTGTGTGTAGGATCGATTCATTGAGAGCACTGCCGTGTCAATTTTGCTTCCCAATCTGGTGCGAGTCCCTCGACAGGGAACAAACTGCACCATGCGACGACTTCAGATGGGAGATACAGAGAGATATTGATCAGAACTCTTTGTATCCAAGACATGGATGGCGTGCCACGTAGCTGGGTTGAGCACGCTGGCATCACCCTACTGCGGCATAGTACACGTACATGTTCCTCCGTAAATCGAGAGCGACAAAGCATCGGTACGTGCCGTTCCAAAGACAAAGAGATCTCATCAAGATCTCTTTGTAACTATGATATGAGAAGTTTACAAAACTGATTGAAAGGGCAACCTGAGTCCGTGCATCCCGTTGCTCACGCCCAAAGGATCAAGGTCAGTATCTCGACGGGATTGCCGAAAAGACGCAAGCCGCTCTAGATCCAAAGAGTTTTTAGTTAGAGCTCTTTGGAAATGCAATCATTGAAGCACAAAACGCCGACTTCCCGAGCAACCCGATCCTGTTCGTCACTATTACTTACACCCAAACTAGTACAGGCGATATATCTGCGGGATCACCTAAAGACCACCTCCCACTGCCGACCCAAAGAGGTTTCAGTTAGGGCTCTTTGGAAATATAATCATAAAAGCACAAAACGCTGACTTCCCGAGCAACCCGATCCTGTTCGTCACTATTACTTACACCCAAACTAGTACAGGCGATATATCTGCGGGATCACCTAAAGACCACGCCCCACTGTAGACCCAAAGAGCATTCAACTGCAGCTCTTTGGGAAAACAATCTTTGAGGTCTAAGGGTGCGGGATTTCTAAGGAACTTGCCTCTGTCTTCCCCCTTACTCCTAACTCAACTACTAGGGTTAGCAACTCCACGAATTTGCTGAAGGGACGTATCTTGTTGTAGATCCAAGGAGCATTTAACTGGAGCTCTTTGGAAAATTATTTTTGAGGTGTATGAGCGCTAGCTTTCTGAGGAACTTGCCTCCGTCTTCCCCCTTGCATATAACTCATCGATTAGGGTCAGCAACTCTGTCAACTTGCTGAATGGAGGCAATCTGCTGCAGACCCAAAGAGCATTCGATTCATCCTTTTTGGGAATGTAGTTTTGAAGCATAAGGCGCTGACTTTCCGGGTAATGTCATACTAGTATGGCTATCTGGAGCATCGAGCTCAGAGCAGTTGGGCTTTCACTCCACGAATGCTTCCCCCGCAACGAAGCATCCCATTGACAAAGACAATCGTACCCAAGCTCTTTGGGAATGTAATATGAGAAGCAGAGAAGGCTGAGACTCCGAGAAATTCTATTCCATAGTTCTCAATTTGAGCTAGCGGTAGTATTTAGCCCACCACTCTATAAATTACTCTTGTTGGAGTGTAAAATCTTATTACTAATAAGAACTATATACAAGCTTATTAGGAATATAATATAAGAAGTAGAGAAGGCTAAGACTCTGAGAAATTCTATTCTATAGTTCTCAATTTGAGCTAGCGGTAGTATTTGGCCCACCACTCTATAGATCACCCTTGCTAGAGTGTAAGATCTCATTTACAATGAGAACTATGTACAAGCTCATTGGGAATGGAATACAAGAAGCAGAGAAGGCTGAGACTCTGAGAAATACTGTTCACTGCTTGAGGGCTTAGGCTCGCAGCGGTAGCTGGCCCATTACTCCACAGATCTCGATTTTTGGAGCAAGAGATCTTATTGGCAATGAGATATAAGTGCTAGCTCTTTGAAAATACAGTTTGAGAAGTAGAAGACGCTGCCTCTTTAAGAAATGCCGATTCATCGCTTCAAGTTTGGGTTTGTAATCATATCTTGACCATTACTCTACAGACTGCCATTACCAGGGCTAGAGATATTACTGACAAAGAGAATCGATTACAAGCTCTTTGGAGATCTAAAATGAGATGTGCAGATGATTGATGTCGGGAGTGGGAGTGTTTCCTGTTGTCAAACCTCGGTCGCCGGCGTGGCCGGCTGGCTACCCGCCTCCCGCTTTGGCCGATCCTCTTAGGGGCGCATATACAAAGTGACACATAGATAAGCTACTTGTAATTCTAGTAAGGCAGGATCGAAACGTCGGGATTGGACTGGCTTGAGTGTCTGATGCTGTCACCTTTCAGTCACAATCCCAGAAGGCTTGTCATTCTCCATTTCATATCCCTTGGACGGCGATACTTGATAATCAATGAGTAGCTTGCATATGCTCTTTGTGGTCTCGATTTTGGGAATACTCGGGATTGGACTCTGAGGTGTCTGGTCATCTTGGTCGCCGCTGTGGATATTTAGTACAAAACAGGGGCTGAGCCGCGATGGAACCGTCCCGAGCCCCTCGAACGGAAGTGCCAAAGAGAAAATCCAACAGTCTCTTTGTAAAACTCATCGGGGCAGCAGAAAACGTTGATTTACGTGGAGATGAACGAGCCTAGGTGGCAAAGTTTTCCACCGTCACCAACCGGCAACACACCCCCACAACGATATTGTTGAATGACATGAGATTGGATCCCCAAAGAGCTCTTCGTCTGAGCTCTTTAGGAAACATCGCATGTGGCCATCTGCGCAGCCGTTTTGTCCCGCCGAGCCTCGAGGCTATCTCATTTGTAGTCACGGTCCGGCGGGCATTCTGGGCCCCTCGCAGAGGCAGCTACCGACGAACGCGCCACATATCCAAGTTCCCTGATACGAATTGACTTTGTGATTTAGTCGAGAATGCAACAGTCGCCTTGCTCAGGGACATTTTCCGCCGAGCATAATGCAATCGATTCAATCTGGGCCCGGGACACAAATACGACCCTCGGACATCTGCGATGACGACATACTGCATAATCCAAAGACCTGTCGGCTAGTTCTCATTGGGATTTCATCAGTATGCTTGTCAAGAGAACTTTGGACGTCTCTTCCTTGCGACGACGGGTCCTTATAGGGATCATGGAGGCGGCGACGACGATGACTATGATTTTCGTGACAAACACCACACTAGCAAAGACTCCTCATGTGAAGAACTTTGTGATTCGCCTGACAGCCTCCTGCGTTGATATTTGATTGGAACTTGAGCCGGTTCCCAGCTTCAATCCGGGATTCGAACTGCCACCAACTCGCATTGCCTACAACCGAGCAATCACATCCTACTATGCAATATACAATGGCTTCTGAGGCAAGGTTCATTGGATCGGGCACTCTCTATGCATTTACTCATCTTTCTGAGGTGAATCTGCTCCTGGCCATCCTTTGAAGCTACCCGGCTTGATATTGAGGTTCAGCTGGCGGCCAGATCGGCGCCAACGGCAAGCAGACTGCGTATACAAGTGGAGGAGGGCATTCAGCCTTTGGGGTTTCACCCAGCCTTCATGAAGTGGCGCGTATGTCGGACTCATGCATCCGTGATTTGCGAGCTCAAGAATGCCAAGACTGGCGGCATGCATCCCAGATGGGAGCTCAGATTTGCGATCTGTCCGTCAAAGGACGTTGAATCAATGTCTAGAGCATGGACCAAGTTTGGCCACGGGGTGAGAGCGGTCATACTCGACGTTTGTACTAAGGGCCCCGACTTGACCTCCTCGCCTGCAGGGTCCCCTCTTGGGAGCCCTTCCAACCTGTCAGCTGTGGCAGCGGCCAACGGCTTCATTTACAATCTTGCTAAGCCATGTCGATATTGGGGTTTGAGTCTCCGGGGCGTAAATGGCGAATGGACTTGCAGCTCAGATGGTCGTCCTCGGCTCAAAGCCAGAGGTGTTACCACACCTCTAATCCCCAATTGCTCTTCAAAAACGACATTCCAATGAGATTATAGATGTCTGAGTTTGAGAATACCCGGACATAAGCCACAGCAGGCCGTGACAGCGAAGAGTGACCATTGCAAGAACATCTTCCGCAGAGACGGCGATATTTGGACTGCACGACCTGTCTGGTTGGTGGCTGATACCTTCCAAAAGATATCCCAAAGACCTACCAGCGTTTCAAGTTTGGGGTTTGCAGGAAAGCGCGTCCTGCTCGACGATGCCACCGCGTGAAGCGCAGAATGATCTGGCTTGTGCTTGGCTGGGTCGGTGGCGTTGATGGACGACAAAAGCGCCACTCTTGATGCTGCCGAGTAACATAACCAATGAGGAAATGATGTTGACTGTTTGGATTTCTCGGCTCAGCATCTCCTGTTGGAGTATATGTCACCTGGACACCTGTTGAGAGCGGTAGCCGGACCGATTGCTGGTAATGGTCCGTTACTTAGGATACAATCCCTGGGTTGGACTTCGGTCGTCATGGCAAAGTTTAACCGTCTCAATCTCTTTGTAGTGATAAAGGTTTCGTCATCCGTGCTGGTTTGATCTGTTCCCACGGACACAAGTTCATTTCCCGTGAGAATACCGACCATACATTGCATGATCTTGCAACCCTTTGTACGATGCAGATTACCCTGCCATCCCAAGTTCAAAAAGCTTAGATCTCTTTGTAACAATAGTTATTCTGGTCTTGCTCGCCAATCTGAGCCGTTCCCACGCATAAAGGTGCTGTTCTCGTTCAAAATCCTACAAGACCTTAAGTATCCTTGCAGTGCTGATTACAATACAGCTTTCCCTAGTAATCCAAGTTCAGGAAGCTTAGACCTCTTTGTAACAACAACAACTTTGGTCATCTGTGCTGTTTTGAGCCGTTCCCACGGATAAAGGTGCAGTCATCGTTCAAAAATTTACAAGATCTTGAGTATTCTTGCCGTTCCTTTCATGACGCAATTGTCTTCGACGATCCAAGTTTACGGAGCTTATATCTCTTTGGAATATTCGTAACTTTGGTTATCTATGCTGTTTTGAGCCGTTCCCACGGACCAAGGTGCATTTCTCGTTCGTGATCTCACGAGACCTTGAGTATTCTTGCCGTACCTTTCACAACGCAATTCTCTTTGACGATCCAAGTTTGTGGAGCTTACTTCTCTTTGGAATATCAATAACTTTGGTGACCTTTGCCGTTTCGATCTGTTCCCACGGATATAGGTGTTTTCCCGCTCGTAATCCTACGAGACCTTCCATACCATTGCCGCCCGTTCAGGACGCACTTCCCCTCGGCGACCCAAGTTGAGGAAGCTTAGAACTCTTTGTTAATGGTTCAATATGGACTTGAGTCGAGCTCCCAAGATCTCGGCCCATGGGTACACGTTCAGGGAAACTTCACCCTCACTGAAATTGACAGGGCAACGAGCTGGTTCGAAAAGGACAGTTGATACAATCTCTACATGCCGACAACTCTTTGTGTTATCACTGAAACCGGCATGCTCTGCCCCGCGGTGTGGTGTCTATGTAAAATCAATGGCTTCGATTTCTGGGTGCATTATGTAGTGGCGGCAACAATGCCGTCGCAGGTGACAGGCTTCATCACAGCGAGTACTTGAGTCTCTCTCATATGCTGAGAATTTGCATACGCCGCTTCGTATTCCGTGGGGACTGTTGAAGACCGGTGCCGGGGAATGTTCCCCACGGCGGCGGAGAGCCTGGCTGAGCCTTAGGCCTCGTTAGCATATGCCTGTGAATTGAACGGCGGGTTCCTGTCGCTAGGAGTCACCAGAAGCCTGTTATCGTCTCTGGGAAACCTTGATGTATACTCGTGGCTCGCTCCTGTTCAGCAGGCTAGACCTTATTTCTGATTGGTCAAGTACAACTTTGCTCAGGGGCAATGTCGGGCCCTCCAACCTAACCACGGATCAATGTGATTAGATGGTAGCATCTCCGTCCCAAAACAAGGGCATTAGAAGAGGGTCTCTTTGATTCTGCAACGAGATTTCTATGCCGTGCAACCGTATCCAAAAGCCGGACGCATGAATGCTATGCATGGTTCGCTTAAAGCCCCAGTCATGTCTAGAATGCGCATTATGCAATGGGCATAATCCATGGCCGCCACAAACAGACATGACTCTCGGCTCTTTGGCACTATAGCCAGTCGCAACACAGAAGCCAATTGGAGGAAAAAAACTTGAAGTTTGTGTCAAGGAGCGCAAAGCTCTTCGGTTCGGCTGCTTTTCGAAATTGCGCGCGATATTTCACTTGCCACCAGGATCTCCAATGATTAAATCAGTGTCTTTCCTTGGGGTAACAGTTTCTACACTGCTATGATACCATCCAAGAAGTTGGAGGCTCTCTTGTCTATGCTGGATGCATATCACAGTGACAACATGTCATCATACCGCTGGACATCCTGTGCTTGAAACCCCAGTCTTGCGCACTTCTAAGCTCTTTGTAATTACCATCAAAAATGCCCTACTATCATCTTCCAGCAAATAGTGCACTGAAAGGCAATTTTACTTTCGTGGAAGCCCAAAAGCATGCCTGTATTGAGCTTGAGAGTGCAAAAGTTGTGATACTTCCTTTTGCAATGTGATTTACCTCCAAGCTCTTTGGGAGAATGTTTGAATAGTGATAAGAGGTACACATTGGATGGTCAATCATCTTTGGTGAGGAGGAAGATGAAACTCCAGCCCTCTAGAACTGGCAGACAGTGATATAAAGCGGAGGATTACAATCCAATCTTACAAGTCCTTTATCTCATTGGAAAAGTAGTTGCGAGACCATGTCGAGTGTCTATCGGCCGCATCAGGATGCTTTCACATCTAGGTAGTAGACCAAGTATCAAGAATGCTGCCCAAGACAAGCTGGTACCAACGTACGCTTCACAAACAGTAGTCAGTAGACGGCTCTCATTGTTGCAACGAATATCTATTGTTGCAAGCCAGAGATTGGCCAGAAGTCGTCCATTTTGACGACAGATACAAGTAACGCCGTCCTGCAGCAGCTCAGACATTTCAAGAACGCTGCAGATAAGCGCCCAAGTCTATCTCGGATAAATTCGGATGCCCAGCTTCCCAGTGCGACGTTTGCCGAGCTAGAGATTTGGGTAGGTAATGAATGCCAACCGGTACTCTCCAGTCGCACCACACCGGCACTCGCCGTTCACCTCGGACATTACTGACGACAAAACCAAACTTATACAACCCTAAGGTGTTTGTGGCTTCATTTGCCGACCAGTCCTTGCGGAAATGCAGGGGATAAACTCGGCAGAGCTTTATGGGTTTCCAAAAGCATCTGGCACTCGAACAGAGGACCGGGAGCAAACTTGATTTTGGCAACCCAAACTCATTTTTGCCTAGCAACATTGAAAAATGTCGTATCGGCTTCGCGCGAGCATTTTTTGTTGAGAAATCTGATGGAACACTTCCTACTGTGCTTCGCCAAGACCTCGCCCCTGCTGGGTGACCACTCCCTCCACGAGGAGCGATAGACTTGGCCGAAAGCTCGTTGTGGTATACCGGCGGACAAGCTCTCTGCTGCTTACATGTGGGATCGCTCATAGGGTTGTACTCTCCCGGAACCTCGGTATGCCTCAAGACTGAAGTCCCGATCCGTCAGAGTGCGGCAAGGACTTGAGAATACACCGTTTCCAGATTTCCCCGTGGCCGGACATACTGGGTTCCCCTGAGTTGAAATGGAGCACACCTTCTTGGAGCGAGAACGATGGCATGTCCATATCTGTACCAGGACCAGCAATCGAAGTTTTCAGGCTGGCTACGCCCGAAAAGGCATTGTCGCTGAGATGTTTGCCTCCACGACGGCCCTGATCAGGAACTCGCCGTGTGTCAGAACGATGCCGGCATGTCCTGAACAGAACACGCTATAGGTTAGCACTCCACAAACATGGATGTCTCGATTCCAGCCCAACGATGAGCAGAGAATGTCTAGAACGGCATTGTTGTCAGCACGGTTCCGCAAGTGAGATCTCGAGTACAGTGATCTTCAAGAAGCGCAGCAGAATCGCAGAACGAGGCATTGCCGAAGCTGAAGCATGCGGGGAGGCAGAGGTCCACGCGTCCGACGTGCCTGGAAGACAAGAGATCCGAGGTAGCTCGACCCATCCAACTTCACACCATGAAGCTTCATGTTGCTTCGCAGAGCTTGAGGCAGAAGCACGAGACTTGATCGGGCCTTATTTGAGCAGCTAAGCTGGTGGAGTAGTTGTGCCCGAAGTCGCCTCGTCTCGGAACCTCTGACTGGTTGTATTGCCCAGTCGCCATGCAACCTGCAGCGAACTTCTACACAGATCAACAAGCGTCAACCAGCGCGACCATATACTACCGAAGAGTCCGAGACTTACTTCGCTTGTACGATTCAAGTGCAGGCCACTCACCGCTGAAGACGAAAGAGCTCCGGCGAAGGCGATGTAACCTCTTGGGGAAGCGACTATCATTCAAGAGCGCCTACCAAGGGCACACGTTCATGTCCGCAACCGGATAACGCTATTCCCTTGCTCCATGTTGGCATCATCGCGCTCAGTCTTGGCCAGATCTCCAATTCCCCCGCCTCAGTCCTTGGCCACCAACTACATTGGCTATTTTAACGAGTATAGGCAGGCACCGGACCCCAGCGGCCGCGCCTCAACATGTATGCAGCGCTGATCTATGCCAGATTGCCCGAGACGAGATATGATATACCTCTTGGCACGTGGACTTCGGCGTGGTACGACACTCGAAAGAGCGGAGTTGGGCAATGGCAGCGGTGATACGTCAGACATCGATGCTGAACACGAGATAGCAGCTCATGCTCTGTTACCCACGGCTATAAAGCTCGTCCTTGAGCATGGCATCCATGTGCTGCGTATCAACCAGCTGCAGATTCCCTGACCGACTTGACTTGGCACCCAGCAAAGATGCGTTCCCTACGCCTGGTCCCCTCTGCTCTGCCGTCGTACCTTCTGCTCTTCACCTCCAGTGTTGCCGCGCTTTCTGTCCCTCGGCGGTCTGTACACCAGTCGCTTGCCAGACAGGATGACGATATTGAGTCCATCATCACCGACTCACCGGTCCTGTCTCTCCACCGCGACTTGATCGAGATTGAGTCCGTAACGGCGGACGAAGGCGAGATTGGCCAGTGGCTCGCTGAATGGCTCGAAGAGCATGACTTCAACGTGACGCTCCAGCCCGTCCCCGTGGACGATGACCCGGACTACGAGCGCTGGAACGTCTACGCCACGCGCGACCCTTCTTCTGCACCGCGAGCCATTCTCACTACTCATATGGACAACGTAGGACCGCACATCCCATACTCAGCCGTGTATTCCAACACGTCAACCGAGCGCGACGACATCCTGCTCCAGGGCCGCGGCAGTGTTGACGCCAAAGCCCCCATAGCAGCGCAAATCTACGCCGCGCTAGAACTGCTTGACGATTCGGATGAGATATCGTCGCCTGGCGACATCGCGCTGCTGTTCGTTGTGCACGAGGAGGCCGGCGGTCAAGGCATGGACGTCTTCTCCAACTCCTCCCTTTACGCCGATTTCTACGACACGATAGAGGGCTTCATCTTCGGTGAGCCAACCGAGGGCAAGCTGGCCACGGGCCACAAGGGGAGCGCCAGCCTCGTCTTGTCTGCTAACGGCACCACTGCGCACAGCGCATACCCGGAGAATGGCGTGAGCGCGGTGGATCTGCTGCTGCCGGCGATGGTGGCGGTGAATGGCTTGGATGCGTTGAGCCCGGAGGACGGTGGCTTGCCTACGAGTGAGAAGTTTGGGCAGAGCACGACCAACATCGGCGTCGTGGAGGCGGGGACGGCGTCGAATGTTGTGCCGGGGTATGCGGTAGCAAGAGCATCGATCCGCGTTGCTGGAGGCACACCGGAGGAGTTTGAGGAGGCGATACTGGCCAGGATCGGGCTGCTGGGAGGGCTACAGCCAGGCGTGAATGTTGAATTTAGTTTCAACAATCCGCCAATTAACTTGGTGGGAGATGTTGACGGGTTCGAGACGGGTGTCATGAACTACGGGACGGATATTGTCAGGTTGGATTACCGAGATGATGCAAAGATGTATCTATATGGGCCGGGCTCGATTGAGGTCGCTCACGGAGTTGACGAGCATGTAAGGCTTGGCGATCTGGAGAAGGCGGTAGAGGACTATAAGGCACTGGTGAGGGATGTGCTTGGCTTGTGAGGGCATGAGGGAGGCCACGCACTGAGCGACACCAAGCCTGCTGCTCTTAAGGGACGATACATAGGTGGTCTAGAGTGACGCGTCGTCTGACATCAGCGCTCCAGGGCCTTACCATCTTAACCACAGGTTAGAGTATGAAGAAGAAAGTTTCGAAATGGAACTATCAATTATTAACTAGTACATGTGACAAATTCTAATGACTCTTCAAAGCGGTGAACTGCGCGAGGCGCCTCATCACCGCATACCCCGAAGAACGTCAAAGGTTGATGAGCGAATTCCCTGTCCTCCCAACAGATTGCACCCAGCAGGCTCTGATGAGTCCGAGAACCCGCCGGTAACTCTCGTCGGCGCTTGGTCGATTAGCCCGTAAGCTTTGCCCGATCTGGAATTCCACTTACTGTCTTGGGCCAGAGCCGACCGCGAATGCCTGCCTCCCGGCCATGTCCTCGCGCTGGGCTCTTGCTGTGTGGACCATCGCTCCCTCGTGATTCGAGATTGCCAATCAGGGGTATAACGGTTTGGCAGATCGGAAGGTCAAACAGTCATCTGAAGCACATGTCTTATCCGCACCTGGTTCGTCTCGAGAGGTTTGAAGGACGCCGCTAACGGCGATCAAAGCCACGTCACGCATGACGGCAGTTCGTCACCACCGGTCTCTTGTTCATCCGCGGCTGATCAGTACCAAGCAGCGGGCCAAACACGGAAACCGATCGACCGCCATGCAGTAAGTCGGGCTCTCGTTCTTGAGTCGTGGCCTACGTCACTTATGGTTACATATTCGACGCTTCCCTGATAACCAACAGATACACGGTGAGATACTACACAGATTCCCTTGACTGAACCCTGCCCTAACACGACGGGCACGATTGGTCAACGCAACCTGGTGCACCAGCCCCCTCTGTTGTCTATCATCCCACTCCCTTTGTCTCTCTGTCTCCCATCTCTCATGTTCCCTCTGTCTCTCAGCTTCCCACCGATGCCACTCCGCTGCCCTCTCAGATGCCCACTCGTGCTGTTGCTGCTGTCTCTCCTGCTCCCACTTGGAAGTTCTGTCCTGCTGCTGCAACATTTGGTCCTCCAACCGTTGTACCCGGTCAGTCTGATGTGTAGCGTGGTCATCTGATGGCGTTCTTGGAGTTTGTTCTACGAAATGTATTGATATTGTCCACCCAGCTTGAATAGTAAGTTCCCAAGTGCTAGGGAGGATAAGTTCTCCTTCCGGTCCTTCCAAGTCAAACGAGTTGTTGCGGATATCAGCTATAGGGTAGCGACATGCTTCTGATATAAGTACTTCCATCTGCTTTCAATATCGTGTTAAAGCGCCGTTGTCCTGGAGAATGACTCAAAGACTCACTGGCCATGATTGACAACTCTGAAGCGGAAACCTGTAGCGTCGGCCAACATGATTGATAAATGTGATAGTTGGCCCACTGGCCATTATAAACACAGCCAAATCCACAGCAAAGTAGAGTCCATGCTTTCCAGGACTCAGGCTGACCAGAGGAAGACACCGCACACATCTGCTCTCATCTAATAGAGCAGAAGATCATGCTAGACGACGATTGACGCAACCTCCACCCTCCATGCGAGACATCGACATGTAGACACCACAAGAGCCAACGTGGTACATTCCCATTGGCAGTGAACACAGCGGTTGGAGCCCCCCCTGCTTAGCGATGTTCGGAGTCCCGTAGCCATCAAATCAAATATACAGGGGGATTGGCCCGAGCCCCTAGCGTGGGCGGGGAACATGAATCCGGTGAACCCCCAAGATCTCTCGCTTATTGGCATATCTAGACTGACTGATATCGGCACCCCTAATGTACTCGAGAGGTGAGTAGAGCGCACGTGTGAGCGGCGTAGCTCAGCAACAAAACATGGTATTCTGTGCATCTTACATAATGTCTCCCCTACAACTATTCTTATGGGCTCGCAAGGGAAGTCGAAACCCGGCCTGCGAAAGGAGCTATCGAAAAAGGGGATATCAACAGCGATCGACGCGCAGTAAAGGTGTAGGACGGGGTAGAGGCCACGCTTCATTATCGTTAGAGACGCGCCGCAGTCGAATCACGACGCGGTTGATATCTCCAATGCAAGATCGCTCACAGATAGGTGCTAATTGAGTGTGTTCTCGCCTTGGAGTCAACTCGGATTCAACTTGGATTCAAATAAACATCTCCTGATCTGTGGCTCACGAGGTCCTAACCATGTACAAATACATAGCAAAACGCAAAAAGCCCATCTAAACCTTCTACGCCACAGTTGTCACCAATATCAATACTCTTCTTGAACATTTTCGCTGGATTCCTGCCTATAAATACACAATGTATCGGGACAGGTATTCTTTTGCTCTTCTGAGGCTATTCTGGGTCTAGCTTATGCATGTAGAAGCCCACAATCTTGTTGATTTGCTCTGCGAGTGAAGCTGACAAAAATGAGGTGCTTTCAACGGGCAGTTTCGAGGAGGAAGACCTGCGTTAGTGCCTTCCAGATCAAACATCGACACTCCACAAGTAGCCAAGCGGCTGCAACATCATAGCATAGAAATCCTTTTCCAGCTCGTTAATACAGAGCGGGACTTTGATGGAGCACTCCATCTCCGGCAGCTCGATGGTGTGACTCTCGGTAGTAACATGTCGATAGAACCTGATAATTCTGGGCATAATACCGTTGACGGCGGTCCTGATGGGATCGACCACGTCGTCAATTGATTGAGTGGGTTCGAGACGTAGTATGTGTCCATCGCTTTCGCCAGTCAGATGAGTGTCAGGACCGATGGCGACAAATTCTAGCAAGATGATCTGACCTTCCGCGGAGAGTTTCAGCAGCAGCCCCGTGGACACACCATCAGCATCAGCCGAGCTTTGCTCCGTCTTATGTGGTCGGGTGCAGGGGTGACAATTTTCGAACTCCAGAAATATTGTAACGGCACCGAATCTGTCTGTCCTCAAGCAATGCGAAAATACGGAAGCTTTTGGGATTCGGTAATCGGACCTGACGAATGTTCCGAAGGCCTTGGTAGTCGGCTTCCCGCAGTGGTAATACTTTCTGTGAAGACGCGGCGATAATTGGCTGCTCTTTGTTTCTTGAATTTCCTGCATGTGCCAGTCGTATCTCTGCAGCGAATCCCCTTCGTATCTGAATATGAAGGTTGGGCGTAAGGTGATGGTCACTTTCCATTCGACAAGAGGGCTAAGTGTTTTCGCGAAAGATGTGTCTTTTCTTCTCAAGTTGCTTAGCAGGGAAATGACATCACGAAAATTGACCTGCAGGGCCAGGGAAAGAGGTTCCAGAGCGGATATGATAGAGGAATCGATGTCGCCAGTACGGTCGGTCACCAATTCTTCGATTCCCGAATGGAATATAACCACCTCTTTCGATGGACCAAAGTCTTCCGCTGCTTCATCGTAAATTAGCAGCAGTGTATGTAACATGACCTCTTCTGGTCTGAGCGAGTAGTCCGTGTTGAGCTCGCCTCCTTTTGAGCAAAACCCGAGGAGTCCGAACACTCTATCTCTGGGATCCTCACAAAGTTGTCTGAAGAACTGAGACAGCACTTGGAGTAGGCCAATCTTATGACGGATAGGACTTGTAGGATTTTTGTGTGATATGATGTTCGATATGATAGCTGGGTCGTACGGGTCCATGTCCATGAAGGTTTTCGTTGTGTCTTTGGCGACCAATTCTCGATTTGTTGAGGGGAGCAGGTTCTGTCGAAAGAGGCTCATGGCATGCGCAATCTCTATGGGTATCTCGTGATGGCCGAGGAGAATATATACCTGCTTCGCTAGGACACATTCTTGGACTATCCATAGCCGTTCCCAGTATGGGTTGCGAAGAAGGTTCATCAGTTGAGCATACAGCTCTTCGTTGATTATATCGAATGATTTACTGACAACGCATTGCTGTAGGTAGTCTATCCAACTTCCCTTGAGCCTCGCAAGCTCCTGTTTGTCTGATGTTCGGTGATGACTTGCGTGATCTCTTGGTAATAGGTCCATGCTGGGCTTGTAGGCAGATTCGGAGAAGCGCCAATTTCGGAATTCGTTCACCAGAAAGGATTCTCTGCTTGTGGTACCTAGCCAGACGAGGACGGAAGTAGCATATGAGAAGACATACTTCATCATCCCTACCTGTATGTTCTTTTCTGAAATATCATTTTGGTTGATACAGATCGAGTCGACCCAAATGTAGTCGGAAGCCGTCAATTTACCCACATTTAGACAGTGCTGAAAGAATGAATAGATATTCTTTCGTACTCGGAAATACCGGTCTCCTACAAGAATATCTTTCATCGGCTGTTCCGGGCCCCAAGTGTACGAGATTGCCCGGAAGCGGCCTCGAAAGTCACTCAACGGCACCGATGCCAGCTCTAGAGAGATAACGCCGTCGTCTTTCAGCGGCAATAGTCGCATTAACCTGATTTCCCAGTTCGTCGGATTGAGTGGTGCGTAGTTGAATGGCTCGGCCGTAGAGCTCAGACCATCATGAGCACAGATTGACGGTCGGGTTGCTGGTCGATCTTCTGATCTCGAGAAGTTCTCCCAATTCTCCATTTTGCTTCGAGAAATACTCCTAATCAGCTCCGCTTTATCGACTTCGTTATAGACGTTGCTCGTGACAGGCAGACTTTGGCATTATGGGATCATCTCCCTGTATATAATCAACCGACCTCACTTCAGGCTTCAGAAAGCGGTGTGGTCAACGGAGATTCCACGCCTCGTGGCGGCGTAGCTTCAGCCGACCCGGCATACAACGGAGGCTGCAGCAGATGAGCAGACTTTGGCCACACAATATCATTTGCTGTTCAAATGCAGATCATGGTAGCATTCGGCTGACAGAACGACAAAGGGTTCCTCAAGTTGATATCTGGGGCGAGAAGTGCAGCGAGGAACGGTCCTGTTAAGAGGGGAGGGCCAACGTCATAAACGTGCAAGGCGTCGAGATAGCGCTAAACCTGATCGGACGAGGCTTGGTTGGAGCCACCAGGGGTCGATGAAATTAATGGGAGAGCTCCTGGGTTCCCGAAGAAGGTCACAATAAAGAATCGACGAAATCGACGGCAGGCTCCCCAGAGTTACAGTATATCACTTCGTCCTCGGGGTCACATCAGATCGTTTCCTGTGGTATTCTACTGTGAGTCTCAGGGACCTTCCCGTCAATTTTGTCGACCCCTGGTGAGCTGATCTTGGCGCTCACTACACCGGATCGCCATTACCAACAAGCCACGAGAAATAGCTATTCACAGCTTCGCGCCCTGCTCCCTAGTATCCCTGACCTTGACACCCGTCCGCTTCCCATCCTTCTCCATATCCCTCAATACCCTCCTGAGGATCTTGCCGCTCGGACTCTTTGGAATCTCGTCCACGACCTCAATCTCCACGATCCACTTATGCCTGACCTTCTTATCCTTGACGAATTGAATTAGCTTCTTGGCGGCCTCTTTCGGATCCCCTTGCACACTCTTCTTCAAGACCACGAACGCTTTCGGCCTTTCGCCACTGTAATCATCATTGATCCCCAATACGGCCGTGTCCTCCACATCGTCGTTGCCGAGTAGTAGGTCCTCCAGCTCGGCCGGCGCGACACCGATACCCTTCACCTTGATCATCTCCTTCAGCCGATCTGTAATGGTGATGAAGTTCTCATCATCAATGGCACCAATATCACCCGTGTGTAGGAATCCGTCCTGATCAAAAGTCTCCTTTGTCGCCTTCTCGTTGTTCAGATAACCCATCACGATCTGCGGGCCACGCGCCCAAATCTCGCCCGGCTCTCCAATGCCGCACTCTTTGCCGGTTTGTGGATCCACGATCTTGACCTCGGTGTTGGCGACAATCGTGCCCACGCGGAAAGCATACTTGTAATCGTATTTCTCCGGTGGATGTGCCGTGATGCAGCTGCAGCTTTCAGTCATGCCATAGCCTTGCTTGAAGCCCGTGCCGGGGAATGTCTTCTCCAACATCTGCAGGATCTCTGCTGAGAGTGGCGCCGCGCCCGAAGAAAACCGTTTCAGGCTCGAAAGATCGTACTTTTTGAGTGTCTGCTGGTCGCGAACCATGCGGATCAGAATCGGCGGTACAAGCAACATCTCCTCCAACTTGTAGTCCTGTACGGTCTGCAGCATCGAGTCCATGGTGAAGGCAGGGAGCATATAGACGTTGGCATTCAAAAGGATGGGAAGGTGTAGTTGATGCACAAGACCAGTGATGTGGAAAAGAGGCAGAACGGCAAGGATACGTTTGAGTGTGGTAGGCGAGAGCTGACGGATCTGGAAGCATTGGCCCATGACATTTGCGTGGGAGATCATGACGGCTTTTGGAAGGCCGGTGGTGCCTGAGGAGAACGAAAGAAAGGCGCAGACATCCTTGTTCTTTTTGCCGGGCGGCAGACGGAACTGGTCGATCTGACCAGTCGAGCCATAGGATTTGCCGAGCTCGAGGAGCTCAGACATGGTTGTGTGGCCTTCGTGTTTTCCTTCGAGGAGAAAGACGTGCTCTTTGGGTATACCAGCGTTCTTCGCGGCTGCGGCTGCAACCTGCATACTACCAGGTACAGTGAAGAGGAACTTTGCATCGGCGGTCTTGAGGGCGTAAGTCATCTCTTCGACATTGTAGGCTGGGCTGGCTCCCGAAACGACACCGCCTGCCCTTATCGCTCCAAACATGGCGCAAGGATACCAGACGGTGTTGGGCGAGAAGAGTGCCACGGTCTGGCCTTGTTTGAGACCATATTTCTTAACAAGGGCGGTCGATAGATGGGTAGTGTGGGTTTTGAGATCCGTGTAGTTGAGATGTTCCTCTGAACGGGGTCAGCCATCGAACGATGAATGACGGAAGCACGTACTAGTTGCGGCATTGGTATAGCCCTTGATCTCAGACACGGGCACATTTCCGATCGGGCTAAAGGCTGAATCGAACAGCCAGGTCCAGATGGGAAGTTCCCATTGCACTGCAGTATCCGGTCAGTCCTTGTTGTCTGTTCCGTGTGGGGAGTCTTACTGTGGATGGGTGGGTTCCATGACTTGAAGATAGGCATGCTGGCGACTCAGGGAGGTCTGTCAATGTAGAGAAACGGGTGTAAAGCACGGGAATGGATGTACATCTTGACGAAAGTCATACTAGCTCAGTCGCCAGCCCAAGCATCCAGCCCACCGGATCGATGAAGATGCTCCTCGGCTCAAAGAGGCTCTGATGCTGAACCGAACGGCAATGTGGAGTGCGGGGAAGCTGGATGCCCACCTAAATTCCATTGAGATAAAGCGTGGGGTTCCTCTCGGTACCGAGTTTCTCCGCCTCAGCCTGGTCGCCTGGTTATCAGCTACTTACCAGCAATCAACCAACGTCAGGAAATGAACACCTGGGTAGATAGCAAATGGAATAGGATTTCGAATGTCATGTGCCATCGTTCTCTGATTCAATGATGTCCCGTACTGCGACACCTCTCGAGTCACCTCAACACTTCATTACGCACTGGTGCATCCAATCACCCTCCCTCGCTCTTGACTTGTTTCGACGTGCACCGCTTGGAGGTACATGATGAAGTCTGGCGACTGTAGTGGCGGTGTCGAGAGATCGACTCCAGTCGAGAATCTCGTATGTAGATTGTCGATCAAAGTCGAGGTGGTGAGAGGCCGGTCCGAACATGTATATTTATCACATGCCACGAATGCTGCTCGTCTAAATCGTCACTTCCTGGCCCAAGAGTTGCGTCGGGATGATTGCAATTGATAGTGTGAACTCCGATGTTGCTGTATTTTGTTGTTATTTGGCAGGTACCATAGCCTGCTAAGTCCACCGCTCTCACTGGTGTGGACATGAATGGGTATCATTGCTTGATAACGCCATCCCATGCTTTGTGTACAATTCTTTCTCCACGAATGTATCAGTTCCCTGATCCGTCTCCTCCGATCCATCTATATGTTCCCATACTCCCTCTGTACTTTCCTCTGCAATAGCGCCATCTCTTCCATCCAAGTTGTGTCGCCCTTATCGAAATGCTTACAAGACACAGATCTTGATTCAATCAAGTATTGCTTCATCAACTCTAAATCACCCCGTCATGCGAAAGGTCTCGACACTCATCATAGGAGTCTCGACGAGATTGTCTCGCGGAACTCCTTCTTGCTTCCGCCGAACGTAGAAATTTCGACATTCCATTAAAACTTGTGCCCACTCCGACAACGCCCTTCCACTGTATCTTGATGCTGATACAGCTAACCCAATGGGCTTCACCGGCCGCACGTCGTGTCTCTTGGCGTCTCTGCTGCTCGACTTGTACTCGTCCAAAGCTCTCTGTGATTCTAGCGGTAAAGTTGGGGCTATTAGCTTTCTTTGCTTCTGAGATACGTTGTGCCGAGTGTCAGACCACTCCAGAGAGAATCTGAAAGAAAACGTTTGATGAGGAGGTGTTGCTGGTCGGGATGGCGACAACCCATTAGGTGTGGTTTGGTTATTGTCTGGGGTTTGTGGTGGCGTCACTTCACCCGGGCGATCGTTCCCAGGCGTGCCAAATGGAAGCATGTTTTTCAACAAGCTCCATCGTTTTTTCGACCCGCTTTGCGGGGGTGCATCGGGGCCGGGTACCGAGCTGATAATGGAAGAGCTTTTTTGGTAAGGATTGCCTTGATTCAGAAGCCCTTGAGACAAGAATTTGTCGAATGAAGTCAATGCTGCTGGTCCAAGCTGACTATCTGTTCGAATGATGACCAAGGCCCGACTTGGTGCTGGCGAGCATGGCGCAATTGAAGGTTGGACCAGATCTCGCATATCGGCTTCCGCACTCAAATATTGATAGTAAGCCCACACACGGCTCAACCTTGTCGAAAGAGTTCCCAGAATTTGACTGTGTATGTTAGCGACAGCGCATTTGGGTCTGTGCAGAACTTACAGATCCACATCAGACGGGTCGCTGTCGACTCTTGCAACCCGCCAACATATTAACCGGAAGAAATAATGTCGAACCATTGGCGACCAGTGACAGAAGTGTGTAATAAAAATATCCTCATCCAAAAGCCAATCCAGAATCATGCCTTTCTTCCGCTCCTCATTAGCGATTATGATGTTCCACATACTGTATACAAAAGTGATGAGGCGGATTTGGGTCAGAGTATTCTGACTGTGCAGCATTTGCCGGCAGACCATTAACCAAAATGGCCAATCCAGGAACGGTGTATCACCTCGGTAATATCGCAATAGAATGGGAAATATCTCTTCCAGGAAATCGCACAAGATGAAACAAGCATCGTTGTTGTAGAGTGAGACCTTGCGCGTAGCTGCCTTGACGATATTGCAAAAAGACATCGTATAAAGTTCTCGAACTTGTCCTTCCTCATATTGAGGATTACCGAGTAGATCTCTCAGGAGCATGACAAGACGATTCTCATGTATGTTTCGCGATGCGTTTGCGATGGTCATCGGCAACGTGGCAAGGGCATCGGCATTGTCGTAACCCCCAGCGCCAGACGCGAAATTGTCGACGACTTGCTGCCCGGCGGCACGGTACAGTGTCGTTTCGAATATTACCAGGATCTGAGCATGTATTGGTGCAAATCCCGGGATACATGCAACCTCCCTCGGCGATAGATCCGCAGGTAAGTGGTCCGAAATCAAGATGTGGTAGAATTTGGTGAAGTTAAAGAACAAGTCGCTGTCTCGTCCAGACCACCGCCCAAGCCAGGGACCGTGCCAATTGAAGTTCTCTGTGCCTGGAGGCACCGCCTGCCGGAGCTGGATGATTCTGGACAGAGATGTCTGGGTAGTGAAAACGAGGCTGTGCACTGGAGCGGGTAGGTAGGAGGCCATACGGATTGATGGTTCTTCGAGGTTGTCGCCACGCTCGATACCCACTTCGGCGAAGACGCGACGCAGCGTGCCGGGTGCAATCCGCCAAAGTCTGACCAACATCTCCGCAACACCCGGACAGAAAAGAAAAGCGTACGCACAGGTTTTGCCGCCGAAATTCACCAGACTAGCTGGTGCGCTCCGCATACACAGCTTCTCGATGATGTAGCCGACTTGGGTTAGTAGATTCTGTACAAATGTGCCGCGGACGTTCTGGTGGATCATCTCAACAAGCTGTTCCGACTCAGTAGAAGTCGTTGAGGTATTCGATTGGTGGACCGCAACCGAGTTCTCGGTTTCCTGACTGGAGTAACCTGGTATCCTCCACTCAGGTCTCATCATGATCTGGGCAACGGCTTCGAGAAATGCGGGGCGGTCGGTCCCCGTTAGGATCTGGTTGTTGCGACCCTGAAGAACTTCCAGTAATCCGACCCACCACTTGTTTAGGATCGACACACGCCTGTCGAGATCCTCGGGCCTAAGCAAGAGCGTCGAGTGGTGCTGAGTGTTCTCGATGAGAAAAGGTATCAGAGTCGTTCGTAGGACTTTGGCCCGTTGCATGCTGGTCTTGGATTGAAACGTGGTAAACTCGCCCTCGATCTGTCTGAAGGCGTTCCACAAAGGATCAACCCTCTTCTGAAACTTGTCCATCATAGATAAGGCTTCGCTCGACATGGATGGCATGGGCGGTACATTGGAATCGCGTTTCTGTCGGTCGCTGGAAGCTTGGCTGCGGAAAGACGACATAGATGACCTGGTTGAGAGGCGTCTGGGGCTACTGCTCTTCCGTCGAGGCTTGAGAAGGTTCTTATCGGTGGCAGGCAGCCGGGTCCGCCGGACACCATCTCGATCCTCCTCGCGGGAGTCGCTTGATGGAGACCTTGATACTGCCCGTTCCGGGACCGCAATCGAGTCCGCGGCAAGCCGGCCAGCTTTCTTTGCAGGGGACCAACTGTGCTTCCTTTCCAGCCGCTTGTCGTCGTCCACGGGCGACGAGGAACGAGATCCCATCCAGGACTTCCTCGCTAGGCTTCGTATCGTTCCAGTCATAGATCGACTTACTCTAGTCTCGTTGGCATCCCCGTTCGTCTTCTTGTCCCCGTCATCGTCATCCGTGGCCAGCGTGAATTTGGCTTGTGACAAGGACATGCGTTTCTTAGTCTTCTTGGAGGCTCGACGGAAGAGCTCCTTGTTGGCATTTTGCATATTATCGCTAACCTTCTCTTTACGAGGGTTGAGGCTGAGGATGTTCTCGGAAAATGTTCGTTTGATCTGACCGGAGCCATTCTTGGTGGCATTAGAGATATAGGTGAAACTGGCAGATCGAGACATTTCGGGCTCTCGAGTTTCTTGAGGCTGAGGCGAAGGAGGGTGAGGGGAATGGATGGGTGACAGAGCATGCACCGGCATGGCTGGCATGCTTGTCACCTCTACTTCGACCGATCTGACAGGAGACATGATCCGGCAGAGGAGCAAAATAATCCGCCAGCGGGCGTCGCTTCAATGTATGTTCAGGTCATGGCCGTTTGTTGTAGAGCGGGGAATGCCTGCAGAGGGTTGAGGCAGCTGAGGCTTGCCTATCCTGGGGAAAAGGGTGGATATCTGTTAAGGAATGCAAGAAGAGAAGAACATGTGCAGTCTTGCAGCCGCGTGTCCTAGCGAAAGACTGTTGAAGAAGATGTGAGACAAGGTGTATGTACAAGAAGGGAAGATAGTCGCCCTGAGTGCCAATGGCCAACGAGTGACGGAGAAACAGACGCGAGATGTTGGACTGAGGATGAAGGACGAGTGGTCAGACCTGCAGAGGGATTGCTGCTGGAGTCCGGCGGAGACGCAAATGCAGATGCCGACTTCAGCAGCGCAGGACGGAGATGTCGGAAGCCCCAGGACGCGCGCTAAAAATGCATCCACGGACAACTTCATCTTACTTGCAACTCCCGCGTTTCGGAATAGATACCACTATAGTATATGCTCGTCCTGATTGTTCGAGCTGTTCCTTGATTCTCTTCTTTGATAGCCACTTTAGTGCGTCTTAGGTGGTTCATGGTCGCGCTTCGTCTACGTAGCGAAAATGAGGCTGTGCTCAACGGCCCATACGAGATCTTCGGAAACACGTCCAATGACGAATCTCCATTCGGTAGCAATCTGGAGAAATGTGCCTTATCGCGCCATAGCTGCAGCTGTCATGTCCATATCAGGCCTTCCATTGAGTACGGTGTAGTTGACATTATCGTGGCATGCGTCTGTTGTCCAGGGTCACGTTCATTGTCCGTCACTGTCATTACCGATTGGGCATATTCAGAGTCAGCACACGAGGCAGGGGTCCCAGTCACCTGCTCGTGTGTACCTGTTCTAGAGACACTGGAAAATATCAAGTAGGTGCACGATATTAGTCTCGTTTATCTTCTCTCGATGAATTGACAGCATGTCATGGCATTCAGGACTTCAAAGGCTGCTAAGGCTGCTTCCCGTGCTGACGCTATTGTCGCTGATTGATGTACAGACCACGTCTAGCATTTTGTTTCGTTTAATGGTGAGCCTCCTCCTCGTCAAACTGCTTCAAGTCCTCAAAGTAGTCCTCCTCGGGCGATGACTGAGTCTCGCCCGGTGCCTGGCCTTCAACCTCGACCTGTTGATTCTCGTAGTCCTGCATTCCACTGGCGAGATCGGCTTCCTCGGGAGACTTGGGAGTGGCGGGAGGAGTAAATTTGGCAACGGCACCCTCCTCAGGACCCTTCTGTGGGGGAGGCTTGTAGGCCTTGAGCTCCCTCAGGTACAGATCTTGAATCAGATCGGCTGTCGTAATGTCAGTTTGCGGCGTCATCACTGCAGCCAGGCGTGCTTACCCTTGGTGACAGGAGTCGTAGCGAACGAGCGACGAACGATGGGGATGGTTCGGGAGCTGGCGCGGGCGAACAGCGCACCCTGCATTCAATCAGTCAGCTGTTCCCGGTATGCTATCGTCAGCACCTACGCTGAGTCTTAGAGATTGCGACATGATGGGGGGTTGTTGTGTCGTTAAAGGCGCCTGAAGATGGGTTGCAGGCAAAGCAGGAGCTCGAATTGTGAGCTTCACCTCGTTCAACGCTAAACTACTCTAGGTAGGCGAGCAAAGAGTACCTACTAGAATATCGCCAAGAGCCGAGACTGGCCGGTCGGCTGCCTGGCTGCGGATGACCAACCTTTTGCGCCCTACTTTGCCTTCGTCGCCTTCCATCTCTCTTCTCTCCCTTCATCCCTCTTTCACGTCTATCGCAGACCACGTCAAGACACACTTCTGCATCGCCGCCATCCTCGTAGTCGTCTCTTGTGACGTACCGACCCTCGTCGCCCCTTCGACGCACCTCGAATAATCATCCGACCTGATCTCTCGTGTACTGATTTGCACCTCACGACACCTTCACTGGTTGAACGGTCTCGGTCATCTTCTTCGAGGTGCTCTGCGACAAGCCGAATTCTCACCTGCGATCGATTTTCGACACTTTTCTAGGCTCAGATACTGAAAAGGTACAGCTTGGGCTTTTGCTAAGACTGCGTTCGCGGTGCCGCATTCCAGAGGCTGGCTTTTCAGTTGGGTTGTCTCATTCACTTGTTGATGACCTGACTGACATTCTGACCTCCTAGTCACGACTGAAGTGTTCGAGAAACCGCTACCGACCTTCGTTTGAGTGCCTGCGAATCACCACCGTTCGCCTGCCGTTGCGTCAAATACCGGCAAACTGTATTCACAACTTTTTGTCAAGACCTTTGCTCGTTCTCACGGCTTGACAAAGACGTACAAAAGCATTAAAAAGCGCCAGACTGAGCGCATTAGCGGAAAGGTTACTAAGACACGCTCGGCTCTTCTTCCACGGGAGAACGAGATGGCTTTGGCCGCCCCGCCACCGCCCAATACGGGCATCGAGAACAAAGCTGATATGTGGCGCGAGAACCTCAACACGCACCTGATCTGCCCCGACTGCCAGCAAAACCCTCCCGACCTCATCGAAGACAATGCTAATGCCGACACTATCTGTGGAAACTGTGGTATGGTTCTGTCCAGCCGCAACATCAGCTACGAATCCGAGTGGCGTACCTTCAACTCGGACGAGGGCAAAGGAGACGATCCCAACCGTGTTGGTGAAGCCGACAATGATCTCCTGACGAGTAGCAATGCCGGTACTACGATTGGGGGAGGTGCCAACGCTTCGAAAGAGACTCGCCGCCTCAAGCGAGCTCAAGCCGCGCAGCAGGACAACAAGTCTGACAAGCAACTTACCTCTGCATACATGATTGTCGATCAGTGGGGTGAGCGTGCTTCGATCCCAACCAAGGTCCGCAACACGGCCAAGACCTACTACAAGCGCGTCTTCGATGCTGGACAATTCAAAGGCAAGAACATCGAGATAGTCTTGGCTAGCTGCCTCTTTCTCGCTTGTCGTCAACATGGAGTTCCCCGTTCGTTCAACGAGATGTTCGGCCTGACGAACGTTGCCAAGAAGGATATTGGTCGCAACTACAAGCAGCTCGAAAAGTTCTTGATGGCCGATTCCAAGTCGAGTATCAGCAAGATCGAGGCTGAGGGTGGCATTATTGGTCATGACCACATGGCCTACAAGAGCACTCACTCGACTAAGCCAGATCAGCTATGCGTTCGTTACTGCAACATGCTCGGGTTGCCGTTCCGTGTTCAGACCGTGGCAGAGGCTCTTGCCAAGCAAATCAACAACATCGCTGGCCTGGCTGGTCGCAGTCCTCTGTCGAATGCCTCTGCTTGTACCTACTTTGCCAGCTATCTCTTCAACATGGGTAAGAGCACGAAGGCTATCAGTGAGGTTGCCGGCGTCAGTGATGCCACCATCAAGCATGCGTACAAGTTTCTGTACGCTGAGAAGGACAAACTCATCGATCAATCTTGGCTAGGCCCTCAGCCCGGCACACCGGCTCTGACTGGCGATGTCAAGAATCTACCTGCTGCCCCTGCCCTTGATAAGGACAAGGACTAGGTATCCTCATTCTTCGCGCAGATTGAGAAGGAGCAGCTTCGGCGATAAATGGAATTGGATCGACTCTGGTCCGTGCGATAGGCTACGCGTTCAAGACGTGCTTTACGATATTACGAGCCCTCCGGCTTGGACGGTGCTTCTGTGCGGTGTTGCGGACGAACTAAAGGTCTAAAAAGCGCAAACGCAAGGCGTTGGTGAGGACCGGACGATACCCAGAAATCACCAAAAATACGTGGGACAGATATTGATAGACCTTCCAGCTAATAAAACAAGTCATTTTTGGTGTGGGTCATCTCTGCTCCTGTAGACTGAGCTGCATTAACGTCATATGATATTAGTGCAGGTGTGGTCTCGTCTTGCCCGGCTGTGGACAACTTGATGACTCTTAGTCGCGACAAGGAAATCGCAGGTACTGAGCAGGTCCTGGTGCCGAAATACCGATGTATGACCGCATTTGGAAGGTCGTGCAAGACTTACCTCACCAGCCCTGTCTCTACATACCGTCATTCTATCAACCTGCCGACCTTCCCCGCACGAGCTCTGAGTCTTTGCGTCCGGAGCTTTATATGTCCACCAGCTGTCAAAACGATGCATAGACCTATGGATGCTCACCGGTAGATGTCCAGGCCCACTCGCGGCACTACGCTGCCGGTGGGTGATACATGGCTACCCAGCTACTTATACATAAGGTGGGCGAAGACAGCTCGGCTGGAAGCTTGTATCTAGCTTCTCAGTACTTCATGCTTGAAAGTACATCTCAGAGCACCCCTTGCCACCCTCATGATGTTGCTCACCGTAGGTTCCCTGGTCCTGTCGCTCATCACGAGCGCAGCAGCCCACCCCATCTACGACTCATCCTTCTCGAACACACTAGAGAGGCGACAAGACAGCAATGCCTCTTCCGTCCAGGTCGATCTTGGGTATGCCGTGTACGAAGGCTTCCTCAATAGCAGCACTAACCTCAACACCTTTCTCGGTATTCGCTTTGCCGCCCCGCCTACCGGTGCTTTACGCTGGCAGAAGCCACAAGCACCCGCCCAGAACCGCAGCGCCGTGATCCAGGCCAACGAATACGCTCCGACATGCTACCAGTCTCCTGATGCCTCCACTATGGTGCACCCAGCCAATCAATCTCTTGCCGCGGAGGACTGCCTCTTCCTCAATGTCTGGGCCCCTGTGTCCAGCGACACACTTACCAACAGCACAGGCACTGGCCTGCCTGTCTTTGTCTGGATTCATGGAGGCGGCTACGGAGCTGGCAGCAATCGCCAGGACCTGTCCAGCCTCATCAACACCAATAAGAACTCTTTCATTGGCGTCGCAGTAGCCTACCGCCTCGGTGCCTTTGGCTTCCTGTCCAGCGCCGAGCTGGCCTCGCAAGGCGCCACACCCAACGCCGGCCTCTACGATCAACACTTCGCGCTGGAGTGGGTGCAGCGCAATATCGCCCGCTTTGGTGGCGACCCCAGTCGCGTGACCATTGGCGGCGAGTCTGCGGGTGGAGGATCTGTGATGCTACAAGATACGGCTTTCGGTGGTTCCCAGGGCATCGCCCTCTTCCGCAACACCTTTGCTGCTAGTCCTTACCTGCCCATGCAGCACGACTACAACGGCTGGGTGCCAACTCAAAGCTTCTACGCACTAGCCGCAGTGGTGGGTTGCAGCGCCGCTATCTCTGAGCCGTACGGCCGCGTGGGTGGGCAGACGGTGCTCGCATGTCTCCAGGGAGTGGACGAGGAGACGCTCGCGAACGCAAGTGCCACAGTCTCCCAGAGTGGGACCTACGGCACCTGGGCCTTTCTACCGGTCACGGATGGTGCTCTGGTCCCCGGTCTGCCATCACAGCAGCTCTTGCGACGGAAGATCAACGGCCTCAACGCACTGGTGGGCAACAACGCCAACGAGGGTCCCGGCTTCACACCACAAAACATCACGACCGAAGAGGGGCTCGTGGCATGGCTGAACCGCACGTTCCCACTGTTTGCGCCCTCGGATATTGCAAAGATCCTGCTATACTACCCTTCACCGGACGACGACACGGTTGGCTCCGAATTCAGCACCAGTGGTTACGAGGGGCCCACGGCTGTCAACCAGTCGTACGTTGGGACCGGACAGCAGCAGCGCGCCAACAACATCTACGCCGAGACGACATTCGTGTGTCCGAGCTACTGGATGGCCGAGGCATATACGCCTTCGGGTGCGACCGATCGGAAGGGCTATAAATACCAGTACAGCGTGCCGCCCGCCCTACACGGGTCAGATACTGTCGCGTACTTCTCGCCTCCCGACACCGCCAACGTCGGCGAAGACATGGGGGTCGCGTTCAAGACCATCCTAGGCAGCTTCGTGGTCAGCGACAACCCCAGTATCGCGCTGGACGTCGCCTTTGGTGCCGCGAGCGCGACCGCCACAGGGGCGAATGCAACCACAGCAGCAGCAGGGCCAGGACCCGCAGGCCAGGTAGGCGCAGGTTCAGCCGCCATAGCTGACTGGCCACCGTTCAGCCTGAGCCAGCCCTGGCAAATCGATCTGAACCAGACGGGCGGCACGCCGACGCAGGTGCCCTTTGGAATGGTGAACATCACCGAGTTCTTTCCGCCCGGCACGAGGAATAGTATTGGGCTGTACGACGCGTGGACATGGGAGGGCGGCCGGGGCGTGAGGTGCGATTTCTGGCGCTCGATGGCTGCGCTGGTTCCTGAGTGATGAGTTGGCAGCTGGATGAGACAGCGTGGGGATATCGCGCCAGATACGCAATGATTATGGAGACGCAGTAGCAGAAGCAGAGATCAGCAACTAATGATGATTATGATATTTCATGCAGTCTATGCGGCACCGTCGACGCCCAGACTTCGTCGTCGAGGTTGCGATGATAGCGTGAGCTGCCGTGGCGCCTCTCGAGGCAACCACAGAGTATATTGCTTGGCGTATTACTTAGCTTGGTATAACTGTGGGGCCGAGCTGCAGCCTGCCGCAGAACGTTACGGAGTACCCACTCGAGTCTGAGTCGGCTGAGAGTAGAGGGGACCAGGCGAAAGATTGGTCGTACCATATCAGTGGCTCCTTTCAATGCGTCTTGCAGTAGAGGTATCGTACAGTAGGGCAAGGCGTGGCGCACCAGGGGTCGACAAAATCGATAGGCAGGGTCCCCGAATTCACAACAGATCACACCGAAGGGTCTCTGCTGAGAGTAACGGGGGCCTAACCCTCAGTCTTGTCGACCAGTATGGTGTTGCATAGCGAAGGCCAGGGAGTTCAAGATTAGGTAAGGTCAAGGTTGGGTGAAGTCAAATGGAATGGCTTACTAGATTAGAGATAGTCCGCAATAGCCCTTTTTGGCGGCATCACCCAAAAGACTCGGGGGAGGCTTGGCAAAGGAATTTGGCTCGCGACTGCCAGTTAACCTTAACCAGCCTGTGATCCGATCAAACACCACCTTCGTCGCTTTTGTGACCCCGAATACTCGCTTTAGCGCCCAGCGAAGCCTTGTACTTCATATCAGTGGGTCAGGAGATCGTGCGCACGAGAGATTGACAAGGTAACGCTCTTCACTCATCATGGCTGCGACCGCAAAGCCGACCAAGAATCAGCAGAAGCGCGCAAAGAAGAAGGCGCAGAAGGAAGCGCAGGTGAGTTACAGAGCAGTCCGGTCCAATAGGATGTTGACAACCTTGCAGAAGAAGTTATCAGATACCCCAGACGCTCCAGCGCGAGAAAATGAAGCAATTTCGAACGGCGATGCTCCCAAACCGGCCCAGCTTCAAGATGGCACGGCCCTTAGCGACCCGCTCATCGTCGACGATGAAAACCCATTGTTCGACATGTACAAGGACATCATGGGAAAATTCGAGGAAGCTGACAAGGAAGAGCCATCCTTGAAACAACCAGAAAAGCCCGAGGTATATTATTCGGACGACGACGATATTCCCGAAGAAGACGAATCGGCTCCCAAATTATCTAAAAAGAAGAGAAAACAGATGACCAAACTGTCCGTCGCCGAGCTCAAAGCTGCTGTGAAGCGACCCGAAGTCGTCGAGTATTTTGACACAGATGCTCATGATCCAAAACTCCTGGTACACATCAAATCTTACAAGAATGTGGTACCTGTACCAAATCACTGGTCTCTCAAGCGCGAGTATCTGTCATCGAAGCGAGGAATCGAAAAGCCGCCGTTCTCCCTACCCAAGTTCATTCAAGAGACCGGTATCGCAGAGATGCGTGATGCTGTTCTTGAGAAACAGAACGAAGCCTCACTCAAGCAACAACAGAGAGCCCGCGTACAGCCGAAGATGGGTAAGCTTGATATCGATTATCAGAAGCTCTACGAGGCCTTCTTCCGTTTTCAGACCAAACCCGAATTGACGAGATATGGCGAGGTCTATTACGAAGGAAAGGAATTTGAGACCAACCTCAAGCATTTGCGACCAGGCGAGCTTTCCGACGAGCTCAAGGATGCCCTCAATATGCCCGCTGGCGCCCCGCCTCCATGGCTAATCAACATGCAGAGATATGGCCCACCACCTTCTTATCCCTCGCTCAAGGTTCCTGGAGTCAATGCTCCACCTCCACCGGGCGCCAGCTGGGGATTTGGGCCAGGTCAATGGGGCAAGCCGCCTGTTGACGAAGCTACGAACCGGCCGCTTTACGGTGGAGATATTTTTGGCGTGTTACAGCAGCAGCAAAACACTCAGCAAGGCGAACCAATTGAGAAAGATCTGTGGGGCGAGCTGCAGGCTCCTGAAGAGGACGAGGACGAGGATGAAGATGAAGAAGAGGACGAGGATGAGGACGAAGATGAAGGTGGTGCGCAGACGTCGGCAGGACTGGAAACGCCGAGTGGCATGACTTCAGCTGTACCTACCGAAATTGGAGGCACCGAAACGGTATCCGAATTTGATCTCCGGAAACGAAGAGGCACAGAAACCGAAGAGAGCTCATATCCTCGGTCGGCATACCAAGTGATCCCTGAGCGGCAAACAAGAGTAGAGGGATTCTTCGGTGGTGATAGAGCATACGATCTCAAAGGCACGCAGAATAATGTTCCAGTTCTCGGACAGGAAGACGGCAGGAAGAGGAAGCGGCAAGGAGATGTTGATGTGGCGCTGGATCCGGAGAGTATGAGTAAGGAGGACCTGCAAAGAGCCTATGAGCAGCAAAGAAGGGCGGAGCAGATTGAGCAGAATCCGGGATGGGAATTTCAAGACGATCTGAGCGATATGATTGCCGCCGAAAGCAGGAAGAGGCAGAAGCAGGACCAAGAGCGACGATCGAAGAGATGATGCAGCAAAGTCGACGTAATGTACGAGTATCCGATCATTGAGCCTCAACATGAGAAGCAAACATTCCGACCGCGAGCATCCTCGTTGACGCCGTGTAACTAATTTGAACCCTGCCGATGCTTGTGAGAAAGCATTCTCAATCGAGTTTGGCGTCTTGGCAGAACTTTTGACAGAGCCGCAGTTGACTTTCATGTTACAAGTCCACCGTGTGTTCACTTCGACCACATCATCGGCACCACTGTCCAGGTGCTCATTCGGGGTTATAATCGACCTTGCTCGACTCATAATCAGTTCAGCCTTCCTTGTGACGGTGTCAATCTGTCAAATATGGGCGACAGTTATCGACGGTTTGCGCAAACACCTACCAGCATGGAACACTACTGATATAATCGCAGTCCGCGTGAACGAGAGCGTGAGCGAGACCCTAAAGATTCAACAGTCGAGTACTTTGGCGCTGGCGAAAGCTACCGACCAGGTGGCCACTCAGGTCAAGGCCCATACCGCCCTACGCATGCTGGAAGAGACACCTGGAGTTCAGACCGTCGCGAGCCCCGAGACCCGCGTGAGCCACGTGAGCCACGACGTGATCGAGATGTCAGACGCGAAGACATAGACTCCTACATTCCTCCTACCAGTACACGAGCTCGCCGCGATAGTCGGTCACCTCCCCCACGCGACCGAGGACGCTCCCGCACGCCACCTCCAAGAGACCGAGGTGACCTCTTTCCTGAACATCCTCGATCTCCCCCCCGACGATTTTCACCGAGGCGAGATGACAGAGCAAGATCTCCTCCAAGACGTCGATCACGCTCTCCTATCAGCCGCGCTCGTAGCCCAGAAGGCCGACGCGAAAGAGATTACAGCCCACCTCGTTCACCTCGCCGCGAGCGCTCCCCAAGATATGACCGCGCATATTCTCCTCCTCGAGATGCGCGCAGATTCCGGTCTAGATCAAGAACACCAAGGAAAAGTGCATTCACCGAGGATAACTGGCGTCGCCGTTCGCCATCTCCAAGAGCAGGTTCAAACGCACCTTCTCGCAGATCATCACCGCCGGTCCATCCCGACCGTACAAGCGTAGCCGGGTCCGCCCCACGTTCTCCAGGCTACCGCGACACGCCGACTCGAGATTTGCGGACCGAGCGCTCCGGCAGCGATTTTGCCCCTCCTTCGGGTCCTCGAGGAGCGCACAATGGCTATGAGCGGCCTCCTCCTAGTGGTCCAGCGCGCAGCTTCAGCTCGAATCAAACCCCTCCTACTGGCCCTCGCGGCCCTGGTAGTGCACCAGCGCAGCCCAGTGGCTCTGCGGGTCGCTTTGACACACCTCGCCGCGACTACAACAACCCTTCACTACGGGGTCGCACAAGTCTCACTTACCGTGCACCTTCGGCACCTCGAGCTCCAACATATGGCGAAGGGGGCGTACCTCCCGGCCCAAGCGCTGCTCCGCCATCTGGCCCACGAGCCAATAGCTTCAGTCGGGGTGACTATGGCGCCGCCCGTGGGGACTATCGCGGCAGCTTTTCCGGAGGGCGCGGCCAAGACTTTGCATTCCGTGGCAGCAACAACAGCTCAAGCACAACCTACCCGCGTACCCAGCGCTTCACGTCCACGCAGCAACATCTGCAAAATACCGAAAAGATTGTCCCGGGTGGCAAGCTTCTTCCATCAGGCTTGTCCAGCGAGCAGGAGAAGAAGATGCGTCAACTAGAGGCTGAAGCTGAACGCATGAAAGCTGATATTGAGGAAAAGCAGGCTGCGAAACGTGAGGCAGTCAACGAATGGGAGGTGCGCGAGCGGGAGAGCACCAGAGACTCGTATCGGAGTGAGCTGGCGGATGAGAGTCTGCACAAACTGATGGAAGGTGAGGATACGGGTATGGCGGCGTTTTAGAAGATGCCACAACCGATCTGCAACTGGTGAGTGTCAACAAGTCTGTAAGCGGATGACGGAGCAGTCTCCATGTCTTGACGCTGCGCAGCGCTGACGGCGCGGAGAACATGGATGGTTCGGCGATGAAAAGGGTGACACTAGGATATCGTGCTCTGTTGGGCGTGAAATACTGGCTGAGGAGCAGCCGATCCTTTTATATGACGAGGAGGTGGTGACTGCTGAATACAGCACCTGCGCTGCAGAACCTTGATAGTCGGCACTGCTCTTGGCCCTTTACTGTAATCACCAACCACTGTGCAAACCTCAGTAACTTCTGTTGTCTTTTCAACAATCACCGCCTGTACTGATCCATGCTGTCTTCCCTTCGCACGACACCCACGGGCGGGTCCTGCAGTCGACTTTCAAGCAGTGGGCACAGTACAGTCCTGAGATAGTTGCAGTTCATTTTTACATCTTCTTGCTCGCCTTCGCAATTGGGCTTGCATATCGCTCAAAAATACAACTGGATATCTTCACCATCCTCATCCCCGACTCGTCAACATCATTTCTTCTTCTTCTTCCCCTTTGCACCCTCCTCCTTCGTCCTAATCTTCTTCGGCGCGCCCTTGCCTCTCATCTTCGCGATCTGCAGTCCCTCCAAACGGTCCTCCTCACGCTCATTCCAACCCTCCAGGCCAAAGCGCTTAAACGACTGCAGCATGTCTTCGATGGTCGCGGACTTGCGCGGGTAGTAGGACACGAGCGCGGGGCCGCGCAGGCGCTGGCGGAGGACTTTGTTGCCGAGGCGGAGGCGGGAGGGGTTGAATGTGGTGGAGAAGAGGGAGGATTGGAGCTAGAGGTGAGAGAGCGTTAGATGGGAGTTGGGTGAGGGTTGCGCGCGGGTTCGGGCAGGGATGGGTGTGAGAGCTGGGGGACTGTGGCATGGGATGTGTGGTACCTTTGTGAGCTCGAGTAAGCGGCTTCGTGGGACCGTGGAGGCCATGCTGCCGATGTGATGGATTGTAGCCTCTGAGGAAAGGAAACCAGAAGTCGGAGAGCAGAGGTGCGGACAAGATCTTGCGGCGCCGGAAATCGTTCCCGCGCTAGATTCCACTTTGCCTCGTAGCAACTCTTGGCGCGATGACTTCTTTTGAATGTTTCACCAGGTTGATCCTTGGTTCTACTCAGTCAGCAACTATCTTGGTGCTGTAGCAGAATGGACTCGCGGCGTCCAGACAAGCGTCGACCAGACAGAGAATACCAGCACTCCGCCAAGAAGCCACGTCTCGAAACAACACAATCCCAGCACCGCCAGCAGCATAACGGCAACGGTAACAGCCACAGCTTTACTCACCCGCACTATGGCCAGAACGGCCCCAGCCCTTCGTACACCAAACCAAAAGCGTCTCAAAAAGCTCGCTACAATCCAACAACTCCAGGTCCAACTCTAAAAGGCCCCCTGCCTCCTCTTCCTCCCATCTCAGAAGCCTATGCCAAACCTACGTTCACACACCCTTCACGCGCCCCTCGCGAGCACTCTTTGCAAGGCCGGCCTACCACTGACCCCAACACCATGCAATCCTACGACCGGCTCGAGTTCCTCGGCGACGCCTACCTCGAAGTGATCGCCACACGCCTCATCTTCAGCCGCTACCCCTCCCTCCCGCCAGGCCAGATGTCGTCACTGCGTGAGCGAATGGTGCGCAACAGCACCCTTGCGGCCTTCAGTGTGGCGTACGGCTTCGACAAGCGCCTGGACGTCGACCACACCAGCATGGCGGAATGGCGGCGCGACGCGCAGACCAAGGTGCACGGCGACGTGTTGGAGGCGTATGTTGCGGCGGTGGTGTTGAGTGATGCGCAAGACGGGTTCAGGGCCGCGGAAGAGTGGTTGACGGAGCTGTGGGCGCCGATGCTGGAGGGTGAGGAAGGGAAGCCGGCGGATGATGCGTGGAAGGAGAGGCTGTTCACGCGTGTTGGGTATAAGGGCGTCAAGCTGGCGTATGTGGAAGAGCGGCCGATGTTCATGGGCAAAGGTGTCGAGACGTACTTTGTGGGTGTGTACTTGACCGGCTGGGGGTATGAGAATCAGCTGTTGGGAAGTGGGCAGGCGTTGAGCAAGAAGGCGGCCGGCATGGAGGCGGCAAGGAAGGCGCTCGAGGAGGGTGATGAGGCGCTGCTGCAGGAGATCGATGTTTTGAAAGCGGAGGCGATGAAGAAGGACCAGGAAGAGAGAGAGGCGAAGGCTCTGGAGAAGGAGAAGGAGAGTGGGAAGGACTCTGGGGACTGAGGCAGATCTTGCTTTAGCTTGGATTGTCAAGGTATGTCCTCAGTTCCCTATCTGTTGTCACGCTTCCATCAGGCGGCCAACAGGCGTAGTTAAAGAGCAATCATCCATTCTCCGTTCTCCTGGGTTGTGGATCGTGAGTACTCATACATACGCTAACGGGAACATAGCTACTCAAACAGAACTCTGACAACCACCCTCACATCCAGTCCCTCCCGAAACCAAGCCTATCAACCTCCATCCGACACCTCAGTGTCCCTTCCGCCCAAACCCAAAGAACCGCCGATTACCGACATCCTGCTCGGCCAACACCCCGTCCCTGCTCCCGCTCTCTTCGCCGCCCAGGTGCTCAAAGCACCGACTGACCCTCCCCCGCGCACTCGCACCACCCCCAGCCACCAAGATCGCGTCCTGAGCCTGCCGCCCCTCCCGCTCTGCCGCCCGCTCCGACCCCTTTACCTCCCGCCGTACCTTGCGCTCCTGGTACTTGCCTCTCAACTCGGCGACCTGTGCGCCTACAGTCGAATCGCAGAAGCGGTCGGGCATGCCATTCATGGACTTCTGCAGTTGGCCATCGCCGCTGCGGGTGCGTGTGGGCTGTGGTGCGGCGTCGAGGCCGGCGATCGTGTGCTCGCTCAGCGTGGTCGTGGCGATCCTGCTTGTCTCAATGTCGTGATGGGGCTGATTGAGGCTGTATGCTGGCTTCCGGCTTCTAATTGCCATGGTCATGCCGGGTGAGGTAAAGGGCTCGGACATTCGCTGTTGCTGTTCGTGGTTGAGCGCAAAGGACGCCTGTTCTGGGGAGAGGTCTGGCGTCGGCCACCGGTCAAGAGTCTGGTGGCCCGATGTGTGCGTTTGCGCCGGTGGCTGGACGTAGCGAAAGTCATACGGCTTGCTGGAGCCAGGGACACGCTCAAAGATGCCACCACTGCGTCCCGCGGCTCGGCGACGAGCGCGCTTTGCCGCCGGAGACATGGGTGTGGATGGCATGACCATGTCTGAATGCGCTCTTTTACATGTTAGTGCGTGGTCGAGCTGTCGGAAAGATGGACTTGCTGGGCGCTTATGCTGGTGCGGCTCAGGGATGCAGCAATCTGTGGAAGACTTGGGAATCTTCTGATATGAAGACACGGGACCGGTGCCAGCAGACTCGATATGGAAGCTCACTTCGTGATGGTCACCGCTTGACCGGACCGCTTGACTTGTCACGCTACTTGTGCTGCTGATGCGGCTTGGTCGCTGGGCATGGAGCAGACATCAATCAGTTGCACATATCTGCTCCGAAGCAAATTTGCTAACAAGAAGTCATGTGAAAAGAACGATCGGCCAATGCTATCAATAACACGCTCAAGCGCGACGCGCTACGGTCGTGTCCATGGTGCAGCATCACCAGAGTGGTGACAAGATACATCTGCCCGCGAATACGCGGTCGCTATGGGAGAAGCGGCTATGGATGTAGGTGGGTGATATTGTGCCGAAGTGGGCGATGGAGGCAGGACGCAGTCAAGGCTGGACGTTCCACTCTGCTTATGAAAGAAGTGATCTTGCGCCCTCTCCATCGCATCAAATCTGTTCAAGCTGGCATTGTTTCACGCGCTTCAGTCACCTGCAATGTAAGAATCTGTATGTAAAATTAAACTCCTTGTAGTCTCACCCCAACCCGCATCAGTCCAGGGAAGCTTTGGTCCGTGTTGCAATTCAGTATCTAGCTACGGATATAAGAACGCCCTTGAATTGCTCCGCGAATACCTTGCAGAAGAAAGCCAGAATAGAACGTTGGCTGGAGCTGGACCGGGACAAGCTGTTCACGAGATAGCAAAAATGCCGCTTCGTGTCGATCTTTGGGGCACAGGAGAAATGGTCTGCTATTCGCTGACCACCTCCGCAGGAAGAACAAGTCATTGGATGCTCCAAGCAACAGTCGTCAAAGAAGCATCGCCCAATGGCATCCCTGGTAGTCGCCGTGTGGACACCTTAAAATACTGACCAGTCCTTGGTCAAGCTTCGCGGCTCAACGGCATGGAAAGCTTAAAATGACGTTGTATTGAGAGAGACGCAACATACCTGGTACTATTCATAGTATTTCTGATCGGGCTTATCATCTGTGAAGACGTTGATATAAGTGTTCAGATGGACCCTCCAGATATGGTGTACTCCTACCAACCCATATGGGTCTTGTCTTATATTCCATGCCGCAAATATGCTGAACCAAGCAGCAAAGCCCATTACCACCACGAAGGAGAGATCTACCGACGATGCATCGTCCATCGAACCACGACGCTCATCTGTTGCGAAAGTCAAAGACTTGTTCAGTATCCATCATAACAATCAGCACCACGACAGTCGTCCCCAATCTCAAAAGAAGGAGATGGAACTAGCCCAACGCCGTCTCGAAGTCGTGGCTCGTTATGACCAAGATCTCCAAGAACGAATCACTGATGCCTCTGCGACGGTCAAGGAGCGATCTCACGCGGCGACGGAGAAAAGGCTTTGGGACGGGAAGACTCAGGAACAGAAGGAGGCTTGGGTCACTGACAGGATGACTCTGAAGGAGGGATGGGGTGCGGGTGTATATCCTGAAGGTGCCTGCGGACCTGGGATGTGGTATCGATGAGGGTGAAGCATGGGTGAGTCGTGGAAATTCAGAGTAGCAACTTCACCGACGTGAAGATGAGATCGAACTGTTCCGTAAACATGCAATACCCCTGATGCCAAACGCGGAGCCAGAATAAGGTTGCTCCGGCTGAAGTTGGTTTCAGTATGGCATGGTCACACAAAGGCTCCCTTTCTTCACCATTTCTCATAATTCCAGAAGGCAGTTTGATCGCATCGACGTACTGGCCATATGTAGCTCGGATCGACAACTTGCCTCTGTATCACACAATTGCATTATGCTTAAACGCAAAGCCACTACACCCGCCAGTCACGTAGATCATTACGATGGCTCAGATCTGACGAGAACATGGACTCCCAGACTCGCGATGCCGCCCAGCCAGCACAATGTTGGATCATTCTTTGGATCTCTCAAGCCGTAGTGTCGGAAGCAACGCGTGAGCTAGTATAGAAGTTTTCCCAGAATAAGAGAATGACAGTCGACGTTTGTTGTGTTGTCCACCTCGGTCATCTGCATCTATGATGAGAATTCTCGTGGATAACAACCCATCCAGAAGAACTCATGTTGCAACTCTGCTACAAGCCTAGAATGTGATTGGTGCCAGCCCACTCGGCAATGAGAGGGCACCACCATATCTCTCAGCTCATACTGGGAGGATCAAGACTTTGTAACCCTTCGACTGGGGCTACCACCCATTCAAGAGTGGCTCTTACCGCGAAGAATCTATCGTGAACAGTATGAGATCATTCTTGAGGTACTTCGCAATCGACGAGCCACGTCATTGCCTAAAGAGTATACTTGAACTTCCGATCCTGCTTATCGGTAAGGTCAGAATTCACGTCCACCGCCATGTCCAGCTCAGTCTTCCCGCCATCAGTGGGCTCTAGCTCTCTCACCTCTGCTTCTCGATTCAAGTTGACTTGTCGGAATATAAAGTAGTAAGCCAGAAGCGCGATCATCAACAAACCCCAGCTCGCGATACTTGCAATGACGCCCTTGGTGTACCTGGGCGCATCCTGGCTCTGCCAGAGCTGTGGTGAAGCAATGCAACCCGTCGAGTAAGCCAAGAAGAATATCGCGCTGACTGCTGACTTTTTCGTGTTGCCCTTCACATTGGAAGCAAGAATACTCAGGCTGACCTGGATCAGTGACGAGGATTGAGCTGCCAGCCAGGTGCTGACCACGATGCCCCAACCAGCGCTTGCAGGTAGACAGAGTAGGAGGATACTTCCAAGGAGTGGTATGATCGAGAACAGTATTCCAGAGAAGCAGCGGAAGCTCTTGGTATAGCTCATGAGGAATGCCGCTGACCATGTGGTGATAATCTGCAGGGCTCCGCTAGGAAGTCCGACCAGCATCGTGCGGAACTTTGAAAAGCCGAAACCGTTGATGACAAGAGATGAGAACTGGCAGAGTTAGTCAGGCTGTGATACACGAGCTGGTAGAGTATGAATACCTTCAGAATGGGAGAGGACATAGTCGTTAGGAAAGCGAAAACGAAGAAGAACCACGTCTGCGGGTCCATGAATGCCTCTTTTACCTGAGCACTGTTGAACTGGTTTCGATCTCTTGTCGCGCGATCATTGGCCAATCTTTCGATCGCAATGCGACGTTCTGCTTCGTTCAAAAATGTGGCGGATGAAGGATCTCTCGGCATCAAGAAAGTGAAGAGTAAGCCCGCACCGACGGTCCCGGCGCCACAGACGATGAAAATGACCCTCCAGCTGGCGAGAGCCAAGGAGTCGGACTGACCGATGACATACATCAAGACGCCGCCGACAATTTGAGCGACTCCGTTCGTTCCTTGCCAGACAGCCACACGTATAGGATGCTCCGACCGTTTGTAGAAGTTGCTGGTGATGACGACGAAGCCCGGAGCCGCGACACCTTCGCAGAAACCGAGGAAGAATCTTGCCGAAAGCAGACCTACCGCATTGTGAGGTGCTGCCAAGCACATCTCGCACGTACCCCAAAGGATAACAGCGATGGACACGACAATCGTAACCCGGAAACGGCCGATGAAATAGGTCATGGGAAATTGGGCCGCCAGGAGTCCAAAGTAGAAGAGCGACACGGCCCAGGAGAACTCATGGCCGTCAACGTTCAAGTCTTGCTGCATGCCAAAGACAGATGCAAAGTTGATGGTTTGCTTGTCGAGGAACTGGAAAAAGAATACCAGAAACATCAGTGGCATGACTCGCCTGTCGATCTTGCGAAGGACGCGCTTCTCCTCGGCCGGGTCGATGGCATAGGCGACCGTGCCATTGTCTTCAGTTGTGCTGACGATGTCCTTTTCTGTGTGTGTTGCAGCGACCGCCATTTTGCTTGAGTGAAGAAGATTGAACAGAGATGCCAAGCTTGTTCCGTTGCATAAGCCCGTTCGTCGGAGGGACGGAAGAGCCGTCCGACGAACTCATATAGGAGCCCATCTTCGTCCCCCTCAGGTAAGTTGGAGAAAGAGGCCGTCCTACGCTAAACTTCGCTAGACATGGTCGCCTTCCGAATGTCGTTAACAAAAGATAACGTCGACGGGGATGTCCATGCAGCATAGCAGCCAAGGCATAACCAATGTCTGATCTGCAACAACTCCGAGCATCTTGGAGAAACCTGTTGCTAGCATGACCACGCGAAGTGCGAGAGTAAGAGGACATGTCGGATATCTCCATCCGAGGATGCTGTTCTGACCACCTCCAGCTTTCTCCTAGCGACCTCGAAACAAGCCCGGTGGATGCCACCCTCTTATCTGATGAGTGAGTCTCATGTAGTTCTGACGGAGGGCTAAACGTTCAAGCGCTTGACCGAGCATGCTCAATACGCTATTATTCTATTTGCGCCAACTCACCCCGCTCTTCTGGCAGCTTGCTCCATCGACTGACCACAACCCGACCTTCCTTGAGCACCGCCATCAGATGTTTATTGGGTCTATCCAGCACTGTGATATCCTCCAGCGGATTGACGTTTAGTATCAACATGTCTGCCAGATACCCAGGCTTGATCTGACCGAGGCTCCCCTCGTGCCGCAACATTTTTGCTCCATTAACGGTAGCGGCTTGTAGAACCTTGGCCGCGGAAAGCACCTTGGATCGGAGCACGAACTCGTAAGTCTGGAACTGGATCATCGATGCTAGCAAATCCGAGCCGTAGCACATTGTAACGCCTGCTTTGTCGGCGATGCGCAACGAGTCTTGACCAGCTTTGATCACCTCTTCATTCTTTCTCTTCGATTCTTCGGGCAGAAAGTTGGAGAAGGGCGGCGTGTTCATTATCTCGTAGGTTGTGAGAGTTGGTGTCAGGAACACTCCTTTCGCAGCCATAGTCCTGGCAGTCTCCTCGTCGAGAAAGTTGCCGTGTTCGATGCCCATGGCTCCATTATCAATCGCGTTCCGTATTGAGGCCGGTGTGTAGGCATGACTTGTCACGTATGTCCCGCTCTGCTTCGCAACAGAGACCATGGCTTGAATCTCCTCTGGAGAGAACTGGACCATTGTAAGCGCGTCGGTGCTGCTCGAGATGCCGCCACTACCTAGGATCTTGATAAAGTCCGCTCCTCTCCGCAACTCATCTCGAGCAATCCTCATACAGTCGGCAACACCATCGCAGATCCGCCCCGGGCCAAAGACGTCGCCCGCACAGCACAACGAGCTATCACTCTCGTCCCGCAAGTCGCCATGGCCACCTGTCTGGGAGAGCTGATGACCAGCAATGAAAAGTCGTGGTCCTTTGACAACGCCTTCTTTGATGGCATTCTTAAGATTCACAGAGCTACCACCACAGTCGCGAACCGTTGTGAACCCACGTTCCAACATCTTGCCACACAGGTGAGGCGATCGGAGAGCCCTGACTTCTTCGGGAAGCTTCTTCATCTGTCCCAACGTCTTCGATCCTGGGACATATTGCAGGTGGACGTGGCAGTCGATGAGTCCTGGACAAACATATCGACCACCGAGGTCCAGCTCCACCGTTTCAGAGTCTGCCTTTCCTGAGATGTGCTCTGCATCCTCAAATGCACCATCGCTCATCGCCACAGTGACATTGGGCCGCACCACCCCAGCGACTGGGTCAACGAGATTGGCATTTCGAAAGACGTATCTTTTCCGCTTTGCCGGCAGCCAGGGTATTCCCGACTCTATAGTGCCCTCCATCGTAGCCGAACGTGTTTGACAGGATCTGTATAGCAGGAAGACTTGCGTACACCCACTGTCTTTGACGCCACGTGACGCTAAGGGGTAACTCTTTCGGCAACGATGGCGCGGTCTACTCCGCTGGGCGGGAACCCGCTTAGTGTACAATCAGCGCAGGAGAACACGCCCTGTGACTGTTTCTCCAACGCGCGCGCTTTGACTAGGAGGAGAGCGGCATTTTCTTATCCCAAGCCAAGAGCACGGCGACCTGCCCAGGCATGGAAACCATAGAAGCTCCACGTTCTATTGCTCTTGATATACCTACTTGGCTGTGAGCGTTACTTGCGCAGGAGTTTCGATACTCTCGACAGACAGTGAAGGTGACATCGAAGGTCTTTAGAATTTCCTTGCTATTATCTGGAAACCGATCTAGATGCACATCCGTCCCCTTGAGGACGGCATGGTTAGAACAAGGCATATTGTAGCTGCTGAGCAAGTCTGATTCTTACGCCATGCTAATTGCCATCCACAGGAGTGGGTGTGCTTAGTCCTTACCCTACCATCTGGTTTTCTCCCCACTACTACCTCCACAGAATACAACTCGGTCCATACCTCGCTTCATACACGGGATCACCGAAATGCAAAGTCCCCTTGAGCTCTTTCATCAGACCAGTCTCTACATCCCTTTCAAACACCACCACATCGTTCGTATACTCGTTCAGCACTGCCAAATATCGACTCTCCGCATCTGGTGACAGCGCCAGGTGGCGTGGAATCTTCCCTTGCGTTTCTATGCTGTCCAAGTACGTCAGATGATGCTCCGGGCTTGCTTCGTCGTCGATCGCATAGATAGCTACAGTATCGCTATCGAGGCTAGTCGTGCCACGGCTGCTTGCGTATGCAAACTTGCCGTCGTCTGTAATGACAATATCAGCAGCGAGATATTCGCTGTTGGGCTCGGTGGGCGGCAGGCCAGGCCCGAGTGTGGAGATGGTCTGATGAAGCTCAACTGTGAGTTTCGAGGGCTCATTGCCGTACGAAATGGTATAGACTCTAATTGTGTTGTCTAGCTCACCCACTAGATACATATAGGTATTTGTGGCATTAAAGACCCCGAAGGCGGCGTGTCGAGGTCCTGTTCCTGGTGGAAGGACGATCTCCTGTAGCTGCGTGACTTGATGAGGGCTCGGCACTGAGTAGATATAAAGCCTGTCCGCACCGCGGGCGCAGACGAAAAGAAACCGTCCAGTCGGATCGAACTGCGTCTGGTGAGGAAATGCCTCGATCTGGCTGTCGTTGCTACCAGGACCTGGCTTGTCCAGGTGGTACTGCTCTCTATATGTCGCCTCGCCGATGGATCCGTCGTCCGCCACGGGATAGATGGCTATTGTGGAAGCCTCTATATTTGCTGCAGCAAAAGCTTTTCCGGTTTTGCTCACGTCGCAATGGACGCCTCCTTCGCCATTGCTGCTTCCAGCCGACAAGAGCCTCAAGGGAGGCCGGGGAGGGTGGGAGTGCTTGGAACGTTGGAAGGCGAACACTCCCCCAGATTCACTAGACTCATCGGGATAGCCGGTGCGACTAATGCTATAGATTCTTTGTCTGGATGCCGTGAGCCATTGAGGTTGTGTGCCACTATCCAGATTCATTGCAGTAATCGATAAGGATTCGTCTCCCTCAGCGTTGGGATCGAACGAAATATCCAGGATTGCCGAGAGGTTCTGGTGAGCCAGGTAGAAACCAAGCGTTGATCCTTCTGAACCTGACACAGCCGGTGTGGTCAAAGCTAGAAGCGCCACTAGTGATCATTAGTGAATCCGTGCTATGCGCCTTGCGTTTCGAAATGCAAGGCATTCCTAGAGTACTTGCCAACAGCGACGACGATCCGATGATGCCATGAAGCTGCTTGGGTTGGCATCTTCAATCTATGACTGTAAACACAGAGCAAAAGGAATTCGGACCAATCTTGGTGAGTCCAGACTAGAGGTGATGATGATCATAGAGCATCTGTTCTCCTTATGTATAAAATCGTGGTTTTTGGTATTGCAAGCGAAATTCGCTTCGGGTCTCCGAGGGTAGTCCGCTTATTCCTGAAGCGGTAATCTCTGCGAAAGCTGATTGCCTGATTCCCCAGCATTAATTTAAGGTAAGTCCAGTGTCAACCAGGCGAACCTTCGCAACATGGGTATTGCACGGGGCGAAATATCAGAACTTTGTTTCTTCTTCGGCCATCAAGCGAGTTCTTGTTCCGGCACTTTCCAAGTCGTCGATACTTATTGATATATGATTGAATCCTTTGATTGTTCTCCTGTGTGTTAATTAGTACAATGATTCGCTTGAATCCGGGTCTGCGCAAGAAGCTTTTGGCGAGAAGCGTGGCCAAAAGATACCCTCGGACATTTGATCATCCCCAGGGTATTGGGCACCTGATGTCGAAGACCCAGTGACAGTGATTAGTGCACAGGCTATGGACTTCACAAAGAGAAGAAGGTTATTCAACACCGAATAGTCGCCCCAGTATTAAAGTTGGTTGTGGACATTTTCGTGGCGCTTCAGTAAGGACGCTCGCATGGACGAGTGATTCGGTGACACAATACGCTCTGCTCGTACATCTTCCACGTGGAAGAGCTACACACAGGGTGTCAGATTAATACGCCCTACTCACGACAACTCGAACCCCTCCTGGCCCTGAATCTCCCAGACATTACCGCTCGGGTCTTCGACAAAGATCAAACCGGTGTTTGACACGGATATGGTCTCAAGAACTGCATCTTGCTCGTTCTGGTCCAACGCCGCAAGACCTGCATAGGGCGTTATAGCCGTCGAGGGAGGCTCTCCGAAGGTCTTTATGACCTTGACGTCGTCCATCTCATTCAGCCTCTTCTGCATGCCCTCCGGGTCCGGAACGACCATTCCACCATGATGCAACCCGTTTGATGTTTTCTGAACGTCCCATCCAACACCCTCCATGGACAGGAGCTCCAGCATGCCGTACAGATTGTTCTTGTCACTTTTCATCTCCGACACTATCTCGAAGCCTGTACCATTTCTGCCACTATAACAGAAGAACCTTAAACTCCAGGTCCTGGGAGGTTCCAATGTTGGGCAGCGTTTGGGAGGTGCGTCTAATAGCTCAGCAGAGGCAGTACCCGAGTCCGCGACCAGCGATCTCAATGCTGGAGTACTTCACAACTTGCAGGCCTCGACCCTTCATGCGAAGCAGTCTACACAACCAAAAATGCCAATACAAGGCCGTTCTAGAGCATTGCCAGAACATCCCACAAGCCAAGACAGCGTGGCCGAAAGTTTCAGTCTGCCTGTGGTGTAGTGGTGGGCCAGATAGAACTGTTCGAGATCGGTCTTCTTGGCGCATCACTACTACTGCTCGTTGCATGTTGGCCCCCTTGACACAGGCTCAGTGACAAATGGATCGCCATGTCCTCAACTCTGCTCAATATGAACGCCTTTATGCGAGTAGCACCAAAATTTCGTGACGTCACTTGTTCGAATTTAGCCGGGGCATGTCGTGATTGCGGGTTGCGATAATGTGCGTCGAAACTCGAGTCGAAGGTAATCTTCCCTACTTCGTTGTATATCGTTTCAAATGCCAACACACGACACCCAAGATCTGACCCTGGTGATGCCCGATGATCTCGAAGACGAACTGTAAGTTTCCTTGCTGCATCGAATATTCAAGGCTGACATGCCTTAGTGGGCTTTCCGCTGACACTCTCGCCGCGCTGCAACACTTCTATCTAGAACAAGATATAGATCTGAGAGCTTTTGAGGATCTTAAGTCAAGCACCGACGAGAGCGGTGAGAGAAAGCTTCTCTCAATATCTGCGTTCAAGGAAGACTGGAACGCGAGCCAGTTCTGGGTAGACGTTGGCCGTAGGCTTCCGAAAGCTTGCCAGCCTGCTGATGCTTTGACAGTTCACAGACGACACAGCAGAGTTCTTGGCCCGGCAGTTGCTCTTACACAGTACATCAGAGAGCTCTATTGCCATCATATCTGCACCGAGCATTTTCCTCCAGGCCCAGAAGCTATTAGTGGGTCTCCGTTTTCGCTCAGATGATGGCCAAAGCTGAGTAGTAATAGTTGACGGGACAATATCCTCTGCCCACCCGACTGTGCTTGCTCGAATACGACGAGCGCTTTGACTTGCTAGAAGGCTTCGTGAAGTATGATTTCAACGACCCCACCAATTTGCCGGCAGATATGGACGGTCAGTTCGACCTGATCGTTTGTGACCCGGCGTACCACAGCGAAGCCTGCATCGTGCAATGTAAGGGGCAGAGATCCGCTGATATGTTCCATGGCTTATCGTGAACTAGATGCAAAATCCTGCAAATGGTTGACAAAAGCGGTGGATGTCAAGAGTGACAGAAGTCGAAGCATCAAGATGGTCTGTACGGGTGAGGCCTTACAAGATGTCGTTACAGAGTCCTTTGCTCCAATCTCAATCACTTCTTTTCACCCTCGACACACGGTTAGGCTCGACAATCGATATGCATGCTATGCTAATTTCGAGCTCGAAATACACCAAGACTTGTGACGAGTACGGTTGATCATTGTATTTTCCAAGCTAAAAAGGATGTGTGGCGAGCTGTAGGAGCTTGACTCCTAATGAGCGCTCTCTATCTATCTGAAATAAGGGCTAAAGCTCTTCACACGGTGAATCTGAAGAACGTTGCATCGTCGCCTTTCTCTCGCTCCAAGGCCTTCTCCGCGGTAGTGTACTCCTCCAGCGGCTTGTATTTCTTGTCCCTTCTCGCATTCTCACGACGATAGTACAGCGTCATGAACGTGCACACGCTGGCCGACATGCTCATGATACCGATCAAGATGCTGTAGCCCTTGATGTAGCGCGGTCCATCGGTCGCCAAGAAAACAAACGAGGCGAGTATGCCGCCGAGATTGCCAACCATGGCTTGCATCGCCAGCGCAATACTCCGTTTGGTCGAGCCGCCGACGTTGTTGCCGTTCCACGCCATGCACTGGGGTACATTGGGGTAGACACCCGTGGCGAAGAAGAAGGTGCCTGCGTACTTGACTTGCGGGTCGTTGGAGGCAACGAGCATGGTCAGACCGATAATGCCGACTAGGTTGAAGACGATCATGACGATGCCACGGGTCTGGAGACGGTCAGCGCCATAGCCGGCGCCGATGCAGAAGAAACAGGCCACGACGTAGGGTGGCACGGTCATAAGTTGGGCCTTTTCATTCGTGTGGCCCAAGTCGCGCACGATGGTCGGAAGGAAGAGGGAGAACGAGTAAACCGAAGCAAAAGTCCTATGGGTGTTGGTCAGTACACAAGTGACGCAGCATGAGTGCTGTAAACTGACCCTAAGAAGTTGAAGCAGTGGGCGTAGATCTTCCAGTCCTTGAATGCATCCCACACGTACTTTCGGTCGTACTCATCTGCCAAGGAACCGCGATCCTCATCCAGCCGTCGGTTAATCTCACGTCTTTCAGCATCCGTGACAAATTTGGCGGTATCAGGGTAATCTTGGAACGCCCAGTACGCCCAGCAGGCCACTGCAACGGTGACGATGCCCTCCAGGATGAAAATCCACGCCCAGCCACCCCGACCACCAATGCCATCCATTTCAGAGATGCCACGAGCGAGAAGACCACCGAAGGCACCTGCTGCAGTGGCCATTGAAAAGAAGATTGACATCCGAAGGCCACACTCATGTCGGCGGTACCACATTGTTATACTTGGGGGGTCAGCACAGGCTCATCCAAGCCTTGAGGAGATAGAGGCGCCTTACAAGAAGTTGATACCTGGGAAGAGTCCGCCTTCAGCAAGACCTAAAGCGGCACGGGCGGCGAGCAGCCCTGCATAGTTGTGACACAGACCCATCAGAGTGCAGCAGATACCCCATGCAACCATGGTGGATGGGAGCCACAACGAAGGTCTTGTGATTTTCATCATAATGTTGGACGGGATCTCGGCAGCAACGTAAAATGGGTAGAGGATGGCGAGCGCAACCTGTCAATTTGTCAGTCAGTAACAAGGGAGACCGCTTCGTCGCGGATACCATACATTGTAGTCCAAACCGGACATATTCAGATCTCGCTCCAGATTGGCTAGGCGAGCGTTGCCGATGTTGGTTCGATCCAAGAAGCTGAGTAGATACAGGATGACGAGAACTGGGAGGATATGTCTATCCAATTTCCGGACCAACTTCCTAGTCTGTTTCTCATCGAATGCGCCATTGGACCCTGTGAAGGTAACTTCTCCGTCTTCGATGGTCTGCACTTTGGCATCTTCTAGTTGATCCTTCTTCTCTGACATCTTGAAATCTGGAAAGTTCGAAGCCTGGTCTGGAATGAAAGTGTCTAGGAAACGCGGGGCTCGTTCCTCGCTGATACGCTTCTCCAACGTATTTATAAGAACGATGGAAAAGCCCAGACCTCGGGGCACAGATCATGCCCTTTCGGAAGAGTGACATTAGATCTCACCTGCAGCTCAGCAGCCATGACCCAGCTTTGACCAGATTCGAGGCTCCGGTCACGTAGTAGTGAAGCTGAACATCCCCCGCCACAGGAGCCGTTTGGGAGAGTGATTACCCGCAACCAATGTGCAACCAAGCCTCAAGGCTTGAGCGGGCGATCTACGTCTTGGGCATGTCGGCACGCAGCCATGCAGGGATAAAGGCGCCAAGTCACATGTACCTGCCCCTGTAGAAACTGCAACTCCTCTTGGCGTGAGTCCAAACTGGTGCTGCTTTTCGTGACACAAGGCTTACGGATCTGCTGTTTCGTGGGCGGACTGGGCCCCGGCTGTCAAGGGTAGTCTCAGCCAAGACAGCCCCGGCTGTTAGAGCGGGCACGATTATCGGTTGTAACATCAATCGGCCAATGTGCGCCGCGGGATAGTCAAGCACACCTCAGTTGTGATGGTGGCCTTAAAAGCCATCTTCCAGTGCGGTAGGACACTCTGTCCAACATATTCCCCTTGGGACATGGTCTTGATGTTGACACTAGTTCGGGGACCACAGGCTCTTTCTATCATAGCGGAAATCAAGCAGCGACAAGGGCATGCTGCGAGCAGTAGCTTGGCAGAGCCTCTGCTCTCCGATACACGCCCCGCCCCCCGCATCGTCTTCCCCGCATCTCCTCACGTTGCATTTCTTGGTGTACTCCATGACTCTTGGAGCACAGTGGGCACAACTTATTGGAGCTGCCAAGTTTCATCCGCCCCAAAGCCACCATGTCATCTGTCGGAGGTGGCACGCCCCCAACTTGCTCATAGGAATGAATTTCCGACAATTTAGTACTAGCAATAACTTGTAAAACGCAACGAGAACTCAATATTGACTGTACCGCAGAGCGCCTATCAAATCAAAGTCATAAACATCATAACATCGACATTGCTTGAGCATTCGCTGTGGCGGGAGCTTGAGCTTAGCCGCTTCAACAAGGCTCCAGCGCCACTTTTGCTTCTCATGACCCTTGATCTCGGCTTCGCTTCGTGATGCACCTCTATCACCCCGAAACCCCGATCCATCGACCTGATCGACGCCTAGAGTAGACCAGGAGTGCGATCCATGGAGACAATGGATGCCCGAATGGAATTCCGTCTGTCTGCGCCGGTGGCAATGCTGAACTGGCGAAGACGCTTCTCTTCGTGCTCCTCTGTATACTTGACAACGCGGCGGACTTCGGGGTTTAGTCCCATGAGGACGCGCGGGTGATCGTGGAACACTGGTTATGATTAGCCAAGCTTTGTGCAACATGAGATAGGAAACTTACACAAATCGATCTCCTCCAAAGTGCGTCCAGATGTCTCGACGCCGAAGAAGTACGTCAATGGGATGAATAGAGCATTGACCGCACCCCAGATCCAGAAGTAGTTGCCACCGATATTGGCCAGGCCAATAGGTGTGACCATAACAACAACAAAGTTTGATAGCCAGTGAGAGAAGACACCAACAGCCGTGGACTTGTTGCGGACACGCAGAGGTTGGATCTCAGCCGAGTATGACCATGAGACAGGCAGAATGCCTAGAGTAAAGAAGTCCATGAACAAGAACATGAAGGCAACAGCTGTTGCTGCAGTGGTGTAGGACTGGTTGAGCAGACAACCTGCGATGATGCACATGCTAATTGCGCAGCCGGCTGAGGAACCAATGACTGTCCATCGTCTTCCAATCTTATCTATAGATGTTATTAGACCAGCTTTTGCTAATGTGGCGTGTCAATGACGTACCGATGTAGAAGAATGGTGGCCAAGAGAAGACTGCATACTGTGTGAAGGCGACTGAGGCCAAGATCAACGCCATTGACGGGCTGTAGTCAAGGTACTCTTGGAGGATGTATGCAAGATACTGTCGTTGTTAGCTTGACTGCTTGGTGAGGAGTGGCAGACTTACGTAGCAAAGAGCATTGATACCAGACCATTGATTCATCATGTATGGTCCCATACCAAGGAGAACTCGCTGAAGATTCCGAGCAGGAGTGCCGTTGCTGAAAACCTCGGTCCAGGACGGCTCCGCTTCGGTCCACTCGGCCTTGATGTTCTCTTCGATCTCGTTGATTTGTAGCATCACAAGAGGGTCATCGTCGGGCTTGTCCAGTAGCCGTGCGACGACATGAGTCGCTTTGTCCTTCTGGCCATGCTTGACAAGCCACCTCGGAGTCTCGGGTACAAAGAGACAAGTGAGAATCGTTATCAGCGAAAACAAGATCTGACAAGCCACGGGAAACCGCCACTGGAATGAATTGTTGGAATGAAGCGTTGCGAAACAGAGCCATGAAGCGATGGCGACACCAATGATGATTAGTGCGGACTGGACCACCAGTAGGGCGCCACGGTTGTGAGCTGGCAATGTTTCCGACTGTAAGATAGGGACGGCAACTGTGCTGAGACCCACACCGACTCCAGCAACCTGACAAAGTCAGCACGAATTTGGGTTTGGGGGATGTTACCCACAATGCGAGCGGCGAACATCTGCCAGTAGGAGTAAGAAGCGGTCTGGATGGCCGCACCCACAACCACGATAACGTTGGCGAGGAGGATAGATTTCTTGCGACCGATCTGCTCGCCGAAGAGAAAGGCCACTACGGCTCCAATGGCGCAACCGATATCGTAAATTGCCGTGACAAGCCCAGCCATCGTCGCTGTAGGATGACCGAGCATGTCTTGGAAGTAGACGCCTCCAAGGATGCCTCCAAAGAGACCTTGATCGTAACCAAACTAAACACGTTGGAAATAATGGATCAGCAGCTATATGCTAGAGCAGAGGGTATATTGGAGTGAAAAGCGGCAAGTGACGAAGAGGAGTTCATCTTAGTACCGTGCCATAGCGCAGGAAATGAAGCTGGCCCTTGCAGGTGCTGTCGGTTTCGGAGAACTCACCAGGAGGAAGTCCATGCCTGAAGTTACGAGGATCATGAAGATCAGAGACTGACCTCTAAGCTCGAGGAAAGCCATGATGGGTGGAAAGTGAAGCACAATTTATCGAAGTGATCGGTCGAGGTCTCCAGTTGAAGATAGAAGCATCAGACCTAGTCGTTGGGATGTCTCGAGCTATATATGCTTGAGACGGGGCAAGCTTCACGTCGCCTCTGGCTGCCCACAGTTTGTAGCAACCCCGCAAATGATTTGGTCATTTTGCTGATCCCAAGTAGAATGATCTAAAGGTGGTGAAGCCAAGCTCCGGTTGTCGTCAATAATGTGTCAAGCATAGGTCGATGTATGCGGAGTGGCTTTCCAGGGATGCCCAGAACGGCAACCCGCTTCCCTGAGAACACGCCAATCAGGCTGGACACGAGGTCGTGCATGGCGTTAAGCAAACCAGCACATGAACAACCCAGGAACGGTTAGTGCTTGCAGGCTCATAGTCGAAGGTGAGCCAATAGGGACAGGGTCGGGTGGTGAGCTTCCAGCAGAAAACACCACGACCAATCTGCTCTCATGAGCCGCGTGAAGACTAATTCAGAACGTGTGTGGACGAATGTGGATGTGGAATCGCAATGGCAGTTGTCCATTCAAGAGGATCACGAAACGGTCCTTGAGGTCTTGACTTGATCAAGCATTCTTGCCAAGGCAATTTCCCCAGATTATAATGTCCTCTGGGCAGGAGTGAGGATTCCATGGATAGTCACTGTGGGCACTCCATTATCAGACCGACGAGCGGACAAGTGTCCATCTGTGCCTGCATGATGATAACCACTGTGTAGCCGACATACGCCACGCGACGAGGACCCGATACGAGGTCGGTTCACGGTTGGGGTCTTCATCCCCGCCTTTGTCCGTGCTGCATGGTCAGGTGAAGCCGTACGCCAACGAAGCCGACAGGGCCCAAGGCCTGGAAGCGTCTGAAGCCGGAACGCAACAACCAAAATCCGGTAAGCCAAATCGAGCGAACCGACGCGGGGAGAAAATCGGGTCGCCGCCGATCGAAAGATGAAAGCCATTCAGTCGTCTCCTTCTCAGCCATTGTGCGATGATACTGCATACGTTCAGGGGCAGTAGTGGAGCAGCCGTTGTTGAAGAGCAGGTCTGGCCTGTCGCCGCTTCTTCGCTGCGACAACGGAGCGTTGACTATGCCTAACTGGCTCTCAAGCCCATGTCTCGCATCGTGTACAATACTTCCCAACGCTTTTTTCCAGCCCTCAGAGAACCACACATCTAGCTCAACAGGTGCTACTGAAGCTTGAGAGCTCCGAGATGTCGATATTGTCACTGGAGACCCAATACGCCTCCGATCGAGATTCTAGGCTTGTGCTATCAGCGCCGTACGACCAATGGTACGAACGATGTCCTTGATCGAGATCGAGATCTCTCCTCGCCGTGAAATAGTACGAGCACTAATACCAGGACTGACCCAAGAGCTCAACCGGTCACGAAAGACCGTCACTCTTCGATCAGCAGATCTGCCTCGATTCGAGAGGAATGATTTCGTTACGGGATATATGACAAGGATATTCTTGGGTCATCACGCTTGGTCTAGTAGACTAATATCCTTGGGCCAGGAAGATGAATACAAACCCTTTTTGTGGCTACAGAGATGCAGCAGGGCGAGTCATCGTAGCCGAGCCAAATCATGGTATCATGTGTTTGTGGACGTATTCAAACGTCCCGCCAAGCCCCACCTCGTCATCACATCCTCTCCCTCTCCTCAGGCCTCTCTATCCCGCAGAGCACCAACTTAAGCCCCCATTCACCACTCCCTAAGAAAGCCACTCCACCCTCGAAGACCAATGCCCACCTCCACCCCGACCTCCACCCCCAACGAAATCCTAGCCACCCGCCTCCTCTCCCTCGCCAGCAAACGCGCCCACCCCAAAACGCTCTGCCCGAGCGAAGTAGCGCGCTCCTTCTCCACCATCGAGCTCTCAAGCCAACTCGACGTCTCCGCCTGGCGAGATCTCATGCCCTCGCTCCGCTCACTATGTTTCCAAATGCGTGAGCGAGGGGAGCTGGAGATCCTGCAGAAGGGTGAGGTTCTGGTGGGGGATGATGCTGTGGAAGGAGAGGTTCGGGGCCCGATTCGTGTTCGTTTGGTGGCGGGGGGGACAAGGATGAAAGATGTGTAGGGTGAGGGTGAGGGTAAGGGTGGAGGAAGGCATGCGATGAAGTAGAATGGGAATGGTGGCTTCTATTGTATTTTACACATTATCCGAGTCCCGCTCGATGTATCTTTGTTGGGAATTTGGGGAGACGCCTTGCCAGTGCGCCGGGTATGGCCAAAACAACACGAATGGGGGGAAAACCTTCTACCCTCTTCGGCTTCGCGACCCATTCCTTGTTCACCGAATCCATGTTTGCAGCCGCTGAGCCTCGAATAGAAAGCAAAATGCCGTCCGGGTATATAATGCTGAACCACGAGAGCCCACATCCGTTCATCATCAAAATACAGATGGCTATCCCAACAACAATTCAGTATCCGCTGTACCCTCTACTCCTCACAGCGGTTCGGCCACCTCCTCGAGACGGGCCAATATCAATCATGCTCAATTCTGCAGCGAGAGGATCGTCATGTACACTTGGCGGTGCATAACTCTGTGGACGCGGCATCTGCACCTTCGTGGGCGTTGTTTGGTAGTAGGAGTTGCGGCCATACATGGGGACCTGGTAGTCGGTCAAAGGCGGACGCGGTGGGCCAGCGGAATGAGGAGAAGATGGTATCGAGCTTCTCTGCATGTTGTTCTGGCTACCGTGGCTCGACGGAGGTCGGGGATGCGGTGCCGGGCTGCTTTGATCGAACTGCTTGGTTTGTGGGATCGCCGCAGGGCTGGTCTGAGCATGCTGGAATGGCTGAGCCGGCAATGGACGCGTTGCAGGCATTGGCTTTTGAAGCCTATTCCTACGACGCTCCGATGTTGGACTCACGGCCGGCTCATTCACTGGAGCAGGTGAGCTGTTGTAAGATATGTGAGACGGAGGTGTCCTCGCCGCAACAGGCGAAGAACCGGCTCGGGTCTGCTGTGCATCTGCACGGGTCCGTATGCGGATGACATGCTCAGGCTGCCGATTCTTTCGCTCTGGCTCGGGGGCCCACGTTTCTGCTGGCAAATGATCTGAAGGGTCGATAACGCGGCCATCATTTCCAATAATCGGTTCGATCTCGCCAGGCTTCTCTTGTTTCGCTGGATAAGTCGGTCGAGGCCCGTTTTGTGCCGGACCAGAGCTCGGGTTGAGCACGTTGTAGGAATCAGGCCCGAAGGGTGTGCTTCCAAACTGAGGTCTATCATCCATTGGTGGCGCGGGACTGACTGACTTGCGCGGCACTGCGACATTCACATTTGGGCTGACGGGTCTCGGGCGAACAACGTGCGGGTCCGACCTGTAAGTGTTGGCATGGTCAAAGTCGCTGGAGTCGAACGTCTGTGCCCGCTGCGGTGCTCGATATGGATCATCGTGATCCTCGATCATTGAGTTACGTCGGATGTATCGACCTTGATTATCTTGTTCAACAGGCTCGGCAAGAAAGTCAACTCCATAGTTTACACCCACTTGATGAGGAGCAGGGAAGTCCCCAGCTGAACTGGTTGGGCGCTCAACTTGTGGAACCGGAACTTCAGAATGGTTGAACGACTTTCGATGCTGCCGCTGAGTAGACCCCCGATCCGACGGCGGGTAGGGGCTGTAGTTGTGCTCTATCATTTGTAGCGGACTTCTGTCGCCAATCGAGTCACGTTGAGGCGGCTGGGGCATACGGGGTGGTGTGCCATAGGTTAATTCCAGCGGGCGTGGAAGGCTGCCCCGATGTGCTGGTGGAGGAGGAGGTGGCGGAGAGGGAGGTTCGTCCTCATATCCTAGTGGCACCTTGGGAGGTATCGCAGGCAATGAAGGGACGTCTTGTGGGGCTATCGACTGACGAAGAGGGCTGTCCCGGTAGGCCGCATATTTGGTTGGCGAAGAGCTCATCCGATGCGATCTTGGGTCAGTCGGACTCGGTCGGACAGGAGGCGAGGAGTTGTAGTAGGACGACCCTTGTTGGGGGCTGCTGGACAGTGGGCCAGGATCACTGTGTCGAGCTTCAAGGGGAGGCGGTTCCATGGGTACGGGCGGCAAACTCTGACTGAATCCTCCGTCGTAGGTGGGTTGTGTTGCTTCGAAATCATACTCGCGATCTCTTACTTCATATTGGTCTGCATATGGGTTGTTGCGGTATTGTTCATAATCGTCGGGTCCTTCGGGGCCAACGTACTGTTGAGGTTGAGGAACGTAGTGTGGATGGACGTAGGCAGGTTGTTCTGTAGGTGTGACTTGCTGCCTATTCTGGATGCGCAACGGCTGGGGGAAGTCGGCAGGTTGGGCGCCGGCGAGGCCGGGGCCTGTAGGTAGTGGTCGACGCTTGATTTCGCGGGGGCCTAGCTGGCGAGGAGCTGAATGTGGGCTCGAATTTGTGGCGGGAGAGTTCGCCCTCTGTCTTTGTCTCTCTTTCGTGGCTTCAATCTCTGCATTGGGTTTCGTGTCGTAATAGGTCATTTCGAGACGAATATCGCCAGCGTATTTGCCCTTGAAATTCAGCTGATGCCAGAGGTCATTGGCTTTTCCTCCCGGGATAATGAGGTCGGACAGGTCAATCCAGCACTCGCCGATGAGATCGGTCTTTTTGTCATCGTTGAAGATGGAGACCTTCAGCTTGTAGTAGTCGGGTGCGTCACGGACGGTAAATCGCAGTTCTTGGTCCCTACGCGTGTCGTTAGCATTGCGCGTCTGCATCGAGGCGCAGCTGAACCTACCACCTTGGGGTCTGTCCTCCTCTCCTATCAGTGTCGGTCTTTTTGGCTTCTTTACCCAATCTCATGGCACAGTATGGATCTTGCTTGCCCATGGTTTTTCGATTGGGTAGGTTCTTTGCTCGATCAACAATGGCGACCAGGGTGCCTATCTCGGGCCCATCGAGGGTCATGTCGGCAAAGATGCCCGCTGTGTGCCCGGAAGGCATCGTGCGTTTGACAGCCATGGTTGTTGAGCCTGCGTCGGATTGCTGTCGAATACGCTGGCGCCTCCTGGTGAGTCCTAGTCACTGCAGAGGGGTACTCGATTGTGACGGCGGGCGGATTAGCGGAACATGGCGGTAGAGACGAAAGAAAGGAGTACAAACGACCAGTCCAGATCGAAACGACAGGTCGGTAGCAAGTGAAGTCTAGGAAGGGATGAGGAGACTCGAGGAGGTCGGAATGGGAATGTTTGTGGTGTAGGTATCCATGAGGCAGCTCACCAGCCACCAGTAACGAAAGTCAAAAAGAGGCTGGGGCTGGTCCACATTGCCTTACTTTGCACCACGAGTCTCCATCTATTGGGTATTAGGCATTGCCAATGAGACATTGGACACGCGTTTATCAGCATTACCTGTCTTTGATTTATCTACATGACACTTTGAATATTCCGAGCTCGACAACAGAGGGGTGCAGCCGGGCGGGCGCCCATTGTTTTGGTGGCTGCCTCTTCCGGCTCTGACGTCAAGTCTCCACCAATCATGGCCTTGAGATTTGGCCATGCCCAGTCTCCACCCTGCGTCTTCGAGGGCTGCCTTCCGCTGCGATATCCAACAAGGCATTGAGTAGCTGTGGAAAAGCTGTAGGCTGTGTCTCTCGTTCACTTGACGTTGGACTGCAATGCTTAAAGCCCTTGCGACAAGGCTTCGTTCGGGTCCGCGCGGCGATTGGAAGCCAGTTGCTGACCGGCTGTCACACCAACGTGGGGTAATGGACCCGGTGACTACCGCTCGTACGACCTTCGCGCGTTCTTTAAATTGTCCATCCCAAGCGTCTTGAGAACTCTATATACACCTGTCTACCACTATCCCGTACACTCGTTGCGCACTGAGTACCGCCAATATGGCTGCCAACCACCTTCGCGCCAGGTGGAAACACAACATGAGCACCTTTCGCCGGCAGCCTCTTGCCGAAATCTCTGGATCGCTTGGTGATCTGGGAACCTTCCTTCCAATCGCCATCGCCCTGACTGAAGGCCATCAAATCAGCCTCTCTACCACTCTCATCTTCTCGGGCGTATACAACATCGCGACAGGCATCGTGTTTGGCATCCCACTACCCGTCCAGCCAATGAAAGCTATAGCCGCAGTTGCCATCCTCGACTCCCTCTCCGCAACCACTCTCGAAGCAGCTGGACTCTTTGTCTCCTTATGCATTTTACTCTTCTCTACCACAGGCCTGCTCGCGTGGTTCACGCACCACATCCCTATTCCTGTCGTCAAAGGTATTCAAGTCGGCGCCGGCCTCTCTCTTATCATTGCGGCGGGCAGCAAAGCCACTTCCAGCTTGACCTGGCTCCACCCCTGGTCCGACAACTACATCTGGCTCGTGGTCGCATTCCTGTCCCTTTTGGCAACAAACATCCGGCCTAGAATCCCGTACGCACTCATCGTCCTCCTGCTTGGCCTCGTCTTCGCCTTCATCCGCACCCAAAGAGTCCCCTCTGTCACACCTTGGCGACCTTACACTCAGGTTCCTGACGGCACTGCATGGCGCGAAGGTATCCTTTCTGCGGGGCTCGGACAACTGCCCCTTACAACTCTCAATAGCATCATTGCCGTAACGCATCTGTCCGCCGACCTCTTACCCGAGGTGCCCTGTCCCAGCTCCACTGCCATCGGCTTCTCAGTCGCAAGCATGAATTTGATTGGCTGCTGGTTTGGCGCGATGCCCGCCTGCCATGGTAGTGGCGGCCTCGCGGCGCAGTATCGATTCGGCGCGCGATCTGGAGCGTCCGTCATCTTTCTCGGCCTGCTGAAAGTCGTTCTGGGGCTGCTCTTCGGAGAGAGCCTCACTACACTTCTCCACAAATTTCCAACCGCATTCTTGACGGTCATGATCATCGCCGCGGGGCTAGAATTGGCCAGCGTGGGCGAGAGCTTGAATACGGAAAGGGCGCGGGACCTTGGCAAAGGAGAGAACGAGCGACAGGGTGATAATACCTTAGACCAAGCGGGAAAGAAGCGGCGCTGGTCCGTCATGTTAGTGACTACTGGAGTACTCGTGGCTTTCAAGAATGATGGGCTAGGATTCGCTGCAGGGATGCTATGCCATTGGAGCTTCTCTTTGGAACAGTACCTAACGGCAAGGTGGTCACGAGAGAATGCAAGGCACGACACAGACAGGGAGAGGGAGCCGCTTCTGCCTTGACTGGACAGTGGTCGGCTCTGGTGATAGAAAATAGCGTCAATCACTTTCGTAGCTGAATCTATGAGCGCCAGCTCCAGATGCAATGCACACAGGTCACCGAGACGGCCGTCGCAACATTCATGAAGACCTGAATACATCTCCATCTCCCAGCCCCCCTAAACAACACAAGATCCCCCCCTCCTCTCACCACTTCAACGGCCCCTCGCTATTGCTATAAGTCATGGTCTCGCCCTCCGGGCCCTGCTTCGCCAACTCCACGACCCTCACGGCCCCGAGCTTCGGATCCGTCTCCTCGCTCAGCTCCACGTCATTGATCTTCGTCGCCCTCAGCCCCGGACACACGCAATTGACCTTCCACTCCGGGAACTTGCGCGCGTAGTGCACGGCCAAGTAATTCAACGCGCTCTTGGACGACCCATAAAAGAAATTCCCCGGCACCTCCGCCCTCGCCGTCAACTTGTCGATACTCCCCGCCCCACTCCCCACAAACACGATCTTCGGCAGCGTCGCGCGCTCCAGCAGCGGCAGCAGCCGCTCCGTCAGCAGCGCCGTGGACACGACGTTGGTCTGGAAGATGTGCATGCCCCTGTCGCGTGGGGACGTGGACTCGGGGACCTCGCGGCCCGTGGTGCCGGCGTTGTTGATGAGGATGTCGAGCTTGCCGAAGTGCTGCGCGATGGCCGAGGCGCAGTGCTCGATGGAGGCGTCGTCGTCGATGTCCAGCTGGATGGGGTTGACGTTCAGCGGGGCGCCTAGCGAGGCGGCGGCGGCTTCGCCTTTGAGGATGTCGCGCGCCCCGAGCAGGATCTGGTGGTTGGGGAGCGCGGCGAGGGAGCGCACGATTTCGTAGCCTATACCGGCGTTGCCGCCTCTGGAGGGGGTGTGTTAGGACGAGGGGGTGTGAGGGTGATGTGGGGGTGTGGTGTGGTCCAGTGGGGCTTCGACTATCTGGAGGCGGGCTTACGTGACGAGGACAACTGTCTTGGACTGTGTGGTAACACTGGAGGGCCTTGAGACGAGGCCGGGGCGGGACGTCATGATGTGTGCCTTGTATGGAGGCTCCAGTCGTCGGGGGTTTTGGCGTTATAATCTTTTGGCCGCTGTCTGGTGGGTAGACGTCTGCACAAGGAATATCTTTGCTGGGAAACGAAGTTGTAGGTTCGGCGAGAGTAACCTACGTCACTTTCGGAGCTAGCACGAGTTAGCGTGCTTTTTACTGCCTGCATCGATACATCGCAACGTATAGGCCTGCGGACCTGGCACTTGATGGTCGCAGACAGCGAGTTTGCAGCAGCACGATCGGGTACTGGAGTAGTTGCTCTAAAGGACGAATGATATGTTGCAGACTATGTGTGTCAGAAAGCACACCAGCGATGTCGAGCTGGAGCCCAGCGCCAATGACCCATGCATACTGCCATAGTCGGGCTGTTATATGAGGATCCAGGAGACACTATGATGCTCAAATGTCTTTGGCATCCTTGGCTGCCCATACCGCATCCATCTTGTTTCGTTGTTGAGCCAGCATATTTGCCATGAGCTTGTCTCTCATGTTCACTGGGATCAAGAGTGCAATGGCACCTTGTAGCGCATGGCCCCAATATGGGAATACGTATGCATAGCCACACCCAATAGCATTGAGCGCAGCTCGGGCACATGTTCTCGCTGTGGGCTCGGCCCATGTAGCATCGGCATCCGTTCTGCCAGTGCTGGGAGTACATATCATGCCAAAACTCATACAAATTACTTCAATATCCATCTTGTCCAACATCAACTCGTACTTCAGCGTGCGAGTGAAAGAGGACGTATAGCCTTTTTGTCCAGAGTAAGTTGCAGACCATGGCATGGGCACATTATCGGCACCGCTGGAGACGGTGATGAGGAGAGATGGCTCGTTCTTATGCAGGTGAGGGATCAGAACACGGGTGAGCTGATTCATGAACCGTATATTCATGTTGAGCTGTCGATCGAGCCAGAGAGGATCACGGTCGGCGTAAGATATCCACCTGCCCAGGTATCCGATGTTGTTGATTAATATCGTCAGTGGAATATCTTCGACAACGCCGTTGATCATTTTGTCGAACTCCTCGTAAGCGCCTGCCTCAAGAGAAGTCGGCATTAGCTCAGCATCGAACACCAGGGTCCGAACGCAAATCCCAAAGCCAGTTTCGAGCTCTTTCTTGATTCCATCGAGCTTGCTTTGATTACGTCCATGAAGAATGACATTGATACCCTCGACGGCCAATTCCTGGGCCCAGGCCACACCCAAGCCGTCGCTTGCGCCAGTAACCAATGCCCAGGGTCGTGATTTCTGCTCACCCTGCGCAAGGCGGTGAGACTGGCCGTATTTGCTCAACTTAGAGCGGTGGAGAAAAAGGGACAATAGCTGCCACAACTGGTTGTTCATTAGCCAGAGCAAATCTCCGACCCTGAGCCGCGACAAACCTGCGAAATGGCGCTCATTGCTCCGGTGGATAGGGTCAGTACGGTGTAGGAGGGAAGGGAGTCTCATGCCCAAATTGAGGTCGTGAGTAGGATGACGGCTTCATATCAAGGCGCGCCAGAATGTCCCTTCGTCTCATGCCGAGAAGTCAGGCCCGAAACACACGTCTGTATAAGACAATAGTGCAACTTCCTACTATAGATGCAGCACATGCAATTGGCAGGAATTCGAGGTCCGGATACACTAGGAAAGCCTTGCGACAAGGCTCTCGTATGTTACGATTTTGCCCGAATGTGGCTAGGGCAGTGGTGCAAATCCACCATCAGTGGCCTGGAAGGGTCGAGGGTTGGAAGCCAGTGAGCAAAGTACTTACACCTGACATACTGGCGGAGTGAGACTTTGTCTGCCAAATGTGTACGCCGTGTACCTTAAATGTGCGTTTCATGCTGTCGACGCGGTATACCGCCGCGCTCAACATTGTCGAAGGAGCAGCGCGTCTGCGACCCTGGCCGATAACGCTTCGAGCCACAAACGATGCGCTGCCTGGAGCCCGGAGGCGCTTTTCGCTAACCGCGACGTTAGCTCACGGGATTCAAAGACGGTCTCAGCAGCAGCGCAACCATTCTGGAACGCGTTGGAATACGCCACTGATAGGTAAGGAAGCTCTCATATAACATTGACCTCAAAAAAACGTTGGCTGCAAGCAGGACTAAAGCTCCAACCATGGAACTGGAATCCGGTCTCCGATGCTCGGTACCTTGCATGACTGCCACTAATTGACAGCTATTCACGACGTTGTCTTGTGGAGAGGCCACTCTGTGTTTGAGAGGCACCAACTTCAAGTGCCCACAGCGTCAGCCAACCCAACCGCCCGTGTCTGTGAGCTAAGCACCTCAGACTGGCAAACGATGGCGCGAGTTGATTCCATCAGGTGATTTTTTCGGGGTGAGGTGGGGAAGAGGAGCTCGGCGACGTGTAAGTAGGCCTGGTTGGCATGGACAACAGCGGGGCTTGACTATATGCGGCAAATGTCAGCGACCGCAGGGACCAGAAGTCAGGGTTCTCCAAAGTCTCTCGCTGTCGTATACCACATTGGGAGACGGGGTTCGTTGCGGTATTGTCACGGCTGAGTTATATCTCCATGCCCACTGGACAGAAAGACAACATTGCCGGTGCTGGCACGTTGTATCCAGCACTCGCTGTGCTTGATCCTAGGCACTGCACATTTCAGCCAAGGTCCCATTGAGCGACGTTGGGCCGCTCATCAGAAATAAACCGTGGGCTCGCTGAATAGCTTTCGTGCCTCCGATAAGTCGTGCAAACCGAGCCGTAATATATCCTCCAATCAGTGAGCTGCAGTTGGTCAATTGCACCGTTTCGGGCAGGAGAGCGGCAACTGGAAAGATTCAAGACCCACCACGCAGACGCTCTTGCCTTCGCCCTCGCCTCGAAGTATGAGGGGCAAGACATTTAAACTGCGCGGGGTACGCCTCCCTCTTGGATCTTTCTCTTCCTCATCAATCCTCACTGCTCGATCATCCCCCCTCTTGTCCTACACAGCAGTCCGAAAAGAAAACACAATGGCTGCAGCTCCCGAGTGCCCTATTAAGAGAGCCAACGTCGGCGGCGGTGGTACCCGCAACCGCGACTGGTGGCCCAACGAGTTGAAGGTCAACATCCTTCGCCAGCACACCGGTGTCAACAACCCTCTGAGCAAGGACTTTGACTATGCTCAGGCATTTAAGAGCTTGGACTATGAGGGTCTGAAGAAAGATCTCCACGCTCTGATGACAGACTCACAGGAGTGGTGGCCTGCGGATTTCGGTCATTATGGTGGCCTGTTCATTCGAATGGCCTGGCACAGTGCTGGCACATACCGTGTGTATGATGGTCGCGGTGGTGGCGGTGACGGTCAGCAGCGTTTTGCTCCTCTCAACAGCTGGCCCGACAATGTGTCTCTCGACAAGGCCCGCCGCCTCTTGTGGCCCATCAAGCAGAAGTATGGCAACAAGATCTCATGGTCTGACCTGATGCTCCTCACTGGCAACGTTGCTCTCGAGTCCATGGGTTTCAAGCCCTTTGGCTTCGCTGGCGGTCGTCCCGATACCTGGGAGGCTGATGAGTCCGTCTACTGGGGCGGTGAGACCACCTGGCTTGGCAACGATGTCCGTTACTCGAATGGCAAGGCCGGTCTCACCGGACCTGGCGTCATTGACGGAGACGAGTCCAAGAAGGAGTACACTGATATCCACAAGCGCGATCTCGAGAAGCCTCTGGCTGCGGCCCACATGGGTCTGATCTATGTGAACCCTGAGGGCCCAGATGGCAACCCCGACCCGGTTGCTGCTGCCCGTGATATCCGCACTACCTTCGGCCGCATGGCTATGAATGACGAGGAGACCGTCGCTCTGATTGTTGGTGGCCACAGCTTCGGCAAGACCCATGGTGCTGCTCCTTCCGACAATGTTGGTGCGGAACCTCAGGGTGCAGACCTCGAAGAGCAGGGCTTTGGCTGGAAGAACAGCCACGGCTCTGGTAAGGGACCGGACACCATCACTTCTGGTCTCGAGGTCATCTGGACCAAGACTCCTACCAAGTGGAGCAACAATTACCTTGAGTACCTGTACAAGTACGACTGGGAGCTCACCAAGTCTCCTGCTGGCGCCAACCAGTGGGTGGCCAAGACCAACGACGAGATCATTCCCGACGCATACGACTCCAACAAGAAGCACAAGCCTACCATGTTGACCACCGACTTGTCTATGCGCTACGATACCGAGTATGACAAGATCTCTCGCCGATTCCTCGAGAACCCCGAGCAACTTCGAGATGCTTTCGCTCGTGCCTGGTTCAAGCTACTCCACCGTGACATGGGTCCAAGAACTCGCTGGCTCGGTCCCGAGATCCCTAAAGAGGTCCTCATCTGGGAAGACCCTGTCCCTGCCTCCGAGGGCCCTACTATCGACGACAAGGACGTGGCCGCCCTGAAGAAGGAGATTCTTGCTGCCGGCATCGAGCCTACTCAGCTCATCGCCACTGCTTTCGCTTCTGCCTCCACTTTCCGCGGCAGCGACAAGCGTGGTGGTGCCAACGGCGCTCGCATTCGTCTTGCTCCTCAGAAGGATTGGGAGGTTAACAACCCTGCCCAGCTCTCCAAGGTTCTCAGCGCCCTTGAGGGTGTTCAGAAGAAGTCCAGCAAGAAGGTTTCTCTTGCCGATCTGATCGTCCTCGGTGGTGTTGCTGCTCTTGAGAAGGCTTCTGGTGCCTCGGTCCCCTTCACTCCTGGCCGTACCGATGCTACTCAGGAGCAGACCGATGCCCAGTCCTTCGAGCACCTTGAGCCTTACGTCGACTCTTTCCGCAACTATGGCAAGGGTACTGACCGCGTCCGTACGGAGCAGTTCCTCATCGACCGTGCTCACCTTCTGACTTTGACTGCCCCCGAGCTGACTGTCTTGGTCGGTGGTCTGCGTGTCCTCAACCAGAACTGGGACGGTTCGTCCAACGGCGTCTTCACCAAGCGCCCCGGTCAACTCACCAACGACTTCTTTGTCAACCTCCTGGATACTCGAACACAGTGGAAGGCCACCGACGGCTCAAAAGAGACCTATGAGGGTGTTGACCGCCAGACCGGCGAGAAGAAGTGGACGGGTACTCGTGCAGACCTTGTCTTCGGCTCGCACGCTGAGCTGCGCGCCATTGCTGAGATCTACGGCCAGTCCGACAGCCAAGAGAAGTTTGTTAAGGACTTTATCGCTGTATGGGACAAGGTCATGAACCTTGACCGCTTCGATCTCAAGACTGCCAGTGGTGCCGCAAAGGCCAGACTGTGAGCGGTCGAACAAATTGATATGATTGCATGGCATGGAAGAAAACTGTAGTAGCGACAATTTGCTACTGTTGATAGCGTAGAATGAGAATAACATTTCAAGCCTACAAATGATGCGCTCTCTCGTCCCCATCTTGAACCTGTACTTGATTTCGTGTTCGTTGCTACCGAGTTTCTTTATGCCAGAAACCCACAGGGGACGAATAAACTACGCCGGGCCTATCTTCTTGCTGCTTCATGACCCTAGAGGAAGCTCGAAGAGCATTCAGCGTATCGAGGAGGATAGAAGTCGAAGATACGTTGCTCGAGAACTGCGTAGACTCAGCACAAGGCTGCGGTGATTGGCGCGTCGTCATTGGCTGACTGCACGCGTCGCTCAACCGCGTTTCCCGCGTCTCTGAAAGTGCGACACTTCATTAATTTCAGCTCAGCAACATTGACATAGATTACCTTGTATAAGCGGCACAATGGGTGTGAAGACGAGGTCCGCGAGTTCCAGTCCAGTGAAAATGGCAACGCCGACGTTGGCCGCTCAGACGTCCAATGTTCAACAGCAAGAACCACTGAAGGTGCTATTACTGCCTACCAATCTCTCCTCGGAAGCACGCATACTGAATCTTCGACACCCGCTCGACGGATCGAGCAAGCGATTTCTATTCTGTCCCAAACGGGGTCTCTACGAGTTCACCCGTGTATGCCATCCTCCATCCGAATATAGAAGTATCCTCCTCTCCAAGCCTCAAACACGCGGAGACGGACCTGCGAAAGCCGACGATAGTGCCGCCGTGAGCGACGGATACGTTACGAAAGACGCACAAATGATGGTCGCTACGCCATTTGATCTCTGCTTTGTTCTGCTCGCAGTACTGCCATCGTCCATGGCGGGCTCCCCCAAGGCACTGTTCCAACCAGTAGACGACCTATTCGAGAACTCGGTGGCCGAGGACAAGCATCTGCAGTGCATCATCACACAAGGACCACAATTGATAGAAGAGGCTTTGAAACAGATTTGCGATACAGTCGATGCAGGCGACGAGACCATGTACCGTATAAGCGAGGTGAAAACCACGGCCTACATCCAGCAAAAGATCGCGCGAGTTGTCGAGAGAGGTCTGCCTCCCAGTTTAGAAGAGCGTTTCGTGGCTCGTGCACTTGAGACACCGGTGTTGAGCGTCAAGCGCGAGCAGAGTACGTTGACTGTTGTCGAAGATGACTGTACTGGAATAGATGAGGGGTTGAAGATGGACAGCTTCGATTCGCAATCCTCGGCCCCGAGTACAGCTCCATCTATTGTCTTCTCCGAGGTCTCTACTGTGAGCTCTACGGCTGTCACTACCCCAGCGGACAGCGCTTCATCAGAGATCACAAATCTACAAAGACAACGTGTCGCGCTTGACTTCATCATTACTTCTTACATGTCACCGAAGCTCGCTGCCCATCTTCTAGGCCATTTCCAAAGTCCACAATCCCCAATCAATTTCACACCGCTGGAACAGCACATGGAACAGCTCGCTAAGCTGAAAGCCGAAGCATTGGCTACACGGTCTCTTGGGGACTTCAGTCGAAAGCGAGAGCTTGATGAGGAGGAGGCTGCTGAGGAGCGAGCGGAGAAGAAACGCAAGCAGGACGAAGAAGACAAGAGACGCAAAGCGAGTCAGTCGCGTGGCGTCAAGGATTTAGCAAAGGCCAATGTTGTTGGGATGAAGAAGATGTCGGACTTCTTTGCAAAGAAACCTGCCGCAAAGACGAAATCTTGACGAGATCAAACCCGTCAACCATATCCGAGGAGGTTGCGAAGATCACAACATAGACCCGATCCTATTGGTGGATCAAGGTACAGAGATCGACTTTCACTTATTGCGGCTCTCCGCACCGATTCCACAGCAGGCCATCAGTTGGAGAAGTGCCCTATATAATCGACGCCTCGGCAAGCTTGTGTGTCAGGACTGGCCAGAAGAGATGTCGTGGCCTGTGCAGAAACGCGAGCTGTCGCCGCCGCCGTTGGATGAGTTGGCAGGGATCATTGCTGCTGGGCTGGAATCGAATTTTGAGCAATCATCTGTCCAAGTCGAGCCATGCACAGACTTACGGAAAGCGCCCTTCTATCTCGCGGGGGAAGGACTGAATGGCTCAACTCGCGTGGGTGACGTCGGAGGGCCGCCTCATCTCGCGCCTCCCGACTTCAGCAAGAAGTACGATTTCATGGAGATATCAAAGCTCATGGAGATGCCTCAAGAAAAGGGATTTCTGCTGGGTGCTGGAGCTGGCCCGTTCTATGTCCTCGGGTGCAATGCGGAGCTGATTCCCAACATCTCCTACGAGAATGGGGAGATCACGAACTTGACACATTACGCCAAGATCGCGAAGGACGACCAAGTCGAGTGTCAGAAAATCGAAACCTCCACAGGCTTCGCCTTTATGGCCAACTTGTTCGGCTCTGAAGGTCTCCCAGGTCCAGCACTGCATATCAAGGCTTCATCGAGAAAGGGAGCCCCCAATTTCACCGAGACGATTCAAGCTGCTGTCCAGGAGAAGTATGGTGACAAGTTGGTCAGCCTGGGCGGCGTGTTCGTCATCAAACGAGGTCGTGCGAATCTCCATGTTATGGGTGACTTTCCAGAGAAACCACTCCAGCGACAGGACGTCGACGATTGGTTGCGTCGCTTCGAATTCGATGCGCCTTTGATCTGTCTAAGCGTGTTGCACACGGGTGACGACCAGGGCATGGCTCTCAGGCCAGAACATACACATTGCTTCTCTGTTGGTGGGAAGAACGGTGGCCATTATCACTTCGATGTGGAGGATACGAAAGCTGACGTGGAATACGAAGCTTGGTATAATGTTGCCGAGGCCGTGTTCAGAATAGACTCGCCTGGTAGGAGGTACTAGTAGACAATGCAACTGCATTTATGCTGTTGGCAAATCGAGCACCATGTGGTCTTCCTGGAGTGGTTTCAAACCCCGATCGCAACAATCTGTCGTGAGGAACGCCTGCTGCTGACACGTATCAAACTGCCACGACACCATACTGACGGCACATCTCTGCGTGCCTCGTAGGACCGTTGTTAATGTCGCCTACCACCCCCAAACAGGCGTCGGCAGTCATTGCAACGTTAGGCCACCCAACCCCAGGTCTCGTCAGACGTGTCACACATGAAAACCAGGAAGCTGAGTCACGATTATGCTCCATGTGGATATATCTCGTGGTAGAATACAGAAGTGCAGCCGTTCTTTACGAGCATTGGAAATTGCCATCGCTTTGACGACTGCGGTCCGACAGCAGATTTACCCATTTGCCGGCCTGCGTGCAGTCGTCCTGGCGAAGGCACAGACGCTGACTCGATTCTCAGCCGCAGGCGAATGGACATTTGGCCGGACGCCTTACACCCCTCATTCTATACCTGCCACTTGGCGATACATATAGAATTGGCCCACCCTCTCGCAAGCCGTCAGCCTGACCACCATCCACCAACTCTCCCCGCCTCAACCCTCACCATGGCCACCGAAGCCACCCCCAAAGTCGTCTCACCCAACAAGCTCGCCCACGTCGTCCTGCGCACCAAGCAAATCGACAAAATGGTCGACTGGTACCTCGACTTCCTGGGCGCCCGCATCGCGCACCGCAACCCCCAGCTCGCCTTCATCACGTACGACGACGAACACCACCGGCTTGCGTTCGTGAACTTGCCGCACATCCAAGACAAGGTCCGCCAGTCCGCGGGACTCGAGCACATCGCCTTCACGTTTGCGAGCCTGCGCGATCTGCTCACGGCGTACCAGCAGCGTCTGGCCCTGCCGGAGCCGGTCAAGCCCGTGTGGTGCATCAATCATCGCACGACGACGTCCATGTACTACAAGGATCCGGATGGGAATCTGCTTGGTATGAAATACTCCCCCTATTAGCATCTACCCTGTCTCTCTGGCTCGACTTCGCTAACACAGGTAACACCATTAGAAACTCAGATCGACAATTTCGGCGACGATGTGGTCATGGCCAACAAGATCATGGAAAGTGACTCGATGGCAAACAATCCCTTTGGGTTTGATTTTGATCCGGATGAGCTGCTGCGTCAGGTCGAGGCCGAGGGCGAGGAGGCGACGCTCAGGAAGCTGCAGAATCCGGTGGATGATGGCGCGCCGAGGGGGATGGAGACTGTCCCTGAGGCGTACATGAATTGATGCAATTGGAGAACGTGTTCGTTAGCAAGCGGAAATTGTGATTGCGAGTTTGAACGAGGGGGAGTTGCAACAGCCAGCGGGCGAGGGCGGGAGTAGCGCAGACGAGCAAATAGAGTGTTCACGAGTCTCTTCCCACGTCGTCGTGGCGATGCATCTTCAACGGTTGGGGGCGGATCGGCCGCACTTGTTCAGAACTACTATTTTCGATGATACTCGCCTCCTTCGTCCAAGCTCCTACAGGGGCTGTGTCCGTCCGGCTGACAACCAGCTGGTGAGCCGAGTCGCAAATGCTCCGGTCGCGCTAAACCGTATCTGGCGACTTTCCTCTTTCGGCACCTGGCACATTCGCTGCCTGATGCCAAGCAAGCCTTCGTCCGCGGCGAGATGATGCTCCGCGAGTGGCATCAGGTGAGATGATGAGGAGATGGACATGTTCCTATGGAGACAAGGAGTTTCACCTGTCAAGGCAGCAGCGTTCTTGCCGCTGTGCATAAATGAAAGCTGCCGTACACCCTATAAGCCCAGATCTTGAGTTGCGCATCGATTTCGCATATGGTTGCTGTACTGGTAGGATCATAGCATTCCCACAACCACCACACCCGACACCATGTCACCACCGACTCCCCCCGCCAGCTCCACTCTCAACATCGGCGTCCTCTTCTTCGACGACGTCCAACTCCTCGACGTCGCCCCCATCGACCTCTTCGCCATGTGCACCAAAACCTACCTGCAAGCGTGCGACCTGCCCGCGCCCCTCGTCTCTCGCGGCCTCGACGTCCTGAACGTCTACTTCATTGCCCAAGGCGTCCCTGAGCCGCCGGCGTTTTCCTCCTCGTCCCCGTCCCCAGGGACATCCGCCGTCCCTACAGCCCCCTACCCCGCGCCCCCAGCCACGCACCTCCTCCCCACGACCCCAGGCCTCAACCTGTCCATCGCGCTCACGCACCCGCTCTCCTCGCCGCTCGTGGCGCCCGGCTCGCTCGACATCCTGTTCGTGCCCGGCCCCAACCCCAAGACCGTGCCTTCGGAGGCACACAATGCGTTTCTGCGCGGGCACGCGGCGGCGCCGCGCACGCATATCCTCGTCGTGTGCACGGGCATTTTCGCCGTGGGCCACAGTGGGATTCTGGACGGGAGGGAGTGCACGGGTCCCAGACCGCTGGTGGATATGAAGCTGAGGGGAATGTTTCCCAAGGCGAAGTGGAGGGATGATCGGAGGTGGGTGGTGGATCGGTCGCAGAAGGGAGGGGTGGCGGGCAAGGGGGAGGAGGGTGGGAAGCAAAGAGGCGAGTTGTGGTCGACGGGGGGGATTTCTAATGGGATGGATATGGTGGCGGCGTATTTGAAGGAGAAGATGAGCGGGGAGCTGGCGGAGCTGGTGTGTACGTTTGCGGAGGTGGAGGATCGGGGACAGGTGTATGGTCAGGGCAAGGCGATGATGGGGGCGGGGTTTGGGTGGTTGGTTTTGAGGAGTCTGTGGGCGAGGCTGTGGGGGAGGGAGAGCTTGAAGCGTGCGTGAAGGGGACAAGTGGATGATGGGAACGAGCTGGAGGTCGATAACGACGCTCCCGCTGATGAGAAGAGATCGAGCTCGTGTCTGGCGTGTAGTGACCTTAATTCAGTGCATTGTTGGTCTATGTTGGGCAGCATAGGAGGCTTTCAAAGTGTATGTGGCCAATATCGTATTGTACTATGCTCACCTGCCGCAGTCCCTCTCCTGCAAGATACCTGGAGCATCCGAGCAGTCTATTGTATGCTTATATTGCGCTGATACTTCTTGTACAAGTACCGGGCATTGGGTGGGCGGAGTGACTAAGCAAGCCGGACAGGACAAATCAGGCGTTGATTGGTCCATCGGGACGGGGAAGTTGCGGACCCCGAGTCAGACACTGCAGATCCAGCTTCTGTCATCCCCACACTTCACCTAAACCTGTTCACTCGTCGATGAGTGCATCTCTTTTATTGAAGCCACCACAAGATCTATCAGAGATCACTCGTCGTTATCGTACAGGGACCGAGTCTGGCGGACGGTTGCCTCGCCAAGTGTCAGCTGTTGACAAGCGTCAGGCCTTGATCGTGGGGACGTCAACTTTCCTCATGCCTTACGTGAGCTGCCTCTACACTCTCGCTTAGTTAAACCCGCAGCAGCGCCACACAAAGAATGGACAATCGGCCAGGATAGTATCGCTCATCTCGCAGCAACCACAACTGATTCCTCTTGGTGTTCAAATGCCACGGGGAAGGCGTCCTGGTCCTGGCACTGCCGAGGAAAAAGCCGCCATTCGCCGCGAGAAAGTACGCTTGAATGTCCAGGCATATCGGAAGCGAAAGGCCCAGTCTGAAAGAGACACCTCGGATCCGCCTAGAACCAACTTACGATGGGTGGAGGATACGAAATGGCAGAATGAGTACAAGCAGCAACGTCTGACGCCCCAGCAAGAAGACGAAGAAGATTCGGGCTATGCCTCGCCAGCAACCACCTTGACCCTCAGTAGCGACCAAGATGCCTCGAGTACCATGGTCTATGCGTCTCCACGTACGCTTCGAGCCCCAGATCCTGAAAAGCAGTACTCGTTGTCGCTATTAGCCGCCTTCCCCGAACGTTTTCTGCCCAATCAGCTATCTCTACCACTTTATCAGGACGTTCAGACTCCGAGGACTCCTTGTGCCCTATGGGTCACCACAGCCACTAAGCAAGCCCGTATGCAAGAGTCTGGGGCGCTGACCGATGTTCTGCATGCCATTGTGCTGGCAGTGACGGGCATGGACCATCAGAGGACCGACATACAAATCCGCGCGCAACAGCTCTACACCCAGAGCCTCGTAAAGACTCGGCGGAGCCTCGCGCCAGTTCTGGCCAACAACCAAGTCGCCACCAAGACTGACATCCTGAATTTGATCTTATCATGTCATGCCGCCGCAGTATACGAACTCCTGGTCAATGGCTCGTTAACAGACATGCTCAGGCACGTGACTGGAATCAGCCTCCTGATCGAACATCAGCGACACATGGCAGACTTCTCGTCCTTGGCCGGAGATAGCCTCGTCGAAGAGTATCGGATGCTCGAGATTCATTTCTGTCTGGTTCAAAGACGGCTCTCCACAATAGGCCGCATTAAGCAAATGAGCACGAATGAAAACCTCCCCTTTAAAGAGTCAGTCGCCCACTCTGAGACCGGCTTAGTCACCAGACTCTTGAATTTGGCCGACCAGATCTTGCCAATCATGGTAGAGCTGGACTCATACACGCAAACCAATCCAGCTACCGCAGGCCAACTTATGAAACTTGTACAGCTGGCCTTAAGCCTGCACGCACAGCTCGATGCCTGGTCCACCTTTCTTCATGGCCAATCGTTTCCAGCATCTCCGAGATCTGAATCCTCCTTCGATGCAAGCGAGCCCTTGGACCTCAGTCAGATCACCCAGTACGAGTTCGCGTCGTGCTACATGTTCAGTTTGTCGTACGACCTTCACGCCATCGGTGTCTGCATCGAGTCAGTCGAAGCTTTAGCGCGACGAACCAAGAACACCCACCACGCAGAGCTCGCGAAACCCTCAGCACAGATCCTTTTACTACGAACCAAGAATCTCGCCGTGGCCGGCTCCATCCTGGAGCTGATGCCCTACTTCTTCCAACGTGACAAGGGCATCATTGGCCGATCCATCGCCATCTGGCCGCTTGAAGCCGTGTGGCTATCGCTTGATGCTGAAAACCAGCGGCTCGACTGGGACGAAGACGTCTGCAATGCCAAGAACATCTCAGGAGACTTCAAGCATCGCACGCGCGAGAACAAGGTCTTGGTCGCCAAGTATCTTAGCATGTGTCGACAGACGGGCCACAGAGCTCGCAGCTTTGGGTTGCCGCTGCTCCAAGAGCGGCCTCTTGATGAAGAAGCTGACATCCTGGCCGCAGGGACGACAGCAGCTGCAGAGGATTCCAAGGGCAGGGTGCAGAGCATCTACTCGGAGTCTGAAGGCGCGGTGTGATTTTCTGATCTATCTACATCTGTGACACGCTCGTGTCCAGACTCGATACCATCGGCCCAACTCGATTCTCGCCGGTACGGGTACCTCGCCTGTGGCACGTCACATACCAGCGCCGAAATGCAGCTGTGGAGCGAGGCCTTCTCTCAATCTATCTGGGCCATCAAAGCCTACTGTCCCCGGCGCCCGCCTATCTTGACATCACTTCGGGGCTCCAGGAATGGAATCGATCGAACTCTCCCATATTCCCCAGCGACCATGAGAAACCTCCCCGTCGTGGATCGATCAGTCTGCTGCGGCAGACGCTCTGCCGGACTTTCTCAGTGGTGGTTCCAGCCAGGACTCGTCTAGTGGGAGCAGAGTGCAACCGACGTTGATGCTGTCCTCACGATGGTGCTTGAGAGGCGGCAGGATTCGCATAGCGAACTCGTCGCATAGCTGGCGGGCACGGCGGCTTGCGAAACTGTCGGGGTGGTGGTGCGATTGCAGTGGCGAAGGCTGCGGCGGCGGTTGACGCTGAACAGCCGAGCTGGTTGGTAAGGGCTTCCGGGGAACCCTCAAGGCGTTACGCCCTCTTGAAGCCGTGTGGGCAGTCTTGAGGCTTGCTGAAGAGTCGACTGAGTCTTTTCTGGCAGGTCTGTGAGCGGCTACGGTGTGCGTAGTGTACGGGACACAGTAGCAAAGATCGGCCGTTGGTTGGGGAGAGAGCGCTTGATGGCGCTGCAGTTGATTCTTGACCCAGCGGTGGATGCGCCGGAATATAGTGACCGGGGCAGGGCTGCAGGCAGGAATCTGCTCTCGATGAGGTGTCGACGCCCTGGATGCTGGTGCGCGTGGGCTTTGACGATGTCGCGTGTCTGACTCGGGTTCGTCCGATCTCAAAATCTGAGTTCGAAGGTCGCTGTACTTGCGAACGCGTCTGAGGGTTGGCATCGTCGGAATATGGAGGATGGAAGAAGAGGCTGTGTGGAAGGTGAATTGGCACCAGAGCAGCCAACATGCTATTGATGCCATTGTTGAATACATACGAGGGCTGTCAATGAGTCGAGACATGCGTCCATGTGAAGATGGGGAGGTCTTAAACATCAAGTTCCGGGACCCAGATGTTTCTCTGTTCCGTCGTTGGCAGGTCTTAGGAGACCAAGAGGTGCGGTCTCGTCCAGATATCCAACCTTCGTGTGCTTGAGACACCGAGCTCGGAGACAAGTGCCGCCCTTGGGTATATTCTCAAACCTGTTCCAGGAAGCTAAGAAGTTCCTTTGCTGCACATTGCCAATGGACATCATTCTGCACGTGGTGACCAGAACGGTCAATCTCGACAAGACGCACACCGGTTGTGGCCTTGGAGCCGGAATTGTTAATTCGCTCGGCCATGGCTGTGCGGTACTCGGCGGCCAGCCGTTCAGATGTGCCGCGCATGAGACGGTCTGCTGTCCCGCTCACGATGAGAATACTGTCGGAGGTCGAGTGTCTGGGAGCGATGCTGGCGACAACATCACGGCAATCAAGCCACTCAAACTGTCCATTCCTCTTGGTCCCCGTCGAGCTAAGCGGCCATCTCATCGCCTCGCTGTCGGCAGCCCACTTTGCAAACTCGACGGTGGCTTCGAGCGGCTGGTCCGGTCCAAAGAAGGCTCGGTGCAGTAGTTTCACCGTACTGATGTTGCTTTTCGGGTGTCCAAGGTGAAGCAGAAGGCGGGTTTTCATCCAGCGGTCAAAGCCAGCCCAGTTCTCGAACATGGGCGTGATGCCGAAATGGGGGACCCCGCCAATCAAGCCTAGAGCCGGTGTGGCTATCGTGCCTCGAGAGAGGAGTTCTTGGTACGTGATTGTCCCCGAACTGTGCGCTATCAGGACTGGTTCGGTTCCTTCTGCCTCCTTGACTGCTTGGAACGCGGCGAGGACATCATTCGCTACGTCGTGCTGCGTTGTCAAAAGAAGCATGCGGAAGTAGCTCGAGGGGCTATAGCTCGCGCCGTGGCCGCGGACGGAGATGGCATATGTTGTTCCTCCATAGCCGTTGTCGTGGAGGTAGGTCATCCAGTTCAGCCAGACGGAGGCGTGGCCGAAGGCGCCGTGCATCAAGAGCACCGGCGGGTGTTGACCGGCATGCTGCGGCCGGCAGACGAGGAACTCAAGTTGCTCGCCATCGGTCGTCGCGACGAATGTTCGGGACACCGTGTCAGGGAGTGGGTGGTATTTGGGTACAGGCCGACGGAAGCGAAGGTTGAAGAACCCTTTAACAGCGTCTACCCACCAGTTCCAGATGAGTCGAAGCATCTTACCAGGTTTTGAAGACCTTGGTCCCTCTGCGACGGCTTCTGCACCTTGCTGGCCATGTTGGCCTGTGCGTGGTCTTTATACAACAGGAACCGCAAATGCCTGGGACGAGGAATCCCGGCGTTAGGGCGCCCCAAGTTGCGGCTGGAAGCTCGGAGTGCTCAAGTCAGTCTCTTTAGGCTTTGCACCAAGACCATTAGGGGCAACGCTCCCCCATGTCTGGGCGCCTAAGCGAAGTATCTCGTTAAACGCAGCTCGTATAGCAACTTAATCTCATAGCTTATTTCCTTAGTGTCCATCATCGTAGTGCTGTCGTTGCGAGTGACAGGCACTTGGAAGCATTAGTGCATGCCATACACTGCTTGTGGATTGATATCGATACTGTCCTTCGGATACCTACACTTTATACATTCGTCCAGATCTTATGCCTGTTTCCAGTTCTGAGCCCTGCATCAGGGGTCGACAAAATTGGCAGGAAGGCTACTGGGTTCCCACCGTAAAGAATCAACAAAACTGCCCGGAGTGGTTGGTAAGGCTTCAGAGGCTGAGCAAAGCGATTGTGTGGTACAGCATCAGCACAGGATAGGTCAGGCCTTCTCCTTCTACACCACGCTCACACCAAAGGTATCGATCCTTGCACTAGAGTATTGATAAGGATAGGGAAATGAGACAAGAAAGCCTTAATTGTTTCTGCTGCTTGCGGATCGGATGGACGTACTGTTTGGTTATACAGGCCAAGTAATCAGCTACCAAGTAGTTGTAGATCGGCGTTTGAGGAACCAGACTGTCCTATCACAATATAGATCACTATGTACAAAAGCTTTCGTCAAAACATCTCCACCGAGCCAGGGCCCATGGGAACCTTCCAATCATCAGCAGAGTATGGGTAGCCTTCTTCGCCGTCGGGCTTGTACTCACAATCATCAATGCGCCGGCAGAGTATACAGACGGCGACAATAACCTTCGTAGTCAGCAGTAGCGCAACACATAGTGTCAGTAAAACGACATCGTGCATCCCGCATGGAGGAGCGGCACCTCCGCAAGAGTCTTGAAGGCCAATGGAGCCCAGAACGACGGCGATTCCACAGACCATGATCAGCCAGAGCCCAAAAACCAGTACGAGCTTTGCGAGCTTTTTGGCTGCATTGAGCTCGAGGCGCGGTCGCAGAGCATGCCGGATGTTGTCGAGGATATGGCTTGGACTAGGGGCCCTGTTTCTGAAACGAGGCAGCGCTTGTTGGACGGATCGAAGTAAGAGCATGTTGACGTACGTAGGTAGAGTCTTCCGATGTCGTCGGTTTTGTGACGGGAGTATAGCCCGTCGAAGGACTCCTCAAGCACATATACGCCATCACCAAGTCATGATGGCGTCTCCGTGAATCACCGCGTTATAACACAATAGCACAAAGAAATTACAAAGTGTCTTTGATCTCTCAAAGCGCCACTCACAGTACATTGTGCTCTCAACAAAGACTTCTAAGAGCAGATCTTCGGAGAAGTGCTTGAGCCACTGTGTTAACAGCATATGGATGGACGGTGAGAACAGTGAATGAGGCCACCACGGATTGACCAAATCATCGGGGGAAGGCATCTGGGTTGCCTGGAAGGTCGTAACAAACGATCAACAAAATTGACCAGTGGGCTCCCCGGAGTTACAGCAGATAATTTTCTGGCGGCGATAAAATCGACTGGCACCCTCTCCAGACTCACAGTAGAGGGTCTTGAGTGGTATTATACTGTGAGGTTCAGGGGCCTTCCCGTCAGTTATGTTGACTGCTGGTGGGCCCCAAAAGGCCTTGACTTTGAGGAAGTTATTACAGGCAGTGAAATCTTGGCATTACTATCTGCATGTTATTTTGAATGAACTCGATCGCTCATGTCTTCATGGCGTAGATGGCGAAAGCACCGGCGTGTTCATTGAAATCGATGTTGGCAGCTGGATCGGTCGTCGAGCTGTCGGTGTGGTTCCCGTTGCCGTGACTGCATCCATCAGGGGGTACGGATGGCGACTTAGAACAACATGACGCATCGTTCACGTCAAGTGATGTGTCTTTGTACACGTTCAGATCCTTGCAAGTGTCCGTGATCAAGACATCTAAGGACATGGTTAGAATATTGCAGGACCATTTCTCGACTGTGGAGCGCGCAAACCTTTGAAACCGGCAATGCGAAGGTAGCTTTCGTAATCTTCGACTTTGCTCGCGCCTGCGATACAACCCACATAAAGCGCCAAGTTCTGTTTAAGGTCTGGAACGAGGTCTTGTTTTAGCAGCACATCACTGACTGCCACTCTTCCCCCTGGCTTGAGAATCCTAGCCATCTCATTGAACACAAGTTGCTTCTCTACTTCGGGAACCAGATTAATCACACAGTTGCTGATGACGCAATCCGTCGATCCGTTCTGCAGCGGCGATAGGTCCGTAATGGGAGCTTTGATGAACTCCACGTTCTGTGCTTTGGCCAGGTCCTTGTTACGGTTCGCTTTTGCCAGCATATCCTGCAGACATGTCAGCGCATAGATCTAACGCAGAAGCATATGATCCCCGAGTACATGATTCATATCCACACCAATGGCCTTTCCCGATGCTTGGACCTTTCTCGAGGCCAGGAACACATCAAAACCAGCGCCACAACCCAGGTCAACGACAACTTCTCCCTGAGGCCGTGTTAGACTTCAATTTCTTTAGCAGAGGGAAAGCACTCGCCTCGCGCAAGCCTGCAACTGCAAGAGGATTGCCGCAGCTGACACCTAGGTTGGCTCCTTTGGGAATGTTATCAAGGTCGTCTTTAGTATATCCGAAGGATGCTGCAACTCTTGACGCGTAGACGTCGTTCTCCGTGCCGGTTGCCACATTACTGTATCTTGATTGAACGGCATTGTACATTTCTGCTAGATTCATGGTGAATTTCTAGCTCGATAGGGTCCTCTCTCCTTTGCAGTCAGCCCCAGGTGCATTTGAGGTGCTGTTCTTGTAGTAGCTGCCCTCATGTAGCCTACATGTGATAGTGACAAGTATGGAGAAGCAGTGACATATCGCCAAGAGCACTGGGGCCAGTGACATATCGCCAAGGCCTGCATGGATGACATATCGACCAGCGAAGCCTTTCCCAGGCTTGCACTTTTGCGACTGCTCTGGGTCGTCCGACGCTCGTCGATTTTGAGCTCACAAGTATTAATCGTACCTCAATAAAGTATTGTCTGGATACCGATACCAACGATGAATACGCAGACCTGTCGGGGCGTTGCTGGACAAATTTCGAGAACTCCAACCCACACTTTGATTCGAGTTCGGAACAATCAGCGCAGGCATCGGCAAAGACGCCGAGAGTACATTGCTGAGCTAGAACAGAAACTCGTAGCCGCGGAGGAGAAAGCCAAACAGCTTCGAATCGAAAACGATGCCCTTCGCAGCAAGCTCTCCTCCACTGACAGTACGGAAGGGGAATTTGAAAGCGCCGTGTCACTAATCAACTTAAGCCACCGACAGAATGAATCCATGGCCAATCCGATGTTACCGCGAGGATACAGTCAAATGAGTGACTCCATACTTCCAGGTACAGAATTGCAGCCGAACATCGCATTACGGGAACTCTGGAACGAACCAGACAAGGATACTGGCATTCATGTTGGGACTTTTTCTACCTTTCCTCAGGCCAGCTTTACCCCCACCGTTCCAGACTCCATCTCCCCGTCGGCCGACCTCGATCAAAGTCCAGCATACACAGAATACAGTGCCTGTTGCTCAACCCTACCATCATTGCAATTCATTCCCAGTCTAAACAGATTGAACCGAAGTTGCTTCGGCGACCAAAGTCCACTTTACTCAGTCGCTGCTTATGTCCCCCCTTCGCCAACTACTCTTTGCAGCTACGCTTACGTTCTCATCCAACAATTAAACTATCGTGGAGTGCCGATGGAGATGATGGAATGTTGGCTGTGGCCAGGATACACTACTGGTGAGGATGCAGCTGAAAATGGGTGTCGGGTCGACAGTCAGCTTCTACGAGATCTACTGGAATATATTGCCGATGGCAGCGTAGTTGGATCATAGGTTTTTTCTTTTCCAAGCCGCAATTCTAAGAAAGGTAAGCTTCAATTGTTGACATTTCATGGTATTAGACGAGTAATCTCTGCACACAGATGTTCTCTGGTCTTCGCTACAAGCTCTGAAGCGCCTGCATATTGGCATTCCGTGCAACTCATTTGCTTTATTCAGATTCGAACGGGAGTCTTTGGTGGTCTCATAACTGAGTTAGATTCATAAGAAGCTCCAAGTCGCCTTCAAACAAGGAGCAGCAACCTCGACAGATAGATGCAATTGAGTTGTTACGTCTGATTGGAACAACGATGGATATAGCACACCCTCTTCAATTCCAAACTCAGTAGGCACGACATCGGGCTTTCTCATCATGACTACCGCACAAAATGTGCCATTCTCGTTATCGGACGATGGGGGCTTCCACAGAAACTCCAAGGGTGAATCTTCTGCCTCACCAGCCCTGCAACGAACCCTCCATTCGGCGAAATCCCATATCGATGCTATATCGGATGCCACCACGGTTATGGCTACCAAAACGCAAGACGGCATGGCCAACATCCACAGGAGTACCAACAGACCGGTGTTTTGAGGCAGCAGATCTGGAAGCTTTGCACTATGATCATCCATGCCATAAACCATATGAGAGCTTGTATCATGTACGCTTCAAATTCCACTGGTCCCGGATCGGCGACGAAAGGTATGTCAGCAGCCAAGAGACAACGAGGAAGAAGTAGGGAATCATCCGCCCAAATGGAGATGGCGCTCACAGCGAGCAGTGCTGCAATACTTGCACGTCCTTCGTTCGGAGAATAGGACGTAATAAGCCGGAATATCCGAAACAGTGGAGTCTGACTCGGGCTGCGAAACATGCCGTCGGCGACGGTGGGCATTGTCGTCCTTTCTGTTGCGATGGCGGGACAAGCTGCGGTGAGGACGGGTTTCCTGGTCAGACCGCTCCTGGCGTCCACGACGGTTGCTAACATGTTCGTGCACTCCGTTGCCCCTATTCGAAACAGAACTTGCAGAGAACACCACGCTGCTTGGTGCCGAGGAGAGAGAATTTGAGCTTGTAGTGACAGACATTTTGAATGTTGCGTTCGGTACCAGGCAAAGGGTAAATCAGCTACAATTACTTGATAGATGCAGGAGGGATATTTCCTAGTAAGCCTTAGGTACTTTCGTCCATGCTGCGTTGAATATCTGTGCACCGACGAGAAAGAACTACTATTTTGAGCATTTCCCATCCGATGAGCAAAGAAGGGTTACAGATCAGGTCTCGGCTATAGTCGCAGACTCAAGCCAACCAGCCGTCGTTAGACTATATGGAAAGCATGTATGGTCACATAGTGCGTTAGTACGGAGTTTGTCAATGGGTTCAAGATAACATGGCTATCCAACACAGACTTTTGGTGCCGAGTCGCAAAAGTCCACAACCCCGTTCTTGTTGAGAAGGCCCGCTTCTTCTGCGTCCAACTCGATATCCTCCATATCGCCGAAGAGCCACTCATCGATCTTCCAATCTCTGTACCCGTTCTGATACCGATGCTTGCCCGGATTCGGCGACCGATGCCGAAAACCAAGGTGCGAGATGATTTGAACGACTCGGTAGAGAACAAGACCGCCCGCGGCCATGAATATGCTTGACAGGGTGATCAGCAACGTTCGTAGCAGCACTTGACTCATGCTGGAGGCGTGCATATGTTCGCAAACCGGAGGCATGGCTTTGGCCAACGCAACGAAACCCATCGCGAGGATCGTCCAGGTCGCCGCCAGGGCGATAGCGGGAACGACCCGCTTGAAAATGGTAGCTCTGCTTACCATGGTTATTGGGCTCACTGCTATCTGACAACCGCGCTGGAAGTGGCGGCAGTGATCCGAAGATCAATCGCGTCGGCGCCCGTGATCCATTGTTCACCAAGCTATACTATTTATACCTTTACACAATCCTGCTTTGTGTCTACGAAAACTCCTTTGATCGTCCATTGTAAGACAGCGGGTGGAACTTCTGTAGCGGACGGGTAGACATTGACGGGCTGATCATGTCAGCCGGCGGCGCTATGGACCCAACGAGCCGAGGTTGAGAGGCAATACGGAGTTGATACGCTATAAGACACGCTGCTAGACCTTGGGAGACTTGGTTAGCCAATCATGATCCAAAAGCCTTCGTTGTGTGTCCGAGGAGGGCGCTGGTCAATTTTGTCAACCCCTGGTGACCGAGAAACAACAGTCCACGATCAAGAGCTTCATGGTAAGGTGTAGATTATCCAAGACATCCTGTAATGAAGGACGTCCTGGGCTGTGGCTCATAGAGTTGCATATATGATCCTTGCGTACAGCTTATCAGTCTAGATACAAGAAACATCCACCTGTGATATCTGGGTATCTATATCCTTTCCTCGTCTGCTCCCCTCCCCTCCCTAGCTAGTCTGACGGATATGAATTAGCTGAACAATTGGCCCGCCAGGTCTCGCTGTCGCTCTCTGGCTCGCAGATCGCAGCCCAGCCTTTGGCCAGGGGTGGCGGCATGTGTGCGAGTGTCATGCCCGCAAGTACAGAGTGATTTGAGGGAGCGGCATGCTGGGCAACCGTCATTCGGTAGAGTGCAAGGCATTGTCGGAACGACTAAATGATGATGAGAGTCGGGAAGGATAGTCTTTGGGACCCACGATGTAGCTGGGATGTAGCGTCGAGGCCGGAGGTGTAAGTGGTGGTCGCTTGTGTTGGTGGCTGCTGCTCGGACGGCAGGTATACTGATAGTTTAATGGAAGCTAGCAATTGCTGATGCAGTGGGCAGCAAGATGGGCGAAAGAATGCCCTGATATACCTGCTTCCATGATCTGTGCTGTACTGCATGTTCAGCAATCGTTCAAGACAACTCTCACCTGGCGGCAAGCCAGAGCGACAATTGACAATGGATGGCAGGAGGCTCCGAAGCCATCATGCCAAGCCATGCTCCAGAAGACAAAGAGGTCTCAAATCGCGACGTCCCCAGAAGCCACTGCACCGTCATCACAGCGTAATCCAGACCGTTCAAATTGCTGCACTGCAGCAGCTGCTGACATGCTCCAGTCGGGTCAGAGAGAGTCCTCCAATTAATGTATTTCGGTTCTTTGTGGATAAGAGGTGCTTCACCTCCAAAGTGTTTGTTAAGCTCCGAAACATGGGCCACCAACGCACATTCCTCCGATATGCTCGCAGCAAGACCTTGGTCGAAGCAGGCAGTCGTATTCTCTTACCATTACGTGCGGATGTTCTGCGGTTCGGGCCTCGGCGCTAAAGTCTGGACACATGAGGTAGGTAGGCGACAGCATCGAAGGTAGTAATGTCTGTAATCAGTCGAAGCAAATAGGACATGACATTACCGCCCTACATCTCACAACCGTCAGGGCTGCAGAGCAGGTTCTTGCGATGAGCTACCATGAGAAGAAAATGTTGAGCACCTGGGCTGGCTCGCAAACGCAGCAGAGCAATCGAGGGCTTCGTACTGGACTGCATGCGCTTTTGACTCCTGCTGTGCAGCTGAGCGTAGACTCACAAGCTAGAATAGACAGTGCTCGTGGAAGCGCTAGCAGTTGTGCATATACTGTGGCATGTATAAAGGCCGGGCGCAGCCAGTCATTAGAGCAGCCTCTCGTTCTTCAGAACTTGTCCCGCCAACGAGGTTATCCTGATTCTTGAGTATCTTCAACTACATCTGCCACGAACTACCATTCTTCGGGCTGTTCCCGTTCTCGAGTCGGTAAGTTGGAGCTGAGGTCTGGTCGGAGTGCGCAGCTTGCGGGTCTGCGAGTGGAGCTCGAATTTTGGCCACGCACAAAGACGTCAGTGAGTGTAGCGTTGGTCGCGAGTCTTGCGGAGTTCTGTCTCTCGACAGAATGTGGTATTATCTGCCTGATCCACGTCAGAAGTAGAGTAGCGGTCTCGGTGGACGATGTACCTGCGTGGGAGCGCAGGTACATGACTCGCCCCAACCGCAGAACGGCAATACGAGTTTAAAGATCAAGACAGTTGTAAACCTCCTCTTCCCCAAGACTCTGTTCGAAACAGAGACAATGATGAAAAGGTTCGCGTCACAAGGTGGCAGTGTAAGACCTCGAACACGGTGCCGGAAACCCATTGCGCAAGCACAGAGGGGTTTGACCAGCGAGTGCCAAAAATGAGATTAATCAAAGTTGTTCATTCCGTAGAATGATTTCAGAGATTAAACTGAAAAGAACAGATACTACACTTGATCTAAGCCAAAAGGCAAAGCTGCAAAAGTATTAGCAAAGTCGTTCAAAACAGCGGGATGGAGGGCACTTTCAGAGCTGGGAAAAGGAAAAAGAAGAAGTCCAGAACTCGCCGGACGAGGAAGGGGGATCTTGTAGTTTCGAGGCGGCTGCAAACACGCCAAGCAATTGCAATGTTTGCACCCAAAACGAAGAAATTTTTTGAGCATCGATGGAGCTTTGGTGAAGCGTGGGTGAAGAGTGGGCTGCCTATGACGCGCCGGATTGGGGTACGGTCGCCCGATTGCCCACTTTGATGCATTGTAGCGCCTGTGGTATCTCCATAACACCCAGGCGCTGGAAATTGCTATCTACCCGAAATCTTTTGCCCATAGTTTTGACCGCAAAGGCAGAAGACACTGCACCAATCACGCGCATGTCACAGGCTCTGGCTGCGTCTAGTTGCACCTGTAGCATCTGCTCGGCCAATGTGGCTAGTCAGGATCCGATTGGTGGTAATGTAGCCGGATTCTCCCATCATCTGCGACCCAGAGCCGGGCCCCTGCGCCTCTTATGCGCTTCGACATCTTAGACTCTTTATACTACACAAAGGATTGGCGGAAAAGATCTGGATCTCTTTGTACACTGATGGCTTTATTGTCTTACAGTATGTCTGGAGGTCCCGCTATAAGATCAAGCTGCTAAATGCAGACGCCGCAGGAGCTCCTCTGCCATTTCCCCATTTCTCCGTGGAGCAATTTACCAATTTCCTCGACTCCTCTAGTCAGACGCAGAAAGCTTCGCAGAATGCATGCACTGAAAATTCAATTGCCGGTAAACAGTTGACCCTACCGGCCGGGTTGCCCAGGGGCTGTCTGTGAAGCCGACTTGATCCCCTGGATGCTCTTTTTTTGGTGGACGTAACTCGCTTGGGGATTTTTGTTGAACGCAGAGAATGTAGGATTAAAGTGCCGGTAAACAGTTGACCTTACCAACCGGGTTGCCCAAGGTCTGATATCGCATTTCGGCGGAACCATGGGTGCTCTTGTCTTGGTTGACGTACGTTTGTCATTATTGTCGATAAAGGATGATTTCGTTGCTTCAAACCCCAGTAGGACCTGCAGGGCATAGTCGAGTTTGGTTTGACCTGTATGGAAGCCGTACTAGGTTCCTGCACCCCAGAATCTGGTGAATTCTTTCACGAACTCAGGGTCGGGGATGTCTGGGATATATTTGCTGGTGTCCCAGTCCGGAACCAGAGCAAGGAATCGACGATCGGTCGGGTGACAGTCCTCGATGCCCACCGTCCACGTGCACACGCGGCCCATCTGACTACAGCGGAGGCAAATATCGTATTGATATGTGTGAGGGTAGTAGTTGACTGGCATGCGCGTGCAAATGCAGTTGATGTCGTTGTACCGCTCCTGGATTACCTGTAGTCAATTAGAATCGAAGTTGATGAAGATCAGGGTAGCACGTACATTGGTACTCTCGTCTTTCCATCTACCAGCCACGTTTAGCAGATAGCATGAGTCGCAGGCTCGCTGGGGGACACGGTTCTTGACCTGGCCGTTGAAAGCGCCGAACGGAACATACGAGGTCAGTCCTTGAGCTATGTAAGCCTGCGACATCTGGAAAGGATCAAGTCGTCCGGCCATGAATTCAGCGCTTCTGGCATTCGCAAGGAGGTTTCGGATCCGAATCGTCTGCGACAGAAAGTCGAGGTACTGCTGCTTGATGTGGGCAATCCCGTAGTCGATCATCCAATTTGGGCAGTATTCGGGTTCGAGTTTGATCTGCCGTAGCATTCGGTAAATCGCGATACCCTGGGCATAGGCTTGATGAGAGCCGGCTGCATCAGGCTTGTTGACGCATACCTTCCGAAGATCCATCGGTTTCTGAGACCGTATGTAAGCGTGCTTCCATGGTGGAGATGCGTTTGAAGATGTAGCAGGTTCTTGCCATTCGATCTTCAACGCCCATGATCTTGCTCTATCCCAATCTTTCCACGGCCCAATAGTAGGGAGATGAGCCCAGTTTCGATGGTGAGGACTGCCATCTTTCGTCATCTCGATGCAGGGAAAGATCCACTGACCGGAACGCAAACCGAGATTCTTTGCTATTGTAGGAGAAAACTTGGGGCGAGGCTGACCAGGACCATGATTCGGCGCACTGACGACGTGAAATGTGAGATTCCGAGCGTTCTGGTCACCGATTGAGCCCGGAGTCTCCGCACTGGTGATACGGGTTGCTGAACGCCGAAACACATCGAGATTGTTCGAGGCAAAACTCTGCAGGGTCCAGACCATCTTATCGGCGTGGTTGATTTCTGTGAGCGGAGAGACCCAGTTGCATCCGCCTTCAGCCCCGTAGCTGGTTCGAGAGCTTGCACCAGGCCAATTCGACACTACAAATGATGATTGCGCGGACACTGTCAACGCATGAGCCATGGTTTTGTCTTGCATATATCTGGCAAGCTTATCCTCCTGCTCTTTCAGATTCGCAGAACTGTTGTGGCTTTCGTGTGGCTGGTAAGAGTAGACTTCCTCACAATAGCACTCGAAAAGGTCGACAAAAAGCTGCTCCACAATAGCCATGAGGTGGTCGATCTCAGACTTAGTGTAATCTACACTTCCAGGAGCGGGCTTAGGTTGCCACAGCAGACGCATGTACCTCTTCTTAGCACCAACGGCACGCTTATAGTGGTTGCTGGTTGTGAATGGCTCCGTGGAGTACTCGTGTTCTGTATGTCGCTTAGATGGATTGATCGACTTGCCAACGTACTGTGATGCCAAACGATTTGGCTGGCCATCGTAATCGAGGTAGATACGAGTGTAGACACCAGGCGTTGTCATGTCGGTCGCTGAGGGCAGATATGTGGCCACATCCTGAACTGTGAAATCGGGCATGTTCAAGATATCTTTGGTTGCATCAGGGATGCCTCGCAATATGTCTTGGACGAGTTGCCGGCGGGAATTGGCCACCGAAGTGCGCGACTGGAACCAGATAGGCAGCCAATGCATCTCATATCTGTTGATATGAAGACGCTCAAGCCATTCGGCCACGGCGCGATCAAGCTGGCCGTGCATCCCACCCACCTCGGAGCCAAATCGCGAGTAGAACTCAGGCACGTCGATGTATACATCGCCGTACTTGCGAGTGACTCCAACCAGTACGTGTGAGGCCGGCACGTGCGCAGGCTGCTGCGATTGTAGATATGGGCGAGTGACCGTCAGGTATCCTGACTTCGACAGGCTGACAACCCTTCCTTGGGTACCTTGTACAATGGACAAGGTCTGGTTGGATGGGTGCGTCCAGGTGTTAACGCATTCATAAGGATAGTCCACCGGCCAGGTCGAATCAGAAGGTGGCCTGGGCTGGGAGGTATGATATGGCGGAGCCATGGCTGCCTTCTCGACACGAGTCAGTCGAATTATATGCTCGGGGGCCTTCCGGAGTCGGCTAAGACTTACCACAAGTTGTAGGGAGCCTCAAAAATTATGAGACGAGTAGACTGTGTTGCGTGCAGTGACGAAGGTGTATGATGTGGGAACGGTGGGTGTGGTTGGGAGGTAGGTAGGTTGACAGCGCCGATGCCCTTTACAAAGACAATGGGAGAGATGTTTGATGTAAAGGGGTTCTTCAAAGATCAACACTGGTTCTCGAAAATCGGAGTGGCTTGGGTAGTAGTAAAAACAGCAAGCTCAATGTCGAGCTATATAGTCTAGAGATTTAAGAGACCTATTCATGGAGCATGGTATTGTTGCTCCGCCACAACACGATTTTGTCACGGCGACGACTGCCCTGCCGTTGGAGGTATGTGACTGGGGCCTATTCACTATTCAATGGCTACGATCAAAGACTAAGAGGTTGTGGTTGGTCACTAACCGCTTTTCAACGGCAGGAAGCCGGCTACCCGCCAGGGTGCGGCTAATGAATAGGCTATGGACAATAAGAGCTCGTGTTGCTGATGTTGACAAGTCATGAATCGGTGTCACCGTGCAGTATTGACTGCATTATTGAGCACTGGAGTGACAGTAATGATCCGTCAGCCGCTACTTCCTGTTCAATCAATAGACATGACACAATAGAGGGGTACATTGACTTCAATCGCGGTGGATCGTGCAGACACTGAAGTTTCGTGACGCTCTATAAGCAGCATGGATGACAAATGGCGTGGCATTGAGCGAAGCGTACGTGAAGTTGAGCTCGTGATCGTAAGTATTGGTCTGAGAAAGCGTGCTACGGGTTGACGACTCAACACGTCTCCTTATGAGATTGCACTCCGCCTCATGGCGACTCTGTGTCAAAAGTGGTGAGTGGCGGCTACATCGAACGACATTTACGTTAGAATTTCATGCTTCCACTACCTAGAGGGACCAGTTGCGGCAGACCGTGTCTATGAACGCTATTGCTTGACAAACGAGGGACACCAGATGTGTCGGAGGATTCTTCCTGTATTCTCAGACAGTGAATCGCGGGTTCTTCTATGTGCAACCCCTTAAGTGGCGCAGCCTTGTGTCAGCTTGGGTGCCGCGGGTGATCTGCCGACACTTCCCGAATTCTCCACCTTAGTGAAATCCGAGTCCGGCCAAGACCGGGCCGCAGTCATACAATGGATACAACTCGGGTCATGTTGGTTATGTAGATGACACATGTTGCTGATGGGTTCAGTGACTGAAGTGCTGCTGCGTATTGGCTTTCGTAGCTTGCACCTTGGTGTTGGACTTATCCAGAGATTGATGAGATAGTTTCCTTCGTTGAGCTTAGCTACTTGGTGTTTCTGAAACTCCCACAACGGACGATTGTGGAACTGACCAATGTCTTTGGGCCGCCGATGAAGAGACATTGTGGCTGCAATGGTAGTCGGAGCTATATGCCTTCAACAGCTGCGCCTCTGTGAAGATCGTTGCGCATGTGGTAGCTCAATTGACATTTGACTGTGGCGTTTGACAGAAGCTGCAGTCCTGCGCGCTGCTTCCATCGTGCGTGCGAGTAGTTCAGCCAACCAACTGCTTCTCGCTGAGACTCTTCAAGGCAGTTTAAGCGATGAACCCCTGACGGCTGCTCAGTTCTCGAACGTCCTCACTCCTGCTGCCGTGTCCGCCACTGTTCGTGGGACCGCTCATCAATGTCTTGTGACTGTACCATGTCTCAGGCACCCAAATCTGTGAGAACTTATTCTCATGATATGAACCCAGTCTTTCTCCAATGGACCGATTATGAAGATGCTTGCAGCTCCATAGCCAATATGGCATACTGCAGGATTGAGATAGGATTGCGAGAGGTTGGCCAGCCATTCAACCACCTCGGCATCCGGCATTGTTTGCCGGAAAAGATACGCATGAGTCTGTTGTGGTCGAGAAGACAACCTGCGACCCAACGGTGCTTGGACAATGAGACGCTTCAGCTGTAGCAGTAGCAGGCATCAGAGCCTCAGCTGAAAGGTGCATGAATAAAAGGTACCGTTCTGATGAACCAAAGCTGCGGCGGTGGTGATCGTGAAATCAACATGTACTATCGTTTTCCAATAGCCAAAGAAGTCTGCTTTGGCGGAGGCAGATAATTGTGGGCTCATTCCAATGTCCAATCCCTTACGCGGGCAGGCTCATGTTTTGGTACAAGATCGAGTGATGACGAGTGCGTGAATATTGCCCCTGCTGGAAGTCGACTGGCGAGAGGCAAGACAAATGATCGTTGCCCCGAACGCCAGGTGCTCGTTGTCACAAGCACCGAATGGTTGTTGCTCCAAAAACCAAATGATCGTTGCCCCGAACGCCGAACGCCAAACGCCAAAGACCACAAATCGAATTTTTTTTTCGTCTGAAGTGATGTTAGCGAGATCTCTTGGAGAGGAAGCAGGACTCACTTTTTTGATACGTTCAATTTTCTGGTTGGTTAGCCAATTGCCCTTGCCTCGCCGAGGATTGAACAACTTACTTTCTCCGATTTTCACCACTTTTCATATTTTTTTTCTTCCTTCTCGATTTTCAGTTGGTCTTTTTTGACCAACAGGCCGGAGACCGAGCCCACGGCTCTTGCCATCTCCTCCACCTCCGCGGAGGGGACCGGCCAACTCACCGCCGCACGCACGGCGGCCTCCAGCTCCGGCAAAAAGATGCCAGACCCTGGAATCATCGCAATCAGCTCATCCAGGGCAGGCCAGCCTGACTGCCGCCAGCCCCGAAAGAGGTTCATGGCCCGGCGCTCCCGCGCCGACCTGACCCGCTCCTCCTTCTTCTGCCTGGCGGCCTCCTCCCTCTTCTTCTTCTCCCGCTCTTTCTCCTCCTTCTTCTCTTCCTTCTCCTTCTCCTTCTCCTCTTTCTTCTCTTTCTTCTCCTGCTTCTCCTTCGCCTTCTCCTCCGCCTTCACCCTCTTCACTTCTCTAAGCCCCTCGATTCCCTCCCAACCCCTCTTCTGGGCATCTCTGCCCCCCTCCTTCTCAAGGAGGACTCGGGCAGAGGAGAACCCAGAAGAAGGAAGGGGGGAATCGGGACGGGACCGCCCAGCAGCAGACAAGCTGGCGGCAGAGGAAGCGCAAGGCGCAGGGACCGGCGAGGCCGGGGGGCGAGGGAAGGTCCCACTGCTGTGGAAGGTCTACTAACGTCAATAAACCCTTGATGGAAACTCGTTGAGAAAGGAAATATACAGGGATTGGTGGTCGTATGAAAAAGAAACGACCGAGGCCGGCAACGAGGAAGCGGCAGCGCCGCGGGAGGAGGCGGGTCGGGCGTGGGAGGGGCGGGGAGGTCGGGAGGAGGCCCAAGAGCGGCCAACATCTCCGAGAGATTGATGGCATCGGGGGGAGGAAGCAAGGAGAGAGTCTCGACGACGCCGGAGGCATTGGTATGGGTGTAATCACCCTTCTTTGGGAAGATCCATCTGTTCGTCGTCAGCACAACCACCTCCAGCAATACTCAATCAACACCTACTCGGCCATGATGTCGTCGGGCGCGAAGAGCAGGGAAACCCATGGGACGCGAACGTCTGAACGTACCTCAATCTGGACCCACATTGGGCGCTAAGCCGGCATTTGCCGGCGAAAGGCCTCTCTGACTGGCTGGCGCTACATCAAGGACCCGTATCGCGCTCGTTGCACGCGTCTGGGGCTCTCCGGGACCGTAAAATCCTTGAATCGAACAGGATTTTGCTCATAGAACGCACATCTGGTGGTGGGAACGTACAGAGGTCCAGGAATTAACGCTGGGGAGCACGGAGACCATGGAGCATTGGATCATTTTGAGAGCCATTTTCTGGGCCATTGGGCTTGTTGACTACCTGCCCACGCCTGTGAAAGAGGATCGTAACATCGATCAATCAGTGAAGGAACATGGTCATGCTTTTGGTCAGTCAATCAACGAGGGTAGGGGGATGTGAACGTCGGAGCACGAGGACATTCGTCGTTACTAGACTTGCATTGCCCTTACATTGGATCCCAATCATCGCCTCGAAAGCGTTTCTCTTCTTCGCCGGTGGATAATGACGGATGATGATGCTTCTTTTCCTATCAGTGAATACAATCTCTCTGCAAGTCTTACAAAACGCGACGTGAAACGCGTTGGCTCTCCAGCGAACTGCTTGCTTGCACCCTTCAATATCTCTTACTCTCGCCTTTTTCGACTCTCACGAAATGCTCAGCGCCTAGTCTCTCTAGCTCGCATACTCACACTTGAAGGTCAGTACATTCATTGGAACCAACGTCGAACCACAAGTTGATTAAACTCGATGCAGTGAATGGCATACGTCGACACGAATCCAATGGTGACTACAAGTTTTCACTCAAAACATTGAACGGAGCAAGTCGACAAATGCTCGAACATGCACGTACACCCCGCTATTGACGACTACCTGGTTGGGCATTTGCATGGCAACAACAAATATGGGTGAGTGATGAGGTTCAGACACGGTTCATGACTATTGCGCAAGGCTGTCGCTGCCTCCAATCGGACACGAACGTCTGTAGCCAGCAGGGGTCTGCAACCAGCAAACTCTCAATTCTGGGGTTGCCCCTGACAAGGCTTCGAGATATACGTACCAGGACCCACCATTCCCGGCACGATCCGAAAGTATCTCAGGTAAGAAAGGCATACCCCTCGTCTACTGCCATAATTGTTGATTGACCAAGAACAGCATCAGCCGGGGCCAGCGGCTTCATACACCGCGCGTGCCGCGGTAGTGCTTCGAGACACCAGGTCTTTCGCAGCAATGACCACAGTCTGCCTCCAGACCTCCGTATCCAGAACAAACCACAAGCTGCTGCGAAGTTGCAGGTACGCTGCAACGTAGGCCTGCGACTCTCAGTCAAACAACCAAAAACAAATGAGGCGCCCCTGCCCCAAGGCGCGTCCGCAGCCATTCCTTGGGCAATCGCCAATCGCACGAATACAGCTCTCATAGAAGAAGCAGAATGCAAGTGCAGGGACGAGTCCTGGTTGCATTGATCATCGATCGGCCAGTATATGTTTCGGCGAATGCACCTGCCAGAGCGATGCGCGGGTCGCGGCAGGACAACTCTGGCGGCCTCTTCAGACGACGGATTCAGCTTCTGGCTCAGGCCATTGCTACCTCCGCCCCAGCGCATGTGCACGACGATTTCGCACCACGCCCCTCAACGTTGATACTATAACAGTCGGAAATGGGCCTGGAAAAGGCATGGGCGGAGCTATCAGAAGACAAACTTGTCCTCCACTGCTCGCTCTAGATGAGCTATTGCATGAGACGGTCAAAAGAGCGACTCGCAGTGGTCGAACCGAATTCCACAGTGTCCCGAGCTACGATGAGACCGGGTTCATCATGCCCATCAGCACCCGCAGCAGTCGCGATTGACCCGGTAGTGCTGAGAACCACTTGCGCGTGCAAAATTAGAGCGTAAAGCAAAAGGAAGCGGCTCCAGTAGCTACATGTTGATAGTCGCGGGAACATCATATTTGGAGTGTATTAATGAGCAGAGTTCACTTCATAAAGCGTCGAGAGCCTTTGCAAGATGCAGATGAGAATTCAACATGACAAGTGCGTAGGTCTATCCCCTGCATTAAGCCAAGACAACGGGGAGAGAGGCTACGATCTGTGGAAAGCAGACGAACCCTCGTCACCGCCATGTTCAACAGCGGCCTCTTCAGGCTAAGGAGATGGAAACCACAAACCAACTGCAAGTTATCTCGCATCTCATAGAATGAAGCCCGGTCGCAGCGATTCGCCTTACAGCGATGCGCCGCACGTAGAGTGCCCAGGAAATGTGGTCTGTGAGACTGCGTACCCAGAGAATATGGACGCATGAGCCGAAAGATGCGATGATTCCTCAAGCGCTCTGTTATGAAGTTTCAGAAAGAAACACTTTTGATTCAGGTACTCTTGCCATAAAGTATCGACGAGGTGTCGTAATGATGGTGGAAAGGCCTTCGGAGACCTGGCTGGAAGGTCGGAGCAGCAAATTGGACCTGGCCTGACTGTGAGCTGACGATGCTTAGAGCGGGCAAAGGGTTACCTCGTTTGGAAATGCTGGGTTTGCCGCTTAAAATCAAGCTCAAGTGGTGGGCGGGAAAGAGTCCGCATTGACCAAAGATACTGAGCAGCATGCGGTTGCAACCACCAAAAGCTGAGACCGGTCTCTTGGGATCGCTGCCAATCCGGCTTCCGCAGAATAGGGCCTGCGCAGGCTCCGATATTTGCCCACTTAGAACCTGAATACAGCATTGCCAGTCGGGAAAGCTCAAAGGCTTGCCGAAGGTCTCCTGAGTGCTGCGTACCGGGTACCTTGCAGGACAGCACCGCAACCGCTTGCGCCCACCATTCCGAGAAATGCGCCTACGGTGGGTCTTAGGGTCAGCCTAGGCTTGCCTTTCGGGCCACTCTAGTCGGAAGAACCCTCGTATCCGTTCTCAATTGTTCCTCGCGCCAACGTCGAAGGCATCCAATTGTGCTGATTGCTTCCCCGCTGTGCGAGCTCATGATCGCGGCTGGCGATGCTTTGAATGTAAAATGGGATCGCTTCTTCTTTCGCTTACGCATCGGTTGGGGAGGAGTTGGTTTGGGTGTGACCGTGATCATTCGCCCTTCTATGACAACATCGTCGGCGTGTTCATAGTCTCAATCTGGAGTGGCAGGGCTAAGGCGGGCCCAATTTGGGCACTATCGCCGCTTGATGATTCGAGCAAACGTTTTGTAGACCGTCTAGAAGGTATAGAGGCACTGTTGTCTAAGTTTGTCCCTGAAGTCGAGGCAGAGGGAAGTACGGTTGTGCACGATGGGCCGGGATCTACCGCTTGACGATTCGTGGGAACGTTTTGTAGGGTTCTCGCTGGAGTCGGAGCGGAGAAAAGCACGGGTGTGCACGATGGGCCAGGATCTGTATCAGGGCCGGAGGTGCAGGGAGGCTCTGAAGTTGAGGCAGAGAGTAGTACGGATATGTACGTTGGACCAGAATAAGTGTCCTACTCGGAGCTGTGGAATGCTCTGCAATACTGCCGGTACCATCTGTGCAGCATCATGCAATCGCCAGAACTTCACACGAATTATCGGGTGCGATACGTCCGGAGGTGAGTCATGATTCGCACCGTCGTTCGCTGTCCTGGCTGTTTGAATACCTCCATCTTTCCAGTCTACTTGACCTTCTGCCATAGTGACTGTCTCGCCTCGATCACGTCAATCGATGCCTGGCGAACTACAAAAAATGGCGAACTACAAAAAAGTCGTTCCTGTGCCAGCGTCAACCGACGCTCAGCTCTCTTTGCCGTAAGCATCTACCCCCTACCTGGCTTCTTTGGGTATCCTTGCCTACTTTGTTGAGATGAAGGAGCATCGAGCTTACGGATAACTTGTGCAGACATTCCATATACATGGTTTTGGCAAAGGTAATCGATACATGACGGCGTCCTCCCTACGCGTCTACAACCAGCCTCTTGGACAGTGGCCGAAATAAATGGTGCCCTTTCCTATCATATACAGCCGGCCTACAAGAGCGTGCCTGCTAGACGGCGGTGCTCTCCTCGTACGACTATATACATGCTATAGGATTGTGACCAAAAGCTCCGGTGCGGTCCCGGAATAGGTAAAAGGCGTAACTCAGCCAGTCGCGCAAAGGCAATGGCGAACCTCGAGACTAAAGCTGAGAAATGATGGTGCCATCCCTGTATATATGTCAACATCCCCGCCCCGCCAGGTGACGACAGGCGGTGCCTCCCCCCATGCGTGTATAGTTTGCATGATAAAGCTGACTCCAAATTGGCAGTGCCCGCCGCTCTTGCGCATCCTTCCACCCCCCGAGCCGCACGTAATCCATCATCAGAAATGCCGCTTGTGTCTCTGTTGTCCTTAACCAGCCAAATATCTGGTATAGGCCCTTACACTGGCCAGAAGGCGCTAGTGGATCCCGGCATCCGCCTGCAGTGGCTTGTTTCTATCGCATATCAATCTCGTTGCAGCTGCCAGTGAGATGAGGTCGACTTGATTATGCAAATCGAGCTGGAATCAACGGCCATGACCCTAAGGATTCATAGGATCGAAGATGTAACTTTGGCTTCGAAATAACGAGACCGCTAACGATTTGGAGAAGCTATATGGAAATCCTGAGGACAAAATCATACATATTAGGTATCTGCCAATTACACAATGATCATCCGCCAAGAATCGCTGACAGAGCATGCATAAGACCCGCCTACTCGCGCACGCCTAGAGGTGGGGTTCACCTTCCACAACGGCCGTACTTCTACAAACGGTGCCTCCCTCACTTACCTCCAGAATGTCGACTTCAACGAACCACACCGTCGGCATTTCGGCCGACGTCATGCACGTACACTAGCACGCCTCAGCCGATGGCAATCAGCAGGAACCCCAAGGATCCACAGGCCCAGCAGGACTACCTCTTCATCCAACATGAGACACCGCGATCCCACAATGTCAGCCTGAGCACAGTGGCCGGGCAGGCCCGACGCTGGACCACGAACCGCAAGAACCAGAAGCAGCGCCTCTCGGCGGAGCAGGGTGCGTCGTACGCGCGGAGTCTGGTGGGCTGGCAAGACCCCACGAAGGTTGCTCCAAAGCCGGCCGATCCGCCAGAATTCGAACGCCGGGCACGCTTGCAGCTTTGTAGATTGCAGGACGTGGGAGGTGGACTGCGAAACGATCCTTTCAACTCCTTGCCGATCGAGCAATCCCAGCCTGTGATGGGCGTGACTGACTACTGTATGTTGCCCGTCCTGCCTCAACAGACGTCTGTCGCTGACAAGCAAAAGTCATCCACACGTGGGCGGAGCTCAAAGCGACCAACATCGACACTCTGCTGGGATTCAACACCTACCTGGAGATCTACTGGCCCTTGGCTCTGCAAGATGGGCTCCTCATGAGCGCCCTCCTCGGCGTTGCCGGCGCCGCGCAGTGTCTAGCTCAAGGGCAGCAGCCGATGCAAGACCCTGTCGTGCTACTGCACGGCTCCAAGGCTCTGCACCAGCTCCGTGAGCGGCTAGCGGCTGGACAGATCAATGAGACCGTCATCTTCACCATGGATTGGCTGATCAATATTGCGTACATGGCAAGGGATAACATGGCTTTCAATATACACTGGGCTGCGTTCCGGCCGGCTGCAACGAGATTCATCGAGGGGCGTAACGGCACCCTGACGACCGTCGTGCAGCACCGTCTGAGGAGCTGGGAGTCGCTTCATGATTACCGAAGGCGAGTTGACGCATTCAAGCCCACGTCCGATGCTCCGTTGACTAACACCGACGGCACGGCGCCTTTCATGTCACTCCCCGTCGGTTTTCGCGATCTCGCAAGCCAGGGCAAGCTCTCCTTGGAGACAGCCGAGATTCTACTTCTGGTCAGTCTCGCGGTAAGCACTTCCACGCCACTCCAGGACGGCATCCGCTGCCGGGTCATGGGACTCATCATGCGTCGAAAAATGCTGGACTTCGAGGCGCATATCTGTTTAGCCCTCCTGGCCCTGTCACATCAGCTGGAAGGCAGCCTGGGCGAGGTGCCGGAGGTGCTAGATCAGGTCGCGCAGGCGTTCATCAATCGACACCTGCGCTGGGAGTCGGAGCTGGAAAGGCGGTGCTTGATCTGGTGTTCGCTTGTGCTTGGCAACGCGCTGTTCATTCCCGACAGCTCTTCATCGCCGCGCGATGACCTCCGCATTCAGCGGTTGAGGACAAAGGGCCACATTATACTGGTTGAGGTGCAGCAAGAGCTTGTTGTGAACCGTGAACCTACCTGGGTTGCCATTGAAAGTCAGGGGCTTGAGGATTTTGTGCTCAACCCGAACTTATTGCAGCAGTGGCGGCGGGTTTATGAGGCGACTATGGCGAGGCAGCAGACCTGGAGTGATCAAGGTTTGCTTGCGGTTGGAAAGCCTCTGGCGGTTGATATGGGGGAGGGACCGGGGGTGTGCGTGGAATACCTGGTGCTGAGGGACGGGAGAGGGAGTTTGCCGAGAATCGAAGTCGCCGATTAATGCCAGGCGCATAGCAGCTGAGCGGTAAAGGGGGTCGAGTTTCGCATAGTGACGGCGGGTGCTGTACACTGGTGGAAGGTGAAATTCGCCGCTTTTCAGGCGTTCTCGTCCTCAATCCGACTCTATATGCAAAAGCCAAGGCTGAGCGATAGCAACAGACGTAACCGCGCATTTGCCACCGGCACAGGATGGGACAAATGGTGCACAAGGCTGAGCAGGATGCAAGTGCAGTAGTGCTACCGATGCTGATGACAGTTGAACCTGATCATCGCAAAATTGGCAAAAAAGGAACTTGCCTCCCCCGACCCTCGGCGTTTATTCCGAGTTCTCTGGGTAGTTAGCGGTATAGCTCCCCAAACCCTGACCGAGCACCACTGGGCAACTACTTCGCAATTGCATGTGGTACCTAGGGTGGCTCCATCAGTCCACACCAGCCTGGTTTGTAGCGAGTCTTCAGAAGTTTAGGCTATTAGGCTCTTCGCTACTTAGGTAGATCTTGCGATGTACTGTTTTCGCTACTAGGCGGCTGATTTCTGCTCGATTGTTGAGGGAATTTCTGGTTGGACAATATTTAAGCAGTCAATTGCCTCGGGGACGAGGCTGTGCTAGGCCAAGGACTGGTGAGTTGAGCTGGGAACCGGGCAGCTTTTGAGCAACAAGTATCTCAAATCGGGGCACGCGCAGTGTGCACGCCTGGTTTGGAGGTGGGCCAGAAGATCGGTCAAGTATGTCCGTGCCGGTTTCAATGTACCGGTGTAGGCTTCGGAGACTGGAGGGTCATCTTCGCTCTTCTCGGGTTGCTCGGTCATGGTTCGCCCTAGCCGAGTGGCTCGGAAGGAAATGGTACTTCCAAACCACGATTGTAGTTTTTGATCTTTTTGCTGCTGTAACGCGAGCAGTCTCGAGCAGCTTCGTTGGCGACACGCTGATCAGCAAGGCGTACATACGCTGTCATGGCTGGCATGAACGGAGTGCTCGGCCGTCGAGCTACCGAGGAAGGTGAGGATCAACTGTTGAGGTAGAAGAAGAGCACACGTCGTTGATAGAGCTGTGCTCGGATCTATGCTTGGCTAACATTGATTGGTGCGTACTGCCTAAGTGGGGCAGCTGAGCCAGACTCCAGATCTGGCTGACCACTGCCTTGGTCTTGCTTGCGGCAGATGTCTCGGAGGGAAGGGTATCAATCGAGTCATCAGAGGGTACTGGGACTATGAGTAGGTTTCGACTTTGTCGGTGGGCACATGAGGGTCGTCAAGTCATACGGTATAATGCAGACAGCTCTAGTATCAGATCTCTCTATGTGACTCGACTGAGCAATACTTGGGAACACAACTGTTCATCACCCTTTGATCGCCGTTGGAAACCCTTCAATCGCCCTGACCTCCTCTGGCTTCAACTTGATACCAAACCACTCTTCCAGTGCCTTCACCCTCTGCTCCTCGCTGGTGCAAGTCACCAGCAGCTCCTTCTCCTTAGGCCGCCCGTCCTTATCATACATCTTTCTGCTGACCTCAGCCTTGACCAGCGTCACCTGCCCGACGCACTTCTCCCCCTTCTCATCCAGCATCGGCTTCGTCAGAATCAGATTCTGCACAAACATGCTCGTCGGGTCCCGGCACATGCGGAAATTGATGATCTCGAAATCCTGCGGCAGCCATTCCGTGTCCGCGAAGCAGTACGCCGGCCGCCAGCCCTTTTCCGCCTGCACCTCCGGATACGAGACCTGCTCCCCGTTGACTTCATCCACCGGCGCCCGCTCATCCGGCACATCCACAACCCACAACTTCTCCTGACCCTGCGCCGCCCCAGCCCCCACGAATCTCCAATCCGCGATCTGCCGCTTCGCCAAACGCTGCGTCACCCCTGGCATCCCCTTCCCCGTCTCCCCCTCCTTCAGCAAGATCGGCTGCTGACTCCCCCGCCCACCGAAGCCCACGTCGCTGAGATACCGCTCGCCCTGGATCCGCACGATCACCACCTCATGGCCCCAACCCCCAAACCCATCGCCCGGTAGGCCTCTCACGCCGGCCTCCGCGGCGCTCACACGGGCTCCGACCACGTAGCACTCGTAGCCCAGGCTTCGTAACACGGTGGACCAAAAACAATTGTTCTCCATGCAGTAGCCGCCCTGCCGACGCTCGACGATCTTGTGGTACACGGCGTCGGTGTCCAGACTGAGAGTGTGGTGGGTGGAGTAGTGGATGCCCAGGGACCCAAATGGGCAGATGGCCATGGTCAGGAGTTGCAGCCGGTGCAGGGCGGCGAGCGGTTCGTTCGCCTTGCATTTTTGGAAGGAGGCGAGCGTGAGTGGCGGGTTGGCGGGGAGGGAGGCGAAGTACTGTTCGAGTTGGGCTGTGGTGTAGGTCGGGCGCGCGGCTAGTGGGTGTGGATTGCTCATTGTAGCTCGTTTAGTACGAGGTGGATTGGCTAGAGGCGGGAGAGTTGTTGATGATGAAGATGAATTAGTCGGGTTGCTTCGTTAGGAGCTGGAGAAAATATCTTGCTGTACTTTCGTCTCGGGTCTAAAACGCTCGTTCTCTCTGGCAGCCACTTCACCCCAGCGCAGTCTATATTCTTCAAATTGTACGTTCTGGACAAGAACAACAGCCGTGGAAGCACGTCATTCTGCTCAGGTCAGCACGTTAATTATTGAATTGCAGCAAGACGTTGATCATGACAAAGTACGAACGGCGAAGGCAGATGTGGGGTAGATCGATCTCGATCATTGGAGGGGCACATGGCGAACTTGGATCTCCTCCGACCCCATGATGATCCGGCAATGTTCTGTACCTGGGCCGGGAACAATGCGCGATTTACAAGTTGGGCCTGCTTCGTAACAGATCTCCTGCCCTGCCAAGCATGGTAGAAAGGCTGACACGTGCATGGCTGCAGAGCCGCACCAGACCAAAATCTTGAGATTAGTCATCATGAAGAGATCTGGATTGAAGTAGCCTGGACTTGACAAATCTCACAACATGTGGGACAACCACAGACACCTCTCCAGGTGCCGACAGGCTTACAAACGTTCCATCGCTGGCCGCCAATGGGCATTGCAGCAAGAACGATGCTGTGTTCGGCTACTTGCTGCCGAAGCTGTTCATTTGGAGAAGGTATCGGCAGTATGCGGCCCGAACCAGCAATGCTCGGCAGCAGCGATGACAACGGTGATGACAATCAGGAGTATTGAATCATGCAAGAACAAGATGTAGATCATAATCCCATGCAAAACAGCATCCGCGGTACTGTGATGAACGTTCTAGGCCTAGACGTGATCAACCTGCTTTCTCGTTCTGCACACCCTGATCCCAATTCTGCTGTTGATAAAACGTACTCATCCGATATCGTGTCTCACCTTCATATTGGTCGAGTTCCTGCAGCGCCTGTCTACCTTCCCGCTCAATTGTTTCCTTGATCTCCTTACTCCGAGGCGTCCATCGGCAGTCAAACGGTTCTGGACGCATGTTCAGTCCGTTGGTGTAAGCAAAGATGTCAACGGGGACTGGATTGCCCTGAGCATCAAGCGCCTTCTCGATATTGAAGCCCCACAGAAAGCGGGCCACGGATAGAAAGGTGCCTTGCTCAGCAAGGCCCTGGCCAGAGCAGACGCGTCGACCCCAACCAAAGGTCATGTAGCCCTTGTCATTCGGGAAGGGCCTGTGCAGTGGATGATCTGGAAAGAAGCGTTCAGGACAAAAGCGATCCGGCTCGGGAAATTCGCGCTCGTGATGATGGATGGCCCAAACATTGCCTTGGACCCAGGTGTTCTTCGGGATGAAATAGCCCTGCAGAGTCAGAAAGTTTCTTCGAACCAAAAACTTTGCTTACCTGGTAATAATCATCTTGAATGGGAGCGTGTGGTTGGCCACCAATAATAGCAACAGATCGCCACCTGAAGACCTCCTTGACAAAGGCTCGAATGTAAGGCAGGTCGTCGTCGAGACTCGGGCTTCTGTAGGGTCCAACCACCCGGTCAAGCTCTTCCCAAGCTTTTGGCAATACCTCGGGGAAAGCGCAGCAGGCCAGGGTAAACGTGACCAATGTCGAGCTTGACGTATCGCTGCCAGCACCGAACAGATTGCCAGTCAACGAGGCAATTTCGGAATTGGTCAAACCGTACTTGGGAGCCTCATCCCAGATCTTCTTCGCGTAGCAATTCTCATGCTCGCCTTTGCTGACAGCCTCCTCGGCGAGAGCATAGTAGAAATTCCGACCTCGGCCTTTCCCACCACCGAGTCCATGCTTCCAAGGAGCCATCCAATTTGGAAATTTGGCAAGTATCGGGAATGTTTCCAACAGCATGGGGAATGTCGTACCCGGCACGTTGAGTTCAGCTGCTCGTTGCATGACTGCAATGACTTCGGTGATTATAGGGTCCTCGGGGATACTGATTCTTCGTCCGAAGCCAATGATTGAGACGACTGATGCAGCGTATCTTTCAAAGTGCATGACATAGTTGTCAGGTGTTTTCAACAAGTCCAGGGCCACAACCTTGCTTTCGTTGTTCTGAAAGCCGCTGTAGCTACGTACGTGTTGCAGTCCAACGCCCATATGGGTGAGCTTACGATGGACTCTCCATCGATCGCCATAGTACATGGACACAATGTTGGACTGGCCCATCGAGAGCTCACCGAAGACGAGCATCCTCGGTCTAGATGCATAGATAGCTGCTCGCTTGTCCATGATCTCACTGGCAGCATATGCATCGTTGATCCAGACTGTGGGATTGCGCCCTATCCAATAGGTGATCACTGGTGCATTTAATTTCTTCGAGATCTCCTCAAAGTAGATCCAAGGTTTGTTCTTGGGTAGTTGGAATGTATTCCCGACGATCGGCCATGGCATTGGGCCGGGTGGCTATAGCATGTCAGCTCGTACACTGCATCTCATTGGCGCAGAACGTACCATCTTCCGCCGCATATTCAGCATCCAGGCATAATCGAGAACGAGTGCTGAAACTGCCGCAAGCAGAGCGGCAACCAGCAAATACCATAGGTGATGCGGCCGAAGCGCTTCTTGAATTGCAACGAGAGCAGCCATAATGGTCAAGGCACCTGCAGATGGAAAAACAGTGATAGCTGAGATGAAATCAGGCGGACTGGCGAGTCTGCTCACTTATTAAAGAGTCGGCACTTTTACTCCGGTGGACGAGATGGTGCTTGTATCATGCCTTACCAATAATGGCGAGAAGATGCATGCGATGGTGTTGTTCCCATCTGCGTGGGGCTTGGAGATTGCCATGCGTGGGGCGCGTGTGGTAGCTCGGGGAGCAGGCCTTCTCCAACTGGCCTCGGCAGCATGGCGACTTACAGCCGATCAGAGCCATCGTGAACACCTTTTCGAGCCACTGTGACAAAAACATAGAATTTGGTTGGATCCTCTGCATTCGGTGCGATACTTGTTGTACGTTCAACAGCCTCATCGTTGAATCTTGACGGATCCTACGGCGTTCTGGTTGTGCGTAGCTTACCCTGATCTTTCATGATGACGTTGGCTGTGGCTTCTTCGAGTGTCACCGTCGAGCGGGTAGGTAGTGTTTGCCTTTGTCATGGATTGGACGTAGACGAAGCTGCACCACTGCGGTGCAGCTGTCGCAGTCAAGATGGCGTCTGCGGCAGCAGAATGCATGACGCGTCAAGCGTGCCTTTTCAGACGGTTCTATCAGCCCACCTAGGGTTCACGGCAGACCGAGAATTTGTCAGCCAGAGTAAGAACGGGAAGGGTTCTCTGGTAGTCTCGTTCGAGGGATTGAACTGGCCAGGGGCTTATACTGCAAGCTCACGACGTGGTGAACCGTGTCTAGACTGGTGCGTTCCATTCTTGTTCAGCCTCAGGAAGGACAGCTTGGCTGATCAGGCGCGATGATCGATTTCGAGGATGAATGGGAGTGCTGACGTGCAATCTTGTCAACACTTATTCAGATATGCTCGAGTCGATACAGAAGGAACTCGGCAGCGGAAGCGATGTGGCCCTATCTGCCGCCGTATTATCAGCCTTGTACAGCCTCGCAGTTGTCACTCCACCAATCAGGCGGTATCAGCGTTTATGCCTGTTTGTGGATAATCAGTTGAAGAAGACTTCACACTCTCTGCTGGCCATCACGGGGTTTGCATGACTCACTTATGGGCTCTCATATTTGCTTGCTTTTATCCGCACTTGGTCTCCCGAGTCTCCGCGGCATATGTGTGCGTGGTGACCATGGCTAAAATGCCAAGGGAAACCAGAGGGGTTGTCCTTCAATCTAGCTTTGACCTTGTACGCGAGGTCTCCAATGAACGTGCATTACCGCTCGTGTTCAGGTCGACTACCTCATCTTGAAAGACTAGTTCAGCGCCCGAGTGGGCAATCGACGAAAGCTGATGGCCGGGAGTTGGGCTTCTCCACGCTGCATCGGCCTACTTCACATGTGCCATAAACTAGTCCTGGGGTGCTAAGTCTTCGGCCACGAGACTGGCGTCTGCGATGGGTGATTAGGAGATCGATAATCTTCCTTGGCTCGAAGCAAGGAATTGCAAACCTTCAACGCTGCATGCACAGGAACGTTAGGGCAGTGGTGCCGACGGCGGATACCTGTGGCTATCAACTGTGTTCTTCGACTACGATGACTTTGCGACTCCTGACTTGGCTTTTCCGCTGCACTCGCTCAGGCATCATTTGTGGATTTGCGCTCTCACGGGCTTATCGCCACGGCCATTCGTACGGACGGATTCAGCTTCACCGACATTTGGTCTCTGTTGACGGTCATCACGCCGATGGCTTGATGGTTTACACCCTAACTAGCCCTATGCACGATAAGGTTGGCCGTCTCTGAGTCGTCATGTCGGGGACTTGACGGCTTCGGAACTTTCCTTGTACCTTTATTAGCTTGGACCCCACGATTGATCACAGCTGGTTCTTTTGAAAGGTGAATGAATTACATAACGCCACTGATACTGAGATGGTCGCACAGGGGCCTGTGCCGATCTCCCTGGCTGTTAGCACTATACCACAGGCGGTAGGCTAGGCGGTCATTGTCACTGGCTTACTAGTCCCGCTCGTGAGGGGCCAATCGTGGTTGCTTCGACAGGAACTCCTGGCCTACCACTGGATTGTTTTCCGATGGCATCCTGGGAACCTCGCCGGCCGTTTTTGGACTAAGTATTCGATCAACCTCGGGTGCACCACAGCATGCCCACGTTGAGCGATACTTTTCGGCATGTGCTACACAACCCTACATTTGTTGTCCCACCCTCAAGGGCAAGCTACCTCATGAGTCAGGCAATAGATGAACTGGCCACGAACAACTCAACAACCCAGTCGGCTCGACTGCCGGCGGCTTCTCGTTGAACTCAAACTCAGTCATATGCTTCCGATGACCCCACTAATGGTGCACGCTGGACTGCTGTGGTGAATGTCATCAGCGACATAGTTCACAGCTATATGGCGACAGGAGTCTAGCTCGTGGGTTGGTGTATGCTGCATTCTGTAGGACGCCGAGATTATTTCACCAGAAGGTTTCAGATCTACATCGAGTTCCGCGATGGGAAATCTGCCTGATTGGGGACCGGTCACTTATCGCGGTGTCTACGGATACAACGTGTACTGGACCAACCACATCGAGCTACTCGGACCACTTTACCATCTGTCCACCATATAAGTGCGATCATGGCATTTTCAACAACCGTAAACTGGGTCCGCAGCCCACAGCTTGTCTAACATGTCACTACCATACGGTCAATCGTACACAGAGGCGCCAACTCATAAGCAGCCTGCTCCAGTACCCGTGACTTCGGAGACCTGGTCTCATAGCCTCCCTACCTGTCCAGATCGCACTTTCGAATCATTCAGTCAGCTCCTCGCAGCCAACTCTTTCACCACTGTTGACTCGTGCGCTGAGTCCAGCTCCGGAGAGACCTACGACAGCACGCCTGAGAGCTTGTGCTGGCCTGCGCCGAGTTACTCACCACACACTCTCTCAAAATCACTCCCGAATCAGACCTTATCCCAGCACAGTGGTATTGACATCGGTAAGTAAAATGCTACCCTACTTGGCTAGGTGCGACTCAAGCTCCGGCTTACACTGCTTTCAAGACGCAACACCACGAGATCAGATACAAACAGTTGACGAATCACGGCGTGTCAAGAGGAGGGCACAGAATCGTGCGGCGTAAGTCTGTTCATGGGCTTGACATATGAATGATCCTGTGATGCGCCTGCGTTCCTCACACCTGAGCAATTCGAGGCACTCACTGGATTGGATGCCATCTTCTTGATGATCATGCTCCGTTCAGCTCCAATTCCCCACCATACGTTGATCAGGCAAACATGCGCATCTTCCCCCTCCCCGGTCACCGCCCAGAATAACTCCCGACCATCTGCCCGCTCTGACCAAACCTCCAAACACTCAGCTTTCATGACCCAACCTTTTGCGCTACCTCACTAACACGCACACACACTCCACAGACAGCATACATTCAAAGCTCGCCAACAGCAGCGCGAGCTCAAGCTCTGCGAGAAGATCAGGATAGCCGAACAAGCCAACGCCAACCTACGAGGCCAGAACATACAGCTAATGGAAGCCCTCAAGCGAGAAATGACATTCAGGCTAGAAGCCGCTGCTCGGCAGGGGAGTCGGACGCTCTCATCGAGTCTTTTGGGCGAATCCGGCCCAACAGGCGAAGGCGGCCGGGGTGCTCATAGCTCTCCGTAGGCCAATTTCTGATGATTTGAGGTTCGAACGGCGTCGCGGCGTCTGTGCCTGTAGAACAGTGCGACGTATACCGGTACCCTAATAGCTTTGAACTACTCTCAAGAACCGCCAGCAGACGTGCCAAACATGACCACCACCACCACCACCACCTTCTTCGCCCAACTCCTCTCTGTCTCTCTCTCTATTTCTACCTGCCGGCGCCTTTACACTGCCAACATTTCCGCGCCGCATCACAGCCCCAAGACCCAGGGACTACAAACATCTCCTCAGGTTTTATGCGTTTTCCCCCCCTTTTCTCTCATTTCAGGGCTTTGCGCCTAGAGACTAAAAGTTTCTGGCACAGTGCTTCGCCCGACGAAAAGCCACAACAACTCCGGACAGACTCAAAAGTAAATGGATTTTTCACCTCGGCCTATGCCGGGCTGTGAACGCTCTGTCTCTCTCCTGGGGTGTGTTCCCCACACCCCCAAGCATGAGCTAAAGGTAACGGACTTGGGCAGTGTTGCAAACTCCCTCGGAGAGGAAATGAGATATGAAGGAGAGCCGCGAAAGCCCCAGCGTCTGGATCCCTGGACCTGCAGACTGCAGGCGGTCGATCATTGATCTCGGGGTCGGGTGCAGTGCCGATCTCCGGGTGGTGGAGGAGGTGATCGTAGAGGCTTCTCACGTTTCTCGGTGTTTTGTCGTGACGGGTGAGGATTGGCGTGTGCCTTCATATCTGTCGGGTCGGGTCGGGGTGGTAGATCACTTGTGGGTTCTTGCCCGTCTGGAGAGACATACGCCGCGCCGTTCGGTTGGGTGGGTGCCCCAGCCTCGGTGATGTATTGATTGATGATTTATCTGTAGATATTCGAGGGTGGGATCGCGCTGGGAGAGGCAGTGAGAAACAATTGTGTCAATAGCAAGGCGATAAAACCATGGATTCTCGACAATGTCAGCTCTTGCTTTGCTTTTCCTCTATGTGTAGTAATTTACGAAGGCCGCTACCGAGCCGCGTGATTAACGTGGTCGAGCAGGACGGCGACTTCTGTGGTTCAGCCTGCCACTCCTTCTCCAGGGGCATCGATGACGCAGGTCCTACATTGAGACCCGGGTGACCTGTATAGGCACTGCCGGTACGGAAATCCCTCGAGACATTGGTTCGGACGATCTGATGCAAAGCAACGCTGTGGTCGATAGCCTCTGGCCCTTCGACAGCTTCACTGGTGCGGACACTCCCGCTTCCCCTCCTCTGAATACCTTCCTCAGCGGGGTTGGAGTCTTCAGCCGTGAACATCGACACCCGGTCAAGGTCCGTGCGGCTCGTCATGGGAAAGTCGCGAGGCCGCTTCAGGCTGTATGCGGCGCGGAGCCTCAGCATGGCTTCGTGCATAGCTGCAATCGTGTGCCTGAGGACGGCGACCTGGTCGGGCGTATATTCCGCCAGATCTGGAATAGTCCATTGGTCGTACAGCCGCCCGTGCGTGGCAGGCGACGCCATGCCGCCGTGGCAGCTGATGCATAGGTAGCACAAGAAGCAGGCGCTCTTTGAGGCGCCAATGACTCGGGGTGGCGGAGGCGATGGCTGGGCCCTGTTACGTCCCTCGCCCGGCCCCGATAGGTAGTGCACCAACAGCTGTATTTCAGCGTGGATGTAACAAGCCATATCCCGCCCCTGGATGGACGGACCTTGGACGATTGACTTATACGGCTGCACACCTTCGATGCGCAGCTCCAATGACGGTAAGCTCGCTGGTCTTCCTTTCGTGATCTTGCGAAATATATGCACCAGCGACTGTGCGATGCGCCAGTAAGCTCCGATCTTGTCGATCTCAACGACGTGCTTATTCTTCAGCCACGTCTTCTGATCTAGACCCGCCGCGGCCAGCAGATGCTTGAACGGCAGGCGCTTTTGTCCCTCGCCGCACGATGTCGTCACGTTGAAGCAGGCTTTCGATACGGCGCCCAGCTTTGTTAGCACTTCGGGTGCTGCATGCTCGGCATCATCGACAGACATCGTCTCGAGCAGCGCCAGAAGTTGCGCATTCAGGGCCGTAGCGCGCTCCACGAACGCTTCGCCAATGTCTGGCGTCAGATTCTCCTTTCGCATCCGCGCAAAGGCCCGCAGTAGCTTGTCGTCCTTGTTTGTGCGCAGCCGGCCTTTCTCACGAAAGATGGGTGGATGTCCAACTGCTTTCCGAGCACGCTGGAGGATGCGGGTGCGGTTGAGGTAGATGATTTTGTCGAATATCAGGTCAGCGCGTTGAATGGAAGTTGATTGGTCTTGAGAGCTGAGCGTGGACCAAATCTCCAGTAGAGAGGCCTTGAGAGAGTCGCTTATTCCTTCGTTGGCAGCGAGGCGGAGGGTGAGGACTCCAAGATGCTGCGACGCGCTGGGGTGAGGCTGCTCCTCGATGCAGGCGGCGGTCACGCTGAAGACGGCTTCCTGAGTAGCCGAGATGAGTGCGAAGTCATTAGCGAGACGGTGCTCGATATGAAGGGAAAGAAGGTAGCGCGAATGGTCGCGGGGTTGTTTTGGCGTTGGGGTAGGTCCGGGGAAGAGACACGTATCATCGTGAGGTGTGTTCAATCCAATGTCTGCATCAACGGGGCACTCGTTGCTCGCAAGAGCGAGCTCCACGGCTGTCTGACGAAATGTGACTTCGTCGAGCGGAGGCTGCCAGATGGAGTGTGCTAGAGCTGCGGTGCGGATCTCGTGGCGAAATGGCTCGTTGGCCATGACAAGGATGATCAAGTGTCTCTCTGTCGCGACTGCTATCGCTCCGCGTAATTCCTGGATAATAACATTGTTATTGGAAAAAGTGTACCCGACCTGATCTTGGGGTGTGTGGCTTGGCACGTAGACAACGAGCAAAATCTGCCAGAAGCCCGCCTGCTTTCAGAACCGAGGAGCAGCCTGCGACGGATGTCACAACAAGTCTTCACCTGCTACCATGCTTTCAAGTGCGGCGAAAAGCTACACCCCCAGCCGCTACAAGCCAGGCAAACCAACGGAGCAAGGTGAAGATGAATACAAGGCAAACGCGATCAAGGCAACCACCGCAAAATGTTCCTCCGTATCCTGCCAAGGCGGGAATATGCTCTTCCGCCACCGACGTCTTCTCGCGGCCTTCTACCCCAAATCTCTTCCTGCTCTCCAGCGTGCTCATCATGGAAAGCGATGACCCCTACACAGCCTGCCGGTTGGTATATTATCGCCTGCCTAGCCAGATGGCACTCCCTAAGTTTGTTCTCTGCTTGAGCTGTGAATCGTTTTACTGGACCAGACTCGCCACTTCCAGCACAAGCTGCATCCTGGATTGAAAGCTGACTACCATGTCTAGCTCCAACCAGAATATACACTTCGCTACCACTGTTACCTACATAACTACTTCGTTATTTGGCTCTTCTGTCGGCTTCATTGGCGATTGTCTGCGGGGCGATATTTCCGCCCCGCCTCTCGGCGAAATGCTGCACCATAATAACCTTTACGCGGTGGTTGTTCCGGAAACTGATAGCGACTTTGACGCCGAGACTGATCGCTACGGTGGGCTGGGGCACGTACATGGTATATGGGGCGTGCTGTACGATGAGTCTTGTTTGGTGCTGGGTGGCTGTGCTGGAGACAAGGGGCATCGGGTTGGGGAAGGAGATGGATGGGCTGTTTGAGAAGCGGGGTGTTACAGGAGGTAGGGGGAGTGTGGAAGAGCATTGTGCAGAGGTGGGCGGAGAGGGTGCGGAGTTTGCTGAAGTGGAATAGGCGATGATAGAGATCAACGAGACGAGCGGAGTCAGCTGAGGCATAGGAGGAGTAGCATCGCTCTGATTGTTTGAAAATCGCATCCAGACGGGGTGTTGACAGCTTTCAGAATCGAATCAATATGTACACTTTCCCTGCATCAGAGACCCATTCCCCAGCACACGCTTTCAAGCTCCGCGGATACATTGCGTGTCGAGGTGCCAAGACTACCCAGCCAGCCCCCTGAGCCTCGCCGCCTTGCCGCCTGATTCATTCACTGCCCACCCACCCCCACAGCCTTGACCGCCAGCCTCTCCTACTTGCCTAGCAACCGTATAAATATCACGAATCCCAAAATCCCTCTCAACAATCGCACAGACCTACAGTCCCACAAAAACCAGGCAGGAGAAAACCACTAAGTCCTGGGGTCGGAGTCGTTGCCACTGAAAACCTACAAGCCTAGTATTACTGGTAGCAATACTGTAATTCAAAAGGTGGTTTTCGGGGAGGAATGCTTCAAAAGAATAAAGAAAGATGCCATAGCAAGCCAAGGTCCAAGATCTCTCAGTTGGGAGTTTGTACTACGACAAAGTAAGTAGTACAATGGGTCGCAAAGACCTCTCGATTATGGGAGCACATTCCTCTGTTCTTTTTGCTTTTTCGCTTTTTGCTGTTTGCTTTTAGGGCTAACGTTGTGATGTGGGAATTGTGGGCGGCTGATAAAAATGCAGTGACTGGTTATTCACTGCCCGTCGGCTAGCGAGATTGTCAATATGAGGTGGACGGGTAGCAAGTTTTCATCTGTCCCCGCGCCGCTCACTTCACTTACTTAGTAGGCCTTCGGAAACCTGATAGTGAGTTCGGCACGACTCGAAGGAAATGTCGTCCGATTGCTCTGAGCTCACAACTCGGCCTATGTATGAGTCAAGGTTGGAGAACATACAGATGGAAACGGCTCGTCCTTCGATCGCCCTGAAGGATTCAAATGGTTGTGGACTCTTCTTCGTACAGAATATGTTTCTGGACTTCTCAAAGTCTGGGTGGCCCCTCCTGATTCAACTTAGTACACAGACTTCTGCCTCCAGCTACAAAACGCACGAGTAGTCCGACTAGCCCAGGTCACACTTCTCGACACAGCCTTTTCCCACTGCCCCAAACCTCTGGCCCTCAAAAATCCACTGTCCACCCAAGTCGCACAACCCTGTCCCTTCTCGTCAATCCTACTTCTCCTTCTTCGGCAACGCCAACTTCGCCCCCTGCTCCTCCCCCGGCGGTTTCTTCCCCTTATTCTCCTCCTGCAACCAGTACCCCACATTGCACAAACAATGATTCTTCATCGTCTTCCCCTTACACTTGTTCCAGCCGGAACACTCGACTTTGGCCGACTTCCCATCCCGCTTCCTCGCGTCGCATGACACATGACAGACGTCGCGCGTGATGGCTTTGCCGTCGCACTGATGCGCGCCTTTGTCGAGGGCCAGGGGGCGGCAGGCCATATATTCAGGAGTGCTATCTGGAGGGCGGTTGGTGCCGTCGGAGGAGCGGAGGAGGACGTTTCCTGAAGGGCGGATCGCGGACCAGGAGACGCCGTTGTCGAATTGGTCTTTGGGGCCGGCGTAGGAGTATTCGTCGTAGGTGACGCCGGCGGCGGTGGTGGCGAGGAGGAGAGGGCTGAGGAGGAGGGCGAGGGGGTACATCGTGTGGATGGGGTGAGAGGTGATTGGGTAGGCTTGATCGTACCGTGATGTATATGTGGGCGCGTATGCTGATTGGTGAGTGAAAAGGTTGAAGGGAGGAGTTTTGTGCCCGATGTGGAATGAATAGGATGTCGAGTCGATGATATGGGCAGGGTATACGGCGTTAGCAGCAGCTTGTCAAAGGATAGCCTGTGTGGTTCGTGGAGACTGTCTTTGTTCTTGGGTGCTGAAATATCAATATGAGATCTTCTTTGTTTGGCGGCATCGATATTCAGTCTTAGGCGCTGCCCTCAGATCCCGAGTCTGTTCTTTGTGCAGACGCCGCACGAGTACTTCGTAGCTTCAACACAAGCCTCGTGCTAGCCTCGGCCTTGTGTACACAAGGAAGCGATTCGAGCCGTGCCGGCTATACGGAGACACTGGATGAGCCAGGCTTGTTGGATCCAGAACTTCTGTCATGCCTATGCTGTCTCTATGTTCCGTCGCACCCGTTAGGGTCTTTCGGTCAGGCAGTGAGCACGCTCCGACAGCAATATTAATTCGACGGCCAGGAAAAGCAATCAGGTTGCAAGATAGACATGTCGCAATGGGTGGCGTCTGCTGGAAGACCTATCAAATTGCACCTCTATTCAAAACGCCAGCTCACTGTATGTGGCTCATTGGGATCAATAAAGGCAATGGCACATTGATGCTGTCGGTGGTAGGCATATTGCCGGCTATGCGCTCATCGTTGTCCGTACTTTGCAATAAGCGACATACTCGAGGGAGCTGCAAGCATTTGGCACAGAGTCAACGTCACGTGCTCAGAACGTCCCAGCCTTCCGTGCCCTACAGGATCGGCTTCGTGTAGAAAGAACTAGGTTGAGTCTGGCCGCCATGCAATTTGGCACTGGACAAAGCTTTGCTCATCCCGTCTCCATTGTGACCTAAATCCCGAGCAGAAAGCCGCAACTGACTGAGGACGGTAGTCAATGGTTCGCAGTGGAGTCTGGCTATCAACCCTGCATTGTTAAGAGGAAGACGCCGACCCGTTGTAGTCCCCTCACTTGATCGATCGCAGGACGTCAGCGTAGAGAATATCCGAGTCTCGTCCAGTTGTCCTTGCGGAGTACGCTCGCGAGTTTTCTGATAGTGTTCGTACCGCGCCGGCGTCATCGTCATCGAAATCGTCCTCGCTCGGGTGGACAGCGTGGCCATTCTCCATATGATTTACGATTCCTTTCGACGATGGAGTTGATAGCTCTCGATAGAGGTCATTTTGCGCTTGGCCGGGGATGGCGTTGGTGTCAATCTCGCCCAGATCGTGCGACCCAGATCGCTTCGAACCTTGAACCAGGTCGACAAGCTTTGACAGAATATTGAGCTCGAGTTTGAGTTTGACGCTGTAAATGAAGGCTTTGGTAGCCTGCTGATAGATACGCCAGTGCTTGTACTGCATGAAAAGCAAGGCAATGTCCATGGCGATGATGATGACGTTGATGGTAAAGAGCTGCCAGATGACGCTTCTTGTGCTCTTTTTGCTGACGACCTTGAGAAAGGCAATGGTCCGCCAGACGTACAGTCCAGAGATGATGAACTCTTGCAAACAAAACATAGTCATCTGAACATGTTCGGTGTAGAAGAAGCCTTCTGCAAAGTGCTGGTTATTGGTATAAGTTGTGCCGAAGTCGAGGACGGTAAGGGTGGTGTGCCAGACGACTGCATTGAATATGATCATCCACTTGACGGCCTTCAGCACTTTCGGTTGATCCATGATCAAGTTGAGTCTCGAGTAGAGAACCAAACTTTGGCCCGTAATCATCAGAATCCATCCGCCGGTATCGAAGATTTTGCCGACCCATAGCACGGCAAGCTGGAAATACTCGATGATCAAACCGAGGCTGTAAGAGACCACACCGAAATTGGATACGCACAAGCTCCAGAAGTAGAGACCGTGCCATTTTTTGAACGTGGTGAAGATCAAAAGCGTAAGCTCAATCGCATTGTACAAAGCCAGCGCCAGACTCAGTGTCACGGTGATGGACTCTGGATCGTACAGGCCTTCGAAGACAGCTCGTGGACGATGCCATCGCGAGGGTTCGGACATCCTAGTCGCATCGCCTCAAGCTTCTGACGATTTCAGAGACGACAAGAATTGATGAAGAGTGAAGCTGGGAGTTGACAAGAGCACCATCCGATCGACATTGCGTTCTCACCTCATTTCGCTTAGCCAGGTAGGGGACAGTTCTCGTGTGGCGTCCCCGTGGTTGCGGTCGGAGGTGGGTGTGACGCTGATCCTCCAATAGCGCAGCATGGTGCCCGCAAGCTGGAAGCCAAACCCCGAACGCCACGGGCTGTGAGTGCCGAGGGGTGCCACATAAACATGGGGTCCAAAGGTCAAACGGGGAGTCGGATGCGAATTGTCTGGGGTAAGAGACCGGTGGTCGCGTCAATTCGCAGCCGTCGCGTTCCTCATTTTCTTGGTCCCGGGGCTCCGTGGCTGCCACGCGTAAAGCCCCCGCCCCCGCATCTTGTTGCTTCTCACGGATCATTCACGGCACATTTGATCATTGAAAGATACATTTTTTCAAATCGATACAAGTCGTTCATTACATGCTACTTCCATTGAGAACCTACCAGCCGACTACGCCATCGGAACTTACCATCTTGCCCTACCGCCGGCGACCAGTGCCACTCGGCTTCTCACCGGCGAGAGGATGATCAGACTACCAGTCATCTCGGCGTCTTCGCTCAAACGACGAAGGCCGCGAGTATGCACCGTCATCCCACCAGGCCGTCTTGGACTCGGCTCTCTTCCTGGGTGTGACAGCTCGTTCCTCTTCAGCCTTAACGAAGGCACGTTCGATTCTCGCCGACGTGCTGTAGAAACACATCAAAGCCCGAAGGCACTGGAAGAGTGAACGTTTACCCATTGTTCTGAGTGATCTTTGGCAGAACGCAAAAGCAACGGGTGTTCTCGCGGGCTTAAGTAAGTGTGCTTGCAGCTGCTCTCGACGACTATTCAAACAAGGCGATTGTGCATTGTCAAAGGCAGGTCTTTGTGCTTCTGCAGCTCTCATTTTCGATGACGACTGAACTGCTTTGTTCGTTGCGTCGAAGCTTTGTGACTTCTCGTTGCAAGGCCCAATCTGCCCAGACTCAGGACATCTGACAGGCAAGGGCGGAACGCCGTTGGATTTTCAAGTCTCACTGCATGAGTCTACAGGAGAGGAGAGTCTTCGCATTTTTCTACATTCACAAGATCCATCGATATCGTCCGCTCCCATGCCTCCCTGAAATCATCCCCTAGATCCTCGCCTGCTCCTTCCCCCTCGCCGCCCCCTTCCCCAACGCCTCAATGGCCGCCTCCCGAAACTCGACCGCCAAATCCAAACAAACCTCATCCGCCGGCGGCAACAACTGCATGGCCTGAATCCCCGCCACCTCCTCCTTCCGATCCACCCACCAAAACAAGTTCGGCAGGCCACCCCAATACAGCGTCCACTCCTTGGACCCCTTCCTCCGACTCAACGCCGCCACCAAGCTATGATTAAACTCATACTCGCCTCCATACTGACCCGCCTCATCCTTGACCGGCACGGGCAGACCCCCCGTCAGCATCCTCGAGCCTTCCAGCTCACCAAAAACCTTCATCAGAGATCGTCCGAGATGCGCGCCTAATTTGCCTGGCCCGTCGACGAGTTGCGGGCTGAAGACCAGCTCATCCACGATTTTGGGCGGGAGGATGCGGCCGTCGTTGCGCAACAGCGACTCCAGCACTTTGATGTAGGCACGGGGCGGGCATCGGACGCCGCCGCCACCGAGGTCGTCGCGCGCGGTGTCGGCGGGAGCGGTGGGGAGATGGACGAGGCCTGTAACGAAGAGTGAGTATTCTGCCACAATTCTCACGACAAGAAGGAGAAGAAGAAGAAGTGCCAGAACATGCAAGCAAGGTCGGATATCGAGCCCGCGAGCAAAGCCTCGAAAAGAGGAAGAACACCAACACCACAAACCCAAACTCACCTTCCTGAGTCCGCACACTCAAATACACCCACCTCTCCCTCACCTCCTCCTCCCCCCACTTCAAATCCCCCTTCCGAAACACCACGTCCCCCTCTTTGACTCCAACCTTCTTCAACACCTCCTCCCACACATACACCCCCAACCTCTCCACCCCCGCCACCCTGGCCACCAACAACCCGGCCAAATCGATGCCGGGCGAATACATCCACGCCTCCCCCGCCCCCGTCAGCATCGGCGCCTCCCCGTACATCTCCAACAACCTCCCCGAAAAATCCTCGCGTTTTCTGCCTCGCCACTTCCACCACTTCAGTATATCCGCCGACAGGAAATCATACGCCATGCCTGACGTGTGCGTCAGGAGGTGGCGCAGCGTTACTTGTTCCACTCCTTTTCCTTCCCCATTCCCGCTCTCGCCGCGCCAAATCGGTCCCCGCTTCTCATCCCACCCCTCCAAAACCCGGATGGCCTTCAGCTCCGGCAGAACCTCCACGACGGGGCGATCCCAGTCCCACAACCGGCGGATCTCGACGACATGCACGGCCGCGAGGCTGGTAAGGAGCTTAGAGCACGACGCGGTCCAGAATGTGGAGGATGGTGAGAGGGGGTGGGAGAGCGGGGTGTGGAGGGAGGTGGTGCCTGCTGCGAAGCTGGGAGACGTGGCGCTGGTCAGATTGGCTGTGTGGCGGGGGGGGGGGGGGGGCAGGGGGGCTGGGTTTGGGAAGACAGGCCGTATAGGTTGGTGGTGATGAGCAAGCGGACGGAGTGGGCATGTGAGACGGCACCGACCCGAGCCCGAGCATCCGATGCTCGGATATGGAGAGTCTGAAGCGGATTCTTGTTGGGGAAGTGGTGGGACCTACCTGTAAGCGCAGGGCTGGGTGGGCGTGGAGGCGAGGAAGACTGCGCCGGGGATCTGTGGCGAGGAGCCGGGGGAGTCGGCGGAGCCGGGGCGGCATAACCGGGTGACGTGCGATTCGAGACTGCGCAGTGCCCCGGAGGATGGTGTCGTGGCAGCAGGAGCATTTGCCATGGCGGCGAAGTGGGTACGTCCACGGACCGGATGGTTGCACTGTCGTTGTTGACGATGGTGATGGTGATGGTGATGGCTTCTAGATATTGGTGTCTAGGTACTGCTCGCCGTTATGTATTCGTCAGAGGCCGGCCGGCCGGTTGGATGCTTGGGTGTTGAGCAATTGCGAGTACGTAAATGGGCCGGCCCAAGCAATCGGAGCTTTGGCTCACGTACCTCGGTCTCACTATAGAGTCGCCGTAGCGGAGCGTTTAGCACGAACGGAGATATACACACCAGGCACGAGAGCGCCGGGATTGAATGATGAGCATGAACATGGTATTAGAATACCGTAGCATGTACTCCGGATCTACTCACCCAACCCGAAAGAGCGGGGGTGTCATCTACGGTTGGTCAGTATACCGAGGCACCTTGGCTCAGGTGCCAGCCATACCTAGGTCAATCCTACTACATTTCTGTGGATCGAATCAGTTTTATGCACCAGACAAGGCATCCAGTCTGGACTTCCAGGTTGGGAAAATATCAGATTCGCCAAGTTATCAATCTATTGTACATCGCCAATGCCGCTTGCTATCAAGGTAATTAATAAGCAATAAGCAGGGACAAGGTATGTCAGGTAAAACGACTCATCTTCGCTGCGTGGGGCAAACGGATGTGATGGTCAGTTTGCCAGAAAGAACGTCTCCAGTCATTGTTCATCAACTTCGTCCGGGTATCTGTCGTCCAACGTTCGTTCTCAATTGCGTCTAGGTCTGCATGCAGAACTAGGTTGCTGGGATAGGCTCGGGTGCAGTCTCGGTGGTGGCTGCAACAGGCTCGGATGGAAGAGTGGTCTTGGGAGCCGTAGGAAAATCCTCCTGCTTGACCGAGTTCTGAAGGTGAGGGATCTTTTGGCGCGACTTACCGAGCAGGTCAGACGCAGCACCCGCATATTCTCCAGCATACGACTTGACACTTTCCAGACCCTTGCCCGCATGCTGACCGGCAATGTCACGGACCTGCTGAGCCTGTTCACCAGCAATCTTGCCAGCATACTCGATATTGGAGTCAATGACCTCCTTGTTCATGACGTAGATAAGGGGACCGAGGAAGACGACGGAGGTAGCGAGAAGAGCCATGCCCCACATCGGAAGAAGCTTGACAAGGTAGTACGAGAGGAAGGTTGCGAGAAACACCTGTAGATGTTAGGTGCGAAAGTCGGAAACAGTAGGTGCACGTACAGCAGCAGTGACTGCAACATTCTCGGCAAAGACCACGCGTTGAGACTCAATGACGAAGAAGTTGATGAGTTGCTCAACATCGTCCAAAGTAGATTCAAGAGCCTCCTTCGGTATCTTGTAGTACTTTCTAGGACGGACAGACGAGGTGAGGCTGCCACCAGTCGCGAGCTTGGAAAGGGCTTCGGCAAGCGTGACGACTGATTTGATTAGCTCTCGCTATTCCAGATTGCACCCGACTTACCACCAAGAGTCATCCAGGTTAGCTTGAGAGCATAACGGGTAACGGGGAGGTAGCGTGCGGCAAAGATGAAGACCAGCGTGGCGGCAAAGGTAGCACCGGTAGCACGGGGATTCTTCCAGCTGAGGAGAGTATAGAAGAACGAATGGTAGTCTGCACGAATCAGTCATGTGGCCTTTCATGTGTGAGCTACCTTACGGGTAAGAGGGGTCTCGTTGGCAGCGGTATGGGCAGGGGCCTGGCGGGAGCCAGCCAAAGCGGAGAACTCGTTGCCAGTCGCTGTAGCTTCGTTCTTGACGCTGGTAGCCACGGGTCCTTTGAGGTATGAGTACCAGCTCTTGATCTGATCAGTGGAGGGAATACCGTTGGCAAGATCCTGGGTGATCTGGGCGTTCTTCACAGTGTCGAAAGCACTCGCAGCGCCTGCGGGCGTCAGAGGATGCCGGAACACAAAAGGGGAAATTTCTGCGCTTATGTTAGCTTTGACAACATCGAGAGAGCTGGCATACTACACACCTTACTGTTGACGGCCGTGTCCTTGTACGACGCGCCGTTGGTAGACGGGGCCGCGTTGGCTGCTTCAGGCGAGATGGCATTCGCACCTGGATCAATTCGGGGATCAATGTCGGAAGCAGACATTTTCGATGGACGAGCAAGATAGTAGATTCGTTTTGAGAGTGGTTTGCAGTTGCAAATGAATAGGTTGCAGGGTGGTGAGTGTTCAAAAAGGATGAACAAGTCTTGACGCAGAAGTTGCAAGATTGCGGGAAGGAGTGGATTGGGAGAAGCGGACGGAATTTCCAACCTCGAGATGACGCAGATGGTGCAAACAAACACGCTGCCCTGACAGCAGAACAAGGTATCTGATCGCGTGATATTGTTGGTCTAGCTGTCACTACTGCCGTGAATTTGCTGTTGCTATGTGCTGTCTGTCCACTTGTCCTCTATCGCCTTTTTTGTCGACTTGAAGCTCTTTGTTGAGACCTGACCACCTCTCCTCTCCCTATCTCTGAAATTGGGCAGCGCCAATTCGCTCTGGTCTTGGCACTGACATGTGATCGCGTCGACCTCTGACTTCAACTAACAGCCTTCTGCCGCTTCTGTCTATCTATACCAGAACATCTACTGCGACATGTCAGGCTCTTCTGCCTCGCTACCGTCACCACTTCCTTCATCCATTCCATCCGCCGTCACCGGTGCTCCTTCCTCGGTCTGCTTACGATGGTACGAGATGACCTTCCAGCCTGTGGGCTTCTCTTCGTCCTTGACGTACTGTGACATTGGAAACTAGACTGGTTAGCCATATTCATATTCCATCGGATCGCCAAGAAACTCACATAGTGGTCGTTCTTCTTCATCGTCACCACCCAAGGCACATTGTCGAATGTCATTGCCCGCAGCCGGAAGTAAGTGTTGTCTTCAATCTGGCTCACCTCCCGCATGAAAGCATCAAGGTCGTTGGTCTTGACACCATTAACGTGGGTGATGAAATTGGTCGGTGCAAGACCATATTGATACGCCGGCGAGCCTCGACTTCGAGCACTGACGTAAATCTCCGAATGAAGCTTGCTGATCTGCTGCCGAACGGCGTGGTGGGGTTTCTGAAGAACGGCACCGCAGAAAATCAGCGCCCGTTTCGTCTCCAGATCCTCCGTAGGCACAGTAGGTACTCGGAGTTGCATCTCGTGGCCATTTCTCACCACTAGCGCATCCAGATACTCCTTGTCGTACATGGTGTCGAACTCGGAAACCCGGGTGATGAGCTGCCCGTTCAGCGTAAGGATAATATCGCCCTCTTGCAGAGACTGTCCATCGCTAGGCCCGTTGGCCGGTCCGCAGTCCACCTTTCGGATGATAAACAGTTGGTGCCGTGAAGGATTGGCTTTTGCCACTTGTTGAATCCACTTCTCCGAGACGCCCATAATGCGCGCCTGCGTCATCTGGATAACATAGGACTCAATGTTGAGGATTCGAAGCCGCGGTATAACGCCAGTCCGGATCTGGTCGATCACGGGCTTGATCATCGAGGTGGCAAGGCCCAAGTGATACTCGGTATCCCGATGGCTGCCTTGCGTTCGTTCACCCATGTACGTAAGCCACAACGCATGCACAACACCATCAGTACCAATGAGAGCGCCTGACGAGCATTGCGATGACAGGCTGGTGTCGACCGTAATGGCATCCAGATTAACAGCTCGATAACGAGGAGCCGCCGCGTTAGCTGGAATACCAACAGCAGTGATGTCTGTCACAGTAGTCTTCGCCATGACCACTCGGTGGTTCTGGTTGAAGCCGACAAAGATTGTGTCTTGGCCTTGCTTCATCATCTCATTCGACAATGTCGCCGTTTTCACCGGCGCATTGACCAGCGAAGGGTCGTATTTGACGATGGTATAATTCGTGAGAGGATGCAAGAATACCACCTTGCCCTCAACCTGGATCGAATCTGCCACTGTGACAGTGATGTCGCAAAGATCGTACGGCACGATGGCGCGGGAAATCACCACCAGGCCCTGCTCGGCATCAATGACCACACCAAAGCCATTTCTCCTTGCCTGCGGGTAACCATCGATCTTAACGGGCATGTAACAAGAGATCTTAACAAATGACCGCACAATATCAGCCGCCGCCGGTTGGTTGACGCCGTCTAGCTGGATAAAGTCGGCTGACTTGGGCTCGAGCGGCCGAGCTGGCACCACCTTGCCGACGTCGTCGAAATCCCAGAGCCCGGTTTCGTCGTTCCGTACCGAGAGTCGCATCTTTGGATGCCAATGTCGGTCAATATGGACGACACTGGTGGCTCTGGTGTGCAAGTCTCTAATATGCCGGTACGAAATGACCACCCGAGCCTTGTCTGGAATGGCTTTCATCACCTCTATGAAGGCATCCAAATTCGGAGTCGGCTTTTGATCAACCGTATCGACGATCCATCCAGAGAGTGCATTCTCCATCTTAAAGGACCCAGCAGCTTCACAGACGTAGAGGCCTTTGCAGGCAATAGCATGGAGCCGCGCTTGTTGGTACGACATGTTGTGGAAGCTGCCACCAGCTACCGTCACGAATCGATCGGGCGTGATGGCATGTAAATCTCCTACATCGAGGGTAAATTCGACATCTTCGCCACCTCTCTGGATCAGCAGCGCAACCTTGCCACCTACGCTCGAGTCCAGGATGCCGTCAAGCTTAGCGAAAGAGGTGAGGAGCTCTCCGTTGACTTTGATGAGGACATCGCCTTCTTGTATTTTGCCGTCTCCGGGGCCCTCGGGTAGCACAATCTCCGCCACAAGCATGCTGTTTTCGGTGGGCGCCGCTTTGCGAACCGCCGACTCCCAATTTGGCGTCAGACCCAGCCGTCTGCAGTCATCGAATGGCTTGAGAATCCACTGTGTCTGAATGGTTCCACGTGTAATCGACTTACCCTGCTGTAGACACTGAAGCGCTCGTTGTGGTCGATCGAGTGGTAGGAAGTAATCCGTCGCCGCACCATCGCCTCTGCCACCAGCCTGAAGTGCAACCGCGTTGCCACCCAGGTTCACTACCGGACTGCCCGAACTTCCTCCTGTTGCTGCAGCGGCAGCCTGGATGTAGTTGGTATTGAAGTCGCTGTAGCCCTCGCCGTACTCGGGCGCATTGCGATCTAGTCGGGAAATCACACCGGAGAGTATACTCAGCTTCTCGCCTGCATCGTTGCCCACCACCCGTACCTCGACACCAACCTTGGCGGACTCGGGTTGAAGTTTGAGGGCTGTGAGGTCCATGTACTTGATGGCCTTTGGGTCGAATTTGAGGATACCAAAGTCATGGACGGGGTCCCGATAGACAGGTCTGACGTCGCACTCTTCATGATTGTCGAAAACGCAGTAACCCCAGAAGGGACCAGCGCATACCACGTGTCGGTTGGTGAGGATATAACCCCGCTCCGCATCGACGACAAACCCTGTGGCTTGACTGCTGGCGCTGAGATCGGTATCGAAACTGCAGGTCTGGCAGAAGTGGATGCTGACCACGCTCTTGATCACCCGCTCGATGGTGGCTTGCCATTCGGGTGAGTCGCCTGCTGCAGCGACACTGTTGACAATGCTATGAGCCTCCTGGTCGCCGCTTACATCGTATACTGAGCCGTTCTGGGGCGTCGCATCTCCGGGAGTAGCGACCCCATTCTCTTGCTTGAGCTGCTTCTTCGGTCGTTCGATCGCTGACACAGGACTGGCGCGGCGCTTCGATCTGACTTCGCCGTTGGCGGACATGCTGGTTGCGAAGGATCGAATGAAGGATGGCTGCGGGATCGCAGGCCTTCTGGCACGAGAGTATGTATGCGCAATGAATTTGGGACAAGTCAAGTAGTCAGATGCGAAGTGATTGCGGGCGCGTAGCAGGAGACTGTAGTTGGAAAAGGTCCGGCAAGAAGTGAACGAAAAGACTCTGGTGGCCCAGGATGCGGCAACCGGTCGCATAAAGGTCTTGATGGAGACTGACGCCTGTTATTTAGGCTCAATGACAGAAAGATAGACGTTATTGTACAAGGTGAGGAAACTATGAGACTGTGATGAAGTCCATCTAACCATGTCAATCTGCGGCGGGTGCAACTCAAAACTCGGAGACACGTTCAAACATTCCCAAGAGATCCCACGTCGATCTCCCGCCCGGGCTAAACTCTTCTAGGTGCCTATAAGCCGAAGCGGCAAGCCCGTAACCACCAACAATACTTGATGCCTCACGAACTCTTGTTGCTCGACTGTGGATGGGAACCATCCTGATCAGCAGGATCGCACCATTTCAGCACTCCGTTCTCGTTCTTGTACTTTCCACAAGAAAAGCTTTTGAACTTGTTGGAGGATTGCGCCCCGTCGTTTCCTCTTGCAACTCCGTATTGCCCGAGATCTGTCGTTCCAGGGTAGTCTATCAAGAACCTCGTGCCCTTGCACGTTTTTTCTGGGAACTGTTGCAGTCAGTCTAGGCCTTCGTATGTTATTGAAATACGCACCAGGTAGCACCAGACTCCTTTGTCAGGACCGAATGACGTTTGATCGCTTTTGCTGCCACCGTCAGGAAAGTCAAAACACTTCCCTCTACAATGATCATCAATGTCCATCTAGATATCAATGATTAGTCAAGATCCATCGCAATCACCTTGGAGCAGCGACAAGACCAGGGAGAGATATCTCGGATCGGTTGACGGGACAAGGCTGGTCACAAACTCACTCTCTGCCATGTACACTCTGTAGCGACTGTCAGTCAAGTTCACACAAACAATGGCACCACTTACGATTAGCTGGCTTCCAGTCATGGCTGGGACAGGTGTATAAACCAATCCATGGATTGTCTCGTGTTGTGAAGGCTGTATCAGGGATTGCCGGAAACGCCCGGACCAGCCGGTATGCGAAAAGTGCCAGTATCACATACGCCCTCATGACCGCCGCAAAGTTTTGGTTCAGTATGCCGCTTGAACGCCATGTGCGCCGCAGGTACTTGATAACCGCGAGGCTTCTAGCAGCTCAAAGACGTTCCATTTTGGCTTCCTTTGTCCACGAACGAGTCCCGAGCGCCGTATTCCAGCTGCAGCTCAATAGATTCAAGGCCATCGATTGGCCTGTTCATGCTGTCCGTTTCCTTGTCTGCTTGCTGACGCACTGTCAATGTTTGTCGGCACGCTCAAATGTGACCACCCGACGACACATCTCGTCTGTATAGGCTCCACGTTTCGGCTTTGTGAAACATTATCGACAGCCATTTGGTCGCTGAGATGAAGACAGGCCAGTTCCGGCTGGGCTTTGTCCATCGAATCGCTGCATCGGGTTTTGCAGACTGGACAATCGGGCTGGTCGACGGCAAGCGGTGGCACGTGGGAAGCAGTCTTTCGATGGCAGACCAATCGCGGGCAAGCACTGCGATGTTGTTTGCTGATGGCGACCCAAAAGGGCTAGGGTGTGGAAAAAGCTCTCATTCCACTAGCTAATGCTATGGCTGATTGTCCTCGTTGAATCATAATGTTGCTCTTTCAAGTTCAAGCCAACGCTCCCATCGGGTCCCACAGATTCAGAACCTTGGGCTCTTGCTTGAGCACATCCTTGACATCCTTCCTGACGTAGGCCGGGTCAACCACAACCTGGTACACGAACTGGTCCATCCATTCGTCGCTCATGACGAAATAGCCCTTGGTCCCTGCGGAATCTCCCCAGCTGTTCATCACTCGCCACCGGACGCTCTTCCCATCGTCAACTTGGACGCCTGTCAAGACCATAGCATGTGTCATGGCACTCTCTCGGGCCTTCAGCCTCTGCGACTTGCTCATGTTGAGACTGATATTGAACGCGAGTTTATAGTCGTACAGCGCAGTGTCCATGATTCCGCTGGAAGAATTGGAAAACTTGCCCACATCAGAGCCAAAGAAAACTGGGAGACCAGCTTTCAGCATCGCCACGGCAGCTTGTTTCATGGTCAACATGTCCACATTGACGTAGGTGATGGGCCTGCCACCCACAACGTTCCCAAGTCGATCGACGGTGAGAAGTTTCATGTATGCGTTGCGAGGATCGTTGACGAGTGAGAACAACGACGAGACGTTGGTCCCCAGAGTCCTGACCGCAGCAGGCGTCGAAAGTTCATTTGCAAAGTCGAGCGGCGTTTTGGAAACCCTGTGAAACTTGTCGTTTGCATCGTAGTACTCCCAGGCAAACTTCTCATCAGGCTTGGGCGGCGGCCCGAGCATCAGAGTGAGGATACAATGCACTTCCTGCATCATCTTGGCTTTGGTGGCCAGGATGGAGGATCGGGTGGCCGACTTCTCCATCGACCTCAAGACCAGAGCGTCTTCCCGTAGCTTAGTGGTGATGATGCTTCCCATGGCGCTCGAATTCATGGCATTGTAGGAGTCAGGGTAGAGTGTCTGCGGAACAAGGCCGTACTTGCTGACCAGGTTCGCAGCCATATCCCACTGCCCACCGTCGTTAACCGGGGCACCGAGCAGCTCTTGCACCAGCCTGCTGTCAAGGTCTTCATCACAAGTGTCTAGAACCTGCTCCAGGAACCAGTTTGCCTTTTCTAGCTTGTCCCAAAAGAACAAATATGCCTGACTGAGCTCAAACTCTTTCAAATTGTGCTTCTTCATCAGTGGGACTCGGAGGACATTGGTGGTCGCAAACAGCCAGCATCGTCCAGAAGACCTCTGATTGGTGACTGGTGCGCCTTCAAACGGTATCTTGACATTAAAAGTCTGGATATCGGGAAGCGTGGCGACCTTTTGAGAGATGATGTTGCGCACGTCGTTCTGCAAGAGGGCGGAGAGGGCGAGGCGATTCTTGGGGTCGGAGAGGAGCTCACGCTCCCATGCTGTCGCGGTAGAAATGGACAAAGAAGGGTCTGAAGAGAAGCCATGATGGTCTTTCTCAGTCTCGACCTCGACGTAATCTCGCTCGATGTCCTGCTGCTTGACCTTATCCTTCATCCGGAGTGTCTGGAGCTGCTGGACTAGCTGCTGCTGCACAGCAGCTTCGTTTGTAGAGGATTGTGAAGCACCCATTCTCGCAGCTTCTGGGTGCGACAAGATGTCAAGGACGACCGGAGCTGATCTAGACAGAGGAACCGGCGTCTCAAGGCAGCAGGAGTAGCGCAGTGAGTTCAAGTCACACGGCCGCGGCTGGCGATAAGATACGCGCATGTGGGGCGCGGGGTTGGTCGCCGACCAATTTGATTGGCTGTTCGTTTCGAGGACATTGCGGGCGACTTTCAGTCTCACTTCACCTTGCCTACCTCCAGTAACTTGCCCAACACAGGTGTCCATTCATGGTCCCATCTTCTCTTGCTCTCCTGAAGGGCACCTTGCTTGAGCGTCGCAAGTACTCGAGCATTCGGCTGAAACAGATCGCGAAGGGCAATTGCCATCTCGTCAGCGTTGCCGAAGCCTCTGCCATTGACCCCTTCAGTCACCAGCTCTGGCCAAGCCGCGAACTTGCTCCATCCGAGCACGGGCAAGCCCGCACCGAACATGTCAACGACCTTCATGGGTAGGTCTACACCACTGCTGCTCGTATGCAGCGAGATGCCAAGATCTGCTGCCGCTAGCAGACTCGCGTAGTCGTGGAAGCTGAGCCAGTCCGTGTAGATTGAGACCTTCTCGAGCATGCCTTGCGCCTTGAGCTTCTTCGTTCTGTCCACATAGTATTGCTTCTGCGACCCTTTGCCCGTAATGATTACGACCAGGTCTGGAAGATGCCGGCTGTCAGCCTGAGCAGACTTCGAGTACTGGCAGAGTGCGTCTAGAAAGATGGAGAAGTCCTCGTCAGGAGTCCAGGACGTAGATGACACCAATAACCTGGCATCACCATCGGCGATGGCACTGTAGTGTTGGACGACTGTGCTGTATCTTTGCAAGAATGCCAAACGCTGCTGTTCGTCTGTGGGTTGGAAAATGCGTGCAGGTCGATCATGCAAAGTCATGATCAAAGCATTTGGACCGAGCTTGCTGCGCAGCACATGGCCCATTGCATTGGTCACCGTGATGTGTGCAAAGGCTAGTCGGCCAAGAAGAAATTCGTACGCGTATGATATCCGTACTAGGGGGTGTTCGTTTCCCAGCTTGAGTGCCAGGATTGAGAATCCAAAGTTGTGCCAATCAATGATTAACCTCGTTCCACGAACCCAGCAGACGGCGGCAGCAATAAACAGCGTTGGAATAGATGGCGGGTTCTGGACTATCATCCACCTTGACGGCTCCGTGCGATAGGCGAGAGCGTTGAACAGGGACCAAACCTGTAATAGCACTTTAAGTGGACCGAAAGCGAGGAACAACAGCTTGTTGCTTGTCTGAAGCCACTTCGGCGGTAATGAAAGCGGTACTATACGCACGTTGACGTTGGCGACCAAATCATTGAGGGGATCAGTGTCTAGCTGTGTCAGTACATAGGTCCTTGGTCAGGGGTAGGAAGTGACTACCTAGAAAACCGATCAACTCGACTTTTGCATCGTAATTCGCAATACTGGCCGCATGATACTGCATGCGGGGACTTCGACCAACGTCACCCAGTACCACTATCTGGACTGAGTTTTGTCCTGTTGTGTTGACATACCTTGACGGCCGGAAAAGCAGTAGCAATAAAATCGCGGTGGTGGTCACCACAGCCAGGCTCATCCAGATCGGCGCCATGTCCAGCAGAAAGTATCAGAGCTCAATACCGCCCTGCCAACCACGAGCCCCATTGCGCCCCAGTAGGTACTCCAGAATCATGCATTATGTTCTATAGGTAGTCCCAAAGGGAGACAAGACAGGGTGTTGAGCAGGCTGAGAAAAGCACATGTGCACATGCCCCACCGCAAGCTGTTGATTGGCTGACCCCTTTTTCTGTACCTGGGCGCAAAGCACAACGCCCCTCTGCACAGCTCAGCACAAGCACAGAGCATTGGCACTCAGGCGCATTGACCTTGTCACTTGGTGCTACGGCTGAACGCCCATACACTCCCAGTCGCAAGACCGAGCCACAGCCCCTCCGATAAATGTCAAATCCACCATAGCTAGACCCTCTGCCGGGGTCCTTACATTTGCTACCGCCGCGGACAGCATGAGTGCAACATTCACACTCCCCATGACCAGCGATTCGTTCGGCCATGCGCACTCGCACTCGCGATCCTCTCACAACCGGCAACGAGCCTCAAGTCGACTTGCTCCTTTCCCTCTGCCTCGAATCCCTTCCGACTCGGTAGTGAGCGACCACACATCCGATGCAATCCAGGACAAGATACATGGCCAGCATGCCAACAACGACGAGCTGTTTCAGGCCAATGCTGTGAGCGCCACTCCCAGCCTTGACACGGCTGGCGACCTTCTACACAAGAGTATGAACCAGTTTGATACGGCGTATTCGCCACCTGCGATAGCATACGAGACGCCTGTGCCGCAAGATGCCACGCGCCCAACACTGGTGCTCCTCGACTTGACTGCGAGATGGCCTCTCATTCACGGCATCGTTACCGATCCAGAGTCAAGGCGCATTTTCTACTTTATGCTGCTCAACTTGGCTTTTATGGTCGTCCAATCAACCTATGGCTACCTGACAGGCTCATTAGGCTTGATCAGCGACAGCATCCACATGTTCTTCGATTGCGTAGCTTTGTTCGTTGGTCTGTGTGCTGCTGTCATGAGCAAGTGGCCACCAAGTCTGAAGTTTCCATATGGCTACGGAAAGATCGACACCCTTGCTGGTCTTGGAAATGGTGTATTCCTCATGCTCATCAGCGTTGAGATTGTCTACGAAGCGATCGAGCGTCTTTTCAGCGGTGCTGATGTTGCTCGCACGACCGAGTTACTCATCGTCAGCACCCTCGGCTTAATCGTGAACTGTGTCGGTATCATGGCCTTCCACGGTCATCATGGCCACGACCACGGGGATGGACATGGACACGAACATGAACATGAACATGGACATGGACATGGACATGGACATGGACATGGACACTCCCACTCCGATTCTCACTCTAAACATGACCATGACCATGCGCACTCTCACGACCATTGCCATACGCACGATCATCATGACCATAAACACGATCATCACCACGACTCCAAGGTCAAGAACGCTTTGCCATCTGCTTCAGCGTCACCAACGAAAGGCAACAAAGCGGCTTCTGGTGCTCACTCCCACGGCGAGAACATGCAAGGCATCTACTTGCATATCTTGGCTGATGCTCTTGGCTCCGTGTCCGTTGTGGTTTCTACCCTGCTGATTCAGTTTACTGGGTGGTCAGGATGGGATCCCATTGCGTCCTTCATGATTGCAGTTCTCATTTTCGCCAGCACAGTCCCACTGGTCAGTTCAACTACTAAAATCCTGTTACTGAGCCTGAATAGTGATATCGAATATAATCTTCGAGACATTCTGGCTGGCGTAAGCAACATTCGTGGAGTCGTGGGGTACAGTGTGCCCAAGTTTTGGTTGGAAGATATAAAAAAGGAGCCAGGCCATCACGGCCACTCTCATGGCCATGACCACCATCACGGTCATGGACACACTCATGGACATCAGCGGAAAACGTCGGATGGCCATAGTCACGAGCACGGGACGGGCGATGAAGATCCCACTGTGTTAGGAGTTATGCATGTCATTGCTGGTTCAACGGCAGATCTGAACGATGTGGAGAGCCGCGTAGGCGCCTACCTCCGTGCCCGAAAAATGGATGTTGTGGTGCAAGTTGAGCGAGAGGGCGAGAGTAGGTGTTGGTGTGGCGGTGGGAAGGCCTCTTGATTTGAAGTACAATGTTAACAACACGCCGAACATGACAACGGGGGATGGTTCAAGCATACTCGGATGCTGTCGACAGAAAGCTGGACAGGATACACGGACACACGATTGATAGAGGGCATGTATGCAAAGCTGATCTTCAACTTCATCCTTCTTTGCGGAAGACTCCAGTAGCGAGGTTGAGTACAATGAAAGTGCTATCGATTCCTCCACGAGGACAATAGGATGTCGGTGAGCCCATCTTGTGCTCATGGCCGTTTGAGACCCACATAGCGATATCAAACAAGGCAGCGCATATCAACGCCAAGACCTGCAAGGCTACCAGCTAAATCAAATTCTTTCGAGACTCACCTCTTTGCTGCTTCACCGTCACTTCACTATTTCTTTCACTCCCTTTCTACACAAGTGAATGTAGCAAATGCCGATGACGTGGCCTCAATATGTCCTTTTACAGACTTCTGCCTGTGCCACTTCTTCTTCTTTGCCGCTCCTACTGTGTAATACTTACGCGCACGCGAAGTCCCATTAACAACGACTATGGATGAGCAGGTCCAGACCATGATGATTTCTCCACACCCGATCACACTACCAAGTAGACCGACATGCAGCAACTGTATCGCGTGGTCTGACGAGCTCGTTGCCGTCGCGGGTGGCGAGGCTGCCCACATCATCGACACCACTAAGGACCCCTGGCGCCTCGAGACGATCCGCGTTAACGAGTTCAACAGAGATGACTTCGAAGTCGACATTGCTCCTCAAGTACGGTTCTCGATCGGCCGTGAGCAGTCCACTTCGACTGTAGTCGCTCTCGCTTGGTCGTCGAAGGGGTTGGGCATCCACAAGCGCCCTGTCCTCGCCATCCTCTCTTCCAGCCACGTCTTGTCGTTCTGGGAATACACAGGCACGAATGGCACCTGGCGCCGCACCTGCATCATCAACAACGTCTCGTTCAGCGGCAGTACTGGCTCGTTCCGCGAACAGGGACGGAGCATCTATGCCTTTGTCTGGCTTCCCCCACTCTCTGTGGGAGCAGAAAACGGAGCATTCGATGGCCAGTTCTTGGCTCTGATTGACGGTGACCAAAATCTCTGGGTGGTCAAGACATCAAAGAGCGATCACACCAGCGAAGGCGTGTGGCAGCTCGGCCCTTTATACCAGCAATCAATCACGTTTTCAAATGAAGGCACCGATCCTCAACCCTCAATTGGCTTCCTTGGCGCGGATGTCCCTACCTTCGACGAGCTACACCATGAAGAGTGGAAGAACGTCTACGATGATCAAGGCAATGCCATCATGTCCCGCATACGCCTGATCTTCAGAAAGCAGAATTACCGTCCAGATTTCCGCGGTCATCTCTCAGCAATGCTTACTGTCGAGCCCGAAGAAGGCAGATATGCCCTGAACAGTCGGATGAGTGGATTCGCCCAGCTGCATATTCCCGACTTCTCCCCCCTAGATTTTGCGGGTGTCATTGCAGACCCTGCCAACAGATACGACAAAGACTTCAAACTCCACGGCCATTACGCTGTGCGCTGGATGGGCTTTGCACGATCACCAGACGATACCATGATGGCAGCATGCGTCTCCTTCCACCCTTCTGCTGGTCTCGAATACTCTCAACCCAAATCCGAGCGGAGCACGCTACTCGTAATACCCACTGGCACGATGGCTCCTCCTAAAACCGCCATCCCTGCTCTCTCCGATGTGCAGCTTGAGACGCTGCAGACTCTCGCCCAGCATGTTGACATAGACTCCATCACAACAGACACAGATATCAAAGTCATCCTAGTCGCAGTTGCCATGATCCACAAGCACTTCTATACCAACCTCGGCCTTATGAGTTGGGCGACTTCCGCATTAGAGCTCGTCAAGCTCGTGGACTCGGAGGAGAACACATACTTTGAAGGATCTCCAACCGAGATCTGCGAGATCTGCCGTGCATATGGTACCGGTACTATTGCTTTCGGCGACGACACTGCAGTGGGCGTTTGCGAGACAGGTCACAAATTCACCCGCTGCGGCATCACGTTTCTCTGCATCCAGGATCCTGGCATCTGCAAGTACTGCACCAAATGCAGTCGTGCATTCCTGTGCATCGAGAAGCTCGAGTCTGAGGACGGCCCAAGCGTCACCAAGACCTTGCTGGAGACCTGTGGCGGCGGTCTGTGTCCCTACTGCCAAGGCTATTTTCGGGACTGAGGCGGGCGGATGATTACACGCGAAACAAGTGCTACGAGGATTTCTAACAGCAAGGACGACACAGGAATCGAAATTAGTATTCGCAACATCGAAGGAAGGTCAAGACGTCGAAAAAGGCTGGATTCTCCAGCCCATTATTGCTGATAGCTGTGCTTGAGGTCGACGACGCCTGCGGCCATTACCGCAAACGGCAATATGCTTTCAGCGAGATGATACGCTCTGAAGGGCTACACACCGCATGCGATGGCGTTGGATCAGATCACAATCAATATGACTTGCAGCCGCCCATCGTGTTCGCCTTCTCCATTCCTTCCATTGCTAGCTGACTATGGTTCTCCAGCCAACATCCCCTACCCGTAGATACTCCGACTACCGTCGCGCTGTGCCTATCAGGCGCAAACGCAGTCCGTCCGCTACCCAAGCCAAGAAAGCAGCTGACAGCATTGCATCGCAAGAACGCAAGGACCCTCCAGCACACCCAAATAAAGAGACACACTCAGTAATGCCAGCTGGACCGGCTACCGACAAGCCAGCCACCAACGCTACACCATCCTCCTTAACCGGAGCACTCTCCCGCTCTGGCTCTCTCACCGACCGCCTCCGCTCCTCTTGGAAGGGAGGCGTGTCTTCCCTCCTGAAGAAATCCCAGGACAACGTCCGGGCCGAAGACATCGCCAAAGCCAAAGCCAGAAAAAGCAAAATGCCCAAGCCCCAGGCCCAGCCCAAGAATTCTCACGGTTCCGGCGTTTACCACTCCAAGTTCAAGCTCAAGGGCAAGGACCCTGTCGAGCTCCCTACTTCCTCCTCCACCAGCAGGCTGGCAAAGCGTAAAGCCACCAACGACAGCAAGCACACCAACAACTCGAGTATTATTGATTCAGCCTACTCGCCAAACTCCAAGCAGTTCCGAGTCAGCAATAGTGCACCCCCTGCGCCTCAGAAGAGCACGGAGCAGAACACATCAAGTACTCCGCAGCAAGGACCAAGTGCTTTCGATGATAGCAGCAGCGACGAGGATGAGGACGAGAGTCCAGTCCTGCAGAGGGCCAGCAGCGTGAGTGTAGGTAAGCCGATGCTCGTCCGCCACACGAGCAACGCGGCCGCAAGCCAGTCTGTCAGGAGAGAGCAGAGCCCAGCACCAAAGACAGGATTGTCAAAGGAAATCAGTGCGGACAGGGAGACGCAGGACATGAAGCAAGGGGCTGAGGCAGCAAGCAAATCCGACGAGGTCCTGACGGCCGAGCTGGCCATGGATCGAGAGAATGCCCTTCGCCTCCTCGAAGGTACACCTACATCAAGTGTCATTGAGAGTAAGCCCCTCCCCACGACACCAACTATCACCGCGTCGCAAATCTCTCCATCGCGAGTCCTGGTTGCCTCGCCGGCGACCTACCACGATGCCACCCCACAAAGCACGCCCTCGACAGCGTCCACGGCCGCCAACAACCAGCAAGGCACGCCCTTCACAACGCCGCTCTCTCCTCTCTCAGCCCTATATTCCAACCCGGTGTCCCCAAATACAGCCATCAACAGCTCGCGCCTCAGCCGCACCCTGTCAGCCCCAACACCACCAAGCCGCAACCCAAACCGTCGAGTCACGATCCGCCCTAGCGACCTCATTATCACCCACAGTGAGCACGACCACCGACTCTTCCGCGACAGCATTATCACCACCCCCTACCCCGAGCGTGGCAATGGAGGTGCCGACGGCAAGAGCAACAATCGGCTAAGCGACATCCCCGATGGTCACGAAGGGCGACCCTCCAGCGAAGATGGCTTTGGCGGCGACATTGGCAGTGAGACGCTCCGGCCCAGCACGGCGGGCGAGGGTGGGAAACCTTACGTGCAGCTCCTCGATCCGATACCCACTTCAGCGGCGATGTCCCCCCACGGTCCAGGTGACCGCGACCGCTTCCCGTCGCTCACGAGCTCCGAGTCCCTCTTCCTCACGCTCTCCATCGGAGGCCACCCTTCTCTCATCACAACCGTGGAGATCGAGGTCCCCAACAGCACCACACAGCTACCCTCCACTCCCGCCGCGCTCTCGCTCCGCAAACACACGCGCCGTCTGCTGAACGCCAGCTCGACCACCCCAGCAGACGTCGAGGCCGCCACCCCCTTCGACGACGCCTCCCTCTTCACCGCCCTCCGCGCCCACTACAACACGCACCTCCTGCCCTTCCCCCGCCGCCTCCTCTTCACCCGCACCCTTTCCCACGCCACCCTGGCCCCCAACCTCGACCTCGACGCGACCTCTTTCCTCGCCCACCTCTCCACCCCCTCCATCGGCGCCCAGAAAACCGCCTGGCTCCTCTGGCTGCGCAACCACCAACCCTCCCACCGCCCCACCAGCGCCAACACCACGGGCACCACCTTCAGCAAATCCCACCACCACCACGCACGCAACCACAGCATCCTCTCCCACCTCAACTCACCCACGGGCAGCACCCACACCCACACCCACAGCAGCACGCCAATCTACCCACGCATGCCCTTCCAGCGCGGCGGCAACGATTCCTTCTCCTCCACAACCCCGCCACACATAACGCTGCACTACCGCTTCAACATCCTCACCATCTCCCTCGCGGCGCTCTTGAGCCTCCTTCTAGGCGCGTTGGCCATCGTGTTGTGGGTCTTGGTCGGCGTGCCGGGCTTGGGCATCGGAGAGGAGGGGCGTGTCACAGGGGCAGGGAGGGTGTATACTGGTGGTAGTGGTGGTAATACTGGAGGGGGAGGTGCGAGTTATGGGGGTTGGCACGTGGATAGTCAGATGCGGGTGTTGACGGCGTTGGTGCTGGGAGGGGGCGTGGCGGGTGGGGGCTTGGTGGTGGTGGGGCTGTGGGTTTTGGGGGGGTGGGTGTTGCTGTAGGCAGGGAAGGGGGAGGGGATGTTTGAGGAGGTGGGAAAGGGGGGTGGGGAAATGAATTATGGAGGGCTATCCTTTCTGGGGGGTTCGTGGAGGAGGGAATGGAGTTTGATACTGCAGCAGAAGGTTCTTGTCGAGATCGGTTGGGAACTGGTTTGGGATTTCAGACCCAGCGAGCTGCATTGTTCAGCGAGAGCATAACACCAGTTTTTTAGTCAGGCGTTACAGTTACTAAGTGGGCATTGATCATCTCTGCTGATCGTGCGAGATATCGAGTGAAGAGGGATATTGAGATTTCATAGAAACCACACAAGGAGCGGCGTCAAGGCATCCCTTATGGTTGCTAGAGTACGCGAGCCAGAACAATCAAGTCATACTCATCTTAATTCTCCATATGAGCTCTTGCAGATAGGTTTCTATCTACGCATGGCCACGGCAGTAGTAGGCGCTCCTGTCCAGACTCATTGACTCTTACGCATCTGGCTCGCCTGAGTTGCGAATCGTCGCCCATAGCCCAAACGCTTTCCTGCATCGCAGCTCGCTATCATTGCGACTGATCAATCACTATCATCAGAAAACCGAGCAGTGCTCTCATCCAAGCCATCATCCATTTCCTCATCAGAGTCTCCAAAATCGTACTTCACGGGCTTCTTGACCTGCGCTGCACGTCTGCCAGGGCGCGAGGCCGCGGGCTTGACATCACTGGCACCGTCAGACTGCGCCGGCGAATCCAAGATATCGTCCACGAGGTCATCTGCCATTTCGTCGTCAGAATCGATGATTTGCTTCTTGGCCAAACGCTTCGCGTAAGCTTTAGCGACAGGGCTCTGCTCAACTTTCTTCGGGGCAGTCTTTTTGACGGGAGCCTTCTTCGGCTTGGGTTCCACGCTCCCAGCCTTCTTGGGACGGGCTGGAGCCTTCTTAGCCTTGGGTGGAGCAGGTTTGATCTCGTCCTCAGAAACGTCAAACACCGAGTTCTCCTTGTTGGTAACAAGAATTGATCGACGGGGTGATGATTGAGGAGCAAGAGCCTTGTAATCGGTATCGTCGTCAGAAATGCTGTCCGAGATCTTCGCCACCGGCTTTGATGGAACCTTGAAGTCGTGACTGCTGCTTGGCCGAGATGTCGAAGTAGAGAACATTGGCTTGCTCTCGGACTGGCTTGCAAGACCCTTGACGAAGTTTCCCAGATCCGCGAGTAGTCCGTCGCCGTTATCACTGTCACTATCCAGATCCTCAACAGCATACTTGGTCGGCTTCTTCGTAGCAGCGCGTGCTGTACGAGCAGCAGGTTTCGTGGCGACCTCATCGTCCGACTCGTCCTTGGGCTTGGGCTTGTTGGCCTGTGAAGAAGGTCTTGAATCAACGTCCGCGGGGGTCCCTGCTCGACTCGTAGAAGCAGATTCACTTGCACCATCCATGTTAGCAAGCCAGCTCTCACGAACAGTCATTTTAGACCTAGAGGCAGGGGTATCATACTTGATCTTCTTCACCGCGTTAGCCATTGGCTGCCCCTTCAACATCTCTACCACAGACTTCTTCGGTGCGGTGGCCTTCTTTGGCTTGACCTCGAAGTCATCGTCGTCAGACTCGGCATTCTTCCGCTTCTTACCGGCAGGCTTGCCAGTGTAGAACTTCTTGGAAGTACGACGGCCACTGCGAATATCACGTTGTCGCTGCTTCTCCTCGTTCAGCTGTGCATGCCACTCCTCAACGAACTCGTCGAGATCAGCAATCCACAGATCTTGGATAGTCTTCTTGTTAAGGAGATCAACTTCAACCTCTTTATCGCCGATCTGTTGAGTGAGCTTGTCGACGCGTTCCTGGGTCAAGGACCACAGAGGCATGCCGAGCAAGTAGTCGTAAGCACTGGCTTTGACATTGACGTCGTCATCACCATCGTTGTCCTCTTCGACAACGTCCGCCTTCTCGCCCTGTTTCGCAGCATCAGCGACTTTAGGGAAAGCCTCGAAACCAAGCTTCTGAAGTTCGGCGATCAGGACAGCCTTCTTCTTCTTGGAGATGCTCAGCTTGCCATCGATGATCATTTTGATGAAACGAGCTTGGTTCGTCAGCTTTCGTAACTCTTTATTCATAGTCTCCAACAGGTACGCTTTGCGCTTGGCATAAAGCTGGAGACGGTAACTGTAGAACTCCTGCATGATGTCTTCAACGGCGTTGTACTTGGTGATACGGCCCTCGGGATCGAATGCAACAAGGTTAGATGTGGCGATGCTCTTGCTCAGCTTGAATCGCTCCTCCAGACCTTCTTTCAGTGCTTCGCCCATGGACTTGTCGTCCATCTGAATGATGAAGTGGACATCCTTGTGGTTGTTGTAGTCCTTGTAGTCTTTGATGAAAGATGGTGTCTTCTCGGCCTTGATGATCTCTTCAAGTTTGTCCTTGAAGTCCTGTGTCCACATGCGAATGGGGAGTTCGGTAACCTCAACTTCATTGTCGCTCGTCTGCTCAATCTTGCCGCTGAACTTGTAGCGATCAGGGGCCGTCTGGCTGACCGTTCCCTTGAAGCCACGGAACCATGGCTGCATAGGTACCCAATCTTCGCCCTGCATTCGGCGTTTGAGATTGTCGACAATGTCAACAGGGTTGTAGTTGGGAATTGAAGAGCTCCAACCCGTGCCAATACCATCAGCGCCATTGATCAACACCATGGGTACCACCGGAACGTATATTTCAGGCTCAATGGTACGGTCGTCATCAGTGTTGTAAGTGAGCAGGGGCTCATCAGCTGGATGGAAAAGCTTCCGTGCGAACGGCGACAAGCGAGTGTAAATGTAACGGGCGCTGGCAGCATCGGCGCCACCTTGAAGCCTACTACCAAAATTGCCAGATGGCTCAAGGCAATTGATGTTGTTGGACCCAACAAAAGTCTGGGCCAAGCCGACAATGGTTTGCTGCAAGGAAGTCTCGCCGTGCTGGTAAGCAGTCAGACCAGAGACGATACCGGCAAGCTCGACAACCTTCATGTCCTTCTTGAGGTTACGCTTGAAACAAGCATAGAGGACTTTGCGCTGACCGGGTTTGAGGCCGTCAATCATAGAGGGAATCGACCGTATGTTATCAGCCATGGAGAACAAAATGAGCTCCTTGTTGATAAAGTCCGTGTAGGTGATCTTCAAGGACGAGTGGTCCAGGAAGGTACCTGGCTTGAATTGACGGAGCCATTCTTTACGCTCGTCAGCCTTCTTCTTGGAGAAGGCAAGATCGATCAGTTGGGATTCCTCGTCCTTCATAACATGGAACTCCTTGTGATGCTTGTCGAGGTCATTGAAGTACGACTGGGCATCCTCTGTGGTACTGGTACCCAGACCCTTGTAGTACTTGTGCTCCCAACCTTTCTCGTTCTTGTGGGCTTCCTTCCACGCCTCATACTCTGGCATGGTGAAGAAGGACTTCTGCTTGAGGGGTTTCTTTGGATCGCCCTTGTAGACCTTCACAATAGGCGTGATAAACTCAACCAGAAAGCCGGGGATCTTGAGCAGACTGGGGAATTGTACTTGCAAGAAATTGATGAGCAGACCTTTAATGTGGGACCCGTCGTGATCCTGATCAGTCATGATCATGAGATGACCATACCGAAGGCCTTTGGTGCTATCATAGACCTTCTTGTGTTGGAGGCCAAAGAAGCTCTTGATGTTCTGAATCTCGGCGTTTTTCGAGATTTGATCGATTGATGCATCACGAACATTGAGAATCTTTCCACGAAGGGGAAAAACACCGAAATGATCAGGACTCACGACCGAACGACCAGCCATCGCCAATCCTTTGGCCGAGTCACCCTCAGTGAGAATTAGAGTGCAAAGATGTCCGTCCTTGGTGCCGGCCTTGTTGGCATCAACCAGCTTGGGGTTATTCATGCGGCTGCGCTTGCTACCATCAGACTTCTTCAAGATCTGATCAGCCTTCTGCTGGGCAAAGTGCAGAATATTGTTGATAACCTCGGTTTTAGCGATCTTCTTCATGAAATCGTCCGAGATTTGGAACTTGCTGCCAAATTGGCTAGGTTTGGTCGTAAGTTGCTCTTTGGTCTGAGAGGTAAAGGCAGGGTTCACAATGAGGGCGTTGACGAAGAGGAAGATGTGATTGCGGATCTGGTTGGGCTTCAGCTGAGCGCCACCCTTGTTCTTCTTCTTGACGATGTCAAGCAGCTTGTTGACAATCTGATCAGCAATGTAGTTGACGTGGGAGCCTCCAGAGGAGGTGGCGATTGAGTTGACGAAGGAGACTTGCTGGAAGGAGCCATCTGACACAGCAAAGCCGACCTGCCATCGATCTTTGGCATCCTTGTCCTTGGGGGTTTCAAGGATGATGTTGTTGTTATCGTTGGCAGCCTCGTCGCCACGCTCGCGCTTGATGGCCTTGGTGTAGAGCTCGCAGTACTTGTCAAACTTCTGCACCGGAACGAGCTTGCCGTTGAGGTAAACCTTGACCCCCTTGACAGTGCCAGCCAGATCGTAGACGCGGCGGACGAACAGAGATTCGAGGTCGTCATCCATTGCATCCATACCGAACTTGCTGAAATCAGGGGTGAAGGTGATACGTGTGTAGTCCTCGCCTTTCTGATCCTCTATTTCGGCTTCGCTCATTTTGGACATGTTTGCACTCCAGGTCTGGGTGTATCTCTTCTTGTGCTTCGCACTGGCAGTCTCGACGGTGAATCGGGTGCTGAAAATGTTGCAGAGTTTAGCACCATAGCCGTTGCGGCCACCGGTAATCTTCTGCTCGTCGTCATCGTAGTTGGAACCGGTCAGCAGATGACCGAAGATCATCTCTGGGATATAGATCTTCTCCTTGGAGTGGATTTCGATAGGGATGCCTTTGCCGTCGTTTTCGACACTGATTTGGCCTTTCTCTCGATTGATCTTGACCTTGATGTAGCTCTGATTCTTGTCGTTCTGCTTGTTATCGGCCGCATTGACCAGCACTTCATCGAAGATTTTGAAGATACCAGGCACGTATGAGATCTCGCGAAACTCCATGCAGTCTTGTTCCTGATTGAAGACCCACATTTGTCGGTCGCTGCGCTCAACAGATCCAATATATGTGTCGGGTCGTTTGATGATGTGCTCGAGTTGGGTGAGCTTCTGGTATTGCTCAGAGACACGCTTGGCCTTTTTTTTGGGCTGGGGCGACTCGGGATCCATGGCGATGGCTTCGTTGACAAGATCGCCGAGAGGTTTCTTATGGGACTCCTTGACAGGATTGGAGGCCTTTGTAGTGGTCTTCGTGGCGGCCTTCGCGGTAGTCTTTGGTTTCTTCGCCTTTGGTGGGGTATCAGCTAGAAGAGACTCATCGCTGAAATGGTCTTCGGATTCCGCGCCGTCATCGTCCCCGTCCGACTCTTCCTTAGATCGTTTTTTGGGGACGACGGTCTTCGGCTTGGAAACAGGTTTGGCTTTGGTGGTCGCAGGTTTTTTAGCCGCAGGTTTGGAGGCGGGGGCTTTCTTCACTGCTTTTGGCTTCGACTTCTGCAAACGTCAGCGACAGAGATATATGAATGGACATGAGCATGTGCAAGCACATGCACGTGTGACTATCTTACCGGCTCAGGCGCGAAGTCGGAGCCATCGTCCACGTCGAAGATCGAGTCGTCCATGGTTGCTAGGGGTTAGTAGAAAGGGAAAACGAACGAATCAAGAAAGCTGCAGCCGCTGAATAGTGTAGGACTTCACAGAGACAAAGCGGCGCTCCATTCGGTGCAGCACGAGCGAGCAACAGTGATGCAGCAACTACGTGTTTACATTATCGACGAAGTTATCAACAAGGCCGCCGCGTGAGATCGCAGACCGCGGTCGCGTCGTCAGCCAATCAAAACTCACCAACTCCGAGTTAGCGCTGCTGCCTGCCAAGACCTCCCTCGTCCAAATCGTCTCGAGCGTGTCTGACTTCTGACAATGGACGTGTCTCGCACTTGGACAACCACCACAAAGATGTACAGAAGATCGAGAACAGTATGGCGTAGTCAGACTCATTGTTCGTCACAACCATTCCCTTGGCCTTACGGTTTATGACGTCGACAGACCTCTCTCAAATGCCATCCGTAACCCCCTAAACAGTAAAGCCTTCTCGCGGCATGTCGCTACCAAGTCATTATTGCTGTAGCCTGGTGACATGGTATCTATTGAGAGATGAAGGGCACATTCAATACCTCCAGCACTAGGCTCAATACGACAGGACCGCAATATCGGCACGTCGATCTAGTGGCTTGATTGGCGCAATGGTCGTGGAGCACAAACCCACCCCCTGTCGTTTCGGGACCGCTCCCCCTGGTGCGCTCGAGAACCCTTCCTCTTTGTTTCGGCCGCACACCCCTCCTTCGTGTCCTAGACAATGGGTCTGAGTCTGAGTCTGAGTTGAAGTGTTGCCCTTTCCACTCTTTCGAGTTTTGGATACCGACATCCACTCGCATGTTTGCCGGCAAGCATCGCGAGCAGTCTCTCATTGAACCAAGTACTTGATACGCCGTCCTAACTAAGGGGTCCTCATTCCTTTGGCCCAGCAACTCGGCGGTCAGCTGCATACCGCACTACAGTCCTTTCACTATGGCAGACGTCCAGCATGACGTCTCCGATATCCAGCCAGTGGATATTCCTCTCCCCATGTCAAACACTCATTCTATGATTACTGTCCGCCTTTCAGACGCACAGTCCGCCAGCAACGTCACCCTTGCCGAGGAGCAGACCACCGAGTCATCCCATACCAGCGTCGACAGCAGACCGAGAAGCCTCAGCATAATATCATCCAAAAGCTCTAGGAGTTCTAGACCACCCTCGGACGGCTCGTCGAGTCCTGTCGACTGGGAAGAGCTGGAAAAGGAAGAAGAGCAGGAGCCGAAAGACAATGCCACAGACGAATCCACGGCATTGTTATTAGCTCAGCTAGACAGCATCAATGCTGCGCTAAGCGCAGACCCCAAAGCTGCTGCTCCCCGCAAACGAGAACGCAAGAACACACGGCCGCCGTCGGTTCAACAGCTGAAGAGATTGGTCGACGGCCCGCAACCGGCATCGCTGCGATACTCAATGCTGCCTGCTCCTGCCATGACTGAGCTCGACTTCTGGGCAGCTGTTGTGCAAGACTACAATCAGGCCGTCGAAAGACTACCAACATTAACTGTCAACAAGATCAGAGCCGGCATTCCTCCACCTCTACGTGGTCAGGTATGGCCGAGTATTGCTGGAGCTCGGGACAGCACCCTCCATGCCGAATTCCAGAGGCTTGCGAACGAGCCCAGTCCTTACGATGGACTGATTGGCAAAGATGTTGGACGGAGCTTTCCCAATGTCGAAATGTTCCGCGAGAAAGATGGCGAAGGTCAAATCATGCTCGGTCGCGTCCTGAAGGCGTTTTCTCTTTACGACGAGGCTATTGGATACTGTCAAGGTCTCGGCTTCGTGGTGGGCCCGTTGCTAATGCACATGAGCGAGCCTGAAGCATTCTGCATTCTGGTCCGACTCATGGAGCACTATGATTTACGATCGTCCTACCTCCCAGATCTGTCTGGTCTTCATCTGCGCATCTACCAGTTCCAGCAGCTGCTCACCCGCCACCTGCCCGCGCTTTCCGCTCATCTCGATCAGCTCAACATCGAGCCATTGTACGTCTCACAGTGGTTCTTGTCATTCTTCGCCGCCACCTGCCCGCTTCCGATGCTGCTTCGGATCTACGATGTCATCTTGTCGGAAGGTGCTGCCGAGACGCTTATGCGCGTGGCTCTTTCGCTGATGCAGCGGAACGAGCAGAAGCTGCTTTCTTTTACAGAGTTTGAAGATGCTATGCAATTTCTACTGTCAAGAAGTCTATGGGATACCTATGCCCAGCACGCTGACGACATGGTCCAAGACTTTGTGTCGTTAACTTGCCTTGTCAGTCAAGAATCCCTCAAGTCTCTGGAGCAAGGCTTCAGGCAATCACAGATCATCACACCGCAGACATCGCTGAAGTCTGCCGCCGTCTCACTACTAGGACGCTTCTGGACTGGAGCGTCACACACTTCGACAAAGTCTGCGAACCTCAGTCTGAACATCCCAGCTTCTAATGCCCTCCGCAAATCCTCTTCTGGTCAGAGCCTGACCTCAACCCTCAACTCCATCGGCACTACCAACTCTGATGCCAGCACTCTGGCCACTGAGATCTCGGATGATGGCCCGGCGAAACGAGCACCTTCTTTCACTGATCAACAGGGGCCGAGCTCATCTGGTGACCGCGACCTGCACCAGCAAATTGAAGAACTTCTCACGGCCCTCAGTCACCTGCAAAAGCAACAAGTTGACATTACCCGAGATCTGCAGAGAGAACGGGAAGAACGTGCCGAAGACGTGACAGTCGCTCGAGAACTCTTGTCTCGCCTACGAACCCAAACTGAGGCGATACATGAGCTGGCCGGCGGAGACCTTTCCGAAGATGACAGTAGCACTATCGAGCTGATGGACAAAGCAGCTCTGCAATTCAATAATTCCGAAGGTAACCGCCAGTCCATTATGGCCTCCAAGCACCAACTGCGCGAGACTGCTGAAGATTGGCGTACCAAATATGATGCCGAATGTGACCGGTCACGGGAACTGCAGCAACAACTTTCGGACCACGAAGCTGAGCACAAGGAACTCAAAGAGCACCTTCGAGAAGCGCGAGCGCGCATTCAAGACGCCCATCGCGAGAAGCAGCGTCTTGAGCGCACCGTCCAAGACCTCCGTTCTCGCGTAAGTTCTGTGCCAGACTCTCCCTCCTCCGACCTCTACACTCCTGTCATCACGCCCAGCGTGGAATTTCCAGAGCTTAAGATGCCACCGTCCAAGCCCGGCCTGCGTGAGTTCAAACTCGGCAAGTCTGCCACGGACACGGTAGTCCGCAACTCAGGCGTATTCTCCAAGCGAAGCAGCAGCCTGAATGCACATGCTGTGGCAACCAACGCCAACAACACCGACCAACACGGTTCGAACGACGCGCTGCTCCTCGAGCTCGTCAACGCCAAAACGGCCGAAGCTGTGGCACGCCAGGAACTCGAGGAAACCAAAGGAAAACTCGACGCCTTGCGCAAGATCCTGGGCGGGCCAACCACCAGCCCCATCACGCGCGTTGTCTCGACATCGGAATCGCCCAACTCTATCTCCCCATCAACCACCCCGAAGGAAGCATCCAAATCTGTGCACGCAGCGAGCGCAAGCACGGGTGGAGGCGGCTTCTTCAGCTCGTGGGGACGAAAGGGCTGAATAGACAACTAGCGACGTCGAAGAGCTCGGGGGAAAAAAAGGAGCAGCAGGTTCCGCATGGGCGATTTTGGCACTGGACTTGGACATGTCTATCGATCGAAGCCATACTCTTGAGCGAACCTTCACTCACTCTCCGTCGACCAACTTACTTTTCTGATTGCACCTTTTTCTGATTTCTCACGACAAAAAGCGGCAAACACATGTCAATGTCAAATCGTTCTTTGATGAAACCAGAACCATTACCATTGTCTCGATCTCGAGGGCACGTATAGGCGGGCGGGCAGGCAGGCAGGCAGGCAGGCAGGCGTATCATAACGGGAAATGTGCGCGAGAGAAGATCGCCTGATGGGCGGCTGGCTGGCTGGCTTATATAGCAACCATAGCTAATAATGGATGGAGGGCATAGGAGCCCCCAACATCCTTTTCTTCTTCTCTGACAAATTCCCCCTGGGTTTTCCCTGCACCTACTGCTACCTCTACTACCTCTCTTACTACTGACTAGATAATCCATCAACAAACCCGTTCATTCGTTCACATACATGATGGCTGGCTGGCTGGCTGGCTGGCATGAGCACATATAGATAGATAGAGAAAGAGAATGGGGGGGGGGGCCTTTCATCTCCACATCTCCTCATCTCACCCACCACCAAGCCCCGTCTTCTTCGCCCTCTTCGCCCTCCCACTAAACCTCCCCCAGAACTCGACCAGTCTCCCCCTCTGCAATTCCGGCTCGTAGATGAACGTACCCAGCACGCTCTCCAGCGCCTGTACCTGCCTTTCCAATTCCCTTTCCCTTTCTCTTTCCTCCTCCTCCGAGCCCTTCCACGCCTCCATGTCCATGTCCCTGTCCCTGTCCCTGTCCCTGTCCCTGTCCCTATGCACTTCCCCCTCCCCTTCCCGATCCCTTTTCCCCTCAATCTCGATCTCCCGCTGGCCATGCCCCTGCCCCTCCCTCTCCGAGTCAGACTCAGATTCAGGGTTCAAATCCCACAACGCCATCTCAGCAGCGCAAACCCGCACCAATCTCCCAAACCAAGCGTGGTCCGCCGTGTGCGGCCGCGCCGTGAGGCCGCCCGTGACGGCGACCCAGAGGAGGGCGGGGAGGTGGGCGCGCCAGTTCGAGAGGATGGTTCTGTAGGGCTGGTGGAGGAAGTGTGGCTGTGGCTGTGGCTGCAGCCGCCCTGATTGGTGGGGCTGGCGGCCATGGGATGCTGTTTGGCGCGGTAATACAGACGCGAACGCGAAGCTTGACGACGAGGACGAGGCCGATGAGGAGGCTGAGGGTCGACCCTCCAGCACAGCGCGCAAGCGATATGCTGCCTTGCTGGCGCAGCGCCGGCCGGAGTCAGGGGAGCGGGTGAGTGCGACGGCGAAGACGAGAGCGATGCGCAAGGCTTCGTTGAGGAAGTTGTCGGATCCCGGAAGGGCGGAGGTTGGCCCGCCGGCCTCACCGTCGTTGTCGTCGTTGTTCGTGTCATAGGCGAGAAGGCGATAGCCCAGGGCGACGTGGCGGCGGGCGGCCCAGCGGAAACGGGCTGGGCCACTACTGCTGATGCCGTCGTAGGCCGCATTGGTGGTAGTGTCTCGGGCTTGTGCGTGTGCTTCAATGTATTGCTCGAAGCGCAGAAGGTCAGCTAGCTCTTGTGCCAGTTGATGGAGGCTCGGCGCGAGGATGCCGGCGGTGACGAGTGGGATGAAGCCAGTGGCGAGACGGTCTTTGGTGGTGCGTCGGAGCAGGGCGACTATGAAGCGGATGTCTTCGGGACCGGCGCCGGGGTCCCAGTCTAGAGCGAGGGCAGGCTTGGTCAGGCGTTTGAGCGAGGCGGACCAGTGCAGAAGGTTCTTGCTTTCGATGAAGTAGTCGCTGAAGGTGGTGGGGCCGCCGAGGACGTTGATCATGCTGCGAGGAGATGTTAGTTTGAGTCGGAAGGAAGGGGACAGAGAGGGAAGCTGTGGAGGAGCGTATTGCAGTATGTATAGCCAGTGTGACATGGTAGAGGTCATGGTAACCTTTAATCAGAGTTCGTCAAATGACTTACCGCAGCATAGCGTCAAAGTGTGGAATGGCTGCCTCATATGCATCGGTGAAGTATGCCACTATCATCAAGCGATGCACAACAAGGACTGTATTGTGGGTGATGGGCCCGGAGGCAAGTGAGGCTCGAAGCGATTCGATAGCGCGGGTTTTGAAGTACAGCGGAATGCGTACATGGTCGACTTCGCTGACGCGGAGAGAGGGGAGGAAAAGTCGGCCTTCTCGGACCAGCATTTGTATGGAAACGGCGGCTAGGAGACTGTATAGGTGCGAAGGGGCAGACATGGCATCCTGCATCTCAGCGTGAATGGCGGGAGCGTGGCGCAGCCGCGAGAGGGGTAGGCCACGTGTGTCGTGATAGAACTTCTCGCGCATGAGGACGGTCGTCCAGTATTGCATGAGTGGTGGCGCCCATTGCGAGAGGACGGAAAGGGGACCGAAGGAGGAGGTAGCGAGCAGAGGGTGTGGAAATGAAGAGCGCAGTGGGCTATTGAGGGCGATTTCGAAGGCATCCCGAGTGTATCGGTCGTCGATGTTGGAGAGGGAAGACAAAGTGGAGGGGAAGGTGCCAGGTCTGCGTCTGTAGTGGTGGACCTGCAGGCTGTCATCTGTGCCGGCCTCGAAATCTGGGCGATCAGATGTGGTGTTCGCTTCGGCATCCAGCTGCAGCGAGCCAAGATTGGCGATATCTGAGTGGCTTGGTTCTGGGAGGTGAAAGACTAGGTTTGGAAAACGGTGTCTGAGAGCAGCAGTCGGACTTTCGGTCCCCTGGTCTACACATGCATCGTTCTCAGCCTGGCTAGAATCCAAGTAGACCTCGAGATGCTCGTCTTTCTTGTCCAACCGACGTCTAGCAAAGTATTGACGCTGTACATGGCTCTGCTTTTCTCGACCCAGGTCCCGGTCCTTGCTAACACGAGTGACCGTCGTGGCATCCTCATTGACGAAGAGAAAGTTTGAGCTGGGCGGGCCTTTGCGCCTCGTGCCCTTTGATGGCATCGCTTGCTATAGTCGGAGGAAGGCTTCGAGAGGCTCGAGCTTGATGTGTATCACAAGTGCTTTTGCTGAGTCAAAGATTGCCGACCATATGCTTTAGATAGACCTATCTCTGTTTCGGGTTAGTTTGTAGCTGGATCGACAGTAAATGCAGCTGAGTTTCCTGTTCGAGTCAAAGGTGGTGATGCTGGTCCGTCGTTGGCTGATGCGTGCGTGAGTGTTAATTAGCAGACGCAGGTCCGAAATGTCAGGAACGATCACTTGTGAGGCCGTGTATAATCATGGATCGTCTACGAGGAAACGGTTCGAGTTGAATACCATTTAGCACACCGCAGCCGACTCACCATTCTGGAAGGCGAAGAATATCAGGAGAGGGGCAGTAGATATATAGCCACAGCCACGCCCATCATCCAAAACGGCGAGCCTACTCTCGAGGTCAGGTCATGGCAACGTGTTAGGCTCAATCGAAGATTCCAGTTTGGGTGAGTTGGCTCGTAATGTGTGGCTTGCATCGAACCTTGTGCGAGAAGCATCTGCCGAATTGTCATCTAGACATACCCCTGTTTGTGTACAAGATCATGCAACGAAGATGGCGAGTCCGAGGGATTTAGTCTGTGAACAGAGGCATTGGATGGAGTTGAGGCGGTCGTGGAAAGATACGAGCTCTCGCTAAGCAGGCTGAGCCTGACGTCAATGCCTTGGCAGCGAGGATGATTACTGATCAGTTGGTCGGCACGATCAATTCAAATTCATGCTGGTTGGCATCGTTGTTCATTTGTCTACCGCTTGCTTATGCGGCATACAATTACACGAGGAAGGTCGACCTCGATCAATAGTAATCTGGCCATGTCCAGCCAACCTGCGTTGCTTTATCACCACGCCCATTTCTGCTCTTTGGCCCAGCTATTCCAGTTGTTTAACTTTGTGCCTTCTGCCACATACTTATCAGACTCGGCTTGCTTCTGTTCGGTGCCCTTGCCGAAGTATGAGTAGTCTCTTATCAAGATCTGAGATCATGTAAGTGCTCTGGATAGTTATGAGAGGTGGGCGATACGAACCATGTTTTGAACCATTTCCGCTGGGATTCTGTCCATGTTGTTGGTCATCTCCACGGTCATCTCTTGAGGCTGGAACTTCACGTCTTGCCCGGAAAGTTCAGCAACGAGAGAGATGATCTGGGCGGGATGGACCCATTCGCTGACACCTTGGACGGCCACGCCATCGGCAGCGGAGCCAGCCTCGAAAAGACCTGCGACGTACTTGCCAGTGTCTCCGCGAATATCGAGCAGAGGCAGCCAGGTTTTGTCCGCATCCCAAGGTAGACTTAGGGCAATTGTTCCGTCTTCTTGACGCTTGATTTGACCGAGCAGATTAGACATGAAAAAGCCGGGCATGAAGGTCGAAACGAGGAGTGAATCACCCTTGATTTTCGTGGCATAGTCGGTGACTTGGGCCTTGCTGTCAAAGTGCTCGATTCTGGAAAGTTCGCCGCTGGTCATCGCGGTCGTGTTCGGTAGTCCAGACCAGACGAGGTGCTTGACACCCTCAGACTTGCAGGCGTCGACAATGTTCTTGCCTTGATTGAACTCGACTTCTTTCGAGGTGGTTTCCCTAGCAGAGGTCAGTGTGAGTTCAGCCCCTCCTAATAATGGCTTACCAGTAGTTGGTCACCGCAAAGACGCCATACGAGCCCTTGATGGCCGAAGCGATTGATGATGGGTCATTGAGGTCGGCTTTGGCGAGCTCGACACCTTTCGAGGCCAGAGCCTGAGCGTTGGGCTTGGTCGTGTCTCGGGTGATGGCTCGGAGGGCATACTTGGCGGACAGAGCCTGAGAAGCAAGTACGGTGGAAATAACGGAGCCGCCCTGGTTGCCAGTAGCACCGAAGATGGTGAGAAGTTTCTTGGACATTTTGCGGTATGTGCTGGATAAGTTCGGAGTGGTGAAGCTGTGGTGTGGGGTTTGAAGAAGGCAGAGTAGGCTTGTAGTGTAGAAAGTTGATTGAATGATGGAAAGGTGATGCTCGCTGATAGCTAGCCTGCTCTTATATTCGCCGTGGTGGCTGCGTCTGGAGCCGTCTTGGCTGTTGTCCTCTTTCAATCTGGTCTCGAGCTACATCTTCGCGGCGCCATATTACTGCAGCCACCGAGAACGAGCTACTGTGGGACACGCGACTTAGTCATTCTGCTGCTTGCCAAAGGACCGAAGAGGGGTAGCGTCATCGGCCACTCGCGTCTTCGGCGTCAATCGCTGACAAAGGCGGCCCAAACCCACCGCGATGGTGCTTCGCAATTGGCTCGCATAATCGGCTCCTACAGGGGCGGACTGTGCCCAGCCAATCGCCATGCAAAGTTCAGACAGGGCAAGATGTAGATTTGAGAGCAGACGAAAGATTATTCTCATTCGTCTGGGATCGCAATGTACTCATCCATCACGCCTGGTCGCTCACTCAGCTGCTGGCAAACTACATGTCGGCAACGAAATGTCGCCATGGCGTGTCCCTCACGCGTCGCACTGCCCACATCAGATGTCAAATCTCTGTCCAACGAGCTGCTCACTCAAAGTCCACAGCCGCTGCGCGTTCTGTAGGGAGGTAGCGTACTCGCGAGCAGGCACCACGGCGCAGTCCTCGAGGTATGAGCCGGACTGGTCTGCGAGTCGAGGATCCAGGGCAGCCACCAGCGCAGTGCTGGTGCCTTGCGTCATGGGCTTGGGGTCCCCGACTCTGAAAGGCATACCAGTCTCGCGAAGTGCGACCTCATTGATCCCGCCCAACATCTCTTCGGTCGTCGTTCGACCGATGCCACTCTCCAGAATGACACCAGGATGGAGAGCGAAGGATGTGATCCCTCGGTTCGACAGCTTCGCGGCCAGTTGACGAGTAAAGAGTATGTTGGCTGTCTTACTTTGGCCATAGCCGCTCCAGGCATGATACTCTGCTCCATCTTTGAAGTTGTAGTCCTCGAATCGACAAGGGCCAAGCTGATAGCCATCACTTGTCACATTGACGATTCTTGCCCCACGACCGGCGGCGGTAACCTTGTCAAAGACCAATGCCGTCAACAGGAAATGGCCGAGATGGTTGGTGGCGAACTGCGACTCAATGCCGTTCTTGTTGGTAGTAAAATCGGGCACTGCCATGATCCCAGCACAATTTATCATCACATCGAGCTTATCGGTGGCATCGTTGACTTGCTTGGCTGCTGTACGGACACTGTCGAAATCATCCAATTGAACGGGAATAAAGAGAGCCTTTACTGTCGAATCAATGGCTTTGATCTTTTCAATGACAGGCTCGACCTTGCTGGCGGAGCGTGCAAGCAGCAAGATGCGAGCAGGTGCTGCATGAGCCAGACAGAGTGCGACTTCAGCCCCAATGCTGCCATCTGAGGCGCCGGTGATCAGGAACGTTCTTCCCACAACTTGGTCCTTGCAAGCTTTCACCACCTCGTCGCCGGTTGTCTCTCGCTTGAATGTGGTCGTAGTCATGATGTTGAGTCGTGTGAAGGAAAGATGGCTGGTGTTAGTCACTCAGCAGCCATGCGCCTACCTTTATAGTGTAGCTGGTGACAGCAGCTATGGGTAGCACCCTACGCATCGGACTTAGGATACGGTGTCTGCGTCGATGATAAGTCCGCCATTTGACTGATTGTAGCGCTTCGGTGAAGATACGCTTGCACGCAACCTGGGGGGAATCAGGCGAGTCAAGTTGAGAACGTGAAGCTTGGCTTATGTAATTGCGGCCGCATGGAGTCTCAACCTGCTTCTGGCCAATGAGATGATCATGATCAACGTTTCAGCAGGCGGGCTTTGCGGACGCGAGCGAGTCAAATTTTGGCGAGAAGGGCGAACACCAAGCTCTTGGGGTCCAGGAGAGCCCTACCGCAGAGCCAATCTCGGACGTCTCAAAGTACTCGAATCTCTCCTGCTGCTGCTCCGTATGTATTGCAGGATGCGACGATCATGCTCCCCTTATTAATGATTGATTAGGCAATACCCTAGGCTGCACATGATGTTCGAAAACGTCTGGAGCAGAGACTGTGTTGGCAAAGGGGTACAAGGCACATTCTTCCGATCCTTTCGTCTCTTCGTTCCGCGCCTGGGGTGTCGCATTTCGTGTTTCGTGGCTTGCATGGACACGATATGTTAGGGACACGCTCTTGAATCACTGCTTGTCTAGAAGCTGAAGACCGAAAATCGGTCAAGATCAAGCTATTCTTAGGAACAAGTTTCCGGTGCGGCGCCCTGCCCCTGAGCATCTTTTGATTGTTTTCTCATTCTTTCCCCGAGCCGCGTTATCGTGCACAAGTCCAGACCTCGTGTCAGACGAGCCACGTTGACCATCCTGCCCGCATGGGGTCCGACGTCTGACAGTCTCTCGTCCAGGTTTACTTTCGAGCTGAAAGAAAGATTAATCTCCACAGTCTCGAGGATTCGCTTCCTCTCCGAGATAGCTCCACATTTGACGGCTTAGGTAAGGTAGACAGATTCCGTTGTGCTAACGGCAACTTCCAATCTTCGTCCCAAGGACCACGGTTCATCGATTCTGCCTTGTGCCCTGTAGCAGATCATCCGCCCCCTACCTGATGCGGATAGCCTGAGCAGTATCGCGACGGCGCGACATGACCACTGGGCTTGGCCAATCTCCCATATACGTCGCACAGATCACAGTTCAGCCCTTCCGCGAAAGATACGAGGCCAGCCCAAACTAACCTTCCGCCATAGTTGGGTGTGGGTGCATCCTTCGGACCCTGAAGGATTGCATGTCAACCGGTAGGGCTGGATATAAACAGATTCTCCACCCTGTCAGCTCTTGCCTTATTACTGCTGCGGGCTCCTGCTCAACCTCGTCCCACCTTTTGCGTTGTCACTTTCCCTATTGCTGTTCATTGCAAACCACACTCGTTGACACTTCAATTCTTAATCGACTGTACTTTCGCCCATTCATCATGTCTCAGACTTATTCTCAACCCCAATCTTCGGTCCCGAGTGAATATGGGCCCACCAAGCAAGAGGCTCCTGCCTACCCGCAAGGCTTGCATCAACTTCCAAGCAAATTCCAATTCGGTCTCTTTGACTGCTTTTCACCATTCAGCACTTGTGAGTAAACCTGGCTTGACTTCAGAAGGCCTAATGCTAAGGGTTGTCAGGCTTCTTGACATGTTGTTGCCCATGTGTCACCTTTGGCCGCATCAAGGCCCGCGAGTCGGGTGAGAAGGATCCCAGCGGTATCAATGGCATGGTGAGAAGTGCAATACCGAGTCCGGATCATGACTAACATACTCAGTGTGCATTGCACTGCCTTCTTCTCTACTGCGGTGTCGCTCCCGTCCTCCAGTTTGTGAACCGCATGTCGATGAGGGAGAAGTACGGCATGGAGTCTAATGGATGCGGTGACTGCTTGACAGCCTTCTGCTGTGCTTGCTGCGAGCTCATTCAGGAGGATAAGGAGACCATCATTCGGACCACTGGCATGGACCCCAAGACCGAGCAGCCATATGTTCCTCCTCAGGGTATGACCTACGCCTAGAGTAGAAGTCGCAACTCACAGGGACGGTATTGAGGAGCGAGCTCGATAAGTCAACGGTGAATTGCGAAGAACGGAACGGCCCAGCTAGATGAGTTGATCAAGTGAGTGCTGCAGAGTCACTGCCTGCCGAGAGGAAGCGCTATCAATAATTCATGACTCAAGCCATCCGATTCAGGGACATGTGACATGAGTCAGATCGTAGCCTCGCCAAGCTACAACTTCAGCCTTTCGATTGTGCCCAGCGATTCAGAAGTGGGTGTCAGACCGAGAATATCACCACCGGAACCACCCCCCCATCACTATTGGCACCGGCCAAGATGCACTCAATGAGAGCGTTGCGTTGCCTTTGATCTCCTACAAACTCGTAAAAGTCCTCTATGATCACTCACACTCAATGCCCACCAGCCATGACAGCATTATGCCACGTTTTGCCCGCTTCGGTTTCCGGTCTGACAAGCCTTTCTGCAGCGGAAGGCGGCACCTACCCTTACATCCTGCCAAGGCAGCCCAGAGGGGGACGTACCCTCTGACGCGTCAGCTCTCTCGACGTTTGCTCCTCTCGTTGGTCCCCAGGACTCTGCTCGTTACTCGACAAGACGCCTCTTCCGGCGCGCTTGTCCGAAAACATGTGCGAGCCTTGCTGAGATAATGAGTTCAAAGGCACAAATTATCAGCTTGACCCGGACACGCAATCGCATACAAATGGACGTTTGGATGCAGGTAAGAATAGTAGCACGAGAAGGCAACATAAGGTTCTCGCGAAGCCTCATAAACCTTCCTGGCGAGGCCTTCTTAGCGGACATCGGCAAATTCTTCTCGCGGAATCCTAAGCAAGGCCATATTCAGACGAGATCTCGAAAATCACGCGGCATGTCGTCTACTAGCGTACCCCCACTGACATCAACGGCTTCAAATAGACCCTGGACGCCCAGGCTGTTCTCTACAAGTCTCGACCTCACAGTCTGTCCGTGAATTCACTGTTGCTTTAGATCGATAGACTCAAACGGATGGCGTATATGCTCCAACAACAAGCCCGCCGGCTAGCCTTCTACACCAACTCCAGCTCAGATGATAACCTGCGCAAAAGCCCCTCACGCAGCATCAAGCCACAAATAAGACGCGTTGACTCCAACGCCCCGCTGTCGCATATTGTCGCTGCCCTCGAAGAAGATGGGTGTGTGGTGATTACAGACTTCACTTCTCCCTCCAGCATCGATGCTGCTCTACAAGAGCTCGAACCATACCTCGATACACTTTCGCCAAGCGACTCCGAGAAGCCGGCTACGGAACATACGGTGACCAATACTCTGCCCCTGAGTGATCTGCTTGCCTCCAATGAGGGCCTACGCTCAGCTATACTCGGTCCTCCTCTCATCCATTCGGTTGCGGCCCACTTCCTGACGTTGTCGACGACTCACTACGCTGCGAACAACCCCGTCGCCACCACCGCGCAACCTGCCCTCTCTAATGCCGTCGCTCAGGTCCTACGACCTAGTCAGACCCCACCGCCACTCTCTCGTCCCGATGCCATCCATCACCATCGCCATCTCCAGAGCTCGACTTATACCTCTGGTCGCGATGTTGCCCTACATCTCATTGTTCCCACATCAGATACCTCGCCAGCAACAGGCGCTCCCAGAGTCGTCCCCGGCAGCCATCTCTGGAGCGATGGCCCGCCAGACTTTGACGCCGAACACGGCATCATTAGTGTCGAGATGGAGAAAGGCGATGCGCTCATCACGCTCGGCTCGCTCTACCAGGCATCCGGCTCGTTCAGAACGGGTGAGAAGGCCGAGACGATGATGTTCTACCACGTGAGCTTCTGCAATGGCGTGACGAGGCCGGAAGTCCTGCCTCTGTTGAAATTGGGCGGCGAAGGTCGTGAAGGAGAGTGAGGAGAACGGGCGAGGAACTACCGTCACTCTACCTTGAGCATTTCCGTTCGCTCATGCTGATCACAGCCGCGTCGCTAGGTTCGTTCCTGCTATGTCACCTGCACCGAAGACGCTGTTGCGGCTTCCGTCCTGGTTAGGCCTGTTCAGTACGAAGAAAGCCGCGCGGTTCGAAGGATGCAGAACTTCGATACCGAACCTGAGTTCCCGCCTCGCTGGGCAGCAACTCACAGTGCTCCGCAATCGTCGGACGCACCCCCTACTCGCGATGGGCTGGACGCGTCCATACCATCGCTGGTTCGGGACACGATGCAGAACGTCGGCAATCGGCCGATCGGCCAATCGAGGAATGATATCTGCTGCCGTCAACAGCTTGCGTTAACGGTGGAAACAGAAATGTTGTCTTGGGGAACCGAAAAATGATGCGCATGGTTATATACCGTGCATGGCTTGGGGCCATCTGCATCTTGAGTGTAACATGCAGAATCTCATCACCCAGTCCTCCACTGCTCCAAATTCTTCCTGGTAATCCCGCTCAGATCTTGGCTCTCGCCGTACTCCTACTCCCACTCCCACTCCCATCCCCACCTTGCTTCCCAGCATCCCTCTTCCTCTGTTTACCTTCACCATCACCACCATCACAACCCTCCACCTCCAAGATCCGCTCAATGACGCGCTTAAACTCCCGCGCCCTCCCCATGTCGATCGCGCTCCCGTCCACGCTGATCATGAGGTACGTGTGCTGCGAGCGATCGCTGGCGACGCCGCACAAGAACTCGCCGTCGCGGGCGCGCACCGCGCTCTGGATGTCGCGGAAGTCGGCGGCCAAGAAGTGCCTGCCAGTGTTGGACGGCGGGGTCGTGGAGACGTCGTATTTCCCCGACGAGATGAGCGGCGTGCGGTCGCCGACGGAGCTGATGCCGCAGGTGCCGAGGGAGGGTGGAGTGGCGGCGGGGAGGGCGCCTTGCGGGTCATGGCGCGGTTTGGGGCGCGAGAGGCTGCGGAAGGAGAGGCGCTCCAGGGTGGCGAGGTAGAGGGCGGGGAGGAGTTGGGTGGGGGAGCTGGAGCCCAGGCTGAGTTCTTCGGCCGCCGTGCGTTTGCGTTTCTGGTATTGGCGGAGTTGGCGGTGGGCTTGTTTGCCGAGGAGGCGGAAGCGGCCTTCGAAGGGGAGGGTGTGGGGGAGGAAGGGAAGGACGACGCCTTCGCTGAAGGCGAGCATGAGGCTGTCTTCTTGGCCGGTTGTGGGGGTGCCGGCGAGGAAGGGGCGGGGGTTGATGGGGAAGGAGCCGATGAAGGGGAGGCGTTGGGAGAGGGGGATGGCGGGATACAGGGACTCGTGGAATTGCATCATCACTATGGCGACGAGCGTGAAGAGGCCGGCGCCGAACGAGATGTGCGATTGGCGGCAGAGGGCCGCGAGGCGAGCTGTTGATTTGGGTCCTATGACGGGCCGGATCGCGTGATGTCTGAGAGGCGGCACTCGGGAGTAGTCGAGAAGCTTGTCGTACTTGGGAGGATAAGATGAAGTTGGGAGAGCGGGGCTAGGACGGCGGAGCGGGTTCTGGAAAGCGGCTGGGTTCGTGTGTTTTACATGGCGAAGAACGCGGGTTATCGCCCAGAACCAGCGTTGACGGGCGACAGATCCCTTGATGGGGTGGTAGAGTGCCTCTTGGGGAGGTGGTAGGCGTGCCATGGCTGGAGTCGTGCATAGAGAAGCCATCCGGGACTTCAATTCGGTGTGGCTTAGGTTCAGCAGATCAATGAAGGCGGACATCCAACGGAATGTGGTGAGACCATCGGTAATTTGATGGGCTAACACGAACATCAGAGTAACGGGAAAGCTGGACCCGGAGCTGTGATTGTACGGCAGGACAAATACTCGTGACAGGGCTTTCGTAGCATCGACAACTCTCGATGAATTCATCAGATGGTCGTAGAAGTCCTCAGCCTGAACGTGGGAGTAATGGTCTGCCACAAAATCGAGGTGTTGCTGTCCCCATTGGCGTAGCTCGGCTTCGGTTGCGGCCTGCTCAAACACGAACGCTCTTTCATGTTCCCCACCTGATAGAGGGTCGTCGTGAGCGAGTGATATAGCCGTGGCTGACAGCAGCGGATGCTCCTGCCTCAGGACGGACCAGGCATTGGCGATGTGCTCGCGTGTCGCTTGCTCATCAAGAGTGGTGCGAATCTCTATATGGAGTTCAGTGCAGAGGTCAGCTCGACCTTCGAATTCGACCCCGTCCGTATCGAAGAGTCCTTCAACTATGCCGAGGCGCCGCGTGAAGGTCCTGCGGCCCCCCGTGTGGCGTTCCTGCCAATCATAGATCCGCGCGGCGTAGCCCGAGAGCCACTCTGGCAGTTTTGACGCGGCAACACGAGTCTCCATTGGCATGACATACGACGACTTTATTGACAGTGTCTAGCACAAGCTAGCAAAGGCATCATGAAGCCTTCGACAGCGAGTGGAGTAGTCGCCGGCTAAACGCCTCTGTCTGCTACATCGATGATGGCCATGCGGCCTTCTGCCCCGCCCTTCCTCCTACGGCACAGCATACTGTCCAGATGGTGCATCGCAATCTCCGGCCCCGATCCACCAGACTGACAAGCCATGTTCAGGGTCCTTGAGCTTAATTCTACGTTGACTATGAATTTGTTCGTGCTTCCCGTCTGTGGCTCACGTTCAAAGGACTTGCAGAAGGCATTCTCAGGCGCCGAAAGTGGGTATTGATCTCCCCGCCTCACCACACTTTATCCCACTACTTCGGCAGCATGGCAAAGAGAGTGTCTCTGCTGCGAGCGATATCCTAAGTCTCAGAAACTCGAGCAATGAGACGTATACCTGGGAATCATGCGCGATCCATGCCTCGAATCTGCATGTGGAGACGATACATGATGACAGCGAATGTGAGTGTTGTTGGCGTTCAATGGACTCTCGGTTCGCCGTACTTCCTGCTGCTGATGGTTGATCATACGCCATCATACGCCATCATACGAGATCAGACCGGATCATACGCTCAATACCGGCGGGGGCTGGGACTCGATCACAATGACGCACTTTGAATCGAATTGGGCAGTCGCGACACGCGACGCGACGGCATGATCAGCCTACAATCATGAAGATGCTTCGATATACAGGCAGAGAAATCGTTTGAATTTGGTGGGTCTCAATGCTTGTGTGAAGAGCATCATTCCTATACAAGGATCAAGGCGATTTTCCGACTTTGTGCCGAGTTCTTGCGACTATCATGCGTCTATGCCGACTTGTTTACTAGACGTCATATGTTGATGCAAGTCGCGTTCTCCAGATCAGTCTCGCCAGATCAGTTTGGCGACGGATCTCAGAGCACGTCGCGTGTGTACAAATATGTAGAAAATTCCCCGCCCCCAAAAAATTTCTTCTTCTGTTTTTCATAGTGCTCACTGAGACCAAGGCAGAAATGGGTCGTTCACGATTCCAGTACACACGAAGCTCGGCCACGTCCTCATGGACGTCGGCCGAGTCTTCTACTTACTCTGATCCTCTCAAACACTATCCCCCTCTCTCTTCCTCGTCCTCTGCCTCTTCCTCTGCCCCTTTCTCTTCCTCTTCTGGTGACAGTGACTCTGCTTACATGGAACCAGATCGACTCGCCATGAGCACCCCCAGCTCAGAACAGTCTTCCTCCCTCCTCTCTGTTCCCTCCCTTTCTCGTACGGCCGACCCCACCTACGCTCGACCCATCCTCACCGACCCTTTCTTCGACTCCAACCCTCCTCTTTACCACCACCCGGTTCTTGGGGAGTGTAAAGTAGGGACAATTCACTGTGAGTCTTCCCCAACCTTTCCTTCACGCACCTTGCTCATTCAAATCAGTCCCAAGAGCAGAACCATCTACTCCTGGATCCACTCCTCCCAGACACCGAAACCGGAAGTGGGCTCCGCCCTCCAATCTCCTCCCCGGTTTCGTCGACCCCGAACTTGGTGCCCCGTTCCACCTGCACCACGACCGTTACAAGCGACGGGTCGAATCCCAATCTCCCACCGAGCGACATGTCAACAACCCGATCGTTCGTCCCCGCCACCAGCCCGTCAAGCCTTGGTCACCACCACCCGGCATGTGGTGGTGGGACTACGAGAACGGTTACCCGAAGCCGGCCTACTACTAGCGGTGTAGGTCGTGCCGAGGGCCCGACAACAAGGTCGACATCTCCAAGCTCCCGTTCGCCGACCACCGGCTCGCTGTCCTTCGTCGCGAAAAGGAAGCAGCCCTGGCCCCTGTCGTCTCGTCCCCGCCTCCTCCCTCGCCTCCTCTCCCCTCTCCGGCCCCCCTGAACCTGGTTCAGCAGCTCAAGAGAGATCTCGAAAAGATGCGCCTGGAAAGACCGTTGCCGTCTCCGACCAGCTCTTTCGACTCTTTCGAGAGCTCATTCACCTTCAATGATCCGACCTCCAGCACAACCAGTGAGCTCGACAATGCTTTCCTGGAAGCCGACAGCTTTGACATCTCCGAGGTTCCCTGCTCCGACTCCGACGCTTCGTTCCCCTCCGTCAACGTCCCAGCATCGAACATGGTAACCGGCGACTGTCTCCGACAAGCTCCTTCCAACTGTCCCTGTGCTGGATTGACAACTACCACCTCCTCCTCTCCTGGATTTTTCTCCCGGTGCTGGTCTTGGATCAAGTCCTGGTTTTAATACCAAAACACCGTACCCCAGCGAGCGTCCGCCGCGCCTCCTGTCACTTGGCAAGCGGCTTCGGCAGCCACAATCAAACTTCACTGCCTTAGCGACCCCGATGGTTCATTGAAGTGAATGAATTCGACAATTTAGCTTCGCTCATCTCACCTGCTGGTCTTCTTCAACAAGTAGCCGTACTTGCCCCAGCAGTATCGCCTTACACCTTCATGGTTTGGCATGGCAGTTCCCACAATTCACCACTGCCGCCTGATGAGGAACCTGAGCAAGCGACCGTCGGCAATGCACTTCTGGTTCCCCAGCCAGACCAGTGCTATTTTCTGCTGTTATGCAATTGCTGTCATGCGATTGAATCTATGCTGTTATGCATTTATGGGAGATTGGGATTCGACCTTGTAACGTACTTTTGACTCAACTTTGCTGACGATTGATATGGCTTTGGGCCATCTTTGGGTTTTACTTCGGTTGAGCGTCACTGTCATCCAATACCTCTATCAGTCATCTTGGAGGTTTGCGTCTGGATTTGGCAACATGTCTGCAGCTCCTGTCCACGCTTCCGCTGCACCAAAGATTTGTTGGCCTTGCACTGCTGACTGTCTTGTCAACGTTCATTTGTCACGTCTCTAAGTCGCTTGGACTTGGCCTGCCATCAGCTTTGCGACAGCGGTGCAAGACATCCCACAGCCTGCGTAGGCTTCCTACTCGCCCTTCGAGCATTCGACAACGGCTTTTCTATAGCCATACCGGCGGACAGTCCATCTCCACTCCTACCGCTCTTCGCTCCACCATAAGCAATGTCTTGCAGTCGTCTGGAAACAACTCATCGCCACACTGCACTCCTTCAGACATCTCGCTGTCTGCTTTCCCATTTCGCAACATTACTCCTCGCCGCCAACATCACAGGCGTATCCACGAAGCTCTGGACTGTCTCGCGCCCATTGCACCATGGCACCCACGCAGCACCCCAGCTGCCTGCCATTCCACGTTGTGGCCGTACCTGCGGCAAAAGGAACGTCGCCTGGTACGGCCCAGGAGCTCGTGATCTCCGAAAATCGCCTTATGGGCGTGGGGAGTAGGAGCCGGCCGACTGTGCCGTACGACAAGGAGCGGCGCCTCTTGTCGTGCGGTGCGGTCCAAGAGCTCGTGTTCTCTAATCGTCTTATGGACGTGTGGCTGAGTGTCGGGATCATCCGAAAGTCCCCTTGATGGGCTGGCCTCCGACAGGTCACGATCGATTCCTCGACCACGAGGCGAACCGACCGGCCGAACCTCGACCCCGAGGCGAATCGTACGCGGTAGGTGTGATCAGCAGACATGGTGGAGGCAATAAAAAGAGATGGGGTTTGGTTGGTTTCACTGGGCCTGCTGATGGTGATTGAAGCTTGGAGTAGAAGACTGTGACGACGGAGCACTGACGTGGGTGGTTGGGTGGGTTCAGTGCTCACTCGCTTATGGACTTGGATCTGGACTACGACGACTTTTATCAACCGCCGCTGGAGTAGTGTGCCACAAGGCCTGGGAAACCTCGTGGTCGCCACACCCCTCTCTGGACTCGCGGTACTCAACGTCTCGGCGCCTCGGCTACCTCGCGTCACGACGTTCGACTTTCATTCACCCGCTGCTGAAGCATAAGTCTCGCCGCCGACAGGAGCCTAGGAAACTCCTCGTGACACATTGGGGTTTTCGCTTCCGGACTTTGCAGCACCCACATTTGCGGCTCGGCACGTGTGGCACCGGTGTTTGGGAGAGCACCTGTTTGCCACATGACCATGATCGAGCGCGTTTTGTGTTCACGACAATCACCAGCAAAATTTACCACCGGGCACAAGACTGACAGGGTTTGGGACACCCATGTTGTCAGGCCGTTTGTGTGCCGCGAAGATGGCTACCGCTGTGTGTGCCACATGGACAATCGACAGCAAATTTACCACCGGGTACAACCACTGGCAGGGTTTGGGAGGACCCACAATGTCAGTTTTGGTCTGTGCCGTGAAGATGGCTAACCGCTGTTTGTGCTATCGACAATCTTGCCGCTGGAGGGATCGCAGTCACAGAATGATTACAACGACATTCGAAGATGTGGTTTTTCGTTCGACGATAACAGATTCTTTCGAAATCGATCCCTTCCGGACTTGCGGCAAAATCCCCCATGGGCTTTACGCTGGTTCTTTGGAAACCACCACTCCTCTCACGGGTTTTTGGAGTCCCCGTGACGAGTGTCTCGTGGTCCTATTCGAGAACGCGAAGAGCCCGCTCACCGCTCAGGTTTTGTCGTGCTGAGCATTTTTGCTTACTCTGCTGTAAGTGTTTGAGAGGTGTTGCATAACACGTGTCTCATTGGAGCAAGGTATGGGCACACCGAACTTTTTTTTTTGGAAGCTGGTTCATGGCAACTCGACTTTTGGTTCCTTCTATCGATCAGCAAAAAGGGCGGTAGTGTGTCGGCGCCCCCCAACCGATGCCCTCTTGTTGCTTGCATCGTTCCGGAGTGAGGACCCGGACACTGGTGACAGGAGCGAAATTGGCCGCCCTCGTGAAAGCTGATCGACCAAGCCACATCATTTCGACAAGATTAGACAATGACACACGAAAGGAACGGGTTGAGTTGCAACGGAACTAGATGAGGGCGAGCCAGTCGTTTTCGATGCCATAGGTGCGAAACGGACCATCTGGGGTGGTCTGAATGTGCCCTTCGTCCCCGCCTCGCTAGCGGGTCGGAGCATAATTTGGGTGGCAAGCCTGGCTGGTCGCAACTATCGCAACACATGAACCAAAAAGGGTGGTGGATGTGCGTGTTGGAGACATGGAGGCGTCTCAGGATGGATACGGTTTTAGTGCGTTGGTCTTGTGTGTGTTTTTCTTTGGTATTGTTGGGCAACTATTATCTGGCGGTTTCAGGGGACGTTGAGGTGGCGGAGAGCTGGGTTACTTCTAGCCTCGATGCAGAGAAGAGCATCTGGCGATATGGGTTGACTGAGCGAAGGTTGTCCGGGCTTGCTCGTGGCTCTGAGGTACTCACGACTCGTGGTGTGGATGGTTGCAGAGAGAGTGGCATGCAGTTTGTTGAAGGAGAAGAGAGAGAAAAAAATGAAAGATGTGCTGGAGGGTGTAGCGCCCCTTCGGTTGCTACCAAACAAAAAACTTCTTTGGTTTTGGGGTGTGTCGCTGTGTCTTGCGTGATTTCGTGATTTGTGGAGATGTAGGCTGAATTGACTTGTAAGAATGGATATGAGAATGGCAGGATCTAGCAGGCAGGGAGGCCCATGGGGCGTAAACGATGGCTACGGTACCTACAGGGCACGCAATGCAGGCCCCAGGGCAAGAGACAGACAGACACACAGCCGGAGGGGGGAAACAAAAGTCGATGATGATACTCATACATTCTGTATTAGCGAATTCCAATTAAAAGCCGAAGCTGTCCAGCAAGCTGTCGCCACTCGGCTCCGCGAACTGCGTGGGTGGAGGTTTCTTCTTGGGCGCAACTCCCAACTGTGCCTCGTCCTCATTCCGGATTTCCCTTCCAACACCGTCTTTCTCCTCCTCGCTGTCGCTGTCGCTCTCGCCCCTCTCCAGCACACGCAGTCCAGCCAACATCTCCTGCGCCCAAGTCTTGAGCGCCTCATCATCACCCTCGGCCTCATCGTCCTCCGCGGGTTTTGGGAGGACGGTCGCCTCGAGCAGCTCGCGCAACATCTTCTCGCCGTCTGGGTGGTGGTGATAGACCCTTGAGATCACGATCGCCAATTGCAAGTCCCGCACTTGATTGACGCAGACGTTCACGGCAGCTTTCAAGTTTCCGGCCAGCACGAACCACGCGGCGCCGTACTCGAATCTCCGCTTGCTGAGCAGCGCGTAGGCATTCTTCAGAGCCGTCTGCCGCCACCGCGGCTCGGCAAAGTTGTTCGCCAGCAGTTTCATGGTGTTGTCCCGCTCGCGGACGCCGATGGCCGTGCGCCACAAACCTTGGACGACTGTCTTCTTGCCGAGGGCGAAATACAGTAAGGAGCTCTCGACCGGGTTACGATCTTCTCGTTTGGTGAATTCGGCGCGCGCGACGTTTTCGGTCTGCTCTAGCAGCGCTTCGCGTTCCGAGAGCCACATCAGGAGGCCGCAGGCTCGTGCGCGGGGCCAGGTGAGGCGACCGACACCACCGTAATAATCGTGCGTGAGTGTAGTGAGAATGTCTTGAGAGGTGGAATGAGATGCGGACAGGATTGCATGCCAAGCGAGTGGTGAGGAGAGGGAGGAGAAGAGGGCGAATAGATACTGGTGCCCAGCCTGATCAACAGCGGCTGGGGCAAAAGCCTTGTCTAAATCATTGTTGGAGGGTGGTTGTGGGATCCAGACTTCAACGTCATCATTAGCATACTCAATAGCAAAGTGGCCCTCGCGCTCGGAGGAACCAGAGTCAAGTGGCTTTAACCGGACAGGCTTCTGCCGTTTCCGAAGTGGTATGGCATCGCGGCCCGGGAGAAGCTGCAAAGAATCGTGAAGAAGAACGATGGCATAGTCTTCCGCATAACAAATGTCGAGAATGTCGCTATCGAATGTGCGTGATGTTTGAATGGTGAGAACATTTCCGTCATCGACGTCTTCGATGGAGAAGATGTTGGCATCGCGGATTGTCCATGTCAGAAGCTGGTCGCCGGCTTTGTTGTGGATTATGCCGTTTACAGGTTCCTCGTGACCGGCCCATGATGCAGACTGCTGAAGTCGCTCTCGGCGAGTCGCGGTGTCGAACAGGCCAGCTATGTGAGCCTCGTAATGAGACACTGTGCCATCAAAGGAGTGTACAAGGAGGGAGATTGACGACGGTGCGTTTCCCCCAGCAAAAGTGCAAAATTGAACATGTTCGCCATCAAGATGTGCCTTTTCCAGTAGCGACAGGTCAACATTGTCTACATGCGCCACGTTGAAGACTTCAGCAGGAGCTTTGTTCTTGCACCCGGCATTCTCCAAGCCCCATGCAGACATGTGTCCGAGACCATCCAGAACGACGCAGATCTCGGGGCTGCGGTTCGCAATTTCAATCAAATGCTCCAGCGCATGATCGGCTTTCGTACTCGTGGTGTTTTCAACAGCCCTCTCAGTAGCATGTGAGAAGTCTCTGCTGTCCAGGATGAAAGCATAGCGCCGTTTACTGATGGACCCTTGGCTCAGCCTCCGTGGCTGTATGGTGGTATTGGTGTCAATGGCTGCAACCTTCTGCATGACCGTCGCGGAATGGGGCTCCAGCTGAGCCCAGACGCGAACGTACCCGTCAGCACAGAATGTGTAAAGCAAGTTGTCGAGGTTTTGCTCCTGGTGCCATGGTTTCCGCCAGTGCATGTTCGTGACGGAGGATGGATGTGGGAGGTAAGAAACATCGAACCGGGTGCTGTCCGATTCATATGCTAGACGCCTCCAAATCTTGACTAGGCGATCGTGCTGGCCACAAGATGCAATCAGTCCGGCGTCGTGGGAGCAGTAAGCCAATGCCACCGGGTATGGCAGCTCCTGGTCCCAGACGACTCGAGAATCATAGGCAACGAACCATAGTTGCATACGGGAGCCTGCCAGCAGTAGTTCTTCCGCCGATGCCCATGACAATGAGTTGATGGTCTCAATTGTCGGTATCGATGCTCTTCTCAACTCTGGGTTCGAGTGTCTACCATTGACCTGGGTATCGTCTCCATTCATGGCACCATTCGTCGACCGCAAAGAGGTGGACAATACCCCTCCGTCTGGTCCGAGTGACTCCCATTTCAGAGTTCCCTTGCCAACGGGTTCATACACGTAGGCGGTGGTGGAGTTGCATGCAGCAATGCGCCCGGAGAACTCTTCGATGGCTACCGCATGCAAGGGCTCGCAATCGAGGTGGATCGTCTGAAGGATCGAGTACAGATCTGTGGTGATGACGATTGCGCTTCGGGACACGTATGCGGTAAGGCGGATGCCATTCCAGTATGCTGTACTGATGGCCTGCCTGCCAGCGTGCGGCCGGCCCGGAAGGATCGTTGGCATCAAGGCGCAGGTTGTCAGGCACTGCAAGTCTCGTCGACGCGCAGTGTTGGACGCGATTTCTCCGGGTGACGTCAAGGGCACCGCCGACGCCAAGACGCAGACTCATCCAGCTTGAGACAGCGACAGGATTGTTTTATGTTCACCTACGTTATCTAGGGAATTGCTGACTCTACCCGAGAATGCGATTGGGATGTGATCTATATGTGCAGCTGCAGCTGGGAGTAGCCTACCGAGCGAAAGCCGCACACTAGACTGTTCATTGGCAACAATCGATTTGGAAATATAGAGATCTGTCAAGCTAACCACAGGTACCAACTGCTGTACTGGGTGCACTCCTCTGAGTCAACCTGATAATGCATGTCATGCTGCTTGCTCAACCGTGAGCTGTGGAGTGGGAAGCAGAAACACTGTGCTCCTACTGTGCGAAGCCTGCATGAGTCAACCCTTACGCAGCCTTCTCGGAAAGCTCCGGCGCCTTGTTTGGAGCTGCATGAACCTCCTGAACTTCGCTATGTTCAATGTGCTGACCAAGTGCCTTGTGGGTCGCAGACTCGAGCTCGCGATATTTCTCCGCTTCGGACTCAAACACTGACGAACGTTAGTGCGCACTCAATAAAGCAACATGGGTTGGAAACTGACGGAAAGTCAACTCTTCGAGGGTCTTGCCGAATGTTTCCGGGAAGAGGAAGTAGATGAAGACGATCTCGAAACACAGGAAGCAGACGTAGACGAGCAGATATCTCCACTCTATATCCTTCAGTCCGATCGGGTTCACCTGTGCGCCAAAGGTACTGGCCGCGCGAGAACAGAGTTGGAACCACGTGATGCCTTTGGTGCGGGCATAGTACGGCCAGAGCTCGACCAAGTACACGTACGTCAGTGCGTTGTAGGCAATGTTGTAACAAGGTGTGTACAGGAAAATGAAGAAGATGGTGGCAATGCCAGCAGCCTCGGACTTGGTGATCATCTGGCGAGCCTGAGATGCCGTCCAGGCGCTGTAGCAGAGCAGCAGAGACACCGTACAGAGCAAGTACATCCGACGGCGAGGGAAGCGAGGCGTGATGCTGGCCAGCGTGAAACAGACAATCAATCCCCAGGCCTCACGACCGACACTGAACTTCAATTGGGTTTCCGAGTTCTCGATGCCGATCATCTCGAGGATAGGAACCAGATATTGAGAGATGAGAGCGTTTCCACTGAACTGGCAGAAAACCCCAAGCATACCTGAAACGAGTGCACGACGGCGCATGGCAGGAGATTGGAACATCTCCAGCCATCCACGCTTGCGACTTTCGTTCTCAATCTCGAGGGCTTTCTTGATCTCGGCGAATTCGGCGTGGGGCAATGGGCTGGAGGCGTCGCCCTCGGCGTGATATTTGATGAGGAGCTCAAGCGCTTCCTCCTGTCGGTCCTTCGATACGAGCCAACGTGGTGATTCGGGAATAGCAAAGACCGTCACCACCTGAATCACCGAAGGTGCAGCCTGTAGTAGTGATGGTAGTCGCCAACTCCAATTGCTCTGAATCTTCAGAGTTTGGATCACGATGCCGGCACCTAGGAGCGCGCCAACCGCGTAGAAGGCATTGAACATGGAACCCAGGAACTGACGCTCCTTCGGATGGCCGAGCTCGCCAAGCAGAGCTGATCCAGCGACAATAGCATAGACGATGCCGTGACCAAGGAACATTCGTGCGAAGATAAACATGGCAACTGTGACCTGTCAGTTTTGGGAAAGTCCGATTGGCAAGGGATTGCTCACGGTTGGTGGAAAACCCTTGCAGAATTGCGCCAATGATCATGACAACTGAGCCGAAAACGATCGAATAGCGACGGCCAACCCAGTCTGACAAAAGTGGCACGAAAGGTATGGCCGTGATTGCGCCGAGACTGTAGCAGGAGACGAGAAATCCGAGAATGGCACCGTCAGGTTCATTGAAATGCTCTTGCCAATAATCAAGTGCTTGGAGACCCTATGGTTCCGGGGTCAGTATGTCTTCGGACGACCACGATGGGGGCAGACAAGGAGACAGTCTCACATTCATCATTGACGAGTCGAAGCCACTGGTGCTTTCAATGAACATGGCAAATGGCACCAGCCAGAGATACAGACTGCGGAGGTTCCTCTTGCGATACCATGGTACCTTGTCGTTCTTAACGATGCCATCAATGATGGGACTGCTTCCCATGCCGCCAGCCATAGTGAAGGTTGTTGCTGTTAGGGACTGGTCTGGTGTAAAAGCTGAAGTCGGTCCTGGAACCAGCAGGACCCTGCGCAGTCTTTATCAGAACGGACTCGCATTATCCAAGGCGCTCGTAGCGAGCGAGCGGTGGCATGTTGCCCTCGCTAGCAGCACGTGTGGGTGCATCGCGGGGATGGATCATGTCGCTGCATGTTCCCCATGGAGCGTAGTGTGCTGCAGACCAGAATTGTCGACTTCGCGCGCAATAGACATCACCCCGTGTTCAGCCCATATTCGTAGAACCGACGTCTCCTTCACTCAATGCCACGGGTAATAAGGGTTGCATTCAAGCACTTGGCAACAGCAATTGAAATGGTCCCATGGCTTTAAGATGCCGGATTTGAGCCGGAGTAGTGTATTTCTTCCGGCTGACTATGGTCAAGCTCGTCAAGCTCGTCAAGGTCACTGGGTGGTGTTTTGGCACTAATCGAATTAGCCGATTAGCAGAGTCAGGAAAAGATAGAGAACCCTCGTCCAGACCGCATCGCCAAGGGTCACCAGCCAAACGAGCGAACTCACCGGTGGTAAATACGTCCAGACTCCCTGGGAGTCCGCCGGAAGTCAACCATTCCAAACTCCTGTCCCAATGCAGCTGGTCGTTTTGGGTCGACAGTCGCCCTGGCGGGATTGTGGTCTAGACGGAGACAAGATCATGCACTTCCCCACAAGCTCCGCAATCCAGATGAGATATTTGGGGCTGGCTTATGAGTATCATTGGCTCGCGTCGTGGATTCGTAGCGACACGGTGGGGAACAGCCAACTGTTCGGCATTCACTCTGTCGATCCTGCCGACGCGAGCACCGAGGCAAGCCCGCCTGGGCGCGCCAGGTGTCGAGACATGATCGTTTCGGTTAGCAGCCAACTGTGCTAAACAACAATGGGTCCTGGACACAACGCGACCGAGTTGTACACAAGGTCAACGAAGCTGTACTGCGGAGACAGCACATCGTTATTCTCCCTGCATTCACCGCGCGGATTAAGGCCTTTGCAGGGGGCTCGAGTATCTTGAAGCTTCGTCGGACGGAGTGATCTTCTCCGGTCACCTTCGGTAGCATGGTTTGACATGATCAGAGGGGGTGTTCATGCCTTATAGAACACCCTGTACGTGCTGCTCAAGGGATGACCCGAGCAGCCAAAGGTCTGAGCAGTAAAGACAATTATAGGGGAAGCGCTGGCTGACTTCGATTGCCGCTCAGTTGCCGGTCAGTTGCTGGGTAAAGATTTGTGAACCCCATTAGATACTATCCCGATTGCTGAAGAACGAGAAGAAGTTTCAGCCTCCATCGTCAGGCCCACTGTTGTACTTGCCCTAGAACGAGCATGCTTCGTGCCAAGTCAACGTCAATGTCAGCACACGACCTGTGTGGGGATGGTATATCCTAGCATGGCGGCTTCTACTCGTTACTTCCAATTAACGATAACCACTATGGCGAGGGGGATTGAAGTCACGCTGGATTCACTGATCAAGTGCTGATGGCCTCACAAAGTCTGACCCCGGACGACTCACGGCGGAGGAACTGTCTTCCGGGTCGGCCTATGCTAAACCCTTTTAGGAAAACAAGATTGCTTGGCAATGGCGTTTCTCAATCGACGGAGGACGGAGCTATTTCGGCAACTACACGCAAGCAGGTCGTCGTCTACAGCTTTCACTGCTTCATTCCAATGCATCGAGACTCAGAAGATGGCTAACAACAAAATGGTCCCTGTTCCGAAGTTGACATTTCTCTCGACGACAGGGCCGACACTCGATAATGTCAGCGCGAAAGAAATGCGCGCTCACACCACCAGAGCCAACTTTGCACGACGACGGATGCGTCGTGTAAGGGAGTACGCCAATCAAAAAAAGCGTGGCCCCCGTTGCGAGTCTCGACAGGGTAACGGAAATGGTCAGAACAGAGCTTCCATTCAAGTAGTCGGTCTTCCGCTCCCCATCTTCAGTCTTCCCGCATTGGGACGAAAATTGAACAGAGAAGATGCATTCTTCATGGATAACTGTAAGTCTGATACAGGATATCGCTTCTGCGAGTGCTCAATGCTAACTTGGGACCCCTACACAGTAACGCAAGCAATGGGAAACCTCCATTCGATGACAAGCATTCGAGCCTCGGACGCTACTCTAGCTCTGATGCAATCTGACTGGGCTCGCTTTCTTCCTGATCCTACCATGCTCGATGTCTCTCTGTACTTTGCCAGATATTTCTATGCAGCACGTTTGCAACAGCAGGCTCTTCAATTCGCTGTGGATGCGTACAAAGGCAGGGCCATACGATCTGTAAGGGGACATCTCACAGACGGGTCCAATGGTCTCAGTGATAGCCTCGTCGCAGCCATACTCACCCTGACAGTACTCGAGGTTGGTCTTGCTACACTATGCCACACTTCAGCGGCTTTCCTTGGGTTCATTCGGCTAATTCACCTGGTCTCTAATAGGCATCGGTAGGCAACGTTGCAGCGTGGAAAATCCATATTTCCGGCCTCATTCAGATCATCACGATTCGTTCGCGGAATTCAACCAATCCACCTACGTACTGGATATCACATGCTCTCCCACGGTTTGTACCTTTTTGCATCCCCATAGCCTCGTAACGCTGATTGTTGTCCAAAGCACTACCTTGCAGGGCCTTCTTCTTTTCACTCGCTATGACTCCACGTTATTGCCAACCATTGAGAAGACAGGCATATTCGACACAATGTTCTCTGCCCCGGCCAAGAAAGTAGCCTACCTCGTGCTCGCGAATGCGGAACGCGTAGCTGCCCTGCAGCATACCTACATCCAAAACCAAGAGCTCACCACGACTGAAGTATTACGCGTTCGTCACATCATCAAGTGTCTGCATGCCGCCATCGAGTTGAATAGTGCCGCATACCCAAGAGAGACGTTTCTTACAGCGATAGCCCTGTCGGTCAAGATCTTCCTCGAATACGTCCTATTTCACGCCACCGATACCGAAAAGCACTTCCAAGACACGGCTGTGCAACTGATGGAGGTCATGCAGAGACCCGAACAGCGAATTTGTTCTTCGCTCGCGCTGTGCGCTTCCCTGGAGTCGAACTTCTGGCAACATATGATGGGTGCCATTGCTGCGCCGGATGCTACGACCAAAGCGTTCTATACATCGAGACTTGAGCGAATGGCCGTCCCTTTGGTTCTTACATCGTGGTGCGATACCTCGCTCCTTCTGCAACGATTTTTCTGGATCCCGTCCGTCTTCTCGAGTCCATGCTACGAAATCATGTCGGAGATTCTGCACTCGGCAGGGAGCAGTGATGTATAACGTCATGTGTACAAAACTATTTATGCCGTCCATTCTCCGTTTTCCTTCGGGACCTTGTTGCAGCAGAAGTACTCTAGATACTTTGCCAACACACATTCACACCCACTGCTTGTTCCCGAAATGGGAAACGAAGGAACCGCCATCTCCATTCGCGACGCTCGCTTTCTCGTAGACCGAAATGACCGCCTTGACCGATTCCTCTGGAGTCATCGGCAGGCCCGAGAAGCTCGGCGAATGTTTCTGGAGCTTGGCTCCGAAGATCGCAAAGGCTTGCCTTTGTTGCTCCGTCACTACTCAATCACACACACCAGGTCAGCTGATCCCTCACTCTCAAACATTGGAGTTGGGGATCCAGGCAGGGGGAAAACATAGAAGGGAAGGAAAAAAAATTCAAACTTACGATTCTCTGGGTGAAAATGCCCCGTATCCACCACGCCGGGACTAATACTCATGAAAAGCACCCCCTGCCTGGCAAACTCGGCACTGAACTTGGCCACGACCATGTTGGTAGCGGCTTTGCCCACGCCGTAAGGCCCACTGGCTTCGAGCTCGTATTTTGCCACTAAATCCAGGTCGCCCATGCCCGACGAGATGAGGACGACCTTTTTCTGCTGCCCTTTGAGGATCAGGGGCGTGAAGAGGTTGAAGAGGTGGATGTTGCCGACGACGTTGGTCTTGCACTCGAGGAGGATCTCTTCTTCTAGCGCGGTGGGGTTTTTGCCCCTGTGATGAGACGTGAGTACGCTAGGAAGTTGACCACCGCATGTGATGAGGGTGATTGTGCGTCAAAAACATGGGATGTTTCGCTGGTGAAGGGCAAGCTGGGACGAAAGAAACTCACAGCTCCGCAAAGCCCACAAAGCCCGAGTCCCCCGGGAGGCGCGCGCCGTTGGCGATCAGGTAGTCGAGGCTGCCGCCCGTGATGTTCGCGGTGGCTGCGCTTGCCGCCTGTTTAAGATCAGTCCGCATGTATCCCCCTTGGAACTTAAAGGAGCGCAGCGAGGACAACTCACCTTCAGCGACTCATAGCTGTCCAGGTCTCCGTGCAGGATATGGACATTGCTTCGATTGATCTCTGCCGCCACCTTGGCTTCGGTGCTTTTCACGTCACGCACCAGGCCTATGACGGTGTTGGACGGATCGGCGGAGAGTTGCTTCAGGAATTCGAACTGTTGGAACGGGGGGTGTGAGCTGGGGGGTGACTTGGGTGTAAAGGATGAGGCTTACGCCGATGCCTTTTGAGGCTCCTGTGATGGCATATGAGGGCATGCTGGTACCGGGTTGAGAAACTACTGGGAAGATGTGCCTGTGTTGGGACGGGTTGTGGTTTTAGCGATAGGGGTTGGCTGGGTCGAGCAGGGTAGAAAGCGTAGGTAGCTGCAACACGCATTTTATATCTAGGGCATGAGTCCACTCCAGCCCGGAGCTCATCCCGCAATGCTCCTGTGATTAGAAATCCTTTCTCAACAACTTTCGTCCTGACCGTTTCGAAAGATCCGGTATGTTGTCAGTGGTGCTAATCAAGCATGAGTTGTGCAGGAATGCCGTCGATGCCAAGCCATCTGAATTCCCGTATCGCGTTAGCAGCAGCGGCCGTGGCGTCAGTGTCGCCCGGAACTTTAGTCTCTCTTCATCCGCCACGATACCCTCGTTTCGCACTCCCATGATCCTCTGCGTCACTGCCAGAGGCCCGCCCGTACCTCATGATGCTAAGCTGACGTATCTATAGCTCCAGAGGGAGTTTGAACAACTTGATAGCGTTGCTTCTTCCAACCACCTCCTTCTGATCTCCTGGCAGGGACACCGACTTCCACCAGTCCTGACCAGCTTTGACCGTGTCGTACGGCGTATCTATCAAAGTCAGCAGCTATAGCTTTGCTCTGACTTGGAAACCCCACCAATCGAGTACAACACCCGGTCAACTCCCAATTGGTCGATCACGAACTTCAGATTCGGCGTGCTGAAGAAACCCGACGTTGTGATGTGGACATTTCTAGCGAAATAGTAGCCATAGTCCTCCTTTGATGGTCTAGTCGCCTTTTTGCTCGGCTTGTTGTACCTATATGCATGTCAATTCCTGTCAGACCTCGTTGGTGTCGACGACATACCAGGAGTTGGCACGCCACAGGTTGAATGGAATGCTAGACAACGTGAGCACTGCTCGTCTCAGGGGCAGAGCCGCTTACCCCTCCCCCATATGGCCCGCCACAATCTGAACGTCGGGATATCGATCGAAGACTCCTGTCTCCTGTCAGCCCCCAACTTCGCAGCAGCACAAATCTGCTCACCAGAAGAGATGACGGCGTAGAGATGAAAACTCAAATCCAAATGGAATTGCACGGCGGCACCAAGTAGGTGAGTCCGCGGCGCGTACGATACCTCACTTCCAGGCTTGATCTCGACCAACGGCGGCCACCGCGGGTGGAAGTATACCGGAACGCCTAGTTCTTGCACCGCCGCCCAGAAAACGTCGTACTCTTCCTCGTCATAATACTTCCTCCCTTTCCCGTCGTTGCCCGTGCTCTGGAAATCATTAATCATAGCGCCGAACATGCCCAGCCCCACCGCGCGCTTCAACTCTTCCGCAGCTTGTGTTGCATTATGCATCGACAAGGCCGCCAGGCCGCCAAAGCGCGTTGGATGCTTCGCCGCCTCCCCGGCCAACCAGTCGTTGGCCGCCCTGGCCGTCTGCTCCGCCACCGCCGGGTCAGGTTGTCCTTGTGGCCCAGGAGAGGTGAGCGAGAGGAGCATGTATTCGACACCCTCCGCGTCCATGTGGCGGAGGCGCTCCTCGAGGTCGCCCAGCGTCACGGCATGGCGCTGCACGGTCTCGTTCGTCACCTCCTGACCAGGATTGAGAAACTGCACGGCTTCGGGCAGCGTCCAGATCGAGCCCGGGTCGATGGTGGCTTCTTCGATGGCTATCGTGCCGCGACCCATGGTGAGTGACGGTAGAACAAGTAGCGCGAGCTGGGATAGGAGCATGGCGGCAGCTATATCTGGTTCGAGACTCAATTCTACGGTCGAAAACCCAATGCGTCCGAAGAAGCCAGCATTAGGCATGTGGCTTTTTCATTTTGAGCCATTAGCAGCATGCCATCAGCCAAGGGTACTGGAGTGTTTGCCAATAATGCCAATGGCCTCACGTGTATTGTGAATGCGGGGAAGCCGGCAATTCATATCGGTCGGTAGCATCATGCCGCCAGACTCGCACCGCTGCATCTTACTTTCTGGAGTCTTGTTGGGGGGAAAGACTCCAGCTTGTAAGCAGTGACAGGTCGTTACCAGTCGCCCGTGGCATAGACGAAGTTAGCCGACGTCTCTCGTCCCTGGTCTTGGCAGGGCAGCATTGCGTTTTGGTCGTCGCCGGGTCAAGGCTTTCATCTCTACGACCTCTGACGTGCAATGCTGATGTCCTTGTCACTGCTCTACTGAATCCAGAATACTAGGGACGACAACGGACAGATGCTCCGCGATCGCAGCCGGGCCCTTGTCAGCTTAAAGTTCGTGGGGTATAGCGTACGTTACTATCCCGGGGTTGGTGGCGCGGGCTATCGCTTGGATCTGTTCAGCCTCTGCAGGAGTGCACACCGAGGCACAGAACTGTTTGTTTGGTACTGCACTGATAGAGCTTCACATACAAGGATATTCGGTTGATTCTGGCGGGCAGTCTCGGCCACATCCTCGACTCCTGGGCACTACTGTCAAACCAAAAACAACTATAGGCAGCCAAGAGAAGACTCACGCTCGCAGTTTGCAACGTGACATATGGTATACTCATGCTGCACCTGTGCTGTGAGCTGTCCCACCAGTCAATATGCTCGTTCCGGTGCGGTGTTGACAGTCACAGGTCTGAATGGCCCTGTTGGTTGGGGTACTGCCACGGCTGATGTGGGAGCAGTAGGTTTGGATATCCGTTCAATGTGTCTTGTTCGTGAGGGTGAAGTCACTTTGGCTCATACAGTGTATTCGCGAGCGTCAAGGTGTCAGCGGCGATTGATCGCACCTTTGTTCCAGCGTGATAACGTCTGGTTCGGCGCAACAATCAGGGCTGAGAGCGAGGGCCACCCCCACCTAAAGGTCCCTGGACACGGCGCGCGGGATACAATGGCACAGTGGTTCCCCACAGACAAATCGACAAGTCCAGGAGCGGAACACCATTTGTGGCTGGATGAGCAAGTGAATCTATGCCTTACCACACACGATCTCAACAACACCTGCCGTGTAGGGTCACATCGTGGATTGGATCATGCCAAACCCCTTGTGCGAAGCATCAGACATTGCACAAGCTCATGCAAGCAATATTGGTGCCTGCTCGCTACGACTAGGGGTTCTCCAACTCAGCGTACCCCCGGCATGGAAGCATACGCCCCAGCCAATGACCCAACGTGCTTGGAGTCGTGCCGGCGTATACAAGTACCGCGCGGCGGGAACTCTGTCAGTCGTTATCAGTGATTATCTCAAACTTGCCGTTCTTATTGCAACATTGAATCGGCGTCATGATGCATGATCTGGGATACCGGAACTACCACCCACTCCTCTCATGCTATATCGGCTCGCCGCTAGTATGCGACACGCTCCTTGCGAGGGGTGCTTGGGTCGATTATCTGCAAGGCCAGAGAAAGATAAATAAGCGCCTAGTACTCACCGGCAATTGACGCGCCAGAGCTAGGGCACAACACACCAGCTCACGTAGCAACTTAGCATCACATAACCCCCCAGTGAACAGGACCCCCACCAGAGTCGAACAACCCTCATCGAGGATCACGCCAACATCACCACCACCACCATGCTCATCAACCCCCAAACCAACCTCCCTCCCATCCCTCCCGCCGCCGAAACCTTCCCCTCCGCCACATCCACCACCCCCTTCTGGCGCACCCCACCCCACCCCCTCGACACCCACCGCTCCACGCCCACCCTCCCCCCCAAAACCGACATCCTCATCATCGGCGCCGGCATGACCGGCATCTCCCTGGCCTACCACCTCCTCCGGTCCCCCTCCCCCAACACCACCAACACCACCACCACCACCGGCCCAACACCCACCATCACGATCCTCGAAGCCCGCCAACTCTCCTCCGGCGCCACCGGCCGCAACGGCGGCCACGCCAAACTCCCCTTCTGGCACCTGCAGCACCTGCACAACCACCACTCGGCCGCCGAGGCCGCCGAGCTAGGCGCCTTCCAGCTCGCGCACCTCGCCGCTTTGAAGGCAGTCGTCGACAAGGAAGCCATCGCTTGCGAGCTGCTCGTGACGCGCAGCTTCGACGTCTACATGCGGCGCGACGTCTGGGAACGCCGCGTGGCGGACGTGGCGGCGTTGCGGAACGCCGGAGGCCGGGCGGCGGCGGAGGTGCTGCGGGAGGTGCAGGTGTTGGATGCGAAGGAGTGGGGCGAGGAGGCATTGGCGCGGATTACGGGCGTGGAGGGGCCGGTGGCGGGCGCGTTGGCGGTGCCGGCGGTGAGTCTTTGGCCGTATCGCTTTGTGTGTGGGCTGGCGGAGAGGATCTTGGGGGAGGTGAATCTGCAGACGGGGACGAAGGTGGTGGGGGTGAGTGAGGGGGTGGATGGGGACGGGTATTACAGTGTCAAGACGACGGAGAGGGGGGAGGTCAGGGCTAGGAAGGTCGTGTTCGCCACTAATGCGTATACGGCGGGCGTGGTGCCGGCGTATGAGGGGGTGATTGTTGGCTTGAAGGGGACGGCGTGTAAGGTTAATAAGAAGGGTGGTGCGCCCAGGGGACAGGTCAGGACGTGTACCTACAACATCTTCAAGGAGGATGGCCAGGTCGATTACCTGATCCATCGGGCGGATGGCGGCGCTGTCGTCGGCGGCGCAAGGGAGGCATACCCCGCGGATCTGACCGAGTTCGTCGGCACCATGGACGATGCCACCCTCCTGTCGCCGGACAAGGCCAGGGAGTACTTCGAGCGCCGCATGGAGACCGCCTGGGCCGACTGGAAGGAATGTGGTGTGGAGATCGACAAGATCTGGACGGGCAGTAAGTTGATTCTCTCCCCTCCCCAACCTTGGTACATCACTGACACACAGCCTCTAAAGTCATGGGTGGCACCCCCGATGGCTACCCGCACATAGGCGCCGTTCCAGGCAAGGAGAACCAGTACATCTGCGCCGGCTTCAACGGCGCCGGCATGCCGCATATCTTCCTGTCGGCGGAGGGCCTGGCGAGGATGATTCGCGACGGAGCCGCGTTTGAGGACGTCGGCATCCCAAGCATCTTCAAGGCTAGCGAGGAGAGGATGAGGGAGGGGTGGCCGGCGGATAAGTTCACCAAGCCCAAGGGGCTGCGGTGAGGCGGGCGGGGGAGATGATTACGCCGAGGGTGTGAGTACTGGGGCGTTTAAGAAAGGTCGTGGCGAGCTCCCCAAAATCACTGCTAGTGATACCCATACACCATATGCTTTCCCAAGAGATGTGCTGTATGCCCTGCGGGGTCCAAGGATTGCTGCAGGTTAGTTCAGATAGTCCAGACAAGTCGGTCCACGCCCATGGTTCAGCGAGTGCCTGTCAATTGGGCTGACCGATGGTGGTTTTAGAGTGCCTTGTTCATGTATAGACGGTGGGAGAAGGACATCTGTCTAATTTTTCCGCTCCTGGGCGAGCAAGGAAAACTGACCTCAAGGCCCTTCGCACACACGTTACCCACTCAAAAAGAGTCGAGCAGTGTCCTCACAAACTCCTAACTCACCTCCCGCACCCCCTCAACATCCACCCCCTTCCCACCCGCCGCCGCCTTGCTTTGCGCCTGTGCCGCCGCCAACCGCTCCTTCTCCTCCTCGGACCTCAAGACCTCGTCGTCGATCTTGCCTTCGACGCGCATCTTCTCTTCCACATCGTGCGGCACGATAACATTGCTCTCCGTGAAGTAGTTGGTCTCCAGAATCTTCCGCCACAGAATGTAGACGATGGCGATACTTCCCAGGAAGTACAGGATCAGCTGCAACGTGCTTTGGCCGCGGAACACCACGCCCTGCCCGCCAAGAATGAAGGAGAGGAACATGCCCAGGGAGGAGTAGAACTTGAAGAGGCCGGCGACTTTGGAGAGCTTGTCGGGGTCGTTGGTTGTGGACGAGAGGGTGTACTCGGTCACCATTTGGTAGCCGGCGTACCTGTTCTTCGTTAGCACTGCACAAATTAGTTTCAGGTGCTTATAGCATACGTCGTCCCGAAGCACCAGTAGATAATCAGCATCGGCACCCAGATCGTATGGTCCGTCCAGTCCCACGCGCGAGGCGCCGAGGAATCGTCAAAGCCATTCTTCTCAACCCACCCCACCAGGCCCGCCGCACCACCGCACGCGATGGTTCCGGTAATCGCAATGCCTAGAAAGCCACGCTGACGGCGCGAGGCAATGCGCTTGCTGTCCAGGACCTTGGTCAGCAGTGGCGGAACGAACATCTGAATAACGTTAAACATCAGGTTGTTGAGCGCACGCGTCCGCAGGTTAAAGGCGCGGGAGTTGACGGAGCTCAGCAAGCCGAGGGCCATCTCGCAGCAGAACATGGGGATGGCCAGGATGAGGTAGCGGGGATCGACGGCGGCGACGGCCATGCCTTTCAGTTCGGCGACGAGCGACTTCTTGGGGAAGATGGCGATGTGGGAGCCGTCGTCGCGGACGACTTTGGAGGGATGCACGATCAGGAGAGCGGCGATGAGGATGGCGGCTGATTGGATGAGGATGAAGGCGATGTAGACCCCGGTCGAAACTCCTACTGCCGCGGTGGCTTCAAAGTTGGACCCGAAGGCGATCGAGGCGCCGACTGTGGCGCCGACTGAGCGAAGGGCCCATTGGATGGAAATATACTGCGGGAGACCATGGTTGGCACAGGCAATTCCAAGATCTAGGAGAAAGAGCAACTTACCATGGCCTTGTGCTTCTCCTCCGGGTAGCAGAACTCAATATACGCTCCAGTCGTCCACAGGAAGGCTCCCGAGATGCCGCTCACCACCCCAGAAACGTAGACCAGCCAGCTGTTGCCGGAGCGGTCGTAGTACCACAGGCCACCGATATAAAAGGGATAGCCGACGGCGCCGATGATGAGGCAGATGCGCGGCGTGAGCTTGTGCAGGACGAAGCCCACGACCAGCGAACCAAAGGCCAAGAAAATGTAGATGATGGCGTTGACGTTGTTGGCGACCTCGAGAGACGACGGCTTCCCTCCACCGGCTCCCAGGCCCGTGATGGCTGAATACATGCCGGGCAAGCAGAAGAGCATGGCGCCGACAACCAGGTTCTGGTTGAAGGGCCGGCTCAGACGGAGCTTCTCCTTGGATAGCATGGCGTTGGTTCTTGAAGTCGAGCTGTGTGGTTCTCGGAAGCCTCAATCTCGAACGAGGTCAGTCAGGAACGAGGCCTGCCAGAATACAGGACGGTGGTCTTATACATGCTGTTCCAGCATCACGGACACTTGCCGGTCCCGGCAGCTTATCAGCGGAGCCACACGGTTGCTGAGGGTGTGTGTTAGCTGGGCAGCTTCTACCAAGTGCACGGGAATTCCTGCGGCGGGACCGGTCGCTAACGCGCAAGGTAGGCACAGACGTTTACGCGTGGTGCTCCAGCACATGGGCCATGGCATGCTTGGGACCTCAGGATGGATACCGGAGCTGCAGATCAGTCTCGAAGCGACGGATGCTATCATTATCTCGGCGGACATGTGCGAGATTGTTGACGGAGCATCGCTGCTTGGCTGAGAGGGTAGCGGGAGATGGATCCTGCCTGGGGTCCACGTGGGTGAACATACTGCCCGGGCCGGTTGCGACTTCGCTTGAGAGTAGATGATAGCATGGCTGTGACATTCGGTAGCTAGAGGGTATAGAAGAAGCTACAGAAGCTGTACTGGGTAGAAGGGAGGTATTGTAGAAGAAGAATGCGCCTACGCTTAGCACCAGTACGAGCGACTCCATGGGGGCTACTATAGGCGGGATTGTTTCCGCATAACGCCGCGCCCGTCAAAGACAGACCGAGAACTGGGATGTGGAAGACATTAACCAACGGGTCTTATTCCTAATGCTTCGTCCTGCTGAGAGCTGCCAACGCCTGGGACGCTCGTCCACAATAATGTCACTTCTTGTTCCACCCCCTGCCCCATCCTCTCAAGGCCCGCTGCCGCCGCCGCTCCCGCTCTTCGGCCACCACCACCAGTGCGGCACCATGCCCTGGTACAGCGAGTAACTCACATTCCCCTCCCAGCCGGGACGCCCCTCATGCACACCCCGTGACGCCCGCGTGGTGAACTCCCACGGCTCAACACCCATATACTGAAAGTCCGGCTTGCCACCGATGCCCTGGCTCTTGAAAACGCCCGGCGTGTCGCCCACCCACTTGAGCACCTTGCCCAACACCGGATCCATGGCCACCCGCAACTTCAAGACCTGATGGGCCGCCGTCCCCATGACGCCCTTCCACGTGAGGACGCGCTTACCGGGCTCGGTGTTCTTGATCGCCTGCACGATCTCCTCTGAGACGCCCATCTTGCGCAGCTCGGCCCAGTTCTCCTGGAACACCGTCATCTGCACGTCGCGGCCCACTTGCTCGCCCATCTGTTGGAACCGCTGCTGGTGGAAGCCGTAATCGACGCCTCGTACCACGGGTGGTTTACCCCCGGCTCCCGCTCCTCCACTCGATCCCCCGCCTCCTCCGCTCCCTGTCCCGCCGCCGGAACCACCACCACCACTTCCCCCTCCGCCCCCGCCAGTGGCTTGTGCGGCCGCCTTCTTCCCCACCGGAGCCCCAACAGCCGCCATAGCCATAGCCGTCGTCGGGATACTAGGCGCCGTAGACGCCTGCGTCAGCGCCTGTGCCGACCCCGTTGCTCGGGGCACTGGCATTCTTGCCCCACCCGCGGCAGCGAGCTGCATCATCGGCTGCGGTCCCGTACCACCGCCGCCGCCGCCCATGCTCCCCTTAAAGTGCTTGGGGGCGCCCGCAAAGGTAGCTGCCGCGCTACCAACGTCGAGGATCACGCCGGCTACAGCCTGCGACGCCTCCGGGTCCGTGTACTTCTCGCCCGTCGCCGGGTTAACATCACGCCGTAAGCTGCTGATGGTCTCAGCGGCCTGCGCCACGCTCTTGACAGCCGTATATGTGCCGTAGACGACGGCGGCGTCGGCAGCCACTCCAGCCACCACGGTGGCGCCTGCTCCCACCGCCGCAACTGTGGCCGCCGACCCTCCTAGAATCGTCGCGGCCGCCGAGGCCGCAGCTGGCGCCATGGCGAGCACCGCGCCGCCCGTCAATGCCACTGCGGCAATGCCTATAGCGCCAATCGCCACGGCGGCCGCCACCGTCCCCACATCGATCGACCAACGCCCATCCGGATCCACGCGGCAGCTGGGTCGCGACCGCACAAACCTATACGCATTCGGCCCGTCCTTGAGTCCTGCCGGATCAGGGCTCGTCCACCGGCCCAGCCACGGCGCATAGTACCGCGCCCCGAAGTAGCACAGGCCGCTCTCCTCGTCGCGCTCTTTGCCTGCAAACCGGTAACGTTTGGTGCGTGCTGCTACCGCGAGGCCGCCGCGATACGTGCTGGCCCCGTAGGGTGCGTATTCCTCGTACGACAGCAGCTGCGATGTATCGTCGAACTCGGCGCGTGCTGATCCGGTGAGATCGTGCAGCATATACCGTGCTTGCTGCGCCGGTGAGCCATCGTCACCGACCGTGCGCGCCTCATAAAGGGCGATGCTCTCGGACGCTAGCTGCAGGTTGTAGGTGTGCCGCTCAAGGACGATCGGTGGGTCGGTGTTATTTCCGTTGCCGTTGTCGTTCGCATCGCCATTTCGGTCGCTGTTGTTGCCGTCCCCCTCATCATGCCCTCCACCCCCACCACCGTACCGACGGAAGATCATCGTATTCCCAATATACAGCGTCTCCTTAAGGCGCCGCGGCACCTGACCCGCCGGCGCGAATGCCTCCGTGACCTTCCGCACCCGCTGCCCATCACTCCCATAGACATAGTATGTGGTTTCAGGCGTGGCGCCGTCTCCACCCACACGCTGCCGCGCCGAGCAGCGCAGCCGGTCCTGGACATCCCACTCCAGCCGTGCGAGTTGCGGCATAGCCGTGAGGTGCCCACGACGCCCGGCGGGGCCAGTGTAGCCATACACCTCGGTCGTGTCGCCCACCTGCGTTTTGCTCAACCGGTTACCGCCCTGCGCCGCCAGCCCGGGTATCTGGCTAGGCTCAGCGTAAGAGTAGGTGCGCGTCCAGCCAGGCGCTTGTGCCGCGTCTCCGGCGTGCCTCACGGACAGGATATTACCCACGCCATCGTACGTGTATGTCTCGGTGTAGCGTGCCAGAGCAGATCCGTCATCTGGCACGATCGTCGACGCATTTCCTGGGATTGGTGGCTCTACCGCCGTCGGCGCCGTCCCAGCGGTTCGCAAATCCTCACGTCCCGTGGCCTGCACCAGCTGGTATGTGGCGTCATATTTGTACCGACTACTGCTGTCAACGCGCGCGTTGCGGAAGAAGACCGCCTGCTGTGCCGCATCCACCACGCTCGTCACGTTGCCGACGGGATCGTACGTGTAGGTGCAGTCCTGGACGCGCTCGCCGCTCGCACGCATGGCCACCATCTGCCGTAGCTCGCCCGTCTGTGCGTCGAAGCGGTGCTGCACCGAAATGCCGTTGCCGTAGGTCATGCGCACGGCGTGGCCCTTGGCCGAGTACGTGATGCTGTGCAGTGCCACGGGCCATTGTGCGAGATCCTCGTCCGGCGGTCGCTGCCCACGCAGGTTGATGCGTAAGGCTTGCAGTCGCCCGGCCTCGTCGTACTCGCGCACCTCCTCGGTACCGTCGGCCGAACGCAGACGGAACGGCCGGTTCAGCGCGTCGTACTGTACCGAGGACTCGTGAGTCGTTGGTTCTAGTGGCACAGGCTGGCTCCAGTCGACGGACTCCTTGTACTCTACGGCGATTCGCCGGCTGGTACGTAGTGGATTGCCCTTGAAATCGTAGGCGTCAACGGATGAGACGCCGGCCTCGTCATTGACCCGGACGACGCGACCACGCATGTTGTTTGTCAGGTTTGATGATGCGGTATTAGTGCTACTGCTGCTGCTGCTGTTGTTGCCACTGCCATCGGGGTCCGGGGACGCAAGCGTGTCACCGTACACGAACTGTTGAACTACACGTTCTCGACCGGTCTCATCCTGGACGCGAGACTCGAGAGGTCGACGTAGCACATCGTACGCAGTGCTGAAGCGTGCGCCACGGCTGTTCCACACTGTAAGCACGTTGCCCGTGGCGTCGGGAAGGGCCCAATCAGAGCCCTTGTCCATTGTGGTGCGCCACAGCGCAGTTCCCGTCATATCAAAAGAAGCGCGGGTGACGACGCGACCGAGTGCGTCTACGGACTCGATGACGTTGGATTGGAAATCGTAGGTGGTACGCGTGGTCAGGAGGCCGTCGGGCCCGTTGTCTGCGGTGCTCGCAACAACGCGGCCCAGTACGTCGAGGTGTATCACTGTGGGAGTGTTCGCGTGGGTGGCCGACTGCGATGCCGCGGCTTGCTCGTCGGGTCCCAGGGCGCCATGGATCCGAGCCGCGTGCCACGTCGGGAGGTAGTCGGATGGCGGGAGCTTCGCAATGAAGGGGCTCAGGGTGGAGTCCGTACGTGGGTCAGCTATGATGTTGTCCACGGCGTCGAATTGCGTGGTCTGCCAGGGGCGGAACTCTGTCTTCTCGAATGCCTTGTTGGGGTGCAACGCAGCAACGCGCCTGCCCATGGGGTCGTAGAATAGCGTGGCCGCAGGCCCAGCCAGGCGGCTCGGTGTGTAGGCGTGCGTATCAGAGAAGAAGGGCTCATACTCCCGGACGGCCTGTTCTTTGTTGTTGAAGATTACCCAACCGCTAGTGGACCAGCGCGGGTTGACTACTGCGGCATTGGGGTCTTCATCGAGCGGATCGAGCGGGCCAGGGGAGTCGAGCGCCTTCTTCTGGATTGAGGAGTAGACGCCATCCAGATAGCAGATAGTGATGGTCACTGGCGATACCTCACCTGGCGGCAAGTTATTCACGTGCTGCGTCCTGGTAATGGTTGCAAAGTAAGGGGGTCGCTCGCCGTCGCCATTCTCTGTACTTGGCACCCATTGATAGTCGTACAGAGTGCGCGACGAGGCCGTCCCGAGCAGTCTGTTCGTCACATTGCTGGTGGGATGGGCGTAGAATTGGTCGAGATCGTCCTGAGTCACATCTGCAGCGAAGCCCTCGAGCGAATCGCCCAAATGCTCGCCGCTTTTGCCCATGTACGCCGTGCCGCTGGGTAGACCAAATGCATCGTACGCAACTGCCTGCCGATTCCCATTGGCGTCGGTCTGCTCGTTGACGTTGAGAGCACGATAGTCAATCCTGTTCGTTGTCTGGTTGCCGCTGGGGTCGATGACCCTGAGGGGAAAGAGGTAATGTTGGTCAAACTCCAGAACAGTGGCGTGGCCGAAGGGGTCCGTGTAGCGACGAGCCGTGAAAAAGGACGCCCGGGCAGCAGCGAGTTCGGTAGCAGGAGAGGCCGCTGCCTCGGGACTGAAGCTGTGGCTATCGCTGACGCTCCATAGGTTCCCATCGCCATCCAGATCAACGTAGCCGCATCCTGTACCACTCTTGTCTGTGAGGACCAAGCTTCCGGGACCAATCAGCAGCTCCACCGATCGCGCTGGAAGCTGCCTTTTGAACACCTTTTCGATCAGACCCGGCGTGAAGTTGAGCTTGTAGGCTAGGCCCGGAAGTCCAAGAGGTTGTATTTGTCCCTTGGGTAGCAGGCCAGCAAGATCATCACGACGGAACAGTACCCTGGAACGCGAGACACAACGCTTTGTCAAGGCATTCGCTGATGTGGAACTGTCCTCAAAGGACAATTCTATCAGCTGGCGGAGGGGCGCGAAGTCATCGGCATCAAAATCGGAGGGTATGAATCGAGCTCGGCCAGCTGCTACTCGAAATCCTGTAATTTCGTACTGCCTTTTCTCGCACACTCTGGGAAGAATGTAGTTAGGACCCCCGTCAATCAGCTGTGTATAGTCGACCTCCACGTAGCTCAAAATAGGGGTCTCCTGCTTGGCTATATCGGCCGGATCGAGAGGACTGCGACCTGCTTGACGGCCATAGGCGATGTCGATGCTCTTCATGACGTGTCCGAAGCGGTCACGCTGCAGAACCATGGTGTGGTGGACGCGGGCATCGGCGACGTCCCGCTCATGCTCGACCTTGATCGACTCATGCGGATCGACGGCAAAGACGCAATGCTTGTTGGCGTCCTGCACCTCCTGCAAGATCTCGATCCGGTAGCTTGTTTCTTCGGTAGTGTACGGGATGTGTGCTACATCGCTCCCGTCGTCTGCGTAGACCTCGCTGCGTAAGAGCCGGCCACCCAGCGCGCGACAAGCTTCACGCAGCGACTCCCCCTCGAGTCGAGAAGGCGACAAGGAGGTGCTATCCGACAGGGTGAATGGGGCGATCGGTGCACCCGAACCTGCTCCAGCCGGTTGGAAGTAGTCATCCGACATATGCCGACTGATGATACCGTCTTCCAAGTAGACACCAGTATGAAACCACGTCTTGGTGTGCACTGGTGGCACCCGCCACGATTTTCCCTGATTCGAAGCCGGCTCTTGCTCGGATGGAGCGAGGAACTCTTCGCAGTCCCAAGTCTCAGTCATACCAAAGCCACGGAAATCGCGCTCAATTGAGTCATAGAAGCCGTGCCAGTATGCGAAGAGATTTGTATACCGTCTATCGCTGATGCTGTCCCTCATGTCTACTCTCTCCACGCAGTGCACCGGGAATGGTAGCTTCGTCTTCCATGGGCTATTGCTTTCTTGAGCTTGGAGATAGAAACGAGTCGATGGTGCATAAGTGATACGAGTCTCGCTGCCCATGCCGTTGGACATCCGAGTCAGCAGGCGAGGTTTTTGGCCGCGGAAAATGTCAACGTAGCGCATAGATTGGGACGCATCAGAAGGAAGCGCCGAGTTCCATACTAGGCTGGCAGTTCCGTTTCCGAGGAGATCTACCACTGATACATGTATCATATCGTCGACGCGGAGCCCATTGCCAATCGACCGAGGGCCAGAGAAGCCGTTGCCGCTGTAGTTTTGGTACATAACAGCGCCACTCGCATGCAGATAAAGCAAATCTGCAGGTCCACTACCGTCGAGGTCGATCAGCTGCACACGACCTTCATTGAATATAGTATCGGCATCGACACGAGGAGCATGCTCCATGCTGACCTGGCTCCCAAAACGCCCGTACCCCACGTTGGGCCAGTAGCACACATCGCTGTTCCGCACCCGCACGAGGTCAGCGAGGCCATCTCCTGTCATGTCTGCAAAGTGTATGGTCTCTTCGGGGTCGGAATACAGGCAGTGTGGCCCAGTACTTGGATCCGAGAGCTGCGCGACACAGGACGGTGGGCCATAGCCTTCGCGGCCGAGCGACGGAAACCAGGTGTAAACCAAGTCGGAACAAATTAAAATATCTGGGAGTCCGTCACCGGAGAGATCTAAAAAGCGCACATCTTTGTCACTTGTGTCAATGGGCGGGAAAGAAGGAAAAGTCCGGAAGTCGGTCCAGCCCTCGTTGTCTTCGCGCTCAAAGTATCCCCAGGCCCCTGGTATGGTGACAACGACGTCGAGTTTTCCGGCACCTGCAACATCTCCAAATTGGACGCGAGCACTGGAGCTACCATGGGCGGAAAACGAGGGAACTTGCGGAACTAGTTGAAGAGGCTCGAAGCGAGGTTTTGCTTCGAGAATGCCGTCGTCATTTGGCACAAGGTTGCTCGCGCTTGTGTTGCGCTTGTAATACCAGTTCCTACCGTCTTGCACAAGGATACCGGAAAGGCCTTCGCTGTGCAGATCAATCCATTGATAGCCTGGGCCGGCGATGCCGATCGGGAGTCCTTCGCTGCTCGAGCTATCTATGTCTTGGGCTACAAGCGATGCCAGCTCGACATCTGAAGGGAATGTAGAGTAGTCAAACGACACAGCAGGAAGTGATCTCCTTGTGTAGGACGGCGCACCACTCGAGGACTTGGAGATAGTGTATCCCGACTGAATGGCTGACACCAATAGTGTAGCAGTCTCATTTTCATCGTAGGTCAGATCGGTGGAGCGGACTAGATAGTCCTTCGCTCCGAGCTCCGAGTCAAAATGATGGAACGTCAAGATTCTGCGGCAGAGGCGATAGGTGCGGATGTCGAAACCAGAACGGCAAGACGAGAACGGGTCGTCACGGCAGCTCCAGGACCGTGACTCGGCAACCATCGGCATCTCATTTTCATGGTCGCCATAGTCAAAGACGGTGGTGAAGCACCAGGTCCCTTCTAGGAGTTCCGCAGTTGGCTGTGCATCCCAGCTGACAGGGTCACGGTTTGGTACCGTGTTTCCGTAGCGGATGCGCTTAATGTGCTTCGCTGCCCGTCGAGAGGCATCCGTTCGGTTAGCCTCGCAGGCTCGTTGCACATCGATGTTGGACGAGTCCTCGGACTTGTATTCGAAAAGCATGGCATTTCCTCGTTGATCATAGACCTCGCAAAGCAGCCAAGCAAAGGTGCGATGTTGGTCCAGGGGATCACAGATGCGACTGGCGGTCGTCCTGCCGTATATAGCTGTCTGGTTGTCTCCGGTTACTGTTACCCAATGGAGATCGTGTGGTTCGGCTGAACTTTGCCAACGCTCGATGCGGACAAAGGCACTCTCGATCCGTGGCATGTAACGCCTCACTATAAAGCCCTGTTTCAGCTGCTCATCGACCTGTGGTGTGCGCTCGGCAGAGAGAACAATGTCGCCGGCCCCTGTTCGCTTGAAAACGGGAACAAGGTCATCGTGGCCTTCTAGGAGGAAAACATCGTCGCGAGACGGGTCGGCTCCGTCCTCATATCTCGGCATACCTCGAGAAGTCTTCCTCGAAATCCTGGGAATCGAAAGATCCCAACCGAGTCCAAAGGTCGAGTTGCGACCTCCAGAGCTGTACTCCAAAGTGAGGGTTGGCTGGACACCTCTTGCCGAACTGGTGGCGATGGGAATGGAGCAAGACCCAAGTCCGGTGTTGGAGTTGACTTTGAACTTTTCGCCCATACCATGAACAGAGCCGGTTTTGGGAAGCGAGAGCACCGGAGGCTGCGGCAGCTTGGTGTCAAGGGTTGTTGCATTGGAGGTCGCAACTGGCACGTTGGCTCCATCCTGTGCACCACCCGCAAAGGCCATCTTGGTGGTGGATGACAGATCATTGATGCCTTGAACAGCACTCCCACCCCCGACCGTATTCCCGCCGGGTTTCAGCGCCGCCATCTCTTGCGCTGGTGTGAGGCAACTATGGCTTAGTGAACCAAACTGCAGAGAAGCTGGTGTACCATCTTCGACAAAGCTCCAGAAATCTATCGTAGCAGCATGATGCCGGGCATAGGCTGGGGTTCGGAAGGCATCGTACTACCTCGTATTCGTTGATGTCGTTTGGCGAATCTCTGGAACGAGGTTGAAGTTGCTGCCGCCCAACGCCTAGCTGTCAGCCTTGCCGATTGAAACTTTGCATTGTTTCCTCCTTTCCATCTCCTTCGCAGTAGCAGATACGAGTTCACGATCCTCGTACCCCCGATATCCTGGTTTCTCCTGGTCTGGCCACCTTGGCAATGCCATCTGCGTACACCGGTCGAAAAGCCATCGGCAACGTAGCCTATAGCGCTCTCCTGCCCCTCAGCTGCCAAGACGTCATTTCATTCCGACGCTGCCTGACAAGTCAAAATGAGACGAACACGAGCAAAGTTCTGTTGCTATGAAGCAGCACTCTCGTGTTGCTCCTTCGCGCAACTCAGCTCTCCGGGGTTCCTTTGGGGAGTTTGCCAGAATTTGCGTACCATGGCGGCCGCCTTGACGCCTATGCGGGGCGTCTCTTTGCAGCCTAAGGAGGAGAGACGCTCCGAGTTCCATCAGCTCCTCTCAATGTTTGTGATTCTGTCAAATTTGGACATCGGCCGAATGCTCAGTGCACGTCGAGTACAATAAATAACAGTCGTCGCCCTGAAGACGCTGTGACAAGCTGTGAACAAGCTCACTCGCTCGGGCAGGAGCGGCTCGCTCCAGTTCCGCAGTTCCGCATGGCCAAGCCTCTTGGCAACGACGACGCCTTTCAGGCTCTCAAGCACAAGCTGGTCAAGACGCGCAAGGACCATGGAGCGTCTTCGTCCACGCTGTCTAAGAAAGACGAGGCAGTCTTTGAGTCGCTGAGTCCGCTCTTTCCTCAGCACAAAAAGATTGTGTCTGGTATCCTCGGCAGCCTGAAGCCGGATTCCACATTGCGAACCCTTGCTTCATCTCATGGGCTTGAAGATCTCACGGCGCTCGCAAACAACAGCAGCCATGGCACAAGCAAGCACAAGATCAAGTCTGCGAGTCATGATGGACACGCTCCAACGTCGCCTGATCGAGACGATGCCGTTGCCTTCCGTCGGAGATTGTTTGCACTTGAACCCACCGGCATCATCCAGCGGATGGTCATGGATGATGATGCGGGCCCGTTCCCTAACGAAACTGTACGACATTCCGTGGCTAGATTCATCGAGAACCAGCCACAATCTTTCGACATTAGACGCACCCTGCTCCGCTCTGCCTTTCGCCGAAAGAATGCGTTCACCGGCATCCCGGCGGAGAATCAGTCAGATGTATCCAGTGCGTTAAAAAGCCTGCAAACAACACTGGCCATGACGGACCGCCCTGAGGCCATCAAACCAATGCGTGAGATTGGGCTGTCGACCGCCTTTGCCGTTAGCTCCATGTCAGAATCAGCCTTCACCCAAGCTATGAACGGTAAGCTTGACGATAATGTTGCCAAAGACATCCACCGTCGCGCTATCAACAGCAGGGTTCAGAATGATCATGCACTTGTATCCCTCCTACAGACGACTCGAGGGACCGGGATCGCTGCGCTCGATGGAACAACCACCCTTGAACAGCGCAAGAACATGCTCACTGATCATCTGCACAAGGCTATCGACAAAAGGGGTAGAGATATGGACCGTGCCGACAACAGCGATGACGATGACGATGCTGAGGATGACCCCGACCCAAAGCCGGTCGTGGACCTGGAAGCTCTTTTCGGCAGTCTCGACTATTGCGAGTGTAGCGATTGCAACTCCATCAACAGCCCAGCAGCGTACTTTGTCGAGCTGCTTCAATTTTTGAGAAACAATAATCTCCATTGGGATATGACCAAATGGCCCAACTCAGGAAAGCCGGGAATTGAAGGCACAGCTCTTGAAGCTCTGTTTGCGCGGCGACCTGATCTCGGCAACATCCAGCTCACATGCGAGAACACAAACACCATCCTACCGTACATCGACCTGGCCAACGAGGTGATGGAGTCCTTTGTTGAGCATAAACAAAAGTATGTGGAAGATAAGCACAAACCCAAACGTCTGACCCTCGACGTCTTCAACATCGATGACGAAACTTCGAGCGAGCTGCTAGCGCAGCCACAGCACACAAACTACACTGCATACTGCATCCTCAGAGACGCCGTGTATCCCATCGTCAATGCTCCGTACCACCAGGCACTGGATGAGGCACGCATCCTGCTCGAGTTCATGAAAACATCGCGTTACGAGCTCATCACGACCTTCGCAAGCAAGTACTCGGATGATGATAACTCAAATGAATCGCCAGCAGAGAGGGGGAAGCTGCTTGACCAACATCACCAGACGCTGGAACGGATTGCGACGTCTGAATTCTGGAAGATGTCACAGACCGAGTACATCGCAATCACAAGGGAGTCATACTGGTCCAAGGAGTTCTGGATTATTAAGAAGAAGGCCGCAATTTCCGACGATGATTACCTGACCCACATCAAGAGGAAGAAGGCCTGGATCTACTGGGGCTTTGACACCGAAGCTGCTATGCAGAGCACCGACCCAGATGCAAAGACTGGCCTCATGTTCGTCAAAAAGCAGCTTCTTCAACGAGCTTATGTGACCTACGAAGACCTAGTGAATTTGATTAAGACCCGTTATACCAACCCAAACATGCCGACCGGATGGAGTCGCGTCGTTCTAGAGAGCATTCGCTTCAGCTATCAATACCTTGTGCCCCTGGTTGACAAGAAGCAACATGATCCCTGCAAAAAGTACAGGCACCTTGCCCAGTTTCTAGCATATTGGAAGCCGTGGGCGAAGGAGACAGGGGTCGAAGTCAACGACTGTGACAATATCTGTCTCAGCGAGACCGACATCCTCTGCTGGCTCAAAACTTGGTTTGAAGCGATTGGAAAAATTGTCGTCCTCGAGTCAGGCGATGTCCCGCGCCTACCCATCGAGGGGCACCTGGTTCTGCATACGACGGTAAACATCCCAGCTCTGGCTCTAGTCGCACGTGCAGAAATACCCCCACTGGTTCAACCTAGCGGCAGTGGTTGGGAAGATCTTGGCTATCTTGACAGGGAGGGTACGGTGCGGCGGCAGGACGGTAACATGGTGGCCTTTGTCGCGCCCGACAGCACGCTGCGAGATGCCGACGGAACGCTCTATGTCACTCATCTCAAACACCTACAGACACTCTACATTGTCGATCCGGCCCTCACGAGTTTCGAAAACGAACAAGACATCTCCCAAAATCACATCATAGCCAATGTTCAAGCAGACACGAGCCTTGTCACGTGGAATGTTCCGTTTGGGAGAAAAGATCCTCCAGCTGTACACTACCTCGCCGCTACTGAGACCTGCAATATCGATAGGGTAACAGTCCAGCACTTGGACGGTACGCCCCTCACAGCAGATGAGTGGGACCGCATGCAGGCGTTCTTGCGCCTCTGGCGTCGTCTTGGCTGGTCCATCAATGAAGTCGATCAGGCACTCTCTGGCATTACGCAATCCTCGTCTCAAACAAATGCCAGCGCCGACAAGACTCCTGATACCATTGAGGACTGGAATCAGGTGATTGACTCGGGTGGCTGTCTCTGCCAGGCCTGTGGTCACACTTTGTCCGACTGCTGTTGCAGCAAGCCAAAACCACCAGAAGAGGATTGCTGCAACCTTGCAGGCCCAGATCCTCCTATGTATATCACACCGGCGGTGCTGGAGCAGCTCGTAGCAATCAAGCAACTATTGGACCTCGGCGGCCTTGACCTGATCCAGCTACTCACCTTATGGTACGACATTTCGATTGAAGGAAGTCCATCTCTGTACAGCAAGCTCTTCCTAGTACACAGTGTCTCTGGGATCGATCCAGTGTTCAAGGCGAACGCAGAAGGCAGTTATCTCTCTACTTCCACAAAGATATCCAGTCATCTTGCCGTCATAACTGCTGCTCTTCGAATCAACGCCGAGACTCTCGCTGTGTTAATGGCTGATGGTGCAATCGAGGATGATCTAAGTCTCGGCAACATATCCAGGCTGTACAAATATGTTGTTCTTGGACGTCTGCTGAACATGAAGCCTATTCTCATTCCGCGAGTTATCAAAGTCTGTGGCCAGCCGTTTTTCAGCCCCCGGGCCACGCTTGACATGGTCAAGTTATGGCAGCAGATCAGAGACAAGGGCTACACACTACCACAAATCGACTATTTGATCAATAACAGGGACGATGATCCCTTAAAACCCTTGGGACCGACCACTGCCACGATTCTGAAAGCTACCAAGACCATGATTGATGGGATATCCAAAGTCAATGCCGAGCATGCCGATGTTAATGAGACGGAGACCACAGCAGCTATCTTGACGAACCTCTCCAGCAAAATTCCTTTGATATTCGAACCAGATGTGACAGCCGCAATCCTTGCTCTAATCAATGGAACCACTGTGTACTCCACTGATGCACCTCCCAACCTTACTATTACGGTTCCTGAAAACATGAAGGCAAAGTTGCAGTACAGCACTCTGAAGAACATGACTCCAGTGAGAGCCACCCTACAAGTAACCGGAATTTTGACCGTGGAGGAAGCCTCAGTCGCCAAAGCTTTGTCGAATAGTAATGACTGGTCAGCAGCATTGGAGAGAGTCGCTAAGAAGCCGGGTAGGTTCTTTGACGAAGTTCTATTTGGCATCTTCTCCAACAAGGACGAGGCGAAGGCGGTACTACTGCAGGGCGATGTACCGGCCCTGCCGCCACCTCCTCCCGTACCCACTGATGTGAACTCTACAGGGACAGGGACAAGTGGGAGCAACGCAGGCGCCGATCAAACCATCGACAAGAGCACTGCGAGGCCAAAATCGCTGTTCTTCCTGCAGGGACTGCTGCCATTTCTACGAATGACATTGGCGGATCAAGTAATTATCGAGACCGTCTCAGAAGCATCCTCAATTTCGGACGCCGAGACGCGAGTTCTTCTCCTGACCAAGCTTATCACCGACTCAGAAAGCCAGTTCGGCATTCATACTCTTCGCAATATAGTAAAGAGCCCTCCGACGTACGACTCTTCATTCCAGGGATACCTCATCCCAAGCACCAGTGACGATTTCACTTTTGTTGCAGGTGGCTTCAGCCAGGAACCCCCAGCGCTCTCGATTGACAAGCAACAAGTCAGGCTTCAGCACAGACAAGACGACCCTACCAACGTTTGGTATTCGGACCCTGTAAATCTCGTAAGCGGGAAGCTCTACGACTTCGTTGTTACGGGACAGCCGGCCTTGAATGTGCAATGGAAAACGCCTCGACTGCCAATTAGCAACATTCCTGCGTCGGCTCTGCTACCGGGATATGCATCAGAATCAGTCACAACAGTTTTCGAGAAGTTGTATAAAGCGGGACTTGTGATCAATGTTCTAGGCCTGACAGCGTCCGAGGTTGGCTACTTTAGTGCCAACCCGGATGACTTCAGCCATGTCGATTTCAATGAATTCACTATTGACACATGGAAACGCATGGCTGATTATACGACACTTCGCGACTCTCTGCCAATGTCCACCATGACCCTGATTGACTTCTTCAAATGGGCGAAGAAGCCTGACGAAGCTGAGAGACTGCCCAAGCAAATCTCAACCGTCACCAACTGGAAAGAGGATATGGTCGCCAAGCTGATTGCGAAGGATGCATTCAATATGACCAACCCGAAGAGCTTTGTCAGCGAAACAGAGTTGATCAAGCTCCAGAAAGCGCTGGTGCTGCAGGAAAGGATTGGCGTGGACCCGGACGTGCTATTCCACTGGTCCAAGCCCCTGTCGTTCTTCTGGAAAGAGTCGCGACAGATTGCCGAGAGCATCCACAAAGCCTTACGATCGAGGTACGATGTCACCACGTGGGAACAGGTGGCGGAGCCACTGTTCAATAAGTTGCGCGCCAACCAGCGTGATGCGTTGATAGCGTTCTTGCTCGTCCAAGACTCACTCAGGAAGTGGGGCGTCACGGATGCGGACAGCCTCTTTGAATTCTTCCTCATTGACGTGCAAATGGGTGCATGCCTTCAGACATCGAGGATCAAACAGGCCATTTCAAGCGTTCAGCTTTTCGTTCAGAGATGCTTGCTGGCATTGGAGATCGACCATGGACTCGACGGTTTCCTCTTCGACCGCGGGCGCTGGGAGTGGATGTCGCGGTATCGTGTGTGGGAAGCCAACCGAAAGGTATTTCTCTGGCCAGAAAATTGGCTGGAACCGACACTACGTGACGATAAGAGTGAGATCTTTCTGGCGCTGGAAGCGCAACTTCTACAGAAAGATCTGAGCCCGGACGCGCTACAAGGCGCCATCAAGGACTACTTGAATCGCGTGGACCAGGTTTCGTGCCTCCAAGTTGTTGGGCTGGTGGTTGATGAAGGACCGAGAGTGTTACACATCTTCGCAAAGACCGTCACGGCGCCATTTTCCTTCTTCTACAGACGGTACAAGTCATATGTGAAGACGCCGGGAGACTGGTCGCCATGGGAGACTATGCAAGTAGACATTAACACCTACGAACAAGAAGACAACACGGGCAGAGTCGAAAAGACAGGATCCTTTGTGCTGCCAGTGGTCTGGAATGGCCGTCTTCTGGCCTTTCTGCCCGAGTTCAGCAAGAAAACAGTCCCTGTGCGAGCAGAGGATGACAAAACTACCATACAGGAGAGTGGTGGGCGGCCGCTGAATGCGTCAACCCCGGCAACGTACTGGGCCATCAAAATGGGTTACACCGAGTATCGCAATGGCAAGTGGACGCCAAAGAAACTATCGACTGGGGAGGTGGCCAAGCTTCCTGAGCCTCCACAACCACCAGCAGATGGCTCGCCCGCCCCTCCACCAACAGCACCGAAGCTGCTCCCGATATCGTCATATCGATTTGTGCCCAAGATTTTCGGTACAGCTCCAGATACCACCATCGTCATCGGCGTCTTTAGCAATGAAGATACGGCCACCATTGACACGACAGGCAGCGCCCAGAGCGGGGTTGGTTGGTTTCAGTTTGACGGTGGTCAGGTGTTGACCTCAAGCCTAGCCGGGACGTTCGCAGTGAAACATACTCTCACCGAGTTTCAGTTCAGCATTGGGTCTCTTGCCTTGCAGATGCATTCATATCAGGACGACCCAGCCACGACAGAACCCCTGGACTATATTTCCGAAGACCCTGTGGCCGAGTATCCCCTAGGCACGCCATTGAAGCCCACGATTGCGACCGGCGGTGGAAACACATACGACTTCTACGACCGTTACTCACGTCAGCTTCTTGCCAGAGCCTCCACTGCCCCAACAGTGGAAGGCATATACGACTTTTATCGCAACCTCACAGATCTAGACGGCTTAGCGGCCGCGTTCGGCAATGCGGTCAAACCCGCGACGCCTTTCGCAAGCTATCATGAGCTGAAGACACCGTATGCGATCTACAATTGGGAGATCGGCCTTCATGCACCTATGTTGCTCATGAACAAGCTGCTTTCCCTTCAGCAGTTTGACAAGGCCCTTGAAGTGGCCCATTGGGTCTTTGACCCCTTCGCCAAACGATCACCTAGGCCAGTTCCTGGCGATCTCTGGCAGTTTCCTCCTTTCAAGAATGTGTTAGCGGAGAATGAACTCGAGAAGACGTTCGCCATGCTCGACCCTAACATGAAGGTTCAGGAAGGCAGTGTCATCGATGAGTGGCGCGAGAACCCCTTCGAGCCGCACGTCGTGGCGCGAGCGCGCCGGCAGGCGTACATGAAGTGGTTTGCCCTGCGTTACATTGAGATTTTGATCGCGTACGGGGATTGGTACTTCATGCAGAACACGCTCGAGACTATCCCAATGGCCATACAGCTCTACGTTCAAGCGAGTCACCTGTACGGTCCCAGGGCACAGCGGATTCCTCGGCGGGGAAAAAAGAAGATCCAAACGTTCAACTCGCTCCTTGATCAGTGGGATGGCTTCGGCAACGCGGTGGTTCAGATGGAGTTGGCATTCCCCTTCAGCCAGCAGAGTACGAAGCCGCTGGGTCAGCTGTATGGCAAGAATGTGTTGGCAAACATCTTTGGATTTGCAACCTCGCGTTACTTCTGCATCCCCAACAACCCCAGGCTCGACGAGGTGCGCAACTTGATCGATGACCGCCTCTACAAGATCCGCCACTGTCAGGACATCAACGGCGTGGTGCGGCAGCTACCATTGTTTGAGCCTCCGATTGATCCCGGGTTATTGGTGCAAGCGGCCGCGGCCGGCTTGAGCTTTGCGAGCGTAGTCAGCGACCTCAACACGCCTATAAGCAATTATCGCTTTCATCTCCTGCTCCAGAAGGCACTCGAGCTCTGCAATGAGCTTAAGGGTATGGCTGGCACTCTGCTGTCAGTCAAGGAAAAACGCGATGCCGAGGCGTTATCGAATCTCCGTGCCCGTCATGAGGTTACGGTCGGTGGTCTCGCCATGGAGCTGAAGAAGCAGGCTCTTGAAGATGCGAATCTCAGCCTTCAAGCGGCACGACAGAGCCGTCTCGCGCCCGTGTTCCGGATGAAGTACTTCTTGCAGCTTTTGGGCGAGGACATGGCAAAGCTTCCGGAAGAGTCGGACGAGTTCACCGAGATTCAAAACCGATTCGAAGCGCTGACAGAAGGCGCGGGCTTCAAGCTTTTGCCGTCCGAGAAGCTGGACATGGACAAGGCAAACGACGCAGCAGCAGAGAATTTTTGGATCGGCCAAATCGAGGCTCTCTCAAGCTTCCTACGTGAGTCCTCCAATCTTCCCCTTTGTGCTCGCCATACTGACCATTCGCTACAGACATGATACCCACAACAGACATACACGGCACGCCCTGGGGCCTGGGCGGCGCAATCAAATGGGGTCCGGCATCATTCGCCCAAGGCGCAGCCGCGACAGCGCGCAAGATGCGCATCGGCACGGAGTCGATGACAGCGGAGGCCTCCAACGCCAACCGAATGACCAACTTTCTCCGTCAGGTACAGGACCGAGTGTACCAGGCCAACAACGCGGGCTACGAAATCAAGACCATCGATGCGCAGATCCTTGTGCAGGAGCAAAAGGTGCGTTTGGCGGAGCAGGACATTACCAACCAGCAGCAGCTCCTGGACAACGCGGCTGAGGTACGCGACTTCCTGAGCGGCAAGTACACCAACGAGGCACTGTACGCCTGGATGGAGAGCAGCATCTCATCGCTGTACTACCAGACATACACGCTCGCCTACCAGCTGGCCAAGCGGGCGGAGCGGGCTTTCGCCTTCGAGCGCGGCCTCGATGCCTCGCAGGCGAACTTCATCAGCTTTGGCTACTGGGACGCCAGTCGTGCCGGCCTGCTCGCCGCCGAGCGCCTGTACGTCGGGCTCAAGCAGCTCGAGGCTGCGCACCAGGCTGACCGCGGCCACGACTACGAGATCACCAAGCACATTTCGCTGCGGCAGGTCGCGCCACTAGCCCTGGTACGTCTCCGCGAGTCGTCCGCCTGCGACCTTACGCTGCCTGAGGTGCTCTTCGACATGGACTTTCCGGGCCACTACCAGCGGCGCATCAAGTCCGTTGCACTCTCCATTCCCTGCGTCGTTGGACCCTACACTTCCATCAGCTGCACGCTGCGCCTCCTCTCCAGCGAGCTGCGCGTTGCCCCCACCGCAGGCTCCGCCGCCGACTACCCACGCACCCCCGACGACCAAGACCCGCGCTTCCGCACCATCACCACCGTGCCCGTGTCCGCCATCGCCGTCAGCTCCGCCACCAACGACTCCGGCACCTTCGAGCTGGGCTTCCGTGACGAGCGCTATGCCCCCTTCGAGGGCGCCGGCGCCGCCCACAGCCGCTGGCGCCTCGAGCTGCCCGCGGCCCTCCGCGCCTGGGACTACGGCTCCATCGCCGACGTGGTACTGCATCTGCGCTACACCGCGCGCGAGGGCGGCACTCAGCTCGCTGCTGCGGCTTCAGGAGCAGTGCGTGACTTCATGCGCCGCGCCGAGGCCGAAGCTCGCGACGAGGGCCTCTTCGCCGTCTTTGACCTGCGTGCCGAGTTCGCCGCTGAGTGGTCGCGTGTCGTCGGCCCGCTGTCATCCACGACCGCGCCGGCGCCGCCGCCGCCGCCACCCAGGGCTCTCGCGTTGCGGGGCATCGCGGACCGCTTGCCTCCGTTTGCGCGCGTGCAGCAGCGTAGCAGCGGCGGAGGAGGAAGCATGGGCGGCGTTCGCCGCGTCACCGCGCAGGACGTCTGGGTGCTGCTATCGTCCGGCAGCTGGGTCGACGGCGTCGAGTTATTGGACCCTGCGGGTGACGCCACCGAGCTTCCGGCTGAGGTGGGCGGGCAGACAGGCGGCGGCATGGCGACGTTCAAGGCGCTGGGCATTGGTGTTGAGGTTGGAGACTGGGTGCTGAACTTCCGTGGCGCGGCCGGGGGCGCAAAGTTGACGAAAGGGGTGGTGGTGGTCCGGTATACGGTTTCTTGAATTGGGTCGGGAATGCAGACCCAGATAGAGTACGGGGAGGCGCACAATTGGTTGTGACACCGACCCAACGCCTTCACGGTGTATCATGGCTTCAATCAGGTATATTTCTATTACATTGGCATGGATGAGTAGTTTAGCTAAGCTAGGTTTGTGCTGGAGAGATGCATCAACGCATGAACGCATGAACTTCTTTTTGCGCTGGCCAAACTCCTTCTTGCAGGCATCTTCCATTGGCACATAGCTAGAAGCGAGGGCGTCTTAGTCGCTGGGAGATCGTGGCATTCGTCAATCAGATTCTGTTCCATGCACATTCGGCGTACCAGTTTCGTGGCCTGTCGCGGAAGGTGTCGACGGTAGTTGCGGTCCTCCTCGTCCTGGGGACGATATGTCAGACCGCGTCGACACTGGGCCTTCGGAGCCGAGGGTGCTGATTCTGACTCGCATGTTGTTGAACCACCGTCCAAGGCGGGGAGTTAAAGACGAGCTGCGCGACGGGATGTGGTATGTGGTATGATCGTCGCAATCGTGTTGTTTGCTTGCGCTGGCTCTGCCGTCCATATCGCTTCAAATCAGAGGATGCATTCCGGGACGCCTAACATCTCATGACCTCGTATCTATGAAAATCTGTACCGTATGGACATACGACTCGGGACAGAAAGTCAGTGCAGCCCATAAGCTCGGCGAAGTTGCAGCGACCGTAATCATCATGAGACATCACGGACTATGAGTCCTTCTTCAATACGCGGTCGAAAGAGACGCCTTTGACCGAGCCACCACCCATGGCGGTACGGGCGTTCCGCCTGAAGCCTTCACGGTTTGTCCGCAGGTCTTCGGCGGCTTCCTTGTTCAGAGGATCTGATGCGTTGGGCTCGAGGAACAGGAATTGCATGCCCACGATAACGGCGTTCAGGTTCAATACAGGCTTCCAGTCTTCTCTTAGAATGTTGAGACAGACGTTGCCTTCGAGATCGATGTTCGGGTGGTAGATCTTTTGCGTGCACTTGACTTTGGGAGGCTACGCTTGTCAGCGGAGCGCCCTTTGGCTGTTGGTCTGATACTCACGTCGTGCGGGTAGTTGTTGTTCATGACAAATGTGAAGACAAAGCTGCCACCCTTGTACATGCCTTCGTCCGGCTCGATTGTGAGGGTAAAGTTGAGGATATCGTCAGGGTTGGGAAAGCTGGTCTTCATTGTGCTCCCAAGTGCGAGTTCTCCAAGATCTAGGATGCCGTCAGTCAAGCTTCGAATGAACGGCTGAGAGCCATACCTTTCTGCACACGTAGCTGAGCCGCCGTCACCTTCTTCTTCTTTTGTGCCGGGCCTTGCGCCTGCTCATCCTTCTGCTGTTGCTGTTTCTGTTTGAATGTCAGGCTAGGTCAGAGACCGGCGTGCGGGTGGAGTACCATAGACCATATTTTCAGCATCTTGAACGGCGTTGACGGCTATGCCGTAAACCAAACCTATCGATGGACGTAGGACGGTGGATGGATCAAGCCACGCGACAGTGGTGGTGGGGCTAATCAGCCGCGGGCCGAGGGCAGGGAGCAAAGAACTCAGGTTTCAGAAGAGCAAGTCTAAAATAAAGGACGTGGGCGCCTGTATGAGCAGCCTCAAGTGTGTATGCCAAACGCCAAAAGCAAAGCAGTGTAGAGAAAAACGAGAAGGCAGTTGTCGCCCGAGCGGAGGCAAAGGTGAAATCATTGATTCGAGTCAGCGCTAGGCCGCCACTTCCGATAAATGACTCGAATTGAGGCAGGTCCATCGCCGGGAGCTTCCGTCTTTCACGTCTTCTTATGTTGCAAGTAGGATTCAATTCAATTTCGCTTCATTCTAGAGTCATCACGGGGTATTGAAAAGTCCAAATTCCTTGACCGGACGCTAATAGCCCATTGATATTACACAAACGCCCACGAAGACCGAGGCCTCCTCTCAGATACACTTGTGTGCTTTTACTCCCATGTACAACAGTGGCCACGCGACCTTTACCACTGACGGTACGCCTTGCCGCCTATCGTCTAGCGAAGCAGCACAAAAGACCGGTCTTGCCCAAGAACCAACAGCATCCAATGAATCGGACCAAGGAAAGAGCAGCAGTTGTCCAAAGAAGGGCCTGGAAGAAGTTCTGAGTACGCGTGTTGGCTCCAGACTAGAGAAGATTAGCACAGTACTCAGGTGAATGGCGTAATGACTTACTGTGAACCCAAATTGGTCCGCACTCTCGCTAGTGATGGCAACTGCCAATAGGGCGTTGGAGAAGATCCAGGTAGCTACTAAACGAGTGCGGAAGTTCTTGTATGAATCTTCCAAACTCTTTTCGTCCTTTTCCTTGGGTGGATTGTAGGGAGCAAGAGCACGACGAACCGTAGCCTCAAACTGGCTATCGATATCCGCCTGAGGCTTGTCGACTTCCTCGATAACAGCGGTCTTTCCTTTCTCATCCTTTTTGGTCTGAGCGGATGGCAGGGCATCAGCCTTGTCTGAACCCTTGGTACCCCAGGAAACATCATGCCAATTGCTGAAGGCATAGATCATCAAAATGTTGATGAAAGATGGCATCAATAGAAGGTACTGGATGAAGGATGTAAACATGTGCCATGGATCCATGTACATGAACGATGCAACAAAGTAGAGGCCGAACGTTGCAGCAAGAGCAATGATAATGATACCCGGACCGGTGGACGCGAAGAAAGACTTGACGAATTCGTTGGCGCCTTCGTTCACCACAATGTCGGTGCTGTCCGGAGAGGTGAATGCGCGCACCACGAGATACATGGATAGAACGATAATGTAGAGCTGAATGAGGGCGAACACACAGAATGAGATAACGTAGGCGATCTTGGAACCCTTCGGACGATTTCCCAAGGCCAGGATGAACTGCAGGAGTAAGAATCCCAAGTAAAGGTAAATGAGGATCGTGTTGACGATCGGTGTGACCTCGTTGCCGAAGGGGAAAGCTGTGCGATTGTTGTTTGAACTGTTTCCGGGTTGTCCAACCAAATCCATGATGACTTTTGTTGTGAGCCAGAAAGCTGCCAATGAGAACCAGGAGAGTACGACCGAAACAATGTTGTAGACCATCTGGAGATGCAAGAAGAACATGCGGATGATGTTATGGCCAGACTTGTACATCCGCGAAAAATGCATGAGAGAATAGATCGAGGCAGCAAAGGAACCGTTGAGCCAACGACGTCGCTGACCGATGAATTCCGCAGCACCTTCGGGAACATCAGTCTCACCTTTGGAAGCTTTGACATAGGTCAAATGCCATTTGGACCCAGCTTTGGCGACCAATTCGAAACAGAGAATTCGATCCTCGGCCAAAAACATGTTCTTCTTGAAAATGTTCATGCCCTCGATACCTTTCTTGCCCAGGCGAGCGGATAGAGTATGATCACCGTGGAAATACTGTTCCAGGGGTCGTCCCATGATGGCTCGGAAGCGGTAGGCAGAGAAAGCACCAGGCAACACACTGACATAACCGAAGGAACTTTCGAGAGGCTTGTCCAGAATGTTGGAGATCTTGTACTCGAAGTTCTGAGCGGCGACCAAAGGATTCAATAGCTTCCGCCAGCCGGGGCCCAACATGGCGTGTATCTCACCACATGATCCACCCAGATCCTTGTCGTTGTAGAAGGCTTCCCATAGAGCGAGTAGAGACTTGGTGCCGGGCTTGGTACCCGCATCGAGAAGAATGCAGACTTCGGGGTTGAGAATGCGGCCGAAAGCATTGAAAAGCCAGCGATGAGAGTTGATCTTCTTGCTGTTCTTTTGCTTAAGACAGAACATCATCTGGACAGGCGGAAGCGATGTGGTGTCATTATCGTTGGGTCGGATAAGTTGCTGGTTGGCAGTCACTGACAGTTGAGTAGTGTATTCAAAAATGTGCGCAACTGTGTCTTTGCCATCAACGTCCTTCTTCATCACGCCATCCTGGTAACAACCAATTGTCGCCAAAACGTCCAGGACTTCTTTGTCGCAGGGGTCGATACCATCAAAGACTAGACAGACCACGATTTTCTGCCACGCAGGACCGCCCTTGTTCCAAAACTCGGATTTTTTCAGGTTGACAATATCGCGAATGTTCTGCATCACACCGTGTAGGGTGCGGGCAGTCAGAACTCTGTCTTCGTTGTAATAGGTGATCGCAATCAGTAGCTCAGTGTGGCGATTGTACATGGCTGGGCGCAGGTTGTAGCCGTTCTTGAGAGTGAACTCGTCGGGATCACAGGTCGCGGCAGTGTAGCGCATGTGAGTGAATTCCTCGCTGCCGCCTTCAAGATCATTGCGATACTTGGCTTGGATGGCATTCTGGATGGCGGATGGGACTGGATAGTCGATACTCAAGACGCTGCCTTGAACCAGCTTGACTTTGCGGGTGGCATAGCGCTTGATGTTGGTGTTTTGTCTCTGTCTCCAAGCCTCGGTGGAATCTGATCTCTCATAGGGGTTCGGGCCGGTCGCGTAAGGATCAGGTGGATTCGGCAGAGTGCCGGCGCTTGAGTTGTAGCCAGTATCATAGCCAAAGTTGGTGGTTGGCAGTTTGTCACGATCACCACCAACGTAAGACTCGTTCAGGTTGTAAGCATCTTGACCTGGGCTATGCGGTCGGGAATGAGGATCGTCATAGGGATTTTGGTAGGCGCTCTGTTGTAGTAGATGTGCCTGGGCTTCATCATCGGTTCTCCGACGAGGAGGATAGTTCTGATTGAGTCAGCCACTTTGGTTCCTCAAGTTCTGGATCCTTCACTGCTTACCGTCATGTCGGTCATCTGGTGCCCGCCTTGGTAACCACCTTGGTATTGTGCCATTTTGGCGGATGGGATCCGGAAATCAAGCGTTGGCACGACCAGGCACGGCCTTGATTATGTTGGTCTGGAAGTCGTCTTCAGCTGTCTGCGGGCGAAGCGAACGAAAGCGATAGTTGGTCAGCTGAGATTATGCGGAGGGGCCACCAGGGCGAAGAGTGGTGAAAGCGGTGATGGTTGGGCAGACAAAGAATGATCTCAACGATGGCAGAATAGGTAGGAGTCAATGATCTAGGGGGAGGCGGAGAAGTGGACAAGGAATAAAGAGCAACTTGGAGGGATGTTTCAGATGTGGATGCTGGCCGTTTTGACTTGAGTGAGGAGGCAATGGAAGAGACTTTTTTGGAGAGGCTGCGCCTTCCATTGCCTGCGTCTCCTGAAACTGGACTCCAGTTGAACAGACGACAGGGGATGCGCCCACCAATAGCCTGGCCCAAGCGCTGTTCTAGCCGCTAGGCATAGCCATAACCTGCTTTTTGCACTGACGATTGCTCCAATGCTCCCGTGCTCCTGCCGATCGCAGACCAAGCAACACCATTCCTGCCAGTTGCTGCGGTGTGGTCTCGGTTAAACCAGTCTTTTTGATAACGTTGTGGCTGCATATCGTTTCTACATGGTCTACTATCATCATCGAATGTTTCCCCGCCCATCTAGACTCAGCTGAAAGATCTGCCGGTCCGAGTGCATTCAACACATGTGGCTTCGGGTTCTTGTGGCGTAGCCTTCAGCGGTAGGGGCGAGCCGGGTGGAGTTGCTTAAAGCTGCTAAGCTCCCCGCAAAACTCTCTTCGAAACCCCTGTTAATGGACATCTCTGCCGTTGACACGTCCAAACAAAAGTGCCATCATTTGCAGCAGAAGAGAGATATAGTACTGGTCTGCTGCAATTCACAGCAGTTGCGATTGTGACCGGGCCGAAATCGCACAAGGAACATGAAGCTACGACTCAAGACATGGATCCGGTCAAGCGCTGAGAATAGCAACTCATGCGTGGACATTTGTGGCTGCGCCCGCACGCAAACAATTACAGTGGCTCCAGGCCTGCTGTTTTCGGCCCTGCCGTCGCCTGATTGTTCGCTGCGAACAGAAAACCTCTAATACCACCATCTCTTCCTCAGCCTTGCTGGGTGCCGCACACGCTGATTCTACTGTCCCCGTGGCTTAAACAAGAAACCTCTGACGTATCATCTCACCTATCGCTTGGAATGGATCATGTGCTCTGACTCAGATCTACTGTCTCCTCTTCATGCCCTGGGCTCTACAAAGACTCGAGTGTTGCTTCTGCTCCAGTATCGTCATAGCCTGAAAGCCTGTAAACGATCATGTGGAAGGTGCATCATGAATTATTGGCCCGGGGCCGGCGCCCTTTACTGCGCTCGGCACCGGTAGCGTGCGGCACAGGTCTCACCACAATAATCCAACGCTCTTGGTCTTCGTAGCGAGCCGCATAAGCACCATGTATGCGTGATTGAATGCTCCAAGCGTGGTACGCTCAATGGACGCATCTTCATACAGTGATTGGCACGCCGCACTTTCGATGCGAGCGAACCATGCCACGATCGAGAGATTTTCCAAGGGATGCGCTTATGATGGTTCAGGACTAGTGCAAGCCTCCCGCCCCAAGGCACAGGCCCGTGATTCGTCCAAGTCATCAAACACATCCATCTCCACTTAAGGTCGCCCTTTGCAATCTCCCGGGTTCAAGCTCGGGATCCGTCGTTTCTCTCTCCTCCACATCTCAAAGACGCGTCCATCCTGCACCACCACCACTACAGCGCTGTCCCTCGCTGATCGTCGCTCTCTATTACCTCCCTGGCCACCGTCTTCAACCTCTCGAGACCGGATTCATCGACAACTACCATTCCCTTCTGCAACCACCCGTTAGGCCCTGCGCCTTGTACCACATTCTTTGTTCTGTTTTCAACTCACGCTCGTTACTCCCCAACTTCGATTCTCCCATCCTTGTCTTTGTCTCTTGTCAGTCCGAGCTAGACCTTGGGCTGGTGCTCTGGAAGCAGAACGACTATACCACTCTTCCGACATTTGAGACGGTGAATCCCGTATTGTGACTGGGTTGCTTGTTGGGACAGGTGCCCGACCCAAGAGATCCGGCTCAAGAATAACCCCAGATACGGCCGTCATGGCGCCCGACACGACAGGTGAGTGATATCCATGTCGAAGCAATACAGGTCCTGACAATGAGACAGCCAACACTCGCAACTTCAATCTCTTCAGACGATGCGTCCAATGTCCTCCAGAAAGTCCCGCTTGTCCACCAACTTGCCCTACCGGCGAAGGCTGCCGATTGATTTCATACTCATGCGATGCCTGCGCCCACACAATCTGTGCAAAGGATGTTTTGCCTGGGCAGTTGAACGAGTCAAACTCCAGTAGCTCTAAAGCTCCCATCGCCGGAGGTGTTGTAGGTGCTATTGCTGGACTTGTCATCATCGGCCTTCTCGTCTGGTGGTTCTGGCTTCGACCAAAGCGGAAAGCTGCACAAAGTTGGCAGAACGAGAAACGTTCGACAATGCGCTCCGCCCATCAGCAATCCGTCCACTCTCGCCGTTCCGTGGCTTCAACCGTTCTTTCTCGAGCCTCAAACGTCATTCAGATTGCGTACATCCCAGGCGTCACTGTCAGATCACCACCACAGTCGCCAGGCCTTGTTCCTCCAGTGCCATCTCTACCCGGAAGTTCCCCTAACGCCAACAACGAACCAGAACAACACTTTTTCATGCCCAGCGATCTCCGTGCTTCCACCTGGTCCGATGCTTCCTCCGTCAACAACAGAATCAGCCTTTCACCAAGTCTGGCACGAACAACCTATTATGGCAACGAAGCGGAAGACGTACCACCTGTACCTGCCCAACATGCATTCCGTGCTCAAGCTGCCATGGTCAGTGTCAAGTCCGCCAACAATACCCCTGCCTTGTCTGGAAAGTCTCCCGCCGTTCAGCAAGGCTCAAAGATGGGTAACAGCTCCATTGTTGCTAAGACTATGACTGCTCGACCTATCGAAATCAAGAAGCAGGGCTCCAATCCTCGAGTACCTACACTCGGCAATCTAGCCAAAGAAAACTCCAAGTCCACGTCGGTTAGTGCGTCAGAGAAAAGCGTTCCGGTCTTTTTCGATGAGAAAGAGATTGTATCTCCTGTGGTGAGCGAGAAGGAAGTCGTCTCACCTGACGACCCTTTCTCCATCAAACCCAAGCCATCTTTTGCGACCATGAATAGTCAGCGCTCTTCGTCAGTGAGCGGCATCTCAAGAATATTGCCAATTGACGGTCCATTAGCTAGCGGCAATACTCATCGTCACAGCAAAAGCGAAGGATTGAATGCTATGATTGAGCAAGCATTGAGGGATGCTGCTGGTTCCACGATGAAGAGGCCAGAGCTGAAGAAGCAGGACTCGAGTCCTTTTTCAGATGTGCATGAAATTGATGGAAAGGAAAGCACTCCATGATATGATGGACCTGTGATATGAGCGACTTTATGGAGGATGGGACATTCTTTCTAGACCGGATTTCACATGGATATCAAACTTCTGTATGCAGATTTAGCAACTACGACTTCCATAGAAAGCAGTTCAAGCGATGTCTGGCTCGAAATGCGGGACTACCTTAATTGATGCCAAGACTCGACGCGTCGCGTGTACTTTTGCACGCGTCGGAACTGCACTACCACTTGTCATCACTCTTTTGTAGCACGACTATTCACCTGTATGGTCACTTCACTAATGGGTCTCAACATGAACTCGTCATCTCCTGCAGGATCGCCTGTCAAGGAGGACATTGAACTGCCAGATGCCGGTCTTCCTGACGCCGCACCCAATGGTGATGCTAAAGTCGCCCTCGAGGATCTCTTCGACCAAGAGGACTCCGATAATGAATTTCCCACGTCAAGCGCCATGCCATCATCCCCTCCAACACAAACGCCTCCCGCTTCAGCGCCCTCCGCGCCAGCTGCTGCTCAATCGGAGTCATACTCAGATCCCAACATCATGAGGCAGTTCTACGACCGTCTATTTCCCTTCCGAACCTTGTTCCACTGGCTGAATCATTCCCCGAAGCCTGGACCTGACTTTGGCAACCGCGAGTTCGCCTTCACTTTGTCTAACGATGCCTACCTACGATACCAGTCCTATCTCACACACGATTTGCTCAAGAAAGACATCCTTCGCTTGAACCCATCGCGTTTCGAGATTGGCCCAGTGTACACTACAAATCCAAGAGACAGAAAGACTTTGAGAAAAAGCTCCATGTTCAAGCCACTGAGCAAAGAGATTGTTTTCGATATCGATCTAACGGATTACGACGACATTCGAAGCTGCTGTACCAAAGCAAACATCTGTGGCAGGTGCTGGTCCTTTGCAACTATGGCTATCAGGGTTGTCGACGTCGCTCTACGTGACGATTTCGGGTTTGAGCATATCATGTGGGTCTACTCGGGACGGAGAGGTGTACACGCCTGGATCAGCGACAAAGAAGCACGAGAATTGGACGACGAGAAACGAAAAGCAATCACTGGGTATTTCGAAGTGCTCAAAGGTGGTGTGCAGGGCGGTAAACGTGTCAATCTTCGACGACCACTCCATCCGCACATCGTCCGTAGTCTCGAAATCCTCAAACCTCACTTCCAGCAAGTGCTCGCCGATCAGGAACCTTTCCAGTCAGATGCAGGGCAGGAACGACTACTTCAACTGCTTCCCGACAAGGCGTTGAACGATGCTCTTCGCAAGAAATGGGCCAGCAGTCCAGACCGTTTGAGTGCTCGGAAGTGGGCGGATATTGACGCCCTCGCTGCAACTGGTATAAGCAAAACTCTGGACACCAAGGCGCTCAGGGAGGCTAAGCAGGATATTCTTCTGGAATACACCTATCCACGGTTGGATGTGGAGGTCGGAAAGAAGCGCAATCACTTGCTCAAGAGTCCTTTTGTTGTCCATCCAGGCACAGGTCGTGTCTGTGTACCCATCACCGCTTCCGGAGACATGAGCCAGGCAGAAGAGTTCGATCCTCTGACTGTACCAAAGGTCACTGAGCTGCTCAATGAAGTCGATGCGTACGGTAAAGTCAATGGTGAGGTCCAAGTGGGTGACTCCAACCTCGTGCCTGACGGAGTTTCTGTGCGGCAAACACCAGATTGGGAGAAGACCAGGCTCAAGCCGTATGTGGAGGCTTTCGACGCTTTCGTACGCTCACTCATGAAGAGTGAGACGGTTCGTGTCAAGAGAGAACGTGATGAGGACGGTCATACTGGTGCTGATGGGATGGAATTTTAGGCCTCCAAAATTTGTTCATCCCTGGACCTGGGAACGCTTCAAACTTTTGACGACAATGGTTGTCGAGGCTGACCAGCGTATCTCCTTTCTGTGATGATCTCAGCTGAAGCGTCACGTCTACGCAACAGCGCCGGGCCGCCTGAACCTTAACGTTGATACACTCGAAGTATAACACACCTTCGTGGACTCTTTCAGGCGGCCTTGATGTGCTACACTTGAAGTATAACATCCGTTCGTGGACCACGAATTCGGTGTCATCACTTGTCTGATTCAACCATGGCGCACGAATTGTTGTTCATTCGAATACTTCTGGTTGTCGGGAGTATTCTGGTTCCCCTTGCAGTGGTACGTTTCCGTAAGGGTCTACGCAATTTACCGGGACCGTTCTGGGCGAGCATTCTCCCAATATATCGTCTCAACAAGCAATGGAAAAGACAAGCTCACCAAGAAGACATTGATCAGCACCGAAGATATGGAGAGATCGTGCGAGTTGGACCGAAGCATGTCTCCATTTCTAGCCCTGAGGATGTCGCAACTGTGTACAGCATCAATGGCAAGTTTCAAAAGAGCGACTACTATATCACGATGGACGTCAAGACGCCTTCAGGATTACGACAAACCATGGTGTCCTCTCGAGACGACGTTCATCACCGTACATTGAAACGACCCATTGCCAACGCATTCAGCATGACCACAATGGTTGAGCTCGAGCCGCAGGTCGACAAATGTATCAGAATTCTGGAAGACAAGTTTGACGCAAGACTTGATCAAGATATCGATTTGGGTGATTGGATGCAATTCTTCGCCTTCGATGTCATAACAACTATCACCTTCTCAGACCGAATGGGCTTCCTCGATGAAGGTCGTGATGTCAATGGTGTTCTGGATGCCTTAGAGACACGTTTCAGGTATGGTTCCTTCGTCGGTCAGTATCCTCCTCTTCATTCGCTTCTGCTCGGCAACCGCATTGGAAGCTATTTGGTCAGCTTTTTGCCCTCCATCGCCAACGCTGCCAACAATCAATCCATGGTCGCCTTTGCTGGAAGACAGCTAGAACGGTACAAGAGCCAAGACACCGTTCACAAGGAATACAAAGATCTGCTTGATCGCTTCAAGAAAAGCAAGGATGGCGTTCAAGTCATGACCGACACTGATCTACTCATACATGCAACCACCAACATCAGCGCAGGCGCAGACACGACAGGATCTGCGCTCAAGGCTGCGTTCTGGTATCTGTATCAAAATCCCGCTGCGCGGAAGCGACTCGTCGCCGAAATCGACGCATACTATGCAAAGGGCGCCATGTCCGACCCAATCACATACGCCGAGAGTTTGGAAATGCCCTACTGGCAAGCCTGCCTCAAGGAAACCCTCCGCATGCATCCCGCAGGTGGCATCATGCTCGAACGCGTCGTCCCTGAAGGGGGAGTGACGTTGTCCGGAACCTTCCTGCCCGCTGGCACCATCGTTGGCGCCAACCCATGGACGCTGGCTCGAGAAATGTCAGTCTTTGGTGAGGATGCGGATGCATTTCGCCCAGAGAGGTGGTTGGACAGCGGCCCGGAACAATTGCGGCGGATGGAGCGGCATTCATTGATATGGGGAGGCGGATCAAGGACTTGTATTGGCAAGAATATTGCTTTGTTGGAGGTCAACAAGCTGGTTCCACAGCTTCTGCGGAGGTATGAAGTCAACATTGTTCATCCGGAGCGGTATCGGGTTGAGTCCATGCTGGTTGCAAAGCAGTTTGGACTGTTCTGTCAATTGAGCAGGAGAAAGACTGGTGTGGTGGAGGCGTGATCTGCACAGTGCTTCTGAGATTGGTGTGAATTCTTGCTATAGCTCTCGACGTCTATCGACGTGAATTGCATTAAAAGTTGCCAGCATTAGCCTCGTGTCGCGAATGCTTACTCTTTAACCCCCCACGACACTCACATCTCCTTTCTCGGGCGGCGTCACGGTCCCCCCACTGCCTCCCGCCCTATGTTCCATCGAGATGCTCGCTCGAGCCTCCTTCGCCGTGACGCCATGAGTGATGCCATTCTCTTCGACGGTGAAGTTGGACCATTCGCCAATCAGCTCGTCATGGAACTGGTCCAAATCCACGCCCAATTCCTCCACCTCATCGCTGACACGCAAGCCCAGGAAGGGCGTGTGCTTGAGCCCCATGAGCATGATGACCGAGCACACGAAGCTGTAGCTGAGGATGGCGGCGATCTCGGCGAGCTGTTTGGCAACCTGCACGCCATTGCCGTCCACGGCGCCAGATGCGAGAGTGGGGATGCCGTCGAGGGCGGAGATGGAGGAGGTGGCGAAGATTCCTGTCAGGAAAGCCCCGCATGCGCCTCCGATGCCGTGGAGCTTGAATACCTCGAGGCCGTCGTCGATGCCGAGCCAGTTATGCATGCCATCCAGCGAGCTGCAGGCGCCGGCGGTGAGCACGCCGATCGCGGCGGCGTACCAAACCGTGACGAAACCAGCAGCGGGAGTGATGCCAACGAGGCCGGCAATAATACCCTCACAGGCAACGATGACGCTGAACTTGCGGTTGTTCTTGAAGTAGCCGATGAGACTGTAGCTGATGCAACCGGTAGAAGCGGCGACTTGGGTGTTGAAGATGGCGGCCATGGAGCGCAGGGAGGCATTGATGGCGCTTCCACCGTTGAAACCAAACCAGCCGAACCAGATGAGACACGTCCCAAGAAAGGTAATGGTAACGTTGTGTGGCTTATTGAGGTGTTTCTCGCCAGCTTTGCTGCGCTTGCCGAGGACGAGGGCATACGCGAGACCTGCGGCGCCCGAAGACATGTGAACTGGGCCACCACCAGCGAAGTCCAGGGCACCAAAGGTAAAGAGCCAGCCGTTTGCGTTCCAGGTCCAGTACGCGATGGGGCAATAGCAGACGGTCGCCCAGCAGAAGCCGAAGATGATGGAAGGGATGATACGTCCACGCTCGAAGGCGCCGCCAACTACGATCATGACCGCACAGGCGCAGAACATAAGTTCGTAGAAGCAGAAGACGATTTCGGGGATCAGAGCGGAACCCCACGAAGGAGCGGCCATGACCTGTAGGGTGTCAGTGTGGGCTGGTTGATGGCTGAGGCATACGTACATTCTTCATGCCGAACTCAGAGAAATCGCCAATGAAGGAACTGCCGGTGCGCGAAAACGCGAGGGTATACCCCCAAAAGATCCATTGGAAGGTGATGACCGACACGACGGTGAGAGACTGGAAGATCATAGAGAGGGCACTCTTGCGCTGGCACATGCCACCGTAGAGCATGCCGATGCCGGGGATGATGAGGAAGACGAGGCATCCCATAATGACTTGGAAGACATAATGGAACTCGAGACCTGTGTATGGGAGGTTCACGTTGGTTTCCACGGGGTCACCGCCCCGGGCCATGGAGGAGTTGAACTCCGGTAACGTCTGATCTGGGGCTACCGACATGTTGGTGGTGTTCGTCGAGATGTGGAAGGATGGTCAGGGTAGGATGCGAGCCATGTGCTAGCTTTGTACCCGGGGCGTCCCCAACGTGGGAAACAGCCACCATCCAAGTACCCCTTTGAGTAGCTGCGCGAACCGAACATAGGGGCTAGACTAGCCATATTACGAGCACCGGTTGCTGCTCGCAGTCGCTGCGATTCGGTCGTGCGCCTGGCCCTTATCTGTGGTGGGTTGGGAGATGCGGGTGAGAGGAATGGGAACGAAAACGGTGGGCCAATCGTAATCGACGGCGGTCAGATAGAAGCAAGATAAAGCTTTCGCTTGATGAGCTTCCCCTGCCTTGTTTCCCCCTAGCGTAGCCTTGGCAAGTGCTTCCCCTATCTAAGGTTTCTGGAGTTCAAGGTAGTCTCGGTGTGCCCATCGCATGATTATCTACATTTACGCGAATTCATGACCTGGCGGGCGCAAATCAACAGGGCCGGTCTTCGATACACGTGGGTGGTTGCTACAGATCTAGCAAGGGAGCCAATCGGCGTGGAACGCAGACTCAATCTCGCAGATATCGTGTTCTTTGCAACTCAATACTGTGACAAATGCGTTCGCACGGAATTTGCTAGGCTCGAACTTGCAGCGTGCGGTGCTGTCGGTTGGGACTCTATCTCCTCGATGCTTTGAAAGTGTATGTTCGGTTGTGGACTTTCTAGGCTGTGGTGAGCGCAGGAGGACCGTGCTTGTGAGAAAGGCGCTTGACATCTCAGGTGGATCATGAGGGCCTCCGCATGTATCCACTGAGCCATGGATTAGGTAGAGAGACGATCGGTATTGGTAGAAAGGCTTCTTTGCGAGCTTGTTTCTGTCCGAACTCCATTCTTCCCTCCAACGCTGTCCCTCCTCATCGCTCGGTGGCCTCCCGTCAAGCAATGGTGTGGTCCCATGGCTATGAGCGAACCCAGCACATTGTCTGTTGTCCAGTATCGCGAAGTGGTACCTTGATTCATCTTGCCAAGCGTGCGTTCGTGTTCGCAGCCCGCCTATCGCACGGCCAGCCTCGAGGTTGATCATCGAAAAGCTCTTTGCCTTTATACATGCCTTCTCGGCCTGATCTCACGACGGTCTCTCCATGACAGGTATCTTGCACCAAGGCCAAGCCACCCGTCCTGCAGTATTCCCACCCCTCTTGTTCAGACTGTCCATACGAGTGGATTTCATGGGATACCGTTCGGGCAGCAGAGCCGTCGGCGCTCCAAAGCTTGACTTCAAACAGAATCCGCCAGTATACGTGTCGGATCGCAAGGTCTGGTGGTAGGACAGTTATCATTCAGGTAATATTCGGAAAGGCTGATGGAACTCGCGTTTGACCTCGCATAGGAGACAGTCTGACGGACTGAATCGGCATGAAGTGAAAAATGGTCGTCTTGGCTGACAGTTCCTACCTGAGCAGGGCATGAAGTAAGGCAAGTAGGTATTGAAAGAAGCCTCCAGCCTCCACGAACGAAAGGCTCGGCTGGTCGGTTGTTGGCGACTGGTGAATGGTGACCTGCACCCTGGATCAACAGCCTTGCGGCTTCAGTCTTGGCACGTCCGCAGCCACATAAGCTGCGCCTTGAATTTTCGACTTCCTCTGCACTTCTTCACCTTTCGTACATTCTCAGCGACACCGTGAAAAACGCATCGTCACTGAAAATGAACAGCCAGGTGCCTTTCCCCCGTGGAGGAGGTCCGCCTCCAAAACCCGCTGTTTCCTATGTTTCCCCCTGTTTTTCCTGTTTTTCCCGTTCAGCAGAGTATTGAGAACTCCTCATACCTGCAGCTGCAGCAGCAGCCAGTGGTAGCGCGTTCGGGAAAGCCTGAGACTTCACAGTCACTGGTCATGAGAAGCCAAACCCCGAGCGCAGCGCAGGCACAGTTGATTTCGTCGATGCCGCAGCAGACGTTAGCGAGTGCCCCATCACAGACTACCCAATCTATGATGATGCAGCAGCTTAATGTTCCAGCGCAGGCTTACTACGGTTATTTCATGACCACGCCGCAGATGCCGCAGATGGGTCCAGTCGGTGTGCAAGTTCAGTCTCCACATACGAATGTGTTGCGGCAGCAGGCTCCAAGCGCAGCGGAGGCCAATTTCTATATGAGTTTGACTGTAGTACAGCTCCAATGATACCAAATTAACTCGTGGCAACAGCCAAACCTTATGCAGCGCGGACAAACTTGCAGCCGTCGATGTCGTCGTCACAGCCAGGTCAGGCCAACCCACAGCTTCAACCTAACAACTGAACGTCTGGGGCCAACCGATCCAGAATGCCGCACAGCCTCAGTTTCCGCAGGCGGCTTTCCCACACCAGCTAGCTCAATCACCTGCGCAGCCTCAGAACATGGTACCGGCGCCAGATCCAGCACAACAACAGCCACCGTACAAGATCCTGAAACGTGTAGAGACGGGCCGTTAGAAAGGTGTCATGATCGTGCGGCGCCACTCCCCATATCCTAAAAGCTCACCACGAGCGGCGCCGGCGCAGCCTCCAGTCCCTATAAGGCTTTACGTACCCAAATGGCAGAAGCTGGCCGGGATGGCTGGCATGCAAGAGACTGCACCCAGGTCGAACGAGTTCGTTGAAGTTTCGGGAATCTCTCAAGGCCCTGACCAGCCATCTAGTGTGACTCAGAATGAGACCCAGTGTTCTGTACTGCAGTGATTGCAGCCTGCACCACTGCATACGACTCTGGAACCGCGTGCTTCCGCTGAAGGAATGGCCGCCAGCGACGATGACGCCAGCTTCAAGGTTCGTGAGCAGCTGCTCATTCTCCTTCCGGTTAAGGACAAGCTTTTGTTGAATTAGCGTTAGCCATTGGAAGTGGGAAGGAGCGAGATGAGGGCAAGTTCTGTGGTGGCTAGAACGAAGGGCTCCTGCGTGGTCTTGGCACTCTCGACGTGGGACAGCAGACTTGATGTAGTACCTACTTAATGCCAATCATGGATACATGAGTTGGCCGCTACAAATCTTTGCCGAGCACTCACTCCTGTCCGCGGACCAAACAACGCTCGTGTAGCCCCGAGTATTCAACTTGGCGTTGCTCTTGACCTTCACGCCGGGTCTTCCAGGCCAGATGTCACCACTCTCTTGTGAAAAATGTGCCCATTCAGGCCGCAGGCATGACTGAAAGCCTAGGATTCCTGGCGGGATTTACCGATTCCGACCTGCTGGCTTGTAGGGGGATATTTTGTGGTCTCCGATCTTCGGAGGGCAGAGCTCGGGCGTTGCGATTGAGGCCATTGGCCCTCTGTGGACTTGGGAGACCTGCCCAAGGCTTGGCCCCTGGCTAGACAGCCTTGCGGTATCTGTCTTGGCAACTGCGGCGGTCATCTTGAATACAAACTTCAAATCTTCAACATGCCCTGCAAGATTTCCATTTCCCATCCATTCTCGGCGAGAGAATGAGTGGATTTCGGATGGGCATTGTGGAAAGGTTTGTGCCAGTACAAAATTCTTTCGAACTATGCCCGCATCGACTTACCGGACGAATTGCTCAAGGGCACGGTCGAAGGGCTAGCCGGATCGTGAGCGTGGAGTGTCTGCATACCTGAAGAGAGGCTTGAGTTTATCAGGGCGATGCAGTGTGCAAGGACCGACGGTAGACACGGGCAGGTAATGGACGACCCCAATCTACGGTTACTGGAAGGGAAAGATCGAGGCTGGAGCTCCTGCCAAGGTTGCAAGTTACTTGGTGCTCACGCGTTTGGGTTACGTCACGCGTTGGGACCGATAAATTTCCCAGGCATCTTCTCTCCTCATTTTTCTCTCCCTCAAGCATGCAACGATGAATTCGTCGAAAGCGAAAGCCAATGCGAATGCATCTGCACGCTTTGTTGACTCGTTGAGTCCTGTCAATCGTTTTGATCCTGTTGAGCCAGTCGATCCAGTTGATCCGGGGACTTCAGCTGACCCTGTTGCCCCGGGTGCTCCTGACGATTCTGTTGATCCTGTCGACCCAGTTGATCGCTATGTCTCTGTTGGTGATGACATCTCCCCAGATTCTGAGTTGGTCCAATCCTTTCTGGATGAAGCCACTGAGAAGCTACCGGATCTGATGTCCCAACTGAAGGCCAATGCTATCGATCTGTCAGAGGTAAAAGCAGAAGGCACTAGACTCAAAGAAGTGACTACCAAAGGTGCAGCACTTTTCGAGAAGACAGAAGCTTGCCGCGCTACCATAGAAGCTAATGCGCCCAGTTATGCTGACCTGGAGCTGCTTGGATTCAACCCAGAGAATCTTGATCTCAGAGCCGGTGCCACGACTGACGAGGTCGAGGCTAGCGCATTGGGGTTGATATGTGATTATCTGACAAGTAAACCCAGGCGCCTCGCCATGGTTCAGAATCTCGGATTGAATTTGAACTGGAAATGCGAACAGGCCTTGGATAATACTGCCTCTACATACAAGGAACTCTGTAAAGAGTACAGCGGCTTGAACCCCCAGCTCCAGTCACTCTCAAGAGAGCTGACAGAAGTGCGGAGTGCCGTTGCTAACGTCCAGATAGCTCAAGGGGAATTCCAATCTACTGGGCCCCAATTGAAAGTTATTGAAAAGTCTGTCACCCACTTGGAAACGTTGTCCGAGTCTGCGAAATCTCTAAAGAGGGATCTGTTCAATGCACCTAGCAAGAAGCACTCCTACAAAGAGGCTGCGCAAAAACTCTAGACTGAGCGGGCCAGTGCTTTTGCTGAAGTCGAACGACTGCGGCGCGCACAAACCGCGGAGCAATCCTGGAAGCTAGCCGTGCAAGATCTGCAGACGGAACGAGACAATGCCCTTCTTGAAGTCGAACGGTTCCGAGAAAAGCTTGCAACATCCGAACTGTCCGATGATCTGCGAGCAGAAGATCGCGCTAGGAGCGAAGTCAGAAGTCTTGAGGATCAAGTCGAGGCTGAGCGGCGTCGTACGCTGAGGGCAAATCGCTCTCTTGAACGAGCTCGCCAGGACTTGAACGATATGCGTCAGGATCTGGATAACGAACAGAAGAAGTTCGAGCGAGAACGCAACAGGCGTGAACAGCTGCGCACAGACCTCCAAAGCGAGACTGCGCGAGCCGAGTCCGCTGAACAGAAGCTCAGAAAGCGCAGTCAAGGCTCAGAAGGCCTTGGCATGATTTCGCCCACTGCTAACAGACCACAAGTGACGTGGAATGAAGCTAGGGAAGATCTCGTGCGCAAGATGACTTCTGACCACGCAGAAGGCTTGCAGCGCCAGGAGATAGTCTTGAAGTCCCAATTCCAACGAGACCTCCAGACAAAGGAGGCAGAGTGGGAAGCAGGCAAGCAGGCGGCTCTAAGGCAGCTTCAGTCGAGTCATGAAGGTCTTCTGAGAACTCGAGCAGCGCAGTGGCGTAGCGCCGAAGAACCGGCTGAGCCGCGCCCGCAGTCCCCAGGCAGTACTCGCCCCGGCCAAGGTGCTGCAAAGACGGGACCGCGGAATCATACCCCTGCCCCGAGAAAGACTGATGCCTCCGCACTGAGGAGGTCTGATCCTCCTGAGCACTCGGATGCACAGCCTGAAGACGAGACAGGTGGCATTGACTTCACCGGAGAGGCGTCGCTCCCGAGAAAATTCGGCAAAGCCCGAGTCTTGATTGAGAAGTGCTACTTAGCCTGGGATGTAACTCCTGCTGAGAAGCACAGCCTCATTGAGTCCTTCGAGGGCCTTTTCAGCAAGGGTAAAGATCTTGCCGCCGTGTCCAAGTCTATTGACAAGTACTGTGACCGAGCCACGAAGCAGGACGGTCCGTCGGTATGTCTGAGAGCCTCCTTGGTCGGCCTTAAAGCTGGCAAGGTAGGCACAGCCATCACGAACCTGAACTGCCCGCGATGTAGCGCTTACGGGAAGATGAAGGAGACTTGCTTCTTCGCAAGGTATGCACCTGGCATATCTGGTGATCAGCCCAGTCCTGACATGGTCAAACTAGACGATCGACCGGTGCGCTGGGTCATCAAGAAACGCAAGATGCGTCGCAACGATCCCGACGAGGAGAGCTGGCAGGTTACGCTCGATTCAGGTCAGCAGCATATGATCTAGAAAGATCTAAGCTCCTGACCGTTCGAGCGACTATCGCACAGTGTTCGCATCGGCTGCATCGCGGTGGCCCCTTGAGATCTTTCCGATCTTTCCGGATCAAGTTCCCGAGTCCCATCCCTCAATGAAGCGTCAGACTTGCGCTGCACCAGGCGCGGCGGTTGTGAAGACCGGATCTGCTTCTTAGTTTGACATGTGTAGGTCTAGCCATCTAGTAGATAAGGTAGTTTCCAAGTAGAAAATGAAGATTCTCCCGCTGAAGGTCTCACATTGTGTCTCCGTGACGTGCTGTACCTATCGAGGATACTGAACCTGTGCCGCCGCGATGCGTCAGCGTAGCTCAAACCCTCGGCTTCAGCTTCTCGATTCGCCTAAGACACTTCCACGATACGTGGCCGACATAGACAAACGCAAGCAAGCTAAGTGGGAAGGCGAATTTCATTCCTCCATTTTTTGATGCCTAACACAATAACGCCATGCACCATATCCAAACTGCCCACGCCCTCCACATCTCACCTCTCGGCCCTTCTCAACACAACAATCTACGAACCTGCCAAAGACTCCTATCTCCTCCTCGACACCCTCTCCTCCCCCACGGAGCGCGCCTTCCTGCGCTCCCGCTTCTCACCCCTCTCCCCCCCCCCTCGTCACCGAACTCGCCCAAGTATCCCCAACCATCACTGCCAGCAGAAAAAACATGATTGGCACAACAAATGTAACGGATTCGTCGAATGAGCCAGGCAGCGCTTCGGATCACTATCTGGATCAGTAGGGCGGGAACTCGTAATGATTCAGATCGAGCAATGTGAGCGCAATTCACTTTGCAAGTCCTCGGTTGCCTAGCAACTCGTTTTAGCAGAACCATATCGAAAGCTTTCTGTCAAAAGCTAGCCGACATCAGGCGCGCAGCTTGCTAAAAGCTTTCAGCAACTTTTCCCGTTGCACAAGTTCCTGCAGATGCCGGAAACTTTTCTCGGCCCCGGAAAGCTGATCGTGCGCCATCCGAATGTCTTGAGACAACTGCCTAGGGACTGCAGCGATAGCTTTCGTGCGTTCGAAGCGCGATTACGCATCCATGAGATTCTCCGGCTGGAATTGCGACATGCGGATGCTCCGCGCGCTGTCTTCCATGCGCTGGACATACAGGAGATCCGATCTGTCGACGTTGTTGCCCAGGCTACTCCCTGCATGGGTACAGTTAAGTCCCCCATCCCAGGCGTAACTACTGAGTAACAGCGAAGCAACGATTTCGTCAAGGCCGATATTCTCAACCCGCACTGTTCTGAAGACTTGATATGTCGAATCTTCGATATCATACACATAGTCTCCGAAGCAGTACTGAACAGTTGCCAGATACAGGCCAAAAATCGGGCTTTCGTTGGCCATCTGGAAGCGGTGATCGCCTCCTCGTTTGGCTGTGTTCCTACCGAGGCCAACATAGACCAAACATCGGAGCAGATGCTCTTCAAAGCGTCGATGTTCGTCAGGGGAACCTTTGAGCTGGTCTCTCAACTGCTTCAGATGAAATTGGAGCTTGTCGAGCCATTCAATGGTCTTCTCGAGCGAATTTCGTGCCGCCGCGGTTGTATCGCCAAAGCGCCTTTCACAAGCATGATCAAGTCGCAGTTTGGCAGCGTCGGGCCACGATTCATCGATAGCGGTAGCGATCTCAAGCGATTCAGGATCATCAAAATCACAGTACTTACGCATAGTCTCAAGGACCCTGATCATCTGATTGAAAGTGAGGCCCTTGCCCACATGAGTGATAGTCGATGGGTTAGCTTGGGTGCTGAGCATTGGGTTCACACGCGAGACATACGCCGCATAGACTCCCTGGACTTTAGGAGTCTTGGTATATTTCTCGACCCTCTCACGGAAGCCGGGCTCCTGCATTCGTCTAGGTAAGTCACCACGGATGAAGCACGGCAGCACCTTAGGACACACAGAGGAGAGATAAAACAGGGTTCTAGATTGCGCACCAAGACCAATGTCTTTCACAAGCCTTTTCCAGCTTGGATGAGAATTGTCGAGGGCTGCATCGTCACCACTATTGGCAACATTGGCCTTTCGCTTTTTTGTCGGCGCGACAGCTGAACTTTCAGCGCTCCCACGATCCAGAGCGATGGTTTTCAGGAAGATCATGATGCCGATCACTCCAGCAGCTTCGTAGAATTGCCACAGGCTCTTCTGACGAGGCGTCCATAGGGGATCAAAGCTAGCATGGTTTGTGGACTTACCTGAACTAGGTGTCGGTGAAGATATAATCGAATTCAGTTGAAATCTGCAATCAGCAAGCCCATTTTTGATGGATTCGAGTTCGTCATCCATTGCAAATGAGCTTAAAGAAGATGTGAGATGGGATCAGATGTGGAAAAGATCAGTTTTCGCTGTGTGCGTGTGCAAATTTGGTGTGGGAAGGCCCGAGCTCGTACCTTCTGGTCTTCAACGCACATGACCCCTCCCAAGGCGCATCATTGGCTTCCTCGGAGGGCGTCTTCGCTTGCACACCACCTCCTCATACGTGCCATGTCTTTTTTGTCTGTTTATATCGGGAAATACGAGATGGCGTTGAAACCATTGATCCCCTTTGACTGCATTGGAACGTCTGCTAGGTGCAGGCAGCAGGCGTGTCAGACGCGCCAGCCAGTCTCGGCTGAAGAGGGTGGCTTGCCCTCGAAGCTGCCGCGACTAGTCTCAACGTGTAAAGGAGATTCGTATTGTCGAAGGAGAGTCTCATGGGCATGTTAGGCATACCTGTGCAATGGTCTCAATGTTAGGCTCGCATCCAATCCTACCATTTCGAAGCCGTGACAGCGCACTCACCGAAGGAAAAGGGAGTCTCTGGTCAAACACGAGAAATAGATAGGATTATGTGCAGTAGTCACATCATTCGCTTCCGTTTCGACCATCGGTCTAAGGTATCTGAAGGCGTTCTGGGTCACCGAGTGTCTTTTCAGCTTCTGCTCTCATCTAAAGTGCTTTAATCTCCACTCCTAGTCAGAAACCTCGCTCTTCCCAGTTTTTAGTCGCCCATACGATAGTTTTTCGCCCTGCCCACGTCGCATTCCAACTCTAAACTCCATAGGAAATGAGAGCATGCTCTGTCAATTTCAAAGAAGGACCGTGAAAGGTGACCTGGAGGTTGCCAGGGTATTTGTTGAGCTGATTTTGAGAGGACTCGTGGATGGCTGGTGGATACGGGTTGAGAATCATTGTTGGTTTGTCGCATCTCCGACATTTGACAGCCTGAGGTTGGCGAGCTATTCGTCAAACGCTGGTCGGCTGAGGCTGTGCATGGTTTTCTGCTCTCTCTTGGAAACATTGATGCTGTGGTGGCTTCCACTTCGTCGCTTTTGAGGCAAATCTGTCTGGTGCGGTCGCAGCTCTGCAGCCACACTTAGGCTTGACACAGGGTCGAAGAGAGAGCTGTGATGTGACCATGCTCGTCAGCGTTGAGGTGGAATAGACGTTAGCGGAAAGCTTAGGAGAGCAGCGGACAGTAGGACTTTCGGGTCGTCGAGATGTCAACAGGCAGAACTCAAAGTCTGTCGATGGCTAGAAGCACCAGTCCAGAGAGATTTCGGAAGATAATGCATTGATCTCTAGGAAGTAGGTAAGTAAGCCCAGCAATCGCTTAAGCTAATGTTGCGGCTCGTCCCGACGCGTTGCCGATCCCTGAAGCACAACTCCAGGTGACTGTGACCGCGCTGGCCCGTAGCAACACAAACCATATGTTACGCGTTACGGTTTAATTTTATGATCCGCGGGAAACCTGCGGCGCCTACCTCGCTTGATAACTCATCAAAAGTCTCGGACCCGTCCAAAAAAGATCTTTCCTCTATCGGCAAAACGTCTTGCCCTCGCCTGCCCCGCCAGTTCCGTATGCTTCATGTCCGCAAAGTCGTCCACATCCTTCACCAGCCGTCGTCATTCCGCCAGGTTCGATGTCAATATCATAATGCTTTCTCGGCAAGCGCTGTCAGCAATGTTACTGGCCCAAATGTCAAAAACCGCTTACTGCCTGGCTCTCGCTTCAGCCAACATTTTCAAAGTCTTCGACACCCCTGATTTCTACTACCAGAACTCGTCTGCGGCATGCTTCATCCATTCGATTATAAGGGCAGCTCGTCACTCTGCTGCCATCCGCTATTGTAGATCTGGTCTCCACCAGACCACCGCCCCTAGAATACCTACACTGTTGCCGCCACTGCTACAGCGAATATTCCGGTTCTCTCCATAACCCTTCCCGAATTCCTCTGCTGCGTCACTACTGAGCCCCACGACTCCCACAGCTTCCGTCGCTACCCTCCTCTACAAGTCAATGCGTCACGTCACTCTCTTCTCCACATAGCCGCCATCAGCACCCATATCACCGCCACCATGGCACTCATAAAGTCTAACAAAGGTACATGATCTACACCGTGACCATCGGAACTGGTCAAGCATTTTTGCTACAGTCTCAAGTCGAAACCCTCAGCACCCTCGCCGCCGCCAACGCCCCATCCATCACCCTTCTCTCCGACGACAGGTCCCGCTCGCTTTTCCATCACTCAGATAGTGCGCCTCATTGTCGTCTTCTCCAGACTGCCGACCTACATCAAACAGCCTCCACCGCCGCCGCCGGCAAGTCCCCCTCCATTCGAGGACAATCGTCATAAGCAGGCCTTGGTGCCCCCAGGCCCGCGCCTCGCTTGGGCTGCAACGCAAACATGTGCATTTGTTCCACATCTTCCCCGGCCAGTGGCTCACACCATTATGCCACCATTTCCCAAAGAGCGACCATGCTTCATCGCGCCGCCGTCCTGCCTTGCCCCACCGTCCTCTCTCGCGCCACCGTCTTCATCGCGCTGCTATGCTCTATAGCGCTACTGTGATGCACTGCGCCATGATCGTCCCCAGCAATGCCGTCCATGGCTGTCACCACCAGGCTCTACTGCCACCGCTCGACACCTAGCCATGATGAACCTTTTCCTAATATGTCGCCGCTATTTGCTATATCGCCACTGGCCCCCACGTCGCTCGATACCACACTCCACAGTCTCGAAACCCCCCTCTCATCTCTCTTTGCCACCACTCTCACCACTGAGCTCTACGCTACGATCATCGTCGATCTTACGGAGCCCTCACCCCTCTTACGAGAAGCTTCTGCGCGGTGGTCCTTCGCCGCACCACCGCCCCCGTCCCGTTCCGTAGCAACGCGGTCCTGTTCTTCGGTGCATGCTCTAGTTGTTGTTGCAAGATCCGGCAACTTGTTGTGTTCCCGTTTGCACCCACTGTTGCCTGGTCTTCCCAGGCTCCGGCCTGTGCTGCGCTGATCCGACTATGCCCTGCTGTCCATATGGCTGCTCTACGCAACTGCCATAGCTCGATCAACCTCATGCTCGGCTGGCCGCCCTCTATGCCTCACCGAACCTCACGCAGCCGCGCAGTATCACGCCGTCCATGATATAGCCCTACCGCGGCCCAGAAGTCTTTCCATTAGCTACATGCCTTAGGCTCAAAGCTTCAAGACTACCTCCCTCTCTCCGCACTCGACAGACATAACGTTTCCTCCAATCGCTCTGGCAAGTAGATTGCCACGTCTGACTCCTGCTGTTGGCCTACGAGGGCATGATCTGTTCTCATCTCCCCATGTCGCTAACGGCGTCCTCTAGATGCCACCGCAGTTGACGACCGCCTACTTCGATCATAGTCGCGCCATCCCCTCGCTCGCCGCCGCCGGTATAGACCTCTCCACTCTTGTCCTCATACCGCCATTCGCAGTTGACACGCTGTTCCTGTCAACCAGCCTTGCTTCCCATACACGTGACGATCTTGCATCTGCATCGCACGAGGCGCGACATCAAGTTGAGAAGAACGTCGAATACACTTTTACAGCGATGACGAGGAGGCAGTAAACGAGGTAGTCGTTGTTGGCGCCCCTGCGCCTACATCTATTCATCCCATCGCCGCAGTTCTCTTCATCTTGCGGTTGCCCTAGCTCCTAATACGACTGTCCCAGCGTCACTGTCGCTATTATGCAGACCATATTCCTATCCTCACCTTATGCTGTCCACCTGCAAGCGAGTTCCCGGCTCGACTCCTGCATGGAGAGGCTGTCGTTGAGAGACTTCGCTTTTCCGCCTCCCTTCCTTGTGTTCTGAAAGAGTAGGCAAGTCCAGCTAATAGTACAGATTCGCCTAACGCTTGTTCTTCTCTTGATTTCGCTGCTGCCCCAGCCTTGCCACAGCCGCGACGTGTCCTCAACGGCCATTTCCCAGACAGCACGTACCATGCCAAAGCTCTGACACCTGTCCTTAGCGTTGCAGCACGCCGACGAGTCAGTTGACTGTTTCAGATGGGTTTTCCAGAGCTGACACGTCTAGTCCAGCAAGCCACGAGCACTTTCGCATGTTCCTCTAGCCTTTACTTATCATGAGTCGGTGCCAGCTGCCCACAGACGCCTAATTCTGTGTCATTCATCTCCAGCTACGATGCTTGATCGGCCTCTGAACTCATCATTGCTTCCAACGGGCACGCTGCATCTTCGACATGGGTGCCAGCCTTGCTCAACTGTTCTTACCGCCTCCATGCGGTTGTCGGGCACAACCTAAATGTTTGCATACAGCATTCCACTGATAAGTAGACGTTAAGAGGCACCCACGCTGGTAGCTACTTCGCCGTCATTCTGTCATAGACTCTGAAGCAATTCTCAGTCGCTTATGCTGCCCATTCGCGAGTCTGGTACCTATCTGGTGCTACAGTAAAACCCAGCATACACTGCAACCGACAACGATGTCGCTCCTACGATCCCACCCAGTGGTCGGCACCGGGTGACTTTGCTTGCTTACGCATCGTACCTAGCATGCGATAGGATCATGCAACAATGCCTCGTCTTCGTTGCTTCGACTGCCACGTGGTGCCACGTGCTTCATCGTCGGTCTGAGCACGCCGAGGAGCTTTCTTCTGGACCACAAGGCTGCGGGATTGGTGTCACAATCATTATATGAGTCATTTTGGGCTTTGATCGACGCTCTCCCGCTGCCTACTGGGCTATGACAAAGAGTTGAGAGTTTCAAGTGTCGCCCTGGAGAGCTAGGTGTTATGAACCGCTCCGAACGTCGGGTCCAAACTGGGTTTAGCAGCTGGGTGAATAGTATCAGGGTCAAGGCTAGGCCAAAGTAAACGTAGGAACTAATAGTAGCAGTTGTACTACCAATGTATAGAGCGAATCAATATACAAAGTTGACTACGAGAGTCCTACCTAGTGTCGGGACAGGTTGTCCCTCTATATAGTCCTGTAAAGATATGTAATGCTAGGTCCTGCTATGTCTGCTGTGCCTGCCGGGGCCCCAGTAGACCCATCATACCCGTCGGACCCAGCGCCTGGGTCACGTGACGTACACCTTCCCTTGGGGTCGGCTAACCTTCCCCTATGTCTTTAGGCTGGGTGTTACCGGTGGCCTGTAGGTCGCGCTGTGGCCTGGGTTGTAATAGTGGCCTGGGTCGTAACACTTTCCCCCTCCCAGTCTGTTGTGTCCTTATATATATAAGGTTAGTGTCCGCCCGTTTTGTTCTCTGTCCTTTATAGCTCACTATGTCTAGTGACCGTGCCACTAAACGTAGCAAGACCTCGTCCAAATGTTGCAAAACTGCTGCTTTAAAAATCAGAGCTCTTGGTTTCAAGCTGTTAGAAATGGGCTATTGCACCCCTTGTTAGAACTTGAACTCACCATGCTTTATTCTTAAAGGTTACAAGTGGTGTTCTACCTGTGAGCATCAGGACAACTGTTGATGTGATGGGAAATTCTTGGAGCTGGAGTTCAATACCCTTGAGGCTAAAAAATGTGAAGCAAAGGAAGAGGCGCAAGCGAAGCGCGCTGAAGTGGGCCGTCTGGCCGCTGCTGCTGCTTAGGTGTACGCTGAACTGGCGAAGGCCCAGTAGGAAGAAATTGACTTGCAGTCCCGGATTGATAGGTACACTAAGAGCCAGTTAAGGATGCTCCGTCAGGAGCTATCCCTCCTTGATAAGCTTAACAGTCTGCCCGCTAATTTGGTAGTGGGTTTTGACGATCAGGTGTTGCCTTGGGGGGACCCCCTGATGTTTATGTTCCCCGATTTCTTCGGGCCTGGTGTTGGTCCCTTGGAGATAGGTGATGTTGGTGGTACTTCTGGATCTGTGTGATAGTGAGTCTCCCTTGGGGTTCCTAGGTGTTGTTGTTATATTGACTATTTTTCTAGTGTACTAAATAGTATGGGATGTTATTGATGAATTTATGGCCTATAACTTTATTGATGTCTTTCTTGTTATATTGTGTCTCCTGCGATTCTTTGTTGATATTGATTATCTTCTTTATTGGCTACTGCTTTCCTGAGGCTGGTTCTAGTAAGGAAGCATAGAATATATTGTGAATCCTTATTTCTTTTAAGAGTTCCAGTTTAAAGGTGACTGGTCTGTATTTCTTCTTGACTCTAAACAGTCTGAGCTTGGTGTAATCCAGTTTAGAGCTTGGTTATTGTGTTTTTATGTTTTTTTGTAGAAGATAAACTATCTCCCCCTCTAAGAAGACTAGTCCCCCAGTTCTCTTTTTGTTAGTATATTTTATTGTTTTATCTTGAATTTGTTGTAAGTTGTCCTGTAATAGTTAGTGTATTGTTTATAAGTGTGTTACTGATATTTTTGCTTTTTCTACCACTGGCTTTATACCTAGTTTGTGGTTGTGAAGTCTTAGGTGTTTTCTATAGTTTGCGTAATAAGGGGAGATCCCTGTTACTCCTGCTGAGTTGTTATATATAAATTGTGCTGTTGGTAGTAGTTTGACCTATTGTTACGGATCACGTCCGCAACCTGACCGAGGCCAGTGGCCGCAGGGACGCTAGGGCCCAAGGGGGAAGGTTACCCGGAGGAGGACTGGACCCCACGGAAAGC